AATAAAAATATTATTTATAATTAATAGTTGTTTACTGCGCAAATGCGCACTGCTAAAAAAATAAAAAAAAATTTTAATACTAAATTTCTAATTATTAAATAAGAAACTTAGTAGCAGTAATATATATAAAGCAAATTTTAAAAATAGGTAGCTTATAACTATTAACTGCAAAAATTAAAATTAAAATTGCTAAACTTAGACGTGGATAATTCTAAGCACTTAAATATTAAAATATTTTTTTTTTTATATAAATAATATAATTTATGCCTTAAGGACTGCTTTAATACTTATAGTATAAAAACTATTTATAATTCTAGTAATAGACAACGTAAACAGGATACTAAACTTTAATAAAAATAGTTTAACTTTAGCAGTACTTACTAAAAATAATTATTACTATTAAAATTAGCTAAAGTTTTACTTATTTTTATTTTAGCAATAAGCTTTTTTATAAAAAAATATTATATGCTAAAGCTTAGGCTTTAAAAGCGTATATAATTTTATTACTAACTAAGGCGTTTAAGTATTTCTTTTTTTTTTAAACTATTATATTTACAAAAAAAAGCAATAAGCAAAGTATTTTTAACTTTTATTTTTTTTTTTTAGTAGTTAGTTTTTGCTTTTTTTTGCTAAATACTTTTTACTAGAATATTATGCTATATTATATTTTAGTAAACTATAAAGCATATTACTTTATTTTTAGTAATAAATATACATGTATATATTTAGCAAGCTAAATATACTAAATATTTTTTTTACTACTACTTATTTTATTTACTTAATGCTTTTATTATGCTATTATATAATTATTAATCTTATTAAGTATTTAGCAAAATAAAAGAAAACTATTAGGCTTTAAGTAAATATATTTTATACTTTTTTTACTTTAACTTTTAATAAAGCAAATATATAAATAACTTTTTACTTTTACTTTTATTTTTTTAATACTAAATACTGTTGCAATAATCTGTTTTAATTGCTTAAAAATGTAATTAGTATACTAAAATATATAATTATAGTTTATAAGTGCTACTGCAGCTAATAAGCTTAATAAAGCAATTAATAAAATTGCTAATAAAACTAACTTATTAGAGCAGCATAATAGCAATGTATATAATTTAAAAAAATTAATAAATTTTAGCTATAAATTCGATTTTACACTCTTTTGTAGAAAATATAAAAACTATTTATAATAAATTTTTAAATAGTAGTAAAACTAAACTACTACAGGTAATTTTAGAAAAGTAATAGAAAAAGTAAAAAATAAACTATTTGTACTTTAAAATAAGAATATTGCTTTTTTTTAGCAAAATTTAAAAGTTTTTAAAGGACTTAGCAAAAAGTATAACTAAAAAAATATAATAACAAAGCTTATAAAAATAAGTAAAAACTAGTAATAAAATCTGTAATTAATTCTAATACTTTTTAATTAAAAGCGCCTTTAAAAATTTTAAAATATATTAGGCGCTATTACTACTTTTACTACAAAAGCGCTTAAATATACTAATATACTAAAAAATTTAAATATATAGTAGTACTTTTTGCAAACAGGTAAAGCAATTAAATACTATTTTATTAATTACTAGTAAAAGTTAGATTTTATATATACTAAAGCAAAACTTAAAATAAAATTAATTAAATATAACTTTTATAATTTTAATAAGTAAGATTTTAATTAAAAACTTTATTTATTAATAAAATATCTTCTGCAGAAATGCAACTAGCAAATAGAAAAAAAAAACTGCTTAATACAAAAGCCTACTTTAAAAATAATATTTATACTTTAGGTATACAAAAAACTATATAAGCTACTATAAACTTTGTATTTTTTTTAAAAGTAAATAGCAAAAATTTTTATATATATTGCATAATTACTCTGCTTAAAAAGCAAAGCTACTAGATTATATAATTAAGTTAAAAATTAAAAAATTTAAACTTTTTTATTTTAGAAAAAAATTAAAAGCATTACTAGATAATTAACTTGCTTGCTATTTATATTTAAATACTTTTATAATGCAATTAAGACTAGCAAACTAAAATTATAAATAATACTATAAAGTATAAAAATATTGCAAAAGCCTACTTACTTAATAGTAAAAAAGTTTTTTATATAATTAAATATAATTTTAATGCTACAAAGCTAAAGCGAAAGTTTAAAATTTTAATTAATAATTTATACTAAATACTGCCTAAAGCAAAGTTCTTAAATAACTCTAATTTTATACTAGATAAAAATTTTATATAAGTCTGCAGTTTAGTTTACTTATAAAGTATAAGTGCAGGTTTTTAAATATATAATTTTAGTAAGTTAGTAAGCTATTTCGCTTGCTAAACTATACAATATACTATTAAAAAAATAATAGTTAATAGAAAGAAAATAAAAATACAAAAAAAAAATAAAAATATAAAAAAAAAAAAAAAAATTAAAATAAATTTTATATTACTAAATAAACAGCGTATTGCCCAGATTAATAAAAAGTATATTATTAATATTTTTAAAATAGTCTAGCTTATTGCAAATAAGTACAATATTAAAAATATAAAAAATAACTAAGCTAAGTATACTACTATATATATAAAAATTAACAAAATTTTTAAAAAATAATTTTTTAATTTTTTTTATTATACTAAGAAAAAAATTAAGCAAAAGCTACTAGAGCTCTAAAAAATATAAAAATTAAAAAAAGAAAAAAAAAATAAAAAGTTTTAAAATATAAATAATACTTAAAACTATAAGCGCAAAATTACAGGCAATAATAAGTATACTAAAAATTTTAAAAAAAATAAAAGTTTCTATAGTAATAATAGTAAAAGCAAAAATATTGCTTTTAATTTAAATAAGATATTTAAGCCTTAGCTTAAGCTAGAAATATTTAAGTATATTAAAACTTTTAAACTTTTTGCTAAATATTAAAAAATAATTATTTTAGTAAAAAAAAAGACGCTAGTTATAAAGCCCTAAATTTTAAAAAAAGAAAATAGCAAATAAAAAAAAAAAGCTAATAGCTTAATATTTTATATTAGATTTTATAGCAGATTTAATAAAAAGTTTTATAAAAAATTTTACTATAAAATTAGCAATTAATCTAGCTCTTACTTTAGTAACTACTGCTTTTACTATAGAAACTTTAGACTAAAAGCTTTTTATAGCTAAATAAATTAAAATAATTATATAAGTACTTTTTTTAGCAAGCAAAAATAAGCAGCAAAAAGACTATAGTAAAATAAATAAAAAAGCTAATACTGCAAGTAAAATTAAAAAAACTTAACTAAATAATATACTGCTAAATAAAAATACTACTTTTATAAAAGCTTTAAAAAAACCTAGCAAATAAACTAATTTAAAAAATAAAATATTGCTTAAATAAAGTTTACTAGATTTTTAATTAACTTAGCAGCCTTCTATTGCATTCTAAATTAATATAATAATATAAGTAAATTAGAATATTTTTTTGTAAAATGCTTTATTTATTTACTTTTTTTAGTATAATTTTACAAATTTTTTACGCTATATTTATAAATTTTTATTTTAATTTTTTTTTTATATACAGACTATAATAAAAAACTGCTTTTTTGCCTACTTACTAAAATAGTATTTATATAAATACAAGTTTTTTTTTTTTTATATAATATATAAAAACTTGCTTTTTTTGCATATAGAACCTTTTTTTTAAAAAATAATTAGTAATAGCCTAATTTTACAAGTATTAATAAATACTTAGTAAAATTTTTAATTGTACAAAAGCTTATTTTATTATTATATAATATGCAGCTTATAATTTTATACTTAATAGTATATTTATACTATTACTTTTAAAAGCTAAGAAAGCATTAGCTACAATTACTAAAAAATTTTTTAATAAAAATAAGCTTTATATAAATAAAGAAATAATTTTTTTTTCTGCTTTTAAAGCAATAGAGCATAGTAGTTTTTTTTTTTTAGCAGTTTTTTTTTTTTAAAGTTTTTTTTTTAAATTTTTTCTTACTATAGTATAATAATAAATACTAAGTTATTTACCCTTGCTTACAGAATTATTTAAAAAAATAAAAATTTTAGTACTAAGTTTAATAATGTTAGTTACTAGTTTATAAAAGTGCAGCTATTATATAAATGCTAAAAAAAAAAAATTTATACTAAAATAAAGTATATTATTTACTTAGCAGCTAGTTTAGCTTAATAGAACTTATAAATACAGATTATTACCCCTATATCATGACAGTGACCCAATAACCCGGAGACCGACCTAGATTTATCTAAATTCTACGAAGCTAAAGCGAAACAGAAATTAAAGCTACCCGAAGCGGACAGCAAGCGAAAAAGGGAAAGGAAGCCAGCCTGCCAATGTACGATCTTGACTTGAAAGGGACAGCCTCACCAAGCCTTGCCATTTTGGACCAAACTAGGAGCGCCACACAGACGCCACTCGCGCGCTCCGCAAGCTGAATGGCTATGCGGGCCCCTTACAAAGTCCCGACCATAGAATGGTCGAATTTCAATTTTGGGGACTTCTATATGTATTGGGCAGCCTTAATTTTTTCCAATGTGTGCGCGCAGGGCTTCTCTCTGCGTCCCTTCCTTGGTTTTGATCGTTCTTAGTAACATCTAACATGCATTTTCGAACCACCATCATAGCAACTATCAGCTTAGGCCTCTTTGTGGAAGCTGCAACGCTATCCAATGATGCTCGTTGCGGAAAGAATGGCAATGGCGCGAATTGTCTGGACAGCCGATGGGGAAGTTGCTGTTCGCAGTACGGGTGGTGGTACGTTTCACATATCGACTCCAAATTACTATCTCTGACACTATTAAAAGCGGGTCAACAAAAGACTACTGCGAATCAGGCTGCCAGCTTGGTTTTGGAAGATGCAAAGGTGTAGTTACTAGCTCTCTCCGTACCCTGACGATTTCAACACGCCCGACAACGTCTACTCGACCGTCCACCAGTGCCCGTATCGTCTCTGGCTCTACCCGCTCTCCTACGCCTTCTCCTGTGCAGTTAGTTTCGAAAAATGCCCGCTGTGGTGCTAGCTTCAACGGTCAGACCTGTATTGGTAGTCAGTGGGGAAATTGCTGTAGCAAGTACTTTTATGTGAGTTCGCAAGCTTCAAATGGCGGTCATGGTATCTGACAAGACTGCAGTGTGGAAGTACCGACGACTACTGCCGCCCAGGTTCATGTCAGAAGGGATATGGGTTGTGCAACCCTGTCTCGTCCTCGTCGACTCGACGACCAACTACTCCGTTAGCATCAAGTCGCCTCAGTACACTTTCCCCCGCGGCATCAGCAACAACATCTTCTTCCATCGACTATCTTCAACCTTGAGTTCTTTCTCAGAATCTGCTACCCCGACGCTTTTTTCTTTGACCTCGGTATTGTCTTTTCCTTCTTCAACCGGATTAGAATCTCAACTGTCGTCAACAGCATCTTCATTGGCCTCGTCAATCATCAGTTCGACTCCAATACTGTCCTCATCAGACACATCTACTTCATCGACTCCATCACCGATAGCCCCCACGCCGCTTTCTTCAGTCCAGGCATCACCGTCCATATCGACCACGAGCGAATCGCTTCTGGCTACCTCATCAGGGCTTTCCTTGGGAATATCGTCCAGCCTTGAGTCTCTCACATCTTCATCAGCGAGTGTATCTTCATCTTCAACCTTTAGCCTGTCTTCAGTGGTTGGGAGTACGTCCACTATCTCATCTACCCCTGTTGTCTCTATACCAAGCCAAACTTCGTCGCTAGACTCCACTCTGCAAATCTCCAGCCAAAGTCCCATAGTCGCTTCATCGCCTACTTCAACGCAGACATCTTCCCCCGCACCTACATCAGTACTAAAGAACGGAGGCTTTGAAGATGCATATATTTCACCCTGGCGATATCTTGGCACAAACATCGATGTGCGCCCCAACACGACCATTCCCCATTCCGGACTGAAGTCACTCGAAATCACTGGCATTTTTGTAGACAAAGTCTACAATTTTCAGCTTCAACAGCTAGGTGTGAGGATCCAAGCAAACACTCCCTATACACTCCAAATATTTGGACTACAAGAGCGTCTGGACAACTGTGCTGTAAGGGTAAACTGGAACTCCTTAGTATTAGCAACGCAGATATCCCTTGGATCGATCGTAGCAGGGTATTCGAGTACCACGATGACATTGCCGGCTCAAAGCCAAACAGGTGGCAATCTATACGTGTTTGGTAATTGCAAGATTGGTGGATCTGATACGAGGGTTTGGTTCGATGACATCACATTGACGCCGATGTGATAGTTTGTGAACAACGGCAACTTATTGCCAGATTGGATGACATGGGAAGTGTTGCATCCGTTCTGTATTTAGATCACGGGCAACCATCGTTGCAGCGGAGCGAAAACACCCAATTTATAAGCGTGAAGATTGATTGTGTGCAAACACACCAGATAACAGTAGTGTCAAAGTAAAACAATCCCTGTACATGGTTACTTACCACTTCATCGTACTCAAACTGAGCATTAGCTTCCATACTGTAATACTGACTTCTTGACGAGGCTTACTAGTTAGCTTCGAAGCGTTTTGGCCTGATGTGATGTAAGTTGATGACAAAGTACAGAGATGTTCACAGGCTCGCGTCGAGTGTCTGGCGCGCTAGTGGATTATACCTCGGTCCAACTCTAACAAAACATTATCTCAAACCATAGCCCCTCACACCAAGGCGCATCCATCGCAGCGATGATATAACCGGGGCTGTCCCCGCGTCGGGGCTTTGTTGGCTGCCTATCAACCATTTTCTCTCTGTTGTCGGTGGCTGTCTTCTCAGCTTCGCACCTTCCTGCGCAATGACGACCCTAACGTACCAGCCTTTCAAGGCCGTCTACGCCCTCGCGGCGTTCGGATTTGAGTTGGCGCGCTTTCCCGTCTTCCTCGTCAAATACCTCATCAGCTACGGACGCCAGCATCCTGAGTGGACTTTCCGACAGGCAATCGCCGTACGCGTCTTCGCCTCCGCGGTGTATCATTTTGCGACAGTGCAGGGTGCAACAGCCCTTCCATTGACGCCAGGTGCAGAGAAAGAGCGCTTCGTTAGCATCAATCCAGCAAAAGATGAAGCCTATCGAGGTCCGCTGAGGAATAACACGGATGTCAAGCCTGTAGAGATTGGAGCGACGTGGTATCCTGCGGCGCTGAGTGCTGCGTCAGACAAGAGCAACATCAGGGTCATTCTGCACATCCACGGCGGCGGATTTGTAACAGGCGATGGAAGGACAAGAGCGTCAGGCTATATGGCTAAGAAACTCCTCAAGCACTCGACCGCTACCCACATCCTCTGTCCACAATACCGCAACTCGACCCTCCCCGCCTCAAAGACCTCGAACCCCTTCCCTGCTGCACTCCAAGACAGCTTAACATCCTACCTCTACCTCATCAACGACCTCAAGATTTCGCCAAAGGATATCATACTCTCGGGAGACTCCGCTGGCGGAAATCTCGCCATCTCGCTCCTCCGCTATATCGTCGAGTATGGACCCGATCTCGGCCTGCCTAGTCCGTCGGCCGCTTTCCTCTGGTCCCCCTGGATCAATCCCGCAGACACAAGCGCATCCTTCGTACACGACAACGACCACTACGCAACAGACTACCTGTGTCCGCCATTCACACACTGGTGCACCCAAGCCTACGCTGGCCTGTCTGGGGTGCAGATTCTCGACCAACCGTACATATCGCATAAGAACAGGCCTTTTCAGACAGAAGTGCCGTTGTGGGTAAATACTGGAAGTGGTGAAATCTTGTACTATGACAATAAGGAATGGTATGAACAGATGAAGAAAGCAGGTAATGATATTACGCTCGATGTAGAGAAGAATGTGCCGCATGACATTGTGCTAGTTGGGAATATTCTAGGCTTTGATAAGGAGGCTACGAATTGTGCAAAGAGGGCGGGCGAGTGGGTGAGGAGTACGAGAAAGTAAAAAGACTTGACGATGCGGTTGGAATAGGTATATGTGAAGCATGGAAAGGACTATCGTCTGTATAAAGCCTTGGTCTTAGTTGTCCATAGTTGTTCATAGTTCTTTAAGTTTTGTAGATACCAACTTATGGCACCTGAGATGCTAATATCTCAAAATGTAGGTACAGTCATCACTACCAGTTCAAAAGATACATGGTCGGGTGCAGTAGCATGCCATTGCAAGTCAGGACAGCAAGACTCGCTTAGCTCCCTGCACCTCCCGCGCTTTGCTGCAAGATGTCAATTTTGACGAGCTTGGGTCTACTCGTACTATTTTAGTTCGGCGAGAGATTATAATATCCCACGTCTAGGTTCAGACGAAGCGGATGATGAGACCATCGACTATTCGGCGCCAAAGAAGTCAGACCTGCACTGCATTGCACTAGGGGGTCACTCGCCTTATAGGTTCAACGAGAAAGAGCTAACTGAGGCAAATGGAGGCTCGCCACTGCTCGTATGTGACATTGATGCGCTAGTACTGCTAGCGGAGGGATCCGGGAGATTATCCCGTTGCCTGCGGCCGAAGACAGAGCTAACCTCTCAAGTTCTAGTAGAAAGTACTCTCAAGCTAAGGATCGGACTACATAGCTACAACTATTAAGATGCTAAAAGAGCTATACAGCCAGCCAAAAGGGCCTACGGATGACTGGCGCTAGCTCTACTCTTCGCGTCAAGTCTTTTCCTCCGCCACTCTATTCCTTTCCACCGACTCACAACCACACAAAAAAGACAGCTTAGTCCCGTGAACAATGAAAAGATAGTGAAAAACCAACCACGCCCGACTGCATTCACTAACGGCTCGATAATGGCCGCTGACGCCGCGCTGAACCCGCATCTCGCGAGCTGGCTCGACGCGTACGCCGTACTAGGTACGTCGGGAAATACGTCTACGAGCAAAGCGCTGGCAGTGTGACTCAGGAGCGTAGACAGCGCGCAAATGAAGAATTGCAAGATGATCGGTACAGCGGGGTGGACGTGTTGTTGGACGGCCCATCCGTAACTCGTGACCAGGGCCGTCTGTGCAACGATAAAGGGGACGATCATTCTATATCTTGCATATTCTATTGGGAAGTCTGTCAAATCCAGCTTCTCTGTTTGCGAGATGTCGATGTTATGTTTCTGCGCCGCTTTGGCATAGTTCGCGTCGATGAGTCGTCCAGCTATGATGCCTCCAATCGTCATGCCTGATAACCCAGGGAGAAAAGCCAGACCGATTTGGAGTTCGTTATAGGCGTAAACATCGGCAAAGATAACAGAGATGGCGACTTGGAAAGTGTAGTAGACGCCGTAGGAGGATGCGATCATCCGGAGTATAGCAGCGGCGTCGGGGTGGAGTATGATGCGCAGCGAGTCGACGACTCGCCGGAGACTCTGACTTGCTTTAACCACTGGGACGTTTATTTCATGCGTAATGCGCTGCTTGCGATCTTCTTTCTGCTTCTTTTTTCCCCGTAAAACATCCATCCACGTCTTCCAAATCCCATGCACAGCTCGTGATCCATTCCCTGCAACTACTCTTGACGTCTCTGGCAACGTGAACCCGACAGCTAGAAAGCATGCAACGGCAATAATTAGCAACGCCACAAATACCCACTTGTGTCCACCCGTCTTCAACGCAAGGGCACCACCAATCACTGGTCCCACCGCACTAATGCCGTTACACGTAGCGAGCATAGGTCCCAGCATCTTGCCCCTCTCGCTCACAACCGCCACATCTGCCACAATCCCATATGCAATTGATGGAATCGAGCTTCCCCCGATACTTTGCACAGCTCTGAGTGCCATCAACGCTGCATAGCTATTCTTGTTGAGCACGAGGCCTAGGCTGCCTAGAGCGTATATCAAAACCAGCGCCAGCAGTACGGGACGCCTTCCATACGAGTCCGCCAGTGAGGCGAAGATACCCGGGGAGATGGCCTGGCAAATGGCGTATACGGTGACGGTCAAGTTGATGGCTTGGATAGAGACGGAGAAGTGTGTACTTAGTGTGGGAATGAGCGGGAAATATATGGTCGCTGTTAGGGTAGAGAGAATCAATATGATACCAAGAGAGTAAGTTAGATGCGTGCGTGTACTGGCTGGGAAGATCGAGTATAGTTCATCGTTACCCGGAGGTGCCTTTTCGTCGCTCTTGTCTTGTGTGAATAACGATGCGGTGGCTTTCGCATCGACTTCGCTCCTTCTAGGCGCTGCCTGCATGGGTAAGATTTCGGGCGAGTGTGACATCGTCCTTGATTGATAGACTAGTGAGAGCAGTCATGGTATGTAGTGTTCAATGCTAGAAACGAGAAATTTATCAAATACGAGATGGTGTACTTCTTACCCCGGGCTATTTCGAGTTAGTAATGCCCTGTATTGCGTGATTGGAAGCTCAATATTCGTTCTGTCTTGGCGATTGGATCCGCTATTTATAATCACTTTTGGCGTGATATTATCATGTGAAGATCGACCTATGTCATCGCCTTAAGATTCTCGATATGGTCATTATAGTGTACTAGAGCAGCGAAGATAGCATTGGGATCTGTTGAGAGAGAAGAATAAGTTGTAAAGCTCGGAAGCTCTCTGCAAATCGTAAAAGCGGTGTTGCAACAAAATTGGGATCTGTTCATGTCATGTCTTTGTGCAAAAGAAATGGCCAACGCTTGTAGCTCTTCACAGGGAGCAAGAATAACATTTCGATTCCTGCAACCATACATATGCTTATGAGAAAATTACTATAGATCAGCTTCTAAACTTCCATTACGCGATAGCTATCCAAAATGGACTCAAAAATGACTAGCGAAAATTCATCATTGAACTCGAAGGAATTTGTTTCGTCTCACAAAGTGCCATCAATACCTAGGCAGCTATCATCTGATGCACCCCGTCATTTTCGGTCAGGAATGCTTGTTGAACCCATAAGTCTAGAATTAGATTTATATTCGTGGATGATAATCAAAGCTGTGTGGAACCTGGAACTGTCCGGTACAAGGCACTATAAAGAGTCGGCTTGCCCCCCATTATGTTTCCGAGAATTTACATGCACTTTTGGCTATGGCTTAAAGACCTCCACAACACAGGTAGCTATCCAGACTTGACAGTGTGTAGGAGTGATACAAACAGTCACTTCGAAACGCTTGACTTATCCATTATCCGAGTTGAGGGAGAAAAACGAAACAAAGAAAATAACTAATCCTCTTCGTCCACAATCATCTTGTTCAGTCAAGAACAGCTCGGATTTGTGCCTGCAAGTAGCTATGCACTTCTGGCTGATGCATAGCGTCCTGCTTTAGCTTCTCGAAATCTCCGAGAAAAGCCTCAATCCGGTTCATGGGGTCAGAATCTATCTCATACGGCGACTGTAGCATCCTGGGTGCCGGCCTCATGGTAGTGTCGAGTCGTAAGCTTAATGTTTCCTCGGAGCCGGAGTCATGATCCTCGCTCGATGACGCCGTGGGGAGTTGAGCAGCGCGCTCAATATCTCGCGCCAATGAAGGCTTTGGATATTTCGTCCGGCTAGGACCTTCCAGTTTATCCTCAAAGGAGGGCCTTCTTCTCTTTCGGGTTGGCAAAGTACTAGAGCTATCGACAGATCTCTGAATTCTGTGAATGGCGACGAGGTGGTTCCGCACTCGGGCCCAAAGAGCCACGGGAGTCGTGCTAGGCTTACATGTGCCCTTTTTGATGACGGATACATGTCTAGCATTCAACGGCAATTTTCTGTTATAGGAAACCAATGGCTTCATCAAATCCGCAACGGCCTTCCCATCTTCATTACTCAGCGGCCGGCTGAAAGTGACACGAAAGTCCACATAGTCGCAATTTTCATCTCGAAATTCTGGAGCAGAGCTCGATCGTCGTCGACTCTGGGTTGGAGTTGCGAGTGTTTGCCTGCTTGAGACCCAGATATGCTCAGGCATGAAGTCCCACCTCGGAAAGAGTACCGGCTCTTGGGTTCTTGGAAATGGCTCATGTTCTTTTATCTTGGAAACTAGACGATCCGTCGTAAAGGGTGGCCCAGAGCTCATTTCCCTCAGTGCCCACGTGAGGGCGGATGTGAAGGAGTTCTCTCCTGGGGGATGTGTGTATTTCTCGCAGGCACCAAGGTACTCAAAGGCGCGGCCAGCGGATCGTAGTTTGGCGAGAGACGCGGCGTCGCAACAGTCGAAAATGACGAGAACGTCACCTTTGGCATGTTGTAGGGTGTTCTCGCTCATTTCCCACATCACAATCTCATCTTCGGATGGCATTTCCTTGTATCCAAGCTTTCTTCTGTGTAACCTAGTTAGTGTTTATGTACTGTACTGAGCCGTAGCAACACCATATAATTTGTCTAATAACACATTCCCATCCAGGAAGTGTATTCAGTTATCTCACAGGGCGCTGTAACACTTACGGATGTAGATCAAAGCTCCCAGGGTTATCGCGGCGTCTGTCACTACTACGCCATCCATGGCCAGCATAGTACACGATAAGCAGCGCATGTTCCTTCCCATGTTCGAGCGTGAAATTGGAAAGATGGTTGACCATCTGAAGGTGAGCATTCTTATTACTCTTGATAAGTTGTTGCTGAACGTGAAAGCCGTAATCCTTTCGGAACACGTTCTCAAGCTGTTCTACCTTCTCGCGTGTCAGCCTCATTGGCAAAATTTTGTTCGCCTGTTCAACGCACCTCATCCCGTACGTTCAAGTCTGTGAATTGTTTTTCGTTTGAGTCGTACGAAAGAAGGAGCACTGATGCAGAGTCGTGGCTGATGGGCTTCCTAGAGGATGGCATATTCTGCTCAAAGACAGTGCGAAAGCTCTGGGGTCCATTCGGGTCTGAAGAAGGGGTGTTAGGTGGGCTTGGGCCTGCTTGAATAGAAAAGTCCGCAACAATGGGCATTGTTGGAGTCAGCTCCATTGTGAAACGTGGAACTATCTGGTTCTGTACAATAGTTGGCGGGTTTGGGCAGGAACACCCGTTCGCGACTGCGACATCTCTCCCTATATGCTGTCAGCAAGACTCAACACTGCCCCATGTTGGTCAAGCACAGCCTTGTGGCCTGTGGCCATGCTAAGGCAGATGATTTCATTGCGAGGCTCACAGATGGAAGCAGCAGGCTACGCACCGCACGCGATGGTAAGGCTGTTTCAGCAGAATAAACGCGCTAAGCGACTTCTGGCCCTTCGCGAGTCCTCCAGTCAAATCCTTGACTCCCTTTCATGTCATGATTGGAGTATGGCAAAATGATGCAGTCTCACTGCAGGATTAGCCCCCACAATGTGCTACAGTCGAACATAATTGGTGGCTGGCCTTGTCCCTTTGTGAAGCTCCGACGCCCTTGGTCGCGCGGTCCCACACCTTCCGATAGGCAACAACCCAGTCAGAGCTCGTTAAGCATATCACCAGACACCATGAGCAATTGAGTGTGTGCTTGAGTCACTTCAGCCGCATGAGTGCACATTCGTTCATTTATATGACAATGGAGTGCGGTAACGCTCAGCCTGGTGGCCGGCCCCTTCCCGCTCCCCTATTCTCTGCCTGAATCAGCCTTGCCATATGCCTCAGGATTGAACATCTACTGACGTTTCTCTCACCGGTCGTTACCTAAACTCGCACAAATTCGTCCGGCAGTGTCAGCTATCTTGTATCTCACCGGTTTTCGTTTCTTTTCGAGTCACGCAACGCGAGCCAGCGTCTTTGGGATGCCTACCGGTGACAGCAGCGAAGCGAGGCCTTCGATCGTAGGTTTTTGACCAATATGAATGTACGCCAGACTAAAGCGTGTTAGGCTGAGGCGACTGCGGAAAATGGCCGGTCATTCGTCCCGCGCTCTCAGCAGCCTGACAGTGTACGTTGATCCCATTCAACGCATTACCTTTTGTGGTAACCACGCTTTCACATAACAATACTTCATTGAGCTCGCTAATCACTGCTATCCCAGTCTATCTCGAAGTTTGATGTGGGTGCAAAGGCCTGGCTGCAAGACGAGGATTGTGACCGACCCCTCTGCGAGGTGATTGTTATTTCCAAGAGGAGTCTTCGTGGGACTTTCCAGTATCAAGTAAAATATAAAGAAACTGAAAAGACTGTGAAAGATCCGGATGGTACCGATTGGTTTCCAGAGACTCAACTCACGGTGAACAAGCCGATGTTCTGATGAGGTAATTGCTTGGACTTTTCGCCGATCGACTAGTGTATCCGTATGCCTACACGTAGGTGGGGCAGACAATGAGCAAGGGCACACAGCATTAGGCTGACCGGGGCTGATCCCACGTCAAAATGAGATCGAGTTATATATTCTCACCTTCCCATGCGTCTATCTAGCTGGCTATAGTCCAACTTATACGGACAAATCTTAGACCTCGATTCTTTATAGTGAGAATGGACGAATCTCTCAAACAAGCGTCAATTATGGAAGCGGGGCAAGCTGGATACCCCGTGACACCAACTTCGCCGAGTATAAATGAGAAATCAGGAGGACATTTATCCGCGAGCAGCACTGATTCATCGACCAAGCCATTGAACCCCAACTCTACTTCTCAAAGTAAGGATTCCTGAATTTCTTATCCATGATCCTGAACAAGCAAGAAGATTAACGACCAAAGGTGCCCAATCATCAAACCACAACCCCTGGGCCACCCTATGTTCAATTCCGTCTAGACTCGGTCGTTGGGCTTCGCGTCCACAGCGGCATAAAGTAGCCACCCAAATCGTAAGAACATGTAAACAACCCCCTCTCACCTATCCAGCATTCAAGCCTCTAACCAATCACAGTAGATTCTTGCCCCCGCGGGTATCCACAACTCGCTGCCTTCCTCGACAGTGATGAGTGCTTCTCTGTCTACCGCCGTTTTGGATTTCTTCAATCGCGGCTCCTGCTTGACAAGCAGGAAACGCTCCGCGGGCTTGAAGAAGCACTCGACAAGCTCGATAAGAGAGAAGCAAAAGCAGATCTTAAGCGGCCAATGACTACGGATCTGCCTCATAAGGAAGTAGAGCCACGGCGAAAGTTGCTTGCGGCTATCGAAGGGGAGTTCACTGCTTATGGTATGTCCTCCTTGCAGGTTGTATGCGTACTACCGTCCGGATACAACCTTGATAGTAAATTCTACGGTGTGATTAATATTTGTGAAGCAAATCTTCTCGACACAGCAGCCAAAATGATGGCTCTGAATCACCCCTCAAGAGCCGATTTCCAAAGCGTACAAAACTACATGGACAACCGCCAACCACTCCTTGAGGCTGAAGCTAGCTGGGTCCGCAAAAAGGAAGACTTAATCACACTCCGAGTTGGCCGCGAGCACGCGTGGCTAGATTCAGGTATTGAAAAGCTTCTAAAGTATTTCCACTGCTCAGCTCTCGAGTCCATTTTCGGAGACGAGGTAAGCCCACTGATCTTAATCCACACACAGCACCCTCTTAATCAATGCAAAACTAACAGTGCCCTCAGCAAACAAAGCAGAAGTCCTCCGGCGAGGAAGTGTACTATTCAAGGCAGCGCATAACCAACCTAGCTAGCTCCATCATAACGCTCATGGTGCTGGTACTTCTTGTTGTACCCATCTACCTGCTGTACCATCTCCTCAACGAGGCCCCAGATGTGGGTGGGAGGATCTACGCGATCTGCATGGGCATCCTCCTGATCTCCACCCTGTCTTTCTCAGCTGTGCTATACTTGTTTACTCGCGCGAAAAGGCATGAGATTCTTGCTGCAGCTGCTGCGTAAGTATGTACCTCGTGGATTACAATAGAACGTGGCTGATCTTACGGGTTTCAGGTATTGCGCTGTGCTGGTGGTGTTTCTTGGGAACGTTGGCCCGGCGGGGAATTGATGCATGTCTCGTTCTTCTTTAATCTCAGATTTTTCCATGGAATAGATAGGCGCTGGTGAAAGCTTGGTACGGATGAGGGCCCTAGATACTAAAAGTTAGGGGTCTAATGAATCATGAATTTTAGTGAGAAGAAAAACTTTTAACTCGGCTCTCTATATGAGAATATGCATGTTAGTGCATTTACGATCAAAAGCGCATTTGCATGCATGTGCGACCATTGCGTATTCTTACAGTTACGGGTAAGATCTGAATGTTACGTAATGCCTTGCACAGTCTTTTCTGCTTCGACATAGCAAAGGAAGCAGGCATTACGCTAGATAGGCTGTATGCGCTCAATCCAGCTCTCAAGGGGGACTGCAGTGGTCTTTGGCCTGGGTACGCATACTGTATCGGCATATCTTAATGTAGCCTAATTAATCACCGTTATCAACTTTACCTGCGTCCGCTACGCTGTGCATGGCAATAAGCACGCTGGCGGGGCATACTGCATCAAAAAAATTAACTATTGTTGGCTTCGAAACATCTCTCAATGAAAACCAGGGGTATTTTGGGCTCTTTCTGGGGCATCGGTTAAGCCTAACTTAGGGTTTTATAGAAATCTAGGCCACTGTATGAAAGTTTCTCTATAATGTAGAAGTCCCACAAGCGCAAACGCTCTGAAAAAAGACGAGGATCATCTTTGACAAGGGTTTTCACGATAGTCTGAATAGGAAGCGCCCTAGGATCATGAAGGATGAAGGAGGATACTGACGCCTGCTCGAAATAGTTCAGTTGAGCGACTTGGTTAACTTTCTCATGTCTCTCCACTTGACTGAACTCATAGGGGTGATCTAGTCCCATCTGGAATATTCGCAGGTATATAGCTCGTAAAACCTCCCTGTCGATAGCGCCCTCATATGCACTATGATCAAGGCCGGACGACCAGAACGAACTTCTGAATACCTGGGAAGTTATGAAATTTACATGAAAAGCTGTTCGGGTATACAAGGCGCCTCGCATCCTGCTGACTATGTTTCCTGCCTAGGTAGCTTGCAGCTCTGCTTCTACCTCACTCAACCAAGCTTGTATCATCGCCTCCTTATGCTGAAGCTCATATCGGTTTTCCCACGTAGTGTCTTCAATGAGCGACACCGTCACATGTATGCCAACTTTCTTCAGGAGGCATATAGGCCGAGTAAAGGATTTCAGGCCTTCCTTCATGTTGTTGCGACCCTCCATAGTATTGACAGTAAGCTGCCAGTAGAGTTTCACCTGTAGCTTAGCCTTCGGGCAGAGGCAGCTGAACAACTCCAGATCTTGAGCGACCCGTTCCCGTACTTCGGCTGACTTGCAGAAAAGATGGTTTACTGCTATCGATTTGGTGATATCAGTCACCAGTGCATGGGGATGGAGACCCATGTTGAAGCGGTCTTGGTGGAGGAAGTATTGCGGCATGCTGCCCAGGCGGCGGGAAAAATTGAATTTGGTATATCGGTACCAGCTCTCGACAAGTTCGATTGCGAATTGTTTACCTAAGACATCATCGCGCCAGAAGTGGGACCAGCAGAGGGGATCGCGCTTGGATCGAGGTTCGTTGACGAAATAAGGGAACTCTTCTTGTGTGATCCGAAGGATGTCACAGTTAGGATCGTTGACGGTGACAGATTCCGTGGTGATGTACCGATACACCAAGTTACGTAGCTCGCGCGGGAGCTTCTGGAGTAAAGATTCGCTGACTTGACGGCACACTGCTATGTTGTAGGCTTCGCACGCGATATGAATCTTTTTGTCGATAGCTGCAAGCATAAACTCAAGCTCGTGGATGTGATTAATGATTTTCGAGTCTTCGATTTCGGAGGGCTGCAATGCCCAGTGTCGGTACGTCGTAGGGAGGTGATGGAGTCGTCTGAATTCGTACGCCACGCGCTGGTGCTCACTGATGAGATCGCGATGGAATGTTGCTGCGTCCTTCATTAACCTGTTTCCATTAGTGCACTGTGATGGGGCCTGTTGTAGGACACATGCGCCTCCAATTGCGTCCAGCAGTATACGGCGTCGGTCAATCCAGCATTGGTAGTCGTCGCCGCAGGTTCCATGTTGAAAAATGGGGCGGGGCGTGTATATAGAATCAAGTCGAGTTGACCTTCCTAGCTCTGTATCAGCTTGACAAATAAAGGCGCACGGTGCGGCAGTTGATGTGCTGCTTAGTAAACACGCGTTCACGTGGGGACTGTTTCACTCATGGTAACTGACAAGGTGGGGGTCATATGTAGTAGAAATGGAACTAGCAGCCTTGGCATTTCCACACACCCTGCTCATAGACGGCCGCACCATGATGTTTCGACTAGTGGTAAAATTCCCAAGCAGTGGCCAGCAGCTGTGGCGGCACAGTAGCAGTGTTGGTTAACCGCGTCTCCTGATCTAGGATCTCGTATCATATGCGTAAGCGAAACTGAGTCGCTGATTTTGATGAACGGGAGTTTGAAAGACATCGATGGTGTTTTCCAAGGGCGTGGACAGCGCTATAATCACACGGAAATGCTCCTGAACTTGAAGCTTCATGGCAAATGTCCATTCGTGAGATTGGCCAGTGTCGCTTGGTAGAGAGATCCAAAGTCAGTCCTTCACTAGTGGGGCCGTTTCGCTACCTAGCAACTGCCTCCGACGGTACATCGCGTAGAGGATTTGGGGCTGTTCGAATGTAGTTGAATTTCGTTGAAGCCGACCAGAGTGTTCATTTCCTGTCGCCGAACGATGCAGACGTAACGGTTCTGATTGTGAGCGCATTCATGCCTACGGAGTTTAGTAGAGGCTGAAGTTGTAGGTCAAGCCAAGCTATACGCGGGATTGGCAAATGAATAAGCAAGGTTCCATTTCCGTTTTGCATCCAAGATGATGTGAAGAAAGTAATTACTCCAGATTGCAGCGTGAACGAGGGTCGTGCTGCGATTGGGTGAAGTATGACGCCATCAGGGTCCAGGGTCGGCGGGAGCTACCCCGCTGCGAAAGAAATTGTTTATCGCCGATACCTAAGTGCTGACGGCCCCTCAGTGAATGCTACCACACGTCAAGCCTAGACTCACTCCTCTCTTCCTCCCTCGAATCTCCAGTCGTTCCATCTCAATCCCATATCGCAAGATGGCAGGCGTCCCAAACACATTCGACGGTGCGCACCATCCCTTCCCTGTCCTAGAACATGGCTCATCGTCTTAGGACCCGTCCACATCGCCGTTGTAGGCGGAACAGGCATCTCCTCCCTGCCAGGCTTTACTCTCGCTGCGACCCTCGACGTCGACACGCCCTGGGGCAAGCCCTCATCCCCCATCAGCATCCTCCAGCACCCGTCCCCCACCACGGGCAAGCCTATCCCCATCGCCTTCCTCTCGCGCCATGGCCTCTCCCACGAACATGCCCCACACGAAGTGAAGAACCGTGCCAACATCGCCGCGCTACGACACATCGGCGTGCGCACCATCATCGCCTTCTCTGCTGTCGGATCGCTGCAGGAAGAAATCCGTCCTCGCGACTTTGTCGTGCCTGATCAGATCATTGACCGGACTAAGGGCATTAGGCCCTTCACATTCTTTGAGGGAGGCATGGTCGGACATGTCGGGTTTGGTGATCCCTTTGATAAGCGTCTGGCCGAGATTGTCAGGCGGTGTGGACATTCTCTCGAGGGCGAGGGCGTCAGATTACACGACAAGGGACTGCTTATTTGCATGGAGGGCCCACAGTTCAGCACACGCGCCGAATCCAACCTCTACCGCTCATGGGGCGGCAGCGTAATCAACATGTCCGCCCTCCCCGAAGCTAAACTCGCGCGGGAAGCAGAGATTGGATACCAGATGATCTGCATGGCTACCGACTACGACTGCTGGCGGGGCGATGGCGAAGAGGATGTTCATGTGGAGATGGTCATGGCGCATATGAAGGCGAACGCGGAGAATGCGAGGCGCTTTGTGGGCGCTGTGCTCAATGAGTTGACCAAGGAGGAGCATGGGGAGCAAGTTCAGGCCAAGCATTTGGAGGGACAAATGAGGTTTGCAGGCGCTATGACGAAGAAGGAGGCCCGAGGGAAGGAGGCAGAGGAGAAGTTGCAGTGGTTATTCCCGGGGTACTTCGATTGAGTTGCAGCGATACCTGTACACGCTCTGAATGCGGAGACAATGTGCTGACGCATCTTCTAATATAGAGCCATTGTTCAACATAATGACTCCCTTTGCTAGATATGAGACATGCCAACTTCCGTTCCGATAGGTCACCATCTGCTTCCATACATGCAGTAGACACCTCATATGGAAGGTCTGTAGCACGCTGTACAACAATATCACAGTCATAGCATCATAGAAACATATAAGCACCAGCTTTCCGCTATCAACATGCCGCATTGACAGCCGCGGAGGGTTATAAACTCCATGATACATAGAATCACTCTGATGCACCTTCCTATTTCGGATAAGATCCGCAGCGGGCATCTGCCGCAATGCTAACGTCAGCACGACGGCCACACTATGGACATCGCATCCTGGTTGACAATTTGGTAATATTATCCCGATGTGAACGGCTTTCATGAGAGCGGATAGGAGAGACGTGCCAATTCGGCGCTTGCCGGGTACAAAAGAGCATGGAACCCGAGCTTCACACGCGAACGTTACTGTGTAACTGCTAAGATCTACTGAGATGATCTTCGCTCACCTTATCGTAACGTTACGATCGTCATATGCCCTATCCCGTCGCATGCCGCGAACGGGATGCATAAAATGCTAGTATGACATGGGTAACCTGCAGCAGTTGCATGATGGCACGTCTTGGAACTATAGCACAAATGCTAAAAAGAGGGACACCCTCCTCGTGTGTCAAGACCGCCTTTGGTTCAGCATCAGACTTGATCAGCCTATCATCATTGAGATATAGCAGCTGACTATTGATATTATGGTGCCAGCATGGTATCTCGCGAAGGCCTTGGCCGCCTTTGCGCTGGTGACGAGCGTGCATGGACAGTATGGAAAGTCAGCTGACTTGCCTCTGCTACTTGATGCGACCGCAGAGGAGCTAACGGCAGGGCTCGATGCGGGAGATTTCACAAGCGTGGATCTGGTTCACGTAAGTGCTCCGTCTTGACTCGATCAAATGAAATAAAGTAGAGTCACATTGTACAAATTATTGATTAATATGACAACAGGCTTATGTAGGACGCATTCTTCAGGTCAACTCAACCCTTCACATGGTCACTGAGATCAATCCAGATGCATGGAAGATAGCGAAAGAGTTGGACGAGGAACGCGCATGTGGCAAAACCCGAGGGTCCGTCGTCACTAAAGACAACTCACATACCTCAAATACTAATACTCTACAGTCCACTTCATGGCCTTCCCATTCTCATCAAGAACAACATTGCCACCGCAGACCAAATGAACAATACCGCAGGCTCATGGTCCCTCGTTGGTGCCCGTGTGCCTCGGGACGCAACCGTAGCTGCCAAACTTCGCGCAGCAGGCGCCATTCTCCTCGGCAAAGCGAATCTTTCGCAGTGGGCCAACTTCCGCTCTGGAAACTCTTCGAATGGTTGGTCTGCGTATGGTGGCCAGACATACGGCGCGTACTACCCCGGCCAAGATCCGAGTGGAAGCAGCAGCGGCAGTGGTGTTTCTGCGAGTCTCGGGTTGGCATTTGGCACGTTGGGCACAGAGACCGATGGAAGTATACTCTCGCCGAGTCAGCTGAACAATATCGTGGGTCTCAAACCTACTGTAGGTCTTACGAGCAGGAGCCTCGTCATCCCCATTTCGGAGCATCAGGATAGCGTTGGACCGATGGCGCGTACAGTCAAAGATGTTGCATACATTCTCCAAGCCATTGTGGGACCAGATCGATACGATAACTACACTAGCGCCATTCCATGGGCTTCAAAGGCATCGAATAATTCGATCCCGGACTATGTAGCCGCCTGCACTCTCGATGCTCTTAGAGGCAAACGTATCGGCGTGCCGCGCAACGCTATAGGCTCTCGCACCAACGCCTCGGCACCCATATTTGATGCCTTCGAAGCTGCACTTGGTGTTCTCCGTGAAGCCGGCGCGACTGTCGTTGAAAATACAAATTACACCGCGTACACAGAGTACTTGAATTCCACTGCCGAAGGCACAGTCTTAGATGGGGATTTCAAGCCCAATCTAGCCGCTTATCTGTCTCAGCTCACCTTCAACCCGCAAGGTGTGAAGACGTTGAAGGATGTGCGGAACTTTACACGAACATTCCCGCTGGAGGAATATCCGAGCAGAGACACGGCATCATTTGATGAAGCACTCTCTCTCAACTTCAGTAACACCGATTATGAGTTCTGGGCCGCCTATCAAAAAGACCTATACCTGGGCGGGGAAGGCGGTCTCCTGGGCGCCTTGTCTAGACATGACCTTGACGCTGTTGTCCTACCTTCACGCAGCGCATCCGGCATCTCGGCTATCATAGGTGCGCCTGTTATTTCCGTACCGCTAGGTGCATTGCCACCAAACACGACAGTGGTAAAGAATGAAAGAGGGACACTGAATGCAACGGCGCCGAACATTCCTTTCGGTCTGGCGTTTGCCGGAGCACACTGGTCAGAGGCAAATCTTATTGGCTTTGCGTACGCATTTGAACAGCGGACAAACGTGCGGAGGAAGGTAAAGCCGTATATTGAGCCGAGCATTGAGTTGGTGGATGTTGTTGGGGCGTAAGAAACCTGATCAAGTTCAGTCTCAATAGAGACGTTCTCTCGCAAACAACGAATCAAGATCTATGCGATACAGTGTTCGGACGAGAAACGGGTGACGGGGGCAACGAGTAGCAGCGACCACAGCAATAGAAATATGAGTAGTCTGCCAATATGGCATGGTATCCGCCGACCGACAATTCAATCGCCGAGCTCTCTTGGAATAGGACAAGCTTTTTTTCCGCGTATACTAATCGCTGGCATACCCGGAAAATCAGATTGCGGGGTCCCGTCTTGGAAACCTCCGTATAGATTGAGCCTGCCTTGCACATACATTCACGCTAACCCTGGCAGGCATACCATGCAAGTGTAGCCTACTTCATTCGACCACACCTAAATGCACCGAACATCGTGACCTTCCACATTCTGACCATCTTCGATACCGAAAACCTGATGCTAGAGCCATGTGGCGACCAGGTTTCATAGAAAACGTTTTTGTGATAGAAGTTTGTCGCTCATTGGAGGAGCAGAGTTGGAAGGGGAAGCATCCATGTTCCACCAATGACGAGCATTTCTCTACTACGCTCACCCCATTCAATCAAAGAACACACGATAAAGTTGATGAGTTCTAGGAGTTGTAGCAGGTATAAAGCCGTGCTCGAACGCCATTCGTACTCTCTCTTGCATCATCAGCATCAGAATCACTCTCCTTCCCCAATTCCACCCTCATCCTCTTCACCATGCGTTACACTCTTGCAACCCTCGCCGTGCTTGCGGCCACAGCCCTCGCAGCCCCAACGGCAACAGCATTCCCCTCCGCGGCCAGCAATTCCGCCATCCCAACTGCTCGCGTCATATCAGGAGTCTTCGATGGCAAGATGGTGCGCTTCTCGCGCAATCCTGATGTCTGTAAGGGACAAAAGGAGACTGGCGAGGAGGACGCCATGTTCATCGCCGAAGACGGTGCGACCATTAAGAACGTGATTATAAGCAAGGCGCAAGCTGAGGGTATTCATTGCCGTGGTGCTTGCACGCTTCAAAATGGTACGTTGTTGTCAATACTCTACACTCCTCTGCACGCAAATCTCTGCCTGCAATCCTTTAACACACCATACGATTCTTATTGGAATTGCTTTTTATATTCTATACTAACTTCAATCCCACTAGTCTGGTGGGAAGACGTCTGCGAAGACGCAGCAACCTTCAAACAGCCCGCAGGCAAAACCTCCTACGTAATCGGCGGCGGCGCAAAGGGCGCATCGGATAAAATCTTCCAATTCAACGGCCGCGGCACTGTCAGTATCAAAGACTTCTTCGCAGATACCTACGGAAAGATTATTCGAAGCTGCGGTGACTGCAAGGGTAACGGTGGACCCCGCAATATTATCATCGATGGCGTAACGGCAACGAACGGAGGCGTGCTTTGTGGGATCAACTCGAACTATGGCGGTACGTATCTTTTCCCCAAGGGTTTTTGTTTTTCGTGGATATCAAGACTAATATGTTCTAGATACGTGCAAGATTTCAAATTCGTGCCAGAATAAAAATAAGAACTGCGATCGATACACAGGTGTTGAAAAGGGTAATGGAGAGAGTAAGAAGCTTGGGAGTGGGCCTGATGGGAAGTCTTGTACTGTCACTGGGTTTACGTCGGCGTGCTGAGCCGGAATCTTTCCTTTGGGTGAGGAGAAGTGACTGAATTCATGGCGGCGGATTGAAAGGGCGAATTTCAGGAGCTGAGGAGGTAGAGAAAGGAGATAGCTTCGTGTATATACTTCTAGTTGTCACTCGCTCTGAATGAACTTGTAAATACATGGTTTTGTCGCATCTCGCGTGGAGTGGTTTTTGCAGCGTCGTTTATACACCACTACGTCGACTGATAATCTTGGTCATCTATCCCAGTGGGTAACTTATATTGCTATAAATCAATATTGAGGTTGAAGTTTCGTAGTGTGATGCACGGGCTGCGATCTTCACGCTGCTTTCTGACATCTTTCCCTCTTTCGGCTAGCGATCATTCTGTCACCAATCAAGGTGACTTTGTAACGATGGCGTGCGCCGTGCCGTCCCGCTTTGAATCTGACAAGCGTGTGCGATCCTATCGCGCGCATCTAAGTTACCAATGGGTTGAACTATGAAAGTAAGCTAATGACCGTCTCGAACAATAATCTCTTGCTCGAGAGTGATACGGTCCATCTCTGAATCTCACATCACAGCATTGTCCACTGGACCTCTCCATTATCACCTTTTAGACCGTCTTGTTGCTCTAACTCTAGAATAAGTCTATGTATAGTTCAAATGAATGCGGTGGGTTCCAGGCCAGCGATTCACCCGGCGTGAGTACTTTCGCTTAGACCTCGTATTCAAAGCTCTTCTGTGACATCGCAACTGCCCTCCTTGTCGCCTCATCTAGATCCTCCTTTGGCAATCCCAGCTTCTCGTTGTCCAAAACATGGCCTGTCTGATAGTCGCCCTCGCCGCTTGCAAAGAAACCGCGCGCATACATAGCCTTTACGAAGCCCAACCCATTGCCACTCCCCAGCTCCTCCAGGCCCTTCCTGTGTCGCTCCTCCACGGGCTCATAACTGATCTTCCAGTCGGCATCCGTGGTACCAAGCACGCGATTGAGCGAGTCCAACATATCGCGCTGGGAGACAAGGAACGAAGCGATATACAAGCCGTTGTTCAAATAATCCTGTATCGCCGCATTTCCACCCTCCTTTGTCAGAGGAAGGCTAAGGAGCGCGGCAACAGCTCGTCCGCATTGGTCCCACGTGCTCGTGTTAATCTTCCTCGTTCCATCATCATAGAAAGTCACCGTCCGCTTCTTAAGATCGAAGCCGTACCACTGCTCTCCCAGCGAAAGGCTGAATTCGTACCAGAAACCGCATACAAGGGCAATGTAGTCTACGCCTTCGACGTCTTCCACCTCCTTGAGGATTTTGCTAAAGGAGCCCATGATTGGGCAGCTAGCTAGATTGCCGGCGCGCTCGCGGATACCGAATCCGAAGTAATTCGGCAAGACGGTGGGGACGCCTGCCTTTTTGGCAGCATTGATGATCTCAGAGTGCAGCGTGCGAGGGGCTTGGGAGTTAAGGGTGATCGCCAGGAAATCGTTGCCGCGCAGCGCCTCAACGATACTCTGCTCGGAAGAGTAGTCGACCTTGGCGATTTTGAGGTTGGGGTTGGTGGGGAAGGTTGCTTTGCTCTGGGTACGGGTCAAAACGGTCACGTTGTGCTTGCCGGTTGCCAGGAGATGTTTGAGAATGTGGGAGCCGAGGCTGCCGGTACCCTGCAGGATGTTAGGAAAAAAAATCGCGAGTGTAGATAGATAGAGGGAAGCATACCCCGATCAATGCGACATTTCGAATATAGGACGACATGGTAGTAGCGCGAGATAAATAGTAAAGTGGAAAGTTTGTGAATTTGGAGATGTTGGGGAAACTTGAGGCTGAGAGCTGTTGCGCTTTATAGCTCCGTCATGTTTTACATTTTAAATAGTGGAACAACCAGTCTCATCCGGCTTGGTCCGTCCGTCTCCTTGGCCTTTTGAAACAAGGACGTTAGTTCCATCTGTCGCATTCCACGCTAACCTCGAGCCGTATTGTTGTAGCCCTGCCAAGGAGTGGTGCCGCCGAATATTGTTCTAACTAAACCCGGCGAGCCCCACGTTATGCCGAGGTCTTTAAGAGTCTAGGTGCTGGTATGATGATTGCCTAGAAAGCGTACATAACAGAATATAAGAGAAGTAAAATTCACCTGTGCAATGCAAAATAGATGAAAAGAATAAGTTGCAAAGCTCAGAGAGCTCTCTGCAAATCAAAATAGATGCCATTCATGCAATGAGTAGATGTTGCTTCTTTCTGCAAGATCTAAAAATGTAACGAGGCGCACAATAACGCCGACATCTTCCTTGGGCGGTCACTTGGCCACCGCAGTAAGGCCGCAGACTTCGACCACCGGACGAATGCTGGCCAGCAACATGCTTGAGAAATCAAGTTGTATTCGGAAATAACACATCTTATATACTATCTGCACCCTCATAGTTTCTAAGCCCTTCATTTCTGGACCAACCGTGCGCGAAGGTCCATTTGGGCATCAGCAGCTACCAGTAGCTTCCCATGCATAAAGCAGTGCTCTCGTCGTGCACCTCGTTCTCTGTACCGTCCTCGAAGTCAAAGCGGGTGCCTTCGAGGAACCAATCGCCCCCTATAGCAAAGTTAGCAATGCTTCCGGTGTCGTGGAGATAAGTAGGACACTTACGTATGTTGCCATATGAATCGCGAGATCGATCCCAGAACCAGCGATCTTTGAACTGACAAATGCAAGACTTGCGACAGATACAGTCATGTGGCCTATCAACTCTGTTAGGAATAATGATACACAAGAGGTAATATACTAGTCAACTTACAGGTTCTCGTTTGGCGTGTTCAAGATGGCTTTGAGCGTGGCTCCATTGTCATGCCCATGAGGCTGATTGATCCGCTCTTTAGCCAAGATATCGTGCCAGTAATCCTTTTGGGGCTTTCGAACGAAGCCGGTTATCTTGATATCCTTGATGTGTTTGATGTGTTCGAAAGCTAGTGTCAAGATATGATCAACCATAATCGTCTGGCAAGTCGTGCGCTCGAAAGTCTCGCCCCAAGGATCGCCAATGTACCCGTCTTCAGGATCGCGAAAGCGAATCTCGAGATGAGTTCGCTCGTTGAGACGTGTAAGATGGTGGCCGAGGGATATCGACTCGGTCAGATGGATGATCGGCTTGACCTCAATACCAAAAAACTCGAACCATGCCTTGCTCGTGAAGCTGAGTTCTATATGTCCCAGGATGTTGAAGCGAGTTGCTACACCAATCTTTGATTCAGCAACAGAACTGAAGGCTGGATAATCGACAAAGCAGCGCTTGAGACCCTCCCAGCCAGCCTTTAGGGCTTCATCCTTTACCTTTTTGTTGATGTATAGCAGGCTGAGGTTTGGTGGAGGAGTCTCCTGGTATACTTCCACGCGCTGTGAGCTCGTATTGTTGTAACCAATTCCCAGTGTGATGTGTTCATCCTGCGGCTTCACCTTCGACACGTCGGCAGGCCAGTCGTTCTTGGATGCCTTACTGCGTGGATACACCTTACCAGCAGGTGCAATGGCAAACTCGAAGATCATGAGTCGAATCTCAACCGGCAAATCCATCAATCGGAACGGCTGCTTGCTACGCTTGCGGAAGAAGTATGTTACAGATGTTGTGCCTCGCCTACGAAGAAGGTCTGTGTCCGCAAATCGCAGTAGCCAGTCCTTAATGGGAACCCACACGCCCTTCACGCGCACATGAATCTTGTCCACCGTTATTTGACCTTCGCGCGGAATGATCGAGACCGGAACGGTTGCTGGGAACTCATCATCGTCCCGAAAGAAAGTGTAAAACTTAACGTCATTGTTGTTCTTCGAGTCCGGTGGCCAGATCGGAGGTGCGGTAGTGGAAGGAGTAATTTGGATGTGGTTGTTGCACATTAGGACCCCGTGGTCTGGATGTTGATTGAGTTGCTCAATAGCTTGGCGAACAAGACGAATGACCGCGTCCTTCTGGGAGCGCGCCGGTTGGAATTTGTAGATGTATTCGTAGCGGTCTTTGAGGTAGGTATAATTAGGAGGTTGCAGACTCAGAGAGAACTGACGAGCATGACTGTCTTGAGACCAGGACATGCGACCAAGTCGGTCCACGAGTTTCTCGCGCTTTTCGCGACGGTGCGACATGATGGGCTATTATGGTATGTCGCGTGAAAAATAAGGGAGAAGTTGAGTCGGTTAGGGTGACAATTAGTAGGAGATCGTTCTGATGAGAGGATATATAGAGAGTGGAGCTTGAGCGGGAGGGTGCGAAACATGGTCTAAGCGAGCAGTGATCGAGTTAATTCTTTCACTCGAGTGATCTCTGTGCCAGAGATGAAATGACGTATACGTGAAGGCTATTTGAAGTTGATCTCCTCCGGCCCCGTTGAGTGAAAGAACGATCGTAATATAGACGACACTGACGCGCCCTTGCAAACGGATGGACAGTTTGCTCAATCAATCAGAGGTAGAGTCTGAACAATTATGCATTACTATTACCACTACAATACACAATTGACTCACAATGCCGGTTATCTTTCCTCGCCGAGAACGCTGCTCAGTGCTCGTGACTGTGGCCGCGCTTGCTCAAATTCCTCTTTCCAACCCACCCAGCTGGGGCCTTCCTCAGCTTCTCCGTCACCTTCTTGATGTTGACCTTCAGCACCCTCTCAATGTACGCTGGCAGTTGCGTGTTGTCCCAGTTACCAGCCATATTCAGCTTCAGGTCGTCTCCACGCCAGCCATTTCCGTACCCGTAAAGTGTAATATCGGCCGCGGTGTGACCACCAGTAGACCAGTTGATACCGGCCTTCTTGCTGAGGCGAGTGGAAAGGTCAGAAGCGAGCTTGTCGTTCTTCAAGATCGTATCGACCTCTGCATCGGGGAGATCGCCGAGTCCATAACCAGGAAGAATAGTATTCTTGAGATATGCGCGGCGGTCAGTGCCGTTGTATGCTTTCCAAAGGCGCCCAGCATGCTCCGTGGTCATGGTTGCGGCCTTGAGAGGAAGCGGGTTAAAGCCGTTGAGAGTCAAGCCACCGGTCTCGTGGTCCGCAGCTGACATCATGACAGTGTCGGGGTGCTTGTCGATCCACTTTCGCACGAACTTCATCACGTCGTTGTACATGATTACATCGTGCAGATGGCCTACTGGATCATTTGCATGGCCGGCGTGGTCAATCCGGGATGCTTCGATCATAAGGAAGTAGCCACGGGACGACTTCTTCGTGGCACGGTCGAGCGAGGTGACCGCTGTGTCGACCATTTCGAGCAGGGAGGGCTCTTTGTTAGGTTGCTGTTTACGGTCGATCTCGTACATCATCTGGCCTAGACGCCCATTAGTGTAATCTTATTGCGACCGAGCGATCAACATACCATCGTTGAACAGACCAATGTAGGGCAATTCCGCAGCCTTTCCATGCCCCTTCTTCAATTCATCAAACGCCTTACGGTCCTGCATAACCCTGAAGCCCCTTTCTTTCGCAAAGCCGAACAGATCAATGTCATCTTTGCGGCAAGATGTGGGATCAGACTTGGGTTTGAAGTAGCAGCGTCCACCGCCCAAGAGAATGTCAACTTGAGGGCCGAGAGGATGCGAGTACCCAATCTCGTGCTCGGCAATCTTTTCGTATGAATCCCTATCAGCCACATGGGCAGCATAGCAAGCAGGCGTGGCATGGTTGATAGTCGATGTCACAACGAGACCGGTCTTGAAACCGTCTGCTTTCGCCGCTTCTAAGATCGAAGCAACTGGTTTCCCGTCGACGTCGACAGCGATAGCTATAATATGTGAGTTTGGATCGCCTGCACCTACCCAGTGCTTTGCTACATACCGTCGTTGTACGTCTTCACGCCACAGCCGAATGCTGTTGCACTCGCTGCTGAGTCGGTAATCAAGTTGTCGCTCGCTAGCGTTCTTACATTTCCAATAACCATTTCATCAGCTGGTAGCTGGATTGAGACGGGTGCTTTTGGATTTTCGCCGTTCTGCAGCAGCGAGACGTAGTCCCGTGCCAAAGACTGCGAGGCAATGCCAAACCCATCAGGCACAATGTAGATGAAGTTGCGAGCTTCAGGAAGAAACCCTAGCGCGAAGCTACCCTGGGCGAGGAGGGTACCTGCGATGGTTAAGGAGAGAGCGTAGCGCATCTTGAGACGAATGGTTTCCTCGGGTTGCAAATGAGTGCGGTGGTTGTGACCTGCTGAAGCCTGTCTATTTGAAACAAGACAACGCCTCCCTTATATGCAAATTAGACCTGAAAACATTCTGCGATCGCACGTTGCCCGGCACGCCCAGCCGAGTACCAAGTGTTACCAATGAACGTACATTCAGAGAACTCGCATACCCGAGATTGCGGTAATCGAACGTGCTTGCAGAACCCCTCCTCTGTGGCCTCGGAATCCTACGAGTTTGAGCTGTCCACTATAGTGTCCTACGACTTTCCCTTTATGTACGCATAGTGTTGAAGTCAAGGGACCGTTGCTGCTTGGCTTGCTTGGCTCTCCCTTGGTAGACTCGACAGCGTATGAGCGTGGACGCTAACGCGCACGTGGGTGTCCATAATCTGCAACCCTTGTAATTGCAGAACACCATTCATGAGTTCAAAAGAGGAGACTAGGTTGAATTAAATCCAGATCGCGTTCTTTTACTGTCTTATTGGGTAGCCAGGAGAGAATTTACGAGTGTGATCACTGTTTTCCGAACCTCATATATCGCTCCCTCTGTGCCGCCCGCTTGAGTCGTCGGAGGGTTCTGCAGAGTGGTTATTATAAACAACGTAGACTTGAACTATTCAGGTCTGAAGGCTCGTATCTTTCTGAGTCGAGTGACAAATAGACGTCGTCTTCAATGAATTTCTCAAGAGCGTCTTAGCTGTCAAAATGGAATCCAATGAATCTCCTAATACGCGACACTGGCAGAGTGTAGCTGACTCTGCTGCTTAGGAAGAAAGAGCCAGGATCGATATAGAAGAAGCGCAAGCAGTTGCACCTGGTGTGACCCTATATCTCGTGGAGCCTGTCCAACGCACTGCTCCGTAGGTGTACTGAAGCGTCATGTCGCTGAAGAAAGAAGACACCAGTGACAGTATGAGCACATATCGATTGAGAAGCAAGCTTCTGAACTGAAAAGGAGGTCTACTGGTCGTAGGATGGTGTTGATGTACTGTGGTGGCTGATTGACGGCTAAGAATTCTAGTTGATTGGTAGATCGACTTTCGAGATTGCTGTTCGGGCGGGGATTTTCTTATTTTTCTCGGAGTGTTGGGATACTGTGTGAATACTGTGCCCTGATTAGATGATAGAGAACAACGCAATAGGATGGCCCTTAGTGATGCCAACTCTTCAACGGAGGAGTCGATGGTTAGCACAAAGATAGCGTTTAGGTGCAATGGATGTTAGAACGAGGACGTAAGTTTTTTTGCGCTGCTTCGTTATTCGCACTGGAGTCTGTGTCATGACGAACCCTATGAAACGGTGTTATTAGGAGCCTATGATAATAGATACTGTAAGATAGAGCTTCGAAGTTGGCGTCAGGGTAGACGAAACGGTGCAGTCATGACGCAATTCCAAATTGAGTCCAAGCTCCCAGCGACCGAAGCTCTCCGCCACCCCATCAGCCTCATCTCGAGACAGCCGCAGCACTTATCCATTCCAAATTCCATACCTACCAATACACATATAATCTCACTCTATGCGATTTCCTTCCTTTCCAACTTTCATCCGGGCGTTCCACACGATAACAAACACTACAAGCGCCTTCGTTCGATCAAGCCCCGCGAGTAGCCTCGGCCGCACCATCCACTCTACTCCACAGCGCGCAGTCCTCTATCGATCTATGCAAAACATTCCTTTCTTGGGCGCGCTTTTTGGATCATCGAGCAGCATGGCGGATAACACGAGCTACCCTGTTTCGAAGCCGGAGGGCGAGTGGCAAACACAGTTGTCGCCTGGTACGTCTTCACCCTATAGCATGTTTCATGTACGTCGCATATACTAACACCCAGCAGAACAGTTCCGCGTCCTCCGTAAAAAGGGCACCGAGATGCCCGGCTCCGGCGAATACGACAAGCACTATCCCACCGCGGGAGTCTACACCTGCACTGGCTGCTCTGCGCCCCTCTACAAAGCAAACCACAAGTTCGACTCTAAATGCGGCTGGCCCGCATTCTGGGACGCCGTTCCTGGGGCTGTTGGCCAGCGGCGCGACCCAGGCCTGGGCATGGTACGGACAGAGATTGTGTGTAACAACTGCGGGGGGCATTTGGGCCATATTTTCAAGGGCGAGGGGTTCAAGAACCCGAAAGATGAGAGACATTGTGTGAATAGTGTTAGTATCAACTTCAATCCCGAGGACAACAAGTAAGGAGGACGGCGCAATTACAATCTACAGGGGCAGACAATGGAAGAAGATGCCATGGACTGATGAAAGGACAGGGGAGAAAGCAACGCGAGCGGTTGTACCAATATGTGTGTTAGTGACGATGAAACGAGAGATGACCTGAAGCATTACCACATTCATTCTACTATTCAATGGTTTTTGGCATGATTGAGTTGCCCACCTTTTCCTCAGCCGTACTTGCTAGAGAAGATGGCAAGATAACTAGCCACCGTCTATCCCTTATTCAAACCACGCTTCAACCATCTTCCATGCACATCTACCCACTGATTTATCACGCAGCTTCAATGGGATCTTGGAAATCGATTTCGGACTATTATGTCCCGGCAGCACGCGCATCATTTATCATTGTTTTACGCCCTTTACCCCACCGGTCGGTGGCGGGCTTTCTGGCGCCGACATCGCTGGCAACGAAGCGAACGGTCAACACCAATGACAAGGATTTGCTCAGACGCCAGCGCCGACTCTAGCTTCAGTCCGATAACCCGGAATAATGTCATGGACGAGTTGCGGGGGTAGCCTCCCTTCTTCTTATCTCAATTTTGGAGCAGTTTCTTGGTGCCCTTTATATTTAGGTAACTTCGATAGCTGATGACCTCGAGCTATATGAACCATGGGCCGCGCAAGCCTAGGGCAATGTCAGGGGAACGTGGGATAATTCCAGAATCTAGGAATGACTCGAGAAGCACCAGGCGCTCGACATATACCCCAGAAAACTTACATATAGTAGGTCAAGAGGGCGACCAAACACAGCTAGGAACGGAAATGAACGACAGCGACGATGAAGAATTCGACACACGGGCAGAGCATCACCGACGATCACGCGACTTTCTGATAGACACCAATGTTCAAGCAGGGACTGCGATTCCGAGTGCCGATGTTTCAGAGCGGACGGAAGCCACCAAAGGCAAGCTTGTGGCATGGCGCTCCTTACCTCGAAAAGACCAACTGCTCGTTCTGACGCTCGCACGACTATCTGAGCCATTAACACAAACCTCACTGGGCTCATACCTATTCTACCAACTACAGTCCTTTGATCCGTCGCTACCCGATTCAACCATTTCCTACCAAGCGGGCATCATCCAAGCTTCCTTTCCGGCAGCGCAGTTTCTTACTGCAATACTCTGGGGCCGCTTTGCAGATTCCGAGCATGGCGGGAGGAAGAAGGTCATTTACATTGGCTTGTTAGGAACTATGTGTAGTGTTATCGGGTTCGGTTTCTCGCATAGCTTCGCCATGGCAGTGGCCTTCAGAAGCCTGGGCGGGATCTTGAACGGCAATATTGGCGTAATGCGGACGATGATTAGCGAGATCGTCAAAGAGAAGAAATACCAAAGCAGAGCTTTTATCATCCTGCCAATGACGTTCAACATCGGTGTCATCATTGGGCCCATACTAGGTAAGAGAGTGATACATTCAGCACAAAGATCTTTGCGTTAACGAAAGCAGGTGGTCTTCTTGCAAACCCCGTAGCGAGCTATCCATCCGTATTTGGCCCTGGCTCGCGCTTGGGTGGCAAGGAAGGCGTTCAATGGATGATTCACTGGCCCTATGCACTGCCAAACCTGATGAGTGCTGGTTTTCTGTTTTTCAGCAGCATGACTATTCTCTTGTTTCTCGAGGAGACGAGTGAACTTTGCAAACATAAGCCCGATTCCGGCCTTCGTATCGGTCGCTGGATCCGCCGCCATATTCTGCGCCAGAACATTGCCACTGAGTCAGGATACGCTGCTGTCCCCAGCGATGAATGGGCAGCCTCATCAGACCTCGAACTGCAGCCGACACCAATATCCGCGAATCCAGAAAACTCATCTCCGTCTGATAAACCCGGTAAAAGCTTTCGCCAAAAGCTTCCCTTCCGCCGAATATGGACGCGCAACCTCATCATCACTCTCTGCGCGCATGGTATCCTGGCAATGCAAGCAGGTGGCTTTAACAGTCTGTGGTTCATCTACCTCTCCACACCGCGCTTCGATCCGTTGAACCCGCATCCTCCGGGCTTCAAGCCCCACGGCTTTTTCCATTTCACAGGCGGTCTTGCCCTACCGCCGCCGCGTATCGGTCTCGCCCTCGCAATCCTAGGGGTCATTGGTATATCGCTGCAAATCCTCCTGTACCCCAAACTATCGCACAAGCTCGGGGCAGCGAAGAGCTACCGCATTTTTCTAGCGCTATTTCCCGTTACATATGCCCTGGCACCGTTTTTAAGTCGAGTGCCGAGCTGGAGCAAAGCGCCTGACGGTGTTAGCGGCCCTTACATATGGATTGCTATTACGGCTGTGTTGTCTATTCAGGTCCTTGCGAGGACATTTGCGCTACCTTCTGCTGCTATCCTAATCAACAATGTTAGTCCGCATCCATCGGTGCTTGGGACGGTTCATGGGATTGCGCAAACTGTGGGAAGCTTGACGAGGACTTTCGGGCCGATCATGTTCTCTTGGGTGTTTGGTAGAGGACTAGAAATGGGTGTTGTAGGGCTTGCGTGGTGGCTGATGGCAGCTGTTGCCATCTTCGGGTGTGTTATCGCGCAATACGTGAGGGAAGGAGATGGGCACGAGATTCTGATGGAAGGAGAAGTCAAGGGAGAAGATGGAGTTGTCAGGAGGTAAAAGTAGATGGTTCACCTTGCCATTAGGATGGAGACGATCAAGGCCGTGTATCATGAGAGCAATTGATTGTAATTGTTCATACGATATTCCTGTCCCCCCACGGCAATATCATTTTTGCGGCTCGTCTGCGAGCACGCTGTTAAAACATTCAATAAGAAAAGAACATGCAAGAACCTATGAGGTGGCATCTCGTCTGCGAGTGCCGATCGCAAAAAATCAAAATTAACCACAAGTAATCCCGTTGTCTCTTGTCGCTGGGTTTGGGTGTACCCTGTTGGTCTTCAAAGACCCTTTGCCTTGTTGGCAGATATATGATAGGTGCGTGAAAGTCTTTGCAGTCACGTCTTGTACCGATATCCTCGGTGGTGGAATAGGTCGAGGGCCTCTAGGCTGGTATATGAGGTACTCCACGATCCCTCAGCCCGCAGAACTTGCTCCAGGCTGCGCCTTCCTCGCGCGCAGCGGCCTCGCCTGACGCGGTCCTGGCGAAGTGAATGTCCTGTACACCTCGAAGAGCGCACTCTGCAACTTCTGCGCCTCGTTACCCGGAGCCATGGTCTGAACTTTGAGGTATTTCCACAGCGTAGACATGCCCCCGGTTACTCCGCGGTTCCACCACTCATCGACCTGTGCTTCCACCTCCTTGTGCTTGAACCACGGCTTGTCCTTGTTGGCGAGGATGTACTGGCATGAGTGGAGGAGAAGGGCTGTGTGCTGAGGGGCAATGGTGTCGATATTTGCCAGCCGGTCCTTGAGGATGACGGCCTCGTCGGAAAGTTGTTTGGTGTAGGTGGCGTCATTCAGAGTGGCGCCGAGCTGAGCGAGGCTGGTGATCGAAGTGGGATTGATCTTGCCAGTGGCATGATCAGCTTGCGTTTTAGCATGATTTGCTGGTGCCTGTGCCGCTGCAGGTGTCGGTACCGCTGCGGGTGCGGGTGCTGGCGCTGGCGCTACTGCAGGTGCAGGTGCAGGTGCAGGTACCGCTGAGGGCGCTGCTCCCGCTGCGAGTGCTAGTATCGCTGCGATTGCAGGTGCCGCTGCAAGTGCTGGTTTCGCTACGGGTGTTGGTACCACTGGAGGTGTTGGTACTGGCGCTGGTGTCGGTGCTACTGCAGGCGCCGATACAGTTACTGGTGCTTCTGCTCGTGCAGTGGTAGTTGGCTGCGCGGCATTGTTGCTGGGCGCTGGTGCTGCTTGCATAGGCTTGAAGCCAGCAACTGGGCCGAGGACGGGGACAGCAGTTTTAGTAAGGCCTGTCGTAGTCAGTAAAGTTCAAACATAAGTACAGTCGACGGCTTGTTGAAGTATGTGGGGAGTCTGCCAAGTGATATGGCTGACATGTTTGATGATTGATACAGCAGGCTGGAGATGTTTGACTTACCGGTGGACGAACTCTGTAAGCCTGGCGCAAAGTTCGTCAAGCTCGCAGTGCTGGCGACCGGAGACGCTATGATGCCGGTCATATTGCCGTTGAATCCTTGCGGGGCGGACCAAGAGCTTTCCGACAAGGAGGTATTGGTGCTGGAGCTCAATGCCCCGAGAGACGAACCAAAGCCTGATGCCTGGGTTGAGGAGGACTGGCTGAAAGAGGAGGTAAACTCCACAGGGCCGCAGGTCGTATAGTCGCTTTCGTCCATAGGGTCACCGTTCTCCGCAATGAGATCAGCATATGTCTGCGACATCTTGTGCAGTATGCTACCCTTGGCTGGCCGGCGCGTCTCTTTCAATGGGAATCGGATAGACTCCGCGAACTCTTCGAGGTTATCGAGGAGCGTGTACCATTCATCGGGGAGGTCGCCGCGCTCTGCTCTCTCGTAGAGGTACGTATGTACCCATTCAAAGGCGCTCCAGTCCCAGCCGAGGTCGAGACGAAGGCGTTTGGGAACGCCCGGGATGTCGCACTTGGCTTGGATATGTTTTATACCCGGGATTGCGGCGTTCAGCTGTTGTATGAGGTGCGCTGCAATCTGCTGAAACTGGGAGGAGTCGTATTGCGACCCCTTGAGGCTTGCAAGAGTGGTGTTGATCTAAGAGTGAATCAGTGGTGTTGTGCTGGTCAGAATACTGAAGCTATATACCTGACCACTCATTGAGCATAGAGAATCATGAACCTCCTGGTTGCGCTGGTTGATGCAGCGGCTCAGTGCTCCATTGCGCTTCAGGGCTTCTCTGGCCTGTCTCCAGCTTGTTCCAGGTCCATATCGCGGAGAGGGCGCTGACTGACGAGGCACTATGACGCGCCTGTCCATATCAACGTCCATGTCGGGGTGTTTCTGGATGTGGCGTCGCTGGTACGCATCTCTCTGACGACGATCATTGCGGATATGCAACATATCTCTTTTTAGCTTCGCACTTTGTAATTGCCGATTTGTGTACTCGATGACGGTCCTTCGCGAGAACGTGGTATTCTCCTGCAAAGCGCGCTGAAGCGATTGCGGGAAGCGGCTGGTGGATGCCATGGTATTTGTTGTTGCAAATAAGAAGTTAAAAGATAGTAGAAGGCGAACTGGGTCACTTTATTCCTTGTGTTGAAGCTTTCGTTGAGAGGGTAAAAAGTGGTGTTGGAGGAGGGAGGTGGAGTCAGATTGTAAGTCAAGAAATACGTGTCGGGCGGCGCAATCTCAGTGGCAGCCAAGACGTGCTACCGTACGCGAGCTCGTGATGAGTCAATTACGTTGACGTTGTTGGCATGAATGGGGTGAAAGTAGGTTTTGAGGCGCGAGAAGGCGAGAGTGAAACGGGGCTTGAGCGTTTATTGGGAGTGGAACGCGAGAACAACGAAACACGAGTGACCAAACGCCAAAGACAGCCCGGTAGAGGAGAGATAACAGTAGATATATCTGGTTTTATGGATATTCTTATAGCTTCAGGGAGCTTTGTGAACAAGAGGAGTACACATGGCAACCCTTTGGGGCCAAACGTATACCCCAATTGAACCTCCATATGACCATTCAAAGGATTAATATCCCTGTTGGCAGTGCTAGAGTGAATGGGAAAAGCAATCCTCAAGATTTGAGGGCAATAAGGGTGCCATGTTGTAGATTGGTGTTGAGGTATAATAGTTTCATGTTCCGTGGTGAACGCAAGGTCAAAGGACAATCGCACCGAGTCAAAGGGTGTACTAGACCACAAAACTCATTGAACTAATGCTAGAAATACAGATGAAGTCATAATTTGGGGGAGGTTCAACTAAATTTGTCGATATCACCGATTCCGGTTGTGAGAGTGTTAACACTTCCTTCGCTGTGCCCTTGATTAAGCCTACCGTAAATGTAGAAGTTCTGACCCGGTGACTTTTGGTATCTCGAGAATGACATATATATAATGTAAGTAGAGGTTTGCTGGTAAAGACTGTAGCAAAGCGTTAGCGTAATTCGTCGATGTGATGTGCGGGTTTGATGTCGCAAACTGCTCCTTCCGACGTCGCCGCTCTGGTTTGCTCTCACCACTCTGCGCCTCAGATCAATAACGCCAACCCCACCTACGCAACTCCTATTCGATAGAAATTATCGCACAAGTCATGCTCATCCAGTCGAGGATAGATCGTGCGACATATCTTACTGTATCCTCACCAGCTGCTAAGACAACAGCAAATGGCTATGTTCGCGTCGTACCCTCATTGAATGTAGCTCACGATAATCTTGCGAGAGAGGATACCTCAAGCAAGTTTCCAACCGCTGCATTGCCAGCTTTTTCCGCCACCTTCCATAGCACCGGTATTCAAACACAGCCCCTCTGCGACGGCGACCAGTTCATCGAAATCTTTGGGTACGACCCCACGCGCGATGACCTCAAGCGCAGAATTGGCACAGCTGCGATCGGCCGCTACAAGACCGAGGGCGAAGTCAAGCCGCACGAACTGGTCTACGGTGCGGCATTCTCGGTCGCGCATGTACCTCGACAAAAAGCACTATACGTAAACGCGGGCTTTCAGACTACAGATTTTGCCGAGTCCAACAAAGCGCTAGCCAGAGCAAAGGTTAAAGCATCAATGGTAGCTAAGAAGTACCGGCGAGTTGCCGAAGCGGCGGGATACAGGGTGTGGGCAGAGTCGAAAGATGAGAGGGTGATACATTCTGAACAATACGCCGTCAAGATCGAGCTTGATGCAGAGGGTAACGCATTCGATGCGGATATAACGGGGCACCTTTTACCGAACATCTACGGCGTAGAGATCGAATCAGCCCTCGACTGTTCCGGCTCAATCCATAATCCAACACATACAAATACGCACAAGGTGTTCTCGCAGCGTGACACTGCTATCGACCTGGAGATACTGCGCCCGATCCCTGCACTGGAACCGTCGACTCGAGAGTCAGACCCTGACCCAGAGCCTATAGAAGACTATGGATATGAAATATCACTACGAGGAGAGGATTCAGATATGATATTTGAAAAAGATGCTCAAGAGAAGGCTGTCAAACCTGAGAACCCGAGCGGTACGGTAAATTCGCCTATACATACGCAAACTGATGTATCAGTACCACCAAAGTCAAGTCTCGTCTCTCCGTCTTACAAAATCGACAGAAAGGCTAGTAAAGCGTCGCGCCTCCAAAAACAAAGGCCGGGAAGGTCGTTGCAAATCTCCACTTCGCGAAAGATAGGAGAATCGCCTACTGTCGAGTCTAGCATACCCACTGGAGAGGACAATGACAGAAAGCAACATGGTTCTTTGCGTGACACTCCCCAAAGGACAGGCGCAAAGCATAGTAGTAGAGCCCGAAAAGGTCAAGTGGGGCCGCTATCAGAGTTGCGCTCTGAGGATGTACCGCGTAGCCCTAAAGTACATCGCACCATAGATCAGCCGCCTCGTTCAAGCACAATTTCAGAGCTGGCCCTTTCAACACCAGGCAGAAAGCCACCCGGTCGGGTACCTAACAACAAACCTCGGAAGATCAGAAGCACAATCAGAGAGGAAGATGACATAGCCTCTAAAGAGACAAAAGGTGCAGATGGTCCGAATTCTCCTCCGAAAGCAAACCAAGTGTCTGTTGATCTGGTGCTGGACCATGAGGTACGGCATGATCAAGAAAAGCTAGCAAGGAAGATCCAGGCCAATATTGGTGGTCTGGAAGAGTCCTGGAAGTCGACGTCAAACCAAAAATCAAAGGGCAACATCAAAGACACTGCACGACTGCAAACATCAACAACGCAAATGCACGACCCACAGACAGATGTCAATGCGGAAGACCAACATGATCTGTTCACACGAGCACGTGAGATCGAAGACCGTAGGCGCAAACTTGCTTACGCAGTAGTTGAACAGAAGGAGATGAACGACGTGGTCCACCGTCAGAGTTACACACCAAAAGGCGTAGTAGTTCAAGACGCTAAACCGCCGCGCATAGAGCCAATAGACGAGATGATGCGTGCACGTAGGGCGGAGGAACGTCGTCGCGAGCTCCACCACGCCAACATGAGCAGTCGGAAGCTATCACGTCATATACAAAAGCGTTCTGTTGACAAAACTGAACGATCAGTGAGCAACGACGAAGAGAGGCGGGAGGAGGGAATAATTGCAAACAGGAAGGTCGCAGCGCCACAACCGCGTCGTGTAGTTCGGGAGGAAATAAAACGGTATGATCCGCGAGATAGAGTGAAGAAGATCAGGGAGGCAGAATCTTTTTACTCTGACACCGCAGTGAAAGATAGGGTAAATCCAGAGGGAGACAGTACGCGCGAGCGCGATGATGGCAACCGGAAGAGACGCAAAAGATAATGGTGGTTATTTAGGGACGTACATGCCCCATGGTTGTGTTTTGGGCCTATAGTTGGTTTATTGCTACGACTTGCACCAATGAGCGGAGGGTGAATACGTGTACTCAGGCAAAGCCCAAAACAACAGGATTGATACAAGCAGTGTCTGTTGGCTCATTGCGCGAGCGACGGAGCAGTCTCGCAACCCATAGCTGATAGTAATCCTGGAAAACTTGAGAGTCGGATTAGATCTATTTTCACACTGAAGCATTAGCGGTTAGGAGATAAATTGTGACTGACTCTTTTACACACAAAAATGTAACTATTGGCCTTAGGCCCCCTGCCTAGCTTCATTGTGATCTGGACTAATCTTATTCGCCAAATGCACCTCGGTCACCTGGCTCGTTCTGCAATAAATCTTGCGCACGCACAGACATTCGGATTACTTCTAGTGAAACACGTGATATGCCCCGAGTGAAAGATTCACTTGCGTCCTCTTTCGGCCGCCGCCCCGCAATTCGCGTTTGCAAGGTCGGACCTCAAATAACTTTCCTAGCACACCTTCCCTCCATTCTCACTCCGCCATACCGCGCTCCACCGTCAAGTACTGCACCCAATTACCAACTCGGCCAGTATACACCATGTTCTTCGGCAGCAAGAGCACATTTTTCGACACGCGCCCAAGGCCCAAGGTATGTCGCGGGTATCTGCTCTGGGTTGTAGTGACTGATCCGTTATCAACAGGGCCCGGCGCCGTGGAGCAAGCGCTACGTGAAGGATAAGAGCGAGACGCTCACAACAACCGTGCCTGTAAGTTTTTGTATGTGATCCCATACAGTGCGGCGAGGCTAATGATCTCGCAGAGCCGTTTAGCTCCTGATACCACCTTGACATCTCCAATCCAGAGCAATGATGGCGTTCAGCCTGTAAGTCCTCTATGCATGATAACGCGACATGATCCCAGGTGACCAACTGAATAGCAAACCAACACTTCCCCATCTTCCCCATCTGAAGAGCCAACGCTTGCCCATAATGGGATCCAACTAAACCCGTCACATAAGCGCCGGAGAAGTAGAAGTCCACAGCCCATACACCACAACGAAGAAGAATATCGAAAGCGACAGGCCGCGACGGATCGAAGTCGTCAGCGCATTGCAAAGATGCAGAAAGTACATCACCAAGAGCAAAAGGACGACTATGACCGCATGCGCGCTCGCGCTCACAAGATGGAGGAAGAGCGGAGGCGGAACGCAACGCCGTCGCTTTATGCGAGTATCATGTCGGGAGAGTACAAACTGTACAAGCCGGATCCAGACCGTTTTGCGAAGTCGCCGCCAGCTCCTCTATTTACTCCGGCGGGTCAATCTACTGAATCAAACACCAGTGGTGTACAACATCCGAGTGCTTTGACGTCCTCCAAGCCGGACGCTGATAGTCTTTGCGCCGACGACAAGCTCAGTTCGGCCTACTCTGGTAATAAAGAATGCCAGGAAACTCCTCAGAACAAAGTTAAGTCGACACCCATCAGCCCAACGGACAGTGGCTACGAGACTCGGTCGTCGCAATCACCCGAGTCGGTTACTCTTACAAGCTCACCTGTCATGAATTCAGTGAAGGGTAAGGAAAAGATCGCAATATCTCCCCTCGGTACGCAAATGAGTCCCGATGGCCAACAGCCGGAGCAAAATATGAAAAAGAAGGGTGGCTATGTGCCTACGGGGAAGGGTAAGGGCAAAGCCCCGGACTTGAGCTCCAGAGTCTTCTCTAAGGTCGACCAAACGGGCACCTGGGTTCCCCTTACGATTGCGGGCCCCAGCAGTCCCATCCGCCGGGTTCGCCAGCCGGTCGTCGAAGAGGAGTGGGATGGGACCCGAGGCGGTTTCAAGCCTGAGATTGATATGAGAATTGGCGGTCCGGCTCACACGTCCAAAGGTGGAGCAGCGCAGGTCGACGAGAAAACGGCGTTGGGTGAGAAGGACACGAGTCCCGAAGCCCCGGTACAACATACCAACAGCACGCGAGAATTGCGACCTACTCCCGATAGGTTGGGGCAAGAGACGAGTGCGGAGCGAGATCTAGTCGACACCAATGACGAGACACCATCGTCGGAAGACCCAGTAGTGGCCGACACGAAAGCAGCCCCCATCGTACACTCGGATGATCAGACGTGGTCGAAAGAAGTCAAGGTGAATACTCATCTGGCCGCCGCCAATGCTAACCCAGAGAAGAAAGACAAGACGGTGAATCGCAAATCAAGCGTAGACACCGCCCCTGCCTCTGAGCATCAGCATGAGATAAGCAAGGTCATCACGTCTTTCGCCGAGGCCGTCAAGCTGCTCGAAACGGAAGGTTTGAAAGCTTCCTCAAAGCTTCGCTCTGCTTTGAAACATCTCGTTCAGACCCAGAACACACCAAATCTAGAGCGGCAATCCAATCTCATCGCACAGGTTCGCAATTGGCTCGAACAGAACGTCGCTAGTGTGAACCTATGCATTCCCCAACCCGACAAAGACGTCGATGAAGAGGGCAAATTGAAGCCAGAATTCTTCCGGAGATCCCCATGGATGAACTGGACAAGCAGAACGCATCTTCTTGTTGCCCTCATATACCTTGAGGTCCTACTGGAGCCTTTTGCACACATTATCCTTGCCGAAGATGCGAAGATTGTCGAACGAGCAGTCGCTGTGTTGCAATCAGAGCGAAAGTTTTTGCAGGGCCAGCAAATGTCGAGTGGCTTCAAAGTAGCCCCAGGTATGGCTAAAGTCGACTTCGACTCGCTCCGTCGAGACATCAAGATCATAGAGCGGTCCAACGTGTTCCGTAACGAGCTCATTGACTCCACTGGACTTGATCCTCGAATGATCTCGCAACTGCTCTTGGTTACTGAGTACATGGAAGATGACATCGATCAAACCCAGACGATATTCCAGACCGTGTTAAATCGTATACGTGGAATCCTTGTATGCAACGCAGCATCGGACAACACCCGCATTGGCTTTGAATCGCCCGCCGAGGATGTTTCAGAATCAGATTCTGAAGATGAAGATGAAGTTGAAATATTCATCAGTCCACAAGCAAATGGTATACTGGATGGGAATTCAGCCTTAGGTTTAGGATCCTCATCCATACCAACGACGCAGTCTAGAGGATCATCTGTATCAGCCGTGTCTTCGATCCCTTCCCGCCCATGTCTTCGCGTCAACAAACCAGGCGGGTGCCCAGACGAAGATAGCGGCAAATGTCGCTTCAACCACCTCAACAAAGGCATAGTCTGCCTCTCAATAGCGAAAGGTATTCCCTGCGGTTTCGGCGACAGCTGCGCGTACCTCCACAGGACGCCTTCACCCGCCGAGGATCCTAAGCGCAAGGACCTGAAACCCATTCTCGATATGGTCTTGAAGAATCCGACCGTTTATAGGGCGTGCTTGTTCGTCAACACACCGCGAGGCTGCTTCCATGGCGCAGAAAACTGCCAGTACAACCATACCTTGGAAGGAGTGTCGTGTCCAGATGATGACGGTAAGGGCTCCTGTCATCGGAAGGCACAATGTCCCATGCTCCACAAGACTGTTTGCGTGGTATTCCTGGCTCGTGGCGTGTGCGACTGTTCGTCCGACGACGAGTACACCCACCCACCGGAGAAGTGGCAATCACCACCTCCTCCTCCCGTACAGATTGACCAGCAGCAGACACCTGGTCGGCGAGCGAATTTAGGCGCGGGTGCGGGCTCAAAGCGCCTACACTCGGACGCCTTGCAGGGCGAACAAGAACCTCCCGTCGGCTTGAACAGGAAGCGCCAACGTCAAGCCACGCCGGCCGCCGCTGCTCCCACAGGGCCACGAGGTACGCTGCCCAAACGAGCAAGGCCGAACGGGGCAAAAGTTCAGCAAGAGCTCCGCAAGAAGCTACTAGCACAGAGCTCAAAGAAGACCGCCCAGCCCCGAAGCAGCGCCGGTACCCTCCAAGCCTCAAGTACCACTGCGCAGGGAGACAAGTTCAGCGTCGTAGGAGCCGCAGCGCGCACGCAGAGTGCACCCGTCGCCACCCTCCAACAGCAGCAACAGCCTCATCGAGCTGCGCAAGGACAACCAGGCGCTCCACCGCGCGGCAAAAGCCACCAGAAGCGCAAGTTTGAGAGCGTTGGCGGTGTTGAGCGCGTTGGCGGTGGCGTTGACGGGGGAGTTGGCAGTGACGCTGGCAGTACGCGTACGAACGACGACGACTCAAACCCATTTGGCGCAAAGCGCATGAAGCGCACCGAAGCTGCTGCTGAGATGGCGCACGTTGACAACAACGGAAAGGCGTCTGGCGGTGTGAAGAAGAACGCAGGAGGTGATAACGGCGGACGACGAGATGGCCGTTCGGGACGTGGACGCGGAAGGAAGAATTGAGGAATAAAGGGAATAGATTTTTAAGAACAAAAAGATTGCATAGATATAAAAAGTAAAAAACAAAAGAGAAAGGGCAGTAAGGATGCAGGCAAAGGATGGATGGGACGATTGGAGGAGAGATGCGAATAGGTACCAACAGTTGGACCTATTGTTTAATTGTACATGGCATGCGCCAGGACGCTGCCGCTAGATAGTAATGCTACAGCTTTACTATCTAGACATTTGCAAACATGAACACGAACTTGAATTGACAGAGACAGTAATAAGGAGACAAGAAAGATGGTGCCATCACAAAAGGGAAAAGTAAGAAGAGGATTGAAGATGAGAGAAATTGAGATCGTAACAAGTCGTCAAACATGAGTAAAGCTATCTACTAGAATGGCAATTTGAAGATCCTGAATCGTCAGAATGTACGCATGTGTGAGAAATCGCCGAGTATAAATCCGTAGCTCTTGAAATCCTTAGAAAACCGTTCGTGAACCACCACATCATTTGGCCGTGAAACTCCAATGCCCAAAACACCCGTCGCTTATGCAATTTAAATAAAAAGATGGAAGATATTGCAGCGGCTGGTGCACCCCAGCCATAATGAAACGCCATTTACAAATTCCCAATGACTACCATAAACCTGAGCTTCCCGTCAGTCTTCTTGCTCGCTGCTGGACTCGCACCACTCATCGAGTCCTCTCCGCCGCTGATGGTGACTTCATCTAACATCAAGGTACTACTCTTCCAGCCCCAGCTTTGGCTGAAGTTAAACCGGTCAGGTGCGCTCTCGTAGATGCTCAGCATTCTGCCGCCCTTGGATGGGCTGTAGATCTTGAAGTACGTCTTGATAGTGGGGCGCCCGTCGACATACGGTGGAAAAGCAGGGACAAGGGCACGTGTCTTGCGTTGCGCTCGGGACGTGAGCGATGGGTTGGCATAGGCAGCAGCATCCGATTCATCGTCATCTGAGGTATCAGACTCGTTATCCAGCGAAGAGTCCATGCCTGGTGGGAAGGTAGGTGAGTCTGTGGCGTCACCAGTGGCAGGCTGAGTAGTAGCGAGGCTCTGGAAATCCCATTGGGGGACACCCTGAGAAGACACCCGTGGCATGGTTGCACCGCGGCGACGTCCGAGGCTGGAGCTGGAAAACAGTGGATTCCGAGGCCCTGGAGAGGCGAGTGTTGCATCTGCGTCACCACCGCTCCCACTTGTGTCTTCTTCTGCAGTCATTTCGTTGAAATGGGCTCGAGTGCTACGTCGGCGGTCGCGTCGCTCACTGCGCATCAGCATCTCCCGCTCTAGTTGGCCAATACGCTCATCAACCGATCCGTTGTTCTGCTGGCTCAGAGTGCTGCTTAGCGTGGATTCGTCCACCTCCCGCTCCTTTGCACGATGTAGGTAAACACCCAGCTGGACGTTCTTGGCTGAGCGAACCTTCTGTATGTATATGTTCCACAGTGAGCCTGCGTATGATACAGTTCTCGAGTATACCCGCTTCTTCTCCTTCAAGAAGCGTGGGTTGGGAAACTCGGCAGAGAAGCGGAATGGAGGGAACTCCGTGTAGGCGATCGGTTTTGGTTGGCCTGCGTTGCATCCGCCAGCAGAAATAGGACGCTGTGTATCGTGCACACGCGTGCTAGGATTTGTCAATGTCGATGGAGTCGAAGCGAAGTCGGTAGCCCATTGCGCATCCTCTGGTTGTATTGTGGCCGAGAGACGAGACGCATGGCGCTGAAAGGAGCTGGATGTTGTGATGACAGGCTCTGCCCCGTTACCAAGCACGATGTTGCAGTCTGAGCTCGGTATCCAGAACTTACGCGGCCTGCCATTCCCGTCCCAGCTTTCGGATTCGATTTCGGATTCCTCCTGGGCAGAAGTGACGGCCTTTGACTTGCCTTTGCTGACGAGTTCGTCACCGGTCTTGGTCGCGATATTGGACACCTCGGGTTCTGGTGGCGACTGGCAAAGTCCGAGCTCTTGTGCCGACTCGTCCGTGTTAAGCACCCTCTGGCGAAGCGCGCACTGCTGCCACAAGGCATTGGAGATGACCCTTTCAGGCATTACTGGAAGCCCAAAGACGTCGCGGGAGTTCCTGATGAAGTCAAGCTGCTCATACTCCATGTGGATGTAGTGGATGCCTTCGTCGAGCAATACGAGTATACGCTCGATGTCAGGCGAAGTGTAAAGCGCAAGCCAGTCGGCATGGGTATCAGACGAGGAGTGTGCGGCAGTCAATGCATTCTGCCGGTATACGCCATCAAAGCGGACGGCTATGAAGCGGAGAGAGTTGGGCGCTTGTGGAATGGGCTTCTGGCCTCGCTGTATTACACCAGCCTCGATGGCAGCTTGTCGCAGGCGGCGGTCGAGAAGGCGTTTGGAGAGCACCCATCTATCCCACTCGCTATCAACAAAGAAGCCGTCGGACCCTATCAGCTCGCGGATGATGTCACCTGGCATGTCGTCCCAGTATCTGATAGGCATCTCCCAGCCGTTTCTGCTAAGCATGGCCTTGGCCGACTCGAGGATGCGATCTCCTGATCGACCGTAGTAATTGGTGGTCACCAGGCGGATGAGGAAGGCGAGGGTGTCAGGGGCCATCTGGCGCAGGATAGATTCAATGGCCGAGTCGATTAGATCCTGCATTTCCAGCCAACACGCTGTCGCGAAGAGACCGATCGCCTCGGCGTCCGACTCCTTGGAGATGTCGACGCCATAGAGTTTCCGGATAGCCAACTCGAAAGACGTCTGTGTGATGTTGTGGTCGATCTCTTCGGGGTGCAGGGCGACTTCCTTAGACCGACTTTCTAACCATGGCTCCGAGAGGGCTGTTGTGAAGAAGGGGGCGCGGTCGAGGATCAAGCGGTGCAGGTTGTATTGCTGGCCAAAGGCAATGATGGTGATGTCCGAATGTCGCCCCTCTAGGAGTCCGCGGGTGTAGAGGTGATCGGGGAGTGGTATCGCTTCGTTTGAGACTGTTGCATGTTAGTGTCTGGACGCACTCGATGTGTAGGGGTGACATGTACCTCTAAGATACAAGGGGCCCGTGGCGTTGTTGTAAGAGGGTGCTCGTGAGCCGGGCATGTTTGCACTCTCGCTGAACAGTCTGTTGATGTCGGTGCGGGTAGTGTGCTCAAACCGCATGAGATCCATGGTGGTGCGGGTTCTGCTGTCGCTTTCAAGGGGCGTGTTCGGGTCATCGGCGCTCTTCTGGGCCTGGTCTATCTGCGTCTGTAGCTGGACGATTGGGGGATGCTCGTCCGACAGTTTGAGTCGTGCTGTGCGCTGGGCCATGGCGGCAATGTTTGCAAGCGACGATGGCAGCGAGCGTGCAGCGCCTGAAGATGAGGCGGTGCCCACATGGGGCCTAGCATTTGCGGTGGCAATGTCGGAAGACGACGGTGAGGCTGCTATCGCAGGCAGGCCAGGAGAAAAGAGACTGACGTGTGGAGTAGCAGTAGCAGTAGTAGCAGTAGTTGCGCTGGGGCTGTCTGCCACGTCGCCCTCGACCATGGCCCATGTCTCGCCGGTGTTGGCGTCGGCTGTCTCTGCTTGCTCGTCATGATGCACACCGCTCTCGCGGCTGCGGAGGGCCTCGCTGGCGGAGTTCATGCTCTGCTCTGTCTCGCGGGAACATGAGGCTGTGACGTAGGGCGGCGACAAAATGGCTTGTTAGTGGGGTTGTAGTAGCAGCAGCAGCACGGCAAAACGCAATGTCATATACACGATGCAAGGAAGAGGAGCAGGAGGATGACGGAGGGCGAGAAAAATAAGGGTGACACTTTGTTCTATATGCACGTCACGCTGGCAGAGGAGTGGATGGATGATCTACTGCTGCCCTTGTGATGCGCGGTCAAGCTCGGTGGGGGGTCGGCGGTAGTGAGGGATGCGTGGGCGTGTGCGCGGGTCGCTGCTTCCTTCCCTGTCAACTGTCGTGACGCAGGGCAAATGGCTTGGCGCCACTCGTTCCGCGCGGATTATCATCGAACCACCCGAAAAAGTGGCCATGTCATGACTGGGGATGGGGAATAGCCATTGAAGCATCTTGCATCGCTCTCCACTCCCCCCATTGCGTTGCTGTCATGGCCGCCATCTTCCAGGCCTTCCCCCAGCTACGCACAGCTGCACCGCGACTCTCGAGGCGACTCTTTGTTTGCAGACCATGTCTCAATTCCTCGCCCATGCGACCCGCCCTCTGCACTGCATCACGATCCTCCGCACCCAGGCCCTCCGTCCTGCAATCGGTGAGATGGAAGTCAACACAGCCGCTTCGGAGTAGCGCGACTCTGCAGGCTGCGAATGCGGACAGCGCGGTTGTGACAGAGGCTGCGACTCGGGCAGAGAGCAAGTCGAGCAGCTTCCCCAAGACATCCTCCAAGAGCGTGGCATACTGGCTGCTAGGGAGCGCAGCAAGCGTCTTTGGCATCGTCATCTTTGGGGGTCTGACTCGTCTCACAGAGTCGGGGTAGGCACCACCAGCAACTGCGCTTCCCAGACATGTACTAACTTTGCTGCCAGGCTGAGCATCACCGAATGGCGTCCTGTCACTGGCTCTATGCCTCCCATGAACCAGGACGACTGGGAGAGCGAATTCACAAAGTACAAGGCCTCGCCTGAATTCGCCCTGCTCAACTCGAGCATGACGCTCGAAGACTTTCAGCAAATCTACTTCATGGAATGGGCGCATCGGCTGTGGGGTCGTGTCATTGGCATCACCTTCCTTTTGCCCACAGCATACTTCATCGCTCGCAAGAGGGTGACGCCATCAATGGCTGGGAAACTCCTCGGGATTTGCGGAATGATTGGCTTCCAGGGCGTCATTGGCTGGTGGATGGTCAAGAGCGGGCTCAAGGACGACCTCTTCGAGCCTGGTAGTCACCCCCGCGTGAGCCAGTATCGCCTGACGGCTCACCTCGGCGCCGCATTCGTCGTCTACTGCTCAATGATACTCACTGGCCTCTCTATCCTCAAGGAACACCGCATGCTCGCTAACCCCGCCAAGGCTGCTGAAACCATCAAGGCTCTGCAGCACCCTGTTCTTCGCGTCTTCAGGGGCTCTGTCGTGGGCCTCACCCTCTTGGTCTTTACCACCGCCATGTCAGGCGCCCTCGTCGCTGGCTTAGATGCTGGCCTCATTTACAACGAGTTTCCCTGGATGGGTCTTGGCCTCACTCCGCCGAAGAAGGAGCTCTTTGATCCTTTTTACAGCCACGTTCCAGATAATTCAGATCTGTGGTGGCGCAACATGCTCGAGAATCCATCACTTGTGCAGCTCGACCACCGCATCCTTGCCACGACCACGTTCACGGCTATCATGTCTCTTTTCGCCTACACCCGCTTTTCAAAGGGTGTGCGAACCACGCTTCCAAAAGATGCCAGAAAAGGCGTCTTTGGAATGGTGCACCTTGCCTCTTTACAAGTCGCCCTCGGCATCAGCACACTCATCTACATGGTCCCCACCTGGCTGGCTTCGGCACATCAGGCTGGTGCCTTGGCCCTCCTAACCGGCGCTGTCGTTCTCTACAGCAGGATATCGATGCCTCGACGCGCTATCCTACGCCAAGTCATGACACCGCACGCCCCTCGGGCCCACGCCACTCCACACATCAAGTCTCGCCTGGAAGCGGCAAAGTTTACCCAGAACCTATCGTAGAACCCCGATGCATCATTTCCACCCTCTGTAATAGCATGTACAATTACTCGTATAAAGATTAGTGTCAAACTTCATGTACAATATGTAGGTTCCTCTCCTAAACGTATCGACGACGTTATATCATTTATACATTTCGCTCTCGGCTCATGCATTTTCTTGCCCGCGTTTTCGACCCACATGTCGTCAGCCAACAACCGACGGCCTTACAGAAAGCAAGTTTCGTCCAACAGCAAACGTTGTCAGTGTGGAGTTCTGCCGGCTAGTACGTTCACTGGCTTGCTAATTGTGTATTGTCAGCAAACCAATCCAGGGCAACGATAGTATTAATACGCCCGTGCCATTCCTTGTTGCAACACTGCTATTATAAGTTGCGGAGAGCTCTAGGCGAGTGTTATAACTCTACATCTCATTTATCAATATACTCGCTCGAGTCTCTTTCTTTGTCGTTTGTGTGAGCGTTACTCGGGTCAGCACGGTGACTTGAATTCAGTTCGGTACTGTTGATTTCGTAACAAAGGCGCCAATTGCAACGCCGCATCTTCGATGGACAATAGCTCCGGCGAGCTTAAAGCCTTCTCCTTCTCAATGCGCCAGGGGCTGATGCCCTCGACGAATTCGGATACATGTCCACTCCTCTTCCGGTCGACTCAAGGCGGCCCCTCTCTGCATTATGCTCTACGGAAAGAACGTCCACCGCAAAGATGGCGAGCATAGTAGTGTATGCGCTATCCTCTTCGGTAAGGGGGTGGTCAATGGCGGACCCTGCACTTGGCTTTGTTTCTGTCACATGCTTTGTCTTGACAGTCTTTCCTATCTTTATGCTCTGCGGTGAAAAGGCCAATGGGGACCTGCCTTCTACACCCGCTTTGTCTTAACGATATTTCCTACCTTTTTTCAGATTCCTCTTATATATTTCACAACTCCTGGTTAAACTCAACCTTCAACTTATACCTCAACGGCCAACCTCAACCATCCAGTCGGAGAACTACAACCTTGGAACCCCTTGAACAGTTCACTTCTGCCCATCCAACAGACAAGCTGTCAACATGCCAGTCAACGACCAGATCTACGGAACCGAGGAGCGACACCAGCGCTACTCTCAGGACACCAGCATCGCCTTGGATGAAGTCATCTCCAAGTCGAAGCTAGTAGTTAGTCAGGAAGTGTGGGAGGGTGTTACTAACGTTCCAGTGTCTACGCCAGTCAAGGACCTCCCCACGCGCGTTTTCACCCTTGCTGCAAGCCTTTTAGAAAATGCGAACAGGTCTTCGACTGTGATGCTGTCCCGGCTGTCTAAACTCGCCCTCGACCGGGCTATTAGTGGACGAAAGGAAGAAGCTTACTTTCATAAGGTTTTATCCACGAGGAGCGAAGAGCTACAGCGCACATATGACACTCATATGTACTTCATTCGAGTACTCACACAGATCCGTCGCACGTTGGCTGATCTTTTCGAGAAGCCCAGTGTAGACGCCGTTCAAGTCGACGAGGCATCAGAGCGTGGATTTAATCGCAAGCTGTTCTTGGACTGGGAAGATGATGACGCACTGGAGCCGGAAGCCCCTAAAAATGAGAACCTGGAACTAGTCGCACCACCTTCCAAATTCTGGCCAATCATACATGAGTACATGAATGATGTCAATGAAATTCGCGCCTTTCTCAAGCAGGTATGGGCCAGCTACAGTGCAAAGGAGGTATCGCTGTTGGTGGTATTCACTCTGAACCATGTCGCTACGCGGATGATCGAGGAGCAAACGACCAAGTTCCTGAAAACAAACAAGAAAGAACTCGATTCGTGCCCTGAAGATGTCGCAACGTTCTATCACGCTTTCGGGGTCATTGGCGCAATACACCTCGCGTTCGAGGAGCACTACAGAGTGATCCACGCTGAAGCTAACGGATTCGGTCGGAACGAGTTTGAGATCCTTGCACGAATTGGCGTCGATCAGTTCTTTGCTCCAACTTGTGCCAAGGTCGTCGAGTATCGACATGCCAAATTACTTGTCAGAGAGACACGCGACCTAAACCCGCTGCCACCGTTACTGGAGCAGTTGGAGTATAATAATAGTATCACTGATTTCGGAATCCCATTAACTGTTCAGAACGCTGAAGTACTGGAAGCCGACAAGGACACGGCACTATACACGGCTGCCTGGTACGAGCGTACTGGACATACTATACTTAGAGAGTACTCTCGTATGGCGACCTTGGACTTTCTCATTGGCAAGCCTCGTTTGCCTATCCGCGACAGGCTGACGGAGCTGTTGTCTTCCAGCTTGCTGGATCCGAAAATCGATCCGAACGCGACAGAGGACGAAAAGAACACTGTCAAGCAGAAGAACGAAGATGAGCAAAAAGAAAACGATCTGCTCATCGGTGTTCTACTCCACATCAGTGCAGACCTGCAAGCAAACCTAGGCGAGGACGCCCGGCGGCCTCTCCAGGACGCACAACAGATTGCTAGTTTAGTCCCCGCCTCCTTTGACGGCTATGATGTGGCGACGGCTCAACAATTAGTCCAAAGTGATCCGATGGTTATAATCAAGAACTTTGGCAAGAAGATCCTGAAGAGTCTACAAAGAAGAGACCCTGCTCTTGGTAGTATAGAGGCCCATATGAAGACACCGCCTGTAGAGGCCCTAAAGCTCTATAATCCTGCTCTCAGTGGGCGACTAGCATTCACAATGATAGACGGGCAGCTGGCAAGTGCTATTAGGGTAGAGAAAGACAGCCCGAACAGTCTGGCATTCTTGTGGTTATATATTGGCCTCAAGGTTACTGGGTGGTTATCTCTAGACTACGCCGATGCAGAGTTGATGATCTCTTGGTACGTGGAGCAGGGCCTTTTTGGACCTGACGGCCGACCCAAGAGCGTTGAAGAGATTATAGATTGTATTAATCGTCTGCACACCACCGAGTCGGAGGCGCCTTCCTTCCCTAAATCCGATGTCGAGAATCTCGTGAGCGACTTCGTTTTAGAAGACACTTCTGAGTCTTGGGAGAAACTTCAAAACTCCCTTATCGCTCTCGCTCAATCATCGAAAATTGGCAAGAAGGATGATGGAGAAGAAGCACTTTCTGGAGAGATGGATATTGAAGCCGAGGATACTTACGACGGTGGGCAGACACAGGCCCACGCGAGCAGCTCCACCGCCAACGAACCCACACCAGCAAAACAGCCAACCATCAACCCCGGCAAGAAAGTCCAGAAGACGATCCAAAAGCGCAAGGGAAAGGGCCGAAACAAGGGCAAAGCAAAGGCAATCGAGCGAAAGCTAGAATCCGAACGCATCGAGCAGGAAAAGCAGAACCGACCTCGCGACACCGCCCTCCTAGCCGCTCTGAGAACCAAACTTCTCGCCCAAGGCCAAGCGCGCATGTACTTCAACCTCGCACTCTTCCGCAACCGCATCACGCCCGTTCTCCAGCGCACCGCGGATCTGTGCCAGGAACATGATTACGCGCTACGCGACAGGCGCTCGGGGAATTCGACCGACGCCAGGCACTCGGTCTACGTGTTTCTGAGACTCTTGATGGCAAAGTCTCATATAGGGGATGTTATTGCGCGTGAACTTGTGCGCATGTTGGAGCAGATTATTGAGACGGACGGCAGGACGGAGTGGGACTTTGCAGAGCGGCTGTGTGGTGTGCTGGGGGAGAATACGGGTGGTGATTAGAGCGCGTAGAGGCTGCTGTGGGTTATCGTCAGTTGGGGGATTGGGGTTTCGACTTTGTATACAGTTTGGGTTGAATATGGGACAAATATCTCCTCGACGCGCGTGAGAGTGGGAAGAGTGGGAGCTAGCGTGTGCTTGTGTAGTGTTAGTTTCATTAAATGTATCAAAATAAGTCGTCATTTACAACATCACTAGTTGTAGCAAAGTTCTCTCATAGCCCATTATGCTCCTCCTTTTTTTCCACGGCAGCCACTGCTTTCTTCCCGCTCGACATACTACCCGTCTCTAGAACCCCAGCTGGATGCGCTCCTTCCGCCTGTTCCCAGCCTTTCTTAGCGACGCGGCGACTGCGGCTCACGACGTTGCCTTCGTAGAAGAGCCAATCAACCTCTTCGAGAGTAAGGTTGGCAGTTTCGGGGTAGCAGAAGTACTACAGGTTCCATCAGCTTCAATTGTAATTTTGGCAATCACCAGGTGGGACTTACCACTAGCGGAATGAAGGAAAAATTGAGAACCATGAAGATCAGATAGCCTTTCCATTTGAGCGAGTTCAGCAGTGTCGGCGTAATCATCACGACGAAAAAGTTCCAGATCCAATTTGCTGAGATTCCAACAGCTGTGCCTTTTGCACGAACATGTAGTGGGAGGATTTCTGGAACATAGACCCATGGTATGCAGTTCATTGTCATGCCGAAGGACAGCATGTACTATTATAGTATTAGCTGAAGTCGCGGAATATCGAGTTGTTAATTAGGGAGATACTAACCGTGAAGAAGAAAGCAACACTGCCAGACGCAGTAGCCTTCGCAATCGGACCGCCCCGCGGCTGGAAGCTCAGGAGAATGGCGATGAGCATCATGGACATGCCGCATCCGAAGGAGCCCCACATCATGGGTTTGCGACGGCCCGTCCGGTCAAGCGTGAAGGTTGGAAGGAGTGAACCGAGGAAAAACATGAGGTTGATCACTCCTCCTAACAGTAGCGACAGATTCCTCGTCAGGCCAACGTTTATCTGCAGCACCGATGTGATGTAGTACACTACGAGGTTAATTCCGCCCATCTGATTCATGAACTGCGCACCGTACGCTAGCAGCACGCGCCGTCCCGTCTGCACCTTGTCCTTTTTGAGTAGCTGACTCCACTTGTACTCTCCATGCTCTTGCTCAATTTTCAACGCTTCGAGCACTTCCTGGTTCTCCTTTGCGATCTTGGGGTCGTCCGGCGTGCCGTCGTATACATCGCAGAGAATCTGTAACGCTTCCTCGTGGCGGCCATGCGCGTAGAGATAGCGAGGTGACTCGGGGAGTCCAAAGACCATGATAATGACCAGGATGGCGAAGATCACTTGGCACGCAATAGGTAGGCGCCAGGCAATAGATCCAGAGGAGAAGCTCATGCCATAATCGAACCAGTACGCAACTTCTATTCCAAAGCCGACGAAGAGGGGCTCCGAAGCTACGAGGCGGCCGCGCTTGCTTGCTTCACACAGCTCGCTCTGGTACATGGGGACGGTGGAGGTTTCGATGCCCGTGCCGATACCTGTGAGGAAGCGCGCGATCATCATGTGTGGCACGGAGTATGCACTAGCTTGGAGAGCGCCACCAACCTACTATGTGTGAGTATCACCCTCGATTGTATCGTGGGCGGGACGACTTACAATGATCCACACCATAGCTATCCACATGGCAAGTCGCCGTCCCGTCTTCTCGCAGAAGATGAAGCTGAGAATACATCCTGTAAAGCATCCCAGGTTATAGATGGAGACAATGATGCCCTCGAGACCGGGCGATGGGTGATCGAATGTGTCAAGGAAGTCTTTATTTCCGACAATCCCCGAGAATACACCCTGGTCATACCCGAAGAGCACGAAAGCGAGCTGACATACGACTGTGATGGCGACCCTAAGCTTGAAACCTCGCCCGTACCAGTTGTAATGCGGTGTCTTGAACATATTGCTAATGTGGGTATAGTCGACACAGCACCTCCCAATTAGTGGGATAGTAAATAGAAGCGTGGGACAATCAAAAGTTGAAAACAATGGCCAAAGTCCGAGATATATCAACAAACATCAAGGCGAATATGCCGTCCGCTAGTCGGCTACTTATCCGATTCCCCCACTCGCGCCGAGCAAGCGACATCGTACTTGTTCGGTACAACAAGAGCCGCCCGTTGCGCTCTACCCTGACTGTTAGTGGATATCTTAGCCCTCTATACGAGTACTAAAGCTGCACGAGGAACAGCGGTGAACTTTAAAGCCTCACCCGAGCTACCAATTTTGAGGCAGCCACGTGCTTGGTATCGGGAACAGGGACGTCTGGGGATAGCGTGTGGGGTGATCTGCTAGTGGTTGGGACGAAACATGGAGAAATATGACGTCAATGGCTGGTAGGATCGGCTGGGAGGCAGGGGTTTCGTGTTGCCAAAGTGGGTATCCCGGGTAAAAGAGTGGTCGCAATTGGAAGTCATAGGCATACTTGCTTCACTCGGGAGACATTCTGCCGATCTTCGTAGCAAGTTCCTCCGTGGTTCTTGAATGGTATGAAATTCGACCTCTTCCGAGGATATTGCTAGTGCAGCTTGCCTTTCTCTAAAACATTCTCTGTATCATTCCACGAACAGTACTGCCATGAGGCATTCGGCCAATGTTCGATTTTCTACGTGCCCTATACTCAATAATCTAATCCTGCAAATAGGGTCGTCACTAGTGGCGACAAACAATTTCGTTGCTGTGTGGCCAACATGGTGTTGTGGTGTTGCTTGTGGCATTTTTTCGTCATGATTGTAGTGCTGCAGAAGCTTTGACTATCTATATAGATATTGTTGAAGGAATTTTGGTAGTTTATTTTCTTATAACTGTGACCTTCCAAGGTTGAGCAGCTAAACTAAGTCACGAGGCTGATATGTGCCCGGATATTCTAAGGTTTGGCCCCGCAGTCTTAGCCCCCCACCAGAACGGCTTAGCGCGCTCGTAGGCATCAGCATGCCCATCAGTGAGACAGTTCATCCGATTACATCCCTTCAGGAGAAGATTTGGGTAAGTGATGTGACGACAGTACTTACACCTTTCAGGCTCAATATACCAACCCCAGGATAGCTCTTCACTTTCCGCAACTACTGGACGATTGATTGGACAGAGAGAGCTCGATTGAGCTTGTCTAGCCTTTGACATCAGCTCCAGCAACTCATACTCGAGCATACACATGCTGGGTATTTTGAAAACATATGATGGAATCCTCGAACGCAGAGAAGATTATGCCGTATCTTGAAAGAGATGTTTCCGCAGTGAGAAGACCATCCGCTAAGATCCACGCCGGTGTTCCGAGTGACAATTACTACCTAAGCGTAGACCCATCAAAAGATAATCTCCATTGCATGGGAGATTTCAACTCTTTCAAATATCTTCCGCTGCCTGGCCCAAACTACATTCGACTTCTCCATCTGGAGCCCGCCTCCAATAACCCCGCAGAGTTAAGAGGTTACCTCAAGGCTCACGAGCTCAACGCGCAAAGCGAATATGAAGCTATTTCATACGCCTGGGGCGATTATCCCGAGTCCAATCGACCTATATTCTTAAACAACCAAGTTTTGAAGATCACGTTCAACCTATATGCTGCGCTTATGGCGTATAGCTATCCAGATCGTACCAGAATACTGTGGGCGGATGCCGTTTGCATTAACCAAGCGGACACGGCCGAGAAATCACAACAAGTCGCTATCATGTCTCATATATACAGCAAGGCAAAATCTGTGCAGATATGGCTCACACTGGCATCAAAGGCGGCAACGGACGCTATGAATTTCATGAGAAGTCTTTCACTACAAGCAGAGTCTTTCGGAATCAGTGCTGAAGTTGATCAACCACGATTGGTCAAAGACTTTCCCTCTATCAACACATCCGATGACCAAGCGGAAAGCATTATTCATAGTGCAATCAAAGCACAGGCCGGCTTCCTTCTTTCTCGATCGTGGTTCAACCGAGTATGGGTTGTTCAAGAAGTCACATTGGCTAAAAAATTGGAAGTTTCCTGTGGACATTCGACAATGGATTGGACTAATTTCGCCCGTGCTTTAGAGGTCCTTCGCGGTGCTATAAGACAGGTCCCACAGGGAGAAGCGCGATCGAAGGTAGAAGGTGTCAAGCCGGCCTGGGAGCTTGTACGGCTTCGGGATGCCTTCAGACTGATTGATCGGCACAGTACAAGACACCATCATCTCATGACCAACCTCGTCGGGAGGCAGATGAGCAACAAGGCATGTACCGACGATCGCGATAGAGTCTATGCTATGCTAGCAATGACGAACTCCCCCTACTCTATGTCTCCCGACTATGGCAGAACGGTAGCCGAAGCTTATACTGAGTTCACCAGGAGATATTCCCCAAACACACAAATCTATTGGGCGGGATTGTGCCGCAGGAAACTCCGCTCGAGTTTGGAGAGCACGGACACTTCCAATAAGACCGATACACCATTGCACATCGATATCATGAATCGCGATTATCTGCCTTCTTGGGTCCCAGAGTTCCGCCCGTCCTTGAACCTAGCCTGGGCTTCACCATTCACCGGAACATATAGAGTTGCAAAAGGGGCCCCTTTTCATTTTAGCCCTCATCCAACAGTCCGCAATATCATGTACGCCACGGGTGCAATATTCGACACCATTGTAACAGCCAGTTGGGAATATAAAGCGTATAGTCCGCCTCTGTGCATGTACGACCCAGGCTTCTATTTCTCTGTTATCGATCAACTACAAGCAATACTTTGCTTCCCTATCAACTTCGGGACCCGGGTAGAAGTTGTAAAGTTAGATCAGATACCTGAGCAACAAATTCAACCTACTTCGGAACCGCGGTGGCTGATACTCGCCAAAACCCTAACGGGTGGAGTTGGGGATTGCTTTGGAGCGGAGTTTCTCCTATCGCGGTATTCTATGTTCGTGACTCTCAATCACCTCGAACCGGGTAGCGTGCCCTGGCTAAATGCAATCTGGGATTGCTTTGCCAGACATTGCCTTGCTCCGACTGGAGAAGTATTCCAGCATGTTATTCTGAACTCATTGGGTGTAGGGTCCAGACCGCTCTCCGAGGACGGCAAAATAGCAGATGGGTTCCTTGGTTACTTAGCTAATATCCTTGTTCCAAACCGGCTATTCATCACTACGAAAGGACACATCGGGCTTGCTTCCAGGGATATTCGAAGCATGGACTTGGTTACCGTCTTCAATGGCTGTCATATGCCGTACGTTGTTCGACCAGCAAGAAAAGTGAAATGTAAGAATGACTTAGCCAAGGGAGCAGTCCAAGTTATTGGGCCATGCTATCTTCATGGAATAATGAACGGGGAGATATTTAAGGACCGGCATGCACCACAGTTCTCAAAGTTGAGATGGACGAGGCGTGATGGCGACCCAGTTGATTCCTTGAAAGGGTGGATCACACTAATTTAATGCGAAGGCTTGGATGTATGCGCTCCATCTACATGTAGGGTGGAGCAATAGTGTGTTCGACCGCGACATATAGCCTCGGTTGTACAACTATCATGACGATAATTGAAAAGATCTTGGTCTCCGAACTATTTCTCTTCACGTGCTAAGGCGTATCACTATCTCTCTAGCTGGTTTTAAACCGATTGTTAATGCATATTAATCCGAACATCAGGTACAGTGCGACTACGTGTCAGGCTATCAACAATATGCAGGATATTCCTTACGTATGTGGCTGTACTAAAGGGCAGCAAGTGCGATACTTCACATTCTACATACCGATTAGGAGCTTCAACGGGGTTATTCTCAGCCATCCAACCAGCCGTCTCAGCACGCGACAAGAAGGCACCAGGTGGCTCTGTAGTATTGGTAGTTGGTTGATGCACAATCTCGAATTAGTCACAGCCTTATGCTATTCCATTGGGCAGGAGTGAAACGAGGAGTTGCCAAAGGTAAATGAACCCATCAATAGCGGCCACGTAGTAGCCTTGTAGCCCTCTCTCGTGCGATTGCCTACTTAAGTTAGCACGACTTATGCAAAATTATGCAGCTCGGGCGGGATCTATATACCAGTGAGCTTCTTTCTGCTTCAGCAATATTAGCCAATCCGCTGCCCTAAAAAACTCGCCTGATTTATATACCCCAAGACTCTGGAAGCAGTGAACTGAAAACTGAGCTAAGTGTCCAGTTTAAAAAGAGGTCGCCTCGAACACGCCATCTAAAACACCATGTCTCAAGTTGCAACAAATGAAGAGCAACCCGAGTTAGAAAGTAACCCTAATCACATCGGAAAACGAAAGATCCACACTAGCTACATAAATAACCCGGATTTCGTCCCGCCGAAAGATTTCGTGTTTCTTCCAACGCTCAAAGAGGTGCCCATCAACCTCAAAGGACAAACTGAGATCCCTTTCGATACCCAGATTGACTACACCAAGCCCGAATATCAGTACAGAGACTTTCTCCCTCACGTTACACTCACTTCCGAGCCGGCTCTTGCCCCATACGAACATGTCGATGTCGCATCGCGCGCCGACCCAGAAAAGAAGGCCCTCTTCGCAGCAATTCCTCATCGCAAAGATATGACGCCAAATATTGGCACTGAAGTGCGCGGAGTCCAGCTGAGCCAGCTTACAGATAAGCAGAAGGACGAGTTGGCGCTATATACTGCAGAGCGCGGGATCGTCGTCTTCCGGGATCAAGACTTCGTAGACAAGGGCATCGAGTGGCTCAAGGAATTCGGGTCGTATTTGGACGGTTGCATACGCATCAATGGGGCCCGCATCCCAAGGGCCATCCCGACTTGGACGTCGGGTTCCGCGATGGCCACAAAGGAACTGAATTCGATACCCACTATGACGGAGATTTAAACACTATAGCATGGCACAGCGACATGTAAGAACACCATTTCGTACCTGTTTTCCAATATGTGAGCAGAATTGATTAATCGGTTAAAATACAGGTCTTACGAAGTCAACCCGCCATGCACCACGTTCCTTAGTTTGCTAGCGGGCCCCGAGTGCGGCGGTGATACACTCTTCGTGAACTGCATGACAGCTTACGACCGGCTCTCGCCGCCGATGCAGCAATTCCTTGAGGGAATTTCCGCTGTGCACTCAGGTCAGACTCAAGCTCTTCGTTTAATCGACAGCCACCTCGCCCGCCGGCCTACCATCGATACCGTGCACCCGGTCGTGCGCAAGCATCCAGTCACGGGACGCAAAGCGCTATGGGTGAACAATAATCATAAAGCCGAACTCGTTGGCTTGAAGAAGCCTGAATCGGACATTTCGTTTTGAACTTTCTCTATGACCATATACACCGAGGCATAGATTTCCAAACGCGGATGAAGTGGGAGAAAGGCACGGTTACTGTATATGATAACCGTATGGTCCAGCACTCGGTGACATTGGATTATGCGTTGGACAATGATGTAATACGACATGTGTTCCGACTCACACCTCAACGCGAAAGACCAGCCCTTTGAAGGGACCTATAGTTGAGGATCGAAGTGACGAGAGGCTTCCTGAACTCGTCTCCTCCAAAAGCGTACGGCGGCAAATTGCGATAGCGGACAGCTATTTTAGTCAGGATCATTTCTTATGCTCTACGTTCTTGGTACGGAAAGGGCTTAACTACGTAATCATACAGTAATTTTCTTTGCTAATCATGAGGTTAATCCAAGTCAATCTTCCTAAACATCTCTGCTATGTAATGATTGGTCGAACTGGGTGACTTTTATTACGACACAGGATTGTAGAGGCCCCTTTTTGCGAGCTACGTATATAAAAGTCTCGAATGGATCCATAATTCCGTACATGGGTTGTATAGCCGAAGATAATCTATCCATTTCCACAGTGTTCTATTTCCACATTATCATTATTCGCTGCTCTCATAGCTTTCCCCAAAGCTAAGCAAGTTGTCCTCGCACCGCACCCGGCAGTGCCAAACTCGAGTGCACATCCGCCATGAATGCAGCAGGGTTGGCTTCAATTTGGTTAACATGAAAGCCCTCTCCCGAATCCTTATTTTCGACCATAACGCCAGTCGTGAACGGCCCCTTCAGACATCCTGCACTATTGCGTACTGCCGCATCTCCATTAACAGGCTCAGGGTTGGGAAAGGCTATTCTCGGCGGTCCAGAAGCGCCGCGCGCAGCCTCATGAATATGCGTCGCCGTAGTCGCGGGAGAGTCAAAGTCACCCTGGAAATTCTGCAGGGTAATGTTGTAGCAAATCATGTTTGCGGCGCTATTGATGCCGAAGTTGAAGGTGCCGGATGCGCCAGCCAGACCGCCAGTGAGTTCGGTGCCGTTGACGACTTGGTCGGGTGAGGCTTGGGTCAAATGCATTGAGCTGAAGGCGAAGAGCTGGTCACCTGCAACGGCATTTGCACCAACTGCGTCTTCGCCGAGGTCGATGTTGAGTTGGAGGGTGACGCGCCCGTTGTTAATATCAAGTGGTGCGGCGGAGGCCAGAGAAACGACTGATGCGCTGAGCACTAGGCTCGCGATGGAAGAAAATGCCAAGTGATGCATTATGGGTATCGTGAAATTACTTAACGAAAGTAAGGTGGTGTAGAAAGGTTTGCGATATAAATGAATGAGAGTGAAGAGAGACTGTTCAACAGCGTGTAACTCCTGGAGAACATTAGAGTTGGTACGGCGCTCACATATATATTGCGAGAAGTTGTGCCTAGTACCAAGCCTTGGTATAGACTGGAAAGTTACTTCCCGACATTTGAGGCAACTCTGTAACAAATGCCTGGTTTCGCGGAGCTTGGCCGCAAAAAGGTCCCGAAAAGCACCCACGAACACATCTTGGCTAAGTATTAATGCGTTTGAGGCTATAGCAGTGCTATCTTTATTACTCCGTTCGGCCTTTGGCCACAAACATGTCGTGCGATGACTTGTCGGCAACCGCAGATGGATTCCACCCTTTCTTATTCTTCATTGTGACTGTAGCTGGACAACGGCTATTGAGGATGTATATGAGCATTTAGCGATGATTCGATGAAATAATAGTCCAAGATGATGGGAATTGGACGGTTACTGTAGATAGACGAGATAACGAACGGAGTCGAATCGGACCGACAAGGCATAGCGCAGTTTAACCACCTGGGCACCTAGGAACCCACCTAGGCACCTGGGCAGACGCAAAGCCCTTGATACGAAGTATTGCCGTGCACTGAATTGCTTGCTGTATGTTATGGACGGCCATACGCGCCGCGCGTTCATATACACAAAGAGGCTAGTCGCGACGCCTCGAGGCTGCGATCAGATCAAAGACGAAAACTAGTAGCGGAAGGCTAATAGACTATTGCAAATTGCAAGCCACATTGGCGCAGAGTAGAGCATCCTGCGTTCTGATCCAGAATCTGAGGAGGCTTCACGTTTGAGAAATACAACCGTGTGGGAGGGCGAATAAATGTAACCTGATGTAGCGCTGATTTACTTTGCAAAAGTGGCATTTGAGTAAAAGATGGGCTGCGCGTTGCAATGTATAGGATACGGGCGTCAAAACATTCGGCGAGGTGGTCAGCCTGCAGGCGCCAGTTTTACCTGCTATTGGTTCATGGACACAACACATGCATTACCCCACCATTACAGCGCTTAGTATGTTCTACTGTGGAGTGATACAACACAACGAAAACGCTTACTATTCTTCCGATTCGGATGCTCCTGCTTTTACACTCAACGTAGTCGTTGTAGCCAGCAGCATGAAACAGACTACCCGTTACTCATACGAGTCGATTCAGCCTGGCCAGTTCCGCATGTGTCGCTTTGTCCAAGATGGGGACTGCTTATCCGCAGTTCTCGAGACGTTCTCAGTCGACGGACAAAATCCCCAATACAACGCTCTTTCCTACACTTGGGGTTTGGATCAAAGAGGTCCAACCACGAGCTGGGCCATCCAGATTGGGGAACAGTACCTCTCAGTTCTTGATTCAATAGGGCTTTCGTCCAGGCATTGAGATCGAGAGGCACTTTGCTAGATGGTACTTGGTGGTGGATTGATTCGATTTGCATTGACCAAAAAAACGTTCACGAGAGAGATGAGCACGTGCGACGTATGAAAACGACCTATCAGAAAGCCCAGAAAGTAATTGTGTGGTTGGGCGAACAATCGGACGACAGCGAATGTGCTCTAGACTTTATCTGCTTGCTCGATGAGATGAGTCGAGCGAGGCACAGTAATGAAGATGTGCGTATGAGTCTACAAAAGGACCAGTATCACGCACAGTGGATCGCACTCCAAAGATTCTTTCTCCGGAAGTGGTGGACTAGAATCTGGACGATACAAGAATTTGTGATACCGTCAGCTATTACATTCTGGTGTGGACCGCGACATATCAGCATAGACGCTATATATGCTGCTCTGACCGAGGCAGACATATGTAGCTCAAATAGGTTCAAGGGTACAATCGCCTTTCACCACGCATGGAACAGAATAAGAGCATGGCTGTTGTACAAGTTTGTGCCTAGGCCGGGCCTTTCTCTCCTAGCTTTGGCAGCCTACTTTTGTATCAATGAGGCCACGGATGATCGAGATCGGCTGTATGGCCTCACCGGACTATCCACCGAGGATCATGCTCTCGATATCGATTACTCCTGTAGTGTTGACGAAGTCTACCTGCGCTTTGCACAATCCTTCATCACGCAACACAAGTCGTTGGATATAATAAGCTTTGCTTCTTTATTCATCGCTACACCTGGTTCCTCGCTACCGTCCTGGGTCCCCGACTGGCGGACAAAAACTGAACCTTTCGTCGTTCCATTGATGACTAGTCAAAGTTCAAATAACTTCGTGGGAAACCTTCGACCCCCGCAAGCCCTTGGGTATAGCAACAAATCAACTCAATACTCCGCATCTGGGTCCAGAGTCGCCGTGTACAACTTTGAGGGCGTGACACTCCTCGCTCAAGGATGCATCATCGATGTAATCGATGGATTGGCAGGATCTCGAACTCTCAAGTTCGTCCAAAGCTCGGGTCAACACGCGCAGTTCTCCGCTGCATCCTGCTCACCCAAGAATAATCTTATGAGTGTTTGTAGAAGCTTGGTCCTCGATCGCAAGGATCGATATCTGCGATTTCCTATGCCTATGAAACAGTTCTATCACGACTTCATTCGCTTGTGTCTACTTCTCATATCAGGATCAGAACACCCCGTTCACAAGGAGTTCGAGGATTGGTTCCAATTCACACGATTGCTTCGTATCCACGGAAACAGCTTTGAGGAAATCTTACGCGACGTTCAAAATGACGGTACTGATGCATTTGTTGACACAGCTCCGAACCAGGACGAATACATCCAAGACTCTTTCTATGGTCGATTCTTTGATATCGTTGAAAGAATGTCGCTGCGTTTGATGACAAGCTGCAACGGCCGTATTGGAATGGTTCCACAAAGAGCGATAAAGGGAGATTTGATTTGCGTTCTCTTTGGGTGCAGTGTACCCATCCTACTCCGGAGAACTGAGCATAAAGAAGAATTTATTGTTATAGGAGAATGCTTCGTTGAAAAATGTATGGAAGGCGAAGCTCTGGACGAGTGCAAACCTTTGGAGAGAACATTTCATATCATATGACAGAAATTATTTTAATGCGAACCGTCGAAGAATACTTGGTTTATAGTAGGATTCCAGATTTTTAGAAGCAAAACCAGGTTCCAATCCTCTGACCCCAGCTTTTCCAATCTTTCTTGACAGGTTCCATATCATCTTTAGTATAGACATCAGTCTCAAGATCCATTTCGCTCGCCTTCCTGAACTTCGTGCGCTTGATGAGTTTCCATCCGAAAATCATCGCTACGAAGACTGGAAGCTCGAGATATAAGCTAACGAAGTCGATAGGACTAAACTTTGGACGGAATGAGGTCCAGCCTTGGACTAGAACGATAAAAATGTTCAAGACAACGCAAATGACTGGACCCCAAGGATAGGTCCAGTTCTTGAAGGGCAAAAGGTGCTCTTTTCCTTGCGCTTTGATACCTGCGCGAAACCGCAGCGATGCGATACCGATGCATATCCAACTCAACTGATTGGAGACGCCGACGATGTTTTGTAGCCACGTCCAGACCTGACCGGATCCTGCAAAAGATAGGGAGAAGAGGACAATGGCTACCAAGCTTGTCGTCATCACCGCGACCCAAGGAACCTGGTAGCGTGTCAACTTGGTGAAGACCCTTGGAGCATGGCCGTTTGCGCCAAGTGTGTAAAGAAGCCTCGATCCAGCATAAAGTGCATGATTACCGGCAGAAATCACGCTCGAAATCACGACTGCGTTGACGAATGAGCCCGCTGCTTTTGAGCCTGCCATCTGAAAGGCGATGGTGAAGGGAGATGTGCGGCTCGACTTGGTGCTCAGCCCGGGGTAGTCGTAAGGAATGTTGAGGCCGATCATGAGGGCTGAAAGAATGTAGAACAACAAGATGCGCCAAAAGACATTCTTGACTACACGTGGGAGCACGCGCGCGGGATCGCGGGTCTCTCCTGCGGTGATTGCGATCGATTCCGTGCCTCCGTATGCGAACGAAGCTGTTACGAAGACGGATGCGAAACCTCCAATACCACCAACAAACGGTGCATCTCCCTTGGTCCAATACTTCCCACCGATGTATCCATAGCCGATGTTTCCGCCTGCGTTGACTGCAATGCTCAAGATGATGAAGATGATGATCGTTACGACTTTCAGCAGACTCAGCCAGTATTCCAACTCGCCGTATGCTTTGACGTTGATGATGTTCGCCAGCACAATCAATACCCATACAACGATGCCAAGCGCATACCAAGGGAAATCATCCGACCAATACTTCACAAGTAGGTTGAGAGCCGTAAGATCTGCAGCTGTTGATACAGCATCATTAAACCAGTAATTCCACGTCAAGGCGAAACCGAATGCGTCGTCGACGTAGCGTCCTGCAAACGTGCAAAATGAGCCTGCGACAGGCACAAAAGCTGCCATCTCACCGAGCGAGAGCATTGTTACGAAGATGATGCCGCCCACGATAGAATAGCACAGGAGAAGGGATGCAGGACCGCCAGTTGCAAGCGCTTTTCCCGTCCCGAGGAATAATCCAGTGCCGATGGTGCCTCCTATCGCAATCATTTGTACTTGTCGTGCTGAGAGAGAGCGGCGCAGGTGGTCTTCATTCTGCGGGTGGAGTCGCGCATGGGACTCTGGCGAGCTGGAAACATCATGAGTGTTTTTTTCGGGGTCTGCGGAACCCATTGTCTGGCAGGGCAAACGAATTGTTGCGAAGTTGGATGGCAGCTGTCAAGAGTCAAGAAAGCCGGGCGGGAGGAAGCTTTTCATGGCGAAGCTTAGGGTGGTATTCGTCCAAGGCTCACCACGGCAGAGTTGATGGCGGCTTGCGCATTTTGAAATATATGCAACGAAGCACGCAATATCTTTGACACCGGATTGGCTCTACGGTGAGCGCGCTCCGCTGTGTACCATCTCGTTTAAAGGGTTTCTTCCCACTTGTCTTGGCCAGGTTAGCGAGTTGCCTGAATTGGATTCCTGTTAGCTTGGTACAGCGTTCACGAATCCTACAGTTACGTCATATCACCTCTCACACCATTAACGTCGTAACCGTCAGCGCACAAGCAGAGTGACTTAGTCTTAACAAGGCAAAACACTGTTAGGGAAGTAACCATAAACCTGGAAGTATATCGTCAAAACACAAGCTAAGCCTTTTGGGGACGCTAGAGCTACTAAGCCTTCGTCGAAGGAAGATGGCAACTTATGGACCTTCTCTAAAAGTGTAAGCGCGTGGTTCGAGGGAAGGAGATAATGGTTGTGGTAGATTGGTCATTGTTTGTGCATTTACTCGAAGCCTAGCCCCTGTGTTCGTTTATCAAACTAGGTGTATTGTCTTTTCTGTGAGTTTACCCGCATCACGTTGATCCAAGGCTTCGCCATCCATGAGCCCTTCCACATAGCATTCGCCAACAAAGCGATATGCATCAGTTCGAGGAATCGAGCTCTGCGTGGTTCCGGAAACAGGTCGTGTATTCTCGTCGTCAGCTCTTATCAGAGACTTTTTGCCAAAAGGTAGAAAGCTCTTCATTGACGCCTTGAGCTTCCCTACGGCTGACAAAGTAATCTCGTCGTCGACATGCAGCCATTCCGGACAATTGAGGTCTCTCCTCACCTTCTGTACAACGAACGGCGTCACCCCGCCATGCATCACACATACTTCATCGCCAGCCATTGTGATCGGCGGCCCTATACCCATATACCCCTGCTTGGTCACAAACAGGACTTTATCGAGCTCAATAGAAGTCTTGAAGTTATTCGCCATATGCGCCAAGTATTCAGCCCTACTGTCGGGTTCCGTCTCGTGCGTATGATCCCAGACACGGACATCTTTCTTAACAGGCCCACCTATATATTGAAATCCTGAGTCTTCTCCCTCTGCATAGGACTCGCCTACTTCCCAGTACGCGGTAAAGTACATCCCAAGGCTTGCTTCAGACGTGCCGTGCTTAGCTACTGAGCCCGTTGTGAGCACTTTAGCGAAAGCGTCAGCTAGATGCGGGTACCGATTGTGATATACGAGTTTCCAGTTGAAGGTAAAAGCCGTCCAGATTCTAGTAACAGCTCGGAAGACGTTGAGAGAAAAGAATGGGTCGTCATCATCATCCGTGTCGACAAGGTGGGGGTAGACTTTCACGATACTGTCGATGAGCATTCCTTGGAGCGAAAGCATGCGGGAGTCTCCTGAAGGGATGATGGTGGCTTCAGTTCCCTTCATTGTTTTAAAATTAGAACCATGGCCACGCCATGCGATGGGGCAGTGCTGGTTGTCATCGTCCCAGCTGGGCACCCAGGATGATTGTTCAATGTTCCACTTAAAGTCCCCATGGTCCTCATGGGTATGGCGGACTTGATTCAAGACGTGTAATGTTTGCTTGGGCCCAAAAGAGCCTGGCGTCTCAATGCAATGCCGAACAACGTCGCGAAAAAGGCTACGCCAGTCTCGCGCATAGTCGACACGGAGTCGTGGATATTTCTCGAGCATCCGCCCTTCTATGGTCATGCTAAGTAAAGCAAATATCTTATCATGTGGAACTGTAGAATGAAAGGTAGCTGTGGGGCTCAACCTGTGCATCAGGGAGATAGAATTACGTTTGCGGCATGTGTCGATAGTGAGAATGTTCCAACATCTGTGGAGTCCTGGTATGTTGTCCGTATAGCCGTGAGACAGCAACCAGATAACTGCCACAGCAACCTGATTCCACCCGATCTTCTCACCCTTTCCCACCAGCAGCACTGCCTGGTTTGCGGACGCGACTTCCTGTATAACCCAGACACGAGAGAACCAAGATCTACCTAGGAAGTTTTCAAGGCTTTTCCAGCCCGTGCTGTCCACGCCGGGCAAGCCGACGGCGATAGGGTCCTCGAATGGTGCCATGTCCGTGACAAGCATCTGATATGGATCTGGTTTGGCGACTAATTCTTTGCCTTGAGCCATACGGTTAATTTGCTTCAGAAGGGAAATTGATATTTCTGCATCTTGGACGTTTTGCTGGCCGTCTTCCTCATCTTCATCTTGGACCACATCGCCAATCCATACTAGTACTCGGGCGGACTTCGTATATATCTCTTTCATTCGCATTACTTGTATGTTTTTCTCCACGATATCCGTTTGATTTATACATATGGCGTCCACCCATAGCAGCTCGACCTTTTCTGTGTTCCGTACCCTCCTCAGTGCGGCTTCTAGGTTCATCGTGGCCGGGACATCGGTACCGTTGACTGTGATCCTCTCTCTATTGGATGGCGAGCCCCATACGTACGATAAAGCAGCGAAATCTCCTGCTACATCTTCCAATGATACTATGATGAGTTCACAGTGGATCATGTCGCAGTCGATGCAACCATGACCACAACATGTTTTGTGCACACCGGCGTCGGAATCAACACTCAATTCACTCAGATCGCTGACATCGCTCTTGCAGTCATCTTCATCAAAGTCGCTGTTATCCTCGTCGAGATGGAAGTGACCACATTTGCAGCATGTTAAAGTGGGTAGCAGCCGCAGCAGGCGGATCTGACTGCCTTCAAGACGGCTGGTGTAGAGGGACGCGAGCGCTTCGGTCGACATGATGTATCCTTGATATCGAGTCTCGGGAGTAATGCGTGGACCTGCGGCTATCATGTATGGAGTGCCTCGAAGGGTCTTAAGTGCCTAGGTAGCGCGTATGGGTAGCGTGCCGCTTTGGGCTACCTGAAACGCTGGAAATCAAAACGATTGGGGGCCATAAATATTGGACCGCGGTCCAGGATAACTATCGCAACATCCAAGTTAAAAGGATTTTCAAAGCGCCTACGCCCTAGTTAAGCTATTGCTAGTTTTATAAAAGTACTTTAAGTATAGAAATATTTATAATTATATTAATTTTTTTAAAATAAGTTAAAATAGTTGCTAATTATAGTTCTAAACTTTATTATTATTTTTTTATAGTACTAAATATTAATTTTCTGCTCTAATAAGTCTAATGCAAGTTATAGTTATATAAAAAGTTACTTATTTTTAAAGTATATATAAAGCTGCTCTATAGCCTTTATTTTCTATTTATATATAATAATAGAATAGATTTTTTTTTTTGCTACTTATTAAGGTATTAACTTATTAAATTTCCTTTAGCTAATTTATAATAGGCTTTTAAATAATAATATTTATAAAAGTAGGATTTTGCAGCTTAAAAAAATAAAAAAAATAATAACTTTTATATAAAGTGCTTTTTTCTATTAAAAACTAATACTTAGTAAAAAGTTTTTATTTTTTTATAACTATTTACTAATAGCTTATAAAAAATACTCTAATAGTTAAAAATATTAAAAATGCTAAAATTTAGTAATTCTAATTTTTTATATAAAAAATATTTATTTTTACTTTTACTACTACTAATTTAGACTACTTAGCTTTTTTTAAATAATTTTAGAAAATAATAGACAAACAGCTAAGTAGGCTGTACAGGCTATAGGTGTTAGAATAATAGTAGAGGTCCTATTAAGTTAGTACATATCTACTTATCTTTAAACTTATGCAAAAACTAGAATTTAAAACATACAGCATTTAACAAATAGTGTTTAGTTAGATGCAGGAGCAGAGATTAAGTAACTAAAGCATTATTCTTATTAAAATAGGCAGGTTAAGAAACTATAGTTGAAAGCTGCTGCTAGACTACTTTAGGCGGAAGAAATTGAACGCGTACGTTGAGGATACTTTGAGAACTTTGAGAAACATCCAAGTTAAGAAGCAGGCAACACAAAAGATAGACAGTATAATATGGCATCCGCTTAAAATAAGAACAGATTTTAGCAGAAAGTGTTCGGACGAAAACGTTGCAGAATTTAAGGGCGGCTCAGGCCGCACTAGCACCTGCAGATAAGAAGTGAGGATTTTGCTAATCTTCAGGCGTCCCAAGCTAAGAGGATTTATGAGAAAGGGCCTACGCTCCACGCCTACCTATTGAGCTATCGCTACTCTGTAGAGGTACTTCGAGTGACATCCCTAACCATACCTTGCCCATTCTACACCCCTGCAGTATATTGGTCTCGCAACCTCACTGCTTTGACAAATGCCACCTCCAAAGCATGCCAAAATTCTCATCGCTGGAGGAAGCGTTGCTGGCCTTGCGCTAGCCAACTCACTTGAGAAAACAGGCATCGATTATCTTGTTCTCGAACAATGGCATGAGATTGCTCCTGATGTCGGTGCCAGCATTGGAATTTTCCCAAACGGACTTCGCATTCTGGACCAGCTTGGTTGCTACGACGCTATCACAGCGTTGAATGAAGGCCGCGATGCGTTCGATGTGATGAAGATGAGAAATGAGCAGGGCAAGACAGTATTCAGTATGGAGAACCCATCGCGAGATTTCGTTGAACGGTAGGCTTTGTTATCTTCAACGTTGAAGTGGGCTTGTGTTGATAGAATCTAGGCTTGGTTATGAACCCATTTTCGTGGACCGGCAAATTCTCATTCGAGTATTATACGAGAATCTGAAGGACAAGTCCAGGGTCCTCATTTCGAAAGGAGTTACCAACGTCGTGCAGACATCAGATGGCGTACAGGTCGAGACAAAAGATGGGGATTTGTTTACAGGAGAGATTCTTGTAGGAGCTGATGGCATTCACAGCGCTGTTCGCCGTGAAATGTGGAGGTTGGGGAACGCGGATAGACCAGGCTATTTCTCGCGCCAGGAACGAGATGAGGTCGCTACTGAATTTTGCTGCATTTTCGGAATCTCCAAGTCCACGGATAAGTACCAACATCACTCGGCGCAGTATGTGATGAGTCAAGGCCACTCGTATCTTTTGGCTAGCGCTCCTGGAAATCGTATGTACTGGTTTCTGTTCAAGAAACTGGAAAAGACTGTGTATGGACTATATGAACAGATCCCACGATACACAGAAGCAGACGAGAATGCGCTAGTCGAGAAACACGCAAACGATCCATTGGGAGATGCCTTATGCTTTGGCGACGTGTACAGGCTACGAACGGCAGCAACGCTCCAGGCTTTGCCAGAAGTCGTGTTTTCAAAGTGGCATTATGGCCGAATCATCACCATTGGCGATGCTGCACACAAGGTAAGGGCTTGTTTCTGTCTTTCTAGCTACAGCTCATTGACGAAATATCAGTTCAACCCAATCAACGGTCAAGGTGGAAACAGTGCTATCGAGGACGCGGCAGTGCTCACCAACGAACTATTCACCCTACTCAAAGGCAAAGGCAAAAACGCCGATGTCACCACGGAAAATATTACAACGGCCTTCGCAAGCATGCAAGCGAAACGTCAGAACCGCGCATCCAGGATGATGAAAAAGGCTCATACTACCCAGAGCGTTCAAGCAATGGATTCACTGTCTTCGAAACTTATTGCCAGATACATCATACCACTCGCTAATAAAGAGCATGGTCTGGAGGCGCTGTTAAGCGCGTCGCGACCAGCTGCACGACTAGAAATGCTCGCAGTCCCGTCAAGACCACACTACGACTCTTTCTATGACGAGCGTCCTGCTAGGCCACTCAAAAAAGGGTATTTGACGACGGTGCGACTCATCGCGTCTGGAGTGTTCTTAGTGTTGATCTATATGGCGACGCAGAATATGAAACGATCGCACACACTGCAAACAAGCAGCTATGGAAGAGTGGAAACAAAAACATATACAGGCGTCGAGCCACTCGATCGCATAATCAATATGAATGCCGCTAACTCTGCAGGTATGGCTAACTGGAGCGACACTGGCCATACTCTGCAATTCTTGTACCTCGCTTCGTGGCTAGCACCACTCCTTCTCGTCTGGTTCGTTGAAGGCCATCGCTATGGCGCACGAGGCACGCTCATCGCATGGTGCGTATCTTTCTTATGCCCTCTTTAATGGTTTGGCTAACTATTTGAACCAGGCCAACGTCCTACGGTGTTTTCATGCATGTCTTCAGCATCGCTATCACTGCTCCCGTTTATTGCCTGGCAAGCATATGGATTGCTGCCGGCGAGTCTTATACTCCCGGTATTGGTCGACATATCCCGTCATCCACTGCTCGAGGCCTGTTGCCATCTATCGTCCTTGGCTATGTTGCACCGATGTTGCTCATGTTTATCCCAACTACCATCTCGCACTTTCAGGGATCTGCTGTAATGTGGCAGTTTGCCGCTATTTCTATCAGCTTTCTGGTCTTTGCGTTTTCGAAAAGTTTAGCACCAGGCAAGCAGGGATCTTCGGACTCTTATTCCAGCGATGCTCCCCATCTTCTGAAGGCGTACAAGGCTTCGTTCCTCTTTTCACTCCTGTATCATTTCTTCACTATTTCATACGTTTTATGTTCGCGCGACCCTGCAATCTCATTCTCACGCTTAATTTTTGCTGCACACAACTCTCCTGGGTCGTGGAATGACTCTAGAGAGGGTATTTTCTCGTTCATGAAGCAAGAGCTTCTCTTTAGTGCCCTTGCTATGGCTCTGTATGGGATGTATAATATATTCGACTTGCGCCGCAGAGGTTTAATAACAACAGATGAAGCTGTGTCTGTTTCCGTTAAGTTTCTTGGTGGGCAATTAGTGCTTGGACCTGGGGCTGCGTTAGTGGGTTTGTGGTGGTGGAGAGAAAAGAAGATTTTGAGTATAAGCTTGGAAGGAAGTGCTGAGTTCTACAACACTTACTACAGATGACTTCTTGTCATTATTACTGGTTATATCATCGTTCAGATCGTACTCTACATTCAAATCTGAGCTATACATTCTCCGCTCCTGGATTTGTTTCCAGATCAATTTGGTCCTTTCCCTGCGAAGCTTCGAGCTTCTCCAGAATGATAATGCCCACACTTCATATTGTGCGCTCAGACTTCTCGTCATGATTCAGAACCGCGAAGCTTCTTACAATGTCAGTGAGCCATTTCGGAAGGTATGCTGTAGATTCGAATGGTTTTTTCATTAGTCTCCTGGTGCTAGATTTACCAATCATCTCTGTTATCGTCATCATATCTCTGCTCGTCCCTTCCATCATCATACGCGTTGTCCATCCTATCTCCGAAGCTTTCTACCCTGTTGACATCATTGTCCCACCGATTCTCAATGTCTTGCGGGATATCTTCTACATCCTGCACCTATTGCGTAGAAAGAGCACGTCAGGAAGTTTCTCTCGCGAAGTTTGGGGGTGGATTGTTACCTTCTCGCCAGTCCATCTCGCTGCATTCTCAGGAAGATTCTCGACGTCGTCAACGGCATTGTCCCAGCGGTTTTCTACACGGTCGCCAACGCCTTCAACACGACCAACTTGCTCGCCTGTCCAGTTGGCAGCGTTATCAGGGAAGTTGGTGACGTCATTCTCGAGACGGTATTTGTCCTGGTCGACGCGGTTCTCGAATCGGTCCTTGTCGCGGTCCCAGCCCTCTTCTAGTGGTATTGCGTTAGCATGGAGTTCATATGCTCAATACTTGGAGCAATTTAATAATTAATGTGAGAAAACATACTCATCTCCTCCCCCTCGTGCATCACTAGCGCACCGCCCGCTAACCCCGCCGCACCAGCAGCGGCATACTTCCACCCATTTCCTCCGCTCTTCTTCTGCTGCTCCTGCTGATAACCCCCCTGAGTTGGATTATACGCGTTCTGGTTGTATGCGCCTTGGTTGCTATACCCGCCTTGGTTGGACCCATACCCGCCTTGTGGTGTGCCATAGCTACCTTGCTGTTGTGCGTAGCCTGGGCCGGGATATGTGAAAGTGCGTTCGCCGTTTTGCTGGTTCACGAAGAGCCAGCGGTTGTCGCGGGCGTCCCACTCGGCATACCATGGTGGGGAGACAGGCGGTGGGGACGAGGCGGCTTGCGAGTTACCATACTGCTGCTGGCTTTGTTGGCCTTGCTGCCCAGAATGTGTAAATCCGGAAACGAGTTCGTTAAGAAAGCCCATTGTGAGTGAGGCTGCCTGTACTGGGGCTAAACAATGGAGTCACCCTGAGGAGCGCATGGTGCGCTATTTATCCCTCCTGCCACGTTGGCCATTGCTCTGCACCAAACGCCTGCAGCTAGCACTTCCAAATTGCAATCGGCGCTTACGGAGGTTGTTCCGCTGTAATGCAGCTCCGACTGGTGTGTTGCTGAGGCGGTGCTTGGTCTGGCGCCGTTCTGGACCTTACATCGAGCGAGGGAGGATCGCGATGATCTATCTGTGAAACCTCTAGAGTTCCAACCACCTTTTCTCGTGCGACATCTTCTAGGATTATGCGATTTGTATACATATCTTTGGCTAGGATGAGACCTAAAGGATCCACTCCGGGATCGTCCGGAGGAGCAAGCTTTTCCAAGCTTTCCTAAGCTTTGCTTGGCTGCAGCTGGCCCCGTCTCATGCTGCATCATCTCCTCGACGAATTATCACTGGCCTTCACAAAAGGTTTGAGGCGCAGTTTAGGGGTGTAGCACCATAATATAGCTGCGCCATGCATGATAGATATTTGCGTAAGCGAAGGGTCCAGACACGATGTTCTTGACGCCCAACTTGTGGAATCTGGAATCCGGCTAGGAATTCTCGCCCTACCTGTACCTATACCAGCCCACAGAATGGCACAAATTCTAGACAACGCACATGAGTAATTGCTTTCACTCTTTGGTCAACGGAGAGATCTACGGGCTAATTATTTGTAGATGCAATAAGGTTATGTCTTCGAAGACAAGATAACAGAGTGGACGAAGCAAGATCAAAATGACTTTGTGCATGCCTCCAATAAGCCTTCATTTGCTTCTAATCTGGTCATGGGTATCTAGTCAAACACCACCTTCTTCCCCTGTGGCTTAGCGCCATTGATATCGATCGTCAACTTCTTACTCTCCTTCGCCGCCTTTGCCGCCTGCCAACTAGGATGCAACTCGCCCTTGTCATCCCTCTTCACACCCTCACTTCGCTTCTGTTGGCCAATCGGCTCTGCATTTCCTCCACTTTGTTGCGGTCCTCGTCCCTTCGGCGCACTGCTCCTATCGCCCCTTCCACGCCTGTCATCACCGACAGCCCCCCGTTTAGCATCCCAGCCTTTGGTTCTGTCTGCTTTCTCCAAGTGTTTAGCTGTAGCGCCATATTTTGCCTCTGCGATTTTCTGGCGTGCCCGCTGGCCGCGACGGTTCTTTCGCGGTGCTTCTTCTAGGTCTGAGGCTTCAGATTCGGAGCCAGAGAAGTATGCGGCGTGGCTAAGCGCAGGGAGGAAGGCGGAGGAGGTGATTTTCGCGTTTTTTGAGGGTTTGGCTTTGGATTTTGAGGGGGCTGTTAGGGATTCGTCGTCCGAGTCCGAGTCTGCGGAGACTGAGGGTGTAGCTACTGAGAGAAAATTTCGCTTGTGTTCGTTTTCGCTATCGGTGTCCTCTGCCTCGCTGTCGAAGGATGGAAATGCGTCGGCTTCTGAATCGTCGCTGGCTTCATCGAGATCGGCTTCAGGGTCATGTTCGCTCTCGCTATCCCCTATACTCGGCGGTCGCTCGTCGCCCGAGATTGAATCCTCGCTATCCTCTCCGCCAGACGACGGTGCTGCTATCCTCGTGCTGAATGCCTCATAGGGATCGCCCTCCTCGTCGCTCACATCCAGCATATCCACATCCTCATTTTCTGCCTTGGACTTCTTTTGCTTCTTTGGGGTGTCCTTCGGCGCACTTTGGGCCTTGGTAGAGGTCTCAGATGCTCCAATGATAGCCTTCAAATCCTCAATAACCTCGTCAACAACCTTTTTGACCGCAGGCACCTTGTACAATCTAGCAGTCACATTCAGCGTCGCCGGATCCTTTGCAAGAACCCTGCCCTCATAGCCTTTCTCTTCGCCTCCTGCACTGCCATTGATATATTCCTGCAGCGCCTCGGCATCTTTCAAGCTCTTCACTTTGCCCACGGTCCTGCGCAGAAGCTGATCGGCCACCTTCTCCAAGTCCAGCCCCTTGAGCACCGCATACTCAATTTCAAGTCGGGCTATCGTTTTCTCGTCTTTCTTCGCTTGCGCAGTCTTCTTGCGACGACTGTGTTTTTGGCGCTCGAAGCCGGCTCCGAGGCGGAGCGCAACGACGAGGGATTTGAGAGCGGTGGTGAGGCGTTCCGTGCAGAGCTTCTTTCGGCGCGCGGGTGTATTTGACGGCTGCGACTGAGTGGGATCGGGCGAGGAGCGTTTTCGTTTGACCATTGCGGGCGAGATTATGCAGGACGCGTGTGATGGAGTGCTGGTGGAAATTTTGGAGATGCTTCAAATCTTATCGATAACGATCGCGTTAGCTTTCCCTATTTCGTACAAACGTCTGTCACCTTGACACTTCTTTCATACAACATCCAACCTTTTACTTATCGCAATCTTGATATACTTTATACTAAAACTAGACTGAGCCCCTGATAAGTAGAATATGTGTTTGACTATGGGAGGATACATTCTACGTCGAAACACTTTATGTCTGTTACATCCCTCATTTACCACATGTCATAACCCTCTCTACTGCTTCTTCCTCGTCTTCTCCTGCGCATACAATTCGGTCTCTGGGTTCCAAGGATGTCGAGGCTGTTTGCTAGCACCTAAAAGTCTTCCACGTACTCCTCCTCCTCCTCCTCCTCGCCTACTCGGCATTTCAGTACCAACATATACGCTCGGTCCCCCAACCCCTCTAATTTTCTCACCATAGGCTGTCTGGCCTCCTTGCTGCATGTGAACGCGTAGCTCGTCTGGTTGTAGGTGTCTCTGATTTGTTATCGGTGGGACGGCAGTGGCTTGTCTGTTGTGCTGAGGTTGGCTGTCGACAGATCTACCTCGTGCAGTACGGCTCACGGCGCCACCCCCTTGTCCTCCCCAGCGTATTTCAGTTCCTCCACCAGCAAGAACTGCTTGCACGGCTGGCTCAAAACTATTGTTAGCTCCAGGAGGATTGGACTGTGGCTGTCCGCCGCCGCTTTCAGCTGAATGAAGGTTAGCTTTCCATTAGAGTGACAAGGTCTCCTAGAGATTAAAGACTACGATTTTGCTGCGATGTTCCTTTAGGGGAACTATGCCCCGATTTTTCGTTGTCCTTGTTCGTCGTCTGCTTCTTCTTCCTGCCTTTCAGCTTATCGCCAAGTGTTTTCCAATAAGACTCCTGATGTTTGCGGACGAACATCTTTTGAGAGCGCTCCTCGGGCATATTGTCGGTCGTATGAAAAGATGCTCTTGCGGTGCAGCTTGCATATGCTGATGATTGAAGCTTTAAGGCGCTGTGCCAACACAGCACTCTTCAAGCTCTCCGTGTTAAAGCAAACGTAGGAACGCATAGTTGACTCACCGCTGCCACCAAAGAGACCACCTCTTCCACCTCGTCCAGCGAACGAGTTTCGACCAACAGAGGAACGTCGACCAGCAAACCTGCCTCCACGAAGCAATCCACCCCGGGGGACCAAGCCGCCGCGTGAGGTTTCATCTGCACTGAAGAGACCACCTCGTTGAGCGGGTCCACCACCGCCGAAGAAACCACTGTCTGCAGGTGATTCGGTGTTCTGAGGAAAGGTCCCACGACCTGCTCCAAAACCCGCGTGCCCTCCGCCCACACCCCCAGCACGTCCCCTCCCTCTTGCGCTTTCTTGACCGCTATCACGACTTCGGGCAGCAATGTAGTCCTTCAGGTACTCGACACGATCACCGCTATATTCATTTTCATAGTGCGGTTCGTAACCGCGTGCTGAAATGTGCTCTGCAATTCATTAGACTCATTATAATCAAAGACACAGAGTGGAGACAACGATGGATTAGAAGGTGCAGAAACCTATTGTATACGAGGGTATGTGAAGGCTCTGGGTCGGTTAGACAGTTTTACCTAAGTCTATGGGCGGTGGAGTGTCGGATCTTCCGAAAAAACACATTCAGTAGATTTTGAGGTGTTACTGGGTGCTTTAGTTGGTTTCTTAGTTGATGGTAATGTTAGTACTTGATTCTTTCGCTGTTCCGTAAGAAGGTGGATGTGGCAGGGAAATTGCGATAGGTTGATGATGACGAGGACTAGGGTAGAGATCGCTTTATAGGGGGTCTGAGTGTTGGAGGTGAAGATGTGTGTTTGTCAAGCAATTCCCTATATTCACAGTATGTGGACAGCCTAATTGGTTTGCGTGCCTAATGTGTAGGTTACAGATAACGAAGGAAAGCCGACAATGTATTTATCATATGCATACAAGCCTATTTCTATTCTGATTTCAATATACACCCAGACTCATGACAAATACAAATCTACATAGTTTCACACTTCACAGTGGTATAAACATTACCCTCCGTCGCCCTCGAATACGGACACACCTCCCTTGCCTTCTGCACCACCTTCTCCAAATCTTCCTTCTCCATGCCCCGAACCTTAACCAGCAACTGCACGCGCAGACCCATATCCAATTCTTTCATGCTCCCGACTAACTCCACCGTCGACTCGACGATGCTATCTTCTGTTTTAGTAGGCATTTTGACGCCTAGGGAGGGTGCGACGGCGTTCATCGCGCTCTGGAAGCAAGCTCCGTAGCCGGCTGCGAATAACTCTTCTGGGTTTGTTTTGCCTTTGTCGCCCGGACCGCCGAGTGCTTTGGTCATGGTTAGGTCCACCTTGAGATTTTCGCCATCGACGTGTCTGATAATCTTGCGTTAGTAAAAAGACCATTGTAGTGAACCCCCCGATCGAGTTTGGCTGGTTCAAACGCACCCTGTTCGTGCTCCTACGACGTGTGCGCGCGCTGTGTATAGATTGGGCGCTGTCTCGGTGTTGATGAAGCGACGTGGAGTCGCGATAGCATTTCTCTGAGAAACACGTAGAGCCTGGCGAAGCATTGGCGCGAAGGTTCTGCTGGCCATCATGATTGATGATAAGTTAAGATTGAAGTTGGCTTGGTAGCATAGAATTATGAGTTTCAGTAAAAGATTCTGGAGGCGAGTGGAAGAGTGAAGAGTGAAGATTGGCAGGACGTCAATTCACGGGCTTTCTCAGGCCTATTGCAGCCTATGGTCTGCTGTGACATAGTCTTTGACATCTTGAAATCATGACGTTTAGATGAAGGTTGAATGCGTTTAGCGCAAGGGACTCCCGCCGCTAGTGGCCGAGATCTAGGGATCATGACGCGACCGACACCTGCATTTCTGATAGGATCGGAAGAACATGGACTAACAAGATCGCGATCCTGGTGGCCGTGCAGGGTTGTCGCGTCTATAACCTAGCCTCCTTCTCACTCTCTATAACAGCGGCCAACGTCCCCTCTGTAACATCTTCTCCATCTTCCGCCTCGGTAACCCAAGTCACTCTCCCACTCTTTGGCGATCGAACTTCGAGTTCCATTTTCATTTGCTGCACTACACAAATCACATCGCCTTCCTTGACCACGTCACCTTCATCGACCAGGACTTCAACCAGTTTGCCCGGGAAAGGGATGTTTATATGTGAAGGGTCTGATGGGTTGCCGCGCCTGTGATGTGAAGTTGCCGCTGACGCACTGGCGGATGTTGCGCTCAAGGTAATTGTGTAAGGTGTGGAATGAGGCCTGGCAGAAGATGATGCAGACGGCGTTGTGAAGAGAAACTCGGCACTTAACGAGGTAGGAAACTCGTTGCGCAGAACACGGGTTAGCTCAAGGTGGTATGGTAGTTGCTCGCCTTTGTGCTTTACATCATCAGGAGTAGATATGGCCATCGACCATGCATCGCCCTTGCGAAAAAGTGTGTTTGGTGTTGATATTACAGCACTCGAAGATGTGCTTGTGGTGTCTGCAGCCAGATTGATTTGCCGGGAAGCGGAGAGGAGTTGTCCACAGTGAAGAAGCTCTTGTTGTTTGCTTTCTAGCCATTGTGTATCACATTGGCCCTCTAGGAAATCAGAATGCGCAACGATGGCCTTTAGAACATCAAGATTGGTCTTCACACCACTGATTTGAGTGTCATCTAAGGCTCTTTGAGCCTTTCGGACCGCATCTCTCCAAGAAGATGCCGTGATAATGAGCTTAGCAAGTAGGCTGTCAAAGTCTGCCGATACAACGGAAGCGTGACCGTTGATGAGATGTGTATCGACGCGGATTCCGTTGCCTGTAGGAAATCGAAAGGAGGTAATCTTACCAATTGACAGGGACCAGTCACTCTGTACATTCTCCGCTGTTATACGAAGCTGTATTGAGTGTGCTGGAGGTGTGAGTTCCGGGTCACGTTTGGCGTTGGGTAAACCACAACTTTCCAGGCTGGCGCCTTGAGCAAGCAGTAGCTGAGCTTTGACAATATCCGTCGTAGTAATAGACTCCGTAATTGTGTGTTCGACTTGTAACCGCGGGTTGACTTCTAGGAAATAGTATTCTCTGTTGCTCGGATTTACAAGGAACTCGAATGTGCCTAAGGAGAAATACTGGATCTGGGAACATCAGTGTTGGATTGATGGTATTTTATAGTCTGAGCGCTTACATGCCTAGCCATCCTGAGTGCATCCTCGATGACCTTCGCGATCAGTTTGCGATCAGGTATGACACTCGGCGCTAGCTCCACCACTTTCTGGTATCGCCTTTGAATGCTGCACTCGCGTTCCCAGAGGTGTGTAACGTTTCCGGTTCCATCGCCGATAATCTGCACTTCAACGTGGCGGAAGCCATTGATTGCTGCCTTCTCTGCGAATATCTGCTTAGAGGGGCTCTCCTCGACTGCCCGCTTCACTAAAGAGGCCAGCTGCTCTTCGCTTTGAATGAGTCGAATGCCTCGACCGCCTCCACCGTCTATCGCTTTGACCATGATTGGGTAGCCAGTCTCGGATGCGAACTGCCGTACATGTTCCACGCTGTTGGTGGGCTTGCGTAGAGCTGGAGACACAGGGACATTGTCTAAGTAAAGATGAGCAAGACGCATACTATCGAGTTTTTCTGGTAAACTTGCACCTCTCAGCAAGCTGTCTCGCTTTCAGCTTGTCCCCTGTATTCTCCAAGATACCCCATCCAGGACCTACCACCATAGCACAGGCTTCTTCCCACATTCGCTTGGAGAACACTTCAGATTCCGAAAGGAAGCCATAACCGGGATGTACAGCATCGATTTGATATTTCTTGACGATCTCAATAAGCGCATCAATGTTCATGAAGGATGCTGCCGATGGTAGTTCGATTGCATTGGCTGCTCGTGCGGCATGGGACATGTCCCCAGACACATATATCGCGTGTGTCTCAATATCAAGTTCTCGAGCTGAAGATATAATTCGTGTTGCTATTTCGCCTCTGGCTAGTTAGCAGGTTCCTAGTCGTTCGCAAGGTATAGCGTACCTGTTCGCAACGAGAAGGCGTTTGATGGGTCTTTGAGTTGGTCTTGACATATTTCCTTGTGGCGACCGGCTAAGAAACAATTTTAACCTTTCCAGAGAATCAAATTTCTTGATTGTATAATCAATCCAGATGAGTGAAAGATTCGCCAAGACCGACTCGGCAGGTCGAAAAGTGCTGGAAATGAGGCTTAGGGCGGATTGGGGAATTGCGGTGAAGTTTGCAGGCTCACGGGGCCTACGAGGTCTATATTAGAAGACTTGTTCATTGAGGTTTGGGATGCCATGGTCAACAATGAATGGGCGAAGGCGAGGTGCAATGTCGTAACGAGGCTTAGCGGGGAAAGCTCCAAGTACCTCGGTTCCCCAGCTTCCCCAACTTTCTACCACGGCCATCGCGTCCTAGCCGACATCATGGCCATGTGAAGCCACACGAAATGCTCCGTTGATGGAGCTCCTCATAACAGTCTAGGAACGTGTCCCACACAAACGTACAAGAATATCTCTGGGCAAGGAATTAAGACAACGCGAAGGGATCACGAACTATACCTAGATCATGGCCGGCGATGATCAATCCCCCTCATCGAAGGAAGCGTCCAAATCACCTTCTACTGCGCAAGACCGACTTACCCAAGTGAGCGCCCACGTTGCTCCTAACACGCCCAAGCGTCGAAGGAGGAAAGGGGGCGACTCAGACCTCCCCGCCGACTACTCCGACATCCTCAGCCAGATTACGACGCTCCGCAACATCGCAGCAACGCCCGATACCAATAACAGAGGCTATATACGGCAGAAGCAGGCAGGCAAGCTATGGGTGAGGGAGCGGGTGGACCAATTGCTAGACCCAGGGAGTTTCCAGGAAGTTGGCAGTGTGAGCGGCACGGTCAAGTGGAAGCAGTTGGGGCCAGTCAAAGAAGAGCCAGTCGAGTATGTGCCGTCAAACAACGTGCAAGGTATGTTTCAGAAGGAGGGATAGTCCCGCCGATACTAATCTAAATAGGCTTCGGACGATTACGAGGGCGGAAGATTGTCTTCACGGCTGACGATTTCTCAATTCGCGCCGGTCACGCTGATGGCGCGCTGATGGACAAGACCGTAGGCAAGGACCAGTGCGTTGGCTTTTATAGATGCTAAAGACGCCTAGGTGTACATGGAGAAGCTAGCGATAGCACTCAAATTACCCATAGTCAAGCTTGTCGATGGTTCATCTGGTGGAGGCTCCGTCACCACCATCCGCTCCACCGGCTACTCCTATGTGCCCCCGCTACCTTCCTTCACACAAGTTGTCCAGCAGCTCAACATGGGCATACCGAATCTTGGCGCAGTGCTCGGACCAGCGATCGGGCTCGGTGCCGCACGGGTGGTAGCATGCCACTTCTCCGTCATGGCCGCCGATATAGGCTCCCTATTTAATGCCGGACCAAGTGTAGTCAAGAACGCTACATTTGAGGAAGGACTATCCTTCACTGATCTAGGAGGTCCAGCAATGCACTGCACAAACGGGACTATTGACAACCTAGCCCCTGATGAAGCAGGATGCTTCGAGCAGCTACGAACAGTTCTAAGCTATCTTCCAGACTGTGGCACTAAGCTCCCTCCAACAGTCGACTGCTCAGATCCAATTGACCGCATATCGGAAAATCTTCGATCGATCATCCCGCGTGCTAAGACTCGGATGTATAACCCACGCGCAATCATTACTGAAGTTGTAGACCAAGGCTCATTCTTCGAGATTGGGTCACTTTGGGGTACCACTTCCATTGTTGGCCTGGCCAGGTTTTCCGGCAAACCAGTCGGTGTCGTCTCGCTCAACTGCGAAGTTAACGCAGGTGCGCTGGATGCATTTGGATCGCAGAAAATCACACGCATGCTTAAGTTTTTGGATGTTTTCAACATCCCTCTCATCCAATTCGTAGACGTGCCTGGCTACGCGATTGGCACGGTCGCAGAGCGCAGTGCAACGATGCGGCACGGTGTCACACTCGCCGCAACATATTATAGCACTACAATGCCAATCTTCAGCGTCATCGTTCGACGCGTGTACGGCGTAGCAGGCGGCCTTATGCTCGATTGCCGCGACCCCCGAATGCGCATCGCCTGGCCATCAGGTATGTGGGGATCGCTTCCGCTCGAAGGCGGCATCGAAGTCGGGCACTCCTTCGAACTCAAGGAAATTGAACGCCAGCACGGCAAAGAGAAACGAGCCGAGCGGTATGCAGAACTGGAGAGCGAGTATAGACGGCTTATGAACCCTGTTCGAACAGCGAACCATTTTGGTGTTGAGGAGATTGTTGACCCAGCGTTCACAAGACATGTACTCTGTGAGTGGGTGATGCATGTATACGAGAGCTTACTTCCTGAAAGGATCATGGAGAGAGTTGCTGGGAAGCTTCAGCCAACTTTCGCGTAGAACAAAGTTCGCACTGCCCGGCAAAGTTCTCGTGTTGTAACCGGCAGTCTCGATGTTTGGGGGCTGGGTATCCTTCTCACGGCGTCAGCAAATTCGTGCTCATAAACCCCGAGTTTGTGCGACGAAACCAATGATGACAAGTTCAGTCAATGAGCGTGTAGCTCACAGGATTTTCTTCGCCTCGAACACTGCTTACCCGCACTTTGGTTTCAGGCAATCCTTCAGCATTCTAGCTTGTACTAGACGGATGCTTGTTAGAGCCCAACTCCACGGTAGCGATCTTCACGTCAGCGGTTGTGGCGTCATAACAACTTGCATGATTGGAGTCAGCGCGTTTAATCCGTGTGGCTCAGCAATTGTTGGCGGGCCATTTAACCTGCTTGGCACATCTGCGTCCATGTCGTTACCGTTTCAGTAACACGCAATTCCATACTTCCCGTTCACTCTCTCTAGAATTTCCCAAACTTCTACGCTTCTTATATCAGTCTTCCTACATATTTGTATCATGTGCAGATGTGCAGCCCCGATCCAACCACCTATAAATTCTCTAACCCCTTTCTCCCCTGCGCATAGCATCGAGTCAATAACCACAACCTGATTCGTCACGGAACGCCTCCTGGGTATATTAACGCCAACATGCGGGGCCGAATGTCAATGCGCTCCTTACCCCAGCTACTTTCCACATCCCGCTGTGAACGATCCGTAGCGACCGTCTCACCGGCATGCCGCAGATTACTCTAGACATGACAGCGCCCCAAAGTCTGGAGCATATAGATCCATCCACATCCCCGCCCGCCCGGACATTGGCCACCGGACGTTTGTTTGCCTCACTAGTTCATCAACGTTTGGGACATCACTACAAACCCTATCTCTGGATTTCAGTTTTGACAGACTAGTCCAAGAAGAGGCATGGCCCCTGTCGGCGCTGCCGCTGCCGCTCGACAAGCCGCCCCTGTACTAACGCGCATCGTTGAGCAAGATACAGTACCATGGTATCGAAAGAGGAATCTGAGGAGACTCTATCTACTGTTGCTACCGACGTGTATTGGAATCGAGATGACATCAGGTTTCGACTCGCAGATGATTAACACGGTGCAGATTGCGCCATCATGGCAGGCTTGTAAGTAGACATGCAGTTTGAGTGTATAGACGATCTAACGGACGCAGACTTCAACCACCCTCGAGGAGCACTCCTTGGTATAATATCTTCGGCATACAATCTAGGCGCCATCTGTGCACTCCCTCTAGTCCCGTACATAAATGACAAATACGGTCGACGATGGGCGATATTCATCGGCTCTTTGATAATGGTCGTCGGATCTCTAGTTCAAGCGCTCTCCGTCAACGGTACCTTACCCGTCCACATTCTCCATGCTCACTCCCTTACTGACATATACAGCTGGAATGTACGTCTTCGCTCGCTGGATCCTTGGCTTCGGTATCCCCTTCTGCATTATTGCCGGATCCGCCCTTATGGGCGAACTCGCTTACCCCAAAGAACGACCGATCATGACTTCGTTGTTCAATGCCCTGTGGTTCGTTGGAAGCCTCATCGCAGCGGGCACAAGCTATGGGACACAAACTATCAAGTCTGATTGGGCGTGGAGGATACCATGCTTGTTACAGGCTGGGCCAAGTATTGTGCAGATGATCTTTATATTGTACGTTGAAACGACTTCTCCCAGTGTCGACGTTAGGGTAGTAAATTTCGCACAAATGCTGACTTGAACATAGTATGATCCCCGAGTCCCCCCGCTTCCTCATCTCCAAAGATCGCCGCGAAGAAGCATACCACACCCTGATCACCTTCCATGCCGAAGGCGACACATCATCTCACTTCGCCGCAGCAGAAATGGCTCAGATTGAACACACTATCCGCATCGAACTCGAGAACTCTCAACGCTCATGGCGCGAGATGATCACTGTGCCTGGCCTACGCAAACGCGTCATCATCGGTTCCTTCCTCGGCCTATTCACACAATGGTCAGGAAACACGCTACTCTCCTACTACCTGAACGACCTACTTCGCCTGATCGGATATTCGGATCCACAGTTCGTTGGTAAACTCAATGTTGGGCAGAATAGCTGGAATTTGGTCAGTGCTGTGTGCATCTCGCTGCTTGTTAGGAGGTTTCCGCGACGAAAGATGTATCTTATCTGCGCGAGCTCTCTGCTGTGCTGCTATGTCGCTTGGACCATTGCTGTGAAGACTTACATGAAGACCAAGCGGGCTGAGCCTGCACGGCTCGTCATTGCTATCATCTTCATATACCAAGCGTGTTATAACATTGGGTATAATGCGCTTACGTACAGTAAGTCTACTTCCTTGATCGCTCGAGCAGGAGAAGCAGAGACGGCTTTTGGGGGATGTTGAATGTATGGCTGACTGCTAACGTAACGATAGCGTTTCTCGTTGAACTGTTCCCCTTTACCCAACGCGCGAAAGGGATCACAATCTTTCAGTTCTTCGGGCGCTCCGCAGCCTTCTTCACGACGTTTGTGAATCCGATTGGCCTGCATGCTATTGGCTGGAAGTGGCTGACCACATACTGTTGTTGGCTAGCTTTTGAAATTGTTTTCATCGTAGGTCCTCTCTATCTCTCTTCTCGCTCTATCCTATAATTTTGTTTTCAGTACCTACTGTCTCCTTCATCTCACTGGATTTTTGAGGTGCTAACGATCGCAGTACCTCATGTTCCCCGAAACCTACGGCCGCACACTCGAAGAACTCGCTTTTCTCTTCGAAGACCGAGCGCTCGCGGAAGAAGCAACTAGAAACGTTGAGAAGCAGATGGATTATGCGGCAAGGCGGTTTAGCAGGATGGATGAGCGAATGAGCTGGGAGATGGACGTTGTGATACCGAATAAAGATGGTAACAGCAGGGATAGGGGAGGGAGGGTGGAGGTGAGAGATATGAGGAGAGGGGATTGGTGGGAAGATTAGGATTCGTCACTGCGATCGACATAACCCCCATCTCTAATACTCTAATTACCATTTCTGAGTGGTGTTTCGTCTTCCCCGGTCTTGTGTAGTAACTACGCCTGTCGGCAACAGTTGTTCGTCCTGCCTATATGGCCGAAGCCAGGCTAGAATCGATCTTGCACCCATTAATGGTCCCAGTTTACTCGCAAAACATATTGTATAATTCTAAACCCCTAGAGGCCTTTGGCAGGTGAACATTCTTTAGCGGGGCTTCAGCAGCCCAGAGTCTTGGGACCATACTTCTCGCTTCGCTGTCTGCCCCACTCTACACACAAAGAGCCCCACTGTCGCGAAAACTTTAGTTTTGAGTTACAGTAAGTTTTAAAAATATGCTTGCTCCTATCTAGCTTCTCGATGCGCTCTTTTCTGTGACTATATTTATTCCAATTTTGAAGTCGCCCATCGGTTTTGTAGTGTACGTTTGTCCTCAAGCAACACTTCTCACTTGCCCCCGCTAATTGCCTCATAGGTAGCGGTTATCACTCCGGATTCTGATTATTTCAGTGTCTTCCGGCAACCCCGGTTCGATTCCGGGCAAGACCTTTCCTTTTTGTTGCTTGCTCTGTCCCCCTTTTTGTGCAAGTGAAAGGGTCTTCTGCGGGTTTGGAGTCGCCTGTTCACCACGCCTTTTCCGTGACATGAACATTGAGTCTATACGCCGGCAAGTCTGTCTAAACTGACTTGGAATAGCAAGTTATCATGTCAATAGATGTATTGATTAGTCTGTATTACAGCCCATGACCGTTTCCCTAGGCCTTCCCGCTGCTACCACAGATATCCATCCACCTCTCTGTCTCAGCCTGGATGACTCTTATTTGCTCATCAATTAACTTAACCAACGGCATACTCGCCGCATTCTTCCTCAAAACCTCGTTCCCAACCTCCAGCAGCAGCTTATTGACGTTCAGCTTGACCGCACCAGATCGTATACACCGCTGCATAACTTCGGCTGGGAAGTCATTAGTCCCGTGTAGAGCTATCAAGATGCGCTTGTTGATCTGCTTGTCTATTGATTCGAGGCGGTCGTAATGAAGCTGGCCTTCTTTAGGGCCACCTGGGCCGTAGTCGCCATGCACATTGCCAATCGAAGGGGCGAGAATATCAACTCCAGCTGCGATGAAGTTGTCGACGTCTTCAGGGGAAGTAAAAAGGGCTACCATACGTCAGCACCGCAACGTTGCATGGGTTCTGGCTGATGGTCTTACCTTCAAGGTCTCCAGTATCCGCGATACCATCTTCGCCACCTTCTATCCTCCCACTTTCGGCTTCCACTGCTATGCCTCTATCATGGCACTCTTTCGTTAGGACTTTTGTCTTTTCCAGGTTCTCTTTTTCATCGTAATGAGACATGTCTACCATTACCGAGTCTACCGGTAACGTTGCGATAATTTCTCGGATATGCTCCACGCTCTGCGCATGGTCGATGTGTAACGAAAGTGGTACTGTCGCAGTCTTTACAGCTACGGCAGCGGTAAATGCAAGAAGTGGAAGTTGTTTGAGTGTGGATGGAAAAAGTTGAATAATCAGAGGTGAACGTTTGGCTTCTGCTGCACGAACGAGTGCTGTAAGCTGTTCGATGTTGTAGCTATGGACTGTCAGAATGCGTTTATACAGTTTTCAGGCGTTTCTTACGCGATCGCAGCCATTACGCCGTATTTGCCTACAGCTGCGGCATTGAGAATCTGTAATGTTCGGTTCTCTTTGGTGATCGTCATGATGGAAGTGTGCAGATTAAGTCTCTCAATCGTCAAGCAAGTCGGAAGTGTTGGAAGTGCAAGCAATGAATGAGGGAGCGGGAAAGACAGATGCGAATCATCACGTGTTCGGAACTTTTCCGGATCTGCATATGTCTAATAAGCTGCCGTCGCTAAAAACGGAGAAGCTGCGGCAAAATTATGATTCAATTGGGCCCCCCGTGTTGGAAAACTTGAATCATGCAAGTTCCTTGCTAGAATACCGCAGTTGCGGCTACGATTGATGGAAGGGTGGGATGATGTGACCCGTAACGAGGCACAAGATCTCAAGCGAGTGATGGGCATGAACCTTCTCGCTGTCAGGCATCAGACCGCGCCCCACTTTTACCCCACTAACTCTGATCCCATGTGGAGATCCACCTCTGTTACATGAATCGCATCGTCCTGGAAGACAGCATCTCTGATTCATATTCTTACGTGTCTGCTAAGCTTCGGTTCTTGGCTCGCGACGCTGCTGGTATACTCGGAGGAAAAGGATATGCGGGCACGCTGCAGCTGCATTGGACACAATTGCTACGCTTTGAGCTGTAGGGATAAATGGACCAATAGTATACGCGGTGGCCTCTCGATGCCGTCGGTTTAACCAAGGAACGTATGCAAGCAGTTGAAAGCATGCGGGATAGGAATACTGACTTAAGATTACTGAAAATGCCTTTGATTCATTTTCCGGCTCGCCAATAATTGGCAAGGTCGTTCAACAGTGTCTTTGGTGGGAACTTGGTTATGTCCAGTGTCTTCTCTAAGAGGTGCAAAATAGCCGTTTGCTTGGCAGGATTTTGCACACAGAGGCCAGCTGAAGTTTGGTAAGTGATCTAGTCGCCGTTCGCATGCATGCTGGGTGAAACTTACCTGCGTAAAGCGCTTTGAAGTCCGCGAATGCACCTTGATGGTCTTTGCCGTGATGCATCATGGCAATACCGCACACAGTCTCAACACTGTCGTCCAAAAAGCGCTGTCGAAGCCGAAAGTCGTCCATGCCTCCCATTGAAGGCTGGTTGATGAGAACGATGATTCGAGCGAAGTGAAAAGTTTGGATGGCGGCAGCGTAAGACGGGGGATGAATCCAAATGGGTGCGAAGAGATTGCCCGGTTCCGGCTGTGATACTTTATAGATGGGCTGAAATGAAGGTGGAAGTGCATGATGCCAGTCCTTGAGTGCTTGCATCAACCTCCCACCGTGGTCGATGCGCGTGATGATGCCGTCCTTCTTCTCATTTGCAGCGAAATCGACGCATCTGCCGCAAATGTACATAATCCTCAAGCATAGTTCATCTGGACTGAGGTCCGCTATTCGCTTGGTAGGTTTCCAGATTGTCAGTACTCGCCGGCTTTCACGGAAGGCTACCCATATATCTTGACGTATCCAACCCCACCAGATAGCCCTTCGGAGAGGGTCGCTGCATTCTCCATTATTATTTTGTGACCTCTGTATCCAGAAGATCCCTCTAAGATGTCTCTCCCACGCTCCATTACTGTACTGTCCTGATGCGTCGAACATCTCATATGTGCTAATAAGGAGGGCTGTCGCAACGATCTCTCGTGATTTGGAGTATGATGGGTACAAGAGATTTTGTGAAAGATAATGCAGCGTCTCGTAGTAGTACTGCGTCGCCACTTGGAGTACTGAGTTCGGGAAGTTGTGCTGGTCGCTCCTGTCAGATTCCACGGAATGCTCACTCAGATTGAGTTGGTGTAGTTGCGGCTCATTGATAAGCGCCATATGTCGTGCTGCTACAGCGAGTAAAGACTTCAAGACGCCGACATTATGTACTGCTAAACCAGGAAGGGTGGTTGTTAATTGTCTTGAAGTGTCGTAGAGGTCCAATATGGGTCCGATTACGCTGACATAGTGATGAAACAGCACGAGCTCATCGTCAGTTAGAGGTATGTTGTCCGGACAATTCCACTGTTCTTGCGTTGAGATTTCTGCTTCCTGGTCTGGTTTTGGTACCTGCAGTTGAGGGTCTATGTTGCCTGCATCTGGCACAGGACTCTGTCTTCTCGAAAGACGTGTTCGATCAAGATCTAGATGAAGATTGTATTTGTCGATGTTGTTGATCGCGTCCTCAGCGAGTAGATCATACCATTCAGGTACCGAATGTGGAGATGGAACGGAGGCTACATTGGTCAATGGTGAATCGAACAGCAGTTCAGGCGAGTTGATGAAGATGCGATGCTCGTTATCTGCTGAGACGGATTTCGCGGCCACAGCCGGAGATGACGAAGTAACCAAGGCATCACCCTGTGTCGGCGGCGTCGACGTATTTGCAGAACTCGATCCATTAGGGGTAGGTTTCCCTGAACAGTCGATAGCCGGTGCGTACAAGCATTCCCTGTCAGATTTCGCGCATGTTGCGCATCGAGGCCTCAGCTCATCGCATTTGACTCTTCTTTTACGGCATGTGAGACTGGGAGAAAATATTAGCGTTTTTCTGAGCGCTTGTAAAGATGGTAACATCAACCCGCGTATCGTCGATATATGAAGACACAAGGGTATGCGCCAGACACGTCGCGAACGGAGATTAGCGTCGATGATGCGCGTTGGTGCGTCCCCAGGGATGTTAAGCTTACCAGCCTGTTGTCGCCCGCAAGCCTCGGGCGCGCGACGGACGCGGTTTCCGGGGTTTGGGAACACTTGCTGATGGCATGGGCATCATACGAAGCCTTTTACATCTGCGATGGCTTCGCGTCGAGGGTACTTTCGCTTCGAGGGTGATAATTAGCTGATGTGCAAGGTGAAGAAGAACAAGCGAACTCCACAGCTTCTACCCCGGCTTCGGGTTCAGCACTCCAGGAAGAGTGCACGTGAATACGCTAGTGACACACCTACACTCCCAGCTATACTCGATGGAGTTGATGGAATTGATGGAAATGGACAGTGTTAGACCGGGTTGATGTGCCGATAGTTCCTTTGTGGGACGTTCCAAGCATACACTGGTAAGGAGGAAGGCAAGAACTCTGGTGGGGCAGAGGAACATTCCTTACCGTCAATCCATGGAAATATTGGAGGGGCTCTGTAAGCAAAACTGGTGTAACACTGCATTGAACTTTCAGGGAGCGCAAATTCCCGAGCACCTCGTGACGCCACCGCTTCAGGTCTGCTTGAATTAGTTGACTTTGGCTTGACTGTAAGTTTACCTAGTGAACAACCACCACGACTTCAACTCTGCATCCAAGGTTTGTGCAGCTGATGTAAATGCGTAAGTCGTTGAATATATTCTATGGGAATCATAACAAATCGTAGTCCTAACACCTTCCATTGCAGAAGGATACTTAGCAAAGAACGCTCTACCAAGCACCAACAATGCCAGCAACTGGGATATCAATTCCAGTAGTGTAGCTGGCGCTCTCTGATAAGAGATATACATATGCGCCTCCGAGCTCCTTAGGATCTGCCAACCTGGGCATACCGCCATAGTACTGCATCTTCAGGTTCCAGTCTGGCGCCTTCTCGACATAGTATGTCATCTGCGTTCGTACGAAACCGGGCGAAATGGAATTCACTCGGATACCATGCTTCGCCCACTCCATAGCGAGCGTGTGTGCCATGTTGCGAACAGCCCCCTTGGTACCGCCATATGGTGCAGAAGGTGCGGCTCGATTCGGGCGGTACGAGGTCATCGACGCGGTGAAGACAATGGAGCCCTTGATGCCGAGTTCGATGAATTTCTTCGCAGCGGCCGTTGCACAAAAGTATGCGCCGAAGACGTTAAGGTTGAACAGCTGCTCAAGCTGAGGCCGATCAAAGTTCAGAGCCGGCTGGTGCTTAGTCATGCCTGCATTGGCGATCATGCCATCGATGCGCCCGGATTGCGCAACAACCTCGTCAATGGCCTTGGTCACACTCTCTTCCGAAGTGACGTCGCAGTGGAGGTAATGCAGACGTTTGGGGTTGGCCTTCTGGAGTGCTTGGAACTCCTCGCCCGGCTCGAAAAGATCGAGCGAATAGATGGCAGCGGCATCGTTTGCGAGGCAGACAGTCGCGAGTCCCAGACCAATTCCTCGGTTTGCGCCAGTGATGGCAACAACCTTGCCCTTCAACGTAATCCTCCAGTCGAAGTCCTCCTTTGGTTCTGTTGTAAGGTACACTGGGTTTGGCACGGACTGCTCGATCTGTGTGCCGTTGCCATTGGCAGGCGCAGTCGAATCAGCCTGAGACACGATCGCGGAGGGAGACATTTGGTAGGTGCAAATGGGAAACTCGACGGACAATGAAAGATGAGACGAGAAAGCAGATTCAGAACGACTGTCGACTGAAAACACTTGGCTGGACCTCGAACACTTAAGTACAGAGCGAGGACGTACCCTCCAGAACGTGTACCAATAAGACCTTGCGAGCTGTACCGATTTTCTTTTTATGACGAGTGGACAACAACGCAACTCAGGCACTACTATGTGGGGGTCCCGTGGAGAGCGAGCTCGTTCCGAGCGTGTAAACCGAAACGGACTGCATTCATCGCTTCTTCAGTTCCTTAACCGTTCTGATCCGTGAGTCCTCGCCTATTGGCACAGCCTCGCCTCGAGACACAGTTCACTCGACACAACCGCAAGAAGTCTCCGTCTCACTCGGAGCTAATCACTTCTCACGCTAACCCGCAATCCTGAGCAGTTCTGCCAACGTCGGTTGACAGTATGGGGTCTAGTGTAGATAGCAAGAGCGCCAAAGAATCTGGGGCGGCCCATGCTCGTTCAGGCGTACCGGTACAGGTCCAAACCTTGACTATAGCATGTCGATCGTTTCATCTATAAAACCCCAATGGTATCTCACCATCGTATGACTATCTTGACCCATCGAGCCGGGAATTCTTTCAAGTCTTGCTACGGCACTCTAGACTTCGGATTAGTTGACTAGTCGTTACTGCTTGTTTCAGTTGCATCGGGAAAGCCATGTCGTCAAAGCCACACTCTCTGGAGGCTGCTGATGCCAAAACCATGAACAGCGCAAAGCAGATCGAGGTCGTGGAGGAGCTCACATGGACGCCAGAAGAAGAGAAGGCACTTGTCAGGAAGATCGATCTCTTCTTGCTGCCGACGATCTGGCTCATGTACCTGCTGTCCTACATGGACCGTACAAAGTACGCACCCTTCCTTTACCATATAACTTCAATCGCTAATGTCGCTTCAGTATCGGCAATGCAAAGATTGCGGGAATGGGCACCGACCTCAAACTCACGTCGAACCAATATAGCATCGCTCTAGTGGTCTTCTTCGTCACATATGTCGTCTTCGAGCCCCCATCGAACATGCTTCTTGTTCGCATGAAGCCATCCGTTTACCTACCAGTTATCATGACAATATGGGGAGCGCTCACATGTGTCATGGCCGCTATTCACGACTTCAAGCAACTCGTCGCGCTCCGCATTCTAGTCGGTGTTTTCGAATCCGGTTTCGCACCAGGCATACTATTGATCATCTCATCGTGGTACAAGCGAGACGAGCAGTCGAAGCGCTTCGGTGTATACATGTCCGCTGCCATTCTTTCCGGTGCATTTGGCGGTCTTCTCGCTGGCGCGATCACAGGTGGCATGGACGGAACTGCAGGACTTCGTGGCTGGAGATGGCTCTTCATCATTGAGGGCATTGCAACTATGGTCTGGGCTATTGCCTCTTCCTTCATCTTGCTCGACTTCCCGGCCAACAGCACCCGCTTGACGGAGCGGGAAAGGGCTATTGCTATCGCGCGCCTGCGAGACGGCGGTGTGCAGACCCACGTCACTGGTGAGGAGAGAATTGGAAAAGCAGCATCTTTTCGCCTTGCCATCTTGGACTGGCGCACCATCGGCTTCATCCTGGGTTACATGGTAAGCTCTCGCCTCAATGGCCACCATTTCACGGACCGTGACTGACAGACTGCAGGTTATCGTCGGCTCCTCAACCCTCTCGTACTTCTATCCCACGCTCGTAAACGGTCTGGGCTACACATCCACCGTCCAGGCACAATACATGACCGTCCCCATCTACGCTGTCGCCTTTGTCTGCACAGCCGCAACCACCTACTTCGCCGATTCCATCTCACACCACCGCGGTATCGTAATTTCCTGCTGGCTCTGCTTCTCGCTCATCACATCGATCTTGGTGTGCACCATTTATAACTTCACTGCGCGGTATGCGCTGCTCGTTCTCATGGCTGCCGGTCTGTGGGCCTCGAACGCAGTAGCACTTTCTTTTGCTAGTGCGACATTCGGATCGATGCAGCCTGAGGTGCGTGCCATTGCGCTCGCTTTGGTCAATGCTCTGGGCAATTTGGCGCAGATTTACGGCGCGTATCTTTTCCCTGCGGACGATAAACCAAAGTACCTCATGGGCTTCGGTGTTATTTCGGGTATGCTGGGCTTCGGCTGCTGTGTATATATCTTCATGCATGTTGCACTCAGGAGGAAGGAGGGCCTTGGCTTCTGGTGAGGTAGGACAGCTAGTGGCTGAGATGTAAAGCTTTATTGATACCCTATCACACTTTAGCTGTGACGTTTGTATATATGGGTTATGAATATGAAGATAGCACACTGAATCCAAAATACTATTTCAACAACAATGATCGATTCGCATGCAGTTGTGATCACGACATTATATGATGAAACACGAGCCCAGGAATGGTATGCACTGACTGTAGGCATTTGTTCCTTTCCTACTTCCTTCGGTATGCTCCACCTGCCCCATGTCCACTCTAATTCTCTTCCTCTGTACCATGATTTCTACTGCTGCTGCTCCTTTGCCATAATATGACACATGTACCTATCCTGCTCCTTTTAGGTCTAAGTATCTTCTATTCAGAATCTTATCTTTCTGACCCTCTGCTTCTTATATTCCATCCACTTATCCAATTACGAATCAACGCTCGGCTCCTCATCCGCGTTCAACAGGCCTCTTCGAGCGAAAGCCGGGATGACAATTGCATTCGCATCTCGGATGTCGTTGACGAGGCCATTTTCTATCAGAGTCTCAGAGATTGCTCGCAGCCAATCATGGTGATGACGGATATTCGTGCCCTCATACTCCGGTCGATTCGTATTTGTTACTACCTTGTGCAAACGCGTGATTTGCCCAGCCACCGCATCAATAAACCCTGAAAATATCTCGAGCGCGCACTGAGTCGGTAGTGTACAGGGCATATCGACCGAGATGAAGCGATCAGTGCATGCACCAGTCTCATCCACGGGAGCCGTGTACGTTTCCATGTGTGCAAGGCTCACTCCGAAAATGGGCCAACGGGGTGAGGGCGAATCCCAAACACCCTTGAAACTGACTTCAGCAGTGGGGAGAGACCGCCAGGCTAGTCTTTTGCCAGTCCAGGCTTCCAAGTCCTGGAATTCTTTGTTTCCTTCTCCTAATGGATATCTCCCTAGCAAACGCATGTAGCTTCTGCGTTCCAGAAAGGGAGGTAGAGGTATACCTCTCGTTCCCTCCTGCTCTTTCTCAATCTCTGATAAGGTCTTAGAACCGCGGTACTTAAGGCTGTACGTCCAAAGGGCTAAAATAGCATGTAACCGATTGTTGAAAATGAGCGTCCTTATACCTCCATAACTGGGGAGGTCAAGCTGAAGTCGAGAGTAATATCCACTATAGTCTTCTTTTCTGTCATCCACTAGATGCGTCCATGAGAAGCACGTATTACGACGGTCTTCTTTAGTAAGCAGATAGCCCTGATCCTTGTACTGCCCTATCAAATAGACAGTGCGTTCGATAGCTTCAACAAGGTTCTCCGCTAACTGCACAAGGCTAATGTCTCTTTCTGTTGGGTTGGACTGTAGTGTCTCTCGTAGGACTATCCTGGGGTCTGCGATAGTCATCAGTCTCGGAGTAGAGCGATTCTCAACACGGGCAGAGTCCCAAAGAGTCCAGGGCCGAACATCTACGCCCGTGGCATTCGTCACCCAAACTATGGTATATTCCATAGAGCTGCAAAACGGCGCGATTCCTGGCGCTTTGGAATCTCGAATTTCCTCCACCAACCGGGCAACCAACCGGGCATAGATCCTCTCGTCTTTGCGCACGAAAAAGCCATATCCGCCTGTACATATCTGCAAAGAAGGGGAGAGATTGAGATACCAGAACAGACCAGCTGGCCACTCATGGAGACACGCGCTGCCAATTGTAAGTGCTATCCAGTCAGGATCTGATGACCCAAGCGCTATCGCTTTTGGTTTACGCGAGAGTCCTCTTCGTACATAAGAACGGACGGCAGTCATGACAGCTGTAGCACCCAGTTGAATGATTGTAGCAGACCAGTGCAACCCTCTCAATCCAACAAACTGGCAGATGAAACCGGAAAGAGAGAGTAAAACAGCAAGGACTGTGTTTGCCTTGTTATGAACATTTGGGGGTGAACTCTCTCCCGCAAACCTCGACGTGCGGATGCTTTTGTTGCCCTCTGAGTTCAGGATAACGAACGGGCTGTATCGTTGATCCCCTATGGTGCAAGCCATTTGTAGACGGAAAATAGTCTTCACTGCTGCCGGCTTGGAAGGTCTGAACACGTGCTCGGTGGTTGTCGTTTCGATGATACGCGAGCATAGCGCCATACCGATGAACAATGCACACGATCCAGCAAGAAATACTGGATACGCGTAGCTTTGAACTGTCGAGTTACCTTTTTTCTTTTTCCAGTGATAAGTCATAATTGCTGTAATAACCAGGGCGACAGCTTGCAACGCTACTCCAAGAATTGCGAAACTCCAAACCTCCCTATGGCTTGGCGAGGATTTGTCAATGTTGAGTGTTATGTTTGGGGACTGTGAAGGGAGTTCACTAATGCCAGAAGCAAACCTTGTAGACCATTCACCTGTTCCGACTTGTTCGAGCCACCCACTGTTGCAAGCCATGGAGAGATTGCCCACCTGAATTTCGTCATCTGTGTCGATGGTTTTCTGCTCGGTTAGTATTGATCCTCTGCTCGAAGTCACCTAGACTTACTTCGCGCTCTCCTTCTATCAGGCCTGATTCCTGCTGAGCCTGAAATGAACTTCTCCCTCCCTTCCCCCTGTGCACCACCAGTTCTATGGTCGGGGCATGACCTAGTTGCCGAACAACTTCATTGCCGTTCCATAGTTCGGAGACTTTGGTCGAAGTTGAGGACAGCAGTTCCATCTCGGCTGTTGCTTGATCTTCTCGCGCTCTGGAGGCTTCTATTAGTGTTCCTGGTGGACGGTTGAACAATGAGCGTTCCAACGCGAGGTACTGACCGACCGATCAAAGCTTTTAGAAATCTGACACGCCCGACTCTAATCGTGGAGACTATGGCAGTGATAACTCCCAGCGGTCCAACTGCAAGGAGGATGTTGTCCGCCCAGCCGAGCGACATGGTGAGGAACTGCTTCGTAACTTGCTCTCCGAAGAGCGTTAACAGAGGCGCTAGATCTGAGAACAAGTTATTCGAGAATTCTTCGCCGGCGAATCCAGAGGGGAGAGTGGGTTCAGGATTAAGGGGCAAGGCTGTGGGCGTGCCGCTGGCGGTTGAGGTGCTCGTGGTAGGCGCCATGACGTCGGTAATCGTGAAGCGGGAAGGAGCGAACAATATGAAGTGACGCAGAAGCTCCTACTGCCAGTCCGTCTGTTGATTGTGAACGGCAGAAGACATTAAGAGAAGATCAGCTTGCACGAGGCTGAACAGGAAAGCTGACGGGTGAGCGCTTACATGCATACTGCGGCCTGTTACAAGCATTATTAGCGAAATATACAACAAGTCGCATCATTGGACCAATGAGACAACTGCGGCAAGATCAGGACAACAGCTGAGTATGTGCTTGAAACCACCGGTGGGTGAGACTGAAGTCAGATTTTAAGCAAATAAGGGTCTACGACAACTTGGCGCTCAAGCATGTCTCCAAGTAGGCAGGACGTGTGCAGTGTGGGTATCTAATGCCAAAAGTGAACAAAGTCTGCGGGAAGACTAAGTTGAAGCTTGATTCACGTCTCATCAGTAGTCTATAGTCTTTTTAATAGCGTCGTAAACCCCTGTTTCAATCATTAATTGGGTCGAATCAAATAAGTGCAGAAGGGAAGTACTTACTCGTGACATCAGGTATGATGAACTGCTCATACATCAAACCGGTATGCGTTGCCCACCCCGTGACCCTCTTAACCGGCGCTTCTAATCTCAGGAAAGCACGCTCTTGTATCGTCGCAGCCACCTCAGCACCAACACCCGCATTCATCATGCTCTCATGCACAACAATAGCTCTGCCCGTCTTCTTCACACTCTCCAGCACTGTCTCTCTGTCCCAGGGGTATATCGTCCTCAAATCAATCAGCTCTACACTGCATCCAAAGTCCCTCTCTGCTGCTGCTATCGCGGCCGAACACGTGTATAGTGGCGTGCCGTAGGACACGATGGTGACGTCCTTGCCGGGTTTTAGGACCTCGGCCTTGTCGAGGGGAAGGTAGAAGGCGTCTACGGGGACGTGTTCGACGGCAGCGCGGTAGAGAATTTTGGGTTCCATGAAGAGGACGGGGTCTTGGCTGCGGATCGCGGAGAGGAGGAGGCCTTTGGCTTGGACGGGTGAGCGGGGTATCACGACGCGTAGGCCGGGAGTGTGGGTAAAGAGGGCTTCTGGGGACTGGGTGTGGTATCTAAAATTCGCGCGTTAGTACATCAAGACCATGGATGTGTGTGTGTTTTCTTACAGAGCACCGTGTCCCACACTCCCCGTTGGCATGCGTATCACGAGCCCACCACAGTGTACACCGGTGCTTCCTGATCTGTACCTATACTTGGCTGCCTCGTTGTGGATCTGGTCAAATGCGGGAAAGACGTAATCTGCAAATTGCACTTCTGCGACTGGCTTCATGCCCTCTGCAGCGGCTCCTATGGCGAATCCCACCAGGCCTTGTTCGCTCAGAGGGGTGTTGAAGACGCGTTCGGTGCCGAAGTCTGCGGCTAGGTTCATGGTGCATCGGAAGACGCCGCCAAATTGTATGTCCTCTCCAAATACAAGCACTCTTTCGTCGGTCTGCAAGGCATACCGTAGCGCCTCGTTGACTGCGGTATAGAGGTTTATGCGCTTAGTTTGCCCTTTGCGTATGTCTGCAGGTAGTTCTGGGTTTGACAGAGTAGATTTAGCAGTGTGATGGAGTATTGGTATTGTATCGTATTCCACGGTGCCATTGAGGCGTGCGCCAGCTGCTCCTGCAGAGTACTGTTTACTCTGGGCTCGATGTTGACAGCGGGGATGGAGTGACGCTTGAGGACGGAGCAGGTACCGTGACAATACGCGCATTGAGGGTGTTTTGGACGCCATGTTCAAGAAGGTAAATGTAGCCAGTCTATGCAGCAGCACCCACGAGATTTTGAAGACAGGAGTCGCATTCTGAGCGAAGCCAGCAGTGTGAGCCGACGGTTGAGCGGTTGCATGTCACGGCTACCAGCGGCTCTCCAGCTTCCCCATGGCGGAGTTAAGCGAGCAGCAGGGGTAGATCCAGATCACGTGATGTGGGCCTCCCAGAGCATAGACGCACGATGACGCCCTAGGGCTAAAATAATGGTTCCCACGGGAAGCGGGGGGGCTGAGGGAAGCTTTTTCTATTGCAGCGTAGGCTCTTGGCAACGGGGGTTTGGGTTTGCTTCAGGGCATTAGTATCGAGTATTAACGACTATTATGAAAAGAAGAAGAAAATTAGAGTGAGAGACACCCAGACGGATCACACGGCTCGGGAATAGAGAGCTTGGCTACCTCTGTGAGACTTTGGAGGCGCAATTGCTCCTCGAGCTTGCGTCTTGGGCCCCCGGGCGCCGCACAGACGCGCCGCCGAACCGCTGCTTCTGTTCTGCATCATTATTTGCGTCGCGCTACATTCAACCTCCATCATCCCTTCGTGTTTGCCCATCTATACGGAGATCATCTCCATCTCCCGCACTTAGGTGCTCCAATCTATCCCAGCTATGGCTATCGCCATGAGCGCTGCCCGCTCGCGCCCGGGCAATGGCAATGGCCTGTCGTCTCGCGTCAACATGCTCCTCATCGGCCTCTTCCACGCCTTCGCGCCCCTCGTCAAGGCGCTCCCCATGCCATTCGCCGGCGTCGTGCATGCCTTCGTCGATGAGGACCTGCCCAAGTCGCCCAATGACGCGAGCCTGTGGTTGTACCTGGGCGTCGCAATCGCACTGGTCTTGGCTGGTGGTGTCTTCGCGGGCTTGACTATCGCGTAAAGCCTCCCATGGTCCCGCCGTTGTTGATCAGTACGCTAACAATTGCTATTTAGTCTCATGGGCCAAGACGAAATCTACCTCCAGGTCCTCGCCCACTCTGGCGACAAGCACGAGCGCAAGAATGCGAAGAGAGTGTTGGCGCTCCTGAACAGAGGCAAACATTGGGTCCTGGTGACCCTACTCCTCAGCAACGTCATCACCAACGAAACCCTTCCTATTGTGCTCGACAGGTCCCTAGGCGGAGGATGGCCTGCCGTTGTCAGCTCCACTGTGCTCATTGGTATGTGCATCCAATCCCTCATATTTGACTTCTGCTGACCTGCCCTAGTCATCTTTGGCGAAGTCGTCCCCCAATCCATATGCGTTAGGTACGGTTTGCCAATCGGCGCCTTCATGGCGCCTATTGTGCTCGCCCTCATGTACATCATGGGAATCGCCGCCTGGCCCACCGCGAAGCTTCTCGACTACCTGCTCGGCGAGGACCACGGAACCGTTTACAAGAAGGGTGGTCTGAAGACACTAGTCAGTCTACATCAGTCGTTGGGCCTAGAGCATGAACGTCTCAACGAGGACGAGGTCACCATTATTACTGCTGTCTTGGACCTCAAAGCGAAGGCTGTAGGCGACATCATGACGCCCATGAAGGACGTGTTTACTATGTCGTCTGACACCGTTCTGGACGAGAAGATGATGGACAACATTCTGTCTGCCGGTTACTCCCGCATACCTATTCATACTCCCGAAAACGAGAACAACTTCGTTGGCATGCTACTTGTCAAGATGCTCATTACCTACGACCCTGAGGATGCCCAACGCGTGCGCGACTTTGCCCTGGCCACCCTCCCGGAAACCCGTCCGGAGACGAGCTGCTTGGACATTCTCAACTTCTTCCAGGAGGGCAAGTCTCACATGGTTCTGGTTTCCGAGTTTCCGGCTGAGGCTCACGGCGCGGTTGGTGTTGTAACCCTGGAAGACGTCATCGAAGAGCTCATTGGAGAGTAAGTAAATGCTGTGAAGCTATCTGAACGTTGTTCTAACTCTAGTAGGGAAATCATCGATGAGTCTGATGTCTTCATTGATGTTCACAAAGCGATTCGACGCATGGCTCCTTCCCCCCGCGCTCGCGTTCCTAGGGGCAAAGTTGTCGCTGAACTTCCTCGAATCCCCTCTGCACAATCGATAATAGACGGTGAAACGGACGTAGAACAGAAGAGGGCAACGGTTCCTCGCAAGACCTCTATGCCCGAAACATCCGAAGGCCTACTCAAACCATCATTTACCCTGCGGCGTCGCAGTAGTGGTAGCAGGGGAACAATGGAACCTTTGCGGAGCGATGACCCTGAAGTTATGCAGCACCTCAAACACTTGGGCCCGTCGAATGCTGCCCAAAGACCAAAGTCCACGCGCATCAACACTGTCAAGATCAAGCCTGGCCAAACTAGCACGGTCCCCGATATTCCGACGACGATACCAGAGGACGCTCGACCTGCGTCCGAGGGCGTTATCGCTCAGGAATCCCATGCTCCGGAAGGAGGAATTGGAGAAGGCCTATTGGCGTCTGCGGGTCGTGAAGCCAGCGATGGTGTTCATAGTGTTGCTGTAGGATATGGTACTATGGCTCCCAGTGGCGACCGTATGTCTTGGAAGTCTGGACGATCTGGACTCAAAGCAGCAGAAGAAGAGCCTGCTTCACCGAAAACCAAGGCGGCTAATAACGACGAAGATACCTATCTCGTTGTCGATAACCGAAACAAGGATGACGGCTCAAAAGAACGGTCGCGCTCCGTCAGCACCATCGCCTCGCTGCATTCTGTTCGATCGCGCTCGCGCAGCCCGCCCAGAAAACGACACACTGCTCGAAGCGGTAGTATCTCCGAGAACATTGTGGATGTCAACGGCATCAAGAAAATTGTCTTGGAGACGACAAGCTCTAGTGATTCCGAAGACAAAGCCATTCGCAGACAAGCAGAAGCTGACGGTGCTGAAGATCAGAAGTCGGAAGCCGAGTCGGCCAATACTGGCGGCAAAGGCGCAAGCAAAAAGAAGAGAAAGAAGAGAGGTAAGAAGAAGAAGGGCAATGCCGGTGATAGCAGCGAGACGCAGCCCTTGCTTGGAGATGGCTGAAGCAAGTAAATGTACCAAAGCAAGCACGTCGTTGATGCATAATTTCCAGTCACACTTAGCGAGGCCGACGCAGATGCGAGCGATGAGAACATAATGCCTACGCGCTCTAGGTTTGGCCCGAGTCGGCAGCGGCGGAGGGAATCTTTTTCGGTCATTAATTCATTTTTTAGGGGACGATGGGAAAAACGAGGTATTTCTCAAGGAGGGTGGGGAATTTGATATCTTCTTTTTCGCGCTGTATTATATTAAAAGCTAGGAATACAGCTATGCGAAACCATTGCGAAGTTTTGTACAATAATACGGGTCTATAATATAATCGACTTTTTTTCGGAAGTGATCTCTTTTCTCCTGCTTGGAGTCAGGACCTGGAAATGCAGAAGTTCAGAGACGCATCAATAAACTTTCACGCGTCGCATTCAGTAAAGTATGCCTCTTGGTGGAAGCTGTTAGTAACCCTCGGCGTTGGGCGGAACAAGTCAATTACCCCAGAGCATCGTAGCCGTTAATCCTGCAACTTTTATGTCCAGCCTTCGCTTCTCTCTAGAATTCTTACCACTGCGCCCTTGTGATCCACACTAAAGTGTCCCGTAGATGCAAGCGTCTTGCTGACTGTGATATGAAAGTAGAAGACTTGTGCTGAGCAACGGAGTTGATACTGTAGGTAAGGATATCCGCGAGAATCTGACTCGCATAGCTTGAAATTAGGTATTTCACCCTACCTACGCCGTATCCGATTTGCTAAAATTGTTCTTCTTTTCCTTCTCCGCTCTCAAAATGCTTTCCGCTTCCTGCCTCAGATCCTTTCCAACGAGTTTAGTTAAAGCTTCACATGCTTCTACTGTAGCAAAAGTGAGCGACGACCAGTCTGCTGGCGGCGGACTGAGGCTTCCTAAGGGCGAGCTGTTTCCCAAGTCTTGAAGATGGCGGGCGATTATGTCGGGACGAGGCTTCGCTAGCAAGATAATATGGATCAGTTGACGAATCTCCCAATCTGCACTTCTAAAAAATCCCCCTTCATTTAAAAGCGATTCGATGACTGGGAAACATTCCCATAGCACAAATAACAGTTGCCATTCAGTCTGCGGAAGTCCTTGCAGCAGAGATTCCTCTTTGTTTAGGCAAAGTAGTAAAGTTTCGACGACACCCTCCCTGATGTGGCCATTTTGAAGGATTTCCCCCATGATATCTGCAAGCTTTTCCAAGGAGTTAACATGTAAATCAACCAGGGCTCTGAACACAGCTCTATCTTCCGTCTGTGAAGCCAGTATCACAGCTCTGCGAAACATTTCATCTGCTGAAGTTTCAGTCTGATCTACCCAGCACAGGAACTCCTCCTTGAAGAAGTAGAGTAGGCTTGTTAATCCCATGGCATGGTAGTATGGCGGCTCATCATTGAATTTACGGAGGGAGTGGAAGACAAAAGGACCATGCCAGAAACCGGTTGGGCCTGCAATTTGAGGTTTGCTGGTTGAGGCGCACTTGAGGAAATATTCGAGCTCAGACTTCCTGTAAACCGAGCTTCCCACCATTAAGTGACTTGGATTGACAAATTCAAGGAGGGAGCCGACGCCATGTTTCAGAGCCCAGGAGTAGATCATCATATCTTGGGAAATCCAATCTGATCTTTTTGTAATACTTTGACGAAGTCGTCCCTCGGTCCTTTGGAGGCCTCGTAGCTCATCCTGATTCTTTAAGACGGTTTCTACCCTTTGGCGATGCTCCGCTTTGTCCCAGGGGCGGAACTCAAAGGCAAGCTGTCGATTCAAAGCGACACGCTTAAACTTAGCCCAGTTGATACTATCCGCCCTCAGGTGTGCCGTATGAAATGCCCAAAACGTGATGACGTAGTCGAGCAATGCATACTTTTGCACTAGAGTATCTGATGGTTTTGTAACGACCGGCATCGCAAAACTGATCTGGCTTTCTGGCTTTGCCTGCGACATTCCACGCCGTCCCTGTGTCCAGGATACAAGTCTTCGAATAGGTGCTGATAGTGGCACAGATGCCCATACGAGTTGCTCAATTCTAGATTTGTCGATATTGGTAGTCTCTTGAATTCGAGCAACTTGAGTGTCGAAATCCGTGAATTCCAGATATGCAAGGCAAATATCTCCAATGTATGAGTCGGCCGTAGAGAAGTCGAGAGAAACAATACTGTTGGGTTGATAGGACCCTGGTTCCAAGGAGACACGGGATGAGCACAAGTACTGCCGGACTGTTTGGTGAACAAACGTCACTGTGCCATCTTCCTCATTTAAGACGACTAGATTACAGCAGCAGCTGATGAGTCTCTCTCCTGCACCGCTTGCGGCGTGATCGCTGCGGAGAAACGTGTCAGATTTGTCTAGCCCTACAGCTTCTTCCAGTTCATCGATCCGTAGTGGACGCCGTGCGCCAGTAACCCAAAGAAATACCTTTTGCATCTTGTCAACCTTTGCTTTGCCACCAGGTGCATTTCGAGCCTTTTCGAGGATCCTGGAATAAGTCTCACTTAGATCCCGTGGAAGGTTCTGCAGGCAATGTCTTATTTCGCTCTCTGTAAGGGCTTCTGATATATCGAACAGCTGAAAGGTGACCCAGAGAAACCTTGCAATGCTTGTTAGCTCGCTATGAGCTTTTGCTTAGCCAGTAAAACTTACATCCCGTTGGCACCATCGACAAGCGCATCGATGATGTCTTGTTTTAGTCCCCTTTTGTTTAAGAGCGGGTTCTTATGTGCAATGATGTCCTCGATTTTCTCGCTGATAAACAGCGATATATCCTTGTCGATTAGTTCTTTTGTGATTTGGAGACTCGTGTGGTTCTTCAGAGATCTGTGTATTGTGTATTCTCCGATGCGGCTCGTCACAAAGATTTTCGTTACAACGGGTGCTGGCCGGAGGAGGTGAGCGATCAAATTCAATGCGAAAACCTGCACCTCAGGAGCTAATTCGTCGATGCCATCGATAACGATGTAAGCCGTTTTGAACTCTTTTAGGACTTCGACAAAGCATTGCATGCATTCAGATGCGGCTGGAAGACATGGCCCATGATCAAAAAGCGATAGGAATTTCTCATCGAATCGATCAAGTGGCAATATCTGAACCACTTGTTGGAGCAGAGAAGCGACCATTGCCATTGGTTCCAATGATGCCATGTCCGTATAATCGCAGTAGTAGTAGCAAACAAGCGAGGATTTGCTCATTGCGCCAGCCCTCAGAAGACTGTCCACAAGACTCGCCGAAAGGATTGATTTTCCAGATCCTGGTATTCCATAGCAATAGAAGCACGCAGAGGCAAGCGAAGAGAACCACGAGCCGTATTGAGGGGTAGCCTGAAGCCATGCAGTCGTACCGGAGTGCCTAAGTTCAACCCTCTGGGAATGCTTGTTCACATAGTTGATAGCTGGGAGTGTGGATAGAATCCGGTGACGTTTAGCAATTTTCGTGTTCTTGACCTGAAGAGCCCGGTTTGCGCGTTCCATCTCACCTCTCCGAGCAGACTCTATCATATGCGCAAGAGTGATTTCTTTCTCTACCGTCTTTCTATGCTTGCGAAAGGCTGCCATATATTCTTCAAATTCTTTCCGGAAGGGCTTCCAGGCGCCTTTCAAGACGATAGACCATGGAACTACTGCCTGGTAAATATAAAATATATGGAGTGACTTCGGAGTGCTGACTTACTCATGGAACGCTTTGCGTGCAGAAAGAAGTCTTTGGTAAAGACACAAAACTTCAAAATATCGAGGTACGCGTTCGATAAAGCATGAAGAAGTCGCTCATGTTTACCGAAAAGTTTTTGATAGATAAGAAAGCGCGGTAGCACATCACCTATCTGCGCAAGCATACCGACCAGTTCCTCTTGAAATTTTCCAGCCTGGCCAGCTATCTGCCTTCAGGTCAGCGCATGCATGAAAGTGTCACTTCTAGTAGATAAGAAACATATGCTAGTAGTGGGCGGAACCACCGTATAACGCGACTGTGAAATGTTGCCGAAATCTACAAGGAGGAAAAGTGTTAAAAACGATGTGAGCGGAACTACTTACATGCAAGATCACTCTTAACCCCCCCCAGATTGGACACAGAATAAGCCCATAGATGTTTGAAAAAACATCGAGAGCCTTCCCATACTCATCTACAGCGTCCACGAGCGAGGATAAGCGCTCCTGGAGTAACCATGATTTGCAGTTAAGCGCATGCTTCTTTTGCGCAGCACTGGCATCATAGAACAAGTTCTCGAGCGTTGCGTCCTTGAAACGTCTTGTATCCTCTGGCGATAGACCATTAAGAAACCTGGACTTGGCGGCTTGCCAAGGCTGGGTTGGAATTGGTAAGGTCGTGCGAATGGTTGACATGGCGGCAAGCCATGCCTCGAAAGGCCAAACACTGGCGCACGAGTAGGTGATAGCGAGCTGAAGTTATCGTGGGTTTGCTTTGTGTGCTGGAGCGGATTGACGAGGAAGACTGAGGCAGGCTGAGGGGCAGTGTCAAAGTCGTTGACTTGGCCTCAGCCGCACGCGACCCAGTCGTCAATCAATTATAATCACGTGCTTAACGCACTCGCTCCACCCCTGTAGGCTGACACGAAGGATAGCAGTGCGGAGTTTCCACTTTTATCATCCTAGCACACCCAAGGTATGGCTAGGTAGACATCGTTTGATTATCCGGACACACACTGGAAGTACGTATTATCGAACTAAACACTATCGAGCTGGCGAGAGACTTGAGCGGCACAGCCTGCCCGAGATCCCTGCTCAAAGGCATGGTGGGGGCTGATTCGAATAGGGTTAAGTGGTTGGCTCGACGATGACCTTGAAATCATCGCTAATCCCAGCCCATTCTTGGGAGTGGGATAGATTCCACTCACGCACCTTTCGAAGGCCCTCAAGGTCCTCTTGCATGTGCTCGCTGGAAGTGGTCCCGTTCAAAACGACAACGCCAAGATCCATAACTAACGCATAGAGCGCTACAGACTGATCGATGCCTGCTGCCTGAGCTAATGCGCCAACGGGCTTCGACTTGAGGAGTGCAGGGTTGCCCGTCAAGGTCCAGAAAGATTGGTATGTGATGCTATTCTCTTGACAGAACCTGCGAAGAGGCACATCATACCGCGTTTGAGGATAAAAGCGATTCTGTACTACCGACGGCTTCACCGTAGATTCATTGTAGATAACTTGAAGAGTAGGAAGCGTGACGTTTGAAATGCCGAGTGATCGAATCCGATCCGGCACGTATGACTCGAGGAGTTGCCAGGCCTGAACTGTCTGTTCAATTGTAGGCAGTGGTGAGTGAAGAAGCAAGCAGTCAAGGTAGGAGCCTTCCTCCGATTCCTCCCTTGGTCGCAAATTCTTCAAGGAAGAAGCAACCGAAGTGTGAATTTGGGCGTCCAAAGGCGCTGAGGGATCATATGGCATGTTTTTAACATCTTGGCCTGCAGGTGTGGTGTATTTGGTTTGGACCTCATTCCGTTAGCGCAGAAGCCTTCATGTATTGTTTGCACTCACATAGACATCTTCTCTCCTCACAGCACCGCCGCTGTACGCCTCGCGAAGCGCCTCGCCAACCAGCGCCTCTTGATAATGCCGAGGCTGAGCAGCTGTGTCGATGCGTCTAAACCCTGCTGCCAGCGCCTCCTTCACCAGCCGTTTTGTCTGATCATTCTTCCAAGCAGTCCCATAAATGAAAGCCGGTTCATTGTCATGAAGTCGTGATGCACTGCTGTTTGAGGCGGAGGCCATGCTGCGGATAGATGAGACTTGGCTGACGCAAACAGGAGTGACGTTAGTGAGAGAACGTTGAAGAGGCTTTGCTAGGAACATCACGAGATTTTCTTCGTTCACTAGGGCAATTGAAGAAAGTCCTGTCAAATGGAGTAGTGACGATCAACAAGTACCTGGCTGACTAATCGTTCAAAGCTACGCCAGATGCTAGCTCCATGATGACGCCCCACCATTCCGATCGGACCCCTCCATCCCGACCAGAAAGTGCTCGAAGCTTAGTGCATCACGCAATACAACATCTCCTCGTAGCGCCCATTCCTACTCCTATACTCTCCAATACCTTCTTGAACAGATAATCGCATTAGAAATACATAATGGGTCCTCCAAACGGTTCGCGCGACCTTATCGCAGGCCCCGACACACCACAAGCACCCTTCCCACTAAAGCTACGAGGACCAGTCATCAAGGGCTTTGGACGAGGAAGCAAAGAGGTATACATACATCCCTACCATCCCCTCTGCTCCCTTAAATCTCTTCTCCTAAGAAAAGCCTACTAATCCCCCCAGTAGCTCGGCATCCCCACCGCGAACATCCCCCTCTCAGGCCTGAGCATAGGCGGCAACGACGCGCTCGAATCCGGCATCTACTACGGCTGGTGCACACTCGACCACTCGACCATCGCCTCGCAAACAACCTCCCACAGCGTCCCAAGCGCTACAGACGATACCTCTGTGCCCGCGCAATCGTCCAGCCACGGGGTTGCGGATCTCAAATACACCTCCTCTACCAACACCGCAGATAGCAAGACTACCATCTACCCCACCGTCCTGAGCATAGGATATAATCCGTATTACAAGAACAGTCAGCGGTCGATCGAGATACACATCCTGCATAATTTCCCTGCGGACTTTTATGGCGCTACGCTGTCGCTTGTGATTTTGGGGTTTATACGGCCGGAGTACGACTATGTGAGTAAAGATGCGCTGGTGGAGGATATTAGAGAGGATATACGCGTTGCGCAGAGGAGTTTAGCACGGGAAGCGTATGGAGCGTGGAAGGGGGATGCATGGTTAAGAGGGGGTGAGGATGAGCAGGCGGGGAAGAGTAGAGATGGTGTGGGACAGAGCGATGGAGTGGGCATGTGCCAGATGAAGTGACCTATGGGGATGCACAAGGGTATCAATCATGACGAATTGGCAATAGACGATAGATAGACGGTGTCGCGAGCGACAGCATAGCGATGAAATGATATGAACTTGAATTCTTAACTGCCTGAATATAGATTGGTATTCCGGAGCTCCGCTGTATTCGCTCTAGTAGCGCCCATGTGTACGCCTTGAACACCCAATCGCCGTTCCAGCTTATCCTGGCCAAAAAATACTCATTAACCATTACCCTATGATTCCGTGCTCCGAATACTCCCGTGTCGTGCCATGTACCCACGCAACGTGTTGCTCGAAAGAGAGAGAAAAGCGCCGTGACATCTGGGTGAGCACATGTCGTACAAATAAAGCGCTGGCGCTAGAATGCTTGTAGTCGAGAATCAAATCCGCATGTGACAACTCTTGAACATGCAAGCGCCCGAAAGTACTTTTTGATACCGCTCTATGGCCGTATCGCCATCATCTGTCCCGTGTGTGTGTGTGCATCGTTCGTATATGTGTTCTTTTGTGGTGCGAAACGGAACGAACTATAATCAGGTACCGAGTAGAAATATATATAGGCGAGGCCAAGCGATATTACCATGCTCATTGTAGACCTTTGTCCAACACGGGCATGACCTGTGACATCGTTAGCTGCCGCCACATGTTAAATGGACACCCTGGTGACTTACACTCATGCACACCAACACCGGCATATCAAAGATATCCCGCTTAATGTGCCACCAAATCATGCAATCTACCATGCCATTTTTCGCGCCTAGCCTCTGCATCGCGCTCTCACCCTGGTGCACAGCACCGCCCTCCATCTTGACGAGAGGGTCAAGCTTGACATCAGTAGCGGCATTTGCCTTCATGTCTTGGATGCGCTCAAAGTCCGCTTTGGTCTGGTAGCGCAGCATATTGACGCGCTGTGACGCATATCCACGTGGGTCTTGATAGCAAAGCTCGGAAAAGTGCTGTAGAAATTCGAGCGCGGATTTGGCATCCATGAGCTCAATAATATTGACGTTGGGTGTGCCGGTGTCGCCATCCTGTGCAGGGATATTGGGCGTCGTATTCTGGGTAGAGATTTCGCTGTCGCTTGCATCCCGATTTGCGCCTAGATTGACGTTTTGATTTGCCTCGTTGCCCAAGAGTACCTCACGCCTCCAGCCAGTAAGAATGGTAAACTCTTTGTTGATTCCAACGATCTCTCCTGAGCGCCGACAGATCAGGAACGGGGTACCGACCTCGGCGAAGTGTTCTTGTAGTGTCATGAGATTACGTTGCAAGCCCATCTCTTGATGGATCAAATCGTCGGTGTTTAGCTCTTCGCGGACTTGCAGCAGGACCGGTCGGTAATTCTGTAGATACTCCTGCGCTTTTGCGACCCATGGTCTTGAGTACTTCTTATTGATTAATTGGTAGAGCCTATGATAGCCCTTCACATAGTCATATGGCTTGGTGATGCCTTGATAGATACTCTTTGTATCTCTTTGGCGTTTGCGGATGCCATTCGAATGTATCGGTTGCAGCGCGGTGTTTGGAGGCCTGTTTTCCTGTTGTGATCGATTGAGAACTGGTGAGCGCTGCACATGCGGTCGGCTAGTATTAGCGAAGAAAGCAGCGGAAGCTAGCGGGTTATCATTCTCGAATGCCGAGGCATCTGTTGAGGCTGGGCTGGCTGTGGAGTGGCTCGAGGGACCTTGGCCTATAGCAAAGGCGTGGGGACCATGGATACTGTCATTCCGATGAAGGCTATGGTCCAAGTGTGCCGTGGCTGGGGTGTTGTTTGGCGTTTGGACCTGCATACTACCCCCCTGGCGTGCCGTGGATTCTTGCCATTCGCCCGTTGGAAGCCCATTCGGACCAAAGGACATTGCTACAGCGGGATTGGACTGGTCTGCATAGCTTGCTGGCATTTGCTGATGGTACACGCCCCCAGCTTGGCTCATAGGATTCATCAAGGTATTGCCCGGATCGTGGGGTTGCTCAGCTGCGCCGGATGACATGTGACCGAGCATGCCAAATTCGAGGGCACCATAGTGGTTGCCAAAGTTCAGACTTGAGATGTCAAAGTTGAACAAGGCTGGATCGCTTGGATCAAATAGTGTACCGAAATGCGGTACCTGTCCAGACTGGCCCGGGGGTATTGTGCTCGGTACGTTTTGCACCGAGCTATGGTGCGCTTGAGTAAATGGGGGTGATATTGGAGACTGCTGGTTATTGAATGTTCGCCCGTCTTGACTGACTGGTAGAGGGCCTGGAACGGGGTTTGGCGTATAGAATGTCGTTGGTGAGGCCTGGGTGTAGAGATTGTTCTGTGGGGCCACAGAGACCGTCTGGGTGTCCTGCGTTGGAAGTGGTGTTGGGCGATTACCATTCATGTACGGATAGTGGCCGCCCACACCTGGCATGAGCGCGCCATCTGGCGCATCATGTAGGTACTTGGCCTTCTTGCGCACGCCATCCATGCAATGGTCTTGGAGGCCACGCTTGATGCAGCGATTACATGGTCTCTCGTCGCCTGAGATTTGTTATCAGTATGATGTTGTCAAAACGCATTCATGACCATGTAGCATGGAATAGTCACTCGTATAGGGTGAGGAGAGTAGAGACTCACCGCATGTCAGATGGGCTCGCTGACAGGCAAAGCATGCCCTTCGCGCCTTCTTTCTTCGCGGCCTCAGGGGATCCTTTGCACTCGAGGTAGGCTTGCCGTTGGTGGTCTTTTGCGAGGGCGAGGCATCGCCATCGGCAGACTGGCGGTCAGTTGATTGTTCGGCAGCCATATCGTCGTCCAAGTCTCCGCTGTACTCCGGCGAGAGAGACGCATCTTCGGCGCCTGGGGTAGACATAATAACCCCTCTGCGATGCGCAGGCACTTGGTAGAGCACGGACTGCTGCTGTGGACTACGGTCGGCGGTGGGTGCAGCCGTCAATGGTGCTCTTGGGGTGCTCCCAGCAAAACGGTTCAGCCAATGTCTCTGGGGCGCACGGCTGGCGGCGTTCCGGCTGCGTGTTTAGGAGTGCGATCACGCGTGCGCTGGCTGCTCGAACGGGCGCTGCCGTGGCACTCTGACAGCTCCAGTGGCGGCAGTACAAGGGCCCGAGAGCGTGAAGGGCGCTCAATCCGGTGGGCAGGTATGGAACAATTTAGTTGTGATACAGAGCCGGGGTCCATGTAATCGAGGGAGCATTCCAGGAGCACACAGAGTCATGTTTGATAGCGAGATGCTACCGAGACGCGCTACCCATGCTGCTGGGAATCGACCTTTGTGGTACTGCGAAGTCGCCGGAGTGCCGAGCCCGCCTGAGAAAGAGAGCGAGAGAGAGCGCAGTGGGTGAGCGCGCGAGGGCGAGGGCTGCGACGGGTGGGGCGTCGCTTCGAGCAAGCAAGGCGCGACGCAGTAGGGCGACGCTGTGGGACAATGCTTTCGAGGGCTGTGTCTGCGTCTACCCACGGCCAGGCGAGCTGGAGGAGAGCTGCTGTAGACGACTACGAGGGAGGCGCGGCGGGGGGGAGGAGCAAGCTTGAGCAGCAAGTGGAGGCGCTAGAATTGGCGAGCGCTCAGGGGACACGGCGGAGGTGGATGGCCTGCAATTGACGCTGGGCTATTGAAGTGGACTCGAGGCGTCGGTGCACTTGTGGTCGTGTGTGGTGTTGAGGGCTGCGCGCAAATGCGGTTCCCCGCAATTGGTCGCTTGGAGTTTGCTGGGAGGAAGGTGCAGCCCGGCGCAGCTGCCTCGGTCCCCGTTGGCCGGTCACGCCGCTTCCGCTTGGCCTGGGGGGACTGGCAAGGGCGATCCAGTCAGTCACCACTCACACGTCACCGAATTGAAGGGGGTGACAGTGGAGAAGATTCTTGTATCCATTGTATCCAGCTCCACACACACACATGGACATGGACATAGGCGCTTCGACGACAGCTGTCTACTCATCTCAAGCTACGTGTGTAACCTACGTCGACGAGGCCTGCGAGATTCTACATTGGATTGGAATAGATTGATTGATTGATTGATTGATCGATTGATTACTTACTTACCTGACTCTAGCACGTCGACATACGCAACCCACCCTCCCTCGCAATTCCCACCGCGAACTCTCAGGCCACACAAGGCAAGCCCAAAAGCAAGCAGCCGCAATTTTCTCTTCATGTGCCTTGGGCTCGGCTACGCTGGGTGCATGTATGCATGCAAAAGGTCATCGCGCGGGCCTTGGCGCGTCGTCGTCAGTGGCTCATAGTCAGCCTTTGGACGCCCTGTACTACCGTCCATCTCCACGCTCATCTCGCTCATCTCGCTCCCTCGCCATCCTCCATTTGCGAGGGCTCCTGTGTGCCTTTGACTGTCTCGCTTCCCGTGCCTCTGGCTTGTCGGCCACGTTCCCACCACTTTGCGGGCGCACCCACGGCCCTCGCCAACGGTACCATCCGCAACCGCTTCAGTCGCTGTGTATCCCTCGTCCCTCGAGTCGGCATGGCCGCCCTCGTGGCGCCCCAAGTCGTGTCGCACAAAGGCCCGGCCAGCGTGCTTCAGGTGGTCTCACGTGTAGGAGCAGAATCCTTGATTCAATAAACATGATGGCATGCCAATGCCGTGTCACTTCCTCTATTATTAGTCGCTTTCCACTCGAATCCGCCACATGCCCTCGTGTTCATCCCACGCCCGCCTATGCGGACGCATAGCGACTGTTGCCCCTGAGCCGCTTGCCGTATCGAAAGAAGAGTATTGGGAACCTGCCATAGTATGCGTTAGTGACTTCTATAACCACTCCCTTGGGGCGCTCTTACGGGGCCATGGCGAGGGCTAGGAACGCAAGCAGTGTCGTTGCCCACTGGTAGCCCAGATCTGCTCCAAATCAGTGACCGCTCTTTCATCATCATGCACAGTCTCAGAGACTGACGGTTATACAACTGAACCCCAAACAAGGGAAACGCTGCCGCCAGGTACGACCGCGCGAAGCTGTTGGCAGCGAGCGACGATGCAGCGTAGACAGGGTACTGTTCGGCGAGGTCAATCTTTGTACCCAGGAGCCTGGTCCGATTTCGGTCGGTAAATAGACTCACTGCTTCCACAAGGAATGTAAAGACTCCTGAATAAACATTGATCACCCTACGTCACAATGGGCGGTCAGCGAGCCATCTATCGATGACACTTGCAGTGTCCAAAAGGGGGAGCCTACCCCATGCCAAAAAATCCGGAGAACATTATTGGAACTGCCGTGTCATGGTCAGTTATAATTGCGACTCGACAATATGCAGGATGCTGCTGTACCTATCCAGTGAACCTACAAAGACCAGGATGTTAGCCCCGGAAACACCATTGCCATCAAGCATGATAAACTCACAGACGAGTACGTGGTCCATCCAAACCCTGCATAGACGATTAGAAGCATATCGAACCTCACACGTCTCTACAGCAGCTTACCAAACAGTGCAAGGGGAACGACCCAAGCGCCCAGTATAGTTGGTGGAAGCCGAAACTCTGGCTCTGAACCACCAGGCTCGCCCCCTTGCTCCTCGCGTTGCCGCACGAGCCTGCCGTAGATCCTTCTCCAGATTGGATCGGTACAGATACCCGTCACCATACCTACAAGAAGGCCTAAGAATGCAAGGCCAACTTGGGCAGTACTAAACCCGTGGTTATTTTGGAAAATTAGCGGAAAGGCGCCGAAGAATAGGTATATGATGCCCAACAGAATGGCAGACAGGATGCAGAGGTTCAAGCACTAGAGCACCATAATTAGTCCACCAACAATTCCACACCGATCGCAGTAACCTACCATTGGCTCAAAGAACAGCAGTTGAAACGGCCTGATGCAGGACCAAAGCACCGTCTTAGCAACAGATCGGTGCATCTTCTCAATCGGCGCGATCCATTCTTGGTTGCCAGTTTCTTCTCGTAGTCGAATCGCTTTCCTGCGAAGAAGGACTGGGTGGTACGTTTCAGGCACAAACAAGATGATCAGACAAAGCTGGGAGCTAGCATTAGCCTTCGGTACACATGGTACGCGTCACTACCTTACCTGAACGCCGGACCAGATGATGAGCACGTAGAAGCACCTAGTTTGACGTTAACACACCGCTTGTTGCAGCCGCGAGTGCACATGAACTAGTGTGCGCTGGGTACAGGGCTGGAGGAAGAACTGCCAGCATTGGAAGAGCTCTCAGATGCGCAAGAGCAGTTGTGCGATGCAGGCGTGTGGGTCTTTTTCGATAAGCACTTACCATCTCCACGTAGTATGCTCTACGATGAATCCTCCAATCAGCGGGCCGATCTCTGGACCAACAAAAGGGGAGGCAGTGTACACCATCATAGGAGCCGATAGCTCCTGGTCTCATATTAGCAACAAGCAGCTAGCTGGATTAGATCAACTGACATGCTTTGCGAACATGTCGCCTACGGTGCCGCCAGCCACGCTGAGAAAGGCTGAGCCTGCAAGGCCGTCGAGAAACCTAGCCACTAGCATAGTTTGAATATTCTGTGCAACTGCGCAAGGAATCATCCAGATGAGAAAGAAGGTGAACGAGCAAATGTAGATCGGTCGTCGGCCATAGAACTGCGCTACGTCAGCACGCAGCTAGGGCATTTAGTCTAGCAGCACTCGCAGCGGGACGCACCTCAGAAAGGGGACTGAGAACCATTGGCCCCGTCCCCAAGCCGGCCACAAATAGAGACAGCCCGAGTGTGCAGACGAGACGCGAAGCTCCGAATTCGGGCTTGATCTGGCCATACGTTGACGTATATAACGATGAGGTGCAAGTCCTGCCACGCAACACGCGTTAGTCTGTGCACCTAATCCAAGTGCTGCTCATAGGAGGGCTACCTACACACACAGCGAGCTCGCACTACAGATGAGAACGATAGCCCAGCGTCTAAACTTGGTCATATTGCGAGGGTTCAGCGGATCAGCATCGCCATCCCACGCAACCAGATACGGCTCTCCAGTGATAGCCCCGGCTTTGAACTTGTTCGGTCGATCGTCGTTTGCCTCTGCATCAAAGCATGTGTAGCCGTCTCCTCCAGCTCTTGAGTGCTGTGATCTGACCGTCTTCAGACTCCTGTTGTCATGCGATGGTCTACGTTGACTTCGTCCTCTTACTGTCGGTTCAACTTCCTCCTCTAGTGATGCCTGGTATCTGGTGTCATCCAACCCTATTCTTTTCTCCTCGTCGATCTCCATGGCTGATTGTATGCTATCTTCGTGGTCGCTCGACGCCCTCTCCTCATGTGCTTCTAGGGACGAGCCCATGCTCCTCCTCATTTGCCCATTCATCTTTCTCTCAGTCCCTTATACTCTCCTAAGTTGTTGAAATCCCTTCTCTAGTTGTTGACGAGCATCAAATGACTGTTTATAATGCAATTGACGTTCGTTTAGGATTCGTTCTAGTCTCCACTCGGATATAACTCGCTCAAATCCTTCTTATTCCCCGTCGATGACAAACGGCTTGCTAAGTGGAGCGAACCCTGCCGCAGATCACGAAATGATGACAAGATGACCACGCCGTGAAGCTTGCTGAGTCGCGGTCGAGAGACGATTTGCACAAACTGCTTGGACTCCATAGTCGCCACTGGCCCCATGGCGTCTGTTATGGGGCAAAATACTTAAAAGATGCGTCATCGGCAAAAGTATCGGCTAAGATCTTGGGGCGGAGATAGGGGTTTATGAGATGTATTCAAGAGCAGAGCGAACTGCCACTAAGCAACATAAGCGCTACTGTCACTGAATAGTCGGTCTTTGCCCCTTTCTAGGCTCGTCGTTGATGTGTCGATATTGTGGTCCTTTGCCGATGTTCAATTGCCGCGATTAGCGAGCAACTTGCTATTGACAAAGGGTCCAATTTTCGCAAGGCGTTGGGATAAGCTTTCCGCACCACCCGCAGACACCGCAGCTACCATCATTCTGTTATCACAACCTTTGCGTACACAACTCGTAGTCGGTCGATGGGGTATGCGGTGAATGGCTATGCATTGCGCCGAGGGAGCTTGATAGATTTCAACAAGGCATGACCGCAAGGCGTGCCTTCCGATGGCTTACTCAGGCTACTACGTACACGCAAATCACCATGCACTCTATACTTAGGCTCTCCATATCGACTGCAATAAATGATAACGACGACATGTGGGAAACGAAAGATTGTGCTCAATTTATGTCGATAGTCTAAACTAAAACCGCTTCTTGACGTTGCACTTGGAGACGCCTATATATGACGGAGGAGGTGGGAAGGCCAGCATCGTGAAGAGATGGCGGACACATGTCACTCCTTATTCACTTAAACTAGTATCTCGAACATCTGAAATTGTGCTTGGGAAGTGCTGGCCAAAGATGCCCAGAATAGTCGAAAGTCATGGGGTGCAAGGCTCCATAGAGCATTCTCTTCGTGGCGTATTTGGCCAAAGGCAAGACATGTAGAGTGTACTGGATACACCCGAGCCTGCCATCCGGAACAAAAGCGTGGAAGGTCTGAGTTACAGTTACATACTTGAGGCCTATAAATGTTTACGTGACGCACTCGTTTGCTATCATTGTCACAGTATCGCGAAATCATTCACGATGAAATCCGAAGAGAAGTGTAGTGATTACAACAACAAGCTACAAGAATCGAGTCAGAGACTGAAGAAGCACATTCCGCTGGCCAAGACGCGACGCCATCCTCAACATCAAAGATATCAAAGATGGCTTAAGCTAACTTTAGGTTTAAGGATTGTGAGCCGGCTCCCAATAGTGGCTATTCAACATCTCCTCGCGTCCGCACACCTCATAGCCATGCGTAAGTATCCTGTTGAAGCTGCCATGTTGCCGAAAGCAGTGTCGACAAAGCGAGTTCTCCCTCCACTCTTCACCGTGGTCATTCTTGTAGATAGAGATATCGGAGTCGATGAGATGCAAGGCTCTTGCGAAACTAGGTGTTTCGGCAGTGGGAGGACTCCCATCTTGCTCTGGCATCGTAGCTCTACGTGCTGGAACACGTACTGGTGTTGAGGGTTGTGTTGAATACCGAGGACTTGCGACTTTGGGCCTAAAGGAGGCAAGATTGGGCAGAGCGTGCTCCTCGATGGGGCTAATTGTTTCTGGAGGCGTGGGAGTTCTCTCGATGAAGGTCGAGCTCCGGACTAGGGACCTATCACCACCGCCTACGGCTCCCAACGTAGAGAAAGTAGATCTTTTCGATCGCATAGTTGTAGAGCCCCGGGCTTCATGGAAAGGCATCGTGCGAATTTTCTTCGACATCATATCAGGTGACGCATGTCGACTGCGCACTCTTTTGCGAGCTTTGGTCTGTTAGTATGAGCATGATAGTGCAATGAGCGTACACCTACGGCTGTTGGGTCTTGAGTTGTTGCGAGATGACGAATGTCCGTCCGACACAGTCGTCGCTTCGGTTGAACCCACAGTCACTGCCGATGTTGGTGCCTCGGTAGGTGACGGGCTGGATGAGACATCTGAATCGATGTCACAGAACATGAGCGGAGATTTGGGTACCTCCGCATGGTCGCTAGAGCACAAGCGTTGTGTAACGAAATTCGAACTCGGTAGACGTAGCCCACCAACTGTAGCCCGCAGACTTGGTGGCTCTAGGCCGCTGGAAACCACACGGCGTATACATGGTCTTGAGAGTGTGGTTTCAGAGGAGTCTAAGTCCTCCGATTCGCTGTGGCCTGGGCCCTCGACGATTTTTTCAGATGATGAAGAAGTGGAACAAATAGGCAAACTGAGCGAGCGTAGAGACAGGCTGTAGTCGGACGGTGTACCATCGGTTCCATGAATGGCAGTCTTGTACCGCGCTTGATCAACGGCTCGCAGTTTCTCGCGCGCTTCTTGAGCGATGGAAGTCCCGCCAATCCACACCGAAGAGGTTCGTCTGCCAATGGCATGAGGAGTAGGTGGTAACTTTGGAGTAGCTTGCGGTGTGCTTCTGTTGCAGAGGGCAGTCGCAGTGTCCCTCCCATGGATCTCGTCGAGAATTTGCTGAAACAATGAGCCAGGTCGCCCGATGTTTCCTAGCGAATCGACACTCGGCTGGATAGAGGGGTTAGTCATAGTTGGTGTAGGATGCTCATGCGGTATAGCTGAAGCGATGCAGATTAATCGATGCCGAAGAGCAATGTGCGATGCTTCAAGATATCGCGTAGAAGAGATGAGGTGAGAGGAGGAGTCATGGTTGGGGTAGTGTGGCAACCTCAGAAGCGTAGAGGTAAGCAAGGAAGGCGTGTCTAAAGCTCAGGCGAAAGAAGAAAGAAGGTAGGGCGAGTAACTTCTCGACAAGAGCTGAAAAGACAGGAACAAACAAAGATACGAGATTGGAATTCAAAAACACGAGAAAGCGTAGTGGAATAGACACAAGAACTGATCATCATCATGAGGTGAATTAGCTGCGAGATGCCACATAGCTCTCACCTGATATGGTATACTACAAGCCTCGTTCTATCATGTAGAGGCCGAACCGTTGCGCCAAATCTTGTCGTTCAATTGTCATGATGCTCATGTCTCGGACATCTCCGTATCCTCTGGCTTAGCCAGGCCATGCTCCTTCAACAGGGCATCGATTTCATCCGCACCCCAGAGGTGGTGATAAATCTTGCCAGCCTTTGTCCTTCCGACTGTCGCGAATTCAACTAGGAGTTGTTAGCCATGCTTGCTTGCTAGAGACATTTGATTAGGACACGCACTCTTCTCGCTGCTTAGCTTTGTAGAGTCCATGGTCTTGCTGAGCACCTTGACGGCGAGCCCGCAAGCTTCCTTCAAGTCGCAATCCTCCTTGTAATCCTGCTTCAGCAAGCTCTGAGCTGAGGCGTTGTTCGCGCCGACACTCGTTGCCTTCCACCCGCCGTAGTTGCCACTAGGGTTGCTCTGGTACAGCTGAAACTGTCGCTGCGGATCCCAGCCAGCATAGATGAACGAGACGCCGAAAGGCCGAAGACCGCCATGTTGCGTATAGCCTTGTTTGAGATCGCATAGGCGGCGCACAAGCTGCTCACAAGGGATGTCTTCGTTGTAGGTGAGGAGGTAACGCTGGGCGGCTTGACGGGCGTAGTTGATGAGGATGTTGGCATCGGCGGTCATGCCTGCTACAGCGCAGATCATGTTGCTGTATTCCCATTAGCATAGAGAACTGCCATGAGTCCAGGCTGTGACGCACTCGTTCAGGATGTACAGCTTCTCCGCTGATGTGTCCTGCTCCAACAGCTTGCTAGTCACCTTCCTCTCTGCGGCGAGGACGATACCATCCTTTGCTAATATACCAAGCGCTGTTCCTGCGTGCGAGATGGCTTCGAGCGCATATTCGACCTGGTACAAGCGGCCTTCTGGGGAGAAGATTGTCGTCTATACACACGGTTAACCAGGGTGCCGCCGAAGGCTGGAGCATAATGCTTACCCGGGAATCGTATCTCCGCGACATGATTGCAATCTATTCGAAGTGTCCCAAGCGATGCAGAGAGCTGTAGACGAAAGGAAGGGTGGGAGAGTATGGCGGGGAAGGCGGCGTGTGAGCTGGTGTTGATGGGAGAGCTCCAGGCACAAGCTGGTACGCGTCGGCGATTCCAGTGCCAAGCCCCGTCGACTTTTTGAAATGGACAACCGCAACTCACGTCGCCGTCAAACCTTGCCATGATGTGGTATAGAATCCGATAGCGACAAATAGTTTCCGGAGCCGCTCTTTTCACCATGTCTGACTTGCCTGCGCGACCCCCTGCGCCAGCTCCGCCACTCCCTTCAGGCTGGACGGAGCATAAAGCGCCTTCAGGTAAGTAGCTATAACTCTTGCTGCGTCTTTCGTGACGAAGCTCACAACTTGCAGGCCACACATACTTCTACAACAAGGAGACGAAGAAATCGACATACACGCGACCTACGGCCGAGGCACATCAATTTTCCCATCCTCACCCTCCAGCCGCATCTTCCTCACTTGGCGCAACGTCGGTTTACAACCAGCAGCAGCCCGCCCGAGATGGCTTCAATCCCCAGCGGCAGATGCAAGATCTCATATTTGCAAGCGCGCCGAAGCAGTTTGTGCAACCTGATAGAGCCCACCATAACTCAAGGGGTGGCCATCGTGGAGGCTTCCATCGAGGACAGAATAACTTCAACGACCGAAGGAGGCAACATGATGATAGACCCAAGCATCGTCACGATATACCGAACTGCGCACCATGGGTGTTGGTGAAGACTAAATTCGGGAGACGATTTGTGTGGAACAAGGACACGAACGAGAGCTTCTGGAAGTTCCCACCAAATGTGATGAAGGCTGTAGTCGAATTCGACCAAAAGGAGCGCGAAAGGAGGGAACGCAGGGAACGTGGCGAGCCAAGCGATGTCGAGGAGGAGGACGCTGCGATGGCGGAGATCGAGGCAGAACTCGCGGAAGCTGAAGAGGAGGTTGAGATTGTCGAGGTAGACGGCGAGCAAGGCATGGAGAATGATGAGGAGTATGAAGAGGTTGAAGTCACGGATGGTGAGGGCGAAGAAGGGAGTGCGCCAAAGCGACAACGGACAGAAGAGCCAGCCGGAGGTCAACCGCCTGAAGACGATGACCTGGCATGGCAATTGGCTCAAATGGAAGAGATGGAAGCGATGGAACAAGAAGGAGGCCATGACGAGGAATACTACGAGGATGAAGAACCTGCATTGACCGAAGACGACTGCAAGGCACTGTTCAAGGAATTGCTGGATGACACGCGGATAAGCCCCTTCACACCCTGGGACAAGATTCTTGAAGCTGGCGCATTATACGATGATGAGCGCTACAAAGCCCTACCAAATATGGTTGCGCGCAAAGACTGTTTCAACGAATGGGCGCGAGAGAAGTCCCAATACTTGAAGGCCGAGAAAGCCAGACAACAGAAGCGTGATCCACGAATCCCATATCTAGCTTTCCTTAGCACGCACGCCACGCCGAAGCTCTACTGGCCCGAGTTCCGTCGCAAGTTCAAGAAAGAAGCAGAAATGAAGGACACCAAGCTCTCCGACAAGGATAAGGAGACCTTGTATCGAGATCACATCAAGCGGCTCGGTATGAGGTCTTCAGAGCTCAAATCCGATCTTTCAGCCCTACTAAGAGCACAACCACTTGCCTTACTCAACCGCTCATCAACACTTGACACACTCCCCTCGCCTATCCTGACCGACTTGCGCTACATCTCCGTCCCACAATCGACTCGCGACTCACTCATCGAGACGTACATATCTACTTTGCCACCTGCACCGGAAGGCATGGTTTATTCGGCGGAGGAAGAAGCAGAGCGAGCGAAGAAATGGGCTGAGAGAGAGCGAAGGGAGAAAGCGCTTGCAGATCGTGAACAGAGAGTGAGAGAGGCGAAACGAAAGCAAGAGCGCGACCTGGCATATGGAAAGGGCAGATTACGCGAAGAAGAGGAAGAGATTGAACGGGCCATGAAGGTGGGCAAAGAAGGATTGAAAGGACATTTGAAGGAGTAAGATACCCAATAGTAGAGTCCCGTAAAGTCAGTCAAATCCACTAGATACTATACACATCACACAGAAGTTCCACCATTGAGTCACATGTGACGCAAACTCTGGCCGGTGCGTGAAGTGGACCGGGACTGGGACCATGTCAAATATGACTCTAAACGCAGCGATTACAGTCATGGGGTTTTGAGTACGACAATACCTAATATTCAGCTATTTAAGAAACTCGCTGCCCCTTTTCCTGCACTCTTTCTCAACGTACTGACCAGGTTATATCAACGATAGCAAACCAACTCCGAGCTGTCTAAGAATCCCGAGAATACCCTTAAAGACTTGAAGAAACCAAGGTACGTCATTGCACCTTCTAATTTGTGATGTTCAGAACTGCTGACGTTCCAGTGACAGACATGAACGCGCCAGTATCATCAAACATGGCCGCCCTAATACGCTTCAAAGAGGCGAATCCTACTGCGTGGGCTTTACTGGGTGTCATGTCTATGCTGGATGGCGAATCTATACCCGAGGAAATACTCACGACGGACGCGGAGGAGGTTGAGCTCGCTAACTACCCTCCTAATTTGGCGGTTTACCTCAAAGCTCGCAAGGAAGTTATGGAAGCTTTCCCTATCACTAGAGACGAGTTATCATCGAGTCTCCGTATCCGTTGTGATATCCAGGATATGGTACGCAATGCACTAGACGATGCTTCCTTCCGCGACGTCTTCAACGCTGCCACTCGTCTACAGCATGCGGTGTGGCCGTTCATAGACAGTGAAAATCTGAACAGAACCGATCGCTTTGAGACAGCGAAATGTTTCCAGCCGCATATTTCGCGACTGCGATCGGCACTAGAATCCCGAGGAGTAGGAAAATTGCAGCCGACACTCTTGCTTGCAGATTTGTTCAACGAGTCTAGCTGGTAAGAGACCTCAGGCATTATATTGCAAGGCTAATTTTATCTGTAGGACCTATCAACTCCAAGGAACGAGCGATGGACTCAGGCTAGGCGATGAGTATGCTGTTCTAGCGCAAGAGGTCGTCGAGACCAGTGAGAACAAACATGACGACGATTTCCGGAGCCAATTGCTGGCAGACAGTTACCGCTTCCAAGGCATAATTGGAAGTTATCAAAATACAGGAAAAGCCGTGCCATGCACGAAAAAGTGGGTGGACAGACTCTACGAGCGAATCGAAAAGTATCAGTCTAAGCAAGACATCGACACCATGCCCATAGCGTGGAACGAATATGGCCGAGCCCTGATGCGCTTACCTGACAAGAAAGAAGCAATGAGCTACTGGGAACGCGCAAGCATCTTCATCTCCGACAGAACAAAAGCCGGAGAACTTCCGTTCCCGTATCCATGGTTCCATCGTGCCCTTATAAATGCATTTGACGGGAAACAAGACCTTGCTGAAAGCATCATCTTGCCCATTCTCGAAGAAAGAGAAAATAAGTTGGGTAAGGACGATGTAGATACCTATGAGTAGGTCCATAGCTGCGCTAGAAAGGTAGCTACTAACTTGACTCAGAACTGGCATGATCCTTACGTGTATGGGCCATATTCGACGCGCCCAAGGACATTTGCACGCGTCGCACATGTTCAATAAACGCGCAGCATCAGTCGTCCCCAGCGCAACCGGTGAGAGCTCTTTGGCCTCGCTCACTGCGTACTACCGTCTTGCAGTCGACAAATTCGCCCTTGGGAAATTCAACCGTGCTCAGTAAGAAGGCCTGGTGTTATTAGGAATAAAAACTAACAGTTCATTGATAGTAAGCTTCTGCAGAAGGTACTCGACGGTGTAGGTGACGACTCCCACTTCAAAGCAATAGCTGCACGTGCAAATTGGAAGATGGGGCGCACAGTGGGGCGCGAAAGCGGTGACGACGATGAACAGGCCAAAATATTCCTGGACCAGGCGATGAAACTCCGTCATGAGCTTGTTCCGGACGATAAGAGGGAAGAAGAAAATTTGAAGGATATAGATTGGGATAGCTTGGTGTTCTACCTTTTCCGATGAACTTGTGGGAGATTGAGAGGGATAAAGTTGATTGAGTTCAACAGCTCAAGTGCTCAAGGGATGGTCCTAGACATGGCAAGTTCTGAAAAGTCTTTTTTCTTATAGATAGTCACATCATTCTTGCGGACCAATATGTCGAGAATCTCAAACTTGATCCCCTGTGAAGTCTACACAACATGAACTTAATTCGACATTCCGATTTGTACCCCCTAAATTTCTTGTGTGCAATGCATGTTTTGATTAGAGACGACAAGTATTGGTGTCTCGTTTGAAAGTACACGTGAGTTGGTGTGTTTATATGATCGAAAAATACTGTACATCATCAAATCAATTATACACTATAAAATAACTCTATAAAAAGTCCATATAGAGACATTCCCAGTCAAAAAAGCACTATGGCTTACAGCATGAAAGCAGCGAGAGCGACCACGGCCGCTACAAGCCCGCTTGCCTGCAGGCCACTAGCCGCACCAGTGAACTCAGGCGCCCCGTATCCAGTCTTCGTGGCAGAAGGCTTGACGTAACCAGTACCATAGCTGATCGTGGCGTTCGAGGCCGGATAGCCAGCAGAAGGCTGAACAGGCTTGATAGCTTTCTCGCCCGCAGGTGTCTCAACTGGCTTACTCGGCTTGTCACCACCATACGTGGGCTGACTGGGGTTGCTGGGCTTATCCTCGCCATAAACAGCGGAGGAGGGGTGCTGAGCGTAGTACTCATTCTCTGGAACCGGAACCTTGCTGAGCGTGATGATCTTGGTCTGGTAAACCTTCGTCGTCTGCGTAAGCGCGCTTGTTGTGATGGCGGGAACGGGACTTGTGAGCTTGCTGGTTTCCTCCGTGGGGTAATCCTTGCCACCGCACTTACTGCAGGGAACAGTCACAGTGACGGTCGTGGGACCTTTCCCACAACCTGTCTTGCACACCTTAGTAGTAACCTCGAAACCCGGGGGCGGGTTTACAGGGTAACCGGAGCTAGGAGTAGTGTATGGTGCAGGCGTGATGGAGGGCAAGTAGGTCACGACGTGTTTGGTAGTGACGGTTGTGTAGCCAGTCTCGCAGACATCCACGTAAGTGGTTGTATACGTCGTCGTAATGGTGGTCTTAGAGCCCTCGGGGTGTGAGTTGTAGCCATTGTCAGATGATGGCTTGCTTGTGACATCCGGGTGGATCGGGGATACGAGACTGAAGGATGGGAGGTAGTCGTAGTCATCGTGGGCCGACTTGCTTGGATGCGCTGGGTGATCGCCATAGACAGGAGCAGAGCTCTTCGAGTCGGAATAGACAGGATAGGCGAGCGTGGAGCTCTTAGGGGAGGCAGAGTAGGAAGCTGTCTCATACCCAACCTTGGCGCTGGAGGTAGTGCAGGGAGTGCTCTGAGCTGGGCTACCGTAGCTAGGGTACGAGTCATCGTAGACGGAGGTAGACGAAGGAAGATAACCTGTACCCGAGTAGACAGCAGTGCTGTTGGTCCCAATCGGGTAGTGCGGGACATATGAGCTAGCGGGGTAGACAACGCCAGATGAAGCCGTAGATGGACGAACGACGGGGCTTTCCATAGCTGATGAAGAAGGGTGCGCAACGGAAGTGCCTGACGACAAACTCACGGAAACAGAGTCCGAAGCGGAGGAAGAGCTGACGTATACCGAGCTAGATTGAACAACGCTGCTCGAGATGGAAACAGATTTGGAAACGTAGACCGAGGAGCTGGCCGGGGACACTGAGCTAGGAGAGACGCTGCTTGAAGCGTAGACAGAGCTGGAAACATAGACGGATGAGCTAGGAACAACGCTGCTTGAGGCGAGGACAGAGCCGGACGCGTAGATGGAGGAGCTGACGGGACTTGCTGAACTAGAGACGCGGACGCTGCTCGAAGCGAGGGTAGAGCTGGAGATGAGAACTGACGAGCTACGAGCTAGAGAGCTAGAGGCTTGGACGCTTGAGGAAGGACCTGGTGTGCTGGAGGCAACGAGGCTGGATGGCCGAATAGAGGTGCTAGAAGCATAGATGCTGGAAGATTGTGCGGGGGTGCTGGAAGCAAGGATGCTAGAGGAGCGAATGGATGAACTCGACGCAATAATGCTGGAGGAGCGAACGGATGAGCTCGAAGCAATTATGTTGGGCGATCGAACCGAGGAGCTGCTGGAGGGGGAGCGACTGACAGAAGAGCTACTGGTGGAGGAGCTGCGAACTGGAGTGCTGCTGGCAGAGCGGATGCTGCTGCTGGAGGCGCGAGTCGAAGAGGGAGCTACCGAGGAAGAGCTAGACACACTCTTCTTCTGGTAGGTCTTGAAAGAGCTAATGCGCCAGAACGCGTTCTCGAAATCCTTCGGGTTCTCAGCCACGTACTTCTTGCAAGAACTCATGCTACTAAGAGCGACGCCATTGGCATCCTTGTACTGAGGGCAAGTAGACTGAGAATAAACATTTCCAGCCCAATCTCCGCAGAAGTTGTTCGTGAAGATGAAGCGGTGGTCTTTGAAGCGCTTGTCGATGTCGCAGTCGCCCTCGAAGTTGGCAGCTGGCGTTCCGAACTCGCTGGTGTCGGGCGCGTTGCCTTTGCGAAGACTGGCAGGAATGGTGCTGCCACGGGGGAAGAACCATGTCTTGATAGCGTCGCTGTCCCACTCCATAGCGTAGATACCACCACCGTTCGCGTTGAAGCCTGCACCAAAGGAGTTGGTACGGGCATCGTTCACATCACAGCCTGATGCACCGGAAGCGCTGTCGAAAGCACAGTCCTTTAGGAGCTGATTGCCTGTCTGGCCGAGACCGTTCGTCTTACACTGAGTGTCGGTGTGCAAGACGTACTTGTTGACTGCGTTCTGATTTACGCCCTCGATTATGTCGATCTCGCCCTTGGCCTGAGAGTGGCATCGAGTCAGTGTTGTTCCCCACGTAGTCTATACATATCCTATGACTTACCGGCCATGGCTCCTGGCCGAGGGACCAGAAAGCCGGCCACATACCGCAGATGCTGGGCATGGCCTTGACATCGATGACGAAGAGACCGTGGTTGTAGTTCTTCTTGCCTTCAAGACGAACACTCTTTCGGCCCTTGTCACCACCGTCAGCGCTGTTCAGCTTCTCTGAAGAGTCGACTCCGAACAAGACATCGTCGCCAATTGTCTTGTATAGCTTCTTCGATGTGGCGGTGGCTTCATCAACGTAGTCGACGAAGCCATTGTTCAGTTCGTATGTTTCAAACTTGAATGCCTCAAGCCAGTTGGCTCCAGTATAGCTGTCCTGGATCTGGTACTTGGCAGCGAAAGCAGTATATGTTAGAGTAGATAGGACGGCGCCAACCCCAAGAAGGAGTGATGAGGAAGGCATTATAAAAAATTAGGTATACAAAGAGTGACTAGATTAAAATGATTGTGAAAAGCGAGTGTCTGTAGGATAGGATCTACGAGTCCGTGAACAAACTGGAGAAGTCGTTAAAGAGAGTAAAGCGAGCGCGACCGGCCAGCCTATCTACTTTATTGTCAAAACTCCTGACTCCTTCCACTCCGGTTGCTACTGCTTAGGGAAACGAAGCTGTGCCTGGCTAATGGCGGCCTGCAGCCGAAGGACGCAAGCCATGGATCGGTGTTGATCAATCCAAGCGACCCTCCTTGACCGGTTTCTGAAAGTACATAGATCCGCTGACTGTAGATGGGCAAGCTCGCAGCCACTTCTGCAGGTACACATGCATGACATCCCCTAAACTCGACTAGAAATTACCATAGTAAGGTTAGTACACGCTTAACCTTGAAGCCCATTCAGCCGTGCACGCGCCCTTTCAGTGCCTGAGTCGCTAAGTCATTCATCAGCGGCGCACAGCTGGTAAAAGCGCGCGTGGCTTTGGGCTGGGTGGGTTGATATACGGCTGTCTTGGTGTTGAGTGGTGCGATTATAGGCGGACGGGAGCGAGAGAAGGCGCTAAGCTATCGTGGCTGATCCGTCAGGGGTTGCGTGTTCCAGACCGATGTAGCAAGCCTCGCGAAGGCACCCTGGAAAAGGAACATTGAGAATGGAAACATGGCCCGAGGTCACGATGTGGAAATCATCTTTCGGTCCTTCTTGTTGGTACCGTCCGTATCGATCGGTCTCGGCAGGGTCTAAGGCTGAAGATTTAAGCTCTTGAAAAAGAACTGGAAGTATAGGAAGCGCTTGCGCCCCAAGAACAATCTGACTTCCAGATATCGAGTTCTGATGCTGTGATATCAATTTATATTGGAGTCCAGGCGCCCAGTAGGAGTGACAAGGGCGGAAGTTATCCAACAAGCGCTTATATGCAGATACGAGCTGTTGTTCTTTGATGAGTAGAGATTAAGACAGAAAGGGAAGGCCGTTAACCTGCCTGCCGCCTCTCTTCCAGATACCACATGATCAAGAATGCGAGTTTCTGCGTCGTATTGTCTGTGATAATGCGAAACCCCGACTTCTGCGGCGCAGAACGTGATTGCCAAGCGATCACCTCAGAAGGGGAAACAAAGTCGACGGCTTCCTTGCGACGATTCCAGGAGCTGCTGAAATGAAACCTAAGAAATATTGTCTTACCCCGGGATCACTCACCGGTCCTCATATGTAGCTACGGAAAACCACTTTCGAACTTGGAAGGTTCCGAAGGGAAGAAGAGGTGGCTTCGAAATCCCAGTCCCAGGTTTAGCGAGCAACACCATTTCTTATCTGGATGACATCCGAAAAAAGTAACAGTTGCCCGGGGTTAGTGACAGATGCGAATTCTCTGAGGTAGAATCCGCTTTCATGTGAGAAGCGAGGAGCGCCGCAATGCTAGAAGTGAGGGGACCCGGGAAGCATTAGTGCTAGCAACGATGTTGCTGACTAACCCATCATGATAAAGGCAGCTCACCACCAACAAGGAGACGCTATCAAGTAAACATTTTGAATCGATCAAAGCCAGACCTCCCTAATGTCGTCGTGGAGAGATCGCGTATTCTCACCATGCACAGAATGCGCTCCGTCTAGTGCAAGTCAAACTTCCCAATCAAGCAGTTCCCAAATCCATCGATCACCGCGCGGACAACGCATGTTCCCACGCCAGTCAGCCCCTACCCCTCCTACCTATTCAGGTAAGATTGAAGGCATCTGTCGATTATAGTTGGGTCATCCGAGGTCACGTTGCGCCATGCCGAGGAGCCTGATACTTCCCAACAAGGCAGATCTTTGCAACCATCAATCGCTGCAGTGCGAGTGCGACAGGGGAGCGGCACATGAACTTTCCCCTTCAAGCAATTTGTCTTGAACCATGGATAGCTGCAAAAGTTTTGCCCACCCTGTGCTCATGCACGACCCCCGCCATTTCATGCGGGTCGGGCCACTCAAACTTCCATATCAAGTAGTTTGCTGGCTACCATCGATCACAGTGATTGAAGGAGGTGACACTGCATATTGGTTCTCTTGGCTTGCAGCTGAATATACCGTATTAAGTATCTTTCTCATGGTATCGATAACAGCGCCACTGCGGCAAGTAGGGATCGGAAATGAAAGTGGTTACCGCTTTGGGAAGGTTTGCAAGAGTGTGGATTGTAGTGGAATTTTACCCTCGCGGAGTCTTACCCCTCGGAGTCTTACTCCCAATGGAGTCTTACTCTTCCACACCGGCATTATCGTAGAGACCTACACAACCAATTCTTTGCTCCATTTCAGTTTAAGTTGTCTGCCGGAGACGTATATACACCTAGATGAATTGAAAAGGGGTATCAACAATAATGCTACAATGTCCAGGCAACGAAGCAGTCCAACACCCCGCACTCCGCCCATCTTTCGGCCCTGTTCTTAGCCAACACAATGCAATTTCATTGTTTTGTGTCGCCGCGACCATTTTCAGCTTTCTTCTGGTCCCTTATTGATGTGATTAAATTAGATTTAGCATTGCAGTTTTTATCGGCTGGCAAATTTCGATCAGACATGCTCGAAGACCAACAAGTAGCACGACATGCGACAGGGACGTGGAACATATGGAAAGATGATTAGAGACGTGTAATGAATCAGTAACAATGCTTGAGCGATGCCAGAAAAGTATGAACACAACCGGAGAGACCTGTCGATTAGGAGTGAGGAAGCGTATCTGGAGAAGACCCGAACGTTGGCCTCATTTGCCTCTCTTGGGGAGTGGAGTATCTATCTGCTACACAATAAACTTGATCTTGTATCACACGAGCAACATGTGGACGCGAAGGCGAGAGGAACAGGCTCACAAGGCACTCGTAAATACTAAAATATAACACATTCACGTTACGATTGGAAATCTCATTTAGGTTGATTTGATTTGATTAGAGATAGTCCTAACAGCACAGTAACACTCGTTCAAATCACAAAAAGACATTTCATAACACAATGATACCATCAATGAGAGAACGCATAAGCACGAATCGCCGTAAAGGCTTGCGCAACAGAAGGGAAGTTTTTTGGAGGTAAGCCGCACGATAAGCTGCACGAAGAGTTATCCAGGACAAAAAGAAAAAGAAAGACTGTTCGGCGCTTCTACGCCTCCATCGAGCAAGCGCCACGTACGGGTATCAGACGAAAGAAACGCAACCCCTCCAGCCTGTAGTCGCCACACCGTGCCGACCCCATCCAGCGCCACGGACGCCAAAAGTAAAATTTCCAACCAGATCTGACGCCTTATGGGTAATTCGCTCGGGCTCACAATATCCCAATTTATTCCCGGTTATTTGCCCCAGTTTTCTGCCGCAGATGGTCTGTGAGCACAGAGAGATTGGTCCGAGCCTCGGGAATGTGCTCGACAATGTGCCTCAAATTGATCATCTGCAACTCTGACACCGCCTGGTTCTGGGATAGGTTAGAGCCGAGGATCTGAACGATGACGGGCGCGTCAATGTACGGCCCAAAAATCTCGAGTGCCTTCGGTGTTTGATGATGCGGTGGAGCGTTCGCAGGGAGCTGTGGCTGTTGGTGTCCGTTGTTCGCTGGCGCTTGAGCAAATGGATTGCCGTACTGTCCCGGAGAGAAGGTTGCGCCCACTGGTGAGAACTGCGGACCGTGAGGATTGGGGACTGGGGATGGACTGGGGCCATTCGTCGGAACAGTACTTCCAGTCTGAGCGGCCTGACCCGCGGTGGTTTCTTGTGCTGGGTAGCGCTCAAAATGCTGTGTTGCAGGCTTGACCTCAGGAAGCTTGGCAATGAGGGCGAGCAGCAACATATGCTCCTTGCGGGGCGTCTCGATAGTGCAATACTCGAGCATGTCGATAAAGGGCGGGAGATTGCTACCACCGGCCTCGATTGGAATGACGTAAAGGTCCCGCATGATATCGTTGCCCAAGTTGTCGATAGGAACCACACCCCAGCGCCCTCGTGAATGGAAGTAGTTGTATAGATGATCCATGATTGCACGTCCGTTTGAAGTGACGGGGCTAACCGCAAGGATCGCCACCTCGTGACTTTCCGTGTGTCCTATGCCCCGAATGTAGTCGTCTCCCTTGGCGCTTTCTATCCGACCTTGAACAGATAGTGCGTTAGTCAGTAGCTTCTCCCACGGGACGACCTGGCTGAAATCGCCACCGGCGACGAAACGAGCGACAGCGTCGAACGATTCCATGGACTGCATGCTAATGGATCCTTGCCAGCAGACAGTCGGATCCGACGAGTATCCTGACATCTCCACGTCATTGTCTTCGTCTTTGAGTAGTCGATCCACATCTGCATCATCAACAGGAGCCTGTGGTTTGTCGTGCATGTGCATGGAGCTTTGACGACGCTGTATAAACGCTTGCTGATCATGCTGTGGCGATCGGACTTTATCAAATACCGAATTGATATCGAAGTTGGTCGATGGCCGCCTCGTACTATCTGTTTGCACCTCGGATGTATCCAATGAGAGTGGGCCGCGTGCTGCATCTGCCGGAGTCTCTGATGGGCGAGTGCCAATGGGTGATTGCATTGCTGTTTCGTCCACGCTTTCTCGTTCACGTAGGTTGGGCTGCTTGAACTCGTGGTTATCGGCAGTGTCGTCGCCCACGAGTTCCTCACCTTTGTGTGTTTTGCGCATACGAGGTCCAGCTTCCTCAGTCAAAATCATCTGCTTCTCAGCCGCTTCTCTCATAACAGCATATTCACGCTGTTTGTCCTCGCTCGCCATCTCTTCAGCCTCCATGCCCACGAATTCTTGTGCCTTCAGGCTACCAGACAGTAGCTGATCTATGAGAACTGTATTCTTCTTGACGTTGAACATGATGGTACGCAGCTTGGCAAAGTAGGGCGAATCCGCCCCAGTGGGCTCGCCATATTGCCTAAAAGCGGCGTGGCTGATTTGGAGAGTCATCCGTGTTGCGAGAGATTTGGCTGTCTCTCCATCTGGGATGCGGTAGCCCCTCGCATCCGAAGCAGTTTTGATCAACGGCGTGAGAGTCTCTCGAAGCTTTTCCGCAAGGGCTTTCTGATTCTGAGGTAGAGCATCAATGTCCTCACCTGGCGCGCTTTGCGAGGTGGCTTTGGGCTCTTGGTGGCTGGATTTTCTGCGCTTCTTGCTTGCATTGGCCTTCTCCGTGGTTGGCTCATGGCGGCGCTTCTCGCCTGACGGAGACTGTGGCTGGCTCTTGTTGCCCTGTTGTAACGTAGAGTCAGCGTGATTCGAATTCGAAGCAGAAACAAGACGTACCTTTGTGTCAGTATGACCGTTCGACGTATCCTGAGTCGGCACGGAGGCAGGGGCGGGAGTGGGAGTCGACGCTTGAACGGGAGCTGGATCTGCTTGTGAGGGTGTAGCTGATTGCTGTGGTGTCGTTGCCTTTTCAGAAGTGCCTTCCTGCTTAATGTCGCTGGGGCGAGCCTTTGGCTTGGAGCCCTTCTTGCGGGCCCAGGGCTTCTCCCCCCGCGCCATGGCGGCGAGCAGCTCTTGATGCTGTTCTGGCTTGCATTTTTCACAATAGTAGTCTTTGCCCTCCCAAAAGTCGCCCTCGGGCAAGCCTAAGCATTTGTTATGTTGCCAGGCCGTGCAACTGTCACAGCAGATCATTTGCCGTCCACGGATGTCGCGCTGGTCGCCACAAACGCAGCGAATGATGGCATCCTCCTCCTCTTCTTGCTCTTCTTCCTCCTCTTCCTGCTCCACTTCTTGCTCAACAGACTGCGTTGACTGGGCACGCGCAGCCTGGCCCTTGGGTTGACCCTTTGTGCTTCCCTGTGCTTTCTTCTCGGGCTTTGGCTGCGTCTTGGGCTTTGGAGCTGGTGAGGGCTCTTCAAGGGTATCTTGGTTCTTCGTGTGGTGGCCTTTATTGGCGCGACCGGAGCGGCGTATTTCTTCTGTGGTGGCAGAGTCAGCATCAATGCCAGGCTGGACGACTGCGGTGCGCCGATCGCTATCATGAGGGGGTGCGCATCGCAACGAGTGGCGCGTCTTGGTGGTGTCTGCTTACCGGACATGGTGTTGGACACGAGGTAGATGGGCTCAATATGCAACCACGTATGTAGCTTATGCTATATGCGCAACAAGATTCAAAAAACGTCTCTACAGAAGGCTCTAAGCCTGACCCGCGCGTTGCAGTGCGGGCAAACGGACGAGCCGTAGACACCAGCTTCTAACTAGGTAACAAGCGCAAAGAATACACCTGCCAGGTGGCCCGAAGCAGAAGACGCAATGTGTTGTGCGACTGCCCGGTTCTCGGTCGCAGCTTCCTCTTGCGCGATGTGCCTTCCAAGCGAGAACTGCCACCACGCGATGAGTGGATGCGGCGGACAAGGCGTCTTTGACGAAAGAAACTCTTCTACAAGTGCGCGCAGCAGTGCACGTGGGCTGGTGAGAGAGTGAAAGGTGGCGGCGTGGGTAGTGAAAGTCGCGAAGTGTCGTGTGGTGTTGACGGAACAAGTGAGGAGGAGGTGGAGCTTGGGCCGACAGTCTTGCCGACGCCTTGGCTGCCGTAATCTTGGCCACTCTTGCCCAGGTGGACCCTTTGCGCATCCAGGTCTACTAGGTGTAAAGCTACTGTCCTGCCAGTCCAAACGTCATTCTGTTTCTTCACGACAACACGGTTGAATGACAAAGCACGAAAGGTTTCTGGACATCTCGGGACATCTCTACCGTTCGGACACACCCCAACATCAACATGGCGGACGCACGAGCTATGCTGCGCCAGCAGCGAGCAGCACGGCAACAAGCACAAAAGCCCCAGAAGCAGTCGGCGGCCCCTGCAGCAGTACCCACATCGAAGAAGAGGAAGGCAGCAGACGAACATGCAGAGGAGAGGAAAAGGACGCGAACAGAGGCAGATGCTGGTGTTCCTGCAGGCTTCTTCGATGATGGAGCTGCGAAAGATGACGAGATGCCCACCGAACATGCGCACACAGACCAGGAAAGCAAGCAGGTACCAGATACACAAACAGCAGAGCCGACACAGACGAATGGTCCATCACTTGACCCTTCAGCCGAAGCAGAACTGGACGCCTTTATGAACGAAATGAATCGAGAGAAGCCCGCGCAACCTCACCCTGCCACATACTCAGGCGCCGTCATAGAAGCTGCCCCAATGACAGTCGCTGAGATTGCCGCACAAGCACGAGAAGAGCTGAGCGCACAACGAGCCAAGCGGGACGAAGAAATGGAAGGCGAGAAGGAGGATGCTGCACGAGCATTGGAAGACGAGTTCGAGGAGATGGAGGGGCTGGAAGAGCGCGTCAAGAAGCTTCGGGAACAGAGGGAAGCGTTACGATTGAAGCATGTTCAACCGGCAGATGCAGAGGACATTGTGCTGGACCCTCCACTGCCTGCTGATGGTGGCGAAAGCGAGTCTGAGGACGAGGATGAGGACTGGGACGACTGGAGGTTTCGTCCAGCTTAAAGGTTATGAGCATCTTGCGGTTAGCAAGTTTGTTCGAGCTCGCATTATACCATATGTACTACTACTACTACTACTACTACTACTACTACTACCGTGATACCCGGTTAGGCGTTAACAAAATAGCTATAGACTGCGATCTAGCTTGAATCTAGCAGGCTACTAGTCCTTGCAAGTAAATAAATGTATTAGAATGCCATGATCCTTCCGATGTCAGGCTTGGCTCTTCCCATAACATATGCTCAAGGTGCTGTCCCTACGGCGCTGCTTATTTACAAGGGTTACGTCTTTAATGCTGGTAGCGCCAAGGAATCAGCGTCATTGGCGCATCGGTGAGGGAAACGTGAACGCTTTCAGGCACAGATGAGACCAGTCTCAATACCCCTCTCACCACCCATACCTCGACTCTGACACGTGCTCCTGCAACTACTCAATTCCCCCTAACGCCCATCTTCTCTGCGCACTCGGACAACATTCTCTGTCGGCCAGCACACGACAGCCTTGCCCCACAATGTCACGGCGGCCCAACCCTGCCGCTGATCGCGCGGAACAGAATCGCACGACGCTCAAGAATCTAGTAAAGCTCGAGGGCAACAAGACATGCGCCGACTGCAAGAGGAACAAACGTAGGCTGTCTAGAAGCAAAAACTAATACTGCCTTCTGACATGCACCACAGACCCAAGATGGGCCAGTTGGAACCTAGGCATCTTTATATGCATTCGATGCTCTGGCATACACCGCGGCATGGGGACACATATTAGCAAAGTCAAATCTGTCGACCTTGACTCCTGGACCGATGAACAACTCCAGAGCGTATTGAAATGGGGCAACGCCAGGGCGAACAAGTACTGGGAAGCGAAGCTGGCACCAGGCCACGTACCGTCCGAGGTGAAGATCGAGAACTTTATACGCACCAAGTACGAGTCGAAGCGATGGGTCATGGATGGGCCTATACCTGACCCCTCCACCCTAGAGGCGGACGATGATGATATGGTGAGTGGTAATGATATGCACGAGGAGAGCAGACGCTAACAACGGGGGTAGCCATTGAAGAAGGTGCAAGAAAAGGTTCAACTCGAGCGGTCCACATCGCAACGGCTTGCTGGAAGCTCCGGTCGACTTCCTCCTCCTCAGGCGCAGCCGCAGCCTGCGATCGATCTATTTGGTGACGAGCCCGCCCCCCCACGACCGAGCACCGGACCTCCCGCAGGAGCGCGAGCGCCTCCAAAGGCAGAAGCCCTTCCGCCAAAACAAACAAAGGCAGGCGACTCGTTACTGGGCTTGGACTTCATGGGTGGTGGAGCATCTTCTGCGCAACCGGCCCGGCCCTCGAGCACAGGTCCTGCCGCTGCCGCACCATCAAGACCGGATTTGAAGCAGTCAATTCTGTCACTATATGCTTCGAAACCAGCAGCACCGCCACAACCACAACAGCATGCGCGTCAAGAGTCTTTTGGTGGTCTTGGTTCCCCTCAGGCGCAAACATCGCCTCAACAGTCAGCGTTCGGCGGAATGAACGATGCCTTTAGTAGCCTGTCTTTCAGCGCAGCGCCGGCACCCAAGCCTTCTCCATTTTCTGGTCTCGATAGCTTCTCGAGTGCCAAGTCGCCGCCCTCCACTTCTTCATCAAACATGTTCGGTGGTGGAGGCAATTTCTTCGACTCCAAACCAAAGTCACCTCCCCAGGCTCAGGCACAGAGCCGAACGATGAGCCCTTCCAGTGCCTTAGGCGACTTTGGCGCTTTTAACTCGCCTGCACCATCGAAGCCCGCACCCCAGGCCTCCGGTATGAACGATCTCCTCGATCTATCTATGCCCTCTGCGCCTGCGCCCGCGCCGAGAGTTTCCTCACCGCCCGTAGCATCCCCACCGAATAACTCGGCTTTCAACCTCTCCTCTCCCGTCGCACCGTCGGTACCCAAGGCAAACCATGCTCCTGCAACCGTGAATTATGGAGGATTCTCGAACATGGATGCGTGGGGAGGTAACGACGTTTGGGCATCATCTGCTCCAAGCCAGCCAGCAACTAATACAACTGCATCACATACGCAGGCCAAGAGCCCGGGCTGGGGTGCACCGCAAGTAGCGCAGGATGATGATTTCGGTGGATGGAGCAGCGCTGCGCCTAGCACGACGACGAATACGACCACAACAACTCACACAAGCTCCACACAAAACAAGCCTGCAGGTGGATTTGGCGGCGGGAGTGATGATTTGTTTTCCAACGTATGGCAGTGAGCGGCTGACAGACAGTCAAAGTGTGAGCATGGCTATTTGAATAGATATTCATAGAAAGAACAACTGTACGTGCACTAGACAAGCCGGAGACAGGGTGATTACTCGGACCGCTGGTGTGAAGATGAGACTTGTATACAAATATGTCCATAGGTCGCTAATTCGAAGAATGACAAAATGCTCAAAATATTCGTACTCCAAGCGCCGTGCTCAATAATCAATGCGTTCGAAACCCTATACTTTACTTGTCCATATACACACACCAAAGCATGAACTCCCAGCAATGATCCCAGTCTCAGCTACAGCGTAGTACTTCCCCATTCCTCCATATCCATATTTCCCTACCCAACCCATCCCACACACCTTCATCACTTAGAATATAAGATGCCATATCCAATACAGCACCACAACAGCGGCCACTATTATCCCCGCGAGCTTCAATATCGCAACCTTGTTGCCCGACTGCGCCATGCGCGTTAACCGCGACGCGCTGCCTTTGAGCGTGGTGCCAAAGGAGGAGAACGTCTCGCTCGTGCTGTCGATGACATTATGGTCTCGCGCGTTGTCGTAGATGTCGATTGTTACGCCGCGGAGAGCGGAGACTTTGGATGCGAGTTCGTCGAGGCGCGAGTTGTTCTGTCTGATCTATTTGTTAGGGAACGTATTCTGGTGTTTGTGCATTATACGTGTAGGGAAATGTGCGTGAGTGAGGTGGGGGACATGGGAGAGGGGTGCATACTGTTCGCGCTCGTAGGATTGTGACATTATTGCGCCAGAGATGAAGGAGGTTCCTGGGAGTCGCGGAGGGTTGGTTTCGTGGACAGGGAGGGTCCAATATGCTAGGACAGTATTGGTGAGACCTTAGTGAAGGCTGTAATCGTTCGTGAACTTTGTAGCGTCTGGAAGTTGGGTGTTCTGAGATATCGAAGTATGGCTTCCTGAAACGCGGATCGCAAGTGACGTTGCGCTCCCAAAGAGTCCCCAGCCGAATAGGGTTTAGTGCATGAGGCTAATTGATGTGGGGAGAAACTGCAGGCAAGTGTGGATACCTGACAACCCACTATCACTATCCTCTTCAACAGTTGCCTGCTTTTTCAAGTAGATCTGTGGCTCATCGGTTTGCATTCTATACGTCAGCGCTTTTAGTCGATTTGTTAAATTGCGTTGATCCCCTTAGTGGTTCACACTTGCAACGTCGCTGCCTTCTCACAGTCTCCTTAGACACACCCCAGATCCCGTGGCCATAGCGGTATGGTTGTTGAAAACGTTTCGTACTATCAGGCATCGGCCACAGCCTTCGCACGACTGGCCGGTGAAGACCATGGCCCCCAACTGGCCCCAATCGCCCCCCACGGCTTCCTCTTGGCCATGTTTTGCGATACAAATGCCGTGAACCCCGAGCTGTGCGTGCACTCTTGAACAGCAAACTACTATCGGCCTGGCCATTAAATTGGTCTTGCACTTGTTCTCATCCACTTCTACTGTAGCTTAGGCTCATCAAGTCACTTGCGCAACGCATCTGAATGCCCTGGCATACGAGAACATGGGCATGGGGCGTGTTTCAGCGAGGACACAACACCCCAACTCGTGTCAGCGGTCGCTCCCACCCAAAGCAACGGATCTGAATGGGGGGCCAAAACATTGCCGCAATCGATCTTACGTCGACACTCAATAACTCAAACTCGAGGCTGTGCAAGATTCAGTGCCACGTTATCACCCCCAATTGTCCCCTATGTCGCTCAAGCGGTTTTATTGCGTTCAATTTTTTTTTACGCAATATGGGAAGTGACATAATATCCTACTAGCTTTGGGACTCTTCCGAACAGTTCTAGTGTATCGCGTTTGAGCATACGATGCCACATCGCACTAAGCAGCAGATGACGGTTCAGGCTATATTACCCTAGAAATATCCCAACCCCAGGGATCCTCTTCCCTACGGATTTCGCCAACTTAGGATTAGTGTAGGAGGCGAAGTCTTACACTGAAGCGTACTCAGTCACAACCCATCATTTGTCCCTGGGCAGTGCACTTGTGTGATGCCTCATGTAGTTGCATGCAACATTGCTGCATATGGCGCGGACACGAATAGAAAGAATATAAAGGATCGGGCTTGGTATTGTCTTAGTGTAAGAAGTGGACAATTTCTCACTACTTTGCTCCAGTCTGTCGGACCCAAAAGCAGACCAGTTTCATTGCTTCACTTTGTCCGGAGACAGTCGACATGGCATTCCTTCGTGCCCTGTCCTTACTTTACTTATTCACTTTCATCAGCCTTACTACCGCAGTTACCCCTCTTCAACCTTCAATACGGATTCGCAATGCACCTGGAACGGACAGTTCAGATACCTATCTTTCTGTCAAACATGGCCTAGCTGCTGCTAGCCTTACCAAACGTAAGGGATTCAAAGCCCAGTTACCTCTGGAAAAGAGCTGGAATGGCGCTACATTGCTATCTATGTAAGTGTTTTCAGGGACGATGGTATGACGACACTTGAAAGTAGCTAACGAAAATGAGCTAGACAACTAACTCAAGACATTCCGCAAAACCGTCAGAACAAAAGCTTGGAAGTTCGCGCTGGCATCGAAATCACCTGCATGACTTGCTACGTCCGTGGGCTTGCCACTGCTGAACTTACCATCGGTGAGAAGTTCAATGCTAGCCAAGCCTTAGCTGCAACAACAAGCTCTGTTCGCGACAATGTCAACAACTTTACTATGACGTTTGAAGATTACCTTGCAAACTACACAGGCCAAGTCTTGCGGAAGTTTGGAGACGGCTTCGACTGGGCGGACTTGGAGTTTCCGACTTTTCCGTTCACATTCGATCTAGATGTCCCCGAGATACCCGAGTGCAAAATCCAAATTCAGTTCGACGGCATGGAGTTATACATGGAACTCAATACCTTTCTCAACGTTGGGGCCACGTACGAGATCAACCTATATGCAACACAGACTCCCATTGGCATAAAGGTTGGGCCGATCCTTCAGCTCGGCGTTGTGCTCTCGGTCGACTTAATCTTGACCGTCGATGGCGCAATTGACATTAGCAGCGGGTTCCACATCAAGCTTGATGATGGAGTTGCAATGGATATTACGCTATTCGGTGATAAAGTCTCAAGCATGATCTTGTAAGCCATACAATTTTCTGTTTCGATACCGCGTGACTGATGTGACCTTTGATAGTAACGGCGGACAATTTGAGTTTTTGCCTGTAACTGTGAAGAGCGCCGGTGTGGCCATCTCAGCAGTCCTCCGCGTTGGCGTTCATTGCGGCATTGAAGTGACTTCGCCGAAGACACCAAGCTTACAAGCGCTTGGCCCACAATTAGGCCTTCCTAAAGTTACCGCCGGTATTGAGGTAGCGGTCTTCGCCCACGTTGCGGAGTTCATCACTAATGTAACCTACAACCCCAAAGATAAGGATTGCGCATTGATAGCCATTCAAGAGTATAATTTCGCTTTGGGTGCAGTAGCTGGTGCAACGGTTCTAGTCGACGCACCGGCAATAGAGAATATGACATGGGGTCCAGTTATCGAAGCATCGACAGCTATCTTCACAACTACACTTGCGGAGGTATGCGCCAGTCAAGGTACGACAACAACTACGCCTGCCAGTGTAACAGCTGTGCCACAGAGACGAAAAGATCTTACTACGACGACTATCAGCACTGTCATTAGCACGAGTGGTGTCCGTTGCATGCTTACAGGCGTAGCGAACTGCCCGGCATCTGCGCAATCCACCACCAAAACCAAGTTCACCAAGACACTCGTGACGGCTGTCCCCTCCGGTGTGAAAGCCACGTTTCCTGAATCGATACTGAGCAGCGTTCAGAGCACCATTCGGTTTGGTACACGCGCTAAAACCATCAAAGCTACTTCCGGAAGCCCTACTGCATACACTGCACCGCCAACATCGACTGACGACGTCCTTGAATCGGGCTCTGGTTTGCCGGGTGGTCAACTTCACGGCGTTCGTAAGCAAATGGTTGTAGGTGTCAGTGTTGGACTGGGAGTGCCAGTGCTACTCGCCCTTATTGGGGCAATTTTGTAAGCATATCGTTTCCTCTTAGACAATCGAGTTATACATTACTGACGAATTAGGATCTACCGGCGGCGTAATAAGGAATATGATGCGGTAACGACCACTATTCCTGTCATGGTCGCCGATCCTTACATCGGAAATAACGACGATGCCACAGAGTTGAAGAAGCCGGGCGTCGAGTCCACTGAGATAAGGTCGTACTGACTGTCACAAAAGGTTGCTTTTGATGATAATGGTGTAGTACTGTTGATGGCATTGTGTTCTCAATTGAGTTTGCTCTTATCTTCTACCTCCGCCAACCTAACTGTTGGTAATGCAGTCTTTTCTCTTACGTCTCATTCATTACAACTGTTAGAAAAATGGAGTGTATTTGCCTTCTTGCATCCCTCATTGCAAGTGTTCAGCTACCTGGTCTCGTTCCTCGTTGTTATGGGCGATCTTCTTTATCGGACTACTCTCGGCTACGCCAGTCGCCAAATCCATCTATTGTTCAACCCCATAACATATTACGGAGATACCACACTCCTGTTTCTGTGAGTTGGCAAATGCTTCCGTCGGGGTGGTGTTCAAAGGCGCAGAAGGGACTCGTCCTCACAAGATCCGGGGCTATCGATCCGTCGGCAGCTCACATGTCTGCGGCTACTCCCACCCCTAGGATACTGTTCGAGAATGGGACATGAATGTGTCACACTCAAGTGTCAAGCCGAAAGATATATATACCCTTAGCTGTCCGACCTGGCGATCATAGTCTGCGTCATCCTCTTACTCAACCTTCGTTTCACTCGATTGTTGTGGTGTTGGGAGCAACAATGAGCCACGAGTATGCAGCCCATGGGTGGTAGGGGAAATGAAAGTCTTCGAGATACTTTCACTCTGTAGGGCTTATTGTCCCTACGAAGGATTTCAGTGGAGTTGTTGATGAAGCAGACGCTTCGGGCAAACACGGAGAGCAAAAGATAGTGAGCGGTAGGAAAGAGGTGGCAGAAGTATCTGCTTCCATATGAGACGGATTCTTAAGGAACAGAAATGCGCATGCGCATGGAGTGGAGGAAATGAGAGGCAGTGAGGAGTGTTGATGCAGCGTCGGAGCTACACAGTGAACATGATATATTGGGCTCATGGACGTATAGGAGGAACTTCATCCTGAACGACCGTTATACAAGGATAACTACAGCTTGAAGTCTCAGATAACTTCCGCGAGCAGAAAGTGTTTTCTACTTTCACCAACCTACCAACTTCGCGGCCGTTTGCTACCGCCGTTGCCAGGGCGGCCGCCCCGCCAGTATATATCCCCGCCCTCGCCCTCGCCCTCTCCCACCCCCCATCACACCCTGATCCCCCCAGTTACACTCAATCTTGCACTCACATTGATCACTCAATGGCTCGACTCGTGTCACCTGCTACCAAAACCCTCGCTATCGTCAATCCGGTCTCGAAAATTCCGCGACCAGTACCGATCCAGTCGGCTTCTTCAAGGACATTCGTCAACGTCGCTCGGGGAGCACGTAGACACCTACCGACACAGTCGGCATCTTCAAGGACACCGTTGAGCGCCTCTATGGCGCTTCGACACCCGCCAGCACGATTAATGCCGGCCTCTTCAAGGACAACTCCGAGGACCACCTCAGTGACTGATGTGGTTTCTCGATTCCCGCCCGCGCTTCTGGCGCCTGCGGTCTCTTCAAGGACAAACTCAGGCCTCCGTTATCGAGCGCCTCGAGACCTCTCAATCCAGTCGCGCACTCAAGCTAACATGATACAGACTCCCCAGATAAAGCATACTCGAATCCCCGCTCCGACAACCACCGCAGTTCAGAAAGCCCGCTCGCAAATCTTGATACGAAGGCCGACTGTGATATTCCGGCCACAAACACACTCAACGGATGAAGCGCCTCTCCCTTCCGTGCCTTCTTCAGAGGTCGTCCACAGCTCCGAGGAGCCCGACCAACCCGAGGAGGCGACACCTAATGAGGACATCATTTCGTATGAGGATGTATCGGACGCAAGTGATTACAACAGCGAGGACGAAAACACTTCCTTGTTGTTCAATGACAACAGCTTTGATGACTCTATCGACCCCGAGCAGCAAACAGTCAGGTTCAACCTGTTTGAGCGCAGGCTAGTTGCATATAAACGCTTGGGTAAGGAACGTAGAATCGCTCAACATCCATGGTTCGTTGGCCTCGCTCGTTGCCCAGGATACATCGGCGATACTATCAATAAACCACGCGTTCGTCCGCCGAGGAAGCTGCTGCCTCGCGCTCTACAGCAAAACCAGCTTCACTGTAAGACACCTTTATAACGATAGGAAAATGGGTTGCTCACAGTTATGTAGCTCACTATAACGCTCCGAACGCCCCTGCTACTTCGCAGCTGCCGTACTTGGTGTGGCCATTGGTCAAGCGCGCGGGTAAATATATGCATTACTACTAGGTCATGAGTATTTGAACTTACAAGATATTAGTCGTGCCGGCTCGGTCTACGGTAGCGACTCCAAAGGTCGTGTCTTCAGCAATCCCAGTGCCAATCGCTAGATCTACTCGGACTACGAAGAGGAAGATTGCAAAAGTCAACATCCTGAAGAACGTGTCGGCAGCTTCCAGCAAGGCACTGACCAAGACGGATACTTTCAAAGCCTTGGTTGTTGGCGAATCTCAACCCTCACCGTCGAGCCGCCAGTCGACGACTGCCAGTAAGCCAACTGCTACCCGCGACACTGAAGCGTCGAAGCTCTCTGGCCGCGCTGGTCCTTCGCCAGCACGTCGTGGTCTTCCAGTCAGATCGGTTGCTCTCAGATCGAATATTGCTCGTGTGCCATCATCGAAGCCTCGTAAGCGACAGCCCGGTAGACCAGCCTTGAAGTCGAGTCTTCGCCAGGCGGACTCCGACCGCCAAGTACCGGGTGTTCACTTCTTCGAAGGACCTCTAAGGCCACGCTTTTACGATCTCAAGACGCCGGCAACGGACTCCGCACTCGACCTTGATGATGAGTGGACTCCGTTGGAGCTTGCTCGGAAGTACCCCAAGAGCTCACAAGCCAAAGGCATGGTCATGTTTGAGCCAACCAGCCGAGGAACGCTTACCTTGAAGCTCCGGACTCTGCTACGTTATAAGAGCGTCCGGGAGTATGAAGAGCGACGTAGAGAGGAGGTACTGACGACAGGCAAGCGACCAGAGCTCGGCCAGCTAGAATACGGTAATGCAGATTACAAGATTGCGCTCCAGGCTACTGATGTCATCACTTCATACGACATTGGAACGCTGCAAGCCCCAAGCGCGATCGGCAAGAAGGGCATACCGACGAGCACCTACAACCCGGTCAACGGACCGTTGCTGGTGTTTGGTGCTTTCAAAGAGCCGTTCACGGATGTGATTATTCCTGCGGAGACAGCCAAGGCATACAAGAAACCCATTTGCTGGCCAGCTACTGCCTCGGATGCCCGATGGAAGAAGTTCGACAAGCAGCATTTACGTTCCCTCCAGGCGGCCGAGCTCGAAGGATGAGGTGCCACATCCAAAGACAGTACCCATGACACGGATCCGACCAAGACACGATTATACTGGACAATCTCCAAGCAGTATGAGCTCCTGTTGCAGGACAGTCGTGTAGCGCAGTGGGATTTTGGTACTACTCGCAGCCACGACACTACTTTCACTCACTTTGGTAATGTATTGCCTTCCTATACTGTATGCGGTAACTAGCTTTATCATAGGTTTTAAAGTTACGAATAAAGTCGGGGCGTCCTTAACGACAGGGCGGGGCGAGTGGTGGGACCCCGCACTCATCGATATCTCTAACAACAACGAAATGGGCTGGTGGAAGATGCGACGATCACGCAGAGTCAAGACATGGTAGGAAGGGGTACGGCGGATTCGTTATGGTGGCTTACATATGGGTTGGAGCTAGGGGGTTGAATCAATTGTATATAGCTCCATCGGGGCCAATCTCATCATGTCCCCTTTCACTGTAATACAACGTTCAAGGTACCGGGACCCTGTTACCAATCTAGGTCGTCTGTGGCTTTTTGCATACCGATAATTTCGCGATTACTACTACACTGTCATTTCTCTCTCGTTTGATCTATACAAGCTGGATAATACGGCCAAAAGTTGATAAAGTCGCATCTCGGCGACCGGTGGCTTGACGTCTTTCGGATACCAAGCCCACGTGTTGGAATGAGGCTCTTCAAAAGCTCCGTCTTGGTGATAACCCCGACTCCAGGCTCGCCTCCGAGGACCTGCATATCGCTCGCGGAAGCCGCACGTGAGTCGTTTATTGGACAACTGTTATCTGGGGGATTAGACACCTTGGGCAAGTCCACGGCGCTAGGCTTGAAGAGGCATGTGGGTGCAAGCGCCAAGATGGTTGCCAAGACAGTAAAGCATACCGGGGCGGAGACGACCGCTCTCACTTCAGCGCATAAGAAGTCAGTGATTAGCCGCGTGACACTATGCAGTCTGTCTGTTATCTTCGTGTCAATTGCCATCCTCTCACTCGCTCATTGAGTGAACGAGCACGGAAAAAGCGAGGATGAAGTTCTCCGCATCCCTCGTCGCACTCTCGGCGCTTACTGCAGCATCTTACGCCGAGGACGCGCTCTATAGCAAGCGACTAGCGAAGCGCGGTCTTGATGCTCAAGGGAACTTCAACATCTGTATGTTTATGCGTGTCAATATCCCAGATTTCATTCGGCTCACGTGACACAGCCTTCTTCCACGTCAACGATGTCCACGCCCATCTTGATGAGTTTTCCTCTTCGGGCACCGACTGCACCCGACCAGAGCGAGGATGCTATGGTGGCTACGCCCGCATCAAGACTGTCATCGAGGAGCAGCGGCCCAAGTACAACGACAGCCTTTGGCTGAATGTGGGCGATGAATTCCAGGGCACGCTATTCTACTCGTACTATGGCGGCGAGAAGATCGCCGAGACTCTCAATCAGTTGAACTTCTCTGCTATGACGCTTGGCAACCATGAGTTCGACGCCGGCGATGAGAAGCTAGGCCAATTCTTGGAGAACCTGACGTTTCCAATCATTAGCGCCAATGTACATTCACAGAATGAAAAAGTCAATAAGAGTGTCAAGCCTTATCATATCTTCCAGGAGTATGGCTTGGCGCTGATCGGCGTTACGACAGCTGATACAGCAGGCATCAGCAATCCTGATGACTCTACTACCTTTTCTGACGTGGTCGAGGTAAGTTTGAAATCGAACATTCGACCTTTCGGTATGATCGCCTAACGTGTGGAATAGGCCGTCCAAGGTGCCATCGATGAGATCAAATCTACCACAAACATTACCAGGATTGCAGCTATTACCCACATTGGTTACGACAAGGATCAAGAGCTAGCAGAGTCTGTCAGCGGTCTTCAGCTTATCATGGGCGGTCACAGCCATACTCTTATCGGCGACATGAAGGATGCAAAGGGCAAATATCCTACCATCGTCAAGAACAAGGACGGCGACGAGGTCTTCATTGTCACGGCCTACCGCTGGGGCGAATACGTCGGCTACATCGACGTAACATACGATCCTCAAGGCAAGATCCTCGCTTACCACGGCGCTCCTGTCCACATCACCAATACCACCAAGCAAAACCCCGATCTTCAGACTCAGATCAAAGCATGGCGAGGTCCGTTTGAAAAGTTCGCTGCTGAAGTCCTTGGTACCAGTCAGGTCGAGCTCGACCAGACTACCTGCCAGCAGAAGGAGTGCTTGCTTGGAGATTTCATGGCTGATGCTATGTTTGCCTACCGCAAGAACCTCACCCAGGACGTTGATTTTGCCATTATCAACGCTGGCGGTATTCGCGCTACAATTGATGAGGGTGACATCACCCGCGGTGAAGTTTTGACCTCTTTCCCCTTTGGAAATGCTATTGTTCAGATATCTATCACTGGCAAGGCACTGTGGGAAGTCCTCGAGGGCATCGTGACCCGCGTTAATATTGCCAATGGCAAAGCAGTCACATCTTTCTTCCAGGTCAGCAAAGGCATCAAGATCGAATACAACCCTGAGCTCAACAACGGCTCAAAGCTCGTTGCTGTAACCATTGGCGACAAACCCCTCAACAATGACACAAAATACAACGTCGTCACTCTCGATTTCATTGCTAGTGGAGGAGACAACTTCTTCACTCCTACGACCGACTTCGTCAGCCTCGACACGCAGGCTGATGTGCTTGTACAGTACGTTCGTGCACAATCACCGGTCAAAGCCACCCTTGATGGTCGCATTTCTGTAGTCAACCGTCAGAGGGAGGGTACACCTGGATCCGGCAATAGCACAAGCAACGGTACTTCTCCGACTTCGAGCGGTAAACCTCCCGCGCAGACTGGTGCGGCGGCCCGCGCTAGCACTGGAATTATGTACGCTAGCATCTTCGGCATCCTTGCGGGCATCCTGATGCTGTGAGCAATATGAGTCTACATGTGTAATCATATCGGACGGCGTGAAAAATAAAATGATGAGTCTACAATATTTATCGTCAAGTGCGTTCATCCCAGTCGCAGTCTTACCGCACTGAACCTCTGTTGAAATTGGCGATTGATTGCATTTTCAACATGGCTAAACCGTGAACTAGGCTCTCAGCCTGAGGGTCATAATTACATCCTACACACAATGTTCAGCGATATTTTGTTCATCTAACCATGTTGCATATTCGATACAATGTCTTTATGATGCCGTTGTTTCGCCGCCTCCTCTTTGGCAAACAACCAGAGACAAAGCCGGATTGTTTCTCCTCCCACAAAGGCCAGCGAACCTTCATCATCCTCCGTACCACGCAAGCAGTGACTAGACCGCTAGACATAAAGATCCCCGAGTGTTTTAGACACGCATTTTCGATCATTTTCTTGTTTTCGAGCTAGTTTCTGCACACCCGACGTCGCACTTATCGTGTAGCACACTCGTAGAAACGACCCAAGTGTGTTCCACGTAGGATTCTGCATACCCTTGTTAGATAAATCACGACATGCATCGTAAGCCGATGCGACGACAAGTACTTTTCATGGTTTAGGAACTTAGTCTGTTTAGTTTTATCTCCAGGACGGCAAGACGCGCAAGGCCGGTCTTCGTTTCACCCGTTCGTCGCTTATCTTCACTTTCTTCACCACCAGGGTGAAAGCTGCGCACCCAACCACTCGAATAACGTCACAATAGCAAGCTTTCTCCGCACAGGCCAGTCGCACGCGCACGCTTGAACGTATAATCAGCCAGCACCAACTTGAGCATCTTCCTATTCCATCACACTTGTTTCAACCATAACATCACTCATCACTTGATACTCGATTTACGACCTCTTTTTGTGTACATACATCGCAAATATAATTGAACAAACGCAAGCATGTCGATACTAGCATTCATCAAGAACAGCTTCGGCAAGCGCTCGCGCGACCCCGACAAAGAGCCGCAGGACGAACCTGCTCCAATCCATGTTACAGTCACTGCGGATTCATACGTCCTAGCACCGCGTCGCCGCTCTGTACGTCTGATGAAACAGGCAGTCCTCAGAAATACCACTAATCAGGAGCCCCAGTCACCGCCTGGAAGATTTCCTGGAACGGACAACTACGCCCCCAAGGGTGTGACCACGACTTCCGACGAGCGCAAGAAGGTGAAGCCTGCGTCAAAGGCTGTCCGAGGTCTCACTTCAGGCATTGTGATCACGTCGACCGAAAACACTTCTGCGCCTACCCCGCCCGAGACAAACTCGAGTTCCAAGCTTAGCCCGATTGCACTCACTACACGGGATGCGGCACAAGATATACGACTTTCTGGAAGACGACGAGTTGCGATTCCGTCAACAAGAGACGTCAAAACCAAGGCAAAGATCGAGACGGCTACACACCAGCCTTTTCTAGACCGCCGTCAAAGCTATCCGAATCATCCAAACACGCCAACCATGAACACTGGCGAACGCCGTGCCCGAAAGAACGCTCAACGTGGCGCTGTCCGCCAGCAGTTCTCCACTCCAACACTTTCATGTACTATGCCACTGAAAGATCTACTTGCAGATCCAAATTCTCCGATTGCAAAGGCACACAAGGCCCTGAAACAAGCACATGTAAAGCGAATCAGTATCGACGAGGAAGTTGCACGCCTACGTAGGTCGCCAAGGAACAATGTCTTTTCTCGATGTCAGCCCAATGAGCAAGAGAAACTAGCCATGAAGCCGAAAGCACGCATTGGACTGGCGGCTGATACCTCGACATTAGTGGAGAGTGGGCCAAACATTGAGGTTATCGCCCTAGGCGGCCGTGACAGTACCGAGAGCAAAGACAACCCTTCCCTCTCTCAACCCAGCAGTGATGTAGAACACCAATCCGCCTCTTCGGTGTCGCCCAACGAAGGCAGCGACGGGAATTCAACCACCACCCCGTACTCCTCCACTAGGAGTAGTCCCTCCCGTATCAATCAAGACGTAGCAAGTGCCATGACCGAGATGTCTACCCACTTCGCTACACAAAATCAGGCACTTTCTAAGAACTTGGCGCAGGTGTCTGAGGCCCTTGCGCTCACAAATGCTAAGAATCTGGAGGCTCAACGATTGATCACGCAGCTCGCCACCCGACCGCCATCATCCCCAGCACAGTCTCAGCCACTCATCGACCCGGCGGCGCTCGAACAGGCCATCGAGCGCAAGGTCGATGAACACTACGAATCAAAGTTGAGTGGGCTATGGGCGTCGCAAAAACAGCGGCTGGTCCGCTCTACTCCTCTTCAACGGGACTACTTTGACCCACGGAGCGCGCTTCGCAAGAATCGAGCAGTTCTGCCAGTGGAGAAGACTCGCTCCATCCTAGAGGCGCATGAGGTGCAGTATCGCTATGAAATCGAGGAGTGTCCACTTCAAAAGTTACTAGGACTTCCAAGAGTTGCGAAACAGGAGTCATCGTTCTATGCCTCGATGAAGAACAGCAAGGAGGACTATCCTACCATCGCCGCGCCGTCGGTATTCGACCGTCCAGTGACGCCGATGGGAAACGGCTGGGCAGACTTCCAGACCTCAGTCTCCGCACGTCGGCCCTCTCAAGATATGGAGCTTGAGGGTACCGGTGCACCTGCACTTCTCCACACCTGGAAACCAAACCAGGGCATTGTGTTCAGCCAGCCTGTGCACTTACCAGATAAAACCCAACAGCCACTCTTTGGAGCGCCATGGCCGCGATCCACTGCTCCGCCAATCAACCACGCCCAGCAGGCCGCTCTAGACGCCAATCTCGATGAGGTTCTCAGGAGAGAACCTAGGAATGCCGGTATACAAGACTTCACGAACCCTCAGCAACAGAATGAGCTACCCAAAATCTCACATGGTACTTATCTTGCGGCATTCGACCGGTTCCTTAGAGACAACCCAAGAGAATCACCTTGGCCTAATTCCGATATTTCTCAGCAATTGGGTTTCGATGATTCTCTAGAGGAGGAAGCAAGAAACCCACCTTGGCGTGGCTACAGCAACAATGGCGCTCCTCGCAATAACCATTACGACACGGCACCTCCTCGTAACAACTATTTTGCCCCCGGCCCTACTCTCAGCAATCACTATAACAGTGGGGTACCCAGGGGTATGAGCGGAAGCCAGAATGGTGGAGGATTTGGCAATAGAGGATTTGGAAACGGATATCAGATGGTAAGTAAGGTATTTGATGGGCCGAAAGGGCACCATCATCGTCGCCGATGGGGTTAATGGTGAACAGGATGGATCTGCATCACCGACGCAGGATACTATTACGGAACAGCATCAGCAACAAACACCTCGAAGTGTAATAGACGGGGACAGAACTTTCCACGTTCTTACTGATGAGGATTTGGTAGAAGAGATGCTCTGAGCGAGCTTGCAAAGGGGAGATAGGAGGAATAGGGGGTATGAAGCCACAATAGGATAAGAGAGTACATTTGGGGGATCAGATGAGCGGGAAGCATCTTGCATACCTTGATTTTGATTTGTTTTGAGGGTTTATTGAGCGTTCATCCCAGCTGTTGCAGACAACAGCACCCATTAGCTTTGAAAAACATCATTTTCAACAAATTGCCGTCCGGTCTTTGATGTCTTTTCTGGTAAATTTTAATGCGCCAGAATGTAAGGGCATAGTTGAGATGCGATGGTGTTGACCGGTCGCGCTCCCTCCGGAAGTGAAAGCTACGATGACTCCTTCCGCATTCATAAAGTGCGTGTTAGATTTAACAGAATAGGTTCCCGCAATCACCTCGACCACTTCTAATGTACATCCACGCGTAGTCTCTGGAGCACGTCTTCCGCATATGCCTAGTCTGGAACAGCCTGCATAGCTGCATATCAACCATACACAGTAGGCGTAATTCTCCAGTGTCTTTATCTGTCAGGCCACGCTTGTGACTCTGAAGGCTTGTGGCTGTGTAGCAAATCGGGGCACGCGTTGAATTAGCGTTTCACTTTTTGGTTAACGTTACTATCCCCCGTTGCGTGACGAGAAAGCTCCCGCGCAGAAGCAATTCGGCTAGTTTGACTTCACCTAGCAAACTATCTCGTTGTGCTTGATTATTAAAGCCGAGCCTTTGATCACATGTTGGTAATTTCAGACCTACCACGCCGCTTTGCCAACGAGAAAGCTGTCGAGCTACGTTAGCGGGGTAGCGGCCTGGCATCCTATGAACTCTGCTATATAAGATATCTAGGAAGACGAAGGAACTTAAGACTTGATTCTAGCCTGTACACATTTATATATATCAACATGCAAGTATATTAAAATCGATACTGTATCATGTCTGACAAATGTTAAGGTGCGAATTTCACACTACTATCAAGGTCACACCCGACGCTAGGGCTCCAGGCGGAAATCAAATACAGAGAATTAGAGAGAAGGACTACGAACGCACGGATTGTAAAAATTCTGATAGCTACGTACCACCAACGAACCCCTCAACCAGTGCCTCGTCCTAGGCGAACGATACGCGAGATGGCTGAAGGAGGTTAGTTTGAAAATGGACAAAGAAACACATAATTACTCTCTCTACCCTGTCCTTGGATTTTTTGCAGCTCTTGTTAGCTTCTCAATCCATTTTCGGATCTTGTCCAACGCAATTTGATCGTGCTCTTGCGCCGAAATCGTGAAGTCTTCGTCAACCCATCCTGGCGTACCTGCTGTGATGAGTGTGTTCCCGAATGGCTGGCACGAACTGTAATCGACGATGATGGGGTCATCGCTTTTGTCGATCATAACTTTCATTAGCGTAAGATCGTTGTGCGCTCGTCCAAGTGAATGAAGGTGGCGGATCGCAGACTTCATTTTGCGCATGCAATTCTCAACGTCAAAGTGTTGCGCATTCTTCTCTAGTCGATGTTGGAGCGTAATTGGAAGGCGATCCAGTACAAGGCTAACGATACGACCACGCTTGATCAAACAACCATGGTACCTAACGATATGTGGATGTGGGTTACGCAGAGGGAGCTCCATTGTTTCAGCTTCATGTAACATGAGTTTTGGTAATAGGCCTGTACCTAAGAAGTCTAGGTGTAGTTTTGGCCTTTTGAGGAAGAGAGTCTCGTCGATCGGGGGTAAAACTACTGTGATGTCTGAAGGAGCCTCAGGGTACACATCCTCATCTGGAAGACGTTGCAAACTTTCTCTGATAATTTTCTGATTTAATTCGCATTTTCGAAGATTGGACTGGCCGAAGTAGGCAACATATTCATCGGATATGTAGCCGAAAGATGAGTATAGGAAGATCGGATTGCCATCCTCATCATCTTCCTCGGCGAACGCTTCGTAGCGGGGGGAAAGATCCCGAGCCGAATATAGCGGCAGCTCTTCATTGACCATTATTTAACACTGCTTCGACATCAAAGTGAGGCTGATGAAAAGTGGTTATAAGAGTGGCATTTCTCACAACCTCCTGCGGCTTGGAAAACTTGCGGAAAATCGTCTTGCCGGTCCGGTTACCCCTGCCGCGAGACAGCGTACTATGCGGCAGCGTGATGGTAGAAGCCTCAAAGGCACCACCCAGCATCCGCGCAGAGTGGTCTATCATCACATCTTCTCTCTACTTTGCTTTGCCGTATCGTCAGATAAGATCGAAAGCGCGCCCCACTCGCAGAGGTCGACCTGCCGAATGATCTACGGCACACACACAATGCTGGACGATCAGTTCAGGAAAGTATATGGGTTAGACTTTAAGGCGGGAGTCTTAGCGAAGATAGGTATGCGTCGCGCACATGAGGTGGCAAGGATAGGGGCGGTGGGAGAGGAACCTGTATTATGAAATGTTCTATAATCGTAAGAGAACTCGTATCAAGTAACTTGTAGTGGATAATTCCTGTAGTTTCTCTATTTAAGTCGTGATGTAAGATGCATCCTTTTTTAAGTGTTCTGATTAAGGGTGGCGACGATTGCCGGCTACTACCAAGCTTTGTATTAGCGCCGTTGCGTTCACACTTCTCGTTTTCCTTATCAACAAATGTCTCACTCATCACAACTCCATCGAGAGTCCTTGCTCGACCAGCCAGATATCTGCATTCCAATATTCTATTAAGCGGTGTCGCGTCTCGGCAAGTGCACAAAATGCGTTGAAACGTCGCGTCGACGCGTCAGAAACCTCCGAAGACAAGATAGCTTTGGCTCACGGCTCGCCCATTTCTGCAAACGGCACACCCAGCCACATCTAACCTAAAACTATGGGAAATAATCTCATGGATCTAAGAAAGCAAACTTCTCAGATCGCGGCTTCAACCATCGGCGTGGCATATCACCTTCGGTATTCAAACTAGGAAATCCTTCAGTGGGAGCAGTTAGCGTCCGGCTTCTAGGCAAAGATTTCAAGTGTTGCTAGGAACAAAGGTTCAGAATCTTTGGGTTCCAATTGTAGATGTGTCTTTGGTTGACACTCATACTAATCATCGAGCTCAGTCAATCATCCTTCTCCTTCTTACAAATCTTACTTTCGTGTCATTTTCATTACGTCTTGCACGTTCTTGACGTTGATGACCTGTCGCAAACAACGCGTGAATAGTTATGCATATCGTGACTTGCATCGCATCTTTGTTAAGAGCCCACCTTGACGAGCGCAAATAGCACGTGCAGAATTTAGGCATCTGTGTCCTTCACGAGTGACATAAGAAGCGGAGACTAGCAAGCAGATGCTGGAATCTAAGATCGCATAAGTAGATGTTCATATCTTGTGCTTGTATCACCAAATCCAGCTCACCTCACTGGTGCCCCCTTTAAGTGTAACCGAGAAGTCCAAACGAATCGAATCGGTGTATTGATTATTGCTCACTTCACCGATCATCATGTCGACCCCGGTTCCTGTTCCATGGCAAATGGAATTTCCGAGTAGCAACATGGTTTGCAAAGTCAGCTATCACCTCGATAGGCCACTACCAACGATCTACGCCGTTCCCATCAAAGTGACTAGCGGAGTCGAACGGAGCTATATCATGAGCAAGCGACTGCGACGTGAAGCTATTCTTGAGTTTGAAGAGACGCACTTGAAAGTGCTCAAGATTAACTCCGCCATACAGTACTGGACTGGGAAGGACGAGAACGATACAGGCAAGAAGTTGCCAGTCGACAGCATTCTCTTTCTAGGCCCGGATAAGCAACCCCCGGTCGACGTCTATGGGCTCATCGAGAAAATCGGAACAGAAGACATCCGTGTCAGTTCTGTCAGATGGGTCAAGAACGCCGACGGAAAGCCCAGTTCACAGCCGATCTACTGCACCTTAGGAGAAGCTGAGCCTGTTATGAAGGAGACCGGAACGGACAATTACTGGAAAAAGCTGGACATCTTGATCCGAAACTTCATCGACGCGACCAACATCGAAGGGGCTACTCGCACTCGGTCAAAGGAGATTCTGATAGAAGCGATGCCTAATTCAATCTCCCCAAAAAACCACCCACGCACAAAATCGATAGGCAAAAAAGATGGTGCTACTACCACTGCTGTCATAGTTGACGTTTCGAGCAGTCCAAAAACGCCGACGAAGCCCCGGGCGAAGTCCCTTGCAAACACGCCAGAGAAGCGCACAACACAAAAGCATTCAGAAGCTCCGATTACTTCCGACACTGTGGTCCCTACTCTAGCTACCTTGCTGGACAACTTCACGATCAAGGATGCGGAAATGGTCAGCACACTTTTCCGAATCAAGCCCAAGTTGGATCCGCACCAGGAAAACATTCACTTTGAACTCGAGTTGGTACCGGGTATTGCCCCAGGTGTGCTTTTATCGAAGCTCATCTTGAGTATTTTCGGCCGTGCACTTGCTGGTCAGGGGATTCATCAACATCTTGCAGACATCCGGAAACTGCTTACTGGACTAGTAGTCACTCGAGACTACCAGCCCATAACTGCCGGAAAAGTTGACGGCTTTGAAGGTGAGGTACAAGGCTCTGATCTCGACGATATTCTGACTAGAACTTCGCCAGGCAAAGCTGGTGCCCACAACTCCGAAATAGATCTCGGTAATCCCTTCAGAGAGTGCGTCATTCGGGATGTAAAATTAGCCGCAGATGTACCAAGCATCCTTCGCGCGGATGGAAAGCACTATTCCGTGGTAAAGTACTTCCAAGAGGGTAAGTCGCGAATCTTGACACGTGGTACTTCTTCCGCTTGTGGCTAACATATGTACAGAGATCGGGAAGAAGGTCCAGTACACGACTCTGCCACTCGCTCAGATCGGTCCGAATGCTTGGGTGCCTCTAGAGATGCTGAAAACCCACCACACTCAAGCGCTCCACTCTTCGACATTGACAACGGGACTTCTGAATGACGTTCTGAGATCGAATAGCCTCACCGACAAGCCCGAGCTTTTCAAAAATGTGACAGACGGAATCATAAATGGCATCTTCTCGGTGGACACGGTTTGTGCATATTCATTCATCGGGGCAATAGAAGCTAACACAAATTCTAGCGTCGAAAGATTATCAGTGCCAGTAAACAGAAGCCCAAACTTCACTCGAATGCAACAGACGTAAAATCAGTGCCGGTAATTGCTGATCGCAAGCCAATTAAGGCTACCAAGGGTCCGGAGCTCAGCATTGGGATCATCTATGTCGCACCGGAAACTTCTCGATGCAAAGACGCTGCCGAGTTTGTTGCGGACGTCGATCGCAGGATTCGTGGCCCTGTCCAGAAGTCCAAGAAGCACGCGCAAACCGCTCTCAAGACCCTCAATCTTGACGAGAAATTCTACTCCTCGGGTTCACTTATCGCTATCATTTCAGATATCAAGCCTCTACTACTCGCTGGATCCAGAGGTGACTCAGCTGTGCACGCTTTCCGCACCCGAAAACCAACAACGATTTTGGCCATTATTGACACTGTCGGCCGGACCAAATATGACGTACGCAACATCAAGGCAGAGTTGCACAAGTTCGGTGACCGCAAAATTGGTGCAGTGACGCACTGCACCACGCGACAGTCTCTTGGAAGGCTTTTGGACGACAACAAAGCTATTCCAGGCTATTTTCCTTTGGGCACTTTGTGGAGACTCAACAGCATGCACGGCGGTCAAAATTTCAGCATTGAACGAGAGGATTTACCTGGCAACACGGGATTCATGGTTGTTGGCGCGCACATCTCTCATCCCGGTCCAAATGCGTCCCAACACTGCCCGTCAGTAGCATCGGTCGTTTCCAATCTGAATCAGGACCTGACCACATACCCTGGAGCTGTGCGCATACAACAAACTCTGCGTTCTATCGAAACGAAGAACGGTCGTTTGGTACATCATGTGGAGCCGAAGATCCTTCAGCTAGAGGGAATGATGGTGGAGAGGTTCAGGGCCTGGAAGAACAAGAACAACGGCTTGATACCCAGAGTTATCTTCTACCGAGATGGCCTCGACATTGTCCGAAACAACGTCATCAGCACCGAGCTCAAGGCTGTTGCCGACGAGGAAATGCGGGCGATTCTTAAAGCGATGCGAGCCATCTTCCTCGACGATGAGCCTTCTCTAACCTACATCCTGGTCAACAAGCGCATTGAATTGCCTTATGGTTCGGACATGAAGGCAGCTTTCGGCAATGCAAACATCATTGCATTCTCTACCACCACCGGAAGCAAGTACGAGTACCATGTCATGCCGACGATCGGCAAGGAAACCCGAGTGACGAAGGAGCATGCAGTTCTGGTAAGTCATCCCCTATGCAATATTCAATGTCGCTAACACGCCCCCAGACAAACAAGCTCAACACAAAGTACCAACTCGACAAGCAAGCAATTCCCTCCATTGCACTTCCCGTTCACTACGCGCAAAAGCTGGCTCTTCGCACCTTTGACTACTTCCGCTTCGCAGTCACCAATCAGTACGACACAGTCTCTAGCGTCCTCAGGCGTGCGAAATATCCCATGACTGAAGCCGACAAGAACGATCAAGAAACAACTAATCTCATCAAAGATTATCTTTTCGGTCTTCCTGGCGAGACCCGGACTGGCGACGTGGCAGATGCCGATGTTTCGAATCGAAGTAATCCTTGGCCGGAGCGTCTGGATGAGACGATGTTCTACCTCTGAGCACCGGTGACGACAAGTTCTTTTCTCTGGTTTCCTCTACTAGGTTTGCTACACATCTCCTTTTCTCTGTTTATCAACCGTCTTGTCGTTCTCGCGCTTCCTCCGTTTTTTGTTTTAAATAGACTTCACGTATTCCGCTTTGTTTTCGCGCTTGATTTCTCCCCCTTTTGTCCTCTCTGTCGCCATGCAACTTGGCCTGGGGCAAAGTTTGTGTTTTGAATTTCTCTGCTTGCGTTCTGCATTTCCGCCTGCGTGTTGAGTTTCTGCGTTGCGATTCGGGTTGCCTAGCATAGCTGTCTTACCATACTCATTCCCTCACGCATGTAGGAGCCATTTCATAGAAACGAACAGTCATTCTTCATTCTAATATCCGTGCATTAATGTGATGCTGGTATGTACTAATATGGTTATATAAAGGGAGTCGGAGTACCTTGAGAAGCGCGCTGTTATTCATGTATGTTCTAGATCTTGAAACTCTCAGTCATAATCGAGGACAGGTGGGTTGAAGGGTGCCAAATCAATTCTCTGCGATATTTCTACATGTAGTGACAGGTGGGTATTTGCCCTCGGTCATAAACCAAAACGCCACGCTCGCTAATAAATTACGACCGAGAGTGTACTACAAAACGATTAGTGTTGAAAAGTACCAATCCCTTCCTACAAAGCATTACAACCGCTCACGAAAGTGTCCCCTGCCTGTTCTGTTCCTGTCCAGCTGGTGCAGTCCCTATATGACTAACCAATTCTGCTTCCTTCGCCCTGCTCTTCAACTCGTCATCGAGGCCCGTACCCCTGGTCCTCAAAGGGCTGGTGGCATCGGCAGCGCTATCGTCAACATCCAACTCTTTTTCCTTGCGCCTGACCGTGCCCATACTAATTACACTAGCATCGTCGCCATCACCTCTCTTCTTCTTCTCACCCTCCCCATTATACACCTCGATAGTGACATCTGTGTTGTCTTTGCTGAACACACGTAACCCGACGACGCATACAGCATTCCAAGGGTCGCGCTCGAACTCGTCTTCGTCTTCGATGTAGGGGTAGCGTGCGCCGTTGTACCATACATAGCGTGTTTGATGGCGCTCGGAGAAGTGACGAGGTACGTCATCGTCATCGGAAAAGGAGTCCAGCGAGCACGGGCCATCGATTTCGGAATCCCACGATGAGTCGTCAGACATGGCGTTGGGTGAGTACATGCCGTGGCGGGCGCGATGCGAACATACACTTGTGCCGCGTCCGCGGGTGACTTGAATTCCAGGTCGGATACCAGGGATAGGTGTAAGGGTGGCGCGGCGAGAGGGCGCTGGAGATCGGCGCTCTGGTCGTGGACTGTACGGTCGTTGCGACGGTGTGCCCGGGTGGACCTCGTCCATCTGTGGCGTAGGAACAGGTGAATCGGTCGTCTGACCTTCGTTGTACCCATCCCGTCCGTTGTATCCATCACGGCCGTTGTATCCATCGCGACCTTGATAGGCGCCGGGAAGCTCAACATTGTAGCCGCCCCGGCCCTGGAGTTCACCAGGCATATTCTGATTGTAGCCACCCCTTCCGTGGAGTTCGCCAGGCATGTTTTGGTTGTAACCACCGCGACCTTGGAAACCTTGGCTATGAAGTGCAGGAGACGCTTGTGGACTGTGGTTGTACCCGCCCCGACCTTGGAGAGCCAAAGCCTCGGCCATCGCAGATCCCTGGGTCTCACGGTTGTACCCTCCACGACCTTGGAGAGCTCCGGGAAGGGTGGCGTTGTAGCCATCTCGGCCTCGGTTGTAACCTCCTCGACCACCAAAGCCGCCGCTCGGGCTAGGCGAGCGCTCGCTGACGGCACCGGTGCTTGATGTGCGCTGGTGTACTGAGACGGCCTGGTGGACGGCCTTGGAGTCATCATCCCCAGACGTACGATTCTCTTCTTCGGCACTAATGCCCAGACCACTCAGCCCTTGCAACTTCTTCTCAACTTCTCTCAAGTCACCCGATCGATTCATCCTACGCGTCTCCTTAGCGGCCTTCTTCTGATCGCGGAGTTCAGCCTTTCTGCGCAGCCTCTTACGGCGGTCGTGGGAGTGCTTCATCTCAGCCTTTTTACGCTCGACCTTGTGCTCCTTGTGACGCTGAGCTTTCTCTTTTTCTTGCTCCCGGAACTGGCCCTTGGCGTGGGCAAGGTCATAAGAGAGCCCAATTGCCAGAAGTTTCTCGCGACGCTTTGTGCAAGTAGATCGGATAACCTCGTCAGGCGTCGGGTTATCAGGAATTCGTGTCGCTTTGATCTTGAGAAGAACAGTATAGTTACCCGCCTCGAGGTCAAGCTCGGTGGAGACGGACCGCTTCATATAGTAGGTACCATTGCTGCGCACAATGTACTCTTCCTCGTCGTCTTTATGAAGTCGGAACTGCAGGTTGAACTCGTACTGGCCTTCGAGGCCCTGATAATACCGATCGTCAAGTTGACTGAGCACAATAACAACAGGTCCTGGATTTGCAAGGCTGATCTTGAACTTTGTGTCCAAATAATCGACACTCCATGGAACGTTGACGCTCGTCCACTGCTGGGACACTGTCCACTCAGGTCCAAAAAGCCTGGTGCGGTCAAAATGCTGGTAGTGGCGTAGCAGGTCGTTATAAGAGATCCAGAAGACGCCGTCGTCACCAAACTTGTGGTTCAGCTTCTGCATCCACTCAGGCGTCCACTCCTCGGACCCATCGCTCCAGCGTCCAGTCCATTCGGTTCGACCCCAAGGATTGCGCAGCTTCAGCAAGCGCTGATTGTCAATTTCGCGAGCTTCCATGATCGAGTAAGCGTGCTTCTCCTGAATGCCCTTCCGTTCACCGTAGATGCCGCCCATCTGGCCACATCCAAAAAGGAAGGTCTTGTTGACATTCATGAGCTCCTCGTGCCAGAACTTGTCCTTGTCGAGGATGTCGGTCGCGAAAACTTCCGACGTAACACCTCCGGTGAGGTCTTCAATGCCTTCGCCCACAAAGCCTCCGTCGATGGCAGAGTAGTCGCCATGGGCCTTGGCAAAGGCCTTTTCTAGTAGCGGCAGCCAAGTTTCATTAGGGTCGCTACACTGCGCAAAGTACAGTGCCCTGGAGCCAGTCTGCATAACAGTGCGATATTCCTCCTCGGGGCTCTTGCGATTCTGTAACTCCAGCCAATTGTATCGCTCGAGTTTGGCCTCGTCAAAGTCTTCCTTGATTAGGTAAAGCTTGTCATCGATGACTTCCGAGATCCACTCGCCATCTGTGTCACGTAAGCGCGGGTTCGACGTGTCGCAAATCTCGGAATATCGAATGCCTACCTCTGTGGAACACAAAGCCATACACGCCAACCTGCTCGTCCCGTGCGACGCACACCCGTTGTATGAGCTCTTCCTTGTTGCTTATCGTCGCGAGCGCGGACATGAACCAGCAGTCGCCATCATTGCCTTGTCGCACATCGTTGGCTGTTGCGCCTTCTATGAAGAATCGTGGGCTATCGAAGATGTCCTACCGCACTAGTCAGCTCTGTGCTAGCGGATGGAAGGAGCTACCCTACCTCTACCCTCTTGACCGACAAGGGATGGAAGTCGGTCTGTTCTTCATTTAGACCGGACAAGCAATCGGAGGGTATCTCTTGAGAGGCTTGCGACCGCTTGAAGTCGGCCTCGATGTCGAAATGCGGGTCGCGGTACTTTTGATTCAGCCGCCGGCACTCTTTGACGATCTTCGCGACCTTCCTACTGCACGACTCAACGGCCTCTTCGTAGGATGCAAGCGCATTGACTCCGGGGATGGATCCTTTCGGCGCATGCGCTGCAGCGCGTTTCGCATAGAGATTATCGGGCAGGATGGTGAAGATCTTGCCGGGATGCTTCGTTGTGAACTTGTTCCAGAACTCGTCGATATTCCTTTGAGGGGCCTGTTTTCTCACAGGCAGCCGCGGGCGCGATGCCGGTGCTAGAGCTTCCTGGATCATGCTGGGCGCTCGTGAATGTGGAGTGGTGATGTTGATGAAGTCGTTGTGGGTTCCGCTCGACGCCATGGTCATTCCCTAGCCGAATTCAAAGTGCTCGGGGGCCAAGTGTCCTACTAAGGGCATATGGCATCCATTGGGGACTCACGACTGGTTAATAAATGGATGACGATGAGTGACGAGGCTTTCCAGCCCCCAGCCGACGCTCAACAAGCACATGCCTGTGGTATGGTATTTTGAGAACAGTGAGAAAAAGAGTGGGGCGGCCGTCAGATACGAGGGCACTGCTCGGCGCAGCCGCTGGAACCCCTCCGTTCTCCACCAATGTGCGAATCAGCATCCAGCGGAGGTCCCGCACTCATCGTACAATAAATTTGCAGGGCAGGAAAAGGCGGACATGCTGAGAAGGCGGAGACCGGCTGCAGCTGCATCGGCCTGCATTTCCAGCTGCATACTGACGTTGGGGAGACGAATAGCGATGCGGTGCGGAATCACTGTGCTGTGTGGAGAGCTTGTCGTTCGCTATGAGCGGGATGATACACCCATGTACCATGCTGGATTCGCTTGAGGGGGCGGTGAACTAGCCCCATTTCAGGTGGGCAGCCTGACCGACTTCTTGCCTGCTATCTGGACGCCGTCTCGCAGTGATTTGAAGGTAAGCCTACTCGCCCACAAATCTGCGATCTGTCCCGAGTACCGTGGGATGTACTGGCTGAGATGTCACAACACGCGCTGGTGTGGAACAGAACGACGTGTCTCCGTGATACCTTGCGGATGCTTCGACGTCACAGAAAGTCGAAGCTGAGTGTTGGATGCAACATGGTCGCCGATGGATCCAGTCTGCATGCACCCTGCTGGATATGCGTAGAGTTTGGCACTAAAGTAGGGACTGGTCGGGTCGAAGCAAATGCAGTCGGCACATGTCTAAGAGGATGCGGTCGTCGTCATCGGTCGCTTCAATAGTGTGTGGGACAGCGTGTTCTAGACTTCACCCGGGTGATCGAACGAAGGGAAGGCCGTATTGGTAGCTGTGGGTGTCTGCATGCTGCATGTTTGATCTGTCGTTTGCCAATCGATAAGCTCGTCTCACCACCCTCTTCATTTGGGTATTGTCTGAACGAGCACCTCTCCCCTCAAGCAACGTTGGTTCCCGAAAATTGAACATGTCTCAGCCCGTCCATGGTGCTGGGTTCGTAGTCTCCGCCAAACGTCTAGCATACGGCTGTGCCTGCATAAGTTACGACGCGGTATGGTGCGGTCCCCGTTAGCAGACCCATAGCGAGTCAAGTAGCGGTAACGGCTTTACCGTCTCCCGAACCAACGTCCCAAGCATGCAAGACAGCTATGATGCTTCATTCGACCTTATCGCACTGTCGTTCGGACTGCCCAGGTAAGCGTTGGTACTCAGCCCTATGCATTAGAACTGCAACTTGCCCTGCAATCATTCAGGACGTCTAAAATCTCACCGCACTTCTGCGGACTCTGGCCTATCATGAGTCAAGACGTGAGCCGCCTTCTAGAAGGCTAAATAGAATTATCGAAAGCGTCGAACTGCGCGAGGGTTGATTGGGACACGAAGTCGTAAAGTGTGACGATGAATAATGATGTTGCAACTTGGGTGCATGTCGCTGACAAGTCGAGATGAAAGAGTAGGCAAACTGCGATCCTTGCCACTGAAGGACTTCTTGTTGCTTATGTTTGCCTTCTCCTGTAAAGCCATTCAGGCTGCAATGCAGTCCCAATAAGGTGTGTGGAACGTTATAAAGATTCCCGGGGCTAGTGAAGCGGTAAGGCGTCCTGCCCTGTTCGTCGCACTGCACGGAGGACCCGAAATTTTTCGAAGCAGCGATATCAATACCGTATCAATAGCCCACATGATTCGGAGCAAGAGCCACTGGATGGGCGGTGAGGTGAGATGCTCGACTGCACGCGCAATCGCATCAATCATAGCGACTACCGAGCGTATTCCGATTACGTCACAGCATTCCTTGCTTCGTGAGTCACGACATGTAACTACTCACGTATCCTGTGTTTCTGCGCAGTTGTGTGAAGCTTGTTGCAGATAGCCAAGTGCATAGCCCTGAATGGAGCGCGTGGAAACTTATGTGTGATAGTATTATTAATTGTTGTATCCCCAAGTAGTCTGCGCATTTCTATTCCAAATCACCCCCACGGGGGCTATCTTAATGGCAAGGAATTGCTCATCGAAAAAATATCAAATCATGTCCTATGCCAAAGACACCGATTAATGACATAGAACACCCGACAGAATTGATAAGACCAACGCAAATAGTGCACCACAAATCTGCCGACCAGGTTATTATCAGGCCTCAATAGCACCTCCTGGCATACCCATGTCATAAATATGCATAAATATCTATGCATTCTACTTCGTGATACGATACATGATGAGCTTGTCATCTGCTTCTTCATTGAAGCCCACAAGCTTAACTACGTGATGCAACCCTTCAACAAGTAGTGGCTAGGTCCAGTCTAGAAGCGTCGAAGATTATAGCAAATTGATAGATCGACAAGAGAGTGACTTCACTCACTAGGGCATTCTGAATGAGAGACCCTTTGCTCATTCCAGTCAGCGCTTCCATGCGATTCAATCTCAACCTCGTACCAAAGCGCAGAAGCTCGCTACATCTTCCCCAGACAAAGACCAGCGTTCAGCCACACCTCCAACTTCCCCATTTATATAACTCAATGATATCATCTCACCGCTCCTAACCAACCACTCATTGACGTCGCAAAGATAGCGTGGGCTTTCACGTAGCCACCCCGCCACTGCTGATAGCACAGCGATGACTAATCGCTGCATCAAGGGTGCCAAAACCGACAGAACGCGCCCAAGTTGGGTGTAAATGTGGTCTCGGATTTGGTGAAAGGCAGAGACGGCCCAGCTGGCGAAGGAGGGGAAGTACGTTGTAATGTTGTAGTAGAGTATGTCGACGCTAATTCGCAGCATGATATGTAGATTGACAAGAAGATTGATGCATGCTTTGAGCGACGGTTCGTGGAGGAGGACCGTAAGAATTAGGATGGCGAAGGCGAACCTGCGGAAGACTGCTTGCATGGCCGTGAACATGAAAGCTGAGAGTGCTTGTTGAGTTTTGATCTGCGCTTCTTTTACTTCGATTCAAAGCTCGGTGCCGTTCCCAGTCGGAGCGGGTCTCGGAGACCGTTTTTGCGGCAGGTGCGAGCCGAAAAAAGGTTAAAGTTTCACCAAGAATATATGTTTAGTATGTAGATAAGGCGGTCCAGATGATTTTTGAGTGGGCTCCGTGCGTCACAGCAAACGCACACTGCACTCAGCAGTCGGTAGTGAATGTTGATATCACAGGGAACGCATCGTATTCTCACGTCGACAAACCTGGCTGATTTATAGTGTGCGGGACCTGAATTGCTAGTAAAGAGAAGCCATATGATCTATCTTATTCAGTTCTATAGTTTCCCACTGCATTGCGATTCTATTTCATGTCTCAACGTCTACGTGAGAGTGAGAGTGTGCGTGAGAGAGGTTCTAAAGCTCGTCAGAGCTCGTCAATCGTAGCGGCTGTTCGCAATCCGAACCACCGAACCTCTACCGATTGTACCAAACCTAAATCGAGTGATGATGCCAAAGCTCCGCAGTGAGAGATCCAGCGAAAAGAACTAGACCAAACAGTGAGAACAATGATACCATCAACACCAGCTCATCGCATGCTTTCTCGTCATGTTCTTCGGTTGTCTCCTCAGTCATTTGACCTACTATATCCTTCTCTTCGGCCCCAACACAGGTCGTGTTGCTGCCAATAATCATGTAATCCTGCAAATAGGTTTCGAAAACTGAAGTGGCGCGGCTTGTAGGGATTTGTGAGGTAATGTATTGTGAGACCGTACATGGGCGTGAAGGAGAAGGATGTTTGGAGATGACGTGATCCATCTCGTCTTGGAAGTAATCCAGCTTCCGAAGTTCGTGGCGAATATCACTGGGATGTTTCGTCGTCGGCTGGTTTTCCCAGACACCGATTCGGCGAGCACTTTCTGAGCCATGATGGCAGTCAGCCCTATAGTGGACGATAAAGTATCCGCCACCATGCGTTGTGGAGACGCTGTCTTTGTTACATGCGCCGTCGACTGCCTCAGGTGCGGTGGTGGTCTCATCTTGAAGGTCGACAGACCCATGCTTGATTTTAATACCACGAGGTACGCCAGTGCGTTCACTATCCGGTGCTAAATCGTAATTCGAAAGGGTAGAGTCGATATTGTCGCGTTTTCCCGCAATTTTAATACCAGCTTGACTTCCAGCTAGTTCTTCAAGCTTATCCGTCGCTTCGTCATCAGAACTCGCTTCTAGGGTATCATTTTTCGGCAACGCAGTGCTTGGATGAAGAGGATGCGATTTTGGAATCGGATAGCACTCTTCCACTGATGAGCGACTGTTAAAAGTGTTGTTAGGGAGAGATTCGATAGCAGCCATGATATAATCTTTGCAAGAGCAAGAAGGATGGTGCAGTAGAGATATATGTATCCCTGAAAACGAAGTGTGAGTTAGCTCGAGATGTTTGCCTCGATGGAAATGATTGCCAACACAACAGGGGCACGCAGTTGAGCCCTTTGGTAGTTTGCGACTGAGATAGGGCGGGGGGGTCAAGGCAAGGGAAGGTTAAGGTATGTTTTGGAGAGGGGCCAAATTTATCATATGCAATCCACTGTTAGCATTGCGAAAGCGTATGAGCTGACTCCTTCCACATTTTATATTTAAGACTGCCGTGCGTTAGCTGCAGCAGAAAGTTGTTTTACGTCTCTAAGGAAGTTCCGGAAACTTTTGCTGCAACAACAAGTTTGTCATGATCGGATTTGCGTGAAATCTATTGGTGAAATAGCGTGACCTAAGCTTTCATTGGCAAATTTGCCATACCAACGGGAGAATCATCGCAAGCTAATGCGTTGAGTGAATGGTGTGATGATGTTTCGGCCGTGCGTCTGTAGCCATCAAGGGTTCTTTGCCAATGCAACTATAATTTCACACTTCTCACACTTCTCACTTCAACTTCAGCTTCCACCTCACCAAGATTGCATCCATGACTTCCAAAGCAAAGATGCCCGGGTTGGGCTACCACCAGGATCCGGCTTCATCTCCCAGGGACTTGAATGAGATCGTTGCGCGATACTCATCGTCGGCTCTCAGGTCATCTTCAGCAATATCTGAGCGACGGCCATACGAAGTTTTGCCCCGAGAGGTTGCAGGGGACGATAATGTCGCGCCGCTATCATCTTCACCTCCACCCTACGTTTCTTCAATCTACCGGTTTCCTTTAACCTTTCAACACCGTCGTAGCTCGACGCATTCCGGCTACCTCAGCCGCGATCAGCTGTTCGGCCGCTCTCCCACTCCAGAGCCCGAATCAAGCCCTCTACCACAACCGGAAGCGTTGCAACGCATTGATTTGCAACGCTGTGTGAGTCGACAATCACCGAAGGCTGATCCCCTTATTTCTTCTCTGGAGAGGAGGCAGCAAGAAAACGACATTACTCTGCAGGATCGGCCCTCTTTACCAAACCTGAGGGTCAAACAGAAGGAAAGTATTAGTACGTCTGACCTATGCTCCTCTCTTCGTGGTGGGCGGACCTCGGCTTTTAGTTTGCGACAACGTTTCTCAGGATCACCGCGAGATGAATGGCTGGAAGCAGGTACTCCTGGTCCAGTGACTACGGATAGTGGAATTGAGCCGAGTTTTATGTCAAGATCCACGGTGGCTCCGACCTTCGAGACAAGAAATGGGACTGGTGGTGCATATATCAAAGATGGTAAATCTTTCAAGGTGTCACCTGCCGAGACGGCTCTCCACAAGGCTTTAAAAAAGGTCGCCCACCCAGAGAAGACAGATCCTACACGAAGCGCAAGTTGGAGCAGAACAGTATTCCACCGTCACGATCCACAGTACGAATTCCCGAAAGCCAAGACTTTGTACGAGAGTCTGCTTGAACTTGACTCGGTCAAGTCACAGGCGTCTCCTGAATTACTGGCTGATGTCACCTCATCTCACAAAGCTGTCAAGGCTCTTGACGAGAAGAAATATATCAAGCCCTCACATAAAAACTCGCCGGTTAATGAGACCGTTGATCTGGACGGAAGCTACGTCGACCTGCAAACTGCTTATGGAGTTGCAGGTTTGCGGGCTACTATCTTCTCGGGGTCGAACAATTTCGAGAAGATCTCAGTCCTGCCGCCGCGCGAGGTCTTCTCTCAAGAACCAATCGGTTTAGCAAGCCAGAATCTGTTGTCGGCTGTGCCGAGGGGTAATAGTACTTGTAGGAGGAAAATACCGAGCCTGAGGGTAACACCAACCTTGATCATATTCGACCAATCCCCTCTGCCACCAAAGTATGAGATTTCGTTGGCAACGCCAACTGTCATCATCTCAAACCACCCAATACACCCCCCCTGTTACGGTTTTTCTAGCAAGGAAGTGACCGTGTATCCGTCACCCATGACACCTTCACAACAACAACGTTTGTCATTTTCAGATTCCAACATCGCCATCATACGCGGCTGCATATCGTTTGCAGTGATACTTAACGTCCTACTGAATATTGGTAAGGGTATTCGAGCAGTGCAGATTACGTACGACATCAGTATTGCTTTCATGATCGGTATGTCATTGTGTCTGGTATTGAACTGGGTGCGGGGTGGTCGGTTCATTGTTCCCGGCGGCCTTTTGCGTAGTCGAGAACATGTTCATAATACTGAATGAGAGTAGTAGGGGAGGACAGAGTCGGTACAAAAGATGAAAGAGGTACTTGCGGAGATAGGTGTGCATCGCTTTATCCCCCAAATATTAAGAAGTGAATACCATTCAGTAGTATATGGCGGTGGCAGGCCCTAAATAAGCCGACAAGAGAGGTTTGTTCACGTGGTGTGCTCTCAAACCAACCAGACCTAAGTACCTGGATCATATACGCATTTACCCGAATGGCGCCCATTTTAATAATCTATTGAAAGTCATCCTGGAACCCATTGCTCGCAATACTCCTTATATTCGAGGCAGGGTCCCACCACAAGTCGCACGGATGATTCGTAAAGTACTTTTGGCGAATCTAGAGTTTCTCTTGCCATCTCGCGATACTCATCATCTATGTGAGGAAACATGTGGCTCACATATCGAAGACGATATCGTAGGCTCCATGGTTGGAGGTCCTCCCATAACTCGTAGGAAGATTTGAATACGGAACACTCATTCGTTTCGGCCAGGTGGTCAGGTTCTGGAAAGTTCCTTGTAATAGCAACTTCGATGGAAGGTTAGTGATCCCCGCGTTGTTTCTGTAAATGTTGATGAAGGATGCGGCGGCGAAATTTATTTAAGAGACTTCGGAGTGCTCCGGAATCGGAAACTGCATTACGTTCCCTGCGAATACATGCAGGTAAGCAGGGTCGGATGTGTGGAGGTGTAAGATGCGTATTAAGTTCATCGAACAGGAGGCAGGTATTGATGTGGTCAATGACGCTGCAAAGCTTCTCGTACTCCCCTTCCGCGCGTGGATGGTACAGTACAATTGAATGCAAATAATCCATATCAGGATGTATATTGATTCTCAAATATGAGTCCAGGTCCAATAATAGTTTTGGTGGCTTGTCTAAGATTTCGCGGGCTTTTGTTTTCATAATATCCGCAGCTTCGCAACGCGTCTTTCGGCAGGTTGATAGTATGGAAAGCGAGACGCTTTCCACAACTATTGTGAATGCCCAGGCTTTCTTTATCCGTTCATCACTGTCTCGTTGTAGCAAAGGCTCGAAGTCACGAGTGAAGGTTTGATGTTGCGCAACAATAGGTATGTGCTCGTAGATGATGAGTCGCAATCCTGTAGGTAATGAGAGAAAGGGGGATGAGTCTAACACTTCCATTTCGCTGAGGACCGACGTAAGGATGACGCATATGCGCTGTTTGGTTCTTTTGTTTCGATGGTGAACGTATGGAAAGTGAGATTCTGATGCTTTAGCGGGGTCACTGGGAACACGCTAGCGTTTCTTTGCAAGTCCCTTCTTTTGAGTCCTAGTTCTTTCTAATGCCCCCAAAATCAACACGGACAGATGCCTTTAGTCCGCTTCGATTCTTACTTCCTGTCGTAATGCGTAAAGCTCCAGAAAATCCCGGGAGACTACAATGTGGACATGACTCGCGTGGAGGGCACCAACCTTACTGCCAGGGACACAAACTCTTTGATATATAGAATGATAATCAGTAGGAGTGAGAAACTATCCATGAACACGCAAAATCCTGTTTCGCTTCCTCGGCCTGCCCAAATAACTCCGTCGTCTGCTTTACCACATTGCCATCCGAACTGAGCAGGGTAAACTATATGGGTCCGAGTGTTACAACGCTTTCGAAGCAGAGAATGAATTCAAGTTTCCTTGTAACCAAATTCTTATCTGCAATCTCCGTCTTACCAGAGTCTTTGTACTTTTGAGTCAAGGGTGATTGAAGTGCGCCAGCCCAGTTAGATATCATTCTGGTTGTTCTTCTCTATACTCTCTTATCCTTCCCTTACTCTCTGACCGCAGAGGCCTTCTTGGTGGTGGGTTCTCATGGCGGTTCAGATGCTATATCCCCTTTCAAATCCCCGTCCGAATCGCCCAACAACCCGCCCGCAGATAAATCCAGCACCTTCTATTCCAATCTCTAAGACATCACTCAGAGCTGCCAATATACCCCAAGACTTCCAGACCATGCCTCCCAGTATGATCTTCATGCCCTCAACCCCAAAAAGCGCCACCACTAGGAAACAGGTCAAGAGGGAAAGGACGAATGCCAGAAGTGTGTAGAACGCTTGTGACGAGAAATGCGAGTACAACCTAATGCTCTTGAAGCAGTCGACTGAGAACATGGAGGAAATTGAGCTGAGCGAAGTATCGGTCGTAGGCGTCACCGGTGTCATCGGCGGCGTCATAGGCGTTTGATTGATGTCGAGATATGAGCAGTCGTTGTGTTCCGCCTCGCGTATGTCATCGTAGTCCTCGTCATCATCCCGAAAGCCTAATGGGCATGTGTTAGATCTTTCATCGGCTTGCATCATTTTGAAAGCTTACTATTGGCGACTGACGAAAGCAGCCGCACTGCGCGCTCATCCACGCTTCGATGCGTGCGCCTCGAAGTTGATGATAGGATCATGACTGGAGGTGTTGACTGCGGCATGAATTCACAAGGTGTGCGAGGTCCATCGCCAAGCTCGTTCGGTGGATGCATCTCGCGCACAAGTGTCGTAGATCCCTTCAACCACGTTCGGAAGTGCGGGAATTGGAGTTGGGCCATTGCAAGTCAATGAGTGAATAATCTGATTTGTCGGGGATCAAGTTGAGACAAGATGCGAAGTGTGAGGTGCGTGTCTGCAAATTTGAACTATGAGTGTTTGCTATGTAATGCAGCTATTAGCGCACGACCTCCGCACTGAAACCCGCGCGACAGCTTGTCTTTCACTCCTAAATAAGCGAACACAAAAGTTTCAATTTATCATCTGCTCAATTCCAGGGTGGAGTGCGCTAATTCCTAGAAGCATCGTGCAACGCAAGGCCTGGGCCTTCCTTATGTTACAATGCACCCTCCTTGAGACGACTACTTTTCCTTCTGGTGCCCATCTATGTCTGTCACTGCAATTCCTGACAACTGAAAGAATGTCTCCGCCAAGTCTTTGGCCATTTCACCGCTGAAAATCTGCACTTCGCGACCAAAGTAGCAGACAGGGGAAAGAATCAGATCACTGTGCGAATCATCCTTCCAATCTAGGCGACGAATAACTACCGCATAGACTGTCAGAACTACACCAATTCTCCAAAGGGTGAGTAGCAAGGTCTTCGGACCGAGAAAGGCAGCGCCGAGTGTGAAGGTGAGGTAAATGGCGATGACACTGAGCTGAATGTCGCAGGCGATTCTGGAATGGGCGATTGTCAGTGGGCCGATGCTCTTCGGTCCATCGAGTATAGAGAGCTTGTTTTCCGTAATCTTGACCACATTGAGGCGAGCCGACTTTGCGAGACCAGAGATGTCGAGGTTGAAAGTGATATGGCCCGGAGCATCGACGGTCTTTGGGAGCTGGTAGACTTGCTTGCGCTCATGCGCTACTAGGGCTGCAGCGACCTCGCTAGAGACGTACTCGCGGATGCCACGACTGAGCGGGTTATCGGCGTTCAACATGTCGGATGGGAAGGCCATGTGGCTATCACTGTGGTCATTCGAACTCTTGAAGGTATCGTCTGCTGTTAGTAAGTTTGAATGACGTTGAATGGATTATGTTAGGGGAATCTTACGCTGCGCGACAGCTTCAAACTGATTTTTCTCAGAGCCTACTGACGCAGATTTACGCTGCTTGTCTCCCGCGATTGTAGTTTCCGTGGTCGCCGGTTCGAGAATCTGCGAGCTCGAGCCCTCAGCCATACTATGATCGCCCACCGTGTGCTCCTTGCGCTGTTTCAGGAATTTCTCAAACGACTGCTCGAAGCCCTGTTCCTCCTTTCCGCGCTTTTGATTCCCTGTCATCTCAGCTACCTCATCTGCATGCGTAGTTCCTGAAATATTCAATCCTGTTTCCAGGTTGTGCGGGGCAATCTCGCCCGAAAGCTCGTGTACCTCCATCTCCATTGCCTCACTGACTGCGGACCCGCCGTTGTTCTCTAGCTCGCGTTTAGCAGCATCGAGAGATGTACGCTCACTCGGTAGCAAGCCCACCTTTTCGAAGCCTAATCTCATCTTCGGTGACGCAAGCGGACTGGCTATGGGCGCCGAGCTGGTCAGCGTGTTTGGACTTGTTGAATTCGAGCTCGTGCTTGGCCTGTGTCGGAATATCTCCTTGAAACGACTGGGTTTGCGCGCGGGCGTGCTAGTATTGCTCTTGAAATGCTCTTCCGAAAGGCGAGCCATAGCTAGGATCGGGGTTTTGTGTGTGTTGAATAGTAGAGCACTAGGGTGCGTTGAAACACATAAGACTGCGAGTGTTTGCAGGGCGTTTGTGGGGTGCTTGCGTTTGCGTTGTGTTGTGATTAGATAAGCAGAAGTGAGTGTGAAGGCGACTGAACGTGAATCCAAACGCTCACACGATTGTAATCGGTTTCCCTACCAATCTTAGGTAGCATTCGGTGCATACGTCAGGTCCTACGTTATTAGTAAGCGCACAAATTGTCAAGTCATACCTCGTGAGCTTTGACGCGGTTAAGACGCATTTACATGTTACCATCATGGGAATCCGCAGTTCTAAAGAGGATTTTCAAAGCGCCTACGCCCTAGTTGAGCTATCGCTGGTTCTGTGAAAGTACTTTGAGTGCGGAGATGTTTGTGATTACATTGATTCTTCCAGGATAGGCTTCGAGACGGTCGCCAACCAGGGTTCCAAACCTCATCATCGTTCAGCTACGTAGCATTCCAATACCTTCTATATGCAGCTCCACGGCTCAGCCGCTCTTTCGCACATATTCTTAATTATTCTCTTGTCATTCTCAGACTAAGCTAAACAGCGATATTGAGCTTCTTATCGATCATGATGTACAATTTGCTGCGCTGTTTGGCCAAGGAATTCCGGGCATCAACGTTATTCTACTCAGCGTTGATGGTCCAATCAGCACAGAGATCGCGTCCCACGAGATCCGTTGTTTGACACGCCCTGTGAGATCGTCTGGGCACAATTTGCGAGATGGATCACGATGAATATAGTGGGGATGTGGAGTGTGGAGCTGAGCGCGCTAACCTTCCCCGTCCCCGCTAGGTCATGACAAAGCAAGGGGTCCGTGTAGTTCGTGTCAATTTCGAACCTCGTCCTATCAACGGTGCAACACAATTGCGTTCCTTCTTCTCCATATCGTCATCTTTAACATAGAAACCATCAGGGCCAATTCTTCTACTTGCTAGATACCCTTTCTGGGGACTAATCTCATCACTTGCGCTCTGAGAGGCCTCACATCCAAGCTTTTCCCGATGCGAAGCTGCAGGTTAAACTAGCTTTGACTTGTGCATCTTGAAATAAGACTTGAAAGGAGAGGGCAATAGGATTCTGACTATTGAACTTGAAGTAAAAAAAGGTAGACGTCACCCATGATATACAATCAAAGGTCAAAAACTAGAACAGTCGCATACCACAACATTTAAACTCCTTCATAGAATCACGGCCTCCTACACGTGATCGCATCCATACTCGGCGAAAAAAAAGGTTTTAGGACAAAAGGTCCTAGGAGGGGTTTCAAACAAGCGCATCTTAGCGCCTAGAATCGAATCACTGCTTGGCGGACAACATGGTGCTCATATGCAGGAATTAAATCTGAACTCTTCAATGCACTGAAGTCTTTCGTTCGATTCTCTCAAAATATCTGCGATATGGTCAGGATGAAGTCGCCAATACTCTCATTGCTACTTCTCCTAGCAAACGCCACCTTGTTGGCTTTTGCTAGCACACAGGCATCGAGGACTGGACATCAAGTAACACCGACTGATGACATCGAGAAAATATTGGAGACTGAATTGGGTGCGGAGGCTCATATGGCACAAGGCCCGCTCTCGATAGGTTCAATGCCTCCGAGCGAGGCATTCGATTCAGCAAGACATCGACAGGAGAAGGCTCATTTGATGAAACGAATGGATCGCAAGAATGGCAAATGGGGAACGAGTCACCCTCGCTATCGGCTACTAGAAGCACTGTTTGGTTTTAACAATTATACCGAGCGCAACATGGTCGAGCTGGGCAGGTGGCGCAGCTTGTACAATAATGTAGGAAAGAAGCAGAAAAGGGTCAGTTATCCTAAGCCGCGCTACGATACCTGCTGATTATTCATAGATTCTAGAAAGAAGAGTCGAGTACAGAAAGAAGCTCGATGATATCGAAGAACTGATTCACACAAATGGGGCTATTTGCAAAAGCATAGTCGCGAGTGCTATGCAATTCTACAGGATCGATCAGCAGGAGCTAGATGATCACATGAAACAGGCATCGCAGGACGGCCGACTAGCTGACAAGATGAGCGTCACACAAACACTGAAGCACTTCGTCAGAGATTGGGCAGATGAGGGAGTCAAAGAAAGAAATGAAGCGTTCCCATGTATCCTAAGCACACTAGACATGCTGAAGGTGGAGTTATCCGAAGGCAAGCCGCTCAAGGTCCTCCTTCCCGGATCAGGGCTCGGTCGTTTAGGGCATGAAGTCGCGAACCTGGGAGGTAGACGTCCCCATACCTTTGGTCACGATATGATTGCTTATGCCATATTAGGATTTGAGGTGACGGTGAACGAATGGTCGATGTACATGAACATCGGCTACCGGCACATGGAAACATACAGAAACCGGAAGTTTTTCGCTATACACCCCTTCATCGACGGCATGTCGCACCACGCTACGACAGATGATATGCTTCGCGAAATCACAGCACCTAATGCGCCTCTAAACCCAGGCGTTTTGCTTGTTGAGGGGGACTTCAACACAGCATTCAATGGCCAAGAAGGCCACTACGATATCATCGTCACCCACTTCTTCATCGACACGGCACGCAATCTCATGGCATATTTGGACACCATCCATCGCTTGCTGAGGCGCGGTGGTAGATGGGTCAACTTCGGACCCCTGCTGTACGGTACGGGACCATTTGTCCAGCTGAGTCTGGATGAAATTATCGCTGTAGTGGACGAAATGGGATTCGAATTCGAAGACTTGGCTGATGAATGTGGAAGCCTAACGTTTCCAGAGAAAAAGGTCAGGAGCAAAGAGGCGGGGTATGGGTTCAACAAGAGGGCTTTGACGAGGAATGCGTATTTAGCGCAGGTTTGGGTGGCCAAGAAGAATTAAGTTGGGGGTTAATACGGACCCACGTCGTAAAAGAATTATTACAGATACAGCCGTGGAAGGACTCACAGTGTCGCATGTCACCAGGCAGCCGCTTACGACCACCACACGAGCCCTGTTACTGGAGGAAGTGCGTGACAGAATAAGATGGCAATGGCAAAAGATGAAGCTCGGGTGCGTAGCAGGTAGATCGCGAGGTTCACACACCATGTAATCCAAATGATATTTCGAACGAGAGGATACCATGAGTTAGTAGTTTTGGCGATGTCGGAAAAGATGCGCTGGCTGTTTTTGCACGTTCCAGGGTGCGCTGGATAATACTCAGAGGAAACGCGAACACGTCGTGACGGAATAACTGCATGTTTGAGTCCACAGCATGCGAGGCAGTGTGGAATTGCGGTTCACCAAACTGCGCCCCGCGATGAGATGTGGAGGCAGTGGCGGTGGTGCAAGGTCTCGGACCGCCGAATTGGTGCTGGCAGGGCAGAATTGGAGCGCCCCTTCAAGATCGCCGGTCGAAAATTTAGCTGTGGCCAAGGCTTCAGTTGATCTCATTAAATCGCATTGTAAAGTGTCTAGAAAGAAAAATTGCGCGGCCCAAACTTGCCAGCGCATCGTGCTGTCTGTCCTATCCAGCAACCGCGAGGTCGACAAGGGTCAGAAGGCTGAGGGCATTACAGTGTCAGCCTGTATTCCTCAGCCACGACCCCACCTCAAGGAACATCCCTCCTACAGCGATGATTACCGCTCTTCGTTCTCGTTTCTAACCACGAGCTTTCCATTCTTACCTACATCAATCGACCTTCAATATCTACTGAATTATCGATCAAGGGCCTGATAATTATCCCCACCTGGATTACGGACGCCCCAGATCTCTAGCCTGATCATCGCCGACAAGGATCCACTCCTGCACGCTGTAACCATGCCGGTCGCCGAGACGCTCGGTGTGGTAGGCAGTATCATCGCCATTGTCCAGATCTCCAAGGCAATCATCTCGGCCTGTCAATTCTACATTGATGCGGTCGACGGGGCGTCGTCAGACCTCCGAGTGATACTCATTGAAATATCCACACTCAAGGGAATCGCCAAGAGTCTGCAGTACTTGACGCAACCCAACATCGCTAACTCGGCTTTATTGGAACAGCTTGCTGACGTCACGGACCCAATCGAAGGGTGTATGAAGGCGCTGAAAGAGCTTGAGACATTGTTACCACCTGCAGCGGTTTCGGTGAACGGTCAAAGCTCGAAACCGCGCAAGCTTGATGCCGCTGTTGCAGCACTGGCGTGGCCGCTGAAGACAGGAAAAGCAAAGAAGCTATTGCAGGAAATCATACAACACAAGACGACGATCAATCTAGCACTCACCGCAGAATTTGTGTATGTCTCAGTTTCATGTTGCTGGGTGGGGTAGTTGACTGACCTTCTGTTTAGTCAAGATTTGAAAGATGTCAAGCAGAAAACTGAACAGATCCAAGACCTTCTCACTGGTAAGAAGCTTTCATTTTTTGGCAGTACCTCTGCTGAGTAGACGTAGACAGCGAGCGTAGAGACCTTTACAGGTGGCTTGCAACCACCAATCCGTCTGACATCCATAACCGGTCTCAGAACCTTTATGAGCCCGGAACCGCTACCTGGATGCTTCGAACCCCTCAATGGCCTTTATGGATCGAAGGAAAGTATCGTTGTTTGTGGATCCACGGTATCCCTGGGGCTGGAAAGTCGATTCTAGCCTCTCATTTGGCAGAAGAAATCGAGAAGCATTGTGCTTCTTCGTCAACTGACAGTGCGAGGTTTGGTCATGCATACTACTACTGCTACTTTGGTCATAACCAGGATGAAGCATCACACTTCCTACGCTGGATTATTGTTGAAATTTCCAGACAGTCTACAAAGGTACCCGAGGATCTTCAGATTATGTACAAGTCGGGTAAAACGCCGAACCTGTCATCCCTCCTCTCAATACTACATAGCATCATAAAAGGATTCGAAAGAGTTTTTATTGTACTGGATGCGGTGGATGAGAGTATGCCTCGAGCCGACTTGCTCCGCGTCATCCGCGATCTCTCCACAGACGCTCGGTTTTCCTCTATAGGACTACTCGTCACTAGCCGAGAGTATATTGATATTGAACAAGTCTTGGAAGGCTGTTCTATCCCCATCACCATGTCAAACCCCTTTGTAGAAGAGGATATTGGGACTCTCGTCCACTCCACAGTCCAGTCGGATCCAAGATACCAACGTTGGCCGGATGATCTGAGGCGCGAACTGCAAGCTACGATACCCAAAAAAGCAAAGGGAATGTAAGTATTTCGCCACCTCGTGCATTGCTGTAGCTCATCTGCCCTTAGGTTCCGCTGGGCTGCCTGTCAACTCGACATTCTTAGACGGACAAGGCCTGATGCCTCAGCCATCAGTGCAGCTCTCTCGAATCTCCCCAGGACACTTGACGAAACGTATGAGCTTATCTTTCTTGCAATACCCGAAGAGGATTGGTTATCCGTGCAGCACGTTTTCCACTGGATGGTCTATCACAATGACCTGTTTGGCGATAACATTCCTCTTAACACATTACTCCTGGCAGTTCAACAAAGTACTGTTGACTCTCTATTCCCTGGATCAGATCAGCTCCATGACTTTGAGGGCTTACGCGAGCGCTGTGGTTGCCTTATTCTTGTTGAGCAAAAACCTTGGCCAAGAACCCGTCGACCCAACATCGACGACCCCCGGCAGAACACGGTCTCGTTCGCACATTATACTGTCAAAGAGTACCTTAACTCCCCTCGAATAGCCCAGAAACGAGTTTCATTCTTTGCTCTTCAGCAGGAAAGAATACAAAAACATTTCGCGGGCATTGCACTCCACCAAGCACTCTCAATTCCACCAGATATGTTGGATGGATGTGACGACCAGGATGAAGAAGTTGAGGTCATCCACGGTCTCCTCCGTTCAAACTTCAACGTCTATTGTGGAGTCTCCTCTATTTTACAGCTTCACGTCTACTCTAAAGTCAGCTCTTCTGATCCAGCTTTGATGGAGTTGAGTGAAGCACTTGTGAATCCTCACAGACCATCTTATGGCGATCTCGTCACTTTACTCACTACCGTACATCTTGATCTCGAAATTCGTTTAAGTGCAGGAAATGGTGTCCCTGAAGAATTCCAATTCTGGGCAATCGATTGGAGTCAAATCTCCGACCCAAGGCCTGCGATCTTCCTTAGCTTTCTTAATATATCAGTTGATGATACACCACATCTTGCGCTCGCCTTCGCAAGGAAGCATTCAATCCTGACTGTTCTTAAGCAGCAACTTTGTATCAAAAAACCCGTCTGGTATATATTCGACTACGATCTAGCGGAGTCGTACAAATTTGTAGGATCGGTACCTGAAGTGGTTGCGCAATGGGCATCCAAGCAGCCACAAACCTTTGACCTCATTCTGAACCTGATATCTGAATATGGTGCGACTCATTTCGATCTTTCAAAGATTTTACTACTTTACATTGGCTTCCACGATCGCTCCGACTGCGATAAGTCATGTAGTCTTGAAAGGTTGTTGCGCTTAGGAGCAAGCGCCAACGGTCCAGAGAAAGCTTTTATAACTCCTCTTCAGATCGCTACATCATGCTGGGACTTGCAAGGCGTGAAAACACTCTTGGATTCTGGCGCCGAGCCTAATGCTACAGGGGCAAATGGCTCGGGATGGGAACAAGGTACGCTCATGGAACGGTTCAATCATCTCCATGGGGTGAGTCCACTCCACATCATCAAGCATTTCGACTGTGGCTACCGAGGGGAATTAAAAGATGAACTGGGTCTTGATGAATCTGTGCGTGAGAAGCTCGAGATGCAGTTATTTGAATGGGGAGCGGTGGAAATCGAACCGAAAGATTATGTTTTTGATGGCAGCGGAGACTACAGTGTGGAGCATGTTGATTCCGCCTCAGATAGAATTGCAGAGTAACTATTCCAAAATTTCTCTCCATTTCTAGGGCCGGCTGTACGCTTACCTGATACAGTAAACACCGAAGCTGTACGGAAGAAAACACAGAGTATTCTTGGGTGGCATTAGAAAATTTCATGACCGATTATAAAAGTGGTAGTTCCTTGGCTTGATCCAAATACATCTGCGTCGTTCATAGTATATATAGTGTACTCAATTGTTAGGACGCGACGAAGTGTAGGCACAGTAATGGAACTGAAGCTTGAGGAGTCGCTGTCACCTGGGGGCGAGGTGGCCGCTCTACCATCCCGTAAGCAGTATACAACAGCAGTTAATTGTAGTTGGACGCACGATTGTCATGCCATTAGCCTTAGCTCAGCGCTAGTATGGCACTCGGTGCCCAGGTTTCCGACTTCTATACCTCGTCTCATCACCGCTATTCGATGTTCTTTTCATGACCTGCACACATATATATCAATTCTATTGCACTAACAAAGTCTCGAGCCCGCTTCGATTTCGAGTCGCGATCCACACGAGACTTCCTGCTGCGGCTCCTTTCATTCGCTGTTCTTTTTCCATGCTGCGTATCATGGCGTACGCTCCTGACTACTCTTCACCTAAGTTCGTGATTTTGACACGAAGTGTATAATCAGCATGTGCTCTTCTTCTAAGTAGAAATTTTCCTTTCTTGTGTTGTATACTTTCCTGCAACATTTCGTTTGGTGTGCTGCGCGACTGAGCTGATGTCTCGCTATGGGGCTTCCAAAAAAGCCGCGAGGGAAATAATGACTTTCTAGGTACCCTGAGAAACTAGGGCCCACGCACTTCTAGCTTGTTCCTCACTCCGAGCCAGTACACATCATTCTTTCACTCCCACAAAACACAACATAATCACATGCTCTAGTCGTTTGCATGACGCACTGACCTACAAAATCCTTCCTACCTATACATAGGTTGTCTTGCTCATCCGCACAATAAATTCTGGCACTCTCAACTCTTTTGGGCAGCTCTCCACTCCACCGCCTACATATATCAACTCAGCTCTGCAACTTCTCACTCCCGCCCGCCATACTCTTTACTTCTTGGGTTCCGATCTATCGTTAAAATGAGTCGCGCCAATCTCTCCCTCAGTGACACTGGTCGCGCCAATGATCGGATCATCCGAATCACCAACGTACACTTTGATGCGACGCCAGAAGACATTTCGAGCTTCTTCAGCCATTTCACAATCATCGACCAGATCCGAGACAAGAATTTGCGAACTAAGACCGAGTCCGTCGTCTATGTACTGTTTGCTACTCAGACCCAGCGAATCGAAGCGGAGCGACTAAGTGGTCAATGTATTCTTGGGCGCCGTATCAGGATCCAGCCCGCGCCGAGTGATACGTATATCAGTAAGTTGTCCATTTTTGGAGGAATTTACAAATACTAATAAATGTGTGTAGTCAAGGACGATAAATCCGGCTTTGTGCACAAGAATGAGGCACTACCTCCCATGACCTCAGAGACTACTGGAAACGTTGCTCTAGAACTTGTTGAGACCGAGTTCCCTGTCCTCACTCATACCCCTCGTAAATATAACGTGACGAGCCGTATCTTCTACATCACTAGTATCCCCCAAGGCACGGACGACAATTATATTCGTGCCTGTCTTAGTGGCTTTACGATACGTTCTATAAATCGCATGGTGCTCACGAGTAACGGCAAGTATTATTCCAAGGCCATCATGAACATGAAGTGTGAGACTGAGCTTAATACTCTTTTACAAAAGATGGGTGAGAAGGTCGAGGTAAGGGGTGTCTTCATTAGTGTAGAGATGCAGGATCTCGTTAAAGGTATGTTACCCCGATCTTGACTAGTTACAAAACACCAGTCGTCACAGGCTTTGTTAGACATAGGCTGGCTCAATACATGCTAATTATGTATAGTCTTCCCTCCGCTGGCTCCTCAGCAACCTAACGTCGGCGCGTTGTCCAGTGATCAGGATCTAGGCTCCAACATCGCGCGTACTACTCAGCCATCTGTACCAAATTCATTCAGAAATGACAGTCTCCCACATTTGCTCAGCAAACCGAATACGAATGAGCAGCAACGGGAGAATAAGCTTTCACCGCTAAATCCTGGCACTCCTGGACCTGTTCAAGATGATATGAATGCGAAGACCGATAAGACAATCAACTGCAAGGGTAGCTCAAAGAAGGTTATGTGGGATGGCCCACCAGAGCGGCTACAAGCGCTTCATGAGATCATGCGTAACAAGTTGGTGCCAAGCCAAGTCAACCCTTCGCATCATCATCAAGCTGCCAAAGGTCCACCAAAGCGGGTGGAGGCGAAAGCTGAGCCTACCGTCGATGTGATCCCTCTCGAGGCCGACCGTCACCAGGCTGCTCCAAGCATAGCCGATCCTGTCGCCCGCCTTAATTACGGGCGTCCTCGCGGTGTTCCCGCCGGCATCGACACAACCAGTAAGTTCAACATAGGTCAGTCAGTCAAATGAACTCAAAGCTAATCAATCGCAGAGCCTCCCAAACACGAGAACTGGAACCTATCGGGCAACAAGGACAATATGTTCTCGCCGGAGGAGTGGGGCAGTTTCCAGTCTAACCTACTTCACGGTAATGAAGGTTTTGAGCACCACGATACAGTCGCTGATCGTATCATCCGCGAGGGTGGCCTGGGTGGGGGCTTGTTTTCAGGTGCGAACAGCAGATCGGTCATGATATTGTAGTAATTGGCGCTCTTGGGATTAGCATGATGACGACACTTGTTCATCGTTTTCTCTTTCCGGCAGGTACCGTCCATTTTCTGTCTTTCTCTTCAAGACTTTTGGGCCCAGGAATTTGTGCGTGCAATTCACGCACCTTCTTAATCACAGTATTGATTTCACAACCATGTCGATTACGTAGAACAGATGTATTTCTTTTCATTTCACGGTGACCGGGTTTGCATGGTTCGCAGATACCCATTTCGCTTTCTCCAGCTTGAATTCATGAGTGAAAAACTTTGGTGTTCTCAATTAGGGATATCAGAAAAGACGGATAGTTAAGCATAGCACTTCGTTTGGCCACTTTCTTGTGCTTTAGTTATCTCTTCCCTATGTTGTCTTGCTATTCGGTAGTCTTGCCTTGTTCAACTATATTTTCACGCTTCGAACGTGCTTACAGATATTTTAGTCGCCGTACGCCCCTGCTCTAGTTGCAGCTCAGAGAATGACGCACTGTCCACGTGATACCGCGTCAAGGACAGGCAGCAAACATTTGCGCGCGTTTCGGGCACTTGAAGGGTTATCATCTTCAAGGAACGCATCTGCTCTCTCATTTCATACCAGTGCCCCGCTTCTTCGCATCGAGTGTACACCAGCAACCAACTACAAGCTACGTTTTTCCAAAGCGGGCACCCGCTGAACCCCATTTCACAACGAACGGCAACAATTGCTCAATCCTAGTGCTTGGCAGCTGGTTCCCACTCAATATGGGTCGTAGACGACACGGACGCGCAAGCAATGGGCATGAGAGCATGCAGAAAGGCAATGTAGTTCATTCATCCCCAGTCTCAGCGTAGCTAGGCACTCACAGGACCTTCCACAGACTCTACACGCGACAGCTAGATCCTCGACCGCCGGACCAAGTCATACTAGTCCCTCCTCTCTCCCCGCCACTACGCCCACGAAAAAGTCGAAGAAGCCCTCCGTACCAGGCCGCATTCTCTCAATTCACAACCTACCTTCAGGTGCCATGACCTCTGGCATCTCCACCCTCTTGTGTCCGATCGAAATCGCAGCCTACAAGCGCATCACTCATGCAGATACTGGAGAGTTGTCGGACATCACTTTCATCTTGTTTGCAACAGTTGAAGATGCCAAAACAGCATTCCTGCAGCTGGACGGAGTAAAGATAGAGGGCGAAACGGCGAGAGTAAATTTCGTCAACGGCGTAAGGTTTGAGGGTCAAGGTACTACGATGAACAAGGGTATACAGATTACGCCGGGAGATGGATCTGTTATAGAGAGTAAGGAGGGTGCTGGCGGTGCAATTAAGCAAGACAGTGCCGTGCATGAACTAGCTACGGCCATCTCGGTTATGGCACGACCGGGGAAAGCACAGCCGGCGATCCTTGGGGAGAACGCCTCGACACCGCAAACAAAAGGATGGAAAATGCATCAGTTTGGACATGTCCCTGGTGCGTTCCCGGTAGATAAGAATGTGTGAGCAAATGCAGAAGGAAGGACGTGAAGGTCATGGGAAAACACGGGGAATGAATCAACGTCGCAGTCGCTCACGACTGCAACATGACACCATATTTTACGATCTCAAATACTTGAGGAAGCAAATGATTGTAGCGATCTTACTTTTTGGAACACGGGGCTGAACAGGTAGTGCTGGTGAACACCATCAGGCGAACACTGTCAGCGAGCAGCTGAAGCTAGTGGTACCTGTAGTAATTTAGTGCCACCAAGCCGTGGATGATTACTTCTTCGGACATTCTCGACTCATGCTATGGGTGGCAGCAACCAAGCCGGACGCCAGTAACAAAACAACGCTTGCAATAAACCCAAGAACGGATCCTCAAGCCCTATGGCGAAGCTTAGTGAGGAGCCAAGTGTGTTTATGTACAGGGTGATGTGCATCGATTGTGATGGGAGGGCGAAGACGGAAGTCGGCAACGCTGGGTCTTGGAGGAGGAAGGTCAAGAATTCGCAAGGCTCGACTGACAGGGCCCTTGAGCTTGTGTTGACGACGTTCGCGGGCTCGGAGGGCATAGCTCCATCCTCTGTAGATATCTAGAGGTGTTCACACGAATCTCCTCTTCTCTGGCTGTCTTTGTCGATGTTGTGGCATTCTATGTGGTTGATGTTCCTGGGTCGGTCCTTCCAATAGTCGAGTTCCAACCTTGCAAGACACCTAACCCATGTCCGGACTAGCGTCTTCGAGGGATTTGAAGGCCCGCCCTGGAGGTCGCTGTCGTATTGCACTACACAACAACCTCTTCCTATGTATAATTCATTACCTTCCACAAATATGCTTCCTTACTCGTCGGTCTGGGCTACTGAGCAGTCCATTTACGCAGGTGCGGAGACAGTATTGGGTCTCAGCTCATGGTCATGTAGCCCCGCGCTCACCGTGGTACTGAATGCGGCGTGTACGACGGCGTCGCAAGCGTCTTTGGGCAAGGCGTCCGTTCCATCAAGCCCATCATCCCAAGATTGACTCGCAGACCCTGGTATAAGGCCACCTTGAATGACAGGCTGTGCGCTGTTGAGGGTAATATGGCTAGACGCGGAGACATGCGCCTCGAGGTACATTGATTACGAGAACATGCTGGACATGTGGGTCGACAACTCATGTTCCAGGCGATAGCGTCGCACGTGTGCTGTACTTACGGACGGCGCCGTTGAGACTGGTGCTGCCCTGACCCGGAGACCCTGAAGACAGCCATCTTCGCAGCTGCTCCACTCCTAGATCTGGTTCTCGGATATTGACTGGTTTTAAGAGCTACCGCTGTATGCCAGCTGGGTTTGTTAATCATACTGTGGAAGGTCTCAAAACCGCCAGGCGTTCCCAGGTCGTAACCTAATGGACAGTGTCTCATGATTTCGACATCATCGCTCATCCCGACATGTCCCTGGATCTCTTGGTTTTACCTACGCCAAGGGGTTGAGGCCCATATGTGGCGACCATATTCCATCACGATCAACCATGCAGGTGGAGAGATGCAAGTGGAGACTCGACGCTGGAGGAACTCGTGCATGCCACTAGCCCACCACAACGAAATGGGCTGGCAAATTCTCTCAAACATGCAGCCAATGGGGCCTGAAGCTAGCACGATATGGAATTAATCGCAGTCTTCCAGAATTGGGAAGGCAGTGCAACAACGAGGCTGGTTAGAAGGCGTCTCCAATATGTGCAAACTTCAACTTGGGCAGCCCTGGCGCAACGAGAGACAGTGCCCGCGAGGCATTCTCCCTCGTGTCAGCCCAGTGAACGGCTCCTTTCGAGGCTGAGGCTTATACTCGCCATATTCACTCCTATGGTATGATGCTGCTCGATGGCCGCATTGCAGCTACGACAGAAGCAGCCAGCACGAAAGCCAGCACCACGACACTTTGGCTCCCATGAAAAGATTCCGGCCCACTCCGTGTGCCTGGTGGTCGGTTCGAGTGTTACTGTTGGTTCAACAGTTACAAGCTCGGTTCTTATTCCGACAACGCGGTCATTGAGACAAAGGCAGGCGAAAGCAGATACCGTGCTCGCGAGGCTTTACTTCTAGAAGCGGCACTTCTCAATGCCGCTAGCGAATTACAGCCATGGAGAGCGATTTTCTCGAGCCTGCAAGGTCTGTTGATAATCGTTAGAGGGAAGTTCTGGCAAGTAAGATTGAGAGGGGCGCCTACCAATGTGCGTGGGGAAAAAGGGCACAGAATCGGGGCGACTGCAAGCCCTGGCGAGGAGGACGGTCGAAGTGGGAAATCAGAGGTTGATATAGAAAGCGTGGGCTGAGACGCAGATGTGATTGGCCGAATGCTACACTGGAGATAGTTCCGCCCAGCAGCGTCGCAGCCAGCCAAGAAGACTACGCAGGCCTGCCAAGGGGATAGTGCCGGCAACATGTCTTCTCAGAGGACTCGAAGCCCCACCTACCTAAGCTCCTCCTCCGTTCTGCCAATTTTGCTTGAGCCGGACGAAGCTACACTACTGAAGATTCTCGCTAACGGTAGCCAAGACACATCTGTCCTTGGCGGAAATCCCGACTCGGGCCCTCCGCTGCCCGGCCTCAGCCAGTCAGAGTGCTCAGTTAATAGCACGTTGCTCTCGCATTGCTGTCTGCCCTGTATGTGGCTGACCGGGTGGGTGAACGATGGGCGCGGCGGATTCGCTCAATGTCACCCCCAGGCCTGGAGCCTGTCACTTTGGCAGCGCGAGAGTAGCACGCTCAGCGCCGACGCGACCCCCAAGCCGCCGCACACGGATTGCACACATATATAACCGTCTCACAGACTCCCCTTGTTCTGCATCCCAGCTCCAGCTCCGTACCACCACTCTTTAATCTCTGAGAGCTACCTGCAACCGCAGAGGATCATTCAAGATGCCGCGCCTCGGCCAATACGACTATGTCTTCGCCATCGGCACATTCTTTGCCCTGCTCGATGCCTACAACAATGGTGCTAGTAAGTAGCCTTGCTGTCGCCTCTGTCCCAATCTCTGTGCTAACAGTTCCAAGACGATGTCGCCAACGCGTGGGCTACCTCCGTCTCATCCCGCTCCGTCTCCTACCGCCAGGCCATGATTCTCGGTACCATCTTCGAGATGGTCGGTGCCATCACTGTCGGTGCCCGTACTGCCGAGACGATCAAGAACGGAATCATCCCCAACAATGCCTTCAAGGGTAACGCCGGTGTTCAGATGCTTGCCTTCACTTGTGCTCTTGCCGGTGCCTCCATCTGGGTCATGTGGTGTACCAAGCACTCCGCTCACGTTTCGTCGTCCTACTCGCTCATTTCTTCCGTCGCTGGTGTCGGTGTCGCTGTTGCTGGCGCCTCCAAGGTCCAGTGGGGATGGAACAAGGGCAAGGGTCTCGGTGCCATCTTCGCTGGTCTTGGAATGGCTCCCGCTGCCTCTGCCTGCTTCGGCGCCATCATCTTCATGTTAATCAAGCTCACGGTCCATCTACGCAAGAACCCCATCCCATGGGCTATCTGGACCGCGCCCTTCTTCTTCTTGATCGCCGGTACCATTTGCACACTATCCATCGTCTACAAGGGATCGCCCAAGCTCGGTCTCAACAAGAAGCCCGCGTGGTATGTCGCTACCGTCACCGTTTCCTGCGGTGTTGGTCTTGCCGGTCTCGCCTTCCTCTTCTTCGTGCCCTACCTCCACGCCAAGGTTGTCAAGCGCGACCACACCGTTCGCTGGTGGCACGTCTTCCAGGGACCTCTCCTCTTCCGTCGTCCCGCTGTCGAGGGCGCCGAGGCTGCTGTTGTTCCCGACTACGCTGTTGTTCAGCACGATGACGAGCTGAAGCCCGCCGAGTCTCTCTCTGACTCCGACAATGGCGTTGTTGGTCACGATACCGAGAAGGCCGCTGTCATTGCCGAGCACCGCCAGCTTAGTTACAAGGAGCTTGTCGCTCAAGGCCAGGAACGTTTCCACGCGAAGCTTCGCAACAAGCGCGGCCCCCTCGGCTGGGCCATGCGCTACCTCCACGAGAACAAGATCCAGACCGGTGAGATCTATGAGAAGAAGAACATGGTCATCACCCTCAAGCGCATTCCCGCCATGCTGGTCGTCGGTTGCCTCTACGGTGTAAACTACGATATCCACGCCGCCCAGACTGGTATCCACGGCACTCCCGAGGGCAAGCGTATGGAGCGCGTTTACAGCCACGCTAAGAAGTACTCCAACGAGGTCGAGCACACCTACTCCTTCGTGCAGGTTCTCACTGCCTGCACTGCCTCCTTCGCTCACGGTGCCAACGATATCGGTAACGCTGTCGGTCCTTGGGCTGTTATCTACTCGGCCTGGAACACTGGCAGTGCCGCTTCTTCCAAGGCACCTGTACCCATCTGGCAGCTTGCTGTTCTCTCCGCCACTCTGTCTCTGGGTCTCATCACCTACGGTTACAACATCATGAAGGTCATGGGTAATAAGATCACTTACCACTCTCCTAGCAGAGGTATGCATTATTCACTCCATTCAACAATTCTTGCAAATGCTAATTCTCAACAGGTTGCTCCATGGAGATGGGTGCTGCTCTTACTGTCCTGATCTTCTCGCAATACTCGCTCCCTGTCTCAACGTCCATGTGCATTACCGGTGCTACCGTCGGTGTCGGTCTCTGCAACGGAACGATCAAGGCTGTCAACTGGCAGCGAGTTGGCCTCTTGGTCTTCTCCTGGATCATGACCATCCCCATTGCCGGTACCATCGGTGGTCTGTCCATGGCTATCATTCTCAACGCTCCTCACTTCCGTTAAGCGGTACGCCGCTAGCATATCGATGATGCATTGATACATGGTTCTTAGTTACGTCTTCTCAAAATGTCCGGTTTATGAATACCCTCTTTTTTTTCACAGCATTGGTTTCGCTCTTTAGCACATGCATGGGATAGACTTCATTGTACTCTATGTGAGCGTTCGCGATGGCTAGGTCATACGTGTCGGCAATATACATCCTCTAATACAACTTCCCCTCCCATTTTGCAGTGAGGCCTTTGTCCTATATTTCAGCGAATACATATTGATGACCTACGACCACACCTCTCCCAGACGTCTCTTCGAGGTTGCCAACGATATGAAACTGCGCCTTCCCAATAGGGTTGCTGACCCGGACACACCGACCTTCCTATTCCACCTTTCCTGCATGGTCCGTGTCACCCCAACCCAGATAACTGGAACACTCCAACCGCTCATGCCAATTACTTTGCCATCAGTGCATATTTCTTTTTCTAGTACATCACTCCGTGGGCATCATCTTGTGCAATCACCTTCCAGCATTGCTTCGCTCATGAGACACATAGTACGGTTGAAGGTATTAATCTGCCTGCGCAGCCCAGACACACCGGTGGCAATGCTATGGACGCCCTGCGGCCTAATCTCGCATTAAGATACGCCTCACTGCGCGCCTTATTAGGACTGCCATATCACAGTGTTCTATTGGTCATTACATATATTCACAGGAAAGTATCAGGCCTCATAGAATCCTACGGAGCTTGTTGGCTTCTGCAGCACTTCTAGTAGAGACACCGTGGAGCAAGATCATATCAGACATTGCCTTACTGAATCAAGGACGGCTTCCACAGTGTCCACAATGCAGATTGAACTCATTTTGGCAAAGGCAAGATTACTAGGATGGCGATATACGAAGAGTCGATCAAGTCTTGGGCTATGATGAGGAGGCTGAATGCACGCACACTGCGGTAACTGCGGTGAAAATCGTGGTGCACGAGAGCATCGCCACACCTGACGTCGAAAGGAACATCAGTGGAGTCAAAAGTCTTGGGTGACATCGAAATATAGATCGTCTTCAGGTCCGCGGAGCGGGATTCAGGGACGTATACGTGTGTTTTTAGGTGGGAGGATCCGCTTGGGTACATTCGGTGAAGCAAATGGTGACACGCCCCAAATACACGACATCCGATACGCCCAATGCAATGGTATCTCGAAATCTCTCCACACACACACCTGCCATCCGCCAAGATATCGCTTCGACAGTGTATCACTTTCCGCTCTCGAACAGCTGTTTGGCCGCGGGAGTATCTCCTCCCGCCAGCCGGGTTGTATGTGATACAAGATTTAGGTTGTACTAGATTGCTAGCAATAAGAGAAAATGTAATAACCCTTTGTCAAAAAATAAAACTGATCAAGTGATAGCTTAGCCATGAGGCGATCCAAATATCGACGTCTTTCTGAGACGATCGCACGCGATTTCGTCCCGTTGTCATACCACTCAGACACCATTTCTCAGAGACAAGATCACGCTCTGGAACCGAGAATGCCTCGATGCCTATTGAACTAAACAATAAGTGCATCCGCTAAGCCCTACTTCCATATACGAGCAGTGACATCGAAGACCCGCACCGCCACACGACCAGATCTACACCAGGACGTCAGGATCAGGATCGGGGTCTAGGGTGCATTAAACAGCCCTACCCGCTCCAGATACTACAGAAAGTCTTCTTTCTCACTTGGCTACTTCATGGCCCGTCTAGGCAGCAGGAAGACGAAGAGTTCGCACAGGATGCTTGGTGCAATGTGGCGTAGAGTGAGGAAGAGCTTGGTGAAGTGTTCTGGGTGTGGTGTGGTGAGAATCTGTGCCGGTTTACCGTCTGGGCTCTCTGTCTGAGCGGAAGTGCGCTGGGGGAAAATGGGATGTTGCGGCGAGCCAGTGGAGAGGAGGAGATGGGCACGTGGGGCTTGGCGGGATGATTGGGTATATTTTGGATGCTGAGCTGAACGCTGGATTGGAAAAGGGGGAGTATTGAGGGAAATACAGCATAGGGTAACATTGAAAACTACTTTGATGGGAAAGAGTGGCAGATTCTTGCATGGTGGGCAGTTTTCTTGAACTGAATTTGTTGAGGTAATTCCATTTCGCCGTTCCCAGACGTTTAGTACTTGGTAGAAGGATAATGCGCAACAATACGTCCGATTTGTTATATCCCGAGACAATGTATATCCTTTCGTACTCAAAATACCTTCACAGAATCAGCGATAGCTCAACTGGGGCGGCGCTTTGGATATCCTCAGCTGCATTAATGCATTGTAGTTCTCCAACAAGTTGCGCACTCAGATATCCAGCGGAGATCTGGGAGAAGATATCTGAGCCCCGAGGTTTACAGGACAGGGTCTAGTCCGGACTCCGAGGGCAGAGATTGGACAAGACAAGAACCTCTCCCATGAAAGAATTGCCTCCGCCTGATTCACAAGTGGCCTCAATTGAGAACATGCCTAAATCACATCTCCAGATCTTCATCCTTGCGAATGGTCTTGCTTGAGCGTCAAAAGCTGTCCGCTAATTATATCTAGGGAGTCACTTGTGTCAGCACTTGACTAGCTTGGTCCATGGTTACAGTTGTCGTAATGAAGAAGGGGGACGCTTGTTTCCCAAATTGTAAATCCAGTGACTGTTCACCAACATTCTACGAGATAAAACTGAGTTTCCACCCTCATACCAAGTATTACTGGTTGGTTAAATTGCCATGCTCATCCTTGTCGCCGTCAACGACACTTGATCTCTATCTAAGGCAGATACCAAAAGACACACCAGCAGTTTGCATTCTCGACAAGAACAAAGATAATCAACATATAACCACTGCCCGCCCTCTGAAGAAATTGGTTTCGGTGCATAGCCTTGTCGACGATATTAGTTGCTTGTCATCAACCTACTTTGAGGAATGCTGCATTACTCGATGTATACGTACTATACCACGAAGCTGTACAATCATTCTCACATCAAAAGTCCCCGTACATCCAAACTATTGTAGCTTATAGCTACTAAGTCATCGTATATTTATAGCATGAACATTAGAAGTGAGATATGGCAAAAGAGATCGCAGGAGTACCAAGAGGATAGGATAACATGTGAGCATAACGAGAGCTGGTGACAGAGGATCGATTCTCATCAGAGTCTAATGGCGATACAGTGATCATTCTACCTCTCTCTCATCCGCCCTCACACTACCAAACGTACATAGCACACCACGCGTTCTATTCTTCCGCATCAAAGGATCCACCAACTTAAACCCATCAAACTGTATACTCGAAACGTTCGGCAAGCTCCGCAGCAGCAACGACGCAATAGGCAATGCATCCACACCATCTCTAACCTGAAGGAACCAGGTCTCTGCATCGCCCTCGCGGACATACAACTTGATTTGCCGCCGAATAATTTCCTCAAGGTGTGAATGATGCGGCCAAGGATCAAGATTGCCGCCATACGCGCGGCGCACAGAAAATGATCGGATGGCGTTTCGGTGCTTCTCAGACGTCCAGAGGAGAAATGCTAGGGGGCGGAGGTGCTGAAAGTCCTCTTTGTTGAGCGCAATAGTGGTGTAAAGGTGCGCGGTTGCAATGCGGTTGATATCTTTTGAGACAAAACAAAGTGCATGGAGAGTGGCTCGACTGTTGGTGAAGCTGATTATACGGTCGATGAGTTCCTCCGGAAGAGTGTCTAAGCTGGAGGAATTCATTGTTGGTGATCTGGAATTGTGTGCTATGATGGGACAAATGAGATCTAAGATTATCAATGTGATTGATGTAATTGATTAAGGGAGACACTCCATGCAAGGGGCGGATATGTAAAAGCAAGCGACAATAGCAAAATCTCGCAACGCGTCGCGAAGTAGACAAGAATCGAAGTGTGAAGCCGCATCTTATCTTAAAGACGAGTCAGTTTACTTATCAAGGTGTGTACAAGGGATCGATACAGAACCAAGCTATGGCCCGTTCAGGCACAACAGGAACTACCGAGTGCAGATGACATCTTTACCCCGCCCCCACCACATCGGCACATATCATAATGCACTATGAGTATGATTTGGCGAGTAAAATCATCCGTGTGGAGTAGCATGTAGAAGAGAACTTTAGGCATGTGGCGCTTGTGGCATTGTAGTATCCGCAATAGAAGTATTCCTAAGTCTAAGATGAATGGCTGCTTCCGTTCGTCTCTTTAGTTGTCTTCTCCTCCAACAATTCCTCAATATGTGAGCTCAACCAGTACTGCTTCAAGACCTCCAAAGGCATATCCTTGGCTCCAGAGATCGTACCTCTGCACTCCTTGCTTCCGCACAAACACTGAAACGGCTGTGCCATGTCCCACTCGGTACTCGGATAGAAGAACGTCAATTCGTCTCCTTCTTTCAATCCTCCCTCAAGCCCAGGATGTACTCTGACCTCCCACCGTTGCATGTCAAACACCAAGCTCGGTTTACAGCTATGATTGATGTACACCAGGTCGCAGTTCAACTCGATATGTAGATCCCGGCTCGCTTGGACCGAACTGTACGCGCACGTAGCAGGTGTTGGGTTACTGATGCGTGCGAATATCGCGCCAGCGGGCACATTGACGAGGGACACGGAGCGACTAGCAAAAGAGCCGGGACGGTGCTCGACGCGTAGCAGGCGTGTGAGGTCGGGCTGTACCCAGGCAGGGATTTTGGTGCTAGGCGTGGGCGGGAGGACGGTCTTTCCGTTCGAAGCCGGCGGCTGCGTGGAGGTTATGGCGGCTGGGGACATAGTGGGCGTCGAGGGCGTGGTAGAAATGGTGAAGACTGGTGTCAGTAAGGACTGGAGGTTGAAGTGAAGAGTAGCTTGCTCGGTCGAGGAATTGTTTGCTTTAGTACTGGTTCTAAGGAGGCAGTCAATGAGGCCACGATCTCTGCCTAGGCCACCGACATACTAGACCCACTCGAGGCGCAGCTTGTATAGACATGTGGGGATAGACGGCTTGTTCCATGTTGCCGAAGGCCTCGTGGTGTCTATTCAGGCTCTGTCTGACCGGTTGCGTACAAAGACCCGAGGTTATTCATGATGAAAGCCAGCTCGTCACGTCCTTGTAACCCACTAACAACACGAGACAATTGCTGTAGATCGGTTTTCGAGGAGCAAGTGGGCCAGGGGGGTATGTCGGTCGTCGTCTTTGCATCTAGATTGCATGGTCTGCAGCTCTGACGTGCATGTGGGCGAAGGTTGTCCGGCTGGCACGCAAACCTCGGCTGTCAAGATATGCGCTAGTCCCAAAGTAAGCCAAAGTCACATGTTCTGAGGCCATTTCAAAAGATCCGGCAGCATGTGAATTGAATAGCCTTTTCGAGTGGTCGAAAGTTAGAGCCCGGGGCGTATGAAGATTGTGCAACGAGAAAATCAGCGTCCTCAAAGGGTAGATCGCGAAGTCCGGAAGTGGTAAGTTGTATTTACAGGCATCTTCCGCTAGGTCTAGAAACCTCCTAATTATGATCATCTTCTCTCTTCCTCACCTGTTCCTTCTCTCCACCCATTTAATGATTGTTCTTTACCACCTTCTTTGTCGGTGTCGAAACGCCCACTTCACCATCACTGCTCGTCGTGCTCGCGCTCTCCAGCCCCATTTTACTCGTGTCATACCCATTAGCCGTCAAATACTCTCTGAAGTTGACGTCTTCCTTATCAATCGTATCCTGGCCGATGTGCGGTAGAAGCAACACTAGACCTGCTGCTACAAAAGCAAGCGTTGATGCGACGAAGAAAGGATTGCGTCCTGCAGCGTTCCTGTCGTCGCCGGCTGCTTTCTGCAGAGAATCGAGCGCGTAGGATCCGGCAAAGGCGCCAATTTTGCCGATTGCAGCAGCAATTCCGTAGTACTGTCCGCTTTAATATGTCAGTTGCGTTTGAGCCATGCATTGATCATTAGATTTGGACATACCGAATACCAGTCGCACAAGTTTTGGAGGCGACCAGGCCGATATTATCGCCAGGCCCAAACTCGCCAAGCGCAAGAAATACTCCATAGACGACTACGAATCCCGCGACATTCTCAGGTTTGTTTAGCCACGGATAGCAGCCAGCCATGATGAATCCAATGATGCCCTGCAACGCCACACCGATACACAACGTTTTCTTCGGGCCCATAGAAGGCAGGTCTGCAACAAACGCACCGGCCAAACACCCCGGCAGATAGAAGAAGTTTAGCAGGATATTCCATGCAAACGACTTCCACAGCGGTGCGGAGTCGCCGAGCAGGTTGGCCAGAATAGAGGTTCCGTAGATACCGAATGAGTACGAGCTGAAATCATAGATGAACCAGATGATGCTGACGATGCTAAGACGGAACCAGTAGTACTTGACAATCAGTAACCACGGGGTCTTCGCTTTCGCAAGTGATTCGCGTTTGAAGGCCTCTGGTTCCTGAAGCTTGAGGCGGAGATAGAGAAGCGAGAGTGGTGGGATTATGCCAATGCCGAGACAGATGCGCCAGGCGACTCGAAGGTGATCTTCTCCTGTGATGACAACAACGACGGTCGCAACGATGGCAGCGACGACGAATGCCAAGTCTATTTGGACGTTGGTGAAGAGGATAAACCACTTGTTCCGGGTGCCCTCCCTTAGCTCGCCTGTCGATTCAGCACACCCAACACTACCGGCAGGGTACTCTCCACCGATACCTACAAGCGTTAGCGAGAAGTTTTCGTTAATGTGAAACGGTTACTCACCAATTCCCAAGAAGAAGCGATACACCACCAGCGCTTTGAGCAGCCCATCAGCAGTTCCACCAGCTCCATATGACCCGGTCCCAAGCGCCGCAAAAACAAGGATGATGATAGTCGAGGCGAAGAGCGACCATTTCCGGGAAAAGTGATCTGACGTGTAACCGAAAAATAGCATGCCGACAACTGTCCCGGCAAATGTGATGCTGGACACATTGGCTTGTGCAGAGGAGTTCGTATATTCTTTGGGGTAGATTCTTTTTAGCATTGTATTGACGGGTCCGATGATCTAATTCCGGTGTCAGTATTCCTATTTCAAGAAGGTCGCAGCGGTATAAGACGGTGAATATCTGCACTGGGATGTCGCTTTGTGGTATCTTACGTTGTTGAGATAGCCATCACTGAACAGACCTGCGCCACATGCTATCACAGGCCAAAGGCGGTCCCATCTTCCCTTCTCGGTCTTTGCGACGCTGCCGCGGCGTTCGATGTCGTCCTTGCTCGTGGAATTGTAGAGCCCAGGCTGACCCTCCGCAGCGGAAGCCATGATGACGTTGTGTACCTTTCAAGTTGACAAGGATTAGCACGGATTTGAGTGTCGTGTGCGCAATGGCTCGAGTTGGGTGCAAATAGTAGGACGCAACTTCGATGTCTCACTCGCAACGGCGACCGAGGAGGTATTTATTGGTGACATTATTTAGCTCGTTACCCTGTCCCGCTCTCTGTGCCACCATCAAAGACCCTGTGACCGCCGCGGCCAACAATACCAGACAAGGGTAAGGCGTAAGGTTGCGTCGTACTTCTAGCCACTCACAGAGAGTTGTATCTTAGCGCGCAGCTTATAGCGGGGTGAATAGTGCGTATACGAGTCACTACCACGAGGGAAGGTGTGAATTCTTAGTAGTAGTATAGACGCGTCGAGCATGTCATCGGGCGACTTTGCGTGGTCTTTGGAACGGTTCATGCAGTCTAACTGCATTAGCGTAAACTTTCGAGTTTGCAGGCTCAGAGCTCAAAACCGTATAATGTCCAACACACCTGCATTCCTTTTTTTGTTCTTTGACCTGAGAATATGAGTCTGCGATGCTCACATTCAGAATCAAGCATTGCCATGCATTGCCGATAACCGACCAAGCACCACCAATTAGCCCGAATAAGTTAGTCTTACCAACGCCGCTGACATAGTGGGGAGCTTATCGCGAAGCTTGTCACGGAGAGAACGCGCGGGGGCCTCATTGGCCGACCACGTGCTCACCTCTGTGGACTTTGACAATTAAACTATAGGAAATCACCGTTGGCGAAGGATTTACAGGTTGGTGATATGTGGAGAACCTCATGAGTCAGTAAGAATCTATGAAAAAAGCGAGAGCCGCTCGAGAGACACGTGCCTCTCCGCTTCATACCATTTGCTCAAGCTGCATGACGTGCACAACAAGCGCAAACTACATGATCTCTCAGAGTATGGTCAAATACCCTCCCAACAGCTATTATGGTATATGCTGACAACAGGCATAATTTGTCTTATTATTACGTTCAACCTTGCGACCTTCTTTCATCTCAAGAATGACAGCGGCCCCAAAGCTGATTCTTGGTTACATATCTGACGTATGATTTGGGTAGATAATACGTCGCGGCAGCGATCGTCGTGCTCACCAAGACCTTTCAGGCAAAGCTCACCTAGTTCGAGGTATATGTCATTATTGAAAGGGCGAGTGGGTCGCAAACAAGGGAGAGTTCTCCATCTTCCCGGCGCTCATGGTTGAGCTCTTTAAATATATCGTCGACAGTTGCGATAGTATCAGAGCAATGCCTGCCCTCAGGTGCGCGAGTGCTTGCTCTCACCGCCTTGAATCCCGGTCATTGTTATCCTGAGGTTGGTTAAGGATGTTATATACGAGATGCAAATAGACATCCTATTCCAAGAGAAAGTGCTGAGAAGCATATTTGAATCTTTTGGATGTGACCTAGCTCAAGTAAGTTTGCTATAACACCAGCCATGACTAAGGTGAATAGCCCCAGGGTGCTCTTTTACAAGTGGAAATGGACCTTTTCCAGGCGTTGTACATATATGAGCATTTTCAATTACTACTGAATACGAAAACAGGAACATCAGTAAAGTATTCAGTATGTAGTGTCATGTAGAGGGAAAAGAGTAAAAAGCCTACGAACAGGCGTTTGATCTGTGTATAGAAAAGAATTAAAAGCAAGGCTACTTTTATCTATCCTACTCCCGAGTATAGTAAAGTCCATCATTACCAAACGAGACGATATAGTGCGACAAAGGGTATCTACGCTAAAGAGCAACATATAACACAACACGGCAATAGGGTCCCATCATAACCGTCCCTGCCTATTATCAAAAGCTTTTATATGCTCAAACGGAATCTCCGTCCTCTCCACCGTCGTTGTGGTCCTGCCGCCAGCAACATCTTTATCCGCCTCGAGAAACCAGTCACCCCACTCGCTCCTTGTCAAGCTCCCCCTCGAGCTTCCATGGTCATTCGTCGCAGTCTGATGCAGACATCGCTGCGAATCTTGACTTGAGCGAGGCCCAAAGTCGGCGCCCCTAGGCCGGCCAAGCGAAGACGCATTACTCTGCTTATGCTGATGACATCGAGAAGTCGTCCGATCATACGTCCTCGCTACGACATTCATTTTGCTTGTCCGCTTTCCAAGCCCATCTTTCCTATCATCTTTATTCCAAGCAGCTTGGTCGACGAGGCCAATGCCCTGTCGCGAGTCAAAACTGTTTCTCGAAGCTTCCTCAACGTGGATCTCGATCTCGTTGACAACGAAGATTTTGTTGGCGGCTAATGTCATAATGGCTGGCCAGAAGATGGGGACCGAGGCCGCGATGATGGCAATGTTGACTTCGAGAACAGCGAAGACGTAGACAATAGGTGTGTGGTACGACATATCCAGGATGGGAACTGTGCCCGCGCGGTTGAAGGAAAGGGCGACCATGCGGCCAACAGCTACTGCGCCGACTCTGATACCCTGTCAGTATATGTGCGCTCTATTAGATGTTTGTATCAGGGTGAATGTACTCACATGCAGCCCAGTGTGAACAGCGTAATCAGGCCCGCCTTACTCTTCCCCGCAAGCCTCAACGTGCTTAGAAAGGGAACGGGCAAGGCTAGCACTATGACATCCAGCAGCATGTTGCTTACGGAGTGACCCAAGAACATGGCAAAGAACTTTTCAGGCTTTTTGGTGCCCCAACCGATGCACTTGCCTGCGAGGGAAGCGTCCCAGTTCTTAGCTACGGGGTTGCAGGAGAAGAGCGCAAGGAGAGAGAATGTCAATCCCCACAAAGAGATGAAAACAATGAGGGACCAGGTGAGTCGACGGGCGAGGCGATAGGGGGCGATATTCGTTGGAGAAGCGTGTTCCGCAAAAAGGCGCAAATATTGAAAGAGAATAGAAAGTTTGATAAAGGTAGCACTTGCGCAGTAGACGGTATTCGTGGTGTATATGTGCTGTGACTGCGATCAGCTGAGATTCTTATACAGTCTTTAGTGCATGTTACCTTGAAGTATGACATGAGATGTTCTTTGTCAAGCGTCCAGAGATGTAGACCCAGTCCATCTCCCGGCACTGGCGGTCGTTAGTGCCTTGCTGAAGAGCAGCATTATGTTAGGACTTACTCAAACACACCAGGACATCGCCAATGAGGCTGGCAGTGCCAGCAAATAGTACAAAAGCATCATCCCATCCCCACAGCCTGTCTCGAATTCGCACCCATAATCGCAGGCTTATAGCAAGAACAGCAACCGACTGTGATGGTCAGTAAGAGGTTATGTTTGTTGCTAATGTGGGTATACACACCAGAAACGAAATCGTTATCGCCAGCAGTGTTGCCGGCTGATTGGCTGTTGGTAGATTGGCATTGTCAGGGTGGCTTTTCGGAAAGGGGATTCGATTCGTGTCAGTCATGGTTGTTCGTGGCAACTGCCCGCAGCGCAAAGGATCGTCCAGGATATGCGAAGGTAAAGTCGAGCCGTGAAGGTAAGCCCAGTGTATTCCGGTGTGATTGTAATGTAAGCTGCGTTATGGCTCCCTACATGATTTTCGTAGCTTGGCTCAACGATTCTAGAATGAAGCGAAGCAATGGGTGTCCGGTGGGGGGCCAATTTACGAATCCAAAGCGAGGCTGTATTGAAGGAGGGACTGTTGAGTAATATAACTAGGCTAGAAGGTGAACTAAAGATCAGATCATTTGAACCGGATCCTGAAGTCATGGCATGCAGTTGCAATACTCCCCACTGCTGGAATCCCTGTTTGTTCCGAATGAGGATCGTTTTAGGTCGTGCATGTTGCATGTTGCAGGGCTGCCCAGTAATTCCGAACCCCCTAGCTGTGGAAACCAGGTACGATGTGATAGGGTATTAAACAAGGGGTGTACCTACTGCGTAATTGGGCGACGTTGGACACGTCCTTTCGGATCCCGGGAACCCACGCTAGATCAACATGGTGGTCTGTTGCTGACATATTGCTTCTTGGCACGAAGCGGGAAGACCGTAGGATACGTAGGAATGAGCTGAAGCTATGTGGAAATGGGTTGGCTGTTTGATCATCATCCTATCGCAAGAGTAAATCTGCCACCCATCCCGTGGCTCAAATGGGGGTGAATATGCAGTGGTGTGGTGCCTGAGACTGGTTCCATATGCGTGACCAACTGGTACCCCACAGAAATGCCGTACGCCACCCTGTATGAAACAAAAATAGGCCGAACTTTGTAGCTTAGTGTGCCGAACGGACATTCAACACACGGCCCTATACGAAGTACTTGCTTTTTGCTAATCTTTACGGAATCGCGACAGTTCCCGCGTGCTTCGCTTAAAGCGACAAAGGAAGGAAAGCCGATAGGGACCAATCATGCACACACCCAGATGCTGCGAAAACGGTCAAAAGCAATGCATATAGGGTCGTGCTAACGTCTTCTAGGAAATATTCGTTAGTCGCGGGGCGTTGAACACCCACGGTGTAGGACGACGTTCGTTGAATGGTTGCTCGAACCCCGATGTCTTGCCCACGTTGCTAGCCTGAGATCAGCGCAATGGCTGGACCCACCAGTGGAAGAAAGGAGTTCGAAGCCTTCTTGGCCCGTTTCGTAGTGGTAATCGTTCTTGTGATGGAGCCATTGTTGCACCGCGTAGTCCAACAACGGCTCGCACCGCATAGTGGAGTCTTCAACCCCTCAAAATGGTTCTAATGGGGTGTTCGGGCCTATTTGTCGGACGAGCCTTATTCAGGATTCGGTGATTGCCTCTCGGTCTGAGTCGGCCAGCCATGGGTATGGGCGAAACAGGATTTTTGTTGATGTTGGATCAGCGTTACTAGTCGAGGGCAAGCAGCTACGCCGCACACAGGGATCCTTCACTTGCCTCCGCCGTTAGCAGGGCCTTGTAAAATAGGAGGCAAGACGTGCAAGACACCCAACGGGCACTTGATCTTTGCAAAATGCAGTCAGCTTCAGGCGAAATCTGTAGTGCAACCTCGACTGCATTTGGGGGCGATGCTGAGCCTCTCTAAGCCATCCGCAAGGCTACAAGTAAGTGCTAGGTCCTTGTGCGCCTGCCGCGCTGTAGTGTCTTGGTTCGTTCGAACATGTCAAGCTCAATGCGGTGCCGTGTCGGGTTTCTAGAGCAGATGTGGCGCATGCGTTCTCAACCACCATGTCGGATCCAGGCCATCGTAACCGTTATAAGGCTATACATCGGACGTCGTATTTGTGGGGGTGATGCGGTGAGATGAAACAAGGGACAGATGCGGTGTGACGCGTGGTTTTTAGAAATGTTGCGTTGGTTATTGGCCACGCCATGTGCGATATAGGGTAGGAAAAAGCATATGAACAGGTAAAAGGACGGAACGGAGGACTACCGAAGTCACTCAGATCCCCAGGAATGAGCCGTTATCGATATCCGCTGACCAAACCTCAGGCACTTTGTGTTTCGTGCAATATTTACCATGGAAGATCAGCATGGCAGAAGACACGCAAGACTCATCTTGTGTCAGTGCGACTGCTACCGTCAAAACTGCCGAACGGCATCTTCCAAACACACTGACATAAATACTGGGGTCATTTGAAGATCTTCTTAGATTCTAACCCTCGTTACGAGGGACGGATAATTCACTCGAAACCTAGATCAAAGACGACAGCGGAGAATTGTAGATATCCGATCGAGGTTCTTGTCCTTACCCATGTTCATCAACTTCTCTCCTTAATATCAAAACTACTTCGATATCACAAGTCCGCTGTACTCAGCAGACACATGAAGTAAACTAGGTGAAAGAGATTATATTCAAGCTTGCCATCTTCCACAAAGGTAAACCTGACATCGAATCCAAATACTAAATATAAAAGTGGCTGTATGGTCATCCCCAAAGTGTCAGAAAGATCCCTACTCTACCCACGTCTTAAGCCTCCAACCAACAATCCACTTCAAGCACTCTTCTTCCACTGGCTCCACACGCCCAACAAACTACTCGTTGTGCCCGCCAGCCCGACAATGCCATCATCCAAATCCACCCATCCCAGCGCGGAACTCGGGATAGTAATATCACACAAGTCGCTGATGAGCTGCACCTTGACGGCATTGAGCTCCTTCTCCACCTTCTTCTTTTCAACAACCTTCTCCGGGTCCGAGGACGACTTGATCGCCCTGGAGCGCAGGGAAAGCCCGTAGTACGAGTAGAGACCCGAGACAATGCTAAAGGAGATACCCGTGAACCACGCACGGTAGCCTTCGCGGACTAGGCGGGCAGAAGTGCTGAATTTGCGGATACTGGTTGCATCGAGCTGTGGAGAGTGTTAGCTAATGTTCCGCCTAACGTCCCCGTCGACCTCCAAGTAGATGATAGATAGCTAAATAGAAGTGCTATACTCACCACACAGACATTGTCAAACAGCATGTAGAACGCATAACCCAATTGCCTTCCGATTGCCGTGAACCTCAGCACGGGATCCAGGCTCTTCGCATCGCTCGCGACGGCCGCAGCGCGGAAGTGCTCGACGAACTTGCCCACGCGCATCAACTTGCGCGTCGCGCCGAAAGTCTTCTTGGTCGCTTCGAACGGGGCGATGGTGGATTGCGGGCGGTTGGTGCGGTAGAGATACCATGCGAGGAAGCGGGAGAAGTATTGCAGCGTGCGGAGGACTTTGTCGCGGCCGACTGTGTGGTAGAAGATAGCATTAGCATGGAAGACGCATTGTAAGACAAAGAGGTGTGAGCGGCAGAGACGGCAGAGTCCATGAGAGATGGAGATGAAGACTGATGCTTCGGGGTTTATTGCATACCAGTAGTTGCAACAAACTTGAGGTAATGCGACACCGTCGGGTGGTAGATCAGGGCGTCTGCAACCATCTTGTCTGCTTCTTTATCCCCAAATGCCAGGCCGAGTATGAATCGCGAGGGCGAGAAGTCCAGCTTCGATCGGGTGGTAGATGTATGACGATGGGGCGTGACTTGGAGAGTTGATAGCGTGTGTGTGTGTGAAGGGAGCGTGGGGATTGAATGTGGAGGAGCCGCAAAGGAGTTCGGCCCTTGACGCGATGTCGGTCGGATTAGATGCGGATTAGATGCTCGTGATAGTCTCCCGCCGGTTATGATTCGCGACCTCGGCAAATCGAAGCGAGCACAACTCTCACCCGGTCAGAAAACTCCACCTTCGATCGGTTTGCTTTCCGTCGGTTCCAACCAATCCTAAGGGTCGAAAAAAGGCCTAATCCACTTAGCTTTTAGTAGAGTGGTTGTTGTTGGCAGCTCGTCTTGCCTTTGCGCGTACTAGCAGCTGTAAGTTGCTAAGACTAACATGATTGTGGCACCTGGAAACTAGAGATAGGTTTGTTGCTGGTCTTGGTATGGTTATGGACTATGATTTCGACTCCTGTGCTATGCAACCACCACGCCGCAAAACCGACCCTACGACCATGTCTATGCGCTGGGCTACCGTGTGCTGGTGAGATAGAATGCCTCGCCATAATTCGTTACACATGGTATCAGTCGCCGGCCCTCTCCATTCATCTCAACACCCCTTCCCATCGTTGTCTCTCCATCGTCGTCCTCCCACAATAAGCAACTTACTCCTACTCAACGGTATACTAGTCGATGTTATTCCGCGTCGTTATTCCACCATTCGTCTTCTAGTAACTCTTTTGCTGTTGGGCGGTCTCTCCAATCGAGTTTCATCATCTTTGATATGAAGATATTGTCTCTGTAGTTTACTTCGCTCTCAGTAGTTCGCCAAAATGGCGTCGTCTTCTCCTTTGGGATATTTTGCATAATCAACATAATGGATTGAACCGTTTCTGGGTCTGCAATCTCAGCGATTTTGGCTGGGAAAGGACCAAAATATTTAAACTGCTCTTCCACAACCCCAAGCACATACTCGTCGTCATCACGGTTCAAGTCTTTGGGTTGGAACAGGTTGAAGTGTCCACCGTAGATAAGGCTTATAAGCTAGGAAGACATCAACTTTCATCTATATCTATGGTTGTAGTAGGATTGTGACGCACCATAGTGCCGAAAGACCATATGTCAGCCGCAGTGTTCCACGGCAGTTCCATGAGAATCTCTGGGCTTGTCCACATCGGTGCTCCCACCACGGTGCCAGATGTAGCCCACTCTGAGTCAACGGGGTAGCTTCCACCCAAGTCGCCCAGTTGCACGTCGGAAAATCGAATATCGCCTTCTTGCAGATTAACGAACACGTTATCTGGCTTGACATCTGGATTATCCATCAGCCACACATACAATACGTCGCTAATTCAAGGTAGCATTATACCTGTGTGCACAAACCCATCCTCATGTAAGGTCCTCAATGCCTCCAGTACACATCGCGACACGTATTTAAGCTCTCTCCTATTTAAAGTTTTCGCAACAGAGGCGTCTAAAAGATCCCCGTGCAAATATCTTAGGGCAATAGTCACAGGGACAGACGGTTCGTCGATTTCATCAATCAAGGGTCGGAGGTACGGGGTGCGGTGCTGAAATCTTTCGAGTACATTTCTTTCATTCTCTACCCGCGGATGACCCTGAACGCTCTTGATCACCACACGCTCCTGCAAATGATTTCTAGCAATTATAAGATTTGTGATAAAGATTGGGTGTAATCTGCTTACTTTGCAAACCACACAGTATCTTGGATTTGTGTTGTGATCGTGTATTTGCTAGCACGCCCTTTCAGAACTTGACCGATTCGAAAGAGCGAAGACATGAGATTAAGCTCAACTGCAAAATAAAGCACACGTGGGTTTATTAAGGATAGGACATGAGTTGTGGTTTGCACAAGAGGTGATAGGAACGAGGATGGACAGCGGTGATGGAGCGGGCCTTGATGCCAAGATCGACACGGGCATGTCACGCCGCGACGAATAACTGTAATCTCATTCTGGCGGCCGAGCATCTTGCCGAACTCAGTGGACTCGCCGTACTTTTTGGATACTAAATGTTAAAAGATAACACACGTTCGTCAACGGCTCCCTTAGAAATGCCTGTATCTGTAACGATAATCCGGCTCAGAGCGCTACGGAAGGATATCCGACCGTTATCAGTTTATCAATGACGTTTGGAAGATCGAATGCTTAATTATGAATCCTTTATGCTCGGGTCTACTGCCGGAAAGTAAATAGGTAATATACACAGATATCCCCGATACCCTCGACCAGATGCGCTGTCCAGTTCCTGGCATAAACCTTGGAGCCCCGATTCCATGCCCTCAAAACGCCAGTGGCCTTTACTCTAGACCTTGTAGAAGCAGAAAGTATGATAGAAATCAGCTGCACTCAGTTCCTCCTCTGTGGTGAGCAGACGTCCTGTCGCTCGGTCTCTGACGCCCATGCGCTCGCTCAAAGGCCCCAGCTCAGGGTCGTCCTTTTGCTCATCCCACACCTCCCTAAACGGCTTGCGGTACTGCAGCTCCAGGTTGTAGTCTTCGGCCAAGGCACGGAAAGCCTCCCAAGGTACAACGTACTCTGGAGCCTCGACAGCTTCCTCGAGAAAGTAGGAGTATTTCCATCCGTAAGGAGGCCTGAAAACGCCATCAGTGGGTGTCTTGCCAGGGAACTTGACGCGGTAGATGCTGTTGCCCCAACCAAATCCCTCGTCTTCGACCTCGCCGTCTTCTTGTTCGTCTTTCTCTGCTTCTTTCTCCTTCTCTTTCCCCTCGTCTAGCTTCTCGCCATTTGCGTGCTCGGACTCATTGGGCTTTGGGCTGTCGAGGCTCTTCTCAGGGTCCCAGTCGTCCTCGTCGTCGCTCGCGAAAGCTGGTCGATCGTCTTCCTCATCTGCAGCACCGTTCGATGCCGCGGGGGCTGTGCCTTTAGCTTTGTGATACTCGAGGACTTTTCCTGTGAGGACGTCTGAGTTGGGAATACATCCTATGAAGCGTCCACCCTTTTTCAACGCTCCCGCGACGTTTCTTAGCATGCCTTTTGCCTTGGCCTCGCTCTCAAAAGCGTAGTGCATGCAGAACATCATCGTGACCATGTCCCAGCCTCCGCCGCCCCATCGCTGGTTCATGGCATTCCCAGGCCCAGCGCCAGGGTCGATGCCAACATCCTTTATGATGGGTATGTCACCTAGCCACTCTCCGAAGCAGTCTTTGGCGTAGAACTCGGCATGGAATATTCGCCGTGACTTCTTTTGCATCTGCGCATAACGGTCCTTGGCCTGCTTGATCGACACGTCGGCTGGATCACAACCGACGTACAGCTCGACTTTCCTCGAAGCCTGCCACTTTTGCAGGTCTCCTCCCTTGCCGCAGCCTATGTCCAATATCCTCAAGTTGCGCTCGTCGCCGATAAATTTCTGAATAATGGAGGACTTGACCCAGTTGTTGAAGCTGCGCAGTCCCTTGATTTTGCTGTCTGTTTGGCGCCATTCACGACCTCGCTCGGGGACCATGTTGTAATGCTGCTTGACGACATCGTGTACACCTCGTTGGGCAGCCTCGTGCTGTGCTTTCCTCTCCGCTTCCTGCTCTCTTTCCAGTTGACGCTTGCGGGCGGCTTCTCGATCGGCGGCTGACAGTCGAGCTCCGGCGCCGGGGCGCTTTCGTTGACGAGGTGGGGATCTTGATCGCGACGGTGACCTTGATGCTGAGCGCGCACGCTTTCTGCCCTGCTCAGAGCCTGCCATGGGCGCGGTGTACTTGTGTGGTAGCTAGTCGCGTGGAAGGAGGGATGGATAGACTGATGAGGAGCGTAAAGACCGGTAGAGTGTGGTCGAGCCCTACTATCACAGAATGACAGGCTTGTACTGGAAACGTGTCCCTACGAGAACTACGGGACTCGATATGGACGTGAGGCACAGAGAGCAGCGGAGCTAGCTGGAGGTGCCTGGCGCAGATCACGCCAAGCCGCTTCCGCCGCATTGTAATCGTGTAGCTCACCTTTGTAGCTTTACCTGGGCATCAAACACCAAACGCCATCGCACGCGACCGCGCCTCCACCTTTACCCACGAAGATAACCAGCCGTCTACCCCAGCCCAGCTTGCAAGATGGGTGACCCGCAGTATGCCAAGTTCCCCGACCTCCAGCTGTCGCAGCACATCTTCCAGCTCACGAATCCCGCCGCCTCCAAGTCGGCCAAACAAGTCTCGCTCAAGTCGGTCCAAGATGCCATCACCGAGCACAAGATGGCGCCCCTCTACCGGTACCTGGCTCATCCAGCAGACGGCGCCTTGAATGCAACAGGCGAAGGCAGCACAGAGCAGCCGACTAGCCACCGAAGACCTTCCGCAAGCCTGGCCAATATGCTCGCCACAAGGAACCCGTCATTAGAGGTACCGCTGGCATGGGATGAAAAGCTTTATGAGAGCTTGAAGGCAGAAAACGAGAAGGAGCTAGAGGCTATACAAAAGGAAGAGGACGAGGCGTCGGAGAAGGCAGGCGAGACGGAGGTGCAGGCAGCGCGAGGCAAGCGGGCAGAGTTATACAACCGCATAGGTGACAAGGTACGGCAGATGAGTCGAATCGTACGAGTACATGGACTAAATGCTATCTAGGACAAAGCCATCGCGAGCTACGAGGCCATCTTCGAGAAGACGGGCATCCTAGGCACCAAGATTGACCTCGTTCTCGCCATAATACGTGTTGCGCTTTTCTTTGGGGACAGGATACTGGCAAAGAAGTCGATTGATCGAGCAAGTGCACTGATCGAGAGCGGCGGTGACTGGGACCGTCGAAATCGCCTCAAGGCTTACACTGGATTACATTACCTCACTGTTCGATCACACGCACAAGCCGCCCCGCTACTCCTGGACAGCTTGTCAACCTTTACTAGCTACGAGCTATGTAGCTACTCGAACCTGGTCGTATACGCCATTCTCGCTGGCTCGGTGTCACTCAAGCGTGTTGACTTCAAGTCCAAGGTGGTGGATGCACCCGAGATCAAGGCTATCGTTGGAACCTCTGAAGAGAGGTTGTCAGCAATTTCCGGACACACATCAGCAGGCCCCGCCGCCGGCGACGAGGAAATGGGCGACGTCTCAAGCTCGACGGCAACACCTATCGCAGCGGCCGTCAACCTCACGACGCTTGGCGGACAGCAAGACAAGGAAGTAGCCGTTGACTTCTCGCCGCTCGCCAAATTGGTCAAGAGCTTGTACGAGGGTGACTACAAGAGCTTCTTCGGCGCCTTGAGCGAGGTCGAGGTCAACTTCCTCAGCCAGGACCGCTACATGTACGAGCATCGCGGGTGGTATGTGCGCGAGATGCGTCTGCGAGGGTACCAGCAGCTGCTCCAGTCGTACCGTGTCGTCGGCCTGGAGAGCATGGCCAAGGACTTTGGCGTCACTGTTGACTTCCTCGACAAGGACCTTGCCAAGTTCATTGCGGCTGATCGCATTCCCTGCACCATCGACCGCGTCAAGGGCATCATCGAGACGAACCGTCCAGACGACAAGAACAAGCAGTACGCAGACGTGGTCAAGCAGGGTGACCAGCTCATCACGAAGCTGCAAAAGTATGGTCAGTCAGTCAGGCTGAGGGGCAGCGAGCGTGGTTGAAAGTTGCCGTAGTAGTGGACGTGGATTAGCATAGGACACTGTAGATTTAGACCATGTCAGCAGCCAGGCGGCTGAACGAATGCAAAAACTCATGTGAACAAACCACTCTGCATTGCTCTCGCCACCCGTGTCGCCCTGCGTATAGTTGTACAGACAGCATGTACAGCAACATGTGGTCATAGCTCGGCCACTCCGCGTCTCCGCGCGTTGGAGTGCGGCTGGCTGGCATGAGGGAGGGGGGAGGTGTCACGCAGCTTCGGGTGAGAGAGAGATAGGGCGGCCCAAAGTTTATTTCTTACTTATTCATTTATCAACCCCAAGCCATGCCCACGCGCCTTTTTCCTCCCATCATGTCCTAAACGACCACCCGCGGCGACCACCCACGCTTACCTCACAGCCTTTCTCCAAGCGTTCGCGTCGCGCCCCGGGTTGAGGTCAATCGGTTGGGCCCGCAGCGGGTGTGGGGTCTCGACGATAAGCAGCAGGGTTCCTTCACCATGCCGCCGGTTTCGGCTCACTCGACCATCAGCTCACTTCGCGTACTCGTCGCGAGAAGACGTCCACGGCACGGAGAAGCACCATGGCCCGCCCGTGTCATGGGTTCGACAGGTATTTTTGCTTTCCATCGCTCCTTTTCCTAGGCCATGGCCGAGTACCTGCTAGGAACGGCAATACACGGAGGGTACCATGTCCTTGGTGGGGCATAAAAATTATAGCGTACCCGTTCGCGCTGCCTTTTGTTTGACGCATTACAACAGTTGCGTCGCGGGGAAACGAGCTTCGCAAGACTGTGTCATCTAGTTTGCTACGTCGTAGTCTGCACCGTTGGCTCACTTCTCTCTTCCTTTTCTAGTATTGCATACGCCCATCGCACCTCCCACCACCATGTCGCTGCACCGCTCGCGAACCATGTCGTCGTCGTCATCGACGGCGGCGAAGAAGGTCTTGAACCTCGACAGCATCAACCCGCGCGTCAAAGCCGCCAAGTACGCCGTCCGTGGTGAACTAGCCGTCAGGTCAGAGGAGTACCGCGCCAGGCTGGCAAAGGGCGAGGGCAAGGACCTGCCTTTCGACACCGTTGTCGCTGCGAATATCGGAAACCCGCAGCAGCTAGACCAGAAGCCCATCACCTTCTTCAGGCAGGTCGCCAGTCTGTTAGAGAACCCTGGGCTACTCGAGCATGAGGACGTCTTCACCAAGAGCCTCGGGTACAAGTCTGATGTGTTTGAGCGCGCGAGGAAGCTGCTGAAGGAGGTCAAGAGCGTGGGCGCATACAGCCAAAGTCAAGGCGCACCGGGCATCAGACAGAGTGTTGCAGAGTACATCGAGCGACGAGATGGCTACCCAGCCAACTTCGAGGACATCTACCTGAGCAATGGCGCCTCGTCTGGGGTAAACACACTCCTGCACACCATTTGCGCAAGGCCCGAGACGGGCATCATGGTTCCCATCCCACAATATCCTCTCTACACCGCCACCCTGTCCGTACTCCATACCCGCTGCGTACCCTACTATCTCAACGAAGAGCACGCATGGGGTACTTCGCTCGAGTCCATTCGGACCGCCTACGACAAGGCTGTCTCAGAGGGTACCGACGTCAAGGCAATTGCTGTCATCAACCCAGGCAATCCCACGGGCGCATCGCTATCAGCGGAGGATATCAAGTCGGTACTCGTCTTTGCTGCTGAGAGGGGACTTGTTGTGCTTGCGGATGAGGTCTACCAGACTAACGTCTTCGTTGGCGAATTCATCTCCTTCAAGAAAGCGCTCCGCGACCTACAGAAAGAAACGCCAGAGGAGTACGATCACATCGAGCTCGCCTCGCTCCATTCTATTAGTAAGGGTATGGTAGGCGAGTGTGGCCATCGAGGCGGCTACTTTGAGCTTATAGGCTTCGAACCAGAGGTCGCGCAGGAAGTGTACAAGTTCATCTCCATTCAACTTTGCCCGCCAGTCATAGGCCAATGCATCGTCGAGATGATGGTCAACCCGCCCAAGGAGGGCGAGCCGAGTTATGAGTTGTACAGGAAGGAGTATGATGGTATCTTCAACGGCCTGAAACAGCGCGCATACGCGCTTTACGAGGCATTCAAGAAAATGGAGGGTGTCGTGTGCGACGAGCCTCAGGTTCGTACTATTATTTCATTACCCTTCCAACACAGCACAATTACTTACCTACACCGCAGGGCTCAATGTACCTCTTCCCCACCATCCACCTCCCACCCAAAGCCATTGAGCAAGCGAAGAAGGAAGGCAGGGAACCCGATGAGTTCTACTGCTTCCGCATGCTGGACGCGACGGGCGTGTGCGTCGTCCCCGGTTCAGGTTTCGGCCAGAAACCAGGCACGCTGCACTTCCGGACGACTTTCCTCGCGCCCGGTACGGAGTGGACCGGGCGGATCGTCAAGTTCCACCAAGACTTTGTGGCCGAGTTCAAGTAGTCAGTCAGAAGAGCAGAGCAAAGCAGAACGAGCGACATGACGAGAATGTGATGAATGCAACGAGCGAAGGAGGGATTTTGGGACCCGGGAGCCAGGTCGCGGAACATGGCTTCGCTGGGCTTTTTCACTTGCATAGCGGAATAGCGAAATCTATCCTCAAATAACACTGTCTGGTCTTTTCGACGTGCGCATGAGCTCTTTCTTCTTCTTTGTAAAATGTGATCGACACCCCTGAAGATGACAATGTCAGCCTTGATATGTGGGTCTCTGCTTTCCCCAAAGCGGCGAGGACAGCCACTCACGCTCCACACAAAGAACGCCCGTACATCTAATCTTAGTTTCTTGGTGGGCTAATTCTAATAACTCCAAGCTTCGAGGCCTCGCAACATGCATATGGTTTTGGATAAAAGGTGATGTAAGACCAGTCTGGATTACGAATAAATACAAAACAATGAGATTGCTCGATAGGGTTCAAGGCCGTGGTCTCCAGTAATATGTAAATTCAAAATCTCTAATAAAAAATGATGGATTTACTGTACCATATGCGCCTAGCTCCGTTGTCCTTTTTTATGTACTGTCACATCTTCACTATGTAAGCGCCAAGGCATGCCATCCTTGCTAGACGGTGGAGATATAGGGCGGGGCAAAGAAGGAAAGAAGGAAAGGAAACTCATTCCTCATCTCACTCAGCATGTGGGTGGGTGGGCTGTGTGCTGCGGAACTTACTCGGCGAAGACGATACGAGATGTAATACATACAAAACGTACCTACTCTCATTGTCCATCAATTCAATCATCTTTTACTAAACTATAACTAGCTGTATTAAACCTCGTCCAACACGTCCGCCAGGAAAAGCAGAGGGACTACGGTGTCGGGCATTCATTCATTCATTCTTTCATCCAGACCCCCCAAACCACCCATGTCTCCTCACACCCCAACGACCACGACGACGCACCCACGCCTCCCCCACCGCTCGATCATCCAAACCGCCCAAGAAAAGCGCGGTCTCATCGCCGTCATCATCTTCTCCATACTCGCTACCGTCGGCGTCTTCTGCCTCATCGTCATCCTGGTCATGTGGAAGAATAAGCGCGATCGGAAGATGGGGGCTAGCACGGATGCGCAAGGGCTGTTGGCGACGCCGACGGCGTACAGTGGGGCGAGGGGTGGCCAGTATCAGAAGTTGGAGGAGGAGGAGGCGGGCGTGTGGAGTGTTGAGATGGAGGAGAGGGGGGGACGGAAGGGGGATGGGGAAAGGGAGGGGATATTGGGGAGTGAGGGGGATAAGAAGATGGGGGATACGTATAAGTAGATGGGAATAAGGATGTGTAGTCATAGAGGGAGCAGGTATGATGCGAGGTAAGTTGTGAGATTTCGGATTTATTATGATGACGCCTCAACCTGTTTGCGGAGGATAGTGGCTAACTATGTCTTCGGTAGGTGAAGATGGACCATTGTTTGCTCAGCCTGAACTACTGCCACCAATCATCTGTAAAATGGTACAAGAGGGGTTTAACCTTTTTGTAGGGCGAAGGGTAGCTCGCCGCGGCAATAGTAGTCCAAGACGAGACAAGGATGCTGGTATTGGGGAGAGGGGACTACTACTAATGAGATCTTGATCATTCCGTCAGTTGAAAAGTAACATAATGAGAGATTGGAGTAGTGTACTCGGGTTTGACGTTGTGTTGGAAAAGCTGCCATTATCGGGCGAGGGATACCGAAAGAGTCCAAGGGCAATACTGTAAGGGAAAAGCTGGTAAAGCTAAACGGTCGGCCAAAAGACAGCAAGCAGGCGAATAGAGTTTCACCCAAAGAAAAGTCGCTTTGTGCATTATGACGATGAGGGAGCTCCTTCCGGCTTCCGGGCATATACTACTATGCTAGTCATCGTTAGCGTTCTCCTACCCATCTACAATCCACGTCGACACTTACACAGGCCAATAGGTATGACACCCAGGATCTCTCAGCTCTGTTCTGACTTTCGCAAGTAAGACCTTCAGTTCGTCAAGGCTCCAGCCAGCGTAGTATGTATACAGTCTCAAGCTCAAACCTTCAATACCCTCCAGCATGGCACTCAGTTGCAGCAATCCCGCGTCACGTAGCCGCTTCTCCTTCGCCCAGGTTCCGACCGGAAGCTTGAATTCCAAGGCCTTGCAGTCGACAAATCCAGCCTTTTCAAGGCTCGATGTCATAAACTCGATGCTAGTCCGCAGGTTGACACCGGCTTTTTTGCCGGCGCGACCTTGCTCGACGCACCACGTTACGAAAGAGGTACCTGGGTTGCGAGATGTGGGCTGTATGACTCCCATGTAATCCATTTCTTGGAGTTCGATGAAGCCGCCTGGTTTGGTGTGTCTGTGTGATTGGTGAGCACAGCCTGAAATGAAGAGGGTAGAACAGGAGGGGCAGTGTTACTGGTAGGCTTGAGCAAAGAGCTTATCCCAGTCGCGTATGCAACCAGTCATGGTGCGCAGATGAATTAAATCGAAGAAATCTTCTTTCCATGTCCATGTCTGCTCTGCGTCGTCAATTTCGAATTTGACATTTGGCGGTACCCTGCTTTGGTCAATGGCTTGATCTGAACATGGCTTCTATGTGCATACCAGTTCGGCTGTATTGGACTCAGATCAGTCGCAGTCACTAAGCCGTTAGTTCACGCGTTATGATAGCGAAGAAGGATAGATCTTACCTGTAGCACTAGGAAACTGCTCTGCAGCATCGATTGCCCAGAGACCAGTCCCAGTTCCAATGTCGAGGATCTGATGTGGGTCCTTCAATGGAGCGAATGCTACTGTGTCGTTGAAAACGAGTTGCAGTGAAGCATATTTGATGTCTAGCCGATCCTGTTCTTGCTCGTCGTCTGGAAACATGTATAGCCCATCTTGATATGCATGGTACCTCCTCCCGTTCTCGTAGCGGCCGGCCAGGATACTGGATGTAACAGATTCCGTCTCAGATGCTACATCGCTGTACGCGGAATCTGCATCATCAGATATGGGGTCAACAGTGTCCCCACCAGGAGGCACAACATGAGGTGTATTTTCGTTGGCGTTTGTTTCCATGTTCGCCAATTCAACCACCTGCAGTCCTGCGGTGTTAAGGACTCTCGAGTATAGCAAGCTACCTAGTGAGTATTCTTTGTTCTTCTCGGTACGAGTCGTCTAGGGTCCCCACTTTCAACGCCCTCTACCGTTGACTTAACTTGGCCAGCGTATGTATGGAAGGCTCAAAGATGATGAGACGGTAGGCGTTTGTTGGGGGGTAGCGTTAGCAAAGACTGAGCAAGTGATCAAGTGGTTCGATTTTTGAAGGCTTGCCGGCACAAAATTGAGGGTCGATGTCTGTAAGCAGGGCATACACCGGCCCGGGAACGCGACGGCGTTGATTGCTTGAGCCCGCATAATGGCGAAGACACACGTCTTGCGACTCGTTCACAAAAGGTCTTGACACGCGCGTGACTAGCCAATGGCCTATCATCGGGCAGCCGCGAGACGTTGTGACTGGCGGATAGTTTGCGTTGCTTTTCCAGTGGCTCCGCTTTCAACGCTGGGAGGATTCGATGTCTCGTGAGGATGCGGGGTCGCAGAGTCGCCATAGAAGACGTTTCATCGTTTATGAGAGGCTATTGATTCCTATGACGTGCTTATATGAATTGAAGAGGCCAAGGCGAGCTCGTGGGAGCGCAATCTGTGAATTGCAGAGAGAGGATGGACGATGGGTGACATCCATTCTTTTAGCGGCACCCTTAGCTGCACTGCGGGCTGATTTTTGGTACCAGAAGCTGGCTAGGGCGATGACGAGCATATCACATTAAATACCGCTCCCTGTTAAGCTAATGTGAGGGTAGCACAATAATTCTGTAAGAATGCCGTGCATATGGGCGCGAGTTGCAGCGTTCGCCCATACCTCGGCCATAGCTCGGGATGTTGTCACGACTCGCCCAACAGCTTCCTTACTCCTACACCATTCTGTTCACCTTTCTTGCCCACACGACTCTCAAGCTCAGCCAAAGCAACATACTATATCCCAGGGGCACCACTTACTAGTACTACGCTAACGCCAGAGAGATGTACCAGTACACTGCCGGCATGTCTAGAGCGGGCTACGCATCTGCACGCTAGCTTTTAGACCATTCAGGATGTAGATTAACAGAACTCGGCCGTGGTGCAAGCAGACGTCACCAGCATGTGTTCGTGGGGGCGTTTCCGGCGGAAGCAGTAGATACACTGGACATTCAATTCTTGTGCAAGAAAAAAATGGCAACCGATGGCAAAAAGGACCTCCATGTGCTCATTGTTGGAGCTGGTGAGTGCTAATGCGAGGTACGAGGGGTATTTGATGGCTGGTAGAGCTAACCAGTCTCTCAGGGACGAGTGGATTGCTCACCGCGCAGGGTCTGAAAAAGGTACACGCGATTTCATACTTTTGTCGTTCACTGGCCGTGTATCATGCGCGTAGCTAACATCTTGTCTGATAGGCCTCCATATCCTTCACCATCTTCGAATCCGAAACGACCAGCACCTACCAAACCCGTCCGCGAGAATGGGGCATGACGCTGCACTGGGGGAGTACCCATATCGCCTCATGCCTGCCTCCCGAACTCGTTGAGCGCTTCCACGAAGCCTATGCCGATCCGTCACAGGCGCCCGACGCTGCCACAGGCCTCCCAATTCGCAATGGCAAGACAGGCGAGCTCATCATGGAGATGAAGGCTGAAAAGCCATATCGTGTCAGTCGGAAGAAGATGCGGAATCTGTTCAAGGAGGGCATCGACGTGCAGTATGGGAAGCAGGTGGAGCGCGCCTCTGTTGGTGAAGACGGGAAGGTCAAGGTCGAGTTCGAGGACGGCAGTACAGCGACTGGCGACGTCCTTGTAGGCTGCGACGGTGCCAAATCGAGAGTGCGGGAGAGTATCGTTGGGACGGAGGCTGCAAAGCTCACGGACGTCCCTGTCAGCATGTTTAACTTCCCCTACAAGTTCGACGCGGAATTGGCTTCTCGCATCCGTCAGCAAAACCATTTGTTTACCACGAGCATACATCCAGATCATGGGACCATGTTTTGGCTTTCCAGTACGCATTTCGTAATTTCCCTTTTTAAGTATTTACTAGCCCACTAACACAGCTCAGTTCAAGATGTGCCCGACCCCTCCAAGCCGGAAACATGGACCTTCCAAATCTTGCAAAGCTGGATCGACGACACAGTGCCCCCATCCACTGACCTGTCCACTTTCGAAGGCCGCCTGGCCTTCTTCAAGAAGCGGTCAGCAGAATGGGCGGAACCTTGGCGCTCGGCAGGCCTCGCTGTGAAAGAGGGCACACAGATCCCGCTTGACAAGGGCACGTACTGGGGAAGAGCAAGCAAGTGGGATAACCGAGCCGGACGCATGACGCTGTGTGGAGATGCCGCACATCCCATGACACCGCATCGCGGCCAGGGATTGAATAACGCTCTCCAGGACGCGTCTAATTTTGTTTCTGCGCTGCTTAAAGTTCAGATTGGTGGGCAGAGCTTGCAGCAAGCGGTGCAGGAGTACGATGATGAAGTGTTGGAGAGGGGCACGCTGGAGATGAGTATCTCGTTGAAGCAGACGCTTTTTATCCATAATTGGGAAACGCTGATGCAGAGTCCCATGGTCAAGATAGGCATGCATCAAGCGAAGAAAGAGGATGCGAGCGAGGCGTGATGGCGTAAGCGTTAGGACTGAAGATTATATAGTTCGAGAATTTTGCAGATTAGACGGAATGAAGTAGAATGGGAGCATGGTAGATGTGTAGATGAAAAGTGAATGCGTATATCTACATTATCATGACTAGAGATCTCATGTCAACAATTCTTAACCCTCAGTTTACCGCAGAAAATGCATGCATGTACAGAAACCCAGTTTCCAAAAATAAAAATAAGTGACGCCGTCGCAATGCACAACTTCTACTCCCTTGCGCTCTAACAATAAAATGCCGAAGCCTCAAAAGCAATATTCTCCCGCCCCACGTCTCTCCTATATAAGCCCTACATGCGATAAAACTCGGGCAACGCACCGAAATCGTCCAAGGCATCCGGCTTCCCAGGACACTTCCAATCGCGATCATACGCCTTCTTAGGCAATATGCCAGCAGCGAGTCCGCGTCTATAACTCCACTGCGTCGCCTTTTCCGTCTCCCACGTCCAGTAGAACCAGCCCCAGCCGGCTTCAAAGCTATCCATCTGCGCAATAGCAAACTGGTACAGCCACTTCTTGTACTCGGTGCTGTAGCTGCTGGGATCTGCATTCGCCGGGTCGCAGGAGCATTTGCCCTGGACCGGGCACTGGGGCTTGAGGACCGAGGAGGAGGGATTGCCCGTGTCGAATGTGCCTTCCCAGCGAGTGCCGCGGGCGACGTTGTTGATGTACTGCGCGCAGTCTGTGTCTGCCTGGCTCCATTCGCCGCACATGGTTGGGCCGAAACCGGTTTTCTTGTCCATGCTGCGGCGCGACTGCTGTGTCCAGGCTTCACACGCGAAATTGAGTTTGTCCCTGTGCTTGAGGGAGAGTTGGTCGACGTTGAAGATGACGTATTGGTGCACGTCGAGCAGGAGCTTGTCGTTGCCTTGCAGCTTGCCTTGCCAGTTGTCGAGGCCCATGAAGCCGTCGCCGAAGACGATGATGCCCTTGATGCCGTCGGCGCGGATCTGCGTGATGGCTTTTTGGCTCCATGCAACCACTTTGTGCGTGTCTAGCTCCACGTTTCGCGGCTCGTTCACCAGCCCGTACATGGTGACTAGATTCTGGTAGCGATCCTGTGCGAAGAAGACGGACAGTTTGTGGTGGATGTCTAATGTGCGCTGTGCATTCAAGTCGCCGTCTGTGCCGTTCAGCCAGCCTATCACGCCCTGACGACCAGAGTGATTCCAGCCATTCTGGCTCCCTGGCGCGCCGTGTAAGTCGAGGTTCACACGCAGTCCGTTCTGTCGGCAGTATTCGATGCCCCGGAGGAGGTAGCGCCATGCGATTTGCGGGATGTAGGGGTCGCCGTCGTAGGTCTGTACAATCCAGTATCCGAACGGGAATCGAACATGGTCCAAGCCCGCAGCCCGTATAGCAACGAACGTCTGCCTATTCACGAAAGCGGAGTAGTGTCTCTCCATCGTATCTTTCGCCTTTGTAGGCCCGAGTTTCGAGAGGAGAGTCCATTCATCCACCACGCCGTCTTTGCTTCCCCACTTCTCGAAATAGGACGGTGTGATGAAGGGCTCAAGATTGAGCCAGCCGCCTACATTGACACCGCGGATGGGCATCTTGCCGTAATCAAACGTGTCGCTAAGCTTGGGAACGGACGGGTTCGCTTGTACGTCGTCGTCCCAGGTGGAGTTTAGCCCGATTATGGGGAGGCCACCAACCGTTTCTTTGGTGTAAGTGACGTTGAAGTCTTGCGTGTCAAACCAGACCCAGGGGTCTAGGATACCGCCTTGATCTTCTTTAGGCACGCTGCTACGGTCTTTACCGTCTAGGTTGTTGTTCTTTGGTTCTGATGCGCTCGCCGCGGCGGTAGTTTCCGGTTTACTGTCTTTGCTCTTCTTTGACACTATTACTGCGACGGCGATGATGATGACCAGAATGATTAGAGCAGAGACGATCCCAATGACGAAGCGTTTCCGCTTCTTTTTTCTCGCCATCTCTTCCTGTGTATATACTTTAGGCGGGCGCCCACCCCCGCCTCGCTTCTCCATCATGTACTGATACTCCTCGTCATCGATGCCGCCCTCTTCTGCCAACGGTCCGCTGATGACGCGCCGCTTCTTCTGCTCCATTCTGCGCTGTTTCTCCTCGCGCTTCCTCTCCCTTCTTTCGTCGGCCTCAGAGGGCGTATATTTTGCCTCGTGTCTGCGTCTGCGCTCTTCCCGCTCATCATCTGTATGTGCACTCCGCCTCTTCTCTCGCTCATCTTCAGTGTGGGTCTTTTTAATCTCAGCTACTTTCCGTTTCACTTCTCGCTCATCTTCAGCGTGGGCCCTTTTGATCGCGGCCGTTTTCCGTTTCTCTTCTCGCTCATCCTCGGTGTGATTCTTCTTAGCCTTGGCCGCCTTCAACTTCCCTTCTCGCTCATCTTCCGTATGGGCCCTCTTGCTCTCAGCCGCTCTCCGCTTCTCCTCTCTCCGCCTCCTAGCCTTTTCATCCTGTATCGCCGCATCGCTCTCCCCTGCGCGCCGATGATTCTCTTCCTCCCGCTTCTCCTTCTTCTTCTCTGCCCTCTCTTCCTTGACTCTCTCCTTTTCTAGATTCTTCTCCTTTTTCCTGACTTCTCTCAGATAGTCGTCATCGTAGTCGTAGGACCCCCACCCACCAGCTTTCTTGGCATTGGTTTTATCTAGCTTCGCAAGCGCATCGAGACTCAATGGCGCGCCTGATCCTCGGCTCCGACTTCCGCTGCCACCTCCTGATGTCGAGTTGCGGCGCGATTGTCTTGCTTTGCGCGGACTGGGCGACTCTTGCTCTGTATCGCTCTGGTGCCGTGGGCGACGCGGCGGCTGGGGTAGTAGATCGCCCTGTGAATCTGTCGCTCTGTGCCCCCTTCTCTGCCGGCCTACGTGGTCATAGACGGTGTTCTCGCCGCGGGACTCGTCTCTCCGTCGCCGACGCTCGGGCTTGTCATGCTCGCCGTGCGATTCTCTCCGTCTTCTTCGTTCTTCGCCGTGCGGGCGGCGGCGCGCAGGGTCGCGATCGCGGTCACTGTCGTCGGGCATCAAATGAGATGTGTAGGGATGTTGTCGCGCGTGGGACTCGGAATGCGGGGCGGCTGGAATGCAAGCTGAGAAACTTCAAAACCACTCAAAGATCATGCGCGATAGTAATACAACATAGCACAGAATAGGAACTGCTCACACAGAAGCTGGGCGCAAAGATCCCGGTAGCGATTATGTACAATTACGAAGTGGGACGGATGAGGCTGCTATTAGCCTTGTTGCTATAGTGATGGCTCTTGATTTATTGCCGAACTTGGCCCTGCGCCCAGCGCCACGTCGCGACCTTGGAAGCAGCAAAGTGTGGAGCTTGAGATCCGAATTCCCTGATTTTCCGAAACTAATCGTAGCCGAGCCGACTATTATTGTCAAGTCCCGGTGTTATTAGCCTTGCGTTATAGTTTATCGTTGACTGCTTTCCCGCTTTGCAAACAATCACCAGAGCGACCGAATTGGAGAACTCTCCAGTAGTCGTGATACTTGAATCTGCTGTGACAGCCCGGTTCAGGGGAGATGACATAGACTCCCAAAGCAATCTGGGTGCATCGAATCCGGGGAGCAGCTGGAGCAGTGCATCTGCCAGGAGAGAGACCCTGCATGAAAAGGACGCCTCGGTTGGTGTAGTGCATGACATCACAGCACGTGCGCAGGGAAGCTCAATCTGGACATGTCGAAGGACACGATGCCGTATCGTAAATGGAAAAATCGCAGTGATGCATTGGTGTTCGTGTGGTATCATAGCTAGGAAAATAAAGCCAATGCGCAGTTCGTCCGCCCAAACCATGCCGCTATCATGCCAATGAAGGCGAACCGGTGCCTCTACCCTTGTCCATGACGAGTGGAGCGGTGTAAGAATGACCGCCTGTACAGGTGCTCAAATCAATATGCCACCCAAGTGCAGCCGTAAAGATATATTCAAATACCCACTATGCCGGAAGTGAGCGGCGCGGCAGTCCTGACGGAAGTGGCTCTAGGGAATGATGTGTCGGTGGGGCGAGATCGACAAGTTAAAAAGGCTGATAAGTCGAATTTCCCGTCACTCAAGACGCAGAAACGCCTTGCGACGAAGCAGCGCCGTCGATGGACGCCTTCTCTTCGCCCTTGTCCGCCTGCTTCTTTTCGTCGTCGCTGTAAAGGCCGTGTTCGTAGATGTAGTCGACGACCTTGTCGGGAATATAGTAGCGGATGCTCTTGCCCCTCTTGCGGAAGAGACGGATCTTGGTCGAAGATACGTCGTTCTGGATGAGTTGCGGTATCACACGGATACTTTCCCTGAACTGCCGTAGGCTGACAAGCGCATCGTCTATGGCAAGTCAGTACAGGTGATCACAAAGAGGAATGGGGTATCTTACCAATATCAGTGCCGCTGCGCTCGAGTATGAAAGCGCCGTAATGGCCCAAGATCCTGCTAAGATCCTCGCTAGCCCACAGTCCTGGTGTGCTCATGGTTTGAATCAGGTCGGCGCCTGCAAGCAGCGCAACATGGATTGGTCTCTTCTCGCCCTTTCCATTATCGATGCCTCCCATGACCGTGTTCAGCTCGTGGTCAAAGTGGTCCAAGACCTTGACGGTCGGTAGGTACTCCTTGTGCAGTGGCTCCCACGGGTCAACGCCAATCCAGGTCGAGCTGTCCGCGACAGCAATCCTGGTCATGTTGATTCTGTGTTGCGCGGATGCCAGACCAGCTTTCTTGTATGCGTCGCCGACGGGGCTGAAGAAGCCGCCCACTACTTCGAAGTCGGTCTCAAATTCGCAGTAGTCGGCTGCTTCCTCGAACATGCGCAGATGCAGGTTCGTCGGTGGTGAGAAGGAGCCGCACGACACAAGCACAAGAGGCTGCTTCTCGGGATTTGACAGCTGTTTCTTCAGCCTTTCCTTTGGGAATGTGTAGGTATCGAGCGACATGGTGTCCAGGCTGTCGAGCGCGGCGTCATGGACAATGTCGCGGTTGGTGATAGAGTTCATGGCGGCGGCGGAGGGGGCGGAATTAAGAGGGCGCGGAGAGTGGGGTGCGAGGGGCAGCCACCGGGGGGCGACTCTCCGGCTGTGTAGTGAACGGTAGTGGAGTCGGCGACAGGACGATGCGAATGGGCGGGTGGCGATTTGGAGGGTGGTAGCTCTGGCGGGGAACGTTAATTGAAGGCGGGTGGTGAACATTTTATGAGTGAGCGCGTACCGGCGGACGAGTCAACGGGGGGCCTTCGGATAAAGCCCGGTATTAGGCAACTAGGCAGTTACTGCTGTTAGGCAGAGACGGCACCGGAAAGGGTCGAGATAGCTGGGTTAGTCGGGTATGATGGGTAGGCGAGGGCGGGAGGGAGTGGCGCAAGTTTAGGAATCAGGTTTATAGCTGGAGGGAGAGTTTAGGAAGAGTATGGATCTAGGGGGCAAGAAAAGGGTAGGACGAAAGGAAGAGGGCGCGCGACATTATGTAGACGTCTAGGCTGCGGTAGGCTGCGGTTAGAGAGTTGGAAACCCTTACAAAGCTTGATCCGGCAGGGTTGTCCGCTCTCGATGCGACAGATTCCTTCGGCCGTGCTAAGAAAAAATAAATGACGCCTTTCTGCAAAGGACCATGCAGCTGCGGGCCAACGTCGCCAAACTGCTCCGTTTTCTGCACTGCTTGCCTGCTTGCTTGCTAGGCACAGCGACTCAGGAAATGGGAGGCTCACGTGGGGCGCGGGGCGACTTTCGGAGTTGCTCCCCGCCTTGATAACTTCATCCGTGGCTATAGCTAGTCATCGGATTAGTACGAGACGTTAGTACGAGACGCGGGATGCCATTGCTGAACAATCAGACAGTCTATGCACCAGACCAAGCGTAGAGCCGGGGTGGGTGGGCATTTCTTTGGAGATGAAAAGACTAATAATAATAAATCATGGATGCATGGTTCAGGGCGCTGTCGCCTTGTTGCTGAGCTTTGTCCTGGTAGCGTCTCTAGAAGACACTCGAAATACGTGACGACTCTTCTGCTGCATGGCCCATGGCATGGCACAATCTGTGACCCGCATGACGACTCTTATGTTCGTTGAGACGAGTATCGGAAGTTGGCTGCCATGTCCCTTGAGTGCTCACTGAATAATGGCCTTGGCATCGTCGACCCAACGTCCCTACCTGCCTGAAAGTATATGTGGTAAAGGCAGTCTGCAATAGCCAACGAGGAAGAGGGCACGAATGCTCTGGTTCAATTCTGCCTCTATCACTCCCTCCAGCTGCCTCTGTAACTGCAACAGCAAGTCCGTCCACGGGCACCGAATCCCTATCGATAAGTGCCCACTAGTGTCCACTGCTCCCCGACCTACGTACGTGCTCAAACGCCGCATTCGACATTGACAACTCCTCTTCATTATTGATCCACAATCACTGCTACTATTGCCCCCATCTCTTCTTCCAGCCAGCACACTACCCGAGCAATCCTCTTTTGTTTGCCCGCCTTGACACAAACCATTTCACCGCCTGGCTGCCCGAACCCTCGTGTTTGCACTCACCGCACTCGCTTGAGCACACGCCCATGGCGCGGCCTTGATGGCATCAGGTCTCCGTGAAAGTCGTCTCGACCACCAGCGCGACAGGTACGATCACTTCTTCGCTCGTCTCTCCGCCGCTGCAGTCAAAGTCAAGCCCACCCCACCACCACTGTCCACCCGACTCAACTGCTTGCGGCTTCCTCCACTGCTTCTGCTTCCTCCCATTTTGCTTCAACCACACAGAGCTGCGACACCCACCGGGGCCACAGTCTGAGCAAACCGTCGATTGTTCAAGCGTATAGTCAGAATCTCATGTCGTCCAGAGTCACTCGCTCGTCTGCGAGGCGATCAGCAGGCTCCGCCAGCGAAAACCCGCCGCCACCCTCCTCCTCATCCCCAGCCCAACCGCCGCCTGCTACATCGCGCAAAAGGAAGCCTGCTGCACAGGACCCCAGCCCAGAGCAGCCAGACAAAGCAGAGCCAACCTCCGCCCCTCGAGGTCGTGCTAAGCGCACCAAAGTCGAGCCCCAGGACTCACCCGCCCCGGCTGCGAGCCGTCCTAAGAGGGCCAAAGGCAAAGCGGCCATGTCATCGACTGGGTCTGTGCCAGACGCCCCACCAAAAGAGCAAACACTGACCAAGAGCAGTCCACCCACTGACCCAACAGAGGAGAACTCGACCCCACAGCCCTCATCCACAAAACGCGGCAAAGGTGGCCGGAAGACTGGAGGCGACAGCTCACGGCGGCAGCCGAAAGCACCCAATACCGAAAACGATCCAGACGCTCCTTCCACGTCGCGCAGAAGCTCACGAAAGTCGAACAAGGCGGACGAGGATGCGAGTATGGAAGATCCGCCCCAGAGCAAGCCCGAGGATGACACACGGCAATCAGGCGAGGATAACGCGAGTGATGACGAGAATGAAGATGGCCAGGGTGGGCGCTATGACGAAGAGGACGACGACGACGACGATGACGACGACCCCTTCACCAGCGGCTTCCTTGGACGCCATCCACACAGCCTCGCTGCCCTGCGGCAGCTCACTGGCATGATGGCGGGCACCACACAGCGCCTACGGGGCATATTGGAGCAACTACGGTCGCCAGATATGTCCATGCAGCTGATTGCATTGCAAGAGCTTTCTGAAGTGCTCCTCATCTCCACAGAGGATAACCTGGCCGGCAACTTCGCGCCTGACGCATACGTAAAGGAACTGGTCAAGCTCATGCAGCCAAATGAGTTCACTGGCGAGGAGAATCCCGATGTCATGCTTCTCGCCTGCCGCTGCCTCGCAAACTTGATGGAAGCCCTGCCCGCATCCACCGCAAATGTCGTGTACGGTGGCGCTGTGCCCGTCCTGTGCTCCAAATTGCTCGAGATTAATTTCATCGACCTGGCTGAGCAGTGTCTGAGCACGCTTGAGAAGATCTCGGTCGAGTTCCCGTCTGCTATCGTTAGGGAAGGTGGTCTGACTGCATGCCTGACGTTCCTCGACTTCTTTGCTACGAGCACACAGCGAACAGCAGTCACCACCGCCGCCAATTGCTGTCGGAACATCCCAGAAGACTCGTTCCCAGTCGTTCGCGATGTCATGCCTATCCTCGAGAACATTCTGAACAACAACGATCAAAAAGTCGTGGAACAGGGCTGTATCTGCGTGTCAAGGATTGTGCAAAGCTTTCGGCATCAGGAGAGCAAGCTGGAAGAGCTGGTCAGCACTGGTCTTCTAAAGGCCATCTTAAGGCTTCTCTTACCCGGCACTACGAACCTAATCGGACCTAACATCCACACCATGTTCCTTCAAGTCCTCGCTTATACCGCCAAAGCTAGTCCACGCCTGTCGGCTGAATTGCTCAAGATGAACGTGGTCGATACTTTGTACCAAATCCTTACCGGCGTCTCGCCTCCTAGTGGGACCGAGGACGTTGCGGCTAAGATCGACTCTGTGATTATCATGCAAGCCCTCATTCACCGGCCGAAGGACCAGGTTTACGAGACGCTCAATGTCATTTGCGAGCTACTTCCCGACGTCCCGAAAGATGGTTTGATGTACCTTGACGATCTCTTTGATGCCGGGTACCCAGGAGATGATCTTCGACCGCTGTCCTCGAACACCAAGCTGAGCGCCAATGAGAAGCGCGTAGAACTGCTAGAGGGTTGCAAAACCGAGGTCAAGCGCTTCGCAGTTATCCTGCTTCCTACACTCACCGATGCGTACTCGAGCACTGTAAATCTGAGCGTCCGGCAGAAGGTGCTAACCGCACATCTCAAGATGCTATCAAATCTCGACGCGGACATCTTGGAGGAAGCGTTGCGGCCCGTTCCTTATGCCTCGCACCTGGCGTCGATTTTCTCGCAGCAAGATCACCCTTCTCTGGTCACGTACGCTCTGCAAGCTGCTGAACTGCTGCTCAAGCGGCTAGAATCGATCTACCGATATCAGTTCTATCGCGAGGGCGTCATTTCCGAAATATCGCAGCTAGCGAATCGACCTTGCAAGCCGCTGGAAGTTCGGACAAAAGAGCCTAGATCGACACTAGAAGTGGAAGTTGCGGCCGACTCTGGCGCCAGCACTACTTCATCTGGAGATCGAGAAGTCGAGCAAGAAACCGTCGCGATCGCAGATGTCGAGATGCATTCGGAAGACGATGACGACGACGAGGACCAAGACGACGATCATAACGAGAACAGTGATAACGGAGATGATGACGATGATTCTGATTCGTCGTCGTCCTCTGACGATCAGGCCCGTCCACCGCTTCCCAATATCGAAGATATCATCACCCTCAGAGCAAAGAAGTTCATTGACGTTCATGAGAAGGACAGCGATAAGCCCATTCGAGACAAGGCCTCTGCAGTGTTGGAGGACCTCAAGTCGCTTGCGAAAGAAATCAAATCATGCGTTCTCGATGGCGGTGCCGGGAACTGCATGGAGCTTTTCACGCGACTAGCGGCCTATTTCGAAGGTGACGCATTGGAAAGCATCACAAGCTACGAACTAAAGTCATCCAAGATTGTTGGGGTTTTATTGGACGTCTTCTCGGGATCTGCTTCAGTCAAGGGCATTGACCCAAGGTCAACGTTCTTGGAAGCCTTCATGGGTGGCAATGGCCAGACCAAAATCAAGACCGCTAGCAGCGCGTCTCCCGCAACTCCTTTCAGCATATTGGTGCACAAATTACAAGATCTTCTCAGCAGATCGGAGCATTTTGACGTGATCACCGTTCACCAAAATTCCCACGATGGCCGAGGCAGCGCCACATCGATGCTGGCCAAGCAGCTTAGGCTGAAGCTCGTTGCTGATGACGAGTCCGGTATTCCCAAAACTTATCGGAATATCATGGTGTCAATTCATGCCATCGCTACATTCAAGGCACTGGATGACTACCTCCGTCCTCGAATTAGCCTTGCAGAGCGCCCGCGACCAACAAAATCCAGGGATCAGTTTGCGGCGTACGCTCAGGCTCTTGCTGAGGGACGCGCTCCACCTCCCCCGCATACGCCTGCAGAATCGACAAATCGATCGTCCAAGAAGTCGCCAAAGTCCAAGTCGGCATCGAATGACCCATCCCAGCCCGGTCCAAGCTCGGCTACACGAGAGAAAACCCGTCGCTCAAGTCGACGTCAACAGGCGCAACTGCCTCCACCACCTCCTCCACCCCCAGCTATGCCGCAATCCAACAGCAGCCAAGACCCCGTCGAATGCGCTGATGAAGAACGCTTATCTGACGAAGATTCCATGGACGAGAACAGCGCCCTGGACGCCATTGTAGATGACCTCGAAGACGAGCTTGACGATGATGTGCCAGATCCGTCTGCGGTGAGTGTGGAAGTTGCACCGACAGGGCAAGCCACGGCTCGCAAGGAAGATGGCACAAGAGTTGCTACTCCAGTCCAGACTGCGCCAATAGCTAAACCACCATCTGAGAATCGCACGCCATCATCACGCTTAGCAGCATTGCTTCAGAGCTCTGCAATGCGACAAGGTCTTGGCGGGGCTGCAAGTGCACTTTCGTACGCTGCAGCAGTCCAGTCGATTCCACAAGATTGGCATATAGAGTTCAGCGTGAACGATCAGCCACTCTCAAATGAGACGACCATTTATCGCGCTGTCCACTTCAACCAAGCGCAACCGTCGGACATTTCACATCGCACCGTCTGGAACGCTATCCATACCATCAAGTTCAAACGTGTGCAAGGTCCCCCGCCAACTGAGCCCAGCTCCTTGACCCCACCTCCAGAATCCAAGGCCGATTCTTTGGGCATGCCGGCATCCCTGGATCAGCATCCTGTCACGTCTGGCATTCTCCGGCTGCTCAGTATACTACACAGCTTGAACTCGCACCTTGACGATATCTTGTTAGATGACAAGGAGCAAGTCAAGGTCAATGCAGAGCCACTTTCGCAGTTTGTCAATACAAAGTTGACTGCGAAACTTAACCGTCAGCTGGAAGAGCCACTCATCGTGGCTAGTAACTGCCTACCGAGTTGGAGCGAAGATCTGGCCCGCTTCTATCCTTTCCTATTCCCGTTCGAGACGCGTCATCTTTTCCTCCAATCCACCTCATTTGGTTACTCTCGATCTATGACACGATGGCAGAATTCACAGCCCACCAGCGACTCAAGGCACGATCGTCACAGGGACGAACGTCCTTTCCTCGGCAGACTTCAACGTCAAAAGGTTCGCATCTCGCGATCGCGCATTTTGGAGTCTGCCATGAAGGTCATGCAATTGTATGGACATTCTGCCAGTGTCCTAGAAGTGGAGTATTTTGAAGAGGTTGGCACCGGCCTGGGACCGACACTGGAGTTTTATTCGACTGTCTCCAAAGAGTTTTCCAAGAAGAAGCTCAAGCTCTGGAGGGAGAACGACTCTAATGATAAAGACGAGTACGCTTTCGGGAAAGGTGGATTGTATCCAGCTCCTATGAGTGTCGACGAAGCCAAGACCGAAAATGGCGAGAAGAAGCTGGAGCTGTTCAAGGTTCTAGGCAAATTTGTGGCCCGTTCGATGCTGGACTCTCGCATCATTGACGTATCATTCAACCCTACATTCTTTCGCATTGGGGATGGTAGCAGTACGGCGGTCACGCCATCGCTCGGAGCCATCCTGGCAGTCGACCAGGATCTAGCCAAATCGCTTGTGTTATTGAAACACTTTGCGGACGCGAAGAAGCAAGTCGACACCAACGACAAACTATCCGCGGCGCAGAAGGCGGAAGCTCTGAAGACCATCATCATTCAAGATTGTCGCGTAGAAGACTTGGCTTTAGATTTCACTCTCCCGGGCTATGCTTCGATTGAGCTCGTCATGAACGGGGCCGACACACCTGTGACGATCGATAACGTTGACACCTACGTTGACAAGGTCCTCGACTTTACGCTAGGGTCTGGGGTTCAGCGCCAGGCGGACGCGTTCCGCGCAGGCTTTACTGAGGTCTTCCCGTACTCGGCCTTGAAGGCTTTCACCCCTGACGAGCTCGTAATGCTGTTCGGCCGGACTGACGAGGATTGGTCGCTAGAGAGTAAGTTTGTCAATCATGAGTGTTATTTATAACCTGCTAACGATAATATAGCTCTCATGGACTCGATCAAGGCAGACCACGGCTACAACTTCGACAGCAAGAGTGTGCGCAACCTCTTGCAGACGATGAGCGAGTTCAACATGCAACAGCGTAGGGACTTTTTACAGTTCATTACTGGTAGTCCGAAGCTGCCTATCGGTGGTAAGTACCCGATAACTCTGCTGATCCTGACCGCTTTTCAATGCTAATATACATGCAGGGTTCAAAGCTCTAACGCCCATGTTCACCGTTGTGTGTAAGCCCAGCGAGCCACCGTACACATCCGACGACTACCTTCCCTCCGTTATGACCTGCGTCAACTACCTGAAAATGCCAGACTATAGCACGGTAGACGTGCTTCGCGAGAGGCTTAGTGTTGCTATTCGCGAGGGCCAGGGCGCTTTCCATCTCTCTTAGACACATCTCACGTTCTCAACGAACAGTTTGCGAAGGAATTTCGAGGGCTGAGAAGTTCTCATGGCAATTCGAAATCAGAATTCTTCTCAATGTATTCACGGTCAAGGTTTATTTTAAGCATAAGATTTACGCAACTCATGATGGTATGGTCTCGGAAATGGGATATGCATTGCAGGTGCTCTCTTGGCGGCGTCCCATAATGGCGCGTGAACTTCCATAGTCTGGACAGCAGACGTAGAATCGCTGCTATCTCATGATAATACAATGTTGTCAGAAACTCTGTTTGATGTCAACGTGAAACTACTTGAACACCTGTGAAACTTGAATGAGGCACGATTGTCTCCTCTATCGAAAGGTTGGGAGAGAGACGTATGTCAATGCGGTCATTCTTATATAACCCCATATACAAGACATTGCCGCTATATAGTAGGCCAAATCATGCCCAATATACATCCAAAATGACCTAACGGGGTGATTGAGCACATCCTCACCTCCTCCTCGCAAGACCAGTGACGAGCAGCTCTCCTGAGTTAATCTCAACCTTCCACCCCTCCTTGACCAGCGTCCTCGCAACCGCAGGCCCCAACTTGCCCCTCCCACCCTCACTATGTCTCCCCAAGCCTGTGATGATAGTATACGCCTCCCCGCCCCCACGTTTGCCCGCACCGCTCCACGAAGGGATCCTCTTCTCGCCCAAGCCATCCCACCAGATCTGCGTCCGTTGCTTCGCGATGCGCGTCGCATCTGCTACAGTAACGCCGTGCAAGTCCAGATAGGCGGGTCCAGATTGCGAAGAGACGAATGCGTCGGCTTCGGCTGCACTCATGGCTTTCAAGTTGGCGTTGAGATCGCGCCCTTCCTGTGCGTAGTATCCTGCTACTGCTTTCATGAGCGGCGTCGATCGGCCTTTGCGGTAGGCGGCGGATGCATTCTGGAAGGCTTCGCTTCGGGCGCGGGCGGTGGAGGCGGCGTCGCGTGGACGTGCGGAAGGTGTTAGGGTTGGCAGCTTTGAGGATTCGGACGTCGGATCTGAGAGGTTGATGGGAGCGTAGCGTAGATCTAACTTGATGCCCCCCTTTCCACCCGTTTCGCTTGCGGGCTGTTCAGTGAGTGCTTTTGCAAGCTCGTGTGCTTTTGTTGTTGAGGGGGTTGCGAGGCGCACTAGAGCGAGGGCGTGTTCGAGATCGAGTGTTGTGAAGTCTGCGTTTAGGACTATCGCGTCTTGCACTAGGGCGGCGTCGGGCTCTCCGTCCTTTTCATGCGCCTTTATATCTTTGCGAACTATTTCTAGTAGAGTCGCTGATAATGATGCACCATTCGTGTGATAGAGCGACGAGACTGATTTTGCGGATAAGCTTGTACGCGACGTGATGAATTCGACGTCGCGACTGGTATTCTGCCATCGATTTGTGGGCGGAGCTCTTAATGTATCTGGCTCGGACGAATAAGCTGTATCCGTACTATACACTGTCAGTTTCTTCTTCTTCTTAGCTTTGCCCTTTTTTCCCCGATGTGGAACGTGATGGTCTTCCGAGAAGGCATCGATACCCTTTACTACGGATCCTCCCTCGATCGGGCTTGTCCTGGTATCCTCGAAATAGACATGGTTCAGCAACTCATCGGTCGCCTTGCTGAAGTCATTGCCGCATTTCTTCAAGGTGTATGTAATCTTTTCCAAGGAGAGGCTCGGAAATGTCTCTGCCAGCAGCAGCTCCTTCGTCGGGGTATCGAAGTGCTCTGTGTCCTTGAAATAGCCACCATCGTTTGATCCCTCTGAGCCGCTTACTGACCGCGCGCTCAAGCTCAGTATAGTCATGTCATTCGACAAGTTCGAGATGTCCGTCAAGACCGTCTGCGTGGCCCATGTATCGGCGTTCGACTCAGCATCGGTGCTGAGTTTTTCTGGACTCTCATGGCCGGGGGTTTCGTTGTAGCCTGAGGGATTGAAGTCGGTGAGGGCTTCTTCTGCAGCCGTCGCCTTCAACACATCAAGCAACTGCCTGGCAGAGCCAATCGCGTTCTCCTGCCCGGCATAATCGAAGTAGATGGCGGAAATCAAGCCAGGGTCTATTGGTGGGCAATACTCTTGCTGTCGGTCGCATTGTTAGCAAAGCTGTGCGACCCAGCCACGCGCTCCCCTGACGTACCTCAAGAATGCATAAGTCTTCATCCATTTTGGGTGCGATGTTGTTGACGTCTTCTTATCGGATGATATGGCGAGTGCATACTCGAAATGTGATTTGGATGAGATCGAAAGGTGCTGCAATTTCCTTCGATATCGATACAGTTCAACTAGTTGCGCAATATACAAAGAAATCGCAAAAGTGCGCGGTGTTGTAGTATAAGCTTGCGCGTTTGCAACCGTCCGCGGGGTCAATGTAGCCGAGCTTGGCGCGGATGAGAACCAAGGTCACCGTAACTATACCACCGTGCTTAGGTACCAATTGTTAATCCTGACTGCCCAGAGGTTGAAGAGGTTGCTTTTGGCTTGTCAAATGCTAAAGACGTCATATACCATTTTGGCCTTAATGCGCGTCATCCATAAAGATCAGGATGCGCTAAACGGCAATCGACCCGTGGGGGCTTCTTTAGCAACTTTCGCTGATGTTACTTAAGGTGACGATAGTACATGGCCAGACATATAGGGTTGTACGATGGTTACCAGTAGCAGTCAAGACGTTCATACCTCTTTGTTTTCCTACTGATCTATGTTATGCTGGGTTCAGCCTCCCGATCGCTTGAAGTCTCAGCTGCACTTTTCAGCCCCCAACACCCAGCCGCCGCTCATCAATGGCGTGAACGCACGAGAGCTCTTCGTACCTGGATACCCTTGCCGCCCTGTGTTTCGCATCAGCTTGGTTAAGCGACGTCTTAATGTGTACATCAGGCCCCAGATTCGCGATGGCATCCCAGTTCCTCTCTTTCCCTTCTCCAAGCATCGATTCGACGTCCGCTCGCATAGCACGTCGCATAACCTAAATGGCACCAATTTCTACGCGCCAACAGCGTCGCACGCAACTCACAGCCACTGCATACATTCTAATAATCACTCTCGCTTCGCTCGTAGCGACTGGCATTTTTTGTGCTGCCGTGCTCTATCTCATATTAAGAAAGCAGCGCGCGAGGGCAAAGGCACAGCACAGGATGCAAGAGGAGAGGCGGCCATTTGTCCCCCCATTGGCCCAAGGGTATACAGTACACCAAGCCGCGCAAGGTGGATCGTCGTATCAGCATGATGGACCGCTTGAGTTACAAGGGAGTGGATCTACTGGGCAGACACAGGGTCAGATCCTACAGTTGGATGGATATGCGGCGCCGGTATGTTATGTTCAACCTCTAATGGATAAGGCGAGAGCAAGGAAGCTGATGGGTTATAGGCAAAAATCGATAATGGAAAGCCTATGGAATTACCCTCATATCCTATGTACAGGTGAGCGCAACAGTAGAGCGCATATGTTCAGAGGAGAGGACAATGCTCGAAAGACAATCGAACGCCTTCCAGATTAGTGTGGAGTGAGCCGCAATCTTGAGCGTGCAAAGAACATCCAAGAGCACGGAAAGAGATTGCGAACCAATACCCTTTTGCACCCACTTCCTTGGCTTCTGCATATGCTCGCACCATGTTCCAAAGGCTATCAAGATATCCAATACTGTGCTCCAAAGTACCTGAGTGGGCGTTGAAGACTCAAAGACTCGAGTGAGCGGATATTACTCGCTTAGCCATGTAGTCTTTTAGGAACCTACCTTTACTTGGTAGTGGGCGGCTTGCCTTCCCATGAGGTTGAGAGCTCGCCACCGCACCTGGATATACGTTTACCACTTACTTCGATACTGCACTATCTCGATAACCGGTCCCCTGACTTCTTCTCGATTTATCAATTCTACTGATACCCTTACGGCTTCTCGATTACCTCAACAGTTTATCTACAACTCATCATATTGATAAAACGCCATCATGTCAAACAATTCTGTCAACGAGGCCATGGTCGATGTGACTATCAATACCGACAACACCATTGTGACCAAGGTCGACACTGCACCAACTATCTATGACTACACCGATCTCTCGGCCGACCAAAAGGCGCGCATCAATCGCCTCATCCTCGACATCGGTCAAGCCTGGCACATCGTCTCACCTGCGTCACCCTTCCCGTACCAATACCACCCAGACCCCAACACGCTCAACTGGGGCATTGAGCTCCTCGCTACACTGTGCTGCCTCGCGAAGATGACTGGGGATCAGCTCAGCCTCAAGAACCAAGCAGTGCACTATGTTTGTCATAGCATCGAGGAGCGCAACTTGGGTATGTTTTCCTCGCCTCTCGTGATACCTTAACATTGACATAGTATAGATCTTGATGTTATCCAGGGCGACTACGTCATCCGCCTCGAAGATATGGACTATGCTATCCGCAAGATGCGTAACCGTATCAACAGCTACCGCCCATGTCGCCCTGGTGATCGGCGTGGTCGCACGGCAACCAGCAGCCTACGTCGCGGCAGGAGCAGCTACGATGGACGCGTTGGCAAGGAGAGGAGACGCCGTGGCTGAGAACGAACATTCGTTGAAGCAACGTACGTGGAAACTTCAAGGAGCTAGTGGCAAGGCGCAGAGGGGTTCAAGAGAATTTCTGGCATTGCAGGAGATAAATTTATGGCTTTAAATATACTAAAACAATTACTCGCTCGTTGAGTCACTCGAAAGTCTTCAAATACCCATGCTAGAATGAATCTTCATAAGAAGGCGTATTATGGGCATATAAGGGATCATGCTTTAGTTGAGAGAGAAATGCCTGTTGAATCTCTTGCCGTTGCTTACTTCCTGGCGTGCCCCAACTGCTGCGTTCCATCTCTTCAGACGCATACACATCCTCCCGCATCCTACGGTCTATCATGTTTCCATGTCCAGTAAAGGATTCTTTATACATAGCAGGGATGACTGCATGTTGGTGGTGTAATTTTTCAATTGCGTTGATGCAAATAAAGCCATTCGCGAACAGCGACAGCGCTCTCGTCTTCCCAGGCTCGTCATCGCATCAACGCAGATAGGTATTCAAGAGCGATAGATGCGTTAGCTCCTCTAACATTGTACTTCACTGCTAGCTCGTTCTCAAAGCGCATATTTACGACCTCCCTCTTGTACATAGAGTCTGTTCATCGCTCTGCGAAACACATCTATCATGTTCTCCTCAACAAACACTACCACGGCTGCAACAGCCGCAGCTCTTACCAAAGTAGCAGCCATGCCCATCGATATCGTCCGCACCACTCGCAAGTTAATCGCATCAGTGAACCCATTCACCCTCTCTTTTGCTCAAGCAGCCCATGTAAAACTTAAAGCTGATTCGATGGCCATGGTACTCTTTTGTATTGCGAAACAGCTGTGTGCGTATGTCGAAGGCTGGCGCAAGGGTTGGCGGAAGAGAAAGAGAGATCGAAATGTGATGGAGACAGAAAAGAAACATAAAGAGATTAAGATGAAGAAGCTTAAGGGGAGAAAGAAGGGAGGGCATACGAGGATAGTTGCGAAAGGGAGGTATACGCTGATCTTGCAGTGAGATCGATGTGACTCTTCTAGATGCTAAGAATGCATTCGCTGATGCAGCAGCCGCTTGGAATAGTTCGAATAACTTTACAGATTTATCATGTTGTGCACGTCATCAATGTTAAGCACCCCCTTCTCGTAATCCTACTCTTCATCTCATATCCCTTTCCGAAACGGTACTGAGCAGCCGCGTCGAGTTTATAGGTCAGTCGATGCCCGTGACGGGAGGTTTGCGTGTCTTCAAATCATCATTAACTATGGCCAGCTGCCAATGGTAACGAGACACGTGGTTGCAAGCAAAGATTTATTTTTTATCTTATTCACGAATCTATATCTAGGTTTTAGGATCTCTATGGCCGTTCTTCCTGATTGTAGGAATTTTTATGTCAATATTCTCCTCTAGTCATCATCCGTATCTGTATCTGTATCCATCGCACCAATGATATCCAGTCGTAGCCCAGCCGACTTACATGCGTCTTTGATCTCCCTCGAAACTCCGTCGTCACCCTCGACAACCACCATGGTCTGCCAAGTTCTAGCAATGATGTTCTTCTGTTCAATCACGGTCAACAACAGGTCATTTACTTCATCGTCGGTGCCCAAGTCATTGAAGAATTCCAGAACCTCCATTATAGGTGGCAAGCCCACCGAGTGGAGACGCGGCTTCTTAGACGACTTCCCGAACAGCTGATAGTCCCAGCTCAGGCGCAGTGTTGTGAGAGCCTCAAATTGTCGCATCCGCAGCGCCTTGCGGCCTGTTAATGTTGGAAAATCGATGGTGATGCTCTTCAGGAATTCTGCTTGCGACTGGAGAGCAAGAATATAGTCACCGACGTTATCGGAACTCTCTTCTAGCTCCGGTTCTGGTTCTTCGACTTGCGTCATGACAAATTCCTCAAGCGCCTCCGGGAGTTCGAGAAGGTCACTGAGAGAGTCGTCGTTGATGTCGCATTCGATCAAATATAGTTTCTTCAGAGCGGTTTCATGGGGACGCTCGATATGATCGAACCCTTTATCGTCTAGTTTCGCTCTTCTGATAGTCAAACTCTCCAGTGTGGGATGGGCGAAGATGTGAATGTTCTCTCGCAAATCCCAATACGCATCATTGGCGCACTGGTAGAACAGCGAGCACGACTTGAGACAGGCGAGATCAAAGGGTCCATTGAACAGGGTGCCAATACCGTGCAACAAGACGTCTGGCACCGAGATATCCAGCTTCTCCAAATTTGACATGATGGACAAAGTTCGCGAGAGGCTGTTGGAGCGGCTAGGATCAAGATGGGAGCCATGGACTGGTGCATCGAGAGACAATTGCGACAGCTCGGATGACGGGTACGACAATTTGACCTCATAGATAGCCGACCCACGGCGCGGTCGGCGGCTTAGCGATTCGCTGAATGTGAGATGGAACTCTGGAGTTTCGAAGAGGATGCTCTTGTACAAGATGGCATCGCTGAGGCGGTGGCACGTTTTGTTCACCCGCGATACGTTGCAGAGATCCCGCCTGGAGATACGACCCAGCTCCTCAAAGATCTGTAGCAGGATCTCATCGGGTAAGGCAGTCAGACGCTCGCGTTGAGCGCATGAAATTCCGTTTGCGTCGTTGAGGCCGAGCGACATTCTCGGGGGTCTTGGTATCGGATACGATTGAGGGTGTATCTTTTCGCAGTGAACAAGTGGAGAAGGGTACGCTGACTCGTGAATTGCGGGGAAGAGCGGGGTAGAACTAGGCCGATAAACAATGCAATTGATTGTCGAGGAAGAGAAGGATGAAGGACAGGCCAACGCCCAAAACGCTGTACAAATGCAGGGATGCAGCGCGATAAGGTACTTGCGGTGAAGGAGTTTGGCTCGTGAGAGGTATCAGCCGAGCCTGCGTCATGGTTGGCGCACGGACATCTCGCCACTTTTAAGAACATCTCACCACCCAAGAGCGAAACTGTTTTCGCTATGATAGCGCCTGAATGGAAAAGAATCACCGGTTCTATTCTTTAACCTAACCTTATGCTGGCACCTTCTCCATACGCTCTGAATACGCCCTGCCAGCGCCGCGAAAGCCTATCATCCGTCATCGTACAGCCCCAGACTAGCCGGGAAGCCAACAGAGCGCGTATCTAATATGTGACCAAATTGCGATGGAAGTGACACCTACATGGCTCGGGGTAACGCAGCTATCGCATGCTAGCGAATACGAGTATGCAAAGCATTTGTAGTTCAGCTACATAGTTATGCAAGAGGTACCGTCTGGTACCATGAATGCGTTCCGAGCCCTCGAGCCCTGGTCTTCATTCTCCTGTCGACCCCTAGTAATCATATACATCCTTGACTGTAGAATGCTACTCATGCCAGGAACTAACCCCCTTCCACTCGAAGGATCATGTTGCACATCAAGTTAATTATTAACTGCAACTATGTCGTACGAAGTGCAGAAATGGCGATCACTGTCGTATAATTTGTAGGATGCCTTACTTAGCAGGATGCGGGATCCAGTTAGTCCAGAAGCTACGTATACTTGTAAATATGTATGTATGATTGACGTGTTCTTGGTTAGAGTGCTAGCCCTGTCAAATTTGGTTATTTGCTGAATGTCAAGAAAACTCAAGAAGGTTTGTCTACTTTTGTCGCCCACAAAATCTACTATATTTATTTACTGCCGTCTAAAGCTCGCAATAGTATCTTCATGCAAGGTATAGTTCAGCTTCCATCTAATTTCGTATACATTAAGCGTGGAAGGGATGTTCAATGCCCACAACAACACTTTTCAAGATATGGTCGGTAATGCGCTGGATAGCCCCCTACATCTACTTCAATCTTCTTTAACGCACTCACTTGAATATTTACCAAAATGGGGCTATTTCTGTTGGATCTACTTCAACAGTGAGCATCTCTACTTTCTCGCCGGTAGACTACCGCTCTACCTCCCTCCATCTTAAAGGAGCACATTGTAAATTAGTCACCACTCGCACTAGACACATAAATAATGCCTCTCAGCTTCCTAGAAGTCTAACTATGCCTTAATCTGATGTCTCCGGCTCCGTGAGCCAAGCCACCGGTGGCTCGTTTTCCCCATCACCTCCACTCTCTGAGCTCCCGCAACTGAAGGTATTGCTATCTGTTCAGTCTGGCAAGGCTGTATTCGAACATTGCCTGGGGATCAAAAAGCTCCAAAAGGTTTCATCGTAAGCAGACTGCCTGATCGTCAGCAGGCTTGGATACGGGGCGCCGACAAGCACTGTCTACGCTGCGGTGGGTACGGTCACACCAAGACCAACTTTCATAGTCACCGCTGCTACGTCAAGATCAACTTCTTCCATTGTGCTTCTTCCCGGCTTGAGAAGCGGTAGAAGGTTGCTGACAGTCATCTCACTGTATGTTGCGTCACTCACGTAATGGAGGGCCCGGAAGTTATGACGGATACCGATCATCTGCCCAGCGTTGCTCCTTCAAACTTGATTATAACTAGTCACATCGAAAGCGACCTGCATATCGGCACTTAGTTTGCTGGGGGCTTTCACAAAGATTTCGGGAACTGCCCTGGAGCTGATCATTGGACTACACAGTGGCTTCAGGCCACAAACGGTATGAACTTGGAGATATCATTTTTGGTTTTCAACTATCATATTCTCTGGCAGTTCGGTAGTACAGGTCTTCTATCTCGAAAGATCCAGCGTGCTTGGTGCTGCATTTAGACACTCTGGGTGCTGCATTTAGACACTCTGTCATAGATAGATCAACTTTCACTTGCTGATTAGCATAAGAAGATTGTCAAAGCGCCCACGCCCTAGTTGAGCTATCGCTGGTTCTGTGAAAGTACTTTGGGTGCGGAGATTGGTGATTAGCAGCTTCAGGGATTGTGTTGCCACGGTTGTCTGAATTGCTGGGAGTCGGGAGAGAGCCTAGGGTATGCGATACATCCTGGCTGACAGCGTCAATATGTTTTCTCGTATTTTAGGTGTCACAGCAAGGACCATGAGGATCGCGATCTTGTACATGAGTAATATCTTCAGAGTTCGTGTTGACACGCCCGTTTGTTCTTGCCCACTACAAAGCTTCCTATGAGAAATCCCCTGACTACTCTTGCGGTGCTACAAATATTAAAATGACTCTTTCTTGTCGCATGGAACGCTCCATGACCTTGTCGATAGTGCTTTTTTGTCAGCTGTGAGGATACACGTATCATGAGGGCGGATGGTAATTGGAACATGTCATTAAGTTACTTTCACCGTGACCCGTCCGTTGTTTGCTTGCCAATGTGGAGGTGCCTATTGCGATGTTTCACTCTTGCCATGCATTGCCGCCCTTAACTTTCTTTCGCCCGTCCTTCTACAATCCCCACTCATATATATATCGCCCCCACCCACTCTCTACTCTAATCCATCTTCTTCCATATCACGTCTACCACTGACAACCTCACCTCCAACAACATCTGCCTCAACTTTCAAGTCAGTTCTATATATCAAGGTACCACACTTCCACACGCGGGTGCTATATATATGCTAACTCTTTTCACAAGATAACTCATCATGTCCTTCTCAACAGCCTCCGCCTATACCCTTCCGTCCTCATCCTCCACACCCTCATCCCCCAACAAAGCTCCCGCTATGCTCGCCCTGAAGGATGCATTCGCCGAGGTCAATGATCTGACTGCCTGGCGTCACTGTCTCGGTGTAGAACGCCTCAATGGAATCCCGGCCATTGCAAACGAACTTGCCAATCATACCATCGTGGTATGCCTCGACTGCGAACACTGGTCTACCAACAGTGATGAGACAACTGAGATAGGCATCGGAACCTTCTCAACGCAGAGCATGTTCCCCTTAGTCCAGGGCGACAACCTTGGTGATCATGGAGAGAACTTGATGAAGCGCATTAAGTTCTATCTGCTACGCACCATCGAGACTTCCCACCTACCAAAGACCAACCCAAATTCAAGGGGAGTAGAGGGAAACCGCTTCGGTCAAGGCCGCTTCGTCACATTCTCCGAAGCGCGAAACATCCTCCACAACGTCTTCGCGCAACCAATCACCGACGTCAATAGCCTGAAAGGCTACAACCACCCCATCGTTGTTCTTGGTCATGACATCAGTCATGACAAAGACAATCTCAAGGAGAAAGATGTCGCCTTTGACATCGATGCACTCGGTACGGTTGTACGCTACATTGACACCCAGGTGCTCGCACGCGATGTCAAATTCTGGCTCAAGCCAAAGGAGAAGATCGGCCTAGCGAACCTCGTGAAGAGTCTGTGGTTCGAGCACAGTGACTCCCATACGGCAGCGAACGACGTCGGCCGGACAGTCATATCTGCAGTTCAGCTTGCACTGCATAGGCATACATGCAAGAGGAACTGCAACAAGACAATGCTGGAAGTTGCAACCAAGATCGAGGACCACAGCCGTCTTAACTTCGCGTCTATCGGTGGTAGTACGTTATACTGCTGGAAGTGTGGCAGCCACAACCACATGCACATTAATTGCAGGGCGACTGGACTCCACTGCAACGAGTGCTGGTCAAAGGGTCGTTACCAGGAGGCACGTACCCACATCACCCTCCACTGCATGCACCTTGCGTGGGAGAAAGCCACAGCTCGACGCCAGAGGCATGACCAGGCTCGGGCTGCTTATGCACTAGCTCGACAACCACCTCGTAGTCTACCACGTTATGCAGCTCCGCCTGGTCCACAAGCCTACTACCCCAACAGCTTTCCCGCAGGCTATACCCACAACCCTGCACCACCTCTGGCCCCTGGCATGTTGACACGTCCTCACTTTCCATCTCCTGGAGGATTCCCTTCCGGAAGAGGATATGGCCGTGGCAACGTGCCGCCAGGCCCTGGTGCAGGTGGTTACGGTGTAGCACGGAATGGTGGTGGAGTGGGCTATGCTAACGCGCAGCTTAGTACTCCTCGAGGTGGTGGATACATGGGTGGTTCTGATTCGCGTGGCGGGTGGGGTGGTGGTTAACGATAGTGAGGAGAGAGTTTCGCGTGTGCTGTTGTCCTGTAGTGTTGTCCTGTAGTGTTGTCCTGTAGTGTTGTCTCGAGCTGTCCATTATGGTGAGGTAGTTATAATGATACCTAAGTTCAATTTACTGTGTATCTTAGAGTAAACACGGAGCATTTCAGTACATCTACAGGGTTCAGATGGAGGTTGGAGAGATGGCGAAAGCCTCCTGAGTGCTGCATGCCTTGAACTTATCGATCGTGTAAGTGAAGTGAGCATGTCCTGCCGTAGCTATAATAACCTCTGTAGACTATGGCAGATGCTATTCGTCTTACTGCGCAGCAAGGAGCCCAGGTACCCAAAGTTCTTTCCACCTTATACACGTTGCTCTTGGCTGGTGCCAAGCAATACCGATCGTACGGTGGTTCCCTGGATGTCAGCGTCGGTAACACTGCAACCACCCGGGCGCATGGACTGAACATCGCGGCGGAAGACCTGGACGCCGCACGCGCCATTGTTGTCGAGCGTGCCAACGTTTAGGAAGGTTGCTGCGGACATCGTGCGTTCCATCTTCCAGGAGGCAACCCAGAACACCAAAGGTCCAAAAAGGGCTAGATTTATTTGACCCCTACAGTTTCCTATCTAGATCAATACACATGAAGCTTCATGTCTCACTTGGCAAATTCGAGTGAATGTGATCGCACGTGACTCCAAGCCTGCTGAGAGTCCCACCGTCACCCGATGTCGTGTGAAGGCTTCTATGAGACTTTGATGATGCGTGCACAGTACAATTAACCAACGTGCTTTAGTGTACTTCGAACATCCAGATAGCGGGTCGCTTGGAGACCTCGCGTCTCCAACAACGAGCCAATGCGAACGTTAGGTGTCTCAAATGGTAGGACATCTTGTTGATCTGGTATGATCCGTGCTGTTGCACGATCAGCGCCAGAGTATCCCTGGTGAGAAGCTGATGTACGGCTTTCGGTAAGCATGGAGGCAAACGCATTTCTCTTTCACCTCGCCCAGTTCTGCGGTCCAGACAGGCAGCCAGTGCCCACACTCACGAGCAGTTTCTTTCACTCTCTAGATCCTATATCATGAGAGCGAAAGGTTTCCGCGATGCTCTTTCTGCTCTTCATCCACAACTATCCGCGCCCTCAACCGCTCGCACCTATATACTTTCCGTAAACTAAACGCCTCTGCATGTGGCTATCCCCGCCCGAACGACCGAAGTTTTCGAAGATGCCCATATCATGGGCCACGATCGCGGCAGCCCCGCCTCCACCACTCACGCCCACCCAGCGCATGCAGGAACTGCAAGCATTCTACGCGAAACAATCACTTCGTTTCGTTCTATCGAATGCGCTGGGCTTCCATGATGCCCCCGGAGCCACCGAGCGCATCAGTCCCTTGATGGAACACACGGTCGTGGTCGGCATCGATACAGAGGCCTGGACGAAAAACACGGATGAAATGACAGAGATCGGGCTCGCAGTGTTTGAACGCAAAGACATGCTAGGGGTACATCGTCGAAAGAAGGAGTGGGGGAGAGAGCATGGGAAGAATGAGGGCGGGTACGAGCATCTCGGAGACTTTGGAGAAGAGCTGTTGAAGAAGATCACCTTCCACCACCTCCGCATCGTTGAAACCGCGCACCTCAAGACTAGCGCCGAGTGGATGAAAGGCGCGGAGGGGAACCGGTTCGGACACTCGCGCTTCGTTACATTCGCTGAAGCCCGCGTTATCCTTGACTCACTATTCTCGCAACCTATCGACTCCTCGGACCCAGAACTCAAGGGATGTAAAAAACCTGTTGTGTTGCTAGGTCATGCCATGTACCACGACGAAGAGAACATCAAGAAGAGCGGCGGGCTAGAGTACGATCTGTTCAAGTACGGTACGATAGTCAAGGAAGTTGATACACAACCCCTCGCCAAGGCCACGCACACCTGGTTCGATCAGTGCGCACCGAACAATGACGTTGGTTTGGACACTCTGACTAAAAGGCTTGGTTTTGAGCACGAGGACGCACACACGGCATGCAACGACGCTGCTAGGACTGTAATCTCCGCCATTCAAATGGTGCTGCCGAAACAGTGTCGGGAGGGCAGAGAGAAAGACATGCAAGCCGTGGCTTGGGAAATCGAAGAGCATAGTCGTGATACCCCTTCTTCAACTTGGGGCTCGAAATTATGCTGTACACGTTGTGGCGGGCGAGACCACCAGGACAAGGAGGGTGAGCGGTGCACGGTTCCGGTGCATTGTAAGGCATGTGCCCAGTTCGACGTGGGAAAAGAAGAGGAACACTGGACGACGCATATGGAGATGTACTGTCCGCATATTGCGAATTATAAGGCGTGGACCAGGCGGAGGGATGATGCGCTCCGGAAACACAATCCTTTCCCACCCGGTCCCCCAGAGGGCTCTCATCCGTCATCCAATTTCGTGGTTCCTTTGTATGCCAGGGTGGCGAAGGCTGGCGTTCCTCTGTCTTCGACTACGGTTTCATCATACTCTTCCGCGAGTGCGAAGTCCAACGATAGCTCTTCCTCCCGTGGAACTGGCGGTAGTGGGAGCAGCGACATCGTCTACTCTTCCGGTAACGTTGGCTACGCTCCCGTGGCTCGCATCGTCAGCTTTCAGTCTTCTGGTCGTGGACGAGGCGGTGGTCGTGGTTTACGTGGCGCAGGTGGTACGCGTGGCGGCAGCGTACTGAGCAGGGATCGGCGGCGTGAAGACGAGTGGCGGCCTTTTTCCAAATGGTAGGTGTGCAGTGTTGGTTGTATACATGGGTTAAACTATAGGTTTGGATAAGCGTGTCACTTCTGTTGGCAAGCATACTTCCGCATCTATGATTACTAATAAATAAATTCTCTTCCCAACATTCTCTCGTTCTCTTCATCATCGAAAACATTCAGATGACTATATTGATTTGAGTATACTGATCGTCAAAAGAAAGGCAATCAATGAATCTGGTAAAATCAGAAAGATAGGAAAAAAAGAGACGTCACAAGAGAGGAGAAGGAAAAAAATACGTTACGCAGATACTAGAATGGCCGCACGTAGTAAAGTCGAAATTTCAACCTGCACCACACTAGGTATGGGGGCTGATGCACGTACCTATCATGCTGCTCTTCCCGATGATCACATCAAAGCCATAACCTCCTCCAATTATTGATCCACTATGTACAGTCTCTACTAACCCTTCCAGTCAACAGTATAAGATCCACGACAAGCATACAGCCATCAAGCACGCCTTTGATGAGCAGCAAGCGGCAGGAATTCAGACCGGCCCAACGACAGCGATACCTTCACGCTTCCCACTAATTGATCCGAACTTAACCTGGCACTTCTGCTTCGTCTCCTCAAATGTTCCTTACCTGTATATCTATGTGTACGCTCGTTCGAGATTAATATTTCCCTCCATGAGGCGGGGGTGGATCGGCTCGAAGCCTTTTAACCTACCATCTTGGAGTGGATACACCCCTTTAATACAGGGGAGCTTCCATCGCTGTCCCCACAGTTTCTGGATGCGGTCGCCAAGATTCCGGTTTCCTTCGGGCATCTTGTCTAGACGATGTCGGCATTTCACTCAAGAAATTGCGAGTTGCGTAGGCGGCACTGAACGCTATCATGGCCGACGCTAAGCGTAGCTATATAAACTTGAGTTGTCGTATATACCATTTCGGTGGTGGCGCGGTCGACTCAGTGAGCCAGTCATCTCATGACCTGACTGGGCCGTTCAAACACGATGATTTTGCTGAAATGATTCCAGTAAAACATCCGACGGGTTTGGCAGGACCACCGTGATGACTTGATGCGACAAGGTTGCGCGCCTGCCCTTAGTGCCGCTCTTCCACCTCGTCTTCTTCTTCTACTTTACGCTTAACGTATTCTCTCAAGATCTGCGTCAACTTCGCCCTGCCGTCTCTCCTTTCGAAAACCTGCGCATGATCCACAGTCGGCCACCACAGTGTCTCGATGCCTTTACCCTTCCATTCAGAATCCTTCCAATTCCTGTCCTCGCTCTTCAGGTCGACTCCATTGAGATACTTGCCAACTGTCTCTGAGTCAACAATTAGGTCCCTGCCGCCGAGACTGACTGTTACATCTCGCCCTCGCAGATCCTCCTTCCACAGGATGTTCTGTGCCCAGAAGAAGTGGCGTCCGAGCGTGTGCGCAACCATCATATCCATCGAAGCGAACCAGTACAATTGGTGCTCGTTTGCGCCTTTTGGCCGTCGTGCCGTGAAGTTGTATGCAACGTCAGGTAGATGCAACAAGAATGTGACCGGGTCAATCAAGAGAACGGGTCCAATTTTAGCGGCCGTACTAGGGTTATGAATCAGATGGGTGGAAATCACAGAACCATATGAGTGGCTGGCAAGAACGACTTTGTCTAGACCGTGGCGTTCTAGAATCATATTGATCTGGCGACAAATCTCGTCTCTGCGCGGAATAGGCCCAGTAATGCGAAAGCTGATGGGCATCAACTCGATAGCAATGATGCCCACTTCGCCGTCTTGTGCTGCGTCAGGATCATGCTTGTTTATCTCGCCCAACCACGGAACATAAGGATATAGGCCAATGCCAATGCCGTGTATAAAAAGGATTGGAAGACGCGTCTTGGAGGTATGCGGGCGGTACCAGTAGCTGATGTCAGGTGCGGAGGATATGTGGTGTGTGAAAAGGGTTGCGGGTCGCGGTGGAAACATTGCCAGCGAGGAACGGAGGTGGGTGCGGAATAAAATGAAGCCATGGTACCGGAGACAGGCTGCCGTGAAAGTGTCGACGAGCATGACAACCTACAGGCTCGTCAGCGGGGTCCATAGTGTTAGTGTGGAATGAACATACCATATACCAAAGAAAGGGCCGGTGCGACATGTTGACTTGATCGATGGTCAACCGCAGGCTCTTCGCGCTGCCCCAACCAGGCTCAAGTCTCCTCCCAAGCAGCGTCTGTATGCCATCAGCGTACTCATCCAGCTCCTCCTCTTGTGCCTGGCTCTCTTCCGGGTGCTCCTGCACTCTCTTGTTCCTCTCTGCGTCGCTCTCAGTGCCCCGATTCATGAGGCCCCACGCAAAGAACTCGCGCACATTCTGCCTCCGCACCTCGCCTAGCCTTGCTCCGAGGAACCATCTGCTTATATAGTACTCTGGATTCGGTATGTGTTCCCAGCCCTTCCAAAAGAGCGCCTTCCTCTCTTCCTGATCGAGGAGTGGAGGATGCTGAGCCGAGGCCTGGAGCAAACGCTTGCGGGGCAAGTAGACGAGCAGCCAAAAGGCCGTCTCGAGGATGCTCCAGGCGAGCAGGAAGCGACCGAGGGCTGTGTGTGGGGGCTCTGCAATGCTGAAGGACACGCAGAAGATGCTGAGGGGTGTGATGGCGCGGAAGGCGAGGATGATGCCTCGGATGAGAAGGTACCTGGGTAGCGTGTTCTCGAGCATGATGGCGTCGGCTGCGGTCTAAGGATTGTAAAGTATTATGGATATTATACGACGGCTGGCCGCAGTCTTTATAGAGGACAGGAACATCCGCGCTGGTGTTGCAGTACTGATCGCCATGTTGGACATTTGTTTAGGCGGTCGAAACTTCCGACACAGGCCGATGACGCACACGCTCCTCCTGTCGCGACCCGACGCGAACCTCACCTGTTCCACCATCACCAGATAACCCAACATTGACTAGATGCGACCGATTACAGCGCCAGACAGCGCCATCACGGCCCAACAGAAACAGCATCCTGATTTCTGGACAGATCGATACCTACGCAGTCGCGTGTACGCTCGCAACTATCCCCTCCCAGAGACTAGCTCGCAAACTAGCCTGGGGCTCTCAGATATTGCATTACATTGTAAACACCGGGAGTTCTCCCCAGGCCATACACATGCTGGAATACATTCTCCTTCTCAACACTTCTGGCCCGACTACTCCACGACATTGTCCTTTGGCTTTCACATGCATCCCTCGGTATTCTGTCCGTTACTAAGCAGACCGTACCCATCATCTTCAACACCAGACCCCAAAACAGCAATAGAACACTAACAAGCAAGGCACTTCAAACAACTTTGATTGGGCCGTTCCGTTAGCTAGCCGACCTCAATCCACAGCTTTGGTATGCATGGTTCGTGAGATGCAACAAATGCGACGGCCAAATGTTAGCCAACTGTGAGCACGCTTGTTCAATCCTCCGCCAACACTCTACCTTGGATCGAGATATCTGGGCCTGTCTCAATGATTATGAGCCACACGCTGTGGATTCTGAGGCTGTGACATCTCTAATGCGATGTGTTTGGTCGCCCACCTTTAGCATTTCCTAATAGTGGACTCATCAGTCGATGGCTAGGTCCTAAGTCGGACTTACGCTATCTAAGAGCTTTAGTCGTTGAGATATCAGGTAACCAACAGGGGACTGCGAGAGATCATCTAGCGTCCCACCCTCGTCCTCTTCATAATTGGCTATCAACTAGAAAGCTCGGCCATTGCAACCGATCTCCGACAAAGCCGATGGCTCTCATGGAGATCTACTATACTTGTACGCGGACCTCTTCATGTCCATCTCTAGTATGCCTCTATAAGTCCGGTTATCCCCGAGCAACTCCGATATCATTCCAGATTCGCGATCACATCAAGGTCATAAAAGGCGTAGCTAGACTGCGAGAAGTCTCTCTCTCTGCTCAACCCGTTTGATTTCTTCCCCATCTCGTCGAATTTTCGCCATGGCATTCATTCTCCCTGTACAACACCTCGCACTCCAGCTAGAAAGCGTCGAAGCCGGTTTCCAGATCAAGAAGCTACCCACCCCTCAGCCCGGCCTAGGAAGCGCCATCATCCGCATCGAAGCAGCGGGGGTACTCTCTTATCACCGCGATGTCTATAATGGCGGCCGGCACTACTCATTCCCTACACCAATCGTTGGTGGTCTCAGCGCCATCGGCCGCATCGCCGCCCTAGGACCCGACGCGACTGCGTTAAAGGAAGGGCAGCTCATCTACGTTGACTGTGTAATTCGTGCACGAGATGAGCCAGATACCCTTTTCCTCTCAGCCATCCACGATAGTAGTGCTGAGGGAAGCAAGAAGTTGATGCGAGACGTATGGCGTGATGGGACTTTTGCCGAGTTTGCCAGATTTCCACTCGAGAACTGCATCCCACTAGACGAGGCAAGGTTGTGTGGCAGTCTGGGCTACTCCATTTCGGACTTGATGTATATGAGCTATCTCCTCGTTCCATTTGGTGGCTTACGGGACATCAAACTGGAGCCCGGAGAGACTATCGTCGTGAGTCCGGCGACTGGTGGGTATGGTGGGGCAGGGGTACAGGTAGCCATTGCTATGGGTGCAAGAGTGATCGCCATGGGCCGAAGTGAGGAGAAGTTGGCGAGGTTGAAAGAACACGTACTCAATGGCTCGCCAAATGCCCAAATTGAAACGATGAAGATGACAGGGGATGAAGCAACGGATCTGGCGATACTCAAAGCTTTTGGTACCATTGATGCCGTCTTGGACTTTACACCGCCTCAAGCATCCAAATCATTGCACTTGAGGAGCGCTACGAGTGCCCTTCGCCGCAACGGGCGAGTCAGTCTGATGGGTTTTGTCGAACAACCCGTGGTTCCTTGGACTTTAGTAGCCAACAACATCGCCATGAAGGGGAAGTTGATGTATGAGCGAACGGATATGATACATTTTGTCAAGTTGCTAGAGAGAGGGTTGTTTCCCCGCGGTAAGGCCTTCGTTGATACCAAGGCCTTTGAATTGAACGACTGGAAGGCTGCGCTTGATATAGCGGCCGAGCACACTGGAATCGGAAAGCAGGTGGTTCTCAATCTTTAGGAGTATCCAGTAGCAGGCATAGTGGGCGTGAGCGTATCGGAGATGTGTGTGTATCTCAACGCTGCGATGACTAAGTCATTGTGCACGACCTTAGTCACGTTACGAGAAGTGCGCGTTCTAGCCCTCGAGCTGCCGCGTGGATCAGGGTCCCAACAAGATACAAGAATCAACCTGGTATTGTTACCCTCAGTCCCCCTGCTGTAATCTCTGGACGTCTTCATTTACAAAGAGCCTGTGGTACACGACACTGTGCTGTGTTTGCCTGCAACATCATGCTGCTGTATGTTCAACGGGTGTACTCTATAGACTGATAATAGCTTAGCAGGTAGCCCTGGGGCGTAGACGCTAATTAAACTTTTTGTTTCAAGCGGTGCATTCCACGACTTGTGGTAGAGCTCATAGTAGTTACAAGTAGCTTAGGATTACTCCATCTAGACTATCATAATCTGTACCCGGAAGATATTCGGTAGCGCATTGCTGCTACATGGAGTGTAGTTAATTTTGCGTTCACTGCAACGACACGTGGCGCTCAGAGCAAACAGTCCACGGCCAATCCCAACAGCCCCACGTGCTCTAGCACACGGGCCAACATAAACGAAGGATGAAAATAGCAATGCCTAATGCGATGTGATTTCTCTAAGGCCGTATGTAGATGTGCGCGTATTGTGCTAGCTTAGTCGCGTAGCCCTGGACGTGCTCATTAAAAGAATCTCACTAAGCTTCGGGTCCCTCCTAATCCGGGCATCCTTAAGATCACGGGTTGAGATAGGATACTACTGATACACAAATATTATGTAGTCAATAGACGCATACTGAATAAAATCTCAGCGTCTTCGACACGCCCATAACGCGTAGATGTTCACATAAGCATCGGGTAAATTAGGCGATATTGCACGGAGTCGCCGCGTAGCCTTATCTCAAGGATCTGATTAAAATTTTCACATCACGACCGTGCGCACATGACTGCACCTTACCAACTCAAGTAGCCAAGGCCGTATCTTGAATCGCGGTTTTCTGACTTTGTTCAAGTATTCTGATTGTAAGATGGAAAGTATGAAGGGAGAAAATGGAACAGTGGACTTGCTGAACTTACGAAGCTTGCGATTCCATTTACTTGTGACATCGCAAAACAACGAAGAATTCCGAGGCTCAATAGCCCACAATCTACCTGCCAAGAAATTCCAACACGGAAACACTAGACTGGCCTTATAAGGCCCGACAGTTAATAAAAATTAAAGATGTGGAGCCATGGTGCCCGGTATCCGTTTCGCAGTACAAGACGGAGCTCACCCAGTCTTTTCTAGATGAACCCCTCACCTTATCTGATCATCGCCATTCATATCTAATAACATTGATTAGATGAGCGATCATCGCAGTACGATATAAGGAGACATGAACACCAGGCCCTCTATGGAACGCACTCGCGACAATGTTACCAACAACGAGTTGGGGCAATCCCCGTCTTCGGAGGCGAAAGCTGCAAACGTCGTAGTAGTCAGTGGCGGGGAGTCGTCGAGCGAGAGGAGCGTGGAAGGACGCAGTGCGGATGTTCCACTGAAGTTGAAGCTTATCGCAGTTCTCCTTGTGACCGCCATCGGGTTCGGATCGCACTGGAGTAGCGGAGTGACCGGCGCAATGAAGAGCACACTGAAAAAGGTACATCGACCTTACAAATCTTGTTCAAAATCTAGCTAATATAATACAGAAATTACACATCAACAACGCGCAATATGCAGTATTAGAGGCCAGCGAAGATTTCATGAAGACGGCTCTAATTCTTGTGAGCGGTCTCGTGACTGACAGGATTGGCGGTGCAAGTTAGTTCCCCCTTCCATCTCGAGGATTTCAAGAACTCATCATCGCTTACAGGTGCTATGCTCTGGGGAAATGCTATCTTTAGCGTGGGTGCTATCTTCATTGCAGCAGCAACTACCGTTCGTTCATACAAGTTCATGATCTTCGGAGTCGTTGTCCAGGCCTTCGGTGACATTGCGACTCAGGTCGCCCAGTACAAAATCTTCAGCTCCTGGTTCGCACCCTCCAATGGCTTCGCGTCCACCCTCGGATTCGAGCTCGGCATTGGCAAGATAGGAGCTTTTGTTGGAAAGTCTACAGCGAATGTCATCGCAAAGAAGACTGGAGACTTTAGCTGGGTGTACTGGACCGCCGTTTTCATGAACCTTTTCACCAATGCCGTAACGGTTGTATTCTGGCTCTTCACGAAGTGGTGCGGAAAAAAGTACTCGGGGACAGCCGATCCAGCGACAGGCGAGAAGCTAACAGAAAGCAACAAGAAGTTCGAGGTCGGCAAGGTGCTTCGGCTACCATGGCCATTCTGGGGAGTTGTCGGCTTCTCGCTATTCCAGACCAGTGCTGCCGTCGTGTACTCCCAAAACGCAACTGAGATGGCTGAGAAGCGCTTCAACATCAGTGCTGTTAAAGCGGGCTGGTACTCGGCTATGTCGCAATACCTGGGCTTCTTCCTCGTTCCGCTCATTGGAATCTTCGTTGATCTACTCGGCAACCGCATCACCCTCATGCTTGTGTGCGGTATGGGCATGCTTCTTGCCATGTGCTTAGCCGAGTGGGGCCCGACCGTCAGTGGGACTGCGGCATCCTTTGGAATATTTGGTGTCGCCTCCATGTTTGGTCCAACTGTCATTATCGACGCCATCCGCACCTCCATGTGGTACCAGGAAGTCTTCGGTTCGGGATACGCAGTGAAGATCGCTGTAAACAACAGCATGAACATCATCATCCGTATCGTTACTGGTGTTATTCAGGATCGCGACAATGACTCATACGATAACGTCGTGATTGTATACGTCGTTCTTGCTGCGGGGTCCGTGGTCGTCGCCGCCGCCATGCTCGCTTGCAGCTTCATGACAGTGGATGTCAAACATCTTCAGTGGACCAGGAAGCAGCGGATCGCGAAGGGTCACTTGATCAACGAAAGTAGAGAGAAATTCGAGAATGGGATTCAGGGCCAGAGGAACAGGAAGATCAGCCTGACATTGTTCGTGGCCTTGCTGTTCCTAATACTAGGCGCGTGGGCGGCGTACTTCTGGGGCGTTGCAACGGGCAACAACAAGTGATCGACAAGGACTTGGTCCGCTTAATTATCTACTCTTGCCCGCAATGCGAAGCGACGATATGGTTGAAAGAGTAATTCAGCAAGTCTGACGTTTCAGTCAGCCGGAAGCATCGAAGGCGCGAGGCGGCAATGATCAAAATGCAGAAGAAATATTTTTCAAAAGGAATGGCTTTTTGCTACTAATTCTGTCTGTCCATACCAGGAAATTTGTCTCTTTGCTCACTACAATCCACCACTACACGGTTACCACCAGCTTCGTTGCACTTACACCCGCCTTTGACTTCTTGAGCGCCTCTTGGATGTACTCTAGGCCATTCCCAACAACAGTAGGCGGTGGAAGACACTGGAGCTTTCCAGCCTGCAACGCAGGGGTAACATAGTCCCTCCAGACTGGTGTCGCAATCTCGTTAACACAAAATGCCATACCCGCCTTCACGTTCGCTGGCACGTCTTCGGGTGGAGGATGCGAGCAAGCAAGGTGACCTCCACCTAGCTTGGCAAGAATGGCAAGGTCGTTACTGTAGGTGTCGGGAATGCTAATGGTGTCGAAGATGCCAACGAACTCATGTCCAGATTTGCGAACTGCTTCGACAACCTTGTCGACAAACGAGGCATCCTTGTAATCGAAGACTTGAGCCGCGCCGCAACGCTTGCTGAGGTCGAAGTTGTGCGCACCCGCGATAGCGATGACATGAATTCCGGCAGCTGTCGCCAGCTGAGTCGCCATGGATCCGACGGAAGAAGAGCCGCCGTAAACCACAAGCGTCTTGCCTACTGACTGCACTGGGTCTTCTAGCGAAGGGTATGGCAACCCAAGTGCTGGTGTGGCGACACCGGGCATCGCTACGCCGGGTATCTTGAGAGAAAGCGCACAGATTGTGGCCTCCAGAGCAAGCGGCACCACGACCCCATCCGTGAAGGAGATGGTATGGGGGAGGATAGCCGCTTTGTCGGCCTGAAGAGTAGTGTACAGCGCAAAAGCGCCATCTTGAGCACGGCCACTGATAAGATTGATGGTATGCCTACACCAAAATCAACCCCAGTCCCTTCGACATAGTGAGAGGCTTAGCGAGACTTACCCAATAACACGATCCCCCTTCTTAAAGCGCTGCACGTCCGGTCCTGTTTTATACACCTCACCAGCTACATCGCACCCAAAGATCGCAGGCCACTGTTGGATGAACACACCGTAATCTTGCATGTGCCAGTCGAGCGGGTTGATGGCGATTGCAGCGTTCTTCACTACGATCTCGCCGGGGCCGGCTGTGGGCATTGGGGCGTTAGATACCTCAAGGGGCGTGTCGGCTTTGGCGAGCCATGCGGCTTGATTCTTCGGTGCGGCCATAGTGGAGAGTTGAGTTGGAGGGTGAAATTTGTGAAAAGACAGTGTGATTGTCAGTAAGATGCTTTGGATAGTAGAAAAGCTGCTGGCTGGTTGCTGAGGTATTTGACAGAGTGATAGCTGAGTTATATAGTTGTCGCTACCTATGCTTGTATGCCTAATGTGAGCGAAATGATTTCCAACCACCGACGTTGCTTACAGCACCTTCCGCATTGCAAACTACTATCTGACCGAGGGAATGTTCGTCTACACTCGAAATGGTCGTCTAGAGCGCAGTTGTAAGCAATCGCGGAACTCATGAGGGATATCTGTGAAGAACCACACATGCGGTTCCTGATGGCGTGAGATCGTCATGCCGTTAAACTAAAGTGATTACCTGCGAAAAGTCGATACGAGTCTATACTAACCAACTAATGAGAGAAGCATTACAGAGTTTGGCGTTCAGTAGAACCAGATATGCTGTTCCTACCTTAATCAGCAGAACCACATATGCCGTTCCTTAAATCCGGTCTAGAACCGGTGCTAAACTAGGGCAGGGTCCACCCGCGTTCCCTCAACACCTCCACCATCAATCGGATGGCTTCCACGCCGTTCTGGACATTGTCACGCCGGCTACAGCCCTCGTCGCCTTGAGGCAGGTTTACCATGAGAAATCCTTTGTTTCCGCTTACCGAGGTTAACCTCTCCCTGCTAAGATAACCAAATTGTGGATCTGTAGGTAAAGCACGCAGGCACGCAGGAAACTCCCAACAATACACCCGAGTACCAGTTGTGTGCTATGGTCTCTTTTCTCACTAACACCATATTAGATATGACCTTCAACGCATTCATCAGCTCTACCAAGCATGATGCCACCTTATAAACTTGGCGCATCTGGTTTTCTCTCGTATAATGCTCAGTTTCGCGTGCTGATCTGTCACGAATGCCAGTACGCCATTCAAAAAAGCGCGCTGGAGAGTCACTTGCTCCGGCACAAAATCTATCGTGCTGAAAGACAGCGACTACTCGAATCTATCGCAAATCTCGAACTACTTGAACCACAGGATGTGCCTCTGCCGGATCCGACATACCCGCCTATCCATGGGTTGCCTGTTACGAATGGATATTGCTGTACGATAGACGGGTGTGGAAACCTATGTGCTAGTGAGAAACGTATGAAACGTCATTGGAGTGAGAATCACGGCGAAATCAATCACGGACGTGCTGAGGATCATGTGCGAGAGGTGAAGATTCAGACACTTTTTCGCGGGACTAAACTGAGGTATTTCGAGGTTAATGTTTCATCTGCGGTATCGCTCGCCATCACCAATGGTGAAGATGATGATATTGATGACGAAACATACTATCAAGAAAGATATCATGAGGGAATTCATGGTACATATACAGCAGTATCACCATACATGCGGACCGCACCCACAGTCGCTCTTATGCCGCCTACCATTGACGTCAACCTAGAGACGTTGACATACTTTCACCATTTCACCACCGCAACAAGTCCCAGGCTTCCTATATTCAGAAGCATTAACTCCACAGCGCGCTACTGGCAAAGGGATTTTGCTTCCCTTGCACTGCGGCGGCGATGGCTGATATGCGGGTTGCTAGCTCTCTCTGCATATCATATGGCTATTTTTGAAGAGAATCCCGCCGTTAGGCGAGCTCACTGTGAGCGGGGGGCGACTTTCCGTGTCGAATTTTCTGTAGGATGGCGAAATATGATAGAGTGCGATGTGGAAATAATGGAAGAAGATGAGAAGAACATAGGCCAGCCGGTGGACTGCCTTCTACATTTGGCACACCAGGCCACAAATGGTACCATCCCACAATTACCGACCTCGAACTCCTTCCAACTACAGTTATTCATAACAACAATTCAAAACTTCGACATGCCCGGCTCCACATTTCGCATTACCAACGACCAGAGCAATGACAGCGACACTATATCAATCATTGCTCAAGCAACTGAAGTTCTCAAAACGCCAAACCTATCAGAAACCAGGAGCTTCAGCACAGCTAGCACCGGCCGAAAGATTCTCTCTGTACTGCTCAACCGCCTTCACACACTCCCATTCCTCATGACGGAGGCATTCGGCAGACCAAAAGTAGAGGATCTCGCGGATGTACTGGACACAGTATCCGCTGTTGCCGCTTTGATCGAATGTTGTGAGATCAGCTTTGCATCGGACGTTGAACCAGCAACCAACCATGACACTGATCTAGCAAGAGCGGCGACCTTGGAGGCAGCTTGGCACGGTATGACAAGGTGGTTGACCAAGATCTCACCGCACTTTCACGACATGATATCGCGTAACCATCCATCTGCTCTTACAATGGTAGCACATTGGGCATTGCTAGTTGACTGGGCTGAGCGATGCGGACACTGGTTCTTGAGCGGCGCAGCGGACAGCATTATGAAGGAGGTCAGGGGACAATTAAGGAGAGAAGATGAAGCAGTCCGTAACCTGGTCGATGGCCTACTGTCTTGAATAGTTTAGAGGTGTCTGACCCATTAAGAGACGACACGCTTTCCGAGGAATATCGTTTGTGAAGGTTTTCCCATCATGCCTAACATGGATCTACATCGATTGATTTACTTATATCCGGTCAATTATTGCACAACTTTGAGCCGGGAATTCATAGCATCCTTTTGTAACTATGAGCTTGTGGCTTTTTTGGACGAACGAAAACCTCACATTCGCAGTGAAAGAGACAAAACACAGAAGTCTCAGAAACGGGGATATTCAAGTCTTAAGCCGCTTCCTTATCTCCCTTCTAGTCATAACATCCCCAAATGGTCAAAAATTAGTAATGCAAGTTAAATTATAGATTTAGATACATATGCTATTCATACTTGTATACTGTACCTGAAACTATACGGCTCCCCCAGCACATATGGTTTTGCGCACTAAGAATCGACATTAATATAGCTAAACCCAACTATCAGCTTTCCTTGTAAGGACAATACTCATGTGAGTTATGTTTGACTTACATGTGGCGGTGCTGCACAGCCCCCCTTATAGCCTTATTGGCCCGCTTAACCTCGCATAGCCCACTTAGTACATAAAGTTGGGTGGGTGTATATTTAATATAAAGTCTCCGATTAAGGAGGTGGCGCAGCATTAAGCTGCAAGTCTAAGTGGATAGATTAAGTCACGTAATCTAATCGTAGCTATAGTTAGACCTACTTCAGCAACGTACATTAACTATACGCCCACCCAACGTTGTAGAAGTGCACATCTAGTATCGAATTTTCGTTGCACTCCCAACCTCGATGTCATATGGATGTAACAGTGCGCTTTCTACACCGTTATTTCTCCTCGCCTTTAAGAACTAGTGTGACGAGATGGCGGAAGCGCTAGCTGTAGTTGGCATTGTCGCGAACATAATACAGCTCGTTGACTTCGGCTCCCACGTTCTGAACCGTCTGGAAGAATATCAGTCTATGTTTGGAGACATACCCGAAGCGTTCCGTCACATTAAAGCCGAGCTTCCTGTGCTGCTAGATGCTCTCTCGCAAACCCAGTCCTCGATCAATGCTAGATCTATGCGAGAAGAATCCAAAACAGCGCTCATTCCTGCTATTGAGGGGTGTAGAGTCCAGATAAAGCTGCTAGACGATGTTATTACAATAGCGCTACCCGTGTCAAACGACTCGTGGGTCAGAAAAAGTGGGAAGGCATTTAAAAGCCTTCGTTATGACGCAAAAGTGGAGAGGGTAACAGCAGTGATCCGGGGATATGTCCAGACGTTGACATATCACGCTACCGTCTCACTGGAACCCTTGGCCGGTATATCTCTCCCACGTTCTAAGGAACCCTAGTTCTGACAGTTGCAGACCGAACTCCAGTCGGCCCCACCCCGTCCTCTACTGTGCCCTTCCGACGTGATCCACACTTTGTAGACCGTCAAATGCTTGCAGAGATAGATTGCAGGAGCCAGAAACCTGCTTCTAGATTGGCACTAGTTGGTCTCGGTGGCGTTGGGTATGTACAAAATTTTCTTTTCTAAAGGCACAAACTGACAAACTTGAAAGAAAGTCGCAACTCGCCGTCGAACACTCATATCGTATACGACAAAAGTCACCAACTACCTGGGTCTTCTGGGTACATGCAAGCTGCACATCAAGATTTATAGAAAGTTATCGGAAGATTGCTGAAAGAGCTAAGCTGCCTAGGTGGGATCAGCAAGATGTAGACATTTTGATGTTGGTCTACAGTTGGTTGTCTAATGAGGAAAATGGTCGCTGGTTGATGATCATTGACAATGCAGATGATGTAGAGGTCTTCACGAGTAGGTCAACAGGAGGGAGGGGGAACCAAGAAGAGTTTGCAAGTAAGACAGCCCCGACTCTCCTGGACGCTATTCCTCAATCATCAAACGGGTCAATCCTCATTACCTCACGAAGCCGAGATGTCGCTTTTCGACTGACGGGAAATTATTCGGATATCATCAGAGTTCATCAGATGGAACCAGCACACGCTCTGACCTTGCTTCGAAACCAGCTCAAGCATAGCTTTCGAAAAAACGATGCGGAACAGGACGGTGTTGAACAGGAAGATGCAGCAGCATTAGTCGAAGCACTTGACTACATGCCCCTTGCTATATCCCAAGCCGCTGCTTATATTAGCCAGAGAGCTCCACGTGCTACCGTGTCAAAGTATCTGCAGGATCTTCTTAAAGGTGATCAAGAGAGAGCAAGGCTGCTGCATATGGACCTTGGCGACACCCGAAGGGATGGCACAGCATCGAACTCCATTATTGCCACTTGGCAAATCTCGTTTGAGCACATCCGAAGAGAAAGGCCCGCAGCTACAAGACTGCTGTCGCTCATGAGTCTTTTCAATCGGCAGGGGATTCCGGAATCTCTTCTTGGTGGCCGCTACCACGATGGGGGTGGTTCCAGCGGTGACTTTGAGGACGATCTGAACATGTTGCTAAGTTTCTCTCTGATTGCGACAGACGTAGATGGGCACCATTTTCAAATGCATCGACTGGTACAATTCTCAACAACAAAATGGCTCGAGTTACAGGGCGATCTAGAGGGGTGGAAGAAGAAGTATGTTAGACTGATAGATGACAATTACCCGGATAGCAAGTATGAGAACTGGGAGGCATGTCAAGCGCTGTTTCCACACGCTCAAGCAGCAGTAGCGTGTCGGCCAAATGGTGGCACCGCACTCACGACCTGGGCGTCCGTTCTCTCCAAAGCTATGGTCTATGCATATGATATGGGATACTACCAGGAAGCTGAGGGGATGGGTCGACCCGCCTTAGAGGCAAGAGAGAGCACTCTAGGAAGAGAGCACCCATATACGCTCTCCAGCGTCAGTAGCCTTGCAGTAGCATTACGAATAGGGGGTAAGTATGAAGAGGCTGAAATGATGTTGCGGCGCGCCCTGCAAGGAAGAGAGAAGGTGCTTGGCCCTAAGGATCCACTTACGCTTTCTGACCTCAACAGTCTTGGGTTAGTACTGTCGGAACGGGGCGATTACGAAGGCGCTGAACGTATCCACCGGCGGGCGCTGCAGGCACAAGAGAAGGTCCTTGGACTAGAGCATCCATCTACCCTTCAGAGCGTTGACGATCTTGGCGTGCTGTTAACAAAACGAGGCAATTACGAAGAGGCTGAATTAATGCACCGGCGTGCACTACAAAGAAGAAGTAAGGTACTTGGGCTAGAGCATAAGAGTACGCTTGCGAGTATGGACAACTTGGGCTTAGCATTAGGAAAGCAGTGCAAACTGGACGAAGCGGAAGCAATGCACCGCCGAGCACTCGAAGGAAGCGAAAGGACGTTTGGTGAAAGACACCCAGACACATTGATATGTGCGAGGAATCTAGCCTCTGTGCTGGGATTTCTAGACAGGTATGCGGAGGCAGAATATATGCACCGACGAGTGTTGGATGATAGTTTGAAGGTGCTCGGGGAAGAACATCCGTTCACATTATACAGCTTCTGCAACCTGGGCTCTGTGTTACACTCTCAGGGTAAGGATCAAGAGGCGGAGGCAACACATCGACAAGCGCTAGCTAGGAGAGAAAAGGTGCTAGGGAGGGAGCATCCACATACCCTGAGCAGCATGCACAACCTCGCGAAAGCCTTGAAAGGTCTAAGCTGCAATCAAGACGCCCTTTTTCTGATGCAGAGTTGTTTTCTGCTGAGGAAAAAAGTCCTTGGGCCTCTTCATCCAGACACGAAGAAGTCACATAAGGCACTGAGTAAATGGGGACATATAGATTACGAGGATATAGCCTGGGAGCAAATTGAAAGAAAAGAGGGTGTCTCTTTGGGCTCAATTACATTCGTAGTTGTCTTATGGGCCTTCATCGGGGTTTCATTTCTGTGGTTTTGGGGGCGTTAGCAGCCTTCCCTTAGGTCTCCGCACGGCCACGGCACCAAGTATTTGGTTTAGAATTGGTTCATTGAGCTCCCATGTTGCAATTTGGAGTGGACATCTTATTTAATTGGCCAACACGGCCGAGTATATGTACCTATAACCATACGGCCATCTCAGTAGCACAGCTTTCTATCGTGCACTAATACTCCGCGTCTCCGCTGTAAAAGAAACCCTACCATCTTCGCTACTTGTAAGGACAAGTCTCCTTCGTGTGGCTATACGCATTACCAGACTTGTTCCGCTGTCGATCCGGCGACTCGATGCAATACTGACACGGACACACATTCAGTGGCGCAGGGGAAAGTCGAGGGAGGGAAGGCGCAACCTGCCTGGCTGCGTGCTTGACCAACTCAAGACACTTCTCCGTCTTGTGCATATTCGCATTACTCCGGCGATGCGGAAGCGTCGCGCAGAGTGCGCAGTGAACCACTGCATAGCACCCCGCAGCAACGTGGCTGTTCGAGTCGCACTTGGTACAAAAGACGGGCACTCCGTAGCTCATTTTGCTCCAGTTTTGGAGATAAACCTTGAGGCCTTGATATAACGCTGCATTATCCTTCGGTGAGCTTGGGTATACCATTAGCAACGCTCCAATCATTGTGCACACAATGTCGTTGCCAGCATTGTGGAGGTACGCCTCTACCACATTGAACTTAGCCAGCATATCGCAAAGCCGCATCTTGCGTCCTGGGGTAGCAAGGCCAGCCTCAACAGCCAGGATTTGCGTGTCGAGAGTCGCCACGACGACATCGAGGCTGTCGATGTCGAAGCCAAAGCGCTCTTTGATCATCTTTGTGTCGTTGTCTACAGCGTGACCTAGGAAGATGACTGGACGACGCTGGCCAAACGAGTTGAAGCGGGTGAAAAGATGGCGCAGCATCGAAGCTGCTTCTTCTGTGCTGACGAACGTGGTCTTGCCAAACTGGTACTTCTCCGGGTATCCGTGACAAAGCTCCGAGTTCACCATATGTGCGTTGGGCTTGATGCGCACGTGGTGATTGACAATCATTCGCAGTACCTCCCATAGTGAGCTCCAATCGTTGATGAACATGGGGTCTAGTACAGAGACGCCTAGCTCGGTGATGTACTCGGGATTGTGTTCATACCACTCTACGTCGAGGCCGACAAGGATAGCGTCGCGAAGGTGATTAGCCGCCACCGCCGCGTTGCCGAAATGGATCGTCTGAAGTCGAAGCCAGTGTTGCAGAATGGCTGAATGCGTCAAGCCTCGGGACTGTTCGGCTTCGAGCAAGGACTTCAAATCGGATGGCGGCATGGTTGCAGCCCGGAAGCGCGTGCGTGAATCTGATGTGAACATTTAAAGTGGGTCGTCCGTTGGATTTCCCCAGATTTGAAGCCGAGTTGAAGGTGCTAGTAGGGAAGGTTTCGAGAGAGTGAAGGGAGAACATCGCGAGGTGCCGTAATAGGTTGTTTCGATTGACATTGTTGGTGAATGTAGGTGTTGCGATGCTTTTACAATATCGCCGACCGAGTGAGACCCGCTAGGAGAAGCCTAACGTTGTGTGGGTATGTTGCGACAATCCATGTTTACGACCAACTTTCTAGACCTATTATAGCAAATCGCTATGTAGAGACGGGGTTGAGATAGTAAAAGTTGTATGGTACACTACCTGTAAAATCGCAACAACACGATTGTACCAACCTTGGTAGAAGGCTGTTATTCGTGCATTGAGAACTTCATAGGGTGCTCCTTGCCTTTGACGTATACTAACCGTTCAAGATCTCTAATCCTGAGCATGTGATCGACTTGTGACTCGAGAGGCATCATCTTATCGAAAGAGACCGCGAATTCGCATTTTGCGATAATTTCTTGCATTCTGTCATTGAATTACGCTCGGTCTGTTGGGCGACATTGTTGCGAGTCTCGAGAGAGGTGCTTGAGCAGATTGCTAACTTTTTGTTCTGCTGCTGTAGGCAGCAGCATCGCTGTTACGTGGCTGGAATCAGTCCTATAGTTTTGTTTTGCGTCGCGGTACTGTACCGTTCATTTTGTTGCAACACTGCTTTTACGATTTGCAGAGAGCTTCTGAGCTTTATAACTTATTCTTCTCTCTCATTGAGTTGATTAATTGTAGGTCTGTGCGACGGGCTTTGGGTAATTTATCGAAGATAGAAAGAGGATGGATACAGTGCTTGGAAGAGATTCAGCAAAACCTTCAATATAACGCAATACAAGCATTTCCAGGTGGAGGACTAAATGTTAGCTCTACTTTCAGAAATGAGTAAAAGGCTTGAGATGGCCATCACGACGACGCATATCTGGAGCTTCATGACAAGACAATAAGATGAGTGTGAAAGTGAATGTATTATTATGTGAAAGAGCGAGCTATTCTACATTGGAAATCGCTTACTCAAGACATTCCGGTTAGCATTGGCCTTGGACGGCTCTAGCTGGGGGTATATGTTCAGGCATTATCAGGGGATAATTCATAATGAACTTCGGGTCATGTCTTTAAATCTTCTCGTTGACGGGAAGGCTGTTGCGCCTCTCGGTGGCTACGCTCATACGCCTCTCGATATCCTCGGCCTGGTGCGCCGTTCCGATATGACCGGTAGGAAGCAAGTTCAGTGCGTCTTCCTCCTTGTCCATTCTGCGGTACGCAAACCAGAAAGCAATACCAGTGACGAAGGAGATGATGGCCACGGATCCGTAGTTCCAGACGAGCTTGGGGTCGGTCGTCAGGGGAGTGAAGGCCTGGGCAAGCGCGGCGGAGAAGGCGGTGGTGAAGAGCTGGACGGACTGGACGAGAGACCTCATGTTCTTGGGGGCCTTGGTGAAGGCATACTCAAGAGTGGTAACAGAGGCGAAGATTTCGGAAATGGCGATGAGCACATAAACACCGGCCACGGACCAGACGTTGATGGGGGACCTGTAATCATCGGTCGGGTTCTGGTAGTAACCTGAAGTCTTGTAGATGTAGTACTGAAGGACGGCAGCCCAGACCATAGCGAAAGAACCGAGGATGAAACCAGCAGTGATCTTCTTGATGGGGGTGAACCTGATACCTCGCTTGCGGAGCGCGGGGTAGACAAGACTGTCCATGACTGGTGGAATTGTTAGCACACGAAGTCATGCTGTCAATAGGAGTGGACTTACTGGGAACGATGATGATAATCGCAATAGGATCCAAGTTGTTGAGAATGTCGTTGGGCACACCGTGAAGAGCCATGGTGCTGCACATCTGGGTCAAGTTGGAGTCCATCTGACGATAGGCAAGCCAGAAGATGGGCACCCAGAAGAAGACGGAGCAGGCGCCGAAACCACGCGCGACCTCGTCCACCCAGGCGTCGTCGAAGTTGTACCACTTGGGCCTGTTGGCGCCCAGGTGCGATGGCTTGACGCTCTGCCACATGTTTCCGCTGTTCCAGTTCTTCCAGGTGGTACGGGGGTTCAGGCTGAGGCCGTTTCCGAGAGCCTTGAACAGCAGCTTGAAGGCCGGTCCCATGACGTTGCCACTCGGCGGCTTCAGGACGTAGAACTTCTTGCAGAAATAAAGCACCGGGAGGCACACAATGAACATGACGGTAGGGATCAGATAAGCAAGCCAGAAACCCACATATCTTTCCGCGTAGACCATGCCGATCTGGCCGACCAATGCGCCGATGTTGATGAAGAAGTAGAACCAGTTGTAGATGCGGGTCACGGTAACAGCGGGGTCGACAATGACGCGCTCGCCCTTGGCAGTCGTCTCGACACGCATCGTCTCGTGGGGCACCTGCTCGGCAATGAGAGGAGAGATGTTGGGCTTGAATGTGCCCGTTCCGAGACCCATGACGATCAGACCGATGATGAAGGCAGCGAGGGAGCTGTCTGGCTTGGCCAGGACACTTGGCGCAGAAGAGCCGACGAGGATAAGATGGCCGATTTCAGCGACAATGACGGAGTAGACAATGGTCTTGAAGCGACCAAGATAGGTATCAGCAATCCAGGCACCGAGAAGAGGGCAGCAGTAGACCCAGAAGGCATTGAAGGTGGTCAGACTGAAGGCGACCTGCTTTCCCATGCCCAGGGCACCGGGTTGGGCATTTTCGTTTTTGGGATTCAGAGCAGCTCCCGTTGGCGTCTTCAGTGGTTTGGCGATGAAGTTGGAGTAGACGGCGACAGTACCGTAGTAGGACATGCGCTCGACGAGCTCGACAAAGGCAATCTGCACGTGCAAAGTCAGGACCAGTGTCACGTGCGAACAATGTAGTTATGTTTCTTACCGTATAGATTTTCCATGGGATGTGGGCGGGGACACGGCGGAGCGTCTTGAGCTCCTCCTCGGTTGGGAGTTCCTCGACATCGCCAATGTAGTGCTCCTGGAGGCCAGCTTTGCCCTCGGAATGAAGGTAGGTGGGCGGCCCCGTGGTGTGGAGGGCGGGATTCTTGCGCTCAGGGTCGCCAGAGCGATCCACCAGAGCGTGGTCCAAGCCAGTCGCTTGCTGTGGGGGGCACCATGGTTAGCATGTGGGTTGCAGGGTGGGTTACAAAACAAGCTACATGGCTGGAGGCTACTTACGACTACGTTGTCGTCGCCAATGGGCATGGTGGGCGCGCACAGGTGAGGCGAGGTTGGCAGAGGTTGAGGATGGGGAGTGCCGTGCTACAACAGGGCGCGGCGGGCTGGGGGGGATTTATGGGCTGCGATGGACAAGAGGAGAGACCCGACGAGACTTATTAATTGAGGAGTGGTGGTGCATTTAATCTGAGCACGCGAACGGCGGGTCCAGTGTTGTGCTCCAAAGGGCCGGGGCTCGAACAGGAAGGCGTGATAGCAGCGGCAGGGATCAGTCGCCATATCGACTCCTTCACCACCGTCTTCATCAGCTCTCGACTTGCCACCGCGGCTCAGGATGCCCAAACGAGCCGCGGGCGTGCGCGATAGCTACAGCGCGATGCTACATTGGCACCGCATCGCCGAGGGGCCCATTTCTGCTCGATTCAAGCCTCGCCAAGTAGCTAACGACGACTGGCAAGCAGCAACACAAGAGAGCTTGCGGCGTCCCAAGATAAGGGTGGGCGTAAGTCTCCTGCCTAATGCGGCCGACTATCGCTACCCCGCCGCATGCACCGGGGCCACAGACTGCCACCCACTGTCGACGCCCCCAACGTCGGTGTGCCTTCGCTAATATGCATATGCAGCACAGAGAGGTGGGTGGAGGTGCATGGTGGATGGTGGCTGGCTACGAACGCCAACTCTCCGCCGTGTCATCGCTGTCCCGCTGCTCGAGCGGCAGAGCGGGTACTTGCGGCCAGCCATTGTCAGATGTCGCGCGACCCTCTGGCGACGACGACGGAAATTCGACCCTTCCAGAAGGACGACTAGCCGGCCAAACAAAGAAGGCCCACGGTTAATGAGCCCAGGTAGCGCGCTTGTCAGCCCTTGCACGGTGGGGCCGTTGCGGACTCTTGACCGAAAACATAAGACAATGGCGGCAAAGCTTGGTCGCTTGGCCAATGGGACTACACCTCAACACGATGTCCTCGGTGTATCGGTGGACACAAAGGCTGGGCATCCTGTCGATAGAGGCCTTCGAACCTTCTAGGGTTCGCACCTAAGACCTGGGCGTCGGTAAGGCCGGCATGTCGACATATCGCATGTGCAAAGTAGTGGGCGTGTTCGAGAATAGAAGCCAAGCACGAAGCCGTGGCGTCGAGGGCGCCATCAAAAAAAAACGTTGTGGCTGCGGGTGAGGCTGGCCATCTAGTCGCATCGTGTGCGAGCGAAGCACCACTGTGAACGCATCCCATTGGGGTACTACTAGAAAACGACGCTGGTATAGAAGAAACACTGTCTGTGTAAGTGTAGAGTGTATAGAGTGTAGAGAGGACGGGGTCCGGTCTGTCTTCGGCTACTCCGCGATTCGCGAACACCGTGTGGAGGCACACTAGGAAAAGTGAGATTGTAGTGTCCCGTTGTAAGACGGGACGAGACAGACCGAAACGCCCCAGGAACGGCGCTAAAAGGGCACGTGAGACACCTTAATCTGTCCTCCGAGTGCTATTTTCCTCTCAATCATTGAGCGGGGGCCCCAAATGCAGGTAGAGCATCAACCGAGGCTCCTGGCCGCGAGCTCCTGGCCTCGAAATAGTCGGAGCTGGAGACGTACCAACTGGCGGGGTACTAGGCGAGCCCTGGAGTGTCAGGCGGGCCCCGTGGTTGGTGTGCGTCTCACCATTTGGAATCCGAGTGTCATACCAAGCCATCGTCCCGTCAATACTTCGTACTCATCAGCAAGCTCATCAGCAAGTACACCTAGCGACATAACGATAGCGGCCAAAGCTTCGTCAGATACGGAAAGCGCCCAACACCGCACCTTCCAAACTCACGCCTAGCCACTTCCTTCGTCTCTTCCGCTGATTACTGCATCTCCACACACCACCACAAGACTATGCTAGTCCCGCCTTAAGTCAATGAAGCTACAAGGTCTCCACTCCATCGCTCGCTGGCTATCGCATCCTCTATCTTACGAGATGGACAACTCACGGATCTTCAAGCGATCATGACGGTCGGGCTGATACCCCTACCCTGGCTCCTGTGATCCTACGATACTCTAGTTCTAATCCTTCTATCCTAACACACTGCAAAGATGTCAAGGTTACGATAATGCAAAACCTGAGGTATCAATGATATGCAGACACGGTACGACACAGGATACCGCTTGCGCTGAACATGCGCGCGCGTGTGAAGATGTGCGATGAGCGTGCATGGTGAGTGTAATCATACATGTCAGTGGCGTAGAAGCGCACGCGAAGGAACAACGCCATGATGACCACATCTTATTCGCGAATCACGTTTTAGAGTAGTTGCCCCTTCTTCTGCAGCGTCTGGAGTCGCTCCGGCGTAACCACGCTCAACGCCAGCGCACCTCCAATCACAATGCCCAGCAACAAGACCAGCAACAAATGCACAGGTTCGACTCGCGACGCTGAGCGTGGCGCGCTGGGTGCATACGGCCCGACCATCTTCTTCAACGGCTGCACCTTGTTCTTCAGCGCATACTCATATCCGCGCTTCATGCCCGGCAGCCCATCGATGCTCAACTGGCTCTTCCACGCCCAGTACCGGTCCATGGACTCTTCTTCCTTGCCTGCGAGGAACTTTGCTTCTTTCTTGGCAAAGTGGTCGTCGAGGATGGGCCGGTGGCCTTTGAAGTCGTAGTACGGCACGCTGAAGCCACAGCTTGTCGCGCACTGGTGTACGTTGACGGTGATGATGCTGCGACTCCCGGGGATAACTGGGACTTTGCGCTCACGCACAAACGCGTCCCATTCTGGTGTGCCGTTTTCGATGGGGTGACCATCGCCCCAGATGCGCACGATGCGTGGGGGGCCGACAAAGGCCATGAACTAGGCCAGGTCAGTAACAAGTCTGTATATGTTTCACATTTGCTATCTCTTGGTGAAGTTGGTCCAGGGTGCTTTGTAGTCTTAAACAAGGGGTACTTTACCATGACACATATCCGTCCATTCCCTGGCTCATGCAGATGTGCATGCGTCTCGACGCCGCTGCCCGTCAGGTCCATGTACCAGAAGGTGCGCTCATCGATGATGCCGAAATTCTGCCCACCCTTGGGAGAGATGTTGATGTGCCCGTCGCCTGACAGGGGGGCCGTTCCGCTTTACATGGACATCAGTGACTAGTCAATGTAGGAATAGTTCAGTCAGGCAAGAGCAGACCAAGGAAATGAAGATGGGAGACATGATATGTCGTGAGATAGCTGAGAAGAGAAGAGAGTACGTACACCCAGAGCATCTGCTGCTCAAGCATCCACGGCACCAGACTATCTGGTATCGTTTCATAGAAGACACCCATCTCTGCCGATGCTCGGGGTGGACAATATCGGTACAGGTACGCAGAAGTAAGGAAACTTTAGGAGAGACGAGTAGGGCGAAGATGATCGAGAAAGCGAATCCAAGGCTACGATCATGCAAGGTTTGATTCAGCGTTGTGAATCATCCATGTGCTTTTCCTACGGCATGCACGATGACTCTCCAAGATCCGCGGCCGGTATCGGCCTTCGCGCAGACAGCTCTAGGGCGTGTAGAGTGCACTTCTCCAGCGAGCGGTCCTGGAATCCTAAATCAGCTGCAGTTTGTTATTGTGAGGTAGTGTCGGTTTCCCGACGGTTCGTTTGGTTTTAGTTCGTGCATGTGGCGGGTCCGCCGTTCCGGCTGGAGAAATATGGAGAGAGGAGCCGAGGATGTGGGTATGTGAGCTGTGATTGGCTGGGTGGAGACTAGCCTCGATGAATAGTAGCGCATGCGACCCGTTTGTGGAGTAAGAAGATAAAATCGTGGAGAAGATGGAATTCATATACCTCGTATCAATCATACTTTTCGGAGTCTTTGGTGGACCGTCTTTTCGAGGGCTAGATCTAATCTAGCAAGGACAACAAGAACATTTGGATCACCAGTTTCGCGGCGGTCATGGCAAGACTTGAACAACGTTTAGACTAATTTTTCTTCATTTGTACGTCTCTTTGAATCAATAACTGTTACAATGGGTCCCCATGTCCTGGTTTCCAATCCTGTCTCCTCCACCTGACATCCCACATGTGAGTGCATATGTGCAGCTCTAAATACATCAATAAATCAAAATCCAAAATCTCCTTCGTAGTGCTTCCACGTCTGCACATGTTTGAAGTCAAGCATGTCGCCTGAAATGCCAACACCCGTACGCAATGCTCGCTATTTCAAAATTTTAATGCAAAGAGAGGGTGCACAGGTGCGTGAAGTACATCCCGAGCCGCCTGTTACATCCACACGTCTGGTCGTCGACACGAATTGTTGGAGTATCAGAACATCCTATAGAAGGGTGGTCATGTCGACACATGCGCATTGTTGGTCAATATCTGACACGGCCGTGTTCCTGCAGTAACTTCCGGATGTCGGTGATTGCGTCACGAACTCCAGGCTGCTGATCTTGATCTCGGTCCACGCTATTGTTGCTATTCGTGGCACGAGACTGCGGGCGACGGCGATTGTTGCTGTTGCTGCTGCTGCTTCTCCGCTCAGAAACAAAAAGAGACGTAGAGTCCTCATCTGATGAGAACTCTGTCTCGCGATTCAGAGCTCCACCCTGGTGTGATCTCTGATGGCCCTGTTGGCGGCGCTCGTAGCGAGGTACCGGACCACCTTGAGTTCTAGAGATACCCTTCCTAGGGCCTCGGGGTGTGCCAAGAAGGGATTTACCCAAATTAGGGTACTGAGGGGAGCTGACGTTGGATACGTTCGCGGCGAAGTCATGCTTGAAGACGCAGTTCTTCCTAGTGCAATTCGCGCCGTCTCGACATGGAATTCGTGAACGCGGGTCGTACTGCTTAGTAGCCGCATGCTCGGTCTGAAACACACTCTCAAGAGTCGGCGGCTCCATCCTTGGAGGCTGTCGTGGCTGCTGGACAGTGCTTGGAGGACCGAACCTCACAGTATCGTGACTCAGTCGACAATTAATGCCATGCCTACAAGAACCCAGCCGAAAAAAGTGATAGCACGGAGTATCCATAGGCGCCTCCGGTACTACATCCCAAGGATGCGTGAAATCGCAATCCTCGCCTCGACGGCAGTTGCTACCAAACTTGCACTCCGCGGGGTTTCGAATCTTAGGGAACGAAGCCTCTTCTGTCGCAATGGTAGGTTGGTCATCGTTTCCACTCTGGTAAACGAAGGGATTGTGTTGCGCCACAAAATCTGCATCGGGAATAGGTATGCCGTTTGGGCCTATATCTGTCCTCGCTGGATCGAGTAGCGGGTTGTATTTCGGTGCGTCGGTTACCGGGGCAGGAGCGGCGTTGAATTGCTGGGCGCCACTACTCTGCTGTGAGGCGCCATACTCTGTGTTGGCGGTCGTGTTGCTGTTCATCGAGGACACTAGAGATGAACCATTGCTGTACTGTGTGGATGTTGAGGAGTTCAGATATTCCATGGTCTCAGCCATGTCTGCTCGCCGAGCTTCCTCTATTAGGTTGCAGATGGCGTCTACACCGACCTTTAGATCTGCAAAGCATGCATGGTCAAATTGCCCAATCCGGGACTGCAACTGGGTCATCAGCTCCATCTGCCAGCCGGTCATATCAAGTTCCTGTGCTGAGCCGCCCCGGCATTGCAGAACCGAGATGGCACAGTGCGCCTCTGTGATGACATTGATGTCAAACTCTAGTAGCATATCGGGACTCACTAGGAGTTGTTGGGGGGTGATGGTTGCCAGTTGGTCGCCACGACAATTCCAGAGGTCGCTCAAGATTTTGAGGCAACTCTGCTTCGTGGGGGCATTGAGCTCGTCGAGCTTCGTTGGGGTAGCTTGGCCACTCGCCGCGAGGATTGCCAGAGTCCGGAGCGCATCCCTGTGCATTCCTGCTTTCGCCTGCAACTCTTTGCGCCAACCCTCTTTGGCTGTCTCCTCTTTCTGCTGCTGCTGCTGCTTAAGCTTTGTTCTCTCAAGCTTTGCTGCTTCGGCCTCCTGAAGCTTGCGTGCCTCTTCCTCTGCCCGGAGCTTCTCGCGTCGCTCAGCAGCCTTGGTCTCTTCTGCCTGGCGAGCTGCAACCTCCTCTTGCTTCTTCTTCCTTCGCTCAGATGCGTCGGATTCATGCTTGCGCTTCTCAGCGTCTTGTAGGCTCTTCAGGGCAGCTGCCTGAGCCTCTGCTTCAATCAGCGCTGCCGCCTTCCTTTCGTGGTCGGCCTTTTCTTGTGCACGCCTTGCCTCAACTTGCTCCTTCTCCTTCTTGGCCTTCTCCTCCTTGGCCTTCTCCTCCTTAGCCTTCTCCTCCTTGGCCTTCTCCTCCTTGATCTTAGCCAGTTGCTGATCGAACGTGGGTAGCTTGGCCACGTCCTGCTCCATGAGCTTTCGCAGCTTCACCTCGGACTCTTCCTGCATGGCATCCATTGCGACCTTGATTAGACGGTCGGAGAATTCAAATCGTTGAGGGGGGAGGCTGAGCCATCGCTCAATGTCGTCAATGCTACCGAGCAAAGCGACCAAGGAGTGATACCCCTCCGAATCAGTGATGCGATTGCGGAGTTGTCGAAGGCCCATGAGCGAGAGGTGTACATAGGGCAGGAGGTCGTGCCACATAACGGCAATAGCTAGATCGTGGTGTAGGTTGGAGACCGTTCGATGGAGGTAGTCGAGGAGTTCTTCGTCAACCTGGATATCAATTGCAAGTCTATCGAGCAGATCCAAAGCGCCACAGATGCCATTGTATTCAAGAATGAAATTCTCCGTGAGTTCCGCATTGGTCATCGTATTGAGGGGTGCCTTGCGAGCGAGAAGGGGTACAATCTCTCGAGCGACTTCGATGTGTTCGATAATCTTACCCGACTTGACCTCCTTGAATATCTCAACGAGACTTTCTTGGGAGGCACGCGCGTGGTCTTTGGTGTGATCGGCGAGCCCAGCGACATGTCTGCGTGTTGCATGAGCGTAGTAGCACATGCTGGCCATGTACTGAAGAGAATGAGCTTTGTAGATTAAATGTATTAGAAAGGTGTCCTACCTGGACGTTGTACGCGTCCTCCTCTGGGCGGCGCTTCTTAGAGCGGCGGGAATGAGATAGAGCATCGGTAGTGGCTTCCTACATCGCATCAGGTCAGCAAGCGAACTAAATAAAATAGGTACGTCAGGGAGTGCATACAGCCTCAGATTCGTTCATGGGTGTTAATGACGCCCGCTTCCTCTTTTCACCCGTTAGGGACGGAGGAGACATCAGGGGCGAGGTGCTATTGGCGGCAGAAGGCGAAGTCATGTTTGATTTGACACTGGTCGGTCGGGATACTGCATGCATGGCGGCTTCGATCTGGCGCGGTGGGGGTAAGAATTGAGAGAAAGGTTTTTGTGAGCGGTAGACAGTTCGAGTTTAAAGAATCGGACGCGCGCCCAGGCGACACTAGGAAATTGCGCGCTATACTAGCTTCAAGTCGCTATACGTGGAGTGAAATGAGGGTTTGGAGAAGCCGGGGTAGAATTTGAGGGAAAGAGCGAGGACCGCCGGCGGTGAATGGCCTGTGCGGTGCGACTATGAGGCGCCGTAGAAGACAAAGAGGAGTGCTTAAAGAGCATAATGGAATCTAATAGCAGGAACAATGGAAACAAGCTCGTGTGGTTGTTACTTTCACCGAGTGTACAATGTGAAGAGTTCAAAGACAGACTCAGAGGTCTCTGCTAGTGACGATATGGGCGTCACGGAGCTCATTGACAGTTGTACTACGACGTGGGATCCAGATATGGCCCAATGTATGATTTAAAAAGAAGTATGTGATTGATAGTGTGATTGATAGCTAAGCATGGGGGGAGCGGAGTGCGCGGGCGGGCGAGAGGATACAAGGAAAGACGCGTCTCTGACAAACATGACGGAATCAATGTTTGCCCAATTGAAGCAATTGGCCGACCTTGAATTCAGAAGATTTGAACCCAGGGCTGGTCCGGGCAAAACCATTGTGAAAGATAGCGGATTGCTTCCCAACTACCAGCGCCGTGCGTGGCCCGAGTAGTCCTACGTTGCTACTCGAGTGCGTGATATCTTTATATGTTCTATTGGAACGGTTTCATGTTTGACCGTGTGGCAGGGGAGGGGAGTTGCTTGTGGTTAATGTCATCATGTTGACGAGGCTGTCGAGGACGACGACAAATAACAAGAAGGAGAGTGCAGGGATAAGAGGCCGTAAGTGATGACAACACACTGATAAAAGCATAAGAGTGTAAGAATAGGCGTGCTAGGATGGCAATAAATCATATAGCGAATCCATCAGAAATGAGGGCGATAAAGGAGACGATGGAGTGAGGTTGGGATGGGGCGCGGCTCGGCGCAAATGTGGCGTTATTGTTGATTAGCGCGAGAGCAACTGCCGTCAAAACGCGCGAGGGTGTGAGGCGTGAGGCGGCCGGGGCGGCGTCGAGGCCATCACGACGCGTCGATTCAATTCAATGTCTGGCTCTCTCCGGACCAGCATATCAGGAGTGGCCATGAGGAATCCCGTCGCCTGTGTCTCGTGCCGGAGCGCGAAGCAGAAGTGCCTACACCAAAACGGCCCGCCGTGCGACCGCTGCAAGCAGACTGGCCGCGCTGCTCTTTGCGAATTCCCAGCCCCAGGCACGAGCGCAATCCATCGCAAGCCAAAACGGCCCCGCCCATCAGAGGATGCACAAGAAGCAAAACGAGACTCGCTACCTTCAACAAGCTCACAGCAGCATGCAGCCAAAGCTGCCGCCGTAGCGCCCCACGTGCCGAACGGCAGTGCCGCTACAGTGGCCCTCTCCCCGACTACGGCATCGTCACTCCTCGACGGCCTAGATCCATTTGACCTGCTCACAGATGAAGTAAAGAATAGCTATCTACGCTGCTCGTACAAATGGAGCTTCCATCACACTCCCACGCTCCTGTTGCGCATTCGCGATCGCACCCTAGAGCCATGGATGGTGTGGGCGATGCTGGCGCTGGCGATACGGTATGCACTGGTCCACGTCTTGTGGGTACTTATGATCAACTTATAAGGTCTAACGCGCTGTAGATTCGTCAAAGACCCGCCAGCGCCCTTCACGACGCAGACCGAGGCTAGTAATGCCTTCGCTGCCCATGCACGCCAAATCCTGCAGTCTGACCTTGAGACGCCCTCCATTTCCCGCGTTCAGGCCCTTTTGATGCTTACAGGGCACGATTGGGGCGCTGGGAATGGACGTCGCGCCTGGATTTATCTCGGCATGGCGATACGGCTGGTAGAGGTCATGGACCTGACGCAGGAGCTCAAGGTGCCGAGGAACCGCATGCCTACGCGCGAAGAGTTCATCGACGCCGAAGTGCGCAGACGAACAGCATGGACTTGCTTTCTAATGGATTCCCTGCTGAGCGGCGGTAAGGGGCGAAAAAGGTCCCTAGCTGCTGCCGACATGGCCATCCAGCTTCCCTGTGAGCGAGAGAGCTTCGTTTTTGGGGAGCCCATATGCACAGAGCAACTTGACCAGACGATCCGCATGCCATCCGTAACACTCCCCGTTGGCGAGATAGGCATCATTGGGTACAGTATGCGTGCTGCCAATATCTGGGGCAAGGTTGCCCGGTGGGCATGCTCCGAGGACCTCAAGACTGAACTCCCGTGGTCATCTGCTTCACAATTTCAGCAGCTCATCCATGAGCTCGAGGGGTGGAAGAACTCGCTGCCACAGCGGCTACAGTACGATCTATTCACCCTCCACAGTCACAACGCTGTCGAACAGGGCCAGGCGTACTGTTACATGCATTGCATCCACTTCATGTCCTGCATGTTCCTGCATCGCGCCTACTTACCTGTACTAGGACCACAGCAGAATGGTTGTGGCGCGGATGAGACACCAAACTCGTATAACGAGCACAACGACATGTGGAGGAATTGGCAAAAGACGTCGCGCAAACAGTTGTTCCGGGAGTCGACTATGGTCTTGGAGATGCTTGAGGAGATGCGCAATTTTGGCGTCTACTTCCTCCGTGGACTAGTACCTTGGATAGGGTTTACCATATATACAGCAGTTGGCGTGATGCTGTACTCGTTCAACTTTCCTAGTGGCGACGACGACCCGCGGTGGCGCGAGAAAACGCGAGAGTGCGTGCTTCAAGGGTGCATTTTCTTGAAGGACATGAAAACCCAGTGGCCAATGGCTGAGACTTGGGTAAGTATCGAACAAGTCCACAGTCAGACCTAAGCTGATGACCTCCGAGTTTGAGACTATCAAGCGCATGCAAGCATACTATCGCTCTGTCCTCGGCCAAGACAAGCCAGCCTCGCCAGAAGAACGACAGGCTCTTCGACGCGCCATGATCGATTACGGTGCACTCCAGCCATCGCCAGTCCAGAACCCTACAGACTCTTCAAAATTACCAGACGCGACCATTGTTCGGACGAGTATGACTCCGTCTCAACAACCCGCTGATGTATGTATCCCTATTCCCTCCTCACTTGTGAATTAATGAATTACACTGACTCGCCACCAGCTCAAAACCCTTCCCATCACCCTCCACAATCAAAATCAAAACCTCCTCAGTCCCCCTACAACCACACCAATGCCCAACGAGTACTCCTCGACGTTCACCTGGAACACGCCACACGCGATACCGCCACTAGAGGCCGACGAGACCTTTAACCTCGACTCATTCGACCTAACGAACGCGGAGTTGGAGGAGATGATGATGAATGCTACACAGGAGTTTTGGGCAAGTTTTCCGGGTGAAGTGGGTGTTGGTTATCAATAATAGCTCCAAAACAACACATTTTTCCTCTTGCGGAACTTGGCTGGCCAAGAATCTGACATGTCTTGATAAAGTCTCGAAGGACAGATAATCATATTCATTTGCGAGTGCGCCCTGGCCTCAGCTCAAGTATCGTGTCACGACGCAGCGCTTCTCTTCTCTTCTACTCCATCCTCACCTGACAAGTACTTGTCTCCTTGCAGAATGATACATCGCGCCTATGAAAACTGCGCAAGATAAATACAAAGTACGCATATGGTACGTATCTAGTCATCATTTTCTCTGCGCCTAATTCCACGAGCAAAACACGACATATTAGCGGGTCAGCAGCTCCGTCACAACTGTTCGATTCCATCACAAACCTTTTACAGCCATCACATCATACCATTACTATCGACAGTATAGTTACTTACTATGGGGCTTGAAATCTCGATCTGGTTTAGGAAGGCAACAACCGCGTTGTGGAGCGTCGTTGCCGAGGATTTGAGAGAGTGATTCGGATGTCACCATTTCGGCACAACTCACAAAAGCAAGGGTCAACCAATATCGCGGGTAGAATAAAACTACCCCATCACTTCATCGGCTCATCCAGATCGCATTGTGGACCTGGACCTGTATACCAGGGCCCACGGCATATATTGCACTACTCAACAAAAAGATCTTGCAAGCTTCGATGACGATCAGTAATTTTCAGCGTGACCCGTCAGCCTTATATAGTAGATCCTCGCTACTAAGCATATCCTCCAGATTATTTTCATCACTTATTTGACAACCAGTGCTCATCATGCATTCCATTCTCTTCCTACTGATAGCAGGCATCGCTACTCTCACTAGAAGCGTGGCTATACCAGCTGAGCTCGCAATTGGCGATGTTGATAGTATGTCGCCCGAAAGGACCTGTCGATGGACCAACTGCAACGAATCCTGCCCCGCTGGCTTCAGCGCCGTCCTACGGAATGGCGGCCGCCGCGGTGAGATGATGTGGGATCATTCACACTGCCTTAACAAAGGGTCGATGACATTTTGCTGCCCAAGCGGTGAAACCCAGGCCATTTGCACCTGGCGAGGACACAGGAACTCCGGTAAATGCCAACCTGGCTGCAACAAGGACGAAGTTGAAGTCTGGACATTGAAGTTCGGGTGCAAGACCGGCCACCAGAGCGCTTGTTGCACAACCGATACTGCAAGCGTGTCGGCCTACAATAGTTGTAGGTGGGAGGGATGCCTGGATCTATCCCACTACAATCCGCCCTACTGCAGCAGAAACTACCCCCATCTCGTCGCCTTAGCACCATCAGGGTTTGGAGGGGAAGACATTTGCTCAATCGGTAAGCTTGCCCTTGTAGCATCGCGATCCTATCTAGGAAGCTTCAACACCTCTAACAAGATAAATTGGATATTGTTCATTGAGTTCTGAAGTATCCAGGCCCGTCGGCAGCTGACAGTGTGTACTAGGTCAGAGAAGGTACTGCTGCAAAGGCGACGAATGGGTTTCTTATCCTCCTGCATTTAGTGAGTGCAGTTGGTAAGCAAATGCTGTGCTTTCAGATGAAACTTCAAACGCTGACGTGATATAGGGCGAGGGACCTCCCTGGGCCCCTAGGCCGTTCTCTATCTTGTAACGCCGCATGTCCCCCAAATTATACTAAGCTTGCGCTACGTCAATCTGATTGTGATGTGGGAGAAGAAGCGTACTGTTGTAAGGGGTTCAAGCCATCGGAGGCTCTAAAGACGTCACCAAAGGTTCTAGAGTTTGAGGCTGCCCTAAATTCGTAAGTGATACCTCACCCTGCATTACTACAGTAGCTTATTCTTGTTAGATACATATCAGCGTACGATTCCAAGACGTGCCCATTGGAGGATAAACCCAGACGTGCCGAGTAAGTGTTTTGCAACATGTTTGTTGATCTAGTCGCTAAGCACCGCCAAGTTGGTTAGAAGAGAATGAGGGCGCGGTTCACGATTCGGAACCCGAAATCACCGCCGAAAACGCGGGCGATATACCGGATCTTCCTCCCTGCCTTCTCTGGACACGCGTAGTATCAGAAATGCGTGATATCATAAAGCGGCCGGAACTGGAATGGTCGTTTGATCAGAAGCAGATTGCGAATTCCTGGGAACGCAACGTCCCGACTCGGTGGCCACGCACTTCTGTGGCAGACCTGGCTGCATTTCTTAGAGAAAATCCGATTAGCTCACCAGACACCGTCGTCAATACCGTGCTCTACAGCTTCGATGAGTGGGCTGGTGTCCGAGATGCTTTCAAAATGGCGAAGACTAAGATTTGCGTTGAAGTACAAGTAGGCCCAGCAGTTGGGGAGTCCGATCCTGACACTAGAGAGCTCCCTGAACCGAACGAACCTGCACTGAATACTTCACACAATATTCAGCCTAGATCCGTAGATTTAGATCTAGATCTCCGCACCGCTAGTGGCTGGCGAGATAAGTTAAATTCCGACTCGCCCCATTACACGCCTTGGCTAGGAAGGATTTTTCACGGTATCAGAATTGGTAAGTCAAGTCTCTTTGCTCGAGCATGAATCTAGCTAAGAAAATGACGAGGCCGCCTCACTTTACACTACGCACGATGGGAATGGTATCATGGAAACGGTCGTGGTTTCGCCGCAGGGTTCGTGAAGTAGTAACACTATGAAGGTTGAGAGGCTAACAACTCGTAGTCCATTCCTTGAGTTAGCCTATTGGATCGGGCATAATGCCGGAGAATGGAATCCTCAATTAGACCGTGATTTTGAGTTGTGGCGATATCGCGATCTTACCACACAACACCGCAACCCCAATTTGAGGGACAGGTGGGTAGTCTTTCATCTGCACTTTGACCCCACCCGGGAAATCTTCTTTGACTTCAATGGACACACGTTCACGGGATATGTAAGTCATATGCCTTGATCTGGCGACGATCACCCTCCTTTTCTGCGTCTCCTTCAGCTAATCAAAATTGAGTCTACTGTTAGAGTGCGTTGACCGTTTTTCATGCGCATTCAGCTGTCAATAGATCCAGACGGCCGTGGTTGGCGCGTCAACGGGCGAAGCAACCAACAAGCTAGGGGCAACACCGCACGCAATGTTCTCATATGTCCGTGGGACAGTTCAGAGAGGAACATGCGTGGACGCACTATTACCAGAATTTTTATTGGCGCAAATCGACACCCGCGCAGTGCCGATCCTTCTCGCGATCACGATGACCCAGAATCGGATGGGCTATATTACTTTCATAACAGCCTCTACCGGCAAGGGTATATCAATAGGGCTGGAATGATGCCCCTGATTCAACCTGGAGCTAGAACAGCCGACACCAATCAGCATTCAGAGTTCATAGCTAGGCAGTATCCCATTCTTAGGAACAACATTGCCCGTGTACGTCCAACTGGCGACGACATTTGGACCAGGCCCTGTGAGTGTTCCGTACATTCTCTCACTGAATTTGGATCTTTGATTCTGACTTGAAACTCTTAGATGGAACCAACTTTCTCTTACCAGACTACCTAGAGCAAAGCGCTCATCCGCACATGGTGAGCTATCGTTACGATATCGGCATGCCCAATGCGGCACCTCAACCATGGGAGGAGGAATGGCAGATGAGAGAGTTTGAGCCTCACATACACCATCCGCAAAGGCCAGGGGGTGGAATCTTTGGCATAGTGGGCGGCGCGAACCTGACCAATGGATCAATAGCCGATCTCAGCTGAAGGTACTGCCTAGGCAAGTAACACTGGCTTTTCTTTTCTGGTGCTAATTCTTTTATTAAGTCGCTTCAGGGCCGAGGAAGTGAGCTTGTGTACACGGTTCAACCCGGCGACGACGCCGCGACACTCTTTTGTCTACAGGGCTTGCCCCATCTTTGCGTCTGGAAACTTTAAAAAATCTCGCTATCTCTGAAACTGCTTCTTACCTTCAACCATGCTTCTTCTGAGACAATTCGATCGACGCACAGTGTAACCAGTCCCCTAAGACCATAATGCATCCATTCTATTCGAAATCGCACAATGCCTTGTTATCGAGACAAAGCACGGATATGTACAAGTCACTTCTGCTACAGATAAAGCAAGACCGAAATTCGGTTCCTGTCTTTGTTGCAGTCCACCTACCCTTTGTGCCTTGAGTTCCCGCTATAGGTCCACCTCCACATGATATAATTCCTCATAACAGACACAGATCCCACTTCCATCACCACAAATAACATATACAAACAAAACAAAACTGCCCATTATGATGGCCTCGAACTCGTCACAGCCTCTCAGTCTATTCGAGTCATCGAGCTGTACCGTAGATCAGACGCACCTCATCAACACCGCACAGAACTGGAACCTCTCAGACTCCGAGTGCGATGCTATTCTGCCTGCACCGCTACATCCCAGCTGCTGGAACACACCTCTTCTAGCCGCCATTCATGAGCTTTCAGCACTCACAATAGGTCAAAAAGAGCGTGCGCATAGTCTGCTGAGCACGTATTTCCAGGCCCGCATCCGCGAGGCGTCGTACACCGGTAAGCAAGGGAATATATACGCCACGCTTGAGGTCGAGGATGTGGAGCAGGCGATTGCAAGTGCGCAGAGGATGAAGAAGGGGCAGGAGATGGAAAATATCCAGCCGCCCAAGACAGCAGTGGATGCGATGCCAATACCGAGCGAGCAAAATGACGTGCAAGAAAAGCGGAAGTATTCGATTCGCGAAGAGATCATGAATGTTGATGACAACAACGATGCGCTGCTGCAGCCGGCAGAGAAGAAGCAGAAGACGACCGCTGAGGCCGAGGTGAGTCCCAACACTGCCATCGCAAACGCAATCAACACCAGTCTAGCGAGCGCGAACGCGAACATGACCTTGAACTCGAATGCGAACATAGCCTCGAACGCGAACGAACAACACCGCCCCCAGCCACCACGAAGACTCTCCCCCGCAAAGAAACGCTTGCGCCTCCCGCCCATCAATACACAAGCCGCGTATAGCACCTATGCGCCATCTCCACACATGACTCCGCACTACCTTGTGCAAGCAGCGCAGCGGGCGACTCATGAGTTCAATGTCCAGCGCATAGAGTTTGCGCGGGCAGAGGCCGAGTACAACGCTGCTAAGCAGAGGTATGGCGATGCGATGTGGAGGATGGAAGATGCGAAACGGCAGGTGATGGGTTGGCGATGAATGGGTGAAGGGGCTGGAAATGGGTGTTAGACGTTTAAATTGCACGCATAGCATAGCGGAGATACAGCTGGTCTGATTTAGAATGGAGGTTTCAGCAACGAGATACGTATGCTCGAGGAGTCTCTACATCCTGTATGAATATCGAATGTTAAAAGGGGGTATGATACATATTTGCAAAACATCCCAGAACGCCCAAATCCCGAGCACTTTTATCTCTTCGTGAATTTATTCTTTCATGTCCCCCTGATTCTTTCCATAGCCTTATTTCTTCGGCAGTTCCCGAAACACCTCCTTGAAGATCTTCTTACTATTATACAGATTCACAAGTCGCAAGCGCTCGTTATCCAGATGTGCCGAGTCACTTGCTTGACCGCAAGGTAGATGGGCAGCAGGAGCGTTGAATTCTTTTTCGAGGAAGCGAATGCTTGGGATGGAACCGCCTTCGCGAATATAGAGAGGTTTGGCGAAGGCATTGGTGGCGGTGTCGAGGTCGGTGGTGGTAGTAGTGGGTGAGGAGGCGTCGGAGGTCGAGGGGCGGGAATCAGAGGAGTTGGCGAGAGTGTTTGATGTTGTGGGTGTAGGCTTGTTCTTTGTGGCAGTCGTGGATGACGGTGAGTTGGCGGCTCGCGATAGCGGAGCAAAGTAGTCTGGGCTTTTGATCGCAGCTACACCTTCTCTCCTTTCTTGGCCGAGAGTTGGGCCCCATACGGACATGATAGCGCGCTCAAGTGTCTGGAATATCTCATTGTTGAAGTCGCCTAACCAAGGCTCGGCTTGGTGGTCAATGGTGACTTTTAGCTTGTTCTTCGAATCGAGCTGGTCGAATTCTGACTTGAGAAAGTTGATTAGAGTATTCGCAACAGCAGATGCCTCTTGGTTTGGCACAAGACGTATTGAAAGTGCAGCTTTGGCTAGGCGAGGTATGATGGTCGAATTTTCGGGACCAGAGGTTTGAAAGCGATGAATAGTGAGTGAAGCCTCTCGCCATCGGCGCATAAGCGATTGTGCAAGCTCCTCCGGATCTCCTAGGTCTGGATTGCCGCGCAGCAGCGTTTTGGTGATCTCGGTGTAGAGGTCCTTCTCGTCTTCGGTCAAGGGTAGTATGGGGTCGTAAAATCCGGGTATTTGGACCTTGCCATGTCGACCAGTGAGTTTTGAGAGTAGCATGACGAGATCCTTCAGTGGCTCGTCAAGTAGTGCACTTCCATCAACACCGCTGTGCAAATCGGGATGCTTACTCTCGACTTGGACAGTCGCGTGGATGACACCTCGGAGCCCATAGGTGAGACAAGGTACATGATCGTCGAGCCAGTAACTATTAGCCAGCAGTATCCAGTCGACATCGCCAATGAGGTCTTTCTTTGCGCGCACAGCGTTCTCGAACCCGCGAGAGCCACTTTCCTCCTCTCCTTCGATGAGGAAAATGATGTCTGAGCCCAGACTCTGCTCATTGGCTAGTTCATGAGCGGCATAGATCGCAGCCATGATCGGGCCTTTGTTGTCAGATACGCCACGACCGTACAGATACCCTCCTTCTCCAGTCAGCGCAAACGGATTGTGCTTCCATTTACCGTGTTCATTCTCTGCAGGTATAACATCGTAGTGACCATAGAAGAGAATCTTCTTCCTTGAAGCTGCAGTTGCAGGGTTGCCCCTGAACTTGGCGAAGACAATGGGGTTATACGGTTCGCTGGTATTGATCATCTCGGTGACGGCACCGAAGTTCTGAAAGACCGATCGAAGATATGACGCGCCTCTCCTGCAATCGGCGCGATACTTGGGCAGCGATGAGACTGTACAAAACGAGACGAATTGAGTCAGCGATTCCACCATTAGGTCTACGAAAAAGTTAGCGCAACGAATGAAGGGTGTGCATGTGTACTAACCATTGCTGCTTTTCCTGATGACTGCATCTGGTCCTGCACAATCCTTAACCTCCCAGATGACGATGGTGTTGTCATTTCCGCCAGTAACTAATATGGGTTTGTCGTCATACTTGGTGAAAGCTGAGGCAAGGATCAAGCCATCATGCGCTTTGAAGCTGGTAATGGTCTCGTAATGCTCATTGAATTTCTGCAACATATCAGTGGAAAGTTCAGTGTATATATCTTTCTGTACTGACCTGCACCTCTCCAGATGTGCCACCTGCATATAGGACGCCAGCGCCGAGTGTTAAAGTGTGAACATCGCCCGTGCTCGCTTTCAGACTTCGAACCAGTTGTCGAGTTTCCAAGTCCCAGACGTTCACCTCACCGTCAAAACGTCCGCTATAGAGGAATGAGCCCTCTCGTACAAGCGAAAGGATGGACTCGCCCTCTTCTCTGCCATCTTCCAAGGTATGGAGGCTGGAGATATCGCCGCCTCGAGTTGGGTCTATCCGCCATAGCAGTATGCGCCCATCTCCTCCGCCTGAAACTAGCACTTCTTCCGCTGGCGCTTCTGGCAGTATGCCCCTTCCCAATAGCATGCAGTGTACGTATCCATAATGGGCGAACTGGCGAATGTCCTGGCCGTCGATCTGGAGCTCTTGTCCTCCCACAGCGTCTCGCGGCCGGCTGTCTGCGCCAATTGGCTTGGGAGTCTGAGCACCACCAGGCCCTAGGGAGTCAAAGAATTTGTTCTTTCGTTCCGACGGATGGGAAGCGACAGCAGGTCGCGGACGAGTGTCCTTTTGCTTCAGATCGTACCACTATGCCAATCAGCAGCGTTCGTCATTCGAGGCGGCTACCATACCTGAATGCTTGTGTTCTGCGCTCCAAGGTAGACTGTACGGTGGAAGGACGAGTAGGCGACACAGAAGATGTCTCCGATATCGTAGGGTGACCAGAGCGCGTAGAGGTGACGGAAGGCAGAAGTGCACCAGACATTGACGATTGGATCTGCTGCACTCGAGAACAGGAGTTCCTGGTCTTGCGACAGACACAAGCCCAGCACGCTGCCTTTGTGTGCCTGTATGACTCGCCGACGCTCGTAGGTATCGAGGCTGTACACCTGCATACGATTAGCTGTGCATGCTTGCTTGCTTGAGCTGCTGCTCCTGACGTACGAGTATCTCGCCCCCCTGGGTGCCTGCGAAAATGTACTGCGACGAGACGGCAAGGGTGAGGATGGATTTGTCGTGCTTCATGCGATGTGTGAGTACAGGCGTCCTGTTATTCGCGACAGGCGCAGCCTTGTTCGCGCCATGGGTATACATGATGGTGTCATTCTGCAGAGGAGCTGCTGCTGCTGCTGCTGCTGGCATTGTCAGCCAGGCTTCAAGTCGGCGGTTTGGTGCTGTTCCTGCATGGTCGCGTAGTGTAGTTGGGGTACAGTGGAAGCGATGACGGAGCCCAGAACCAAAGCAGGGCTAATGGATGGATGGCACTGGACTGCGGGGCTATCAATGCACCACCAGAGCCGTCCACGTACCTTTCAACCCCAACGCCCTCTTCGCTTCCTGCGAGGTGATGGAACCCGAATAGTGACACATAACTCGTTCTGCCGAGCTGCAGCCTGACAAGAGATGAAATGGAAAGATGCCGGCAGCGTCGATATCATGCCCATACCAAACTGACCCGCTACTTATCGGCTGTCGACGGCGAGTGGACCACTGCAATACATTGTGCCCTTGGTGAAGGGTGGTGTCGGGAGAAGTCTCATGGTCACTCGATGGGTCGTTAGTCGAGCTTAAGCTATGATGCTCGCACATTGTAACAGGCTCACCGCTCCGATATGGCGAGCGAGCTCTGTGCGATGGCGCCATCTTGGGAATTTGGGTTGTATAATAAGGGATACCCATCAGACGCGTCTGTTTTATCACTCATTCATTCCCTCGCAGCTTGCTTCTCCAGGGTGGACATGGCGACAGCAGCAGCAGCAGCAAGCACTGAGGGCGCCCGACACCCCGGCGCTGGCTCTGGCTCTGCTTGCTGTCCATGTACTCAGCCTGCCTATTGGAAGCATCGTGTCCACGATGCAGACTACCCCTCCTAGTCTTTGCTTTTGTATGGGCCGTCGAAGCAGCGAGGATGCGCGTTCGAGAGGCTAAACACGTGTGCGTACTTGGATGAAGCCCGCATTCACGTCGAACGGTTCCTTGCCTGGGCTCGTGACCTGGTGTTGCGGGTCTGCTCTGCTCTCTGCACGGGGTTTGGCACTCCATCACTATGAAAAGACATGGAAGAGCCTGTCGGAACAATGCATCGAGTTCCGCAAGCTCGCGGGAGTCTGCCGCCGTGCATGTCGGGTTCGAATTGGGAGGGCTGATCATCAGATTTGTCCCGAGAGCCCCCCGAAGTAGGCTTGCACATGACTGCGGTGTGGATGAATGTAGCCTCACGATGTTGATCTAGTCTCGGGAGGCCGGCAGTAAGAGCCTGAGATAGTCGTGAATGGTTAATTCGTCAATAGTCCCACCGGATTTGTGGGAAACGGGGCACTCCTTCAGTACAAGCCATTTACAACTGCTGCCCAAACCTGTCACTTTACTCTGGGAACCTGTCACTCCATGGCAACCTTGGAATCTACACACATGCAAGCAGAAACCAGTGGCTTGGGGTGTGGCGCATGGTGGTGACGTTAGGCGCCACAGCCAGCGTCTGTGATGGGATGGGACGACAGTATGCCAACGCTTCAAAACTCGCACCAACGACGAAACCATGGGCCGATCCATAGCTGCTGGACGGAGCTCCTCTCCCGTGACTACGGTTTGGGCAGCAAGCAGCAGAAGTTTGGCATGCGTGTATGCCAGATCGTGTGCATAATGCCATCAGCGTGCGTGCAAAGGAGCTCCTCTCCCCAGTCGCACCCCCAGGCTGTCCTGCTTGCACAGAGTAGTCGTCCACTCCCAGCAGCGACACGTTCCCAAGGGCTGCAGCAATATGCGTCTCACACGAATCGCGCACAATGCTAGCAACTCCTGCGACGCAGCGATACGCCGCCCGCATACTCGGTCGCCGTGCCCTAGCGTGCCTCTGGGTGACATGGCGAGACGCCAGCCAACACCATTGCAGGGCCGCACCCCCCCGACTGCGTCTTCACGCCGCCACAGCGAATGCCAGCGCGAGACGTCGCATAGTCACGATAGACCGTCTGCGGACAGGGCCGTGACTGGCACTGCCCGTCTTCGCTTCCACCACTCTTCTGCCCCCCCCGCACGTCCGTCCCATCTTGCCTGGCTCTCCCAGGTTGTAGACTATAACGCCTCACTCCGCGCGTGCACCCGGCCATTGTGCCGCTATTTGTCTACTCTCAAAAACTCTTAAATACACCGCCTGAGCGCTGCGACAAGCTGGTGATCCAGGTGGACACCTTGTGGAGTGCGCCAGCTAGATCCCGTTTCCGCGCTTTGATACATCTTGACCGCCTCGCGTTCTTGTACATCACTTATCTTACCACTGCACCCGCAGTCGCCGGTCGCACCACACCCCTCCCTGCGTACTGCAGCTGCAGACACAGCGTCTAAATCCGCCACAATGGCAATGGGTGTTGGAGAAACCATTACCGTGATTAATAAGTCGGGCAAGGTGGTGAGCAATGTGAGTCGCCGATACGAAGCCTACACAATACGACACTACTGACCGCCTGCAGAGCAAGCACCTCGTCAGCGTCTTCAAGGAGGCCAAGGCCGCCTACCGCGAGCGCAAGGCAGAGATCAAAGCAGAGCGCGATGCTGCCTTGCGCGAGAAAAAGGCAAGCGAGGGCATAAAAGCCCTCCGCATCGCCGACGACGACACGCGCTCCCGTGCCTCCTCCCGCCATTCCAAGCAATCAAAGTCGCATAGACGCCCCTCCCGCCAATCCAGACCCGCCATGGAGCGAGGCTACACCGACAGCTTCTACGCAAATGACAACCCGCCAAGCGGCGGCCATCGCTTCGAACAGGACCTCGCAGGCGACGCATGCGTTGCACACCACCAGGAGATTGTGAGGAGGCACTCGGACGTCTATGTTGCAACGTCCAAGAAATCGCGGAAGGACTCGATTGATATGGACCTGGCATACGGCGACATCCCGCCGCCCCTGCCCGCAAAGAGGTACGAGGATGTGGAGCTGAAAGAGAAGGCTTCCAAGATCACCATACTCCTCGACGAGGCCAATTGCCTACAATACTCCGTCACCGCCATGATTGAAAACCTGCAAAAGAACCCAGAGGCTCTTGCCGCCGTGTCCCTCACCCTTGCTGAGATCAGCGCCATCGTAGGAAAGATGGGCCCTGGTGTACTGGTCGCACTCAAGGGCAGCTTCCCCGCCGTCGCCGCTCTGCTTCTCAGCCCACAGTTCATGATCGCTGGAGGCGTTGCTGTTGGCGTCACCATTGTCGCGCTGGGTGGCTACAAGATCATCAAGAAGATCCAGGCCCAGAAAGAAGGCGAAGTAGTCCCCATGCCTCCTATGGCAATGCGCGCCGTCGAAGATACACAGGAACTCGACGAGCTCGAACCACAAGAGCTGAGCCGTGTTGAGATGTGGCGTCGCGGCATCGCAGACGTCGAGGCGGCCAGCGCTGGCACCAGTGTTGATGGAGAGTTCATCACGCCTGGAGCTTCGCGACAGCTCATCGCTGCAGGTGTGCTCGATGAAGACGACCTCAAATCTCGCCGGAGTACCAGATCCAAAAAGGATGGCGAGTCGAGACCGAAGTCGCATCGCGCGAGGTCTGAGAAGAGTACCAAGACGAGCAAGACTTCCGATACCAAACGAAGCAAGACGGTGAAGGAGAGCACCAAGAAAAGGGAGAAGGAGCCGTCGGGCTTGAGGATGTTGTTTCGTTCGCATACTGCACACTAACCCATGGTCTGATGCACAGCATAGTGTCCTTTTATTCCTGTCATAGCGTTCGGCGTGTCGCATATCCATACATCTAGCGTTCAGCATTTAGCGTTGCTTCGTTCCTTATACCACATAGATGACGTTGCATGGGACATCCTATCTTTGGTTCATGTTCTTTCATACGGGCTTTAATGTCATGCTCACGGGAGTTCTGGATTTGTTCTTTGTTAGTATTGTTCGCCGTCACGCACGTTGTAAAATTCTACTTATCAATTGATCAGTCTACTCGTATATGCCTCCGTATAAGCACTGCAGTGTCGCTCTCCTCTTTCGCTCCAGGCTTCGTTACACTTCCACCTGCTTCCTATTCACCTTCGACAATTAAAATTGAAACTGATATCTAATGCAGTATCTCGATAAGCAAATACTAATGAGTGGCAGACCAAGATCAAGTGCATAGAGGGGGCCAACGGGTGGCAACGACAAACCAACCTTAGCAGTGAACTATCACAGACTATCGGAACCTTCAACGTCCGCCGCTTTGGAGTCGAGCCTGCATTTGGTTCAGCTCTGGTCTCGCTCTTTGTAGGACTCTGAGGGACCTCACGGGTAGTAGAAGAAGCGGGGCCAGGCAAAAGGCTTTGCCATCGTGGCTTACAACGTAAATATAGTCCGCTCATGTTCACAATGTCACTCGTGTCGATTGAGGCGCGGAGACAAGGGAGACAACCCCTTCTTAGACAAAGACAATGAGACAATGAGACAAGACCTTGAACAACGCAGATAAATACTCATCGTCTGCCACATCAAGAGAGTCATCTTAACACACCTTCCTCCACATTTGAACTTCCCCTACTCTGTTACTTAAACAACCCCTTCTAGGCATTCAGTCCACAGAAACCAGCAATACACAGAACGTGGTTAGAGCTATGTCATCGGCAACTCAGCAAAACGGTCTCAGGTCGCCGGTTCGCTCGAGCGTTGCCGGCTATACAACCGTTGTGCAACCGGCTTTTGAGTCTCTCCCTCGTAAGCTAAGCATGACACAACATTTCCAACAACAGCAACGAGAAGTACGGCCGAGCAACGAAGTAACTGCGCCTAAGCGCAAAATACATACTGAACCCGAGCATTGTAAAGATGCTGTATCAAAATCGATGAAGCGGAAAAGAGGCGAGGAGTCAGGTTCAGATGGTAAATCTTCCCAGAAGAAGTCGCGACACGATACAGAGAGCAACACGAAGAATGTATCGCTGGACAACGATCCGAACAGGAAATCTGCACATAGCAGCCCCAGAAATGAAGATTCCACACGTGAAAATGCGGATTGGTCCCCCAAGTGGTGGTACCCCGATGCCATCCAAGAAGCCGATTTCTTTCATGAGGCGGGCTTCGCCCTAGTTGGGGATAACACGCCATCTGGATATCCTTGTTTGGTGCTTACAGCCAATCTCTACCACACCATCTGGAATGCGCTTTGTGGCATCCGGGAACTTGAATGTGTCCGTAGTCAATGGGAGCCGGAGTTTGATAAAATCTCGCGACAGATAGAGGCGACAAATGATGCAAATTGTGCGCTGCTCACAGAGTTGCAGGATACGGAGCAGTTGCTCGAGGGGCTCTACGACCCTGAAGCACGCAATAATCTCGTGGTATCCTTTAGAATCGCCGAAGAAAAATATGATGGAACCAGACGAGAGCGTGCCCGGCTTCTTGAGCAGCAGAAACCGATTGCACGAGAACTTGAGAACGTGACGAAAAAAACCAAAGACATTCAGCACCTGATCTGCCAGAGGCTTGATAGCATTTTTTGGGATGCTGGTGTACTGCCTGACATCGAAGCCATCAATGAGGCACCATCAGTCCCGGTTTTTGAGCTAGACCCAAGCCCCAACAAGGAGCTAGCGTCGGCCTCAAGTGAAGTAGGCAGCGACCTTACACAATGCAAGCCTTTTTCCCCAATCGACGTTCTTTGGCGAAAGCTACGAGAGCTTGGTAGCGAGGTACATCGAACAGAAGTCGAATTCAATAGTTTTCGGGATGGATTTGATGCCGAGTTGCACCAGTATATCGCCCAAGAGTTGAAAAAAAGCCGAGACAAAAAGCCCACTGTAGCCGATCTGGAGCAGGAATTCGGTCCCATCTGGCTGACCCGTCACCTTGAATTGACTCGAAAGAAAGCTGCAGCAGACGAAGCATACTACGAAGCAGATGGGATGTTTATGGACGCCAAACGGGCCGCAAAGTTGGCTTCTTCGCAAGACGAGCCTGAGAGATACGGTATGGCTGACGAAGAGACCGCCATGAACTTTGGTATGATCATATCTCTGCGGAAGATAAGGCGTATCGAAACATGGCTTCACGACAACGATGTCGTTCCTGATACCGCAGTGAACCATTCTGGAGACGTTCTGGAGGAGGATGCTGTAGACGATAAGCATTCTGTAGCGTCTGGGGAAAGCAAAGTCACGCTTGCGGAAGGATGGCTACGCCGCAGGATTGACGACTATGACCGATACGTTGGGCGCGTGTAGCACGGTCATACAGTATTCAAACCCACAGCGTTTTTTTTTATTGAAAACGGTTATTTTATTTTATTTTGGAAGCGTATCTCTAATCACAAGGGACTGGGATGGGCTAGGTGATCCACGAGTAGTCTTGACATTGGTTTAGCGCATCGCAATTCTTCGATCTCGTTCCTTTGAGTTTTTAGTTTGAAATTAGTATATCTTAGCATAAGTAGTTATTCTTGACTTTGTCCTTACTGAGCCCCCTCGATCATATATAATTAGGGGGTAGAATAGAACACCTCAAATCGAAGCCCATCTCGTTTTCTCAATAGTACGTTGCCATAGTCAACCTGGAGTCGGTATTGTCAAGACCAAGCCAAACTATCACTCTTTCCGCCAAGCTGTAGATATGGGCCATCCGCTGAACTTGTTGTCCCCTTTCCGCCAAGGGCTTTTGATTGATACATACAGCATCGATCCAGAGAGCCCGTGGCTTTTCGGTGTCCCGGAGACAAGGTAGAGCTTCAGTGAGGTTCCTTGTAACGTCAATCTTCTCGTTAGTGAGAAACGCGACCCGGAGTCTGGACGGACTCATGGGAGAGCCCCAAGTGTAAGAGAGTGCTTCAAAGCTGGGCACGTCTGTCTCGGTAAGCCGAACATTGCGGAGATCACACACAATCTCGGCTTCTCTAGTCGGTGCCGGTAAAAGTGTCATCAGCCTGATGCCGTGATTACCCTCATCCAGTGGCTCATAGCTGTATTGTGGCACGTTGAAGTCTAGGCTCATAAGGGATGTCGTATTGATACTAATCAACAACCTGATTTTGGGCGATCAGGGAACGATGATAGGAAATTGGTTAGGATCGGTGGGCAAAGAAGGATTCAGATAACAAATCAGCCACATGGATGGACCCCTCGAGTAGGCGGCCTGAACCCGATGCTTCTCCATGCACTTCGCCCTCTTCGTTACTTTTCTCGCTCGTCGCGCCTGGATGCCAAGGTTCAGCCTTGTGCATGATGGTGCTCTTATCATTAATCTCCCACAAAAGAAAGTTGAATGATTCCTTCTACTCTATAAGATAACTGAGCGACCAGGTGCGTGGGCCAAAGGGGTAATGGTTGCGAGGACGTCGCAACGATAGTAACACGAAGACGCGTAAGCTAGACAGTTACAGACTAACCCAACTCCCGTCTTGACTCTAGAACAGAAACCCGAGTTCTTCGCAGTCTGCCTTGTCCGGAGAAATTGTACAAGGCGCTGACGTAGTGCTAGTTACCTTGCTTCAGCATGCGGGGAGGCTGTGTTGCCGACCGCGGTGAGACAGATGATGGGTTGCGCAAGCTTCGTCTACATGTAACTCAGGCACAGGCTCACTCGGCGAACGTGTGCTGAGTCGACATTGGGTGTATATACTAAGGTCGGTACCAGATAGGACGAGATGGTGCTGAAACTATGTACGAAGTAGGATGAAGGCGCAAGCTGCCGGTTGGAAGTGAAGGGTTCGCAAGGCTGCGGCGTGCTAAGAATAACCTGGGGTGGGGCGGCGCCCCTGCACTAGAGCTGCCCAGGTGGGATGCTGCCATCATAGCCTCTTGGGGTTGCGCCTCGACACGCGTATGCGTAGTCGAAGCTTAGGTGCGATATAACCAACCAACCAACCTCTGCCAAACACTCACCAATCCCACCTTCTTTCTACTCGAATCTCTTCGGAACAAAAGGAAACTCTGTATACATAAAAGAAGCGTCAAGGCATGCCACCATGCTAGACGAGAATCTCCCCAGTACGCTCAGCCTTGGCCTCAATGGAGCTATTTTCAATCCTAACGACGTATAGCCTTCTTTCTCAAAGCCTCGACGGACAAGATCAAGCACCATGAATCCTACTACTTCACCCAACATGGCTCCGAGCCCGACGCGCAGTATGCCCTCCACCACGCCGACCCTGCCACCAACGATGCGAGGAACACCTACGCCGTAGCCCTGTTCGACTCGCATAGTCCAGAGATTTTATACGGAGAAGTACTCGCAAAGCCGGGCTGGGCACATCCAACCCTCTCACAAGAGGAGATACGCAGGAATGGCGGCGTACCGCCCCCGCCGCAGCCCATCTACCCGACCGAGTTCGCGATACAACTATACAGCCCCGACTCGCAGGTCATCGTACGGCAACAGACAACCAAATGGAGCAGCACGGTGAGCTGGGAGTTCAGCATCCCCCAGGTCACCTTCAGAATGCCGAGCAGCTCAGATCTCGATCGGACCCAGACCGATCCTGGGGCAAGTAACAACACGCCGCGGGTCAACTTCGCGTGGAGGAAAGAGGGCAGGCTTGGCAAGGACATGACGTGCTACATGACGGGCAAGTCGACAGATCCGACGGGAAAGAAGGCGAAAAAGAGCAAGGAGCCGGACATCGCCGTTGCCTTATTCTCCGGCCTGAGGGAGATGACCATCATGGAACCCAATCTTTACCGCATCGAAATCGAAGACTACAAGGGCTTGGAGGTGGCTTTACTGCTCGGCGCCGCCGTTATACGAGACCTATTCTTTAGCGATCTAAACGAGCAGTTCCACATCAACAGTACAGCCATAAGGAAGAATAGCGGGGGCTTGCGAGCCAGGAAGGGGTCGTCGCCATTGGAAGGACCCAACATTACACCGCCCGTCATGACACCGCAGCCTCCCCCACCGCCAGCCTACACCGGCCCATCGCAATACCCGCCTGAGAAGGCGCCCCTGCAGCCTGCGAGAAGCGCTGCCGTCAACGCTCAAATCCCACCATCCTCGTATACAAACAACCACGCCGCAAAACGCTTGTCTCTCCCGCCGCTTACGACCAACCAGCGTCGTCCATATCAACCTCAACCACAACTACAACGACCTGTACAACAGCAACAGCAACAGCAGCAGCAGCAGCAACCACCTCAGCAACAGCAACAGCCTCAGCAACCTCCGCGATTAGACCCGCGATCGCAGTGGGAGATCGACGCCGAGACCGCGCGTCTGAAAGCCCAAGTCGAAGCCGAAGCACGCGAGCAGAAGCGACAAGCAGACGCTAGTCGGAAAACGCGCCGAAAGCAAGAAGAGGAAGCAGAGCGCAAGACCCTCCAATTCCTTGAGCAAGAACGCAAGCAAAAGGAAAGAGAGGAAAAGGAACAGAGACGAAAACAAGCAGAAGTTGACAAGGAAACCGAACGTCTCCGGAAACAGTTCGGAAACCAATCCAACCTCCTTCGACCCTCCCCACAACCCCAACGTCACTCAGCACCGCTTATCCAGGGCCCTTGGCAGACACAACGACCCACCGCCCAGCAGGCTCCTAGACCTGCTCCCGTACCCGCGCAACCGGTTCAGAACCCGTACTTACAGGCCCCGTACCTGCAGGCTTCTGGTGGACATCGGCCCATGGCGAGTCATAGCAGCTTCTTCAGCAATGGACTACCGAAGCCGCAGCCTCAGCCTCAGCCTCAGCCTAAACCGAAGAAGAGCTTCTGGGGGCTAAGGACGCAGAGTGAGTCAAACTCAGAGAAGCTGAAGAAGAAAAAGAGTAGTATGTTTTGAGTTTATATATAAAGTAGCGGCATTTTGGGCGGCGTTAAGGGCAACTACCACAGCATAGACACGAGTCTCGATGATACCAAATCTGCAATTCTGTCAATTCCAAGTCAAGTTATCTTCACTTCCCACTCTCGCGTTGCGCTCTCCTAAGTCCCCAACATCAGCTTGAGCATTTCCCTCGTTTGTCTTAGTTCGGTTAGTCTGCGGCTCAACCCGTCAGGGGTCCAGCTAGGTAACGTCCACATCCACCCTACCCCCTCCTGCACAACGCCGTTTGACATTAATTTTGAGCATATTACCAAGATTTTCGAACCTTCGCTTGCCATTTACCGTGTTTTGTTTGCTTATTTCTGCCGGCGTCTCTACAGAGGTGGAGAGGTTTTTCTGCCAAGCCCAAAACTTGCTCATTGAGCACATTTCTCTAGGGTACGCATGCAGGGTCGTAGCTATAGCTCGCGCCACAACTAAGAACACCATACATCGATTGGGTATCTTCGACCCTTTACCTCGGACAAAGATGTTTATTGGGCTGGAACATGCAGGTCCTCGCTTCCCGCAGCAGTGGATGCGGAAGGTGGCATGCAAACAAACATCGCGTGTGCTTGGTACGGAAGAAAGTAAGAATCTCCTGAGAAGCGAGCAATGAAAGATATGCATAAAGAGCGCGGTGGCGGCACTCGTGAGACACGTTCACTTTTTGTAAGATATAAGTTGACTGCTTTTCCACTTCATTGCCTCTCAACTACGCCTCCACAGCTTTGCCTCCATCACCTACGATCTAGTCTCTACAAGAACAATTCACGAATTTTGTTGAGATAACCGAAGGAAGTACAAGATGCTGTCCACAACTCTCTTAACCATCGGCGCTCTGGCGGCCGGCGTAGACGCGCACTTCCGTCTCCTCCAACCTACCTGGCGTGGCAGTTCTTTCGTCGAGCCAGCGAGTCAATGGATCTACCCTTGTATGTAAATAAAACATCGCTCATCTTTCACTAGAGAAAGCTTAACCCACATATACACCACGCAACAGAAGCTTATCATACTCACAGGCGCAAACGTCAACGAGACAACTGACAACGCCAACCGCACCCTCTGGCCCCCATCTGGTGGTTCCCTCGTCATCAACGGCTCACACCCGCACGCCCTAACCGCCGTGAACCTCGCGCTTGGTTCTAACGCCACGAACTTCAACATCAGCCTCGTTGAGATATTCAACCAGACCGGTGTCGGTCTATTCTGCTTGAAGGAGGCGGGCAAGGCGAATCTAGATGCGGGATTCAAGGCTGCGGGGTACTCAGGGTTGAATGATAGCCGTATTGAGGGACTGCAGGCCACTGTACAAGTCATCCAGCTAGGTCATTCGGGCAGTGCGCTTTACAACGTGAGAGATTTTTTATTTTCTGGTCTTAATGGTCTGTTGAGCTAATGAAACGTAGTGCGCGGACATTCGCTTCAACAGCACAGCCCAACTCCTCGCAGACGATAAGTGCCAGAACTCTACAGGCGTCAGCGGCGTTGCCATTGAGAACGTCGATACGAACAGCTCGCAGTCAGGCTCTACTACTCCGGCAAAGAGTTCTAGTGCGGCAAGTGCCCTGAGCCCGGCTGTTGGCAGTAGTTTACTCGCTGGGTTGCTGGCTTGGGGACTGCTGTAAGCGCAGGAGTGAGCAGCTGAGTAGAGGACGAATTTCGGGTCGAGGTGTATGGAGGTTCAATATATCAATAAATACATTATACCCCCCTCATCAGACAGCTTCTTTGTATCGTCGTGATCACGCGATTTTGGTGCTAGCCTAAGAAGAAGATGACGAGCTTGTCCTGTGAAAGCGTCTAGTGGTTAGTTTCAAAGATCGGCTAGCGTTAGTGGGAAAGGGACCGAATGCTAGCTTAGATGTAGTATGATGTGAGATGGACTACTACTCCCTAGATGACCTCAATACTCTAGAGCAAAAGAAGTTCCATAAACATCGTCAGCTTCGGTCCTCGAGTCCTAGGAGAGGTTCGCTCTACTCGCCCGCCTCTACATGTGTCAGGAAGATCACATTGAAACTTTAGTACTAAGAAGGTTTGAGCTATGATGCTCATGTAGATTTCGTGTATAGATCTACTAATTACAAGGCGTTGTTTCTTCCTTAACTGTGTGCGTGTGTTTGTCTCATAATACGAAATCATGTTACTTGCTATCAACCTTCTGATTCACATGCTCAACTGCAGATTTCTCGTTCCTCTCACCCATGACCTTCTCACCAACCGCTTCCCTATCGTCTTGCCTTCCTTCAAAGACTTCTGCGATTTGTTCCAAAGTTCTTCCTCGTGTTTCCGGGAAAAGGAACCAAGTCAAGAACAGGAGTAGGGCAAGCAAACAACAGAAAACGATGTAGTATCGCCACTTGAGATGCTCCATAGCAATAGGATTCACAAACTGGCCGATAATGAGTCCCACGTATGCCGAGCCGAGCGTCACACTCAGTCCACGACCGCGAAGCGTATATGGGAATATCTCGACGCAATAGGCTTGGAGCAGGGGGGTCCATGCGATGTCGTAGAAAAAGTAATAGATAAAAATGAAGGCGACGACAGCACGGCCGGTTTGATCATCCAACGTGCGGGTGAAGGTACTTGTGAGGATGGTCCAGATAATATATGAAACAAGCATGCCAGCCGCAGACACGAGAAAAAGAGTACGACGGCCAAGGCGATCAACGAGGAGAGCGCCACCGACAACGGATACAATCCAATTGAAGACTTGTAACAGGCCATTGATCAATGCCTGGTCGGAGGTTTTGGTGATACCGATGTTGTTCAGAACGAGCGTAAGGTAATAAGATACGACGCCGACACCGTTCCATTGTGAGAAAAATCCAACCAAGGCGGCAATGAGGGTACGTCTGCGATTCGGCGCCGTGTTGAGAAGATCCATGTAAGAAGTTTTGGTCTCGGTCTCTAGGCGAATGGTTCCCTCCATTTCCCTCATTTCATAATCAACCAGAGCAGAAGATGAGTCTCCACCCGCGTGGTATTTGACGAGAAGAGCACGGGCTTCCCCTGCTCTATCGTTCGCAACGAGCCATCTGAACATACATGTTAGTAGCTAATGTTCGGATAAGAGTAGGGTGAAGCCTACCTGGGTGACTCTGGAAGAAAATATATGAATACTAGCTGGATTGTGGGAAATGCGCCCTGAAGAATAGATGGGATTCTCCAGCTCCATGTAGACTGGATTGGGAAGCTGCCATATGTTGACCATGCAGCGAAAACTGCCCCAGCATACTGTGTATCGTGAGCCTCTGTCGACGCTTTCATTGTCTTTTCGGAGCTCTTACATAAAATGTGTTATACAGTGCTGTAATCTTACCGCGATGGATCGGATACGCCAGCTCTGTGATAATGATAGGCGACGGTTGAGCAATGTGTGCAGTGGCAAATCCTAGTATGCAGCGGGCGACTATGAACATTGCTAAGTTCTGAGCGGCACCTTGGATGGCAGCGCCAACAATGCAGAGCACGAGCCCAAATATCAAAGGAACTCTGCGACCATAACGATCAGAGAGATACGCCGTCGGTAACACGCCAAGAATTGTGCCTATCGGGTACACGGCGTTGATCACACCGAGAATCGAAGAAGAAGGGGTGCCAAAGTATGATCTCCATTGTTCAACCGTCTGCAAACCATTCATCATGGCGCCTATAGTAAGTCAGCTCCGTGCCCAATAGCTCTATCAACCCAAAAGGATGGGACTGCTTACCGTCAAACCCTGTCGTAGCCGAAGCAAACAACGGAACAAGCAAGATGAGGTTGAGCTGGATCATGTGCTTTGTGCGATACCATGGTTTTCGGTCTACGGGCAACGCCTGGCAAGAGTGTCAGTTTGTGAAGTTAGGAAGACGCAATGGAGTAGCGGTCAACGTACAGCAAGCAGATCGCGGCCCACGGCGAGCTCAGTATGGGCATCGTTGGACTTGGAATGACCCATTGTGAAGTATGCTATGCGGCGGGACGGCCTAAAGGGAGGAGTCTAGAGGGGATGAGCATGGGCGCCATGGGATGTTAGAAGTCATTTCAAATGAAGAATCCAACTTCTAGTTTATTAATTCCCCAGGTTCCCCACACAAAACGGTCTGGAGAAGGCTAGCTGCCTGCATGGGCAGGTTTCAGTTGCGAGGGGGTCTGTCGGCAAGCCTCCCCGATCACAAAGGGTGTGTTTAGTTCCTCAGTTTACCCATACGGAATAGTGTGGGGATTTGCACGGCCCGTTCAATGTTGTCCCGCGGCAATGCCAAGGTCGACCTCCGCCCATGCTATAAATCCCTAACCCTCGATATCGCGGAGCTCCGATGCGCGTGCTTCTAACTCCAGCCTACACAACATAGTTGCGCATGCACCATGCCCTCCTACTCAGATCGCTCCCCACAATCTCTATCGGCGTTTCAAGAGCACCCTTCCAAGCGAATTCGACTAGAAGCGGGCAGAGGCACTAATATTGACCCCATTGGCAGAAGTAGCACCGGCACAGTAACTTTGTCGCCCCCGGGCGAGGACACCACGGCTGTAGCTGGAGTACCTCCGAAAGGAACAACACGGGCGCGGCGAAGTCGTGGCATTACGGCCTGCCAAACTTGTCGGAACCGAAAAACAAAGTGCGACAATGAGCGACCGACATGTGGATACTGTGCAAGAGTTGGAGCCAATTGCACCTATCTTGACTCGGACTACACCCCTACACTGTAAGCGACGTCTCACATGCTTGTGGCATAGAGCCAATGATCTTGACTGGCTAGGTGTAACGGTGTTGGGCCGCGGCTCCTTTGCGCAATAGAAGAACTAAGTGGTCTGTTGAAAAAGCAGGGCGGCCATCAAAACCCAAACAGAGAGTCGCTTGACCAGCCGAACGGTCTAACCGTGCCGCGGCTGGCTACCCCACACCCGCAACAGTCCTTATTGCTGACTCGATCACATCATACCCAGCTGGGCAATTCAGAACGAACATCATTTCATGTCAGATCGCCTGCCAGCCTTGAGAGCGTCTTAAGTTGGCCTATATTTCCCACAACCAAACCATCCATAAGTCTGGCTGGCCATGACATTGATTCGTCCCCGACACATTCACTTCCCAGTCTGCAGCTGTCCGAGCTTTCTCGACTCGAAGCGAAGTTCATTGCGAACGTGCACCCCAAGAACCCCTTTGTCGATCCGATTGCCCTCCGTCAGCATATTCACCACGTGGCCGAAAGTGGCTTGGATTGGTCCACTGAAACTTGCCTAGTCGCAATAGTTTGTGCACTGGGGGCTTACTCCCAGAAGTATGATCCGGAAGATGAGCTCGGCCACGTCGTACCACCGGAAGTATCATACGATGCTGCAGAGGATGATGCCTTGGCTCGAAAATTCTGGAGCATCGCCATTAAGAGGTTAGGAATCGTGATTGGGCAAAACAACATCATAGCCATACAATGCCTAACTCTAGCAGGGTGCGTTGACCGAACTTCTCAGCTTTCGTACCAAATTAGACACTGATATCTGTAGCATCTGGCATATGTACAATATGGAGCCGCTACAGGGATGGAGATTTTTCAACTTGGCTAGCAATGCTTGGTACACCACCATGTACTCCACAGCGTCAGCATGTCCCATTACTGTGGTTTGTCGGATCTTTCCTGACTCATAGATTTAGTGTCCTTGCCGCGAATCCACCAATAGCCGTTCCAGAACCTCACCAGCATGGCTGGGCCACCGACCAAAGCCTTTACTTCTCTTGCTTGAAATCCGAGTTGTGAGTTCTTCACCGAAACGATAGATCCCCCCATAATAGAGGAAGCGACTCACAAAAGCATAGTGAAATTAGGCTTGAGCTTTCACTTCCTCCGTCGATCATCGAAAGAATTGATTATCCTTACTCATTCCCTTCTCCGCCAGACCTTGATACTCTGGCTGGCCGACATGGCAGCCTAGAAAATTATCAGCAATCCTGGTACTATTACTTGGCCGAAATAGCATCCCGGCACCTTACAAGTCGCATTGCTGAAGCTCATGAGGAGGCTTTAGCTCTACCCACGCATTTGTATATTGAGCAGTTGTTGCAAAATGCCGAGATCTTTGAAGCTCAGCTGCAGGCATGGCATGTGGCACTCCCTCCCAGCATCGCTTTTACCGTACCCTTACAGACCGTGCCTGCGTTACCGAACGAGCTGATTCAGCATTTACGTAGCCGATACATGGTCATCTGCGAGCTGACATACCGACCGTTCCTACGCCTGTGTACCTCGCATAAGTTAGATATTCCAGCAGACGTCCTCGCTAGAGTGGCGGGTCTTGCATCTCGAGGTCTCCATATATGCACGCTATGGGTAAAGTCAACCAGGGGAGAGCGCCACCACGGCCTTTGGTTCCAGCTGCGCAATTTTGTCTGTTGTGCTATGATGTTAATAGCTGCGGGTAAGGCTCAATCTGATCCGGAGCTGAACGCAGCCCCATTGCTACAATTCCCAAGCGACTGGAAGGAACTGATTTTAGAGAAGAAGAAGGAATTGTCAGCATTTTGGTCAGACGAGAGAGGTGGCATTGCAGACTGTGGAAGGCTGCTTGACTGGGCATTGAATGATTTCAGCTAGTAGATGCCAAAAGCTCTATACTTTCGCGACTACTACTACTACTCGTCATCTTGCGGATATATCAATCCATTTTGTTGACGCACCCGATCAATCAATGTCAAGACCCTCAGCGTCTCCGCTAAAGGCATCGTCTCGTTTTCCTTCCTTCCAACTCTGATATCCCTTGCCACCGCATCAGCTTCGTAGAAAAAGCCGAAGCCCTCAAATTCGAAATCCTTGAAAATTTCCTTTTCTCCCTTCCGTTTCAGAATCAGCGAGCCGGGTTTGGATGCTGCAAGCCCGGAAACATGTATCGACCCTTCCGTGCCTTCAACACGCCCAAACTCGGCGGCAGATTGGTATAGGTAAGTAGAGCTGCATATTGCTTGCGCTTGGCCCTTTGGATAGTTCAGTACGACCGTGGAAATCTCGTCGGCTCCTCCATTGAGCGTCAGACTGGACGTGACAACGGGCTGTTCCTCGTCGGCACCGTGCTCCGTCCTTGAAGGGTGTTGGTGCAAGGCCAGAGCAGCCCATGTGATCGGATATATTCCGATATCTAGGAGGGAGCCGGCACCGAGACGTACGTCCCGTAATCTTGACCCGGCTGGAGCCTTGTCTATGGGCATGTCAAGTCCGAAATCGAAGACAGCACGTTTCGGCGTGCCGATGGCCTTGTCGACGTGGATGAGTTTCTGGAACTCCTTGACTAATGGGAAGAATCGAGTCCAAACGGCTTAAGAAGGCACTTGTTAGCTTTCATCATGGTATTATTGTGGCAGCTGTTAGTAGCATACCTTCCATTAGGAACACGCCTCGCTCGCGCGCCGCAACAACCATCTTCTGTGCCTGCTTGGCATTCACAGCCATGGGCTTTTCGCATAAGACATGCTTCCCTGCTTTGATGCTATCGAGAGCATTTTGGTTATGTAGGGTGTGCGGGGTTGCGATGTAAACAATGTCAACGTTTGGGTCCGCATAGAGCTTATCATACGAATCATACAGCTGTGGATCTATACCACTCCCTGCGAGGTGCTTTTGCGCAAAAGATTCGGCCTTTTCGATGGAGGAACAGGAAGCTACTGCCTGAATAACGTGTTTGATATTGTCTTCGCTTTTTTCGCCGTTCGGGTAACGCACGAGGTCGCCAACAAACCAGGACGCGATCAGCCCAGTTCCTACTCGCTGTGAGCACAATAGTCTAGATTCAGGACTATGTATCCGGTTAGTGATGTACGGAAAGACTAACCTACAATTCCCCATCTCAAGACGAACGGTTCGGGACGTTGTTCTGTTGCCATTGCGACACGATACAAAGTTTAAGCAGTGTAAAGTTGAGAATCGAAAACTGGCAAAGTTCGAGTGATGAGTTTCGGACTTTTTGGCTTTCCAGAAGAGACAGAAAGTCATTGCAGACCCTCCTTTATTAACTACTAAACTGTAAAGTATGATGGCATGACCTCGCGGACCTCCGCGGTGTCGCGTCACACGTCCCGCGCGTCCCGACCCCTCCCCCCACCAACTCCACCTTGAGTTAGTCGGACAAGCGTCCCGACGAAAAGTTGAACGGTATATGGGCATCGCATAATTGTCCGATTGAAGTCGTAGGTTTTATTTCTAACTTTGGTCTAGGATTTGTTCTGCCCTCATCTTTCTACACCCGTCCTGCACAATCTCTAGCCTATTCTCTTCCCTCTACATTCTAAGACCACCAAAACCATGACCGCAACAGCTGTCAACAGCGACTTGCCCGCCAACCAAGATGGACGTCCTCAGATACTCCGCGTGGGTATTATCGGGGCTGGAGAAGTAGCACAATGCGTACATCTACCTACATTGGCTCTGCTTTCGCATCTATACACTGTTACAGCTATCTGTGACATATCCCAAGAGTCCGTCGCCCATTGCTCCACGAAATTCAATGTCCCGCGCACCTATAGCCAATCCGAGGACCTCTGTGCAGATCCCAACGTCGATGTTGTATTCGTCCTCACCTCGGACGAATTCCATGCGACTCAAGCCATCACCGCTCTTCAACACGACAAACACGTTCTTATCGAGAAGCCCATTTCGCTCTCCCTCCCTTCAGCGCAGCGCATTTTAGAAGCGGAGAAGCAGTCTAAGGGCAAAGTTTTCGTGGCTTACATGCGCCGTTATGCCGCTGCTCTCCAGGCTTTCCGAGATGAGATACCAAGTCCGGACGAGATCAAATTTGTGCGCGTCAGAGACATCATTGGACCCAATGCGCATTTTGTGCAGCAATCCGGCACATTTCCCCAACAATTTCGCGATTTCCCATCAGATGCGCTCGCCAAGCGTACGGAAGCTGCTGAGGCTCTGATTAAGGAGGTGTATCCGCAACATAAAGAGATTACACCAGAGATGACAGTCTTCTGTCGCTTCCTGGGTGGTCTGGGCTCGCATGATCTATCTGTCATGCGCGAGGTTCTCGGTATGCCCAAAGCATGTACTGGCGTCAGCATGCATTCCCTGTTTTTCACAGCCACATTCGAGTATGAGAGCTTTGCTGTTTCTTACGAAAGTGGACTGGATGGGGTGCCTCGCTTCGATGCTCATGTGCAAGTGTACGGCGCGAACAAGACTGTAAAGCTGCAGTACGATACACCATACGTCAAAGGTCTTCCCATTACGGTCACCGTTGACGAGAGCACTCCGTCGGGTGGATACCAACAAAGAACGGTGTTGCCAACGTATGAAGACGCATACACAGCGGAGCTGACTGAGCTATATGCATGTTTGGTCAAAGGCAAAGCCATCAAAACCACTGTTGCAGATGCACTTCAGGATTTGGAAATTTTCCGCATGGTTCTGCAACGCGCATTTCCTCTAACATAGGTCTTTGTAGTCTGATTAGATGTGTTAGAAATAAAAATTGTGCTAGACTTTATAATCTAGCCTCAACAGCCATTGATGCTTGTATCTTATAATATCATAACTTAATGCAATTTGTTCAATCCGATCCTGTTTTCATCTTTACCGTGTCCTCATGCTCACTTCTCAAGCGCTTCCAATCATACGCTTCAAACCCGAAGCTCCAGATCTTCTCTTTGTATATCGATCCATCAATATCTAATTTACTGCTTTTTTTGCCAACGTGCTGTACCACACTCGGTGTGAGAGCGAACCTCAACTCTCTCCTCTCATCCGCGAACTTTTCAATCAATACGTCCACAAACCCAATGCGAGACTTTTCAAAATAATCTACTAGCTCAATAGCCTTTTGGCGAGGAAATACAAAGGCCTGGCTACAGCATCCAAATCGGGACATCTCATGTACCCCATTTGGGGAAGGAAGGACAGTCAAACGACCAAGTGCGAAAAAGACAAGAATAAACACTGCAAGTAGAGAGTAGGTTGCGACGATTGCGCGTATCGTACCGACGGTTCGAGAGAGCGTGATAGCAGGCTTGGAGACGCGTAGGAGAAACAAGATAGCTCCAAGTACAGCAGCCACGCACATCGAGTGGTATAAATATGTTTTCCAGTCCTCTGAATTCCAACCTAAGTATTCTTCGGTATAGAACAAGCGGAGGTAAAGGAAATTCTTCGCCTTTCGTACCCTGGACTGATGTTCAGCGTCCCTAATAGCTGCTACTGTCCGATGATACCATCCATCCATGGCAAGCGTATCGTCTTCAAAAATCGCAATGTACGGCGTATGCTGCTCCATGCATTTTGACAATAGATACGAGTAATCGTACAGTCCCTTTTCTTCGAATTGGCCGCCTTCATCCTCCATATCCCGAATATGCTGCATCTTCTCATGGTCTTCGAAATCGTAGGTAAGAACATGATCCGTAATTGTATGCAACCATTCTTCGCTATATGCTGAGTGCACAGCCGGATCTGCATGTGGTATGAACACCATGAGATAGATTTCACTCCTCTCATCAGGTGTCAACCCCTCCAATAGTGACCCTACCGTCTCGCGCATGTATTGTGCACCGCGGCGGCCGATGGAGGGAATACCGATACACAGTTTGTTGGTCCTTTGCCCTGCTTTCACGGCCTTGGGCATCAGCGTAGAATTATATGAGGATATAAAGGCTTCAGCCTGTTGGTGCCGTATCGTAGAGTATCGAAGCGCGTATCCTTTTTGTGGGTTGAAAAATAGGGAAGTTGGGTCGTTTAGTGCCGCCGATCTGATCGTGTAGATGAGGATAAGGCCGATGAAACTAGCAGTGATGATCGTAAAGCGTACGTAGGGACTCATATTCATTGAGAGTATGTTTGGAAGAGTTTACAATGTTACTAGAGAAGCCGTGAAGCTGTGACGCTTAAAAAGAACATAATGTGTGAAGAGTGTTGGACCCGAGTCACAATGGGAAGAAGGCAAGCCCATGCTTAGCGCGAGATACGGTCAGATCTACAGTAAAATAATGATAGTTGTTACGGTTCTCCACAAGTAGCTAAGATTAGACAGACAAGGTCCTAGCTGATTAATGCTTGGTGTGCTTGGATATGCTTGGTTCGTTAGGATCCGCTTATTACCCAGGGACTCCTGGTTTTGCAGTGGAGTCAAGAGAAGCGCACGACCAACATATATATCTCTCATATCGAGTTGCAGCCACCTCATCATAATAACAACTCTGTCCCTCTACTGTGTATATCTAATTGAGCTGACTTGGAATTGAACCAATCCAGGGGACAATCGCAAGCCCAATTCGAGCCCAGACGATAAACCTCCCGACAAGGGAACATTACGACGACTATTGTAAACGCAGGGGTGCATGGACCATCATGCTGTAACGAACACCCATACGAGGCCTTACGCTCGTTAACAACGCCTAGAAATGATGTCAAAGCTACTGATCCCCATTTCTGAATAGAGGCCTCTGTTCAAGACAATAAGCTTGTTTTTTTTACTCGGGTTCGACTAACGATATCCTCAGGACGTGAGTATGTTACGAAGTTCCAAAAAGGAACAGTTCACGCGACCTCGCAACATCCTACGCTAGGGTAAGAAAAGAAAGCGTATTTCACACTGACCACAGCTCCATTTATTCTTGTCTCCTTCTTTCTGTACGTAGCTTTGCGCCTTCAAGGATCATTGCTCTGCCCTATTAGTGAGTGGAGAGGGACGTGAATCTGTGTGGGTTCAAAGCATCCACCAAATGGATCTCAATTGGCCCAAACATTCATAAAATATATAAGGATTCTTAGGCGTCTAGCCTTGGACATGCCTCGTACGATCAATTACCGTATCCGTGTCCACATAACGTGGACAGCCGCACTATCAATACCAATACAAGGTTAGTCTGCCCCACATTCCCACACTTTTACGGACCCGCGTTCACGGACATAGGCAACTAATCCTTCACGCGATGCTTTGTCGTCAGTATTGCCAGACAACACCACCCTGTTACGTACTCGAAGCAAGCAGACCACACCCAACCACCGCCTGGAAGGTCCAAGTGATGATTTCACAAGCACCTACGCCATAGTGTTACCTGTTGAGCTATCGCTGGTTCTATGAAGGTACTTTAAGTGTCGTCGCATATCAACTCACCCACTAACAACTCTCTCTTCTGAGCGTCTCATTATAACTCCTATCTTTAAGATATCGCCACTGCCCTAATAGGCTCGGATGCTGAGTAGAATCACCTGCCTCGCAATGAGATCTGATTGGTTGAGGAAAGTAGTCTAACTTTGAAACATGACGTCACAACAACGCTTCGAAAGGGCTAGCAGAAAAAGCACGCTGTCTTCTACTCTTTGTTACAATGGCTTTCGAATCCATCGTTCAGGCGTTGCATCCTGTTAAGGTGGTTGTCTGGGGTGAGGTGGCAATGGGCTTTCTCGGAGCGGTAACACTCCTCAATGTGCGCTTTCTCCTATGCTTGCCTATTAATATACTTACGAAAGTTGCCTAGAGCTATATGCTAATCCCTTCTGAATCTGAGTACGACCTCGCTGCGCAAAAGTTAGTTGAGGCAGGTTTTCGCCCCGCACCATGGTCGTACGGCATAACCGATCCACACCTCCTTCCAGACGACGAGATCGCACGACGGCTTAAACTTAGGGAATATCCCGAATTTCAGAGGCTAGACGGCAATTCGGTGCGATTCCAATTTCCGGTAGGGTTTTCTGGCCCTGAAAGAGTTGTACTGCTGCGAAGCACGTATATCGGTCTCAGCCCCCCGAACGATCCGTCATCGATGCAAAGATTCCATTGCCATGATATCTTGTATTATCCTGACAAAGCTCTCCTCCTGGAAAGCTTTATCAGGACTCTCCTGCAGGAATCTCCAGGCTACTGGCGCTACTTGTTGGAGGCTTGGGCTATATCATATATATATGGTATACTGATGGTTGAAGACTCGGTGCTTGATTCCTGCGAAGATGAAAGTGTGAAATTGTGGTTCAACGAAAAGATTCGCCGGGGAAAGGGTGGTCTGGACAGAACTACAGTCAGTAAGAGAGTGGGAAAAGGTCAAGCCCCTGCTACGTAAGCCAAAGGCCTTGGAATTTGGCCATTCTAATGTGTCTATACCTGCCAGCTCGTAGCTAATGTTTTCTTAATTTATTGCATCATACACTCTAAATCCACTCCGTTCGAATTAGCGTTATCCTGAAGCTCTGAAGGAACTGCGCACGACAATCAACTCTGCCCTGCTAGTAGAAAATGTGAACAATATTATCACTACCAAAAAGCATTATTGGATTAGATCGGTTGGAACGCGGTAACTCCCGGAAGGTAGCGCTGTGCCTATCCCTGAAGGCATTCGCAGTGACCCTCCAAGTAGGTATCTATTGAATCATTCATGCAGGGGTTCTGCTAGCGATTGTGCCTTCGCGAGCCCTTTGAGTTTGAGAAGAGCATTTTAAAGAATGATCAAGATATAGCGAAATGTATATGTTTAGAAGCCAAGAATAAATAGAGCTAATATATTCAAGCCTCCTTAGTACAGTATGCCCTAGCTAATTGTGAAACACTTATAATAAGTAGTCAAGTACAAGGTATGAGAATGAATTTAGGTATCTGACTCTCCATTTAGTCTTCTCTTCGCGATCCTCTGACCAGTCAATACAACGATCAATCCAACTACTGCCTAGCTCCAGATGCTTGCATGTCCGCCTCGGTAACCGGTACCTCTTCCCTCCTCAACTCCTCCGGTACACGCGCTTCTTGTTTCTTGTTGATACCTCGAGCGCCAGGTGTCAGATATGTGTTGTCCAAGTTGGGTAGATCTTCACCCTCCGTGGGTTTCCAATGCTTGCTCTTCCATGGCTTCACACCGAGGATATACATGGTATCGATCTCCTCCAGGCTGCGACCATGCGATTCGCATACGAAGAAGTAGACCACAACAGCACCGGCGAAACAGCACCCCGCAAACACATAGCCGTAGCGGTAGTCGATGGCTGCGGTGATGTACGGTGTGAAGAACGAGAGGAGGAAGTTCCATGTCCAGTTCGATGCGGTAGCGATGGCCATGCACTTCGCCCGGTAGCGTGATGGATAGATTTCTCCGACGACAGACCAGACGATTGGTCCCCAGGTCATAGCGAAGCCGGCGATAAACAGGCAGGCGAATGTGATCATAGCATAGCCAACGCTCTGGCTCGATGACCCACCATTCGGATCCAAAGCGAAGTGTCCCAACGACGCGAAAACGAGGAAGCACATGAACATCCACAACGCACCATATATAAGCGAGGGCCGACGCCCAAACTTTTCGACAATGTATAATCCTGGGAACGTCGATCCGAAATTTACGGCTCCTAGGATTATAGAAGTGACAAATGAGTTTGAAATTCCAACAGATTTGAAAATCGTTGTGCTGTAGTAGAAGTAGTAGTTGGCGCCGGTCAGCTGCTGGAGAGCCTGGAGCGTGATACCAAGGAGCACACGATACAGCATTCGAGGGCCTGTGAAGATTTCGTACCATGGATGGTGACCGCCGCCTGCCTGCTCTGCTTCAAACTTCATCTGAATCTCAGTGATCTCGCGGGTCACCTCAGCGTGATCTTCGCTGACACCATAGGTAAGTGCGATGGTTTTCCTTGCACCATCGATCTTGCCCTGACGGTATTCCCAACGGGGCGATTCCTGCATAAAAAAGATTCCAATGACCATGAGGGCTGACCAGATGAAACCAACGCCCATGGGGATCTTGTCTAAAAGTAGCGACACGATTAGCATTTTTCTAGACAGAGTACGAATACTACCTAAGACATTATGAGTGTCTTATAAATAGTCAATTACTTACTATCCGTATGTTAGCAAAAGCACTCGAATAGTATTTGTGGTAGGACTTTCATACCAAGATTTCTCGCCAGTTTGGGCTTCGGTGCCAAAATTGATGCAGTATGCAACGAAGATGCCGAGAGTGATGAAGAGCTGGTAGCAGGAGACGAGAGCACCGCGAACGTATCGTGGAGCAGTTTCGGACTGATACATGGGCGTAAGTACCGATAAGCCGCCGACACCGAGACCCGCGACCCATCGACCGATTGAGATCTGATACCATGCAGTGGTTGTTACGATCTGAACGATGACGCCGACGCAGAATATGATGTTCCAAAATACAATCGAGTATTTGCGGCCGTATTTATCTGAGATTGGTGCGGCAATTAGAGCACCCATCAAGGTTCCAATAGATAACTAGGATCATCGTTAGCCCACACAGTGAATCACTAAAGGGCAATTCGACATACCAGAGCAACGATCAGTCCGGATCTCAAGTTGCTGAATTTTAACTCTCCGTTGCTACCCGTCTCATCCGCGAACTTGTCCAAGAAGACTGGCATTTCGAGGAATCCCGATATCTGACCAGTATCGTATCCGAAAACTAGTTGAAGCTCGAAGTTAGCCAATGTCTCGCATGCATGCAACTCACACGTATACACTTACTGAATCCACCCATGGAGACGATTACGGCCATGGCAATGATACGCACTCGAAAGATCTCTTTCATGCTAACTTCAATCATCTGCGGTTTCTTCTCTGGATCTACCATTGTCGAGGACGCAGGTGATGGAGACATCCGATCTTTCCGGAACCGGTCAAGTATCGCCATAACTTCGAGATGTATTTGGCAGATCAAACGAGGAAAATCTGATGGTATGATGGGTCAGGACGCGGGGACTCCATGGATCTATAAACCTCCATTTTCCCCCACCTAATGCCCGAACCCCAATGTCGTCATTATGGTACCTCCTGCCCTGGGGTTGCAAACTGATACAGCGAGTCGACAAGGTCTGTAGTAGTTTTCAGTCGGCGAGGTTCTATTCGAGAACAATCCTACGCACTAACACACGTTCGAGCAATGAAAAGCTTGTTGCATGTCAAGCTCCACTTAGTGCAATAACCCTACTGGTTGCGGGCGCTTTCCGGTAGTTAAGTGGGTATGCGGCTCTTTGTGCTTGGCAGTAATTTTTTTCTTTCCCTATCGATCTACGGACGGCGAGGCCTCGATAAACGTCATTAACGTCATTAACGTCATTTTTCGACTCCAGCGTGGGGCGTTGAAGAGACCGTGCTTGTCAGTTTGCCGCTCGAAATTTCTGATGTTGGTTTTCGCAATGCAGGAGCCGAGGCAGACCGGCAAATTAGAAGGCGACTGCTGAGGTGTTTCCAAAGCGTTTCGCATAAGCGCAGGAACAACACTTCTCAGTATGTTATGATACTCTCCAGGGCGATAGGTCTTGCGTCTAACTTTCGCAATCAAGGAGCTGTATAAGCTTTGAGACCTCACGCTTAGCCAATGCTATACACGAAAGCAAAACTCGAGGATACCGGACCAACACGTGCGGATGGAGGAAGTATGCGAATAAAGAACCACTTTACTAGGAGACTTGTAGGTTGTGGTCGCCACGAGCGTCGCAAGCTTTTGCGTTGACGGACGGCCGACCCTTTATGTCCCGGTCCCGACGTCATCATTGCAGGGTTGGCGAACAGAGTAAAGGCAAAAAGGTTGCCATGCGACTTTGACGGCGGCTTAAAGCCAACTGACATCGGGCAACTACTGTACATCACCCCCTGGCAGTCAGACCTGCCAAGAATGTGCCATCAGCAGAATGGTGTGTTGGTCTGTTAACGGGTACACCACCCGGCCCTTCTCTACCGCCCTTCATCGGGTCACAGGACGCACGACTCAGCTCTCAGCTCCCGAAACTGCCCTTTACAGCAGGTTGCTCGAAATAACGTGGAAAGCAGTGGCACACCGACACACCCAAGGGTACAGCTCCCGCGATGTCTGACGTGGCGCTTACTCCATTGGGTACCCGCTTCCGTTGTACTGCCTAATTGAGCAAGTCTTGTCAGTTGGTGTTGATTGCTGATGAAGAATGAAGAAGACGGGTACACCACCCGGTCAGAAATACTTGGACACCTCACGTGACGCGTTAGTCCGTGCAAGCCAATAGGAACAAGTAATATCCTGTGGCTTAGTAACTTTGCATGCCGGCTATAACACGATTCCCGACATGGTGTATTGAGGGTATATATCTGATGTGGGTCGCCGAGGAAGGTCTGACTGGAGCTAATCAAGGACCTAGTTGTTCCTCACGACTTGATATGTCTATTTACCTACATCAAATATATACCCACCATACTTTGTATGCGTTTGCGCCGATTTTGCGCGACCCCTTCGATAGGTAGGTAGGTCAAATGGGGTGGTTTGCACAGTTGAAATCGTGGTACGAATACCGACTCTCGCTTCTATTTTAACCACCGATGATAGCGTGTGGTTCTCCGGTGCAGGGGTCGGTGTACTCCCAGCCCAATCGTCTTCGTCCAAGGCGTATGCATGGGCGGCGAACGAAGGAATACTGTGTTGCTTTTTTTCGCCTTATCAGGTAAGAACACTGGATGGCATAGATTATAGGCGCAAAAACGGGCATACTGTCCGGCCTTTCTCTGTCATGTCCATGAATAGATCCACTGGCATCGCCACCTGATTAGGAATGCATCTCATTCGATACCACGAATCCGAGGGAGACACTGTTCGTGGAATGCTATAAATCTCATTCATAGGTATAGAGCTCATTGAGTGTTGAATTTACATGGTGACATGCAAAGATTGCGGCGCATGCTCGCAAATGCTCCAAACGCCGTGTGCGCTATGCTGTGCTATGCTCTCCATATGCAGCTCCCTTCTCTGCCAAAAATATTATACAATAGAACATGCTGTCTAAAGCCTCTTTCAGAAAGGCCTTCGTACTCTGTAGTGCAATGAAGATATTGAATATGTCCTCTCCAAAGAGCTAAATACGCACCATCAAGCTATAATCAACTCACTTCTCCTTCTTGTCGGGCGTTTCGCGTAAGAAAATTCTCCGCGCACTGAACTTAGGCAGGATCTTTGAGATCCTAGGTTGGCTCTGATTAGCTGGCACCTTGGAACTGACACCTGACTCTGGCAAGTCTTTAGACACCTCTGGTTGCTCGTAGTCGTCCGAAATCATTGATTTGAAACCTAAATCCGCGCCAAATGTGTTCACTGATGTTTTTAGGGGCGTCTGTGCTTTACTGGGTGAACCAAAGCCTGTTTGGGACGGTACAATGCCCAGTTTTCCTTCCAGCTTTCGGTATTGAAGTTCGGGGTCGTACGGGTCCGATATCTGAGGCTGTGTGGTGGACTCTTCAGCTGCCAAGAATAAGACTGGTGGCTTCTGGTGAAGAGTCGAAGGCTCTTGAGAAGCAATGGGTGGCTCTCGGAATTGCTGGGACACCGTTTTTTGTGGCTCGACGGGCACGTATTCGCTGACTAAAGTCGCCTGAGACGAAGAATTTGGTGGCAAAGGCGTCAGCTGCGACAGTTCCCACCTCTGCCGCTCCACTTCGGCATCTTCATTTGCCTTCTCTTGTGCTGCTATCTCCTTATGAACACGGCTCTTTTCTAGCGTGTACATGAGCTTCCTCCGATCGACCACCTTGGCTAGCGCCCTTAGTAGATCTGGATCAATCTCTTGCTCCGTATTGACGTGCTGCATGGTGTCGCCTATGCGCTCAACAAGCTGTGCCTTCGCATATCCTCGTAGTAACACCCCATACGTGAACTGGTCTGGATCGACGCCCCGACTCCGCATAATCTCAAACACACGGTCGGCAGCCTGTACCTGTCCCGTTTTGAAGAAGGCTTGCATGAAGATGTTCCAGCTGTAGATGTTGGGCTGAGGTGAGCCTTCGGTCATGTCCTTGATGACTTGGGATGCGCTTGCAAACTGCTGTTTCTGGCAAAAGGCGAGGAGAAACGCATTCCAGATAGTCGGATTTCGTGTCAGTGCCTTGAAATCTGGGTTGCTGGCAAGCAATTTGAAACGCTGGTATAGGTTCAGCACTCGTTGGGTGCTTACAGCCAGCGCCAACTTGATCTCCGTCTGTAGGATGATGTACATTGCCATGGGCGGAGGTTCAAGCAGTCCTGACGTTTGCGCAGTTCCGTTCTTGTTCATGGTGTCCCTTGTTCTTTGATTTAGGAATTGCTCCAAAGATGTTCCGTGAAAGAAGCCAAGGTACGTCTTCCATAGTAAGGCCGAGGTATGACCAATGTCTGGATCGTTCTGATGGCGTATGTAGAGATAGTAGAGGTAGTCCGACGCTAGCCAAGGGTCCTTGATATCCCTTGCTACCTCGGCACAGTGTTGAGCAAAGCTTTGGAACATGGCGGGATTACTTTGCGAAGAGCATCCATGAAGAAGGATCGAGAACGTATGCTTATCCGGCTTCATTCCGTTGGTTTCCAGAGTGTTGTACACCTTAAAAGCGGTAGCGTAATCACAAGCCTCCATGGCATTATGCATGACCACATTGTAGAGGAGAGTGTCCATTTTGATACCCAGGCTCACGAATGAGGCAACGATGCCAGGAGTGTCGTGATAGTTCTTGCTCTTATTCATGCTCTTGCGCAAAATGAGTGCACAGGTCCATCGAAGCCTTTCGCGATCGACCACCGACTGCCACGCAACAGCAGTATGCCTTGCTTTGAGCTCATCGAGACACCTCAAGGCGTAATGAAAATTGCCCGCCTCGCCAAACGCATTTGCATAATGGAGGAGCGTGTCAAAGCCGAGTCGCGTACGAGCTTCAACCAGGCAATTGAACACTCTCTTGAGATCTTGAATACTCGCCAACTGGACGATGTTGTAGAGCAGGTCCTGTGAACAAACATCCTGCTGCTCAGCCAGTACTTTTTGAAAGATATGAACGAAGGCCGGCACAAACGTTCGCTTGTTTGCTTCTGCATCTTTACCCCAGTTCTGACTGGCGAGATAGATACCTCTGCCATGAATCTTGGAGAGGTGGCCTAGGGCATCCGCAATGGCTACAGGTCTCAAGTCCCGCAAGAGTGGGTCCATGGTGATGGCCTTTATGAATCGTAGTACTCGGCCAGACTTGCAATCTAGCAGATACAGAAGCAATCTTTCAAACCAGGTTTTCCTAGTTTCAACATCCAGCTCTAACCAATTTGCCCGGACCTGGGTCCATCTAGCCTTGGTGGGTGGAAATAGCTTCGCACTCAGCTGAATACATTTACGGTCATGCTTAATTTCAACTTTCCGCGTGTGCTGTCCTAGGGAAGGATACACGGTGCGGTCGAGTAGCGCAAAGGCCCGGCTGAGCCCGGCTTGTTTGGTTGCATTGCCAGTAAGTCCAGACAGGTCCATCTGTGTAGCATCCCAGTATTCTAAATTGAAAATGCGACGGCAGAGCGATCTGTATTGTCCTTTCTTGTTGAGATCGGTTACTCCAAGGCCAGGTGGCAGTCGAGATACATAGTTGAAGAGTCGTTGTCGTTCCAAAGCGAGCGCCTTGTCGCGTTTCGCGGCTAGTTTGGGACCATTTTGGGTAAGAACGGACGATGCATGCGCAGGGCGTATTCCGCGACGTCGACGCTGCGATGACCGGGTGCCACTCGCAACCTGTCGATTGGACGGCTCGGCTGTGGAGAAACGTCTTAAGTGCTGGCGAGCAAAGAAGGAGATGTCGGCGTAGATATGCTGGACACGATGTGATTGAGTACCATTCGTCCCATAGCTACACTGTGGACGAGTCTTTCCCAGCAGCGGCAGCCCTGCAGCAGTACCCTGATGTTGTGGTCCCAAGGACGAGTTCAACGTATAGCTCCAACGACTATCGCGAACTTCGAATCTGTGTGGTATTGATTCGATGATATTCTTGTCGTATGCCGCCGTCTTCTCCTCCTCTTCTTGTGCCCGACCGCTCTTTCCATGTTGCGATTGACTCCTTCTCGAGATGAGAGACTCAGCGAAGACTCTTGGTGCGAGGAACGGGAGGATGGGAAGGTCCGCGCTCGCGATGAAGCTGGCATGGGGGGCGCTGACTCGGGGCATAGGAGAAGGGAAATTCTGCCGTCTTCATCGAGCCATGACGCGTTGGGGTGCGGAGCAGGCGATAGATGAAGTTGATGGGAAAAGTTTGAAGATGCGGGAGTGGCTCAAAGCGCTAACTGTGAACAATGCATGCTCGAACCTCCGAGCTTTGAGGTCCGCAAAAACTCCCGCGCGACGACTTCTAACGACAGCAACGTACTGTACTTACCGCTCAGATCTCCTCCCCACGAAGACACCCTTCTAGACTTTGAGTTGCAATCACTCAGCTCTCTATCACGTCCAAACGCCGACAATTACATCATAAGAACGTACAGCGACCCGGGCGCAAACCCAACTCTCCTCCTTCGAAGCAGCAGCACGACCACCATCATGTCTTCGCACGAAAAGCTCTCCGCGGCAGCCAACGACCGGAAAACTCGCCTCGCACAGCTCAAGTCGCTAAAGCGGAAGCAAGCACCAGCATCAGACGAACAAGATGAGGAGTTGCAGCCCCAAAGCGACACCTCGACAGCGCTGGCCCGCACAGAAGAAGAAGAGCCCTCAATAACCACAACCTACCTCTCCGGCCGAAACTACGACTCCACAACGCGCAACGTCAAGCTCGGCTTCGACAATCTACCCATTGCCGACCCCACCAACACGCTAGAATACAAGGCGCAGCAGTTGGCCCTCAATACCAAAGCGCAGCAAGAGGCGGAGACGGCCGAAGACAAGGGCTTAGACCTGTTCAAGTTGCAGCCCAAGAAGCCAAATTGGGATCTAAAGCGAGATCTCGAGCTCAAAATGAAGAGCCTGGATGTGCAGACTGAGAATGCCATTGCCAAGTTGGTGCGAGAGAGGGTCGAGGCACAAAAAGCTGCGCAGAAGGCAATACACGCGAAGAAGCCATCAACCGACGGCGAGGGCGAGGAGGTGGGTATGGAGGGAAGCGAGCTAGTAGAGGCTATGCATTTAAAGGAGCAGGACGAGGAGAGGGACAGGAGAAGAGACGCAGAGGATGAGGACGTCAGCTGAAGCATGTCGCAGGGTTAGGTTAAAGATTTAGATATAGGTCTGCTACAGGAGTCAGCTCAGTTTACACCGATTCGAGCATCGAAACTGGGCTCGCGGCGCGGCAGGCTACGATCCTTCAATGCGTCCTGGATAAGACGGGTGAAACATGACTGTGCTCGCAAAGTCAATACGCAGGTACAAGGGAGAATCATGAACGAGGATTCGGCACTTCACGACACGACACAAGCAGTGCTGACTTAACAGTTTATACTTATCAATTAAATTGCATACGTGTTCGCTACATTAGCATCTGAGTCTCACTTCTTCAACCCTCTTCACAAATTCTAATAGTTTACTTCACTTCTTGGTGCTTCACTTGTCATCCCCCATCATAGCAAATGTAGCTGAGGTTATTGCAAAAGCTGTAACCAAGCAAATTATCATGAGTTTTACATGGCAGACACGTCACGAATCAGAGGACATGCCGTAGGAAGAATCATAGGATCTTCTTCATTACGTTGACTACGAAGATGCCTCCCAAACCTTTATCCGTCGTGAGAGACTACTTTTTGTCATTTCCCTAAAACCTACAACGTGACCAAAGGATTATCGTGAGGATTTTAAGGGGCCCTAGGATGCACATACAGCGCACTAAACAAATTATAGCAGCAACGCCGTAGTGCCCCTATTCCAGCCTATCCGAGACCCGCCAAAAGAAAATTGCAATGAGGAAATGAGGAGCACCGTCGCCATGCTAAAGCCCAGATCATGAAGCCATTAATTAGAGGTAGTGTTATTGACAAATCCAGACGACATGTTGCTTGGAACGCGACTCATCGAAGGCAGTGTGAATTTGGGAGCAGATTGTTGAGCCGGTAGAGGCGCAGGTGGCTTTGCCGGGAGGTGCGAAGGCGTTCCGTATTTAGCAATGCTGCTTTGTGACAACGCTGGATCTCCAGGCTGCGACGCAATTCTGTTCATAGACGTGGCAGAGTTACTGCCTTGCATGACCTGAGGAGATGCAAATGAAGGCGTGCTAGTGGCTGGAGGACTGAGTCTAGGTAGTTGGGCGGGCATGAGATTCTGGCTAGGCATCTGGAAACCACCATAGCCATTCATCTGGGGTGGCACTTGAGCCATGTTTGGCTGCATGGGGTAGGGCATATTACGGCCGCCTGGGATGAAAGCCTGGGTCTGTGGATTGAACTGCTGGCGGTTGTAGCTTCCAGGAATAGGGTGTTGGTTGCGGTTAGGCTTGCCATTATAGGCGTTCGAAGGGAATTGGCCATATGGATATGGTCCAGGCATTGGGGCTTGATGCGGGGCAGACAACGGGCGATTTCCGGGCCCGGGTTGGGCATATGAACCTTGAGCCATAGGATAGGAAGCCTGTGGGACCATCTGAGGCCATGCTGAGTTCATGGGCATGTGCTGAGGCTGTTGATATGGATCTTGATATGGAGCCATCTGAGGGTTGGCCATCTTAGGGGTTACCTGCGAAGGCACACCTGCATTTTGAAACGAGGACATACCCCGCTGGAAGTCTGTTGACAGATCATAGCTATTCTGCGCCTGTCCGTATCCGGGATACACCATGGATGGATTCGAAGGCTGATATTGTTGCCCAGGCCAACCGTATTGTGGCTGGGTATCCGGAGACACCATACCCGGGTACGGGTTACTGTACGTTGGCGGTGGAGAGGCTCCTGGGTTCAAATTAGGGTACTGCGAGTTCTGTGTGGGCGCTGGGAAGCCGTTATAGTAAACCACGTTTTCTCCGGAGTAACCTGAAACGGGGTACTGCTGCGGGTAGTATGCATTGAAGCGAGACCGTGCCTGGAAGTCATCATCATCGTAGTTGCGCTGTTTCTTGATCTTCCTCTTGCCCGATGCTGAGCTTGACCTCGACATGTTGTTTTCCTTCTCCTTCTCTTCTCCTGACCCAATCCCTTCAGCCGTGTCGTTCTCGTCGCTCTCAGCATTGCCAAAGATGCGTTGCCGGGCCTCGCGATACCGAGCCTCACGCTCTTCTCGAGTGAGAGTGCCCTTGTCCTTCTCTTTGCCATCGCTGCCGTCGTTACTGCCATCACTGCCTCCTACCTCAGACGTCGTCTTCGATGGGTTCTGTGAATTAGCTGTGGTGTTAGTTCCTGATTTGCCGTCATCACGGCGCATGATTTTACGCGCTGGAAGTTCTACTGGAGGGGTGCTTGCACCCTTGGCAGGATCGACCATTTGTGAGACAGGGGGTGGGCTGTAGGATGATTAGCAAAAAGGTCACAGATCGTACACTTCAACACTTACATTCTACAATAGGGAGTGCGTGTGATCTTGACGCCAGTCATGGTAGTGTCGACTACATGACCAAGCAGGTAATAGTCTGCAAGACGATGGGCGAGCATTCTGTAGAAAGTATTGCAATTGGGCAGAGAGTATTCTGTTTCACTAGTATCTGTTAGCACACCCTGCTAGTCAACGAAATAGATTAGTGGAGGCGTACCGAGGATCTTTGATGAAGTCAATGAAGTCCTGCTCAATCTTAACCACGAACAAACGATCACGCGGAGACTGTAGCGCCTCAATGAGCTTCTCGTCAGGGATAGCTGGCATATTAGGGCCACTGTTCATTGGCGGCAAGCCATTAACAAGGGGCTGCGACATTGGTCTGGCGCCGTTCGGCGCCTGGCTCGGGTCGTAGAGAGTATGTGGGCCATTGGGCATATTTGGGAACCGCCCGGGTGGGACGCCTCGGTGAGGCTGGGGGTTCATGACAGCTATTTCATGCAACTGATCTCGAAACGCGCGAGCAGCGCCATTATCGGAGCCCTGTCGGGAGTCCGCAATGACCGAGTCTGGAGGAGACGTTACATCCTCTTCCTCGACCGCCCTCAGGCTAGCGCTGTCGTCAGGTCGAAGCGACTCTTTTTCGTCCAGTGCAAAGGTGGTGGCAGATGCGACACTCTTTCCGTCAATACTGGGGAGCTTGCCAGACCCATCTGACGAAGACAGCTGAGTGCTGCTATCTTCTGCGACGGAGACCTTGACTACTGCAATTGACTGCGGTCTTTCGATCTCCCCTCGATGCACATTGACTGAAGGCAAAGGAGACTGGGCTGGAGTAACAGCCATCGGCACAACTGGTGAGGTTGTGTTACCAGCAGCCTGGTTCGCGACTTTGACCTCTCCTCTCTCCACGACCACTTTCGGTGTCTCCGCGTGAACAGGAACAGAGCGCGCTTTTTGCGGCTGAGCAGGAATTTTAGGTGTCGCAACAGGTGGTCTCGCTTTAGGAGCAACGTCTCTGGGGGTGTGAGGTTTTATAGCGGAGGCCGCGACCTTGCAGTTGTCAGTACATCGGTTTTGATTGCTCATTAAGGAGTGTTTACCTTTGCAAAAGAGGGCCTGAGCTGAGCCTGCTCGGCAGGAACTGGAGCCGCAGATGACATGGCAGTGAGGCGGTGCTCAGTACAAGAGCGCTCGTGCGCAGGGGGACGAGCTGGGTCGCTTTTGCGCGAGTAGGTAGATCGTCGTGGGACTGCGGGGGGAAAGGTTGTGTTCAATTGACAGACGCCGAGTTCTGAAGCCGAGAAATTCACCAAGCTTAACACCGAAAATGGAGTCGTCGTCGTGAACTGAAAAGAAGGTACTGGTGACCGAAGTGATTGACGTTATTTTTTCAGGAAATAGGGTGCTCAAGGAAAGTCGCGAGAAACAGGGCCAGAGAGCTGGACATGTTGGTATGCCGACATTCGTAGGAAAGTGTAGCAATGTGGGCGTGTCGAGAGGTGTATCAAGTAGCCTTGACAGCGCGATCCGAGGCTGTGGGCGTCTGGAGGGGGAGAAGGCGCCAAGTTCCTTGGGATCTAGGGCGCACAGGGACGAGCGACCGGTGACAGTGAATTGGCTCGTCGGCGACGACGAAGAAGGCGAAGCAGCGGAGACCAGGCGGGTATGCGGGGTGCAGCGTGTTTGACGGTCAGAAGTGCGATGATGAGGGAGCAAGTGGGCGTTTGAGTGCTGAACCGTGCGCCGCTGTACCAACCTTTTTCCGCTCCGCCGTGCATGAAACTTTGCGCTTTTGCTATAGGCCTATCACGTGTTGGCGCAAGTGACAGAGCAGGAGGGAACTTGGCGAGGCTTGATTGACACCTTTACCTTTACCTTTGCCTGGTCTGCCTGCCTCCATCTTGGGAGAGCCTCGCGAGCCCACCGCCACTGAAATCGTCATCTGTGCAGTCCTATGCTTCTTTGAAAGCTCCAAACAACCTTGCGCGAGTAAACAGGTGCTTCTACCTCCAGTATATTGAACACCTCCAGCCTCCGCCATGTTCCGACGTCCTGGCGCGGGTCGCTCCAAGGCTTCAGCCGATACGCAATGCCAGAAGTGCCTGAAGCGAGGTCACTACAGCTACGAATGCAAAGCATCAGCGCAAGACCGACCCTACACATCTCGACCTTCCCGGACCCAGCAGCTCTTGAACCCCAAGCTCAAGCCTAAGCTCACCACCGAAGTCCCCAACGAGCTTCTCCGCAAGAAGGGCGTCGCAGACGACATTCTGAAGAAGAAGGAGGAGGACCGCAAGCGATCGCGCTCGTTATCTACATCCTCCGCAGACTCGGTGTCCACCATCTCTACCAACCGCTCGCATTCCAGATCACCACCGAGACGTGAAAAACACCATGGAGCTAGATCGCGGGGCCGCGGCGACGATAAAGCGCCGGGGAAACGCGCCAGGCGATCGATATCCTCAGACTCACGCTCATCCGAGGGCGCACGCGACAGGGACAGGAATACACGGCGGCGCATGAGCTCCTTCAGCCCTGGGGAACGAGGTCGAAGGAGGAGCAGGTCGCGATCGACATCGGCGCGTATGCAGATATCGCACGAAGATGTGCGGACAAGACCATCACGGAGCACAAGTATAGGCCGAGCAAGAGGCGGGCGAAAAGCTCGAAGCAGGAGCGCAAGAAGACACGGTAAGCGACCCGCGCGCCGCCTCTCCATGTCCAGGTCGCGATCAAGGAGCCACGACCGCATGGACACGTCTGACGACCGCAACGGTGCAACACGAGGCAGATGGGGCGCGTCTCCTCCAACAAAGGCACCAGTGCCACGATCTTCGTCACCATATCGAGGCAGTGCTGATCGTAGTCCGAGCCCAAATTCCAGACGAAAAGCCCCGCGACGGTCGCCTAGCCCACCCGCAGTGAGGAATGGAGATCGGAGTCATGGAGGGCCTCGAGGACCTGGACGAAATCGCTTTGACAATGGACCTGCCTACGATGCACCGCCACCAGCTCGACCACCGCCGCCGCCTGTGCAGAGAGAACGAAGCTTGAGTCCGTACAGTAAGCGCATGGCTTTGACAAGACAGATGCAAGCGGGATAAACGAATCACGGGAAGGATTCCAGTGCCGAGTCAGGGGTTCATTCTCCAGTGGGTCAGAGCCGGCAAGGCTCAGTGTATGTAAAATGTATTTTTGAAGATTGGTGGAGATCATGGTTCCAAAGAGAACCCGGATTTGGAAAAGGAGAACTTTATCACCAGGCAGAGCCAAATTTTGGAACCAGAGCTTTGCATAGCGCGTTGTAGTAATCAAGTCAATTGGCGGTAGACAGTGGGACGGCAGCGGAGTATTCAGGAGGGCTGCTCAGAGTGTATCATTAGGTGCTTTATACCCAAAGAAAGATACGCCAAAGTAGCCATTTTTTATTCCACTCGGTATCGAAGGTGAAAAAAACAAGGCCTTGCTCCGAACCCAATGATCATGAAAATTATTCATGCAGCACGAGTGCATGTTAGGCTACTTGCGCGTGAACACCTCACGTCTTGTGTACCAGTCAACTTCTCCCCACGTAATTCCCTAGACCATAGTCCTCATCTACTCCATGACGCCATCTGCTCCCTAACCGCATGTCTTCCTTTTCTTACTCATCTCGCTGGTAGCCTCAACCTCATCCTCATCGGTTACGTGCTGCTCGATAAGTCTCCAGTCTTCTACTCCGCAATCGATTATGCGTTTAGCCACCTTCCTTCTGACAATCCGATCTTACCACTACTCGTAGAAGCTGAAGTAGGATGCTGGGAGTGAATGCGAGGTTGAAAGCGAATGGAGGTAAACTTAAAAGCTGAAGCCAGTTTTGCGGAACAATGGTGAGCCATATTCAATGCTATGCCGGCAGCTTAGTACTCAATACTAGGGTAACTTGCAAACCATGTACTTTCCCACCCAAACTCAGGTACGCCTACTCCATGCCCTATGCAGATACAATAGGAAACAGTCGTACACATCAGACGTCGAATGTAGCTGTTGCGCGCTTATAGACCGTTCTCGCGCAGTAGCTCGTCGTCGTACGCCATCCCATTGATGCGCTTCTTAGTGAACTCGAATGCAGTGAAAAAAATAGCGTTGACTACGCAGGAGCGGGACATGGAGACGCCGAGACCTTTCGTAGTGTCAGAACGAGTCATATTTAGGAGTCGTGGGTCAAACATACCTCGATACATACGGCGGTTGAAGAACTGGATCTTTGGCCGCGTTTGCTTATCTTTGCCTCCGACAAGGCAATTTCGCTGATAGATACTCTTCGCAGTATCGATTGGGAATATCTGGAATTTTTGGTCAGCCTTGCAGAACCTAATGCCTTGGCCACCTGCTGTCACTCACGCATGCCCAACTGACGAGCCCACAGAGTCCTCCAGCTACGACCACAGCTAAGGGATGTGTGGGAGAAGTTCCGCGCACATTCGCCAAGATCTGCTTCACACTCTCATATGTAACGAAATAGATGCCGGTGCCGATCGAATCACGAACTATAACATATCAGCATCTTGTCTTGGTATTTTGATATAGAGGCACTCACGCAAATGTAAATGAAACCCAGAATATAAACCTCTCCAACCTCGATGCTTGACCAGATTTTGCGCCGTCCTCCACGTTCCCAGATTCTGGTAGCTCTTCCGTATGGCTTCATTCTTGCCACCGCCGTCGTTGCGATCAGCCATCAGCACGGAGATTTGAGCACTCAGCTTCGTCAGCTCGAAAGGACCTAGAGACCAAGTCAGTCAGTCCGCCTCGTGCAGAGATATGGGTCGCGTACAGGCAATTGTGGTAATAGCAGCACCCGCATTCACGCCTGCTAATCCGAAGCATGCGATAGTCGAAAAAGTAGGTAGAGCATCTTTGGTGTTTGCAATGACGAGCGGCGAGCTGCCGGTTGCCTGGTAGATCCAGTCATCGAGCACGTATTTCGACCGTTGGTATATGGAGAAGGACACGGTTCGAACGAGCGTTATGCTGGCGAGAGGAGACCAGACGCCTATGACGTCGTCATTACTAGCTCAATGTTGCGACAAACCTGGGGAAGCTTACCACGCCAAAATCCGTGGAAGCCCTCGGTCCTGTATGTATGGCGGACGCAGTCGGAGAAGGAATTGAACTTGTAGCTGTCACGCGTCAGCGTTGTTCTATAACGGTCTGGGGAGGTGGCATACGCTTGCAATCGAGTCTTGACCGAGTCCAGGGGATACTTGAAGCTATTCAGTGATGGTCCGTGACACTGCATGCCCTAGGTGACAGCCAACGTACTGCAGAGAATGTAGAAAGCAAACTGCTAGAGCTTGCAGCGACCTCGGTCCTGTACTTCTTGGTCCATCGCTTTGCCTGTTCACTCCGCAGTACCGTACGTGACACTTCGGTAAGATCTCTCGGCCTGTTGGGGATATTCTGGATGTGCGGCCGTTTCTCTCCCTGCTCGGGCATACTGGCTATCGCTAGCTGTGGGAAGACACAATGTCTTCCTACGGCAATCGCGATGAGGCCAGTAGCCGGGCAAGCTCCATCAAGACCGCCGGGGACGTCAAGATGGTGGTGAGGTCAAGGGGTGGGGCGACTGGTGTCGAGATGAGAGGTGTATAGCGTCGAGGAGGGTATGGCGACAATGACTGAGGCTGGCGTAGATAGGTCGACTGGGAAGCAACGACGATGGTGGTGGGGTTGAGCTGTTGCTTTGTGCCACCAAGAGCGACGGGCCAGGGTTACCATTGGCTGTGGGGCATGGATCGACGCAGCTATCAGGCACTATTTGATTGCATCAAGAGCAGAATAATCGCTCACGCAGCGGCCAGCAGAGACATGCGAGTCTGTTCAGGGCCTGTCTGCCTCTACGATGAGCAATTGCAGTTGCATATTCACTTTCAGAGGCAAAAGGTCCCGTTGGAGGCCGTTGGAGGGCCATGGCAGCAGCTGGTCGTGGTAGAATGCGGGGTTGGCATGCACATGTGAAGCTCTCCCCAGATCCATCTACCCAGCTCCGGCGAATCATGACGCGGGCATACAGTAGCTACGACACATCCAAAGCTGCTGGTTTGCTCAACGTGTCTGCGCTACGTTCCGCTGCAGTGCGACAGAGATGCCCTGGACTGGTGTAGTCCGGAGTAAGAGATAGACGGGAGAAGCTCCAAGTCAAGTCTGGTACACATGACAGGAGCTACCGGCCGCGGAATTCTGACATGAGCTTATTCGTACCCATGCTTCCCTCACTGCCGCTATCAGATCAGATAGACGAGACACCACAACCCCACCCCTTGTGCATGTTCTGGGAAACAGCCTCACTATACACTGTGCTAGCATGACCAAAAAAAATAATACTTTGGATTCTTGAACCATAACGACCTACTAAGCCGCTATTGGCTATTATATACAGCTAAGCTGGGAAAACGCATTCGGCATACCAAGACTTCAATCTTTTCTCCCCATCATCTTCCGTAATTCCTGATCATTGTCTGATCTCTCCAAAGGCGGCGTCTTCTCACTTTCGTCGACGTTCGGCCTTTTCCTCCTGATATCCCCCATGAGGGCTTCCTTCAGCGTCCCTCGATCATCCTCGACCTTCTCCATATGCCCATGTCGCCTCATGCTCTCCTTGTGCCAGCTTATCTGTCCCCCGTCTGCTTCGCGGTGTTTCTGAGCGTTGAGTTTCGCCGCACGTATCGACGTTCGGGTATAGACGAAGAGGAGCGCGGCCATAGTAAGGGCAGCAAGGGGTGCCATGATTGTCTGGCGACTAGTTAGAGGTGCGAAAGGCGATAGGCCGGAGAGGCTTACACGGCCATTTACGATGCCTCTATTCCGCGAAAGGCGGGCGGCTGCGTTGGCCGACGTGGGCTTGGACGCCTCGCTCATACCATCAGGCCCTTTGGGTTTGGACAATCTGCCGCCCATGATGAAGTCTCACAGCAGAGCGTCGAGGTCCTGTGACAGGAGAGTTGTTGTGGGTTTTGCAGTGATATCCGATATCACGCCACTGGCAAAGCTTGAGCTGCTGTCATCTGTCAACATGCTGCTCCTGTTAGCATCTGTCGAGCAATAAATGAAGTGGCGATTCTACAATTGATCGACGCAGAGTCACGACTAGCTGTGTGCATGTGTGTAGCTGTGTGTGTAGTGTAGTGTGGTGACCTGTAGCCCTGATCGATGAGGTAATGGCTTGCAGCTATCAGTAAGCGGTCTAGTGCACATGCACCACCTGGGCACGTCCAAAGGTGGGTCGCAGCATGGCTCTGCTTCCGTCATCACGAATTTTCAAATAGTTTACGTTGGTCTAGACGCACACATCGGACACCCAAGCCAGTCGTTCAGTGTCGTTTGGTGACTAACTGCACAGACTCCTTAGCTCTCCATTGCGGTCTTTCCGGACTTTGTCCTCTTCGGGTTGCCTCCAAGCTGCACATCTGCAAGAGACGTGGTCGATTTGGATTACTAACATTCCAGTCCACTCATTGACGGCTACTCTTGCGTCATCTTATAAGTAGACGCATTTGCCCGCACTGCAGCATTGATGCGCAGAACATTAGTTTGTAGCCTACGTGCTCTATCCCCACGTCTCTCTCTCTCTGCCCCTCCTTCTACAGGTCCCACCATCCTCCCACGAACCCCCACCAGAATAACCGTGGCGTCTGCGCGCCTGTCGAACCTCTCGTCCCACTTCTCAACATCGCGCCCCACCATGGCTTCCAACACAAAGGAATGTGACTACCTTGTGATCGGTATTGGTAGCGGAGGTATCGCCTCGGGGCGACGAGCTGCCAAACATGGCGCCAAGGTCATTGCCGTCGAATCCAAACGATACGGCGGTACCTGCGTGAATGTCGGCTGTGTTCCAAAAAAGGTGACCTGGAACGCGGCAGCCATTGCGGAAACATTCAAACATGCCAAAGCATACGGTTTCCAGGTCAGCGAACAACCGGCATTCGACTGGCCGTACTTCAAAAAGAAGCGGGATGCCTACGTGAAGCGACTGAACGGCATCTACGAGAACAACCTCAACAAGGATGAAATCGAGCATCTCAAGGGACGCGCCAAGTTTGTCGCAAAGGACGAGGTTGAGGTCGCGCTTGAGGGTGGAGGTACTCAGCGCATCAAGGCGAAGCACATTCTCATCGCTACGGGTGGACGGCCAAAGCTGCCCAGTATCCCCGGAGAGGAGCTCTGCATCTCTAGCGATGGCTTCTTCGACCTCGAGAAGCAACCGAAGAGCATTGCAACCAGCGGTGCAGGGTATATTGGCGTCGAGATGACGGGCATGCTCCACGCCCTCGGCACGAAGACGCATTTCTTCATCCGCGGCGACAAGCTCTTACGATCCTTCGACCCCATGATCCAAGACGCCGTCACCAAGGAGTACGAGCATCAAGGCGTCAATCTCTACAAGGGCTCACAGATCACCAAAGTGGAGGACATTGGTAACGGACTCAAACGTGTCACCTACCAGGAAACCAAGACAAAGAGGGAATCAACCATCGAAGTCGAGGAAGTCCTCTTTGCCACTGGTCGCGTACCCGAAATCGAAGACCTAAAGATCAAAGACTTTGGCATCAAGCTTAATGACAAGAACCACATCGTGACCGACGATTACCAAAACACCTCGCTCCCCAACATCTACGCCATTGGCGACGTCTGCGACCGCGGCTTCGAACTCACACCCGTGGCCATCGCTGCCGGCCGAAAGCTCTCCGACCGCCTCTTTGGAGGCAAGCCCGATGCACACCTCGAGTACCACAACATCCCCAGTGTTGTCTTTGCACATCCCGAGATTGGCTCCATCGGCCTGACGGAGCCTGAAGCTCGTGAGAAGTACGGCGACAAGGTGAAGGTCTACAAGGCGGAATTCACTGGCATGTACTTTGCTATGATGGAACCTGAGGAGAAGCAGGTGACTGCCTACAAGATCGTTGTCGTTGGTGAGGAAGAGAAGGTTGTAGGGCTACATATCTTGGGTCAGGCAAGTGGCGAGATTCTACAGGGTTTCGGCGTGGCGATCAAGATGGGTGCCACGAAGAAGGATTTCGACAACTGTGTGGTATGTGCTCTCTTCCTATTCCCATTCTGAATTTCATTCCGTGGTTGCAGACGCAGTATGCAGGAGGTGGGGAGATCTGGCAGTCGTTTCTAAGGAACGCGGCCCTGGACTTGCGGGGAAAGAAATCTAGCATAGATGATTCAAGAGACCATGCTAACACGTGCTACCCTGCAGGCTATCCACCCAGTATCGGCTGAGGAACTGGTAAGTACCCATCATGCTCGATCAGGTCTAGCAACGATACTAATGCATGACAGGTCACCATGACTTAAAGGACCATGCTGACAACCCCCTCCTTCGCGCACACCGTTCCAGATAGACTAGAAGACACTAGAATACTCGCGAATAGATTACAAGAACTCCAAGGAACAAAGCAAAACTTCAGCACTATGCATTGCCGCCGCTATCCGTTAGCCTGCCTACTATATAGTATTATGCATAGGTGCATCGGCGTACACTGCCGGCATAACAAACATGGTCTGATCCTGACCAGACTGCAGCTGAAGCTTGTTTCCCCACACTCGCTTCCCAAGTGTGCCTTGTGACAGTGCTCCTGCATCTGGCATGCAAGTAATATCGGATTTACGCCCATCCTGCGTTTCACCACGCCTAGTCTAGGTAGTCAACGCCACTCTAGTATACTAGCCTTACACTCGGACTCTTGCATCATGTCTTGTCTCCGTTCATGTAGTATCGCGCGAGGACAATTTTCCCTTTCTTAATGCTAGTTGAATCCTAGGTTCCCCTTATTCCCGCTAATAATTCATTTGCTTCCCAAAGGATGTTTCATCACTGGCACGCTAGAATACATACACTGCACTACACTAGACGTACACGTTTTCCAGCCCAAGTGGCGCCTGTCCCGGCGATCGATCGGCTAGAACGCCCCCCCTTCTCCGTGCCCCTTCGAGCAGATTACCATCCATCTGTCTAGTATTACGTAGCTCAACCTTGCACAAAGGCCTCTGCTCATTTCCCCCGCAACCCACGCGAGGCCGCGTCCTTCCCGCCCTTGAGGTGATAGTCTTTTGAGGAGAAAGTAGGCAGGCAGTCAGGCAGTCAGCTTTGCACACTTTGGTTGGCTGGTAAACTAGTCCGTTAGTCGTCAAGACAGCGTGGAAGTAGGAGATATAAACAAGTTAAACTTGGCTTCAACTATAGTCGACCAATTGAACTAGACACCGTCAAGCCCGCATGTCTGCGTGGTGCCACACATCACAGGGCGTTTTGTGCCGTCAAGGATTCTCCCTGGTTTGCCGTCAAGTGATGCAGTTCCAACACGTTAAGCTTAACGAAGCTTTTTCGCTCACCAGGGGAGGCAGGCAGGGCATCTCTGTCCCTGCAGCGGAACGTTTAGTCCAAGATACACGGAATGAAATTATCCCGCCAGTCAGGATTTTTCCGTCACCGTTTCTGGCGTCCCTGGCAAGGCGAGAAGAACAAGAACAAAGTGTGGAGAGGACAAAAGGAACCGCGTGAACGACCCCGATCATGCAGGCTTCTGGAAAGATGATCCTACCCCATCCCCGCGACAGCCGTCCTCGTGCTTGCCCTTTTCTGCTGCGGAGGCAAATCCTCCGCATCCTAACTATTGTAGTGTGTAGTGCACAGAAGCCCTGGTTTGCTCCTTCCCCTTCCTTCCCCCGGATTTGCCTTTGTCAAAGTGGGCGGGTGGGTTACACAGCGCCACATGGCGGATGTTAGTGCAACGGGCACAAACCTGGGATGGACCTGGTTCACCTGCAGCAGCCAGATATTTGACCTCGTGCCTGCGGCGAGGTTCTCGAATCTTGCTCCTTGTGGTGCGGAGGGGCTTGTACCGTGCTGCTCTCTCCGGAATCGTGGTTCCTGACTTCAATTAACGATTGTACATCACATGCCAGCGCTGGGTTTCTCGTTTAGAGCTCTGTGTTTTCCTTGTTTCAGAATGAACTGTACAATAATAAATTTTTGGGCACAGACACTCCCATTCCTGGGGCAATGGTGCGAGCGTGCACGGCCGCGGATTCCGGGGTAATAACATGCGAGATATTTGGCTGGGGACAAGGGGTGCTGTCGTGCTTTGCCGGGGGTTTCCACTTGGATGCGAACACGGGCCGTGTTTCTCGATGGAGCATACTCCGCCACTAGCGGCTCCGATGCTGAAATTGGTGTCGCAGCCGCATCATGCGACAGCCCTCAATTTTTGATTCCCCACATGCTTTCCGGACTGAAGGCAAGCTCGTGCAATGGTGGCAAAGTATCCAATCTGGGGACAGTGAAAATAGCTCGTTTGTACCAGAAGCTGGCTTCATAATGCCAGTTGCTGTGGTTTCGTTGGATTAATGTTGAGATAGTATACAAGTTACATCGATGATGATATTGGCGGCCGTGACATTCATTCACGTCCTTCCCTGCAGTAAAGCTGCCTTTTCGTGCGCCTGTCCTGATTTGCGCCGCGCTATTTTCCATTCTCCTGACCATTGGTTTGTCCTGACCATGCCAGTGGTAACCCAGGAGATAGCTCTCAAAGCTATTACAAAATTGTACGTTGAAGTGAAATTGGGGTGTGGAGCGATAAGACGTGACGCCGTTTCCAAGAGGTCTAGTCTTGTGAAACTTGGCGTCGAGAGGCAACTCGTAAGAGCTTACCCGCTCTGCCCGCTCAAGAAGAAATCCAGCTCGCTTGGCCCGCCCCGGCTAACCTCATTCTCTGCAAGCTGCTCTAGTAGACTGAGAAATGGATCCTTGCTGTCTGGGTCTGTATGGACTGATCCACCTGACGTGCTTCCTGCCCCAGGGGTTGGTTGCTGGTCATACGGAGTAGGCATAGTGAGCATTGGATCGAAATGCATCTGAGAAGGGTCGTGATTCGGATTGTTGATATTCCCTGCTCGGGGCACGGGTGAGGGCGCTAGGCTTGCGAATTGGGGCAGTGGCGAGAAGGAGAAGTTCGGCGAAAATGGGAGGGCCAGGCCGTTGCCATTGGCGTTGGGGGGGTTTAGTGAGCTATTCTGTAGTGGTGGTGTAAATGGACGTATGGAGGAGTTGTTGGGTGGATTGGATTTGGTGTCACGAGGACTTGGGTTTGAATCAGCAGTGCCGGCGTCAGAGCGTCTGTGTACGAGGGGCGGGCGTGTAGTAGATGTAGGTGTCGGTGGAGGAGGCGCAGCCTGTAATTGTGGTGTTGCTTTCGTAGTCGTCGTTGCCCTTCGTCTCTTGTTCGGGTGTCCATTCGAATACTGCTGCGCATGTTGTGATGGGAGCGGTTGCTTTTGGTAGCTTTGAGTGTTCCCAATCACTCCGCTAGTCATGTACATGTTGTTACGCTGTTCGATATTGTATGTTGCGATACTAGCAGATGGTCAGTTCACCTGCGTTTACTCCACCGGCGATGTTTCTTACCCCTCTTGGATCGAATCCACTGCAATATCGAGGAACGTGACATGCGATCCATCGAACACCTGCACGGGGTATCTATCGAAAAAGTCCTCTAGCTGGAAGACTGGCGCGTAGCGCATTGGGTTACTTGCCAACGACTGCACAAGCTCGGTATGGCACCCATAGATGGTCTGCAGTGTGTCTCGTTGATGTTGTGCGCCGGCCCAGATGTAACGTAGCTCGGAGAGCTGCTGCATCTCTCGAGACAGAAATTCGGCACTAACTGAAAACACTTCACCTTCGCGTCCAGGATAGTGTGCTCCATGTACATGGATGGTACCGGCTGTGCACACGCAGTACCCAACGAAGGCCGGCCAGTCAATAATCGAGGAAGCTCGTCCTATCTCGACTAGCTCAGCGATTGCATTAGCGTGAAGGAAGCACAGATTTGTCGCTTCAATCTGCCAGGGTTGATGTTGTGATGTTCCGGATAGTTCAGCCAAGTCTACGGGTAGAAATGGCCGATATATAAGGCAGTGTATAAGGTGGTAGATCAGCTTGCTGAGAACCAATATCGTGCTGTCCGGCTGGCCGAATAGTGCATCAATCGAGGTAAAAGTGTCCTGCGTCTCTGAAGCCCATATGTCGAGCTCCTGGCGAATCTTGGACAGGTTCGATAATGAGTGCCAAGGAAAGTGTGAATCACCCTTGACACCTCCGGCGGCGAGGTAGCGATTTGTTATGCCCAGGATTCTTGCTATGCCGATCAGCATACCCATGCTTCCTTGCCCGCCCTTTCCAGTACCGCCCATGTACTGTAAATTGCTTCCGTTCGGAAAATAATCCCCTTCCAGCAGCAAGGCGCCCGGGTGAAGCTGCCAGCTGGGAAGACGCAGGACAATCGATTCATCCGCTATTAATGATGGCCGCTTAGAGCCGGTGGCTGCAAATCGATCCATGAGGTAGCAGGACCAGAACAGCCGTCGTCGGCCTTCTCGCTCGGCGGATGTAACCTTGACGCCGGTCGGCAGTTCGCGATGGAGATCAAGTGCAAAAGCCATGCTAATAGCCGAAGCTTGATGGAACGGTTAGCGCTGTGTAACTACCCAAAAAAGGTTTGTAGTGACGTCGTACTTAGCAACATGAAAGTCTTCTTGCCGACGCCCAGTTGAAAATTGGCTTGCGCAAGTAGCATGAGTGTTTGTAAGGTTTCGATAGAGGGCTCATCAATGTCCAACTCTAGCCGGGCGCGGCGGGCGTACTCCTGACCGATTCGCACCGCAGAAGAGTAGCCTCCAAAATGGGGTGCATATCTGGATAGGCAAGGTTAAACGGGTCTATGATGCACAAGGGGAGGTGCGAGGCATACCTGGCACTCACGGCATAAAGAGCGTAGGCTAAGTGCGCAGGAAGCTGATTGGCTTGCGACCGCTGCCTAGTGGTAGTTTCGTCCAGGATGTAGTATGGCTTTCCATGTATTCTGGCAAAGTAGGTATCCAGAAGTAGGTCAGGAGCCAGGGTTGGTGTTTGTGTGCTGATTGCTGTTAGCAATGTGTCTGTTTTGGGCAGGAAGACGGGGGCTCGTCTCTAGGTACCTTGGCTCAATGGGAGACATCAACTGATTCGCATGCGTTGTGGCATGGATCTGGAGTGGGGAAACCTCATGTGGAGAGCGTGACTGTGACGTTGGGGCATCGGTTGTTGCTTTGGTGTCGTTGGTTGCATCTTGGGCTGAGGAGGGGTCGGCTTCTGCCGGGTCATCGCTCTTGCCCTCGGAGACCAGGCGCTTTTCGAGGCCGTCGACACGCTTCAGTAGGGCTTCGAGGACATCGGTCTTGGGGCCTCTCTTCTTGGGTACGGCATCTGCAGCTGGACATCAGCTCACGAACTGCGTGCAGGCGGCCAAGCGGCGCTCAAAACAGTGGAGCATACCGTAAACACAAGGGCAATTGAACACCTGACAGGCTTCACAGGTCGGGCGTGTGCGGTTGCATTTGATCTGGGACAGCGTGTCAGTGGGGACAGCAAGGCAAAGAGGAGGGGGCCAGAAGATATACCTTTCGCTTGCGGCAGCTCTTGCAATTCATGGCCTCTCGAGGCTCGTTGGAGACACGGCGGGCCGGCAGGCGGTCGATGCCGATCTGGGGTCTCGACATTGCGGCGGCCAGAGACTGCGAGACGTCGGTGGACATAGCGAAGAAGCTATATGGCAGCAGACAAGAAGCATCGTCTGGCTGCAGGTGACGGGTTGATGACGGTTTGGGCGCGAACAGAACAAGATGGTAGGGCAGAGGAAAGCAAGTGACACCAGATGCACGGCGTGCGATCCAAGTCCAAATTAAGGCCTCTTCCAGTGGGGACCGGCAGGGGGGTTCGGACAGTAAGGCTTGATGAGCGGGAGGGCGCGCCCAGGCCGATACGATTCAGTTGGTGCGTCGACTAGGGGGAGGGTGAGTGAGCGCTGGGTTGGCAGAACGGCTGGGGCACACCGCGTGATGGCTTTCTCTCGGGACATCTGGCTGCGGCGGTGCAGAACAACCGTTGGACCGAGTCGACGATTGGGACTCGATGGCCTGTCTGCATGCCAGGGGCGGCGGCGAGTGCGGAGAGGAGGGCAGCAAAGCATGACTCTCCAGACGTCTCTCTTCGACAGGTGGTGGGAGAGACTAGGCAGGGAATATCAGCTGCACCAACGTCGACTCCACGACAGCGCACCGTGCCTCGGTTCCTCCTTACCCATGCCCTTGACGGGCCTTGACGCTGCAAATTTGGCCTTAGATTGCGCCCGTCTCACGCAGCACCCTCGTCGCGGCATAGTGCGCCCTAGTAGCGCCGGATCACATCTTCTCTCGTTCTGGGAAATCTGGGGTAGGCCAGCTGAGCCAATCGAGACTGCGGGCCCGCCACCATGTCGTGCTGTTGGGTGGTGCAGCATGCCGCGAGCGCACCCACACACACCGACATAGTTGTACACACACACACACACACACACACAAACACATGCCCTTGCACCCGGTTTACCTCGCCCACGAGGCCCCGTCATCTCGAGCCACCCGCCATCCCTGGAGGCGCGCCAGCGTGCTTGTGGGAGCGATGCGCGGTAAATAAGGGGGCTGACTGGCTGGCTGGTTCACGTGTGGATGGTTTCCTCAGAACCACAGTACTTGAATTGAGGACTATGCCCTATGCCGCCAGGTGTCCCAGTCACATCTCCACCCCGCTTAAAATTTCACAGTCGCAAAAGCAAAGCGGCGTCATTTGTCTCATGTAGACTGCCTTTGATTACTGATGATGGCAACGATACTAATAATGATGATGATGATGATGCTGCTGCTGCTGCTCCTACTGCTAAAAGAGTCCTCGCCCAGATGCTAATCGCACAAAATCGTAGCACACGTTTTGGCCGACAAGCTGCCGAATCGTCTCTACTGTGGTCCAGGCTGAGACGTCAGCGATACCGTATGCAGTCCATCCCGCCGAAATAGCAACCGTCAGTGGGTCGACTTTACGAGGCCCACTGGCCAAGTCCACAAACACCTTTCCGGCGGGCTTTCCTGCCGCAACCCCATGCCCCTTGGTGTTCCCATTCCTCCCGTCAACCCTGTAGTGCTTTAGCAGAGGCACCACGAGAAGCGACTTCTCTGCAGGAAGAGCCGAGATGATCACAAATGGCTGTTCGAGTCGCTTAACGTCCTCGACAGATCGTACGGGCGACACATCCGTCGACAGCGGTCCATGGGCCCTAAAGCCTATTGTATATATAGGTCCAATCCCTAGATTCTTCAGCGCGAAGATGGAAGCCGATGCATCCGCCTCGTTGCTTGCAAGCAACAATGCCGCTTGGCCACTGTATGCTGATGGCACAAAGTCGCGCGTTAGCGTGGCCCGAATGCCTTTCCATCTTGCATTGTCCCCGATGAAAGATGCGTTGCTAGTTCCTGCGCGCACTAGCACAGTGTCGACTTGTCCGATAGCACGCGCAGCGTTGGACAGCGAAGGCAAGTACGACGCTGACGCCGCCAGCGGTGGGTTGATATACGCTCCGCCAAAGTTCGGTCGATGAAGTATGTTCTCAATCGAGGCCTTTGGCGCTCTCTCGGCAAATCCGAAAGAATGCGGCAGGCTCAGCTCATTGAAGCACTTCTCGAAAAACATGGCCTGCGACGTCGATCGAAAACTGCCAATGCCATAGATGTCTTGTTTCGGCATTTGGCCCATGGTATGTAGCGCTGCATTGATCTCGGCTGCACTAAGTTGGCCAGGGGCGGCAATCATGGGCAGGAGCGGGTGTGTGATGGGCGTGAATATCTTGTTCATGGTTCTAGACAGCTGGCCCATAGGTCCCATGTTCAGTCCAGAAAAGGGAGGGTGCGGATACTTTGCTTGGATAGTCGACCGGAAGTACTCCAGTTCGTAATTGGCTTGCATCGAGTTGACCATGGCATACATCTTGACAATGTCCCCATACACCGCTCCTCGTTCGAAGAGCGTTTGTGTTTCAGGCGTTGTCCACTTGAATGTCCCTGAGAAGTCGTGGAACGCAGAGATAATTTTACTGCAACCCTTGTTCTCGGCCAATTTCCGTCTAATGTCCTCGGGCAGCCACAGTTCCACATCAATGTACTCGCAACCCCATTGTATCGCACGCGCCAGATATCTGTAGAAAAGACCCGGGTCATCCATAGGGAACCGGCCATTCTCCTTTGTACACCTGGTCGTGTATATTATTGGCAGCTCTGTGCGCTGGCGCAAAACCATGAGTTGCTCTCCAACATACTTCAAGCTTGGGGTATTGCTGACAGTCCCGTCTGGTAGCGGTTCTTGTAGCAGATCGACCCGTATCTCTATTGCATCTGCGCCTACGGACAGGATATCGAGGTTTGGGAGTGCGGCATGTACGTCGGGGAAGGTAGTGGAGATGAGCGTGGTGCGCGCCTTCTTTGTCAGGTCGCGATGAGGGCTGATTTGTCCCAGGATGAAGGACAGGAATCGCGACACGTCTCGGCGGAAGAAGGGCGCTCGCGTGTAGAGGTACTCGTAGTCGCATCGGTCAGTGATGGCCTCATTCATTTCGTGTCCGCCGTCCACCCGGTGTGTGTTGATCAGTAGCCTCGAACGGTCCCAGCTGTCCAGTTGCGCACCAACAAGCGCATTGCTCAACCCATAGATGGTAGACTGAGGTCCTGCCTTTGCCTCCTCGACCGATGCTGTCGATTCCCACTTCTGGCCTAGGACATCCGCGAAGATGCCGACAATGTCCTCCTCGCCGTCGTTGTGCAGAATCAGCAGCGCCGGTCTTGCGCCACTGGGTATCTCTTGGACGTCGATGAGCGTGCCGTCCTTGAGGTGGGACGTGGTCACGCTCCCGGCTTCCACCATGGTTGCCATGAGAGGCCGGGGGTTGTAATGGGGTTTTGCGCTGTTGGACCGCGTGCTGTTAACCGTAGGTGTTGAAGCCGTTGATGCGATGCTGGATCTCGGCGAGGACGCGACGGGCGGTATTCAACTGACAGTCTCCTACGGCCGTCTCTACCATCTCCGTAACGTCGAGAGGGATCCAGCTAGTGGGGCTGCGTGTGGATGAATACAGGCTTCTCAAACAGCAGATAAATCGAGTTTCATCTGCAGGGTAGAGTATAGAACCAGGTGAACGTCTAATCGCGGTGCGTTTGAAGTTTGATAGTGAGATAGCACCACAAGCTAACCAGATGGAACCACCAAGCCTCCGTGAAACCCGCGTGTTTGTCTGCTCTAGAGCCGTCCTATGGCTGGACAGTGAATATGCCGTTGGAAATAGCACTACGCGTCGCATGTTCGGGGCAAGTTGAGTGATGCGGGCCAGGGGGGGACCCGTGGTAGGCCCGCCGATAGCTGGGGTTTGGATTTATCCGTCGGCAACTCACTCGGTCGCTAGGACGTGCAATTTCGCACCAATCACCTCATTCGTCATCACGCAAAGTAATCGTGTGCCAAGTGTACCGCAAAGTTTGCCATCGACCGCCGTGGAAGATTGCTGACGGATCGCTAGGGTAGAGGGATGCGGGATACGAGCTGAGTGCGGGGATTGGTGGAGATTGGTGGAGCTTGGTCTCGGAGTGGGTGGCCGCAGTGACATGCTCGCGAGTACCGAGCCTGAAGCGACATCGAAGGCGGCATCCTCGAGGTCGAGACTCCAGAATATCGAGTAACAAACAGCCAGGTACGAGCGTATTTGGCGTCGTGGTGAATATCAGTACTCGATGCGTGTGTACCACTTGCCAAAGGCCGCTCCAGACGGCCAGGCGGCAGCTGGAATGTGCGTGTGGCTTCAGCCCTATCGGCCCACAGCCTTTGCGGCTTCCCTCTTTGGGCGTAACCGACGTCTCAGGAGGAAATGCAGGTGGCGTGCTGCTCCTTCGACTACCCACTCTACCCGACCACGTGCCCACAAGAGCAGGAACAATGATTTTTATCATCTGTGAGTTGACGCGCATGCAGAGATCCTAAGCCTTCTCCAGTATCTAGTCGCGCCCAGATACTGTTCTCATCCCATAGACCAAGACACTGGAGCCTAGTGTTATGAGACAAGACCAATCTTCCTCGAAATGGTGTAATAGACACAGCTTTTCATACACTTATGTAATGTCAAATATTTTGCGACAGATTTCCAATGTCTTGCAGTTCATAGAAGATTGCGGTATCTTTGAAAAGAGAAGACACTCCAAACAGCCTTCGAAAGCCGAATTAAAAGAGCGTTGTCGTTAGGCTGATCTTTGTCCAGTAAAGTACACTCAAATGTCCCCAACCTTGACATTGGTAAGTTGACATACCTCGAGTATGAGGGTGAAAGAACGAAGATCCAGGATCTTACTATTGGTCTGCGCTTGGCTGAGAAGTGCCTGGTACGCTCCACCCAATATGGATGAAGCGAAATGGACAAATTTTGGAACATGACCTGGTCAAGCCGTTCTGTTATGATGTCCTGGATAACCTCGAAAGGAAAACTTTATCAAGCCACTGTTTGCTTTTGCTCGGCCCAAAAGAAGAACCCATGTGAAATGCACGAGCAAATTGTCAATCACCTTTCCATTGGCAATCTGGGAAGCAAAGAATACCTAGGTGATCCAGTAGCCCAGAATGCTCTCAAGGTCAAGATAGTTCTTGATTGACAACAAGATCTAGAAAAACAGGCCAAATTGCATGGGTACCGCTCATGTTCTACTTCGTAAGCGTGGGATCTGATGGAAACTTTACACTTGTCATATCCAGTCCTCAACAAGGGAGACTAAAACCATATATGTAAGTTCTCTAGCACAACAAAGTGCAGTTAAACGGCTGACTCATGATCAGCTGTTTCGGTTGCTCTGGTCCGGTGACTGTCAATCAGACAAAGGCACTCCAGCTTCTCCATCGTATAGACATCATCGCTTTATGGGGTCAATTCCAACATAACCCATTTGCTGGGGCATCCGTTCGAATCCTAAGAAAACGAAGTAAAGGCAGGGTCCGTGGCGTTTCTTAAGGTCTAATTTATTGGAGCATCAGGAGACCATCAACACAAAGCATATCTACAACTGGTTCGACAAAACCTATCTTCAAGTGGCAAAGCGCAAGAATAGACACTTCTGAAGCGGAAATCAACAAGCCGCTTACGCAGGGGATACGATTGCTTTCTCTGAAGACTTACTTCATCCCCGAGAGGGATGGATTCATAGGGTCGCTCTGCCGTGAACTTTGCGGTGCTGATCTTTTGGTAATACGAGCCGATACTAGAGGTTCCGTGCTTCCGCCTTTGGTGTTTCTGTCTCCTCAGCCTGGGACTTGCAGGACTTTGAAAGTAACACAAAGGAAGAAAGAGCAAGACTGCCACATAATGTTGAGACCGACTTCAGGTACAGCAAGGCCCAGACCTCTGTTAGCAAGTGCTTCAACACCACTCATGAATACTGCACCATGCCCGAAATATAATTTTGTGCCATCATTCCATTAACACGAAAGCGGGGGGCTATTGACGAAATGAGCACACAGAACGATTATCAACCTCTTGAGCAGCTCAAAGCGCAAATGAACTGTGGTGCGTGTGTCAAGGGCTAAGAGGATTTGCAAAGCGCCTACGCCCTAGTTGAGCTATTGCTGGTATCACATGGAGGGTGCGGGTTTTATGAAGATTACAAAGCGGACGATTGGATCTGCTACGCCTGTAAACAATCCTGCGATAGTGTTTTCATTTCAAAGTACGACAACACAATCTTTAGAGACGGAATTCTCGCAGCAAGTGACGAGCGCATCCAGCGCACCAGAAGCCTGAATCGCGCCTGGAACAATCACAAGTGACCAGACCCCACCAAGTACGAGATCTGATGTATCGCAAGATCTGCTGCGAGATGGAGATGGAGACGAATCTGCAAAAATTCCGAGACACTGTCGAATGCCTTGAGAGGAATACAAGCCACCAACGCCATACAAGGCCGTCCTGGGGAATGTCCCGCTTCAAGTTACGTAGATAAGGCGAAGTTTTCGTGCTACTGGAGACTCATGATGGGCTTGCACCAGAATGCATGAATTCGACTTGGTTTATGGATCTAACTAGGTTCAATATTATCTTGACATGGGGTATTTGTCCGGTCAGAGCCGTAGTGAGACTGGACTTGCTATTGATAGACAATAATCCCGCAAGCCGTTCACCTGCTGAGAATGATCGCTAGAATAGATCAATTCAGCGAGAGAATCGTGTGACAGTTTCTTCAGCTAATGCGTGCTCCAAGCATACAGCAGATTATAGGTCCTAGTCTTTTCTACTCTTCCACATACGACCATAGGATCTTGAATTCAGCGCTTCCCGTTCGCTCAGCGGTACTTAAGCAGGATACCGGCGGATTAGTAGTTAGGTGGGTGACCACTAGCGAATCCCCGCTGTTGTATGTTTTTTGTTGTCTTTTGTACACCTGGAAGAAAAATCCTTTCGTTTTGCCCATTTCAACTATAGGCTCGCTTAAAGGTCGAAAAACAGCATAGACTGAATCCAAACTAGGGGCGCTAGACGGAAATGCTCCAAGCTGGTAGGTATGTAGGTATAGGCTGAGAGAGTGCTTTGTGTCGAGGTCCATCCACGTGAGACACAAAATAGCCCTATGCAGTGTATGTAGGATAGCAAAGTATAGGCGGTGCAGCGTCGAGGCTGGCTGTGTGTGACAAGATTACGTTTGATAGGTGCTAGTCGCGTCTACCCTACAGGGTACGCGCACAGCAATCAAATGTGATATGAAGTCCTTATACAGGTTACTCGCCCTCATCGCACAAGGTCGGGTGTCTGTCAGGCGTGGCTAAGACCACAATGGGAAAGAATCCGCGTGGTAGTCAGAGCTGACCACATGACCCCGGTGGTCCAAACTATTGATCATAGATTGGCGAGATGGCGAGATCTGAATACGGCCTCAATAAAAGCACGGGTGGCGACTTTGGTTCACGTAGCCGAACAGCGTGGCCTAAATTTAGCGTAAACGTTCCGCCTAGCGTAGGCATACCCAGAAGGGAAGGATTTTGGAAGATTCCTCCAACTTTTCATTTATGGTTTTACGGGTCGACTTCGGACCGAAGCCGTTTCGCTGCTCAACAATAATGTGCTGGAGCAAGGATGGGGTTATTATAAGGTTAGGGTAGGGTTACATGGCAGGATTCGCATAAACCGGCGCCCGTCTTCGGCGGAAAAGCGGCCCCCTACGGCCGAGTCTCTGCCGCCAGTTCTAGATACGGCAACACATGCGCTCTCAGAATATACTCTGATTAGAAATGCTTGCACAGTCAGCGTTGACAAAGTCGATATCACCAAGACCGATTGTTCAGCCGACCGGCAGCGAAGAGACACCGAAAAAGTCGTGTACTTTTTTGCAATTTGAAATGCCTGTACATTAGTATGCTTGTTGAGACTGGGCGAAACTCGTCCGAAGTCCATGGCAAGCGGAAAGGACTGCGTGGCCAACGTTATACGTGAGACCATGGCCCGACACTCTGCTAGACGAGACTGATATCTCCAGCGATAATGGTCAATCGTACTAATAAGAGCCTCGTCATAGGTGCGAAGGTGGGTGTGCAGGACTCGAGTAAAGTGAGGCCCCGTGCCTCAGGCGTCATGATCGGCACCAAGATGCCGGTTCGAGGACATGAAGCGGCAGAGACGTCAGTCCGAATCAAAACCTTATGCAGGGACTACTAAGTCGACGATTGCGGATTGGAGGGCAGATGCGCTAGGGTCATGGCGCCCGCCGGGGTCTCAGCAGTGCGGGTACCATTCCGCCAGCCGTTGGTGATCCATGACTGCATTGCGCTCCCTTGGAGTAGTGATGGGCGGCGTCAATACCCAGCAGGATATTAACGTAGAGAGCAGAGGAAAGGATATGCGGGGAACAAATATATTGCGTCGCAAAAATAGCTAGCACCGTGAAGCAAGTGTGCGTGGTCGTTGTCGCGCAGATGTTTTGGCTGAACTGGAATGGAATGGCATGGCATGGAGAGGAAACGGCCGGTGATGTCATGGGCCGTCACAAGCAAATCATTGTCCTGACCAGGGCGGGAAAGCGCAATCGGGTCGAGCAAGCTGGGCAGCACAGTGGGCGAGCAACTGCAAGGCCATACAAGACTACTCCTTCTAGATTGCCAGCAAAGAGTAGAAGTGTCGGCGCAGCAAAGGCGTGGTGTTGCAAGTGTGGCTGGTGCAGTGTGACGGCGAATGACTTGTCGAGCGGTCGAGATGCTCGGAGGCCGCGGAGGGTTGCATGTCCATCCCGCGCATACGGTAGGGCTGCACTTTTGGCTGCACCGCCACAGACCCTGCGTCTCTGTTCTCCCCACCCTTCAGACCTGCTTGGGAAATTCGATGCGATATCACCTTGGCTTACCATTCACTGTAGGGCTACTAGCATGCGAGCCTCTTGCAGCCGCATGGAATGCTTGCAGCACGTTGCAGCGACAGCCCCCTATCCGCCAGACATTGCGCAGCGACCGTCTCAGATGCAGAGTTTTCCTGTGCTCTGCTGGCTGTACTCGACGACATGTGTGTACCGAATAGGGAGTACAATTCCACTGGCTGCAGCAAAGAATGACTTTGCGCGCTCGAGTCACCGATCGTCTCGCAGCTGGTGTTTACCGTTCCCAGCTCATTGGCGCCCCGAATACATGCCCAGTTTCACCGTTCCAATCCAGGTAGGAGAAGTGCATCTTTTACTTGCCAACACAGTGGGTGCTTGTTCGCCCGGTCCAGCTACCGGATTCAGCTATCCATAGTATGGTCGTAGGGGAGGTGTTGACGGCTACATGGATCCGAGAGGCCCCATAGCTGCGCGCAGTCGAACATGGTGAGCTGAAAGCAACTGGACTTGCAATACATGGAACATGAAAGACGGGACTCCCGTCACGCAGCGGGGCATGTGACCAACGTCGACACTAGCGAGACGTGGGGAGTATACTCCAGACCTCCAGTGCCGGTCGCGTAGACGAGGCTGTACATGGCCCACGCAATCTCAATCAACCGTTGACACGGTCGTATTACCGCAGCCGAACTCTTGGGAGTATGCTATGCCCGTCGTACAGTGCCCGGGAGCTCACCATCTCCGCACGAGTAACCGTCTCGGTTTGGCGGGTCGTACGGTATGCCTGCCATGGTCGTCTGCGTCGTCCTGCCAGACGATTGCTCGTTATTTTGAGAGCCAGTCATGGTGGTCGTCGTCGATGTCGTAGCGGCCCATTTGGCACGTCGGATAGCAGCCGAAATGCACGGTGAAAATTCTGTATGGACCAACTCGTCTGCCGGGACTGCACAGCCCTTCGGTCCTACAAGGGCCGCGGGCACCCGTATGCAGGTGTGGATTGTGTGGATGCAGATCGGCCGGTGCGATTCTTCCAGAATCGTAAGCGGATGCCACTAAGAAACGCCATGCGCTCAGGGTGCGCTCACCCCTGCAGTCCTTGCGTCATAGGCGGTGATATGAAAGAAAGGTCAAATCCGCGCATACTCAGCATCCCCAGGCCGTCTAAAAACTATCGCTCAGCAATTTACAATCATCAAAGTCGCGGCACCCTCAAGAAGACGCCGTTATTCTTACACCCGATACTCCGAGCACATCGGGCCCATACCACGTTAGCATTCCACACCCTTCCACGGCCACACGACCATAGATCACCTCATCAAGTCGTCTTTCACATCGGCGAGCCCCCGGCCAGTCACTCGCTAGTATAAAGATTACTTGCCACCCGCCTTGGTCCCTTACTTTTCCCCTCGACATAATGTTAGCGCTACCCACCAGACGTCAGCACCTTCCGCAACAGCATCATACATCCACCATACCTTCACCACCATCTTCACACCTTTCCTACCAACCCCAACCCCAACACTACGACGCACAGCAGCTCTTTGACCAAAAGCTGCTCCACGACTATCTCGAGTCGCAGCAGCAGTCGTTAGCCACGTCGGCCGTCGGTGCGTCCAACTCGTTCATGACGAGTACATACGACTTTGCGAACCCGTCCATCCGAATTCAGCAGTCGACACCCACGCCACAGCTCTCTCAGAACGGCTTCTCGCAGGCCCCGATGCTATCCGCCAACGCCGCCAACACTGGACTCGAGTCTTGGAATTCGTACGGTAATGTGCAGAGCCAGTCATTGCAGACACCGCACACCCAGAACAGGGGACACCAGCGCGCGTCCTCTTCGTCCTCGGTAGGGTCCAACGCCTCACAGTACCAGGCAGTAGGGCCTTCTGCAAGTTACCAGTACGTCGCTCACCCCGAGTATTTGCCATCGCACTCGACTGCGGTGGTGGCTGTTGACTCACTAGCCATGGCTGACACACTTTCAAGGGCCTTCTCGAACCATCTGCCGACTCCCACCCACACACCGACCCAAGACTCGTTCATGGGTAACAACAACTTCAACAACAACTATACACCCACTTCCTCCACTATGGACCAGACCATGGCCGCACACATGTCGATGAAGCAAGCCCTCATGGACCAGGGTGACGATGTACCAGACTTTGCACACTCTGCAAGGCAGTCAGTATCAAGTTACGGGCATGATTCACCCGCAACGCCGCACACGGCTCAGAGCGACGATATGGACTTTAAGATGCCCGCAAATGGTGAGACCCTCCACAAGGTCGACTCTTGGCTCTTCAATCAGTTCTGTACTTACGACGATGATCTAGAAATGCGACAGCACATTGTTCCCAAGTTTGAAAGAACATATACCGATATTGCTGCCGACAACTTTTACGACCCCAGCACTGTCGCTGCATCATCGATACCACAAACAAAGCCGGCGCAGTCTTCGCTACTATCGCCGTATCGAAGCAACGCCAACGAGAACGTCCAGCGTGCGCTGCAGGCAGCACAGTACGCGCGTTCGCAGTCACCAAGCAGCTCAGCCTCACGAGGTGACTCTCCGTTCCGAAGAGGCTCACCATATCGTCAGCCTAACAGTAGCTTCAACTCACCAATGGTTGGTACTGCTGCTGCGGCACGTGAGCAGAACCGCCAGGCTGATGCGGCTTACGCAATGAAGTCGCAGATGCAGTCTAGCGACGACACTCAACCAAAAACCATCTCGCCCAAGGACGCTCTGTTGGACTACGGCGAGCCTGACGAAGACTCAAAGGTGCCATTGTTTCCAGACGGTGGCGCAAGCGAGTACGACGCCCAATACAACGGTGGCGACCAATATAGAAACGCCACCCAATCCACCTTTGACACAACATCGACACAGGCCTACCGCCGCGACGGTTGGGCAACACCTCAGTTCTCATCAAATTTTCCGACTACGGCCGCTCCATCACTACAACAACAAGCCTCGAACTTCAACTTCGTTGCTCCCTCAGTTCAAAGCAACATTAACAACATACCCTTGGCGTCGACATCACAGTATCGGTCCACGCCTAGCAGTATGCCAGCCGCCGTCGACCAAACACCAGAGTTTCCAGCACACTTGACCTCCATGGAATCAAGCGCTAGCGAAGCTGAGCCACCAAATGGTAGCCAAAACAGCGACCTGTTTCTACGCAAACCGACCTCATCGGCGGCAGATTCGGGTACCTACTCTTGCACATATCATGGCTGCTCACAGCGTTTCGAGACTCCGCAGAAGCTCCAAAAGCACAAGCGTGAGGGCCATCGAAACACCAGTCTCAGCACCGCGATGACATCAGCGGCTATCCTAGAGCGGAACTCGCAGGCGGGCCCTCACAAGTGTGAGCGCATCAACCCGACCACCGGGAAGCCTTGCAACACTATATTTTCACGTCCGTACGATCTGACCCGGCACGAAGACACGATTCATAATGCGCGCAAACAAAAGGTTCGCTGCGCACTGTGTGTCGAGGAAAAGACCTTCTCGCGCAACGATGCACTAACACGCCACATGGTAAGGATACATCACCAAACACGCAAGCACCAGGCGCAGATTTGCTAACATGATCACAGCGCGTTGTGCATCCTGAGGTCGACTTCCCCGGAAAACATCGTAGACGTGGCGGTAACCATGACTGAGCGCACTTGGATGATGCGGGCGCCTCCGTCCGTCCGATTGCCGCGGAGATCGTTACCCGCACATTCCAGAACGGCGGCGAACATTCGGCACTATGCATCTCACCCTCCCTGCGTCGCACAAATTTTCTGCGTCGGCATCTCGGACTGGCAGTTGCTTATTGTTAGAATCGTCTTCTTCTGGTCTATGCAAGAACGAGGGTATGCGGATTACCACGCGTTCCTTCTGCTGCTTATCTCCGTATCCCTTGCATATCCGTTCGCACGAATCTGCAACATTGTATTTCCGATCGGATCCGGCATTGTCACGTTGCATCGCATCCTGTTCTTCGCTGGTCGGAGACACGGTCGGTCTGGCGTTGAGGTTCCGATTTTGCAACTGTACTCTAATTTTCGCGGGTCTATTCCGGGGCCATTGTAATTTTCGAATAACGGGTTGGGCATGAACTTAGCGATCTACAAGCGGGCGTACGATAAGATGATTTTGACGAAAGAGAAGGTTTTTCTGGATGTTTGTATGTGTACCAAAAGCGATCATGACGACTAGACGGTACAGCTGGCCAATGAGCCTGGGTTTCTTGGAATCAAATTACAAGATTTTGTCTATTTGTTGATAATATCAGCTCGTGTTGAGCATTTTCTAATATCATAATATCTCGAGTTTTCCATCTTGTCGCTCGAATACGATCTGTACAATGGTCATGTCATGTAGATAGGATAATGTTGGAAAACATGAACAGCATAATATCAGACGTAGAATATGGCTCAGAGTGTACCAAGTCGCATAACTTGACGGTTCACCATGTTTCTTACACACTAAGCTTGTCAGCACCTAAAGATGTTAGTGCTCAGATGTCGCTGAAAACAACTCTGTGCTCGTGCATGTGCAAAGCAGAACTACTCGGGGTCTAGGCTCGGTGCCGGCTGTTCCGCCGTGGGACTAATCGGCAGCCCAGAATGTTGGTGGGGTACAAAGCTGCATAGCACAGCCCAGATTGTAAGTTCTAGAGCCTCAAGAACATGGGCTAATGGGCTAGAGTGACATCTCAAAAGCCTATTCTTCAAGACAGGCGCATGCCAAATACCGAGGCTCGGGCATAGCGATGTGTAACAGCAGCTAGTGGGAGAGGCGAGTATCACAAGACCGAGACATGAGGATGAAGCCAGCGTGGATTCATCAGAGAAAAGGTGGAACTGGCAACTGCCGATACGAAGGGGTTGCCGACCCGAAGCGGCGCCGAATCTTGGTTCGACAGGATACGGTAATGGGGTAGCTTCGATCGCAATGCCGTCATGCAGGGCTGAGAACATCGGATAGGTTGTTATCGATACCAACGGCTGTGTCTGTAGTTGTAATCACTGACACAAGTCTGACGGAGGGACCCGCTGTTGACAAATCTGGCAGCAGCACAGCGCGGGTCTCATCCGTGTCCAAGCAGACTCGTTGTTTTATCGGCGTCTACTTGTACAGTTCACCTTTTCTCATGGGGGTTTGGCTTTGCTTGCTCAGTGACGTTACGCCAAAGTTATCGTGTTCCCAGATTGGAAACTTGGCAAAGTGTCGTGCGGGTGGGGACCAGACGTCAGTAGTCGCGAGTAAGGGAGAGGGTAATCCAGGATTCTCCCCATCCTTCCGTCATACCCCATCATGCGACCTGCTTCTTTGCGACTAAAAAAGCTCCACAAACCAAAAAATCAACTCGCCAAAGACGTGTATCGCAATGCTACCCCCCTCGGCGCGGAGATCCTCTTCCTCTTTGGCCATCCTGCTTCCTGATTGACCCACATCAACCTCACTAGATATTTCTTCAAGGCTAAATCGCGACTTTAGGCGCGGGAATTTCGCAGCTGTGAAGTCACCCAAAACACAACATCATGTTGTTCTCTTGTCAGGCTCTGCCGATCATGATGCGTTGCTCGTCTACAGCCGCCGTGTAATTGGTCGGTGCGACGCGAGCTCCTGCCTCGTGGCCGATCGCCGCGGGGCGATTATATCACTTTGGTCTGATATCGAGATTGGATGGTTGTCGAGTGTTGGAAACTGATGTAGTTGGGCTGTTGGCTGTTGCGCTGACCGTAGAACGACGTCGGCACCCTGTTTATTGAGTTTGGTGCTGACTGCCCTGCGCAACGTCTGAAGCGTGAATATGGCGTGTGGCTGGTGAGATCGCTGTCGAATTGAGCATGGGAAAGGGCTTCGTCTGCAGGACAGAAACTAGAGTCAGATTGGCACCTAGGCTCTGCGAACATGCCTGAGTTCTAGGTGGCTGATTGTAGCCTGTGCACCGCTGCTAGTCGTTACGGCTTCTTAGTTGCTTCAAGTTTCCGAAGAGTAACAGCAAGGTGTTCTTTCAATGAGTCAACATGCTTTCGATGTGTATAGCCTTGTTTGGTTTGGTGATATTCTGGGTATCAGAAAGCATACTTTACAGTGGGAAGCATTCTACTAATGTTAAGAGCTATTGCCATTACTAGCTCTACGTGTGCCCCCATGTTCAGTGGTAGCAATCATGGCATCCGCATGAAATTGTAGCAACTCCGCGAGCTAGAATACTTGTGTCATACTCATGAAGAACCACATCATGCGGAAGAGCTATAAGATGGACTCACGCAAAATACTTTTCAAGGTCGCAAACGAAGAAGCGTAAGCTAACAAGATTTCACTAAATTTTATTCGGAAGAGGAGCGCGCTAAAACCCCGCCATTCTGCATCTGGTACCTAGGTATACTCTACTACTCAGAACCCTCTCTACATCGCGCGCTTAGGACCTGCCTGCTCGTCAATATCACTCCCAGCATACCCTCTATACTCAAATAACAGAAAGTCTGCACTTTCTCAACCTCCGCCCTATTCGGCTCTGGAGCCCCGGCTCCGGAACCCCTACCTACCTTCTTATAAACCGTCCATGGGCATACCCCAACCGAGCCTCGAGCAAAAACGAAACTGCCGCAAGTGATCACTAGGGCCTTGGAGATATCGCCTCGTTACAGAATTGTCGGCAAACGCGCAATGGCCGTTCTTGACGATGTCCCCGGTCTCAAGGCGGAGGTAATTGTGGATGGACGACCTCTCCGCGAGTACGACGATGACGAGGAAACATCGTCCAAAGCAGTTACGAAGTATGTAGAGGCCCAGTCGGGTGCGGAGTTTGCTATCAGGAGCGTTTTCAGTGCACCTTTCCCACTGCAATATGGCGTGGAGATGAAAGTGAGCGTGGATGGGGACATATATCGCAGGACCTATAAGTGTCCAGATGAACTATATAGGGAAGGTGGCCACAACCAGAAAGGCATCTCGTATCAAGAGGATGGGAATTGGGTCCGGCGATATTATCGCTTTACAGCACTGAGCATCGGTAAGGCTTCAGCTACTCTTCCCAGCATCAAAGATATTCTTATGTTGACTACGGTTAGTTGAGGAAGTCGAGGACGCCTCAGAAATTTCTGGCCTCCAGAGAGACCTAACAACGAAAGGCAACATCACATTGAAGTATCGATACATCACCAACATGCATCCCGCGGACCGCATGCCTAGAACGGCTAAGCATGGCTTATCAGCGTTAGGCGCAATCCCGGAGAAAGCAATGAAAGGAGATGCTCGATCGCATCAGGCAACGTATGTCTTGGACCTACTCCGGCGTTCATATCGCTAACAATAACAATGATAATAGATTGAGTGAACCACGAGCAGCTGGGCGAGTGACACAGAAGTTCACGTATGATGTTGTAGACGACGAGCCGTTCGCGACTGTTCACTTCAAGTATCGTTCTCTAGGTCAGTAAATACTTCTTTATACCATTGAATTGTTGCTGACGACCGTCTTTGCGCAGCTGCGCTTAAGGCACTACGCATCATTAACGATGAAGGAGTGGATGCTATTCCACCGGAGGAGAGACCCGAGGACGAGCTGTCTCCAGCAGAGCTACGAGAAGCCTTGCGGCGTGTGCGTAATGTCATCGTGCCACATGTCTATTGTTCCGCGAATACTGACAAATCCACAGCGAGAAGCAGCGAGTGTCTCCATCAAGCAGGAAGGCGAAGTCAATAGACAGACCAAACGCGAACACGGGACCGAGCTTCAGGATGACGATGAAGTGACAGTCATTGAGACGAGGAGTCGCAAACGTCCGCGTGTAGACCAGGAAGTGATTGTGCTGGACTGAGGGCGTGCTATTCTGCACCAAATCTGGGTGCTACCCAGAATAAGCATGTTCGCACACGAGTAATTGCATTCTATATTAACGGAAGCGGCATGTCCTACTTAAGCTGTTCAAATGGGGGTGTATACTAGTAGGCTTACAAGTTGCTTTGATAAGTCGCGCCAGTGCAAGATACTATTACACAGGTTGGTACTATTTACTTAGCCGCTCACCCTCACCTGCTCTTACACACTACCCACCTTCTCTCACCACTTATCCCAGTTACTAGCTTTACTGACCCATGTTTACCGTACCATTTCGTCCCTCACTAGCGACGACGATCAACCCCCACAACTATAAAGCTAATCCTTTACTGTTTTGGCCCACCACCCTCCTCTCCATTTTATCAATATAGTGTCCTATTTCAAACGAATGATGGCAATCTTGTCGACTTGTCCGGGCCTGAAAGTGGAGATCATCGTCGACGGCGAGCCGCTACCGGAATTCGATGATCAGGAAGCGGATCAAGAATCACACACCAAGACGACCTATATCGAGGCGAAGACGGGCGCCGATTTCGTAGTCAGGTACACCGTTTCTGCGCTATTTTCCACTGATGACATCAGTGCGCAAATTTGCATTGATGGAGACGAAGGCAATCACAACGCGCATGAAAGTCATGAGCTTAATAATACCTTAGTCCATACCGTTGAGGGCCGGCTATCAAAGGCTGGTCGGAGGGTTTTCATCCAGAAGTTCCAATTTGCTGAACTGACCATCGGTACGTCTATGACTGGATGCCATCACGATTGACTGACACTGATGGGATGTAGTTGACGGTAACACGCAACTCATCAACAAAAGTCTTGTGCAGAAATTGGCTTCGTTGGGCATGGTGACTGTTAAAATCCAGCGTATAGCAAACCTACGCAAGGTAAGAGGTGGGCCTTCTTTCAAAGAGGACTCAAAAGTCGATGTCGTTCCTGAGAAAGCTCTTAAAGGAGACGCGAGATCACACCAAGCAAAGTAAGAGGAACATTGAAAGTCAATTTAGTAAATTTAACACAGATTACTAACAGAGTGCAGACTAGGCATTCCCAAAACACATTCAAAAGTTCATTGGTGGGATTGGGATATCATCGATGAGCCTTTCGCCACTTTCAACTTCAAGTATCGTTCCCTTGGTAAGGTTCCCAATGTACTCCGACAAGTTCCAAATGTTGACCTTCTAGATGCCCTCAAAATACTTCAAATCATTCCCCGAACTCCGAGTCCTGTACCGCTAGAAGAGCGACCGGAAGATGACCTCAATCTAAACGAGCTACGTCAACTCGTGCGGAACTTCAAGGTTAGTGAAATGTTTGGTTCATTTTTTACACCGCTGACGTATTTTCAAGGGACGGATCGCAGCTGCTCCCAAATTGAAGAAAGAAGATGGTACTAAGCGGGATCGGACGATCGACATCAATGATGAGGACGATGATGAGGACGATGATGAGGTTGTGGTCGTTCAGTCGAGAAGCCGGAAGCGCCGTTGTGGTTCGAGCAACGAGGTGATCATGATAGATTGAAGGTATAGGCCAAGTCTCTGGAGATCGACCGGATTCAGGGTTTCTTACACGAGCATTTGGCGGTACAGCATGCTTCATTTTTCATTTCCAGTTCGAGGCCCTACGGTCAAGACTCTTTCTATGCGGTTTTAGCTATCGTGGCCATTTGCCTATTTCTTTGTTTAAAAGTGGTCAACGCTAGCAAGAGCAGATTATACAACGAAGTAGGAGAAATTAGTATAAAACTATAGTTTAGGTGCTATACCTAGCAGCTTAATACAGTACTAAGGCAGTAAAGTTTACAGAACATAAAGCTAGCTAAATAGATTATTGAGTAATCCTTGACGATCGCTATTAGCAGACCTGGCCATTTATTTATTTATTTTATTACTTTAGTAATGTCTAGTATTAATCTTTTCTCTCATTATGTGCTCAGTCATCTTCCGTTTCTAAGTTGCCCGCTCATTCCGTCCTTGAATCCATACCCCCCATCTCCTACGCAGTCAGGCTTCCTTGGGATCTGCAATCACATCACTCATATATCTTTTCCATCGGGTCATGCTCAATATATCTGTGGCTCTCACACCATGTTCAGCGGGGGCGCCGCACACAGCTTGCCTCACCTTCACCTACACCTTCACCACCGCTTTCAGTCTGCCCTTATCATGACTAAGCGTTGCAGGCTTGTACCTAAACACTACGACTTGTTCACCATACGAATACCATACAACCACAGTCATGGCTATCATCAATGACTGCCCCGGTCTACGAGTCGAGGTCGTCGCAAACGGTAATGCGCTCCGCGAATACAACGACGATCAAGCAGGTGATGCACCGAATGTAGTCACTAGATATTTGGAGGTTAACGGCGAAGGAACTTTTGAGATTCTTACAAAGTTCCTCGAAAATTACGCTGGAAGGCATGGAGTTCGTGTTGAGGTCCGCCTTGACGGGCACAAGGTAGATTCGTACCTTCTAAGACTGAACCAACTTAAGAAAGAGGACGGACATAGGTCCTCAGGCGCGCCATCGAAAATCGGTGGACGATGGCATACCTCAAACTTCCTCTTCTCTTCTTTCGTTTTTGGTGAGTATTTCATTTTAGATATATTACGGACCACACTAAACGGAGTACAGAGCAAGATAGCACTAGAAGGCTTGACAAGGCTACTGAAGAAAAGTTGAAGCAGACCGGCACGATCACGGTTCTGTTTCATGAAATCAAGAACATCAGATGGCCTAGAAGCTCGGGACAGACACCTCAAGCGATGAACGGCGTATCAAAGTTTGGGAAGGTACCAGAGGAAGATGTGCAAGCTCTAGGGCTTTCCCACTATGGAAGGTATGTTGATTATTCGAAGTATATGATTCGATTACTCAAATACTACAGCGTAGATGAGCCTGTCAAACAGAGGCGCGGCAAAACATTGTCCTATGATAATGTAAACGGCAAAGGAGACGAACGTGCGTTTGCAACTTTTCGCTTCAAATATCGTTCGCTCGGTAAGTCTTCCACTTTATGTTTCGATGTTCATATTTGGCTCATACATCACTTTATAGCCACCCTAAAAGCCCTCTGCGTGGTCCAACGTACACCCGAGCCATCTCCTCCACCGCTGCCATATGCAAACACTTCCTCTGCTATCGACAGTCCGGGCATCTCCTCCCGGCTATCAAGCCCAGCTCCTAGTTCGAATGAAGAACGATATGGACTCGGCACTACAGAGATTGTTGCCATCATCGGAATGTATCGGGGTCATGTCAACGGACTGGGGGACCTCAACAAAAAGGAGCTGCTGGCGCTATTAGATCACCACCGGGTACGTGAACAGACCTAATAACAAGTACGTTATGTTGATTGGTTTAGAATGCGAATACACCGCTCAAGAGCATCAAGCGCGAGCGGGATGAAGCTGGTAGCATTCTTGAGAACGAGAAGCGCCAGAAATGAGAAATTATTGTTCTGGATCAATAGGCCAAACTGACTTAGGATTTAAGCCAAGACATAAGGTAACTAGTGTCAGGGTTTCAAGAGAAACGGGAGCATAGGAGTGGGGCTGAATGACTGTGTTCGACAGTAACTCGGACACCAAGCAGCTAGACCTGGGACAAATTTTACGTGGGTATATGAACCTGTGCAGCGGCGGTGCGGAAGTTTTCCTTTCTTCTTCAGAGATGGTTGCCACGTAAGAGTATTATACTGACGGACAATGTGGCACTTGCAACGAATTTATACATGTCGAGAGTGCACAAATACATTTGAGTATTCGGTCATACCTCTTCCTCTATTTCAAGACCCCCATCGCTTCTTATTTCACACTTACCATCTCGGCGAGCCCGGCGTCGGCGTAACGTATGTTTCACTCCAAATCGCGGTATACTTCTGTGTCCCCACGATCGTCTGACTTTTCACATCCGCGTACGTGGCACTCGTAACAACCGAGTCGGTTCCAATCCAGGTCGACCACGGCGTCGCCGTCGTCACACCCTTGACGGGACCCACCGATACTGACGTGGTTTCGGGCCAGGCGCCGGACCAAACGGTGGGACCTGGGATAATATAGTCGGTTACACACGGAGTTGTGCTGGTTTTGGGCTTCTTCGTCTCGGTGGAGCAATATACCTGATATTTGTCAGTGTCTACGAACCCAAATGAATCGAAGAATGGAGCAATCTGGGAGGGAGCGAAGGTATATCTGGGAACATACGTTGTGTACAACACCCGGATCCTCATAGCTGTACGCTCCAGGGAAGGAGACACCCTCCGGTAACTCGACGGTGCCATTACCGGTCACTTCAATCTGCACGCAATCAGGGTAGAACTGCGCACCTCGCCTCGGGTTTGCTTTGAAAGAGACATCGCCTTCGTGCAGGGCGATGATTTCAGCCCGGATTAAGTAGCTATTGGTAAACTTTAGTTCATATCTGCAGGGGTTTTGGGTATACATGAGGATAGAAGACCACGGTACATACTGTCCGGCCTTAAGACCTTGGGGAATACGGACGTTCATGTGCCCGAAGTTCTTTGCGATGTCCGAGGTTGCAGACCACTTCCCTGCCTGGGGGAAGGGGTTGCTTTCGTATTTTCCTAAGTGCCAGATCTTGACGAAGGAGTTCTGTGTCGGTGGGTCGGGGGAGATGTAGACAAGAGATGGCCCTGGGTTTCATCAGCATACAACTTCCTTCATCTACAGTACGGTTCTTACCGTGGTGGCTCGACGCAATCACATCATCCGTATCATTCCGGATATCGTGGTGCCTATTCATCCCATTAGTATCCGTGCTATCGCGGTGCCGACAATACAATTTCGTACCAGTCGAAGGTCAAGTTGTCGCCAGGTGCTACCTTGATCGTGTCGTGAGCCTGCACGTCACCCATGACATTGCAGCGCAAGTCTATTGAGCCTAGATCCTTGACTGGCGAATTGTTGTAGCCGCCTTTGCCTGATGCACCGTTGTAAGCTGGGATGCGGATCCCCTTGAAGGTGCCTTGGTCCACGCCATTGACGAAAACGCCCTGGAAGAAATGAGTAGAGTCTTCAGAACCTGTCTTGGTGTTAGGCAAGAAATTACCCAGATGAAAGTATGGGCGCAGGCTTGACTCGCAAGGAGCGATAGCAGAAGTGCTGAGGTTCGAGCCATGTTGACCGATAGAACAAAACACGGAAGACTGGGTGTGAACAGCAGCGCAATGGTGTAATCAAATAAGAGGTAAAGCAGTATATATACCCAAGCACCACTGAATGCATGGTTGCTGAGGCGTGTGTCGAACAGATTAGAGTATTGTAATTCAATATACCCGATCTGCTCCATATTGTTAATCTATCAACAGCCTGGGTAACACCCACGCATACCCACGTATCTGAAGGCACCACTAGTCATATCGGCAGTGCTCCGGAGTTACAGCTCACGGGAATTACATGCTAAGGTCGGGCGTAATTGTATGTCAATGTACCGGGTGGTGTCGTGCTATCCCCGATACAACAATGTACGGTACGTACGCCACAAATGTAGGCTGTATCGAGCCGCAATAAGAACGTGGACAATAGTTTGTTGGAGCAGTGCTGCTACCCGAGGCTTGCAGATGTCAATGATGGTATAGCTTATCCAGACTCTATAAGTTACAAACATGGGCCACCGTAATAATGTCTGGTGTGGCATCAGAGCTAACACGGGCGGGAAGTGACCGCGACCTCCACCGACAGTAGACATCGAGCGAGCGGCGCGATACTGCTAGTTTTGGCCCGTACACCTCCAAGAGGTGGTGGCTAAAGTTGCCACAGAGCGATACATGGCTGATATAGGATGCGTGTGTGATTGTGTATGTGACCTCTGCTGATTCCCAATCTCTCAGTCTACTCGGAACGAGTTTTCCAGATCGGGCGCCCAGCCATGGGCCTGATATCTTCTACGCGCAGCGCGAAAACAGACTCGTCATTATATATCTCGAGGCTGCCGTAAAGTAGTGTTTTGTTTGCTGGCGGTAGCGAAGAGAAAGAAAGCGGTGCGAAAAACCGAGTTTTGAGGGAGCTCGGAGCCTCGGTCGCGCTAGGCTGGATTGGTAAGTAGCGCTGCCCAAGAATGTCCACTCTGGCATCACCCACTCAGCAGTACCGCGCGAGCTCTGGGAACGTAGCAACTTCGTCCTTTAGTTGCAGCCTTGGGCATAGAGCTGTTGCGGACACGTCTTTGCTATCAATACTCTACCTTCGAAACCCTTCCCAATTCCTCCACCGCATCTACCACACGGCCCCCGCCAATTCGAACTGTGGGTGCCCTTGGTCCCACCACACCAAGAGCAAGAGCCCTTTCCCCGATACCACACGCTTGATCACAGCACAAGATGGCGGACTTTGAGGCACTGAAGGACCAGTGGAGCGACGTTGAGGACAGAGATGGCATCCGCCTCAGCTGGAACACCTTCCCCAGCTCGCGCATGGTATGGCCAACATGTGTAGTGTTGACATGGATGGAATGCTGACCTGTCGTGTAGGAAGCTTCGCGCCTAGTTGGTAAGAATTAGACGAAGTTATATAGAAATTAAGTCTGACTCGTGCAGTTCCTATCGGCGCTCTATACACGCCATTGAAAGAGAAGACAGATACTCCATTGCTTCAATATGCGCCGGTCGCTTGCAGACCGCCATGCCGGGCTGTCCTCAACCCTTTCTGGTATGCCATTCTTTAGTTCCTGCCTATACCGCTAAACCTGACGATAATACAGCCAAGTCGATATGCGCGCACGAGTATGGATATGCCCCTTCTGTCTCCAGCGAAACAACCTCCCGCCGCATTACAAGGACATCACGCAAGAGCAGATACCCCCAGAGCTACATCCGAATAGCACCACCATCGAGTACCGGCTCGCCCAGCCTGTGCAGACTCCGCCCATCTTTATATTTGTCGTGGATACGTGCCAGGAGGAGGATAGCTTGAAGGCGCTCAAGGACTCGATCATCATGAGCTTGAGCTTGCTCCCGCAATATGCCCTGGTTGGCCTGATTACATACGGTACTATGGTATGTGTGGGATGGTAGAGCACAAGAGAAGTTATGCTGATAGTTCCAGACACAAGTTCATGAGCTAGGCTACACCGAGTGCGCCAAATCGTACGTCTTTCGGGGCAATAAGGACTACTCCTCAAAGCAAGTCCACGAAATGCTCGGCTTGAGCCAGATTGCCCCGCGAGCGAATATCCCACAGCAGCCCGGACGGCCTCCCGTTGTGCCCCCTGGCGGAGTTGGCGCGCGCTTCATTCTCCCCGTGTCGCAGTGCGAATTCCAGTTGACCAACGCCCTCGAGCAACTGCAGAGGGATCCGTGGCCAGTCGCGAACGATAAGCGTGCACTGAGGTGCACTGGAGTTGCACTGAGCGTTGCTGCTGGGCTCCTAGAGACAAACTACCTGAACACAGGAGCTCGCATCATGCTCTTCAGCGGTGGTCCAGCGACCGAGGGCCCTGGCATGGTTGTTGGCCCTGAGCTGCGCGAGCCCATTCGATCGCATCACGATATCGACCGCGATAATATCAAGTACTACAAGAAGGCATTGAAGGTTGGTCCTATCCTGACAATAGTAGCCAGCAGGTTCTAACATATGCAGTTCTACGAAGCCCTCGCAAAGCGCGTCTCACATAACGGCCACATTGTGGACATATTTGCCGGCTGTTTAGATCAAGTCGGTCTACTTGAGATGAGGGGTCTTGCGAACAATACGGGCGGTCATATGATCCTGACCGACAGTTTTACCTCCTCCATGTACAAGCAGTCGTTCGCACGAGTCTTCAATAAGGATGCGGACGACAACCTACTCATGGGTTTCAACGCCGAACTCAACGTCGTTACTACCAAGGAGCTGAAGGTTACTGGCCTCATTGGACATGCTGTCTCATTGAACAGGAAGTCGGTATCTGTTGGTGAGACCGAGTGCGGTATTGGAAACACTTCTGCATGGAAGATGTGTGGTATTGACCCCGAATCCTCCTACGGTATCTATTTCGAGATCGCCAGTCAAGGCGGGCCCAACCAGATGCAATCGGGACCGCAGCAAGGCATTGTGCAGTTTCTCACACAATACCAGCACTCTGCTGGCCAGTACCATCTGAGAGGTATGTTGACCCATGAAGCATGTATGGGGGTCAATGCTGATCCACGTAGTAACCACTGTTGCGCGGAATTTAAGCGGTCCATCCGGCGACCCCGCCATCGCACAATCCTTTGACCAGGAAGCCGCAGCTGTACTCATGTCGAGGATAGCAGTCTTCAAGGCGGAGGTCGACGATGGGCCAGATGTTTTGCGATGGGTTGACCGCATGCTCATCCGGTTGTGCTCGCGCTTTGCCGAGTACAGGAAAGACGACCCATCATCGTTCAGGTATGCCACCATTTGCCAAATCCCGACATTCTCCCACTGATTTGTATAGGCTCGAGAAGAACTTCACACTATACCCCCAGTTCATGTTCCATCTTCGACGATCACAGTTCTTACAGGTGTTCAACAACTCACCCGATGAGACCGCTTTCTACCGACATATTTTGAACCACGAAGATGTTGGCAACTCTCTGATCATGATCCAGCCCACACTTGATAGCTACGGCTTTGATCACGAAGGCGGCCAGCCTGTTCTGCTCGACTCGGCTTCCATCCAGTCTGAGACTGTCCTCCTACTCGACACGTTCTTCCACATCCTCATCTTCCACGGCGAGACTATGGCCGAGTGGCGCAAAGCCGGTTATCAAGAGCAAGAAGGCTATGAGAACTTTGCTACACTTCTTGAGGCGCCGAAGGAGGATGCAAAGGATCTCATCCAAGACCGCTTCCCACTCCCTCGCTTCATTGTCTGCGACGCTGGTGGTTCCCAAGCTCGTTTCCTGCTCTCAAAGCTCAATCCTTCCACTACCCACACCACAGGCTCTTATGGTGGTGTTGCACAGACAGCTCAGACTATTTTCACGGATGACGTTAGCCTACAGACATTTATGGATCACCTCATGAAGCTGGCGGTCTCCGGCACGGGCTAGAAATACATCGAGTCAGCGAATACTTTCCACGGTACCATGGGCACCTGGGGGTTGCAGATAGGTTACTAGAGTATGCGAATGATCGATGTGTGGTAGTGTGCTCCAGGGTAAAGGGATGCAATGAAATATGGAAGAGGATCATGGCATCGACCTCGTTGAAGTATGGTAGAGTAGCGAGCTAGCACAGGGTTAGACGCGTAGAAATAAGATTAGCGTAGTGATGAGTTCTATTTGCTTTATGAATAGTGCACAAGTTTGCGCTGTTTTATTCTAGATCATACTTTGATGGCCGAACTACTGCTTCGACATTTCTACCCCTCCCAATCGCACGTACTAGGATGGAGAAATGGAGAAGAGAAATTACATATACAATTACCGCAAGTCAGTTAGAGGTCAAGATTTGTTCACGCGACGAGGGGAACATGAGATTTAAAAGTCACTAGAGTAAACAAGTAGTTCTTGATCCAAATTTATGATTTGGTAATTTGTGCTACTTGATGGTAGTCGTGAGGGTGAAATAAGCATTCCGGATAAACACTTCAATTGGAAGGAATAAGACATACATGCCACGCTCGCCATGTAATATGAACATACAGCTTGTATACTATCATAGTAGTGTGGTTTGGACATACACTTGAAACTTCGTAGTCGCAGGCAGCGCGGGCCACGGGCTAGCAGCAAGACCATTGTGCAGGTGGAGCGATGACAGAAATGTCTCCAAGTAGTTGACTTGACCGAGGCGACGAAGCTCAAGCCTTAGCTTTCTTTGCCCTCTTCGGTTTAGCAACAGCCTCCTGCTCTGGCTTTGTCTTGGGCGCCTTCTCCTTCACGTCCTCAGCGATAGTAGCATTGGTGGCCTTTTTAGCCTTCTTGCTCTTGGCCGCGGGCTCAGCGGTGACAATGTCTTCGGTTACAGCGGTAGCTTCGAGAGCGACGTCAGACTTGCGCTTCCTGTCTGCAACAGGCTCAACGACCTCAGCAGCGGCCTCCACCTCGCCATTGGCCTCCTCTGCTACCTTTCCCTTCGTGGCCTTCTTGCCTTTCTTCGCCGGTTTAGGCTCAACAGCCTCGATGGCTTGGACCTTTTGTTCGGATTTCGTTTCCTTCTTTCCCTTCTTACCCTTCGGTTGCTCTGCAGCAGGCGTCTCAGCCAGGAGCTGTTGAGGCTCTTCAGTCTCTAATGTAGACGTCCGCTTCGGAACATCCTCGACAGCCTTCAGTTGCGGGCCAGTGTACTCGTAGCCAAAATCTTCTTTCAGCTGCTTGTTCCGCCCGGTCCTCCTCTTGTTCTCATTGGCGACGCGCTTCTCCCATTGGGCGCGCTCGACGCCACGCTCCATCTCAAGACCCGCCTTCTTGTTTCGAGGGTCAACCTTGAAGCGCTGACCAGCGCCTTTGAAGAGGTCAGGATGGACCTGATCAGCAGGAACGAGCTTGCACTTGAGAATGTGACCGAACATTAGGTAGTTATCCATGGTTCGGGCGACGATATCGGCAACTTCGGTGGATGCGAACTCGACGAAGGCGTAGTGCTTGGAGGCGCCTGTCTTCTTGTTACGGGAGAGGCGGAGGTGGTTTACCTTGCCAAACTGCGAGAAGTACTGCTTCATCTGGGTCTCGAAGAAACCACGCGGCACACGACTGCTGTGGCGTTAGTGACATGGTCATTCTGTAGCTTCAATGCAATGCACGTACCCAACATAGACCACTCCCGGTGTGTTAGACAGAGGGGTTTGGCCTGCCTTCTCGATCGCTTTCCGTTGGTTCTTGGTAAGTGTGGGAACCTGAATATCGTCGTCGAAGTCCAAGTCTTCACTTGGATCGTCTGAATCGTCATCGCTCTCGAAGCCAGCAAGTAGAGCTGCGGTTTGATCGTCTTCCACGGCGTCTTCCTCGGCGTCCTCTGACACGACTGTGACTTCGGCAATCTCTTCCTTCTGTTCCTCTTGCTTTTTGCCGCCCTTTGCATTCTTCGCCTTCTTGGCCGAGACTTCTTTGGGGGCTTCGACTACTGGGTCCTCCTCGACAGGCGCCGCATCGGCTTGCTTGCCCTTCTTCGCTTTGGCCTTGGCTTTCGGCGCGTCTACTTTGGCGGCAACGGGTTCAGGCACATCCTCATTGGCTTTAGCAGGAGCCTTTGCCTTCTTGCCCTTGGTCGGCTTCGCGGGCTCAACAGCGGCGGGAGCTTCGTCGTCGAAGAAATCCGCAGCTTGTTTGCGCGTCGGCTTGCTCTTGGCTAGCTTCGTCTCGACGGGCGCAGGAGCTGCGGGCGTAGCCTTGGTGGGTTTGGTAGGCTTCGAGGTAGCGGCAGGCTTCTCGTCCGACTTTCTGGGCTTCTTCGCTTTCGGCGCAGACTCTGGAGCGCCTGAGGATGGAGTTAGCAAACGTATATTCACAATTGAACGGTGTTCCGCTTACCCTTGCGCTTCTTTCCTTTGGTGTCTTCGGCTGCCATTGTGATTGCTTGTGCTTAGTTTTGCGTGGTCAAGTCGCAAATGGTGTTGTGTGCAGAAAGTTCAAAGTTGAGGGTGCTCGGGCCAGGAACTTTTTTCGAGGAAGTCGCGCTAGCGAGCTCCCGAGCTGGCGCTGTTGGCGGTGAATAACGCCAATTACTGAACCATACCTGCCCGAATACTTTCTCCTTTCACGCAAGTTGATACTAGAAGCTAAAATTACCGCGGATACATCGACTGGCAACATTATCACAGTCGTCGAATATTGCACACTGTTTCCTGCCTTTCGGTATACCTGCATCTGCCTACGGACGCCCGTCAACTTGAACTAGATCCAAAATGGCGCCAGGAATCGATATGAGCGATAAGAATGCATGGGACGACTCTTTGCTAATAAACTCCTGGAACGATGCCGTTACCGAATACAAGGTATGCTAGATCATCCCTCCCGTCACCTTACCTCGACTGACACGTGAGAAGAAGTATCACAGCATCCACAAGTCAGGCAAGAGACTGGAAGACGCTCTGACGGAGGAAGAGCTGAGAGAACTGCGGGGGTAAATCATCCTTCGAATACTTTGGATCGTGGTGCTGACCTGTTGCAGCGACTATGGGGACCTGTTGGAAGAAGCAGAGACAGGATCGGGAGACGCAGAGACCAATGGTGATGCGGACCAAGAAGATACCGAGATGTCACTTCCAGGTGCCAATGGCGTCCATCATCTTGCTCAAGCAGGAACCCAACAGCAGGTACGATGAGACATGCAATCGGCTTTGTACCGATCCCTGCCTGACAAATGGTAGGAACAAAAACCTTCCGAACAACAGCAGCAGGGCCAGTCGATCGCATCAGACAATGCCGCGCCGCATGATGGGGCTCTTGCGGCTTCGATGCCACAGGCTATTCTCGGGACTGGTACGTGTTCGGCTTGACAGGCCGGGTTCCTGGCCTAAATGGGCAACCGTTGACGGTCAAAACAATTCTGACTTCTGGCAGTGCAAGACGAAAACCTCAAGAACATCATGATGTCTTGGTACTATGCTGGCTACTACACGGGGTTGCACGCGGGACAGCAACAGGTATCCAAAGATGCTCCACCAAAGCAGTAGTGGCGAAAAGAACAGCGATTAAAAGAGGCAGTGCACATGAACGATGTGGATAGTGAACAGTGCTCAGTGATGCGCAAAACGAAGAAGAGTATTGAGGCTCAAAGCCCATGTTCTGGACCAATGTGAGTGAGCAATGCCCTCGCCTAGCCCTTGCCCGCGATTAACCACCAACAGTTCGTGCCTCACAGCACTCGGAAGCGCAGGCTGCGAAATGATAGTTTCTACCTCTTCATGCGGCAAACCATCTTCCAGCCTCTCTGTTCAGGCACCCCTACTGGCTGTTCCGTTGCGAAGGAGCTTGATAGTACGTGGATTGCCTATTCGGGACAGCGCTGGCGTAAGGCGAGACAGATCTGCGACACTCCCGCGACAACCTCAAACCCACTTCCCACAGTTCGAGCTTTGAAGAACCCCGCCACCACTACCAAGCGAGCGCGCATCATCAAAATCCCGGCGAGTTTTGCAGTTGTCTTCAAGGGGTGTGATGTTTCGCCATGTGTCCGGCCTGCCTGCCACCCATCAGACCGCCAATTTCATGCATAGATTTAAGCTGTAGACGTCCCAGACACACTCTATTGTTCCCATCCTTCTGCCTCATAACTGTCTCGGTGCCGGGGCTCTACTGTCTTTCTAGTCATTCTCTTCATCGTCTTACTGTTCTCTGAGCCGGCCCTCGCAGTGCCTTTCAGTTTCTTCCTTTCTACCTTCTACCGTATATTCTCTGCTTGCAGCGCAGGCACTTACGCTCTTTTCGAATTTTACGAGGATACGCAATCTAGTCATAATGAAGTACTTTTCAGCACTGCCAATGGCAGCTAGCCTCGCTGCCGCTCAGATGCAGGTCATGAGCTTGCAATCTGCGGTGCCATCCGGCGCTGCTACACATACCGTGAGTACTCTCCGCTGGAGCTCTTGGACTATATCTAATAATCCAAGGTTGTCGTCGGTGGAGTGAAGCCAATAGCAACCGGAATGGCGCCCGTACTTGGATACTCACCCGAGTCCATTACGGCAGCGGTTGGCGATATGGTCATGTTCGTCTTCATGCAAAAGAACCACACCGTCACGCAATCGACTTTTGCCGAACCTTGCAAAAAGATGGAGGGAGGCATGGACTCGGGCTTCATGCCAAACCCTGAGGGCAAAGCAGGTGTCAATTGGAACATGACCGTTGAAACGACCGAGGCGCTCTGTAAGTCACTAATCACCCAGCAGTCTAGCGACGCCAACTAACACTTTACACAGGGTTCTACTGCAAACAGCAAAATGGTATCCATTGCGGCAAGGGAATGGTCTTCAGCATCAACGCCGCTACCACCGGCGACAAGACCATGTCCGCTTTTAAGCAACTCGCTGTCGGCACCAACGGCACCTCCCTTCAGCCCGGAGGTCTCCAAGCCGCTAATCCTAATGCTGCTGCTGCCCCTCCCACAGTCACCGTTGTGGCAGGTTCCGGAGCTCAGGCCCTTGCCTCAGCTACTGTCGTTGCTGGTACCGGTCAGGACGGTCAGGGCCAGGCTTGCACGTGCAGTTGCCTGTGTGGCATGAACTCGTTCCCCGCGAACGCTGCAATCAACAACTTTGGTGGCTTCCCTGGAATGATCGGATAGACGTAACAGAGAGGTTGGAAAATAGTAATGACCTCGGCAAGAGGCGGCTGGTGGATTTGGGTTTCTGATTGATGAGTACCGACAGGCTTCGAGTAGCATGTCGACCTTGATACCATTTTTATTATTTGCGCGGAACTTGAAGGGCATTCGCACTATACCGTAATCCAAGGCCTGCGATAGTTGCACGGTTGTGGGGTTAAACTTGATTGTAAAAGTGAAGCATAGAATCGAATCCAAGAGATCGTACTTCTTTATCATGAGCTTATTTCAGTGCTCGCGAATTTACCTCTTGAGGAGACAAGGCGGAGCTACACTGATGTTTAACACCAAGGGCGCGGTGGGCAGGCACATCACAGCAGTTGAAAAGAGAAATCGGTATATTCGTTACCCAAAGCAGACCCAGCATACCTCAGCTCCTCACACCCGATTCAAAAATGCAATCAAGACTCCAGCTCGTGAACACCATACTCGCTTTCAGCTCGATACTTGGTCGTCGTGCGTCGCTCAGCGCTCAGCGCAACACCCGCAGCTTATTTCTTGGCAGGGCCCTCTGCGGCTTTTTTCGCTTCGGCTTCATAAATCAACATATTAGCGCACCGGATCACCCACGCTACAGAGAAAACGAGAGAAGAAGGCCAAGAAAGGTAAGGAAGGAGAGAAAGCGAACGTACCAGCAGCCTGCTTCGCGCGCATAATCGCCGCCTGGTCGTCTTTGGTGCGGGCAAATTCCGTGCCAGATTGCTGTGCCTCAGGATTAGCCACACGTTCTTCAACCTTTCCCACACCAAGCACATACACCGTTCTTTGATTTCTATAAGAGAATGTTAGCACATGCCGTTTATTCGGAACTAGAGGTGGAACATACCGATCCCGCCGCAGCCTTGAGGTTCTTCTCGCGAGCCTTATCACGCTGATTTCCACGAGCCATCTCTGCCGGTTGTGTGTTCGCTCAAAGACCAGATTCTTTTTCGGGGATCGGTCCGAGATGCTGGCGTAGCTTTGAAGTAGGAGCTGGTGTTGTTCTTCTGGGTGCCTGTGGAGGTTAGAAGTTCAAGTGCAGTAAGCGCGGTCGAAGTTTTGATAAAAATAGCGCCGTTTGGCTGTTTGACGAATGGGAGTGGCGGGCGGGCGATTAGGGGCTAGAAGCGGCCGTCGAAGGTTGCGCCACGTGGACGAGCAATCAACACGATTCTTGTTTGCTGCGATGTTCCGTGTCTCGCATTGCTTTGTGCTATCGATGTAACATGGGGGAATTTGAGCAGAGACGCATATTTTTTTTAGGTCGCCACAGCCGATTTACTGCTATTCTTAGCTCTCAAGCAAACCGTACAAACTCAAGCCACCTTCAGACTTATCTTTTGGGCATTCATGTCACTGCTTCAAGGTACTCGGCAAATACGGTGCTTCACACTCGTACATGCTTCATGTATAAATACCTTGGCAGTTACATGTTTAAGCGTGGTCTGGCCGAGAGTTTCTCCCCCGAATTCTTGGAGCCAACTTCTAATGACACTTTAGAGCAGCTACAGGTCGGCTTCTAGAGATTTACCCAACATTACAGGGTTACAGCAGTATTGCTTGAAAGACTAGGCACGAAGGCCCCTTCAGATGCCTTGCTAGTTCATTCTGTATTTCTGAGGTTGGCACTCATTCCAAACTCTCTGGATCAGGAAGGATCAACAGCTTCATCTACATTACCGACTTCCGGGCATTTCCGTTATAACCCAATGCTGTGGTTCCATAGTTTCAAGCCCGGCAAAAGGTGGAAGAGCCGGGTATGCGTATGACCCTGTTCCAAATGACGGTATAACATGACGCAAATGTCGTCGTCTGAGTGATAAACATTGAGCTTTCAAAAGGAACAGCTCCCGCCTTCTGAGATAGCAATTGACTATTCTGTCGCCCGCCCTCGACCAAGAGACTGCAACGGTGCCTTTCAACATGCGCTACTCCTTCTCTCTCGCCACTTTTGTGGCAATTGCGACCGCGTTACCAACCTTGGATGCGCAACGACGTGCGAAATTGTTCACAGTCGAGTTAGCACCTGGACAAACCAAAGCAGTGACGGAGGCTGGAAAGCTTGCTTTGACAAGCGTACGTATATCATCACGAGGAACTATTCTGAAAAATTCAGCGTCGTACTCATAATAGTACAGCAAGGCATCGGCTTCATTGACGTCACAGACTGGCCGCAGTCTTCAAGGGTACTCGCAAACTACACGTATCCAACTGAGTTGACGCAAGGCGAATCCGTCCAAGACCTCATCGATCAACTCAGTGGTACGAACATTCGAACCAACCTCGAAATTTTTAGTAGCTTCAACAATCGCTACTACCAATCAGAAACTGGCAACCAGTCTGCCGAATGGCTGCTTGCACAAGCACGCAGCTATATTCCATCACGTTCGCCAGTCACGGTGTCTATATTCCCGCATGTGTATAGACAAAGCTCGATCATCGCGACTATACCTGGCAAAAGCGCAAAAACCATCGTTGTTGGAGCCCACCAGGATTCCATCAACGGCGCGGCGGGCGTGAATAGGACAACAGCAAGGGCCCCTGGAGCTGGTACGTTACGTAGATTCGATATAGGCTGATAGTACCACTGACTGCTCTCCTAGACGATGATGGCTCCGGCAGTATGACCATTCTAGAAGCCTTCCGCACCGTTTTAACGAACAGCACGATCGCTAATGGCGACGCCTCGCATACCATCGAGTTCCATTTTTATGCTGCCGAAGAAGTGGGCCTGTTAGGGTCAGGCAACATCTTCAGATCGTACGCTGAGCAGAAGCGCGACATTGCCGCTATGCTCAACCAAGACATGACAGGCTACACGGCGGGCTACAAGTCCCGTAACATGACACCTAAATTCGGCCTTGTGACAGACAACACCAATGCATTGTTGAACAACTTTACTCGACGCGTCATCAAAGCTTATACGAAGACTGAGGTGGCAGACACTGAGTGCGGCTATGCTTGCTCTGATCACACCAGTGCCACGAGGGCGGGATATCCGAGTGCATTTGTATTTGAAGGCGAGATGCATGGTCCGAACGACAACCCGTATGTTCATACGGCAAACGACACCATTGAGACGATCGACTTTGAGCATACGGTTGAGCACGCGAAGGTTGTCGTTGGGTTCGTGGTCGAGCTGGCTTTCGCAGATTTGTGAGATAGAGGCATTATTACGTTTAGTAATGGTTGGTTCTGGTAAGTGACGCGGATCCATAGCAATGGTTGATAAGCAATTAGGACTGAAAACTGATACACTACTTTCGAAAGCTGCTCAGGTGAAGTCGTGTATGTCGATGTGGTCGCCAAAGCCGGTGCATCCGAGATGTTTCTCGTGAGCATCTTGTCTCTGAATACGAGGATTAAAAAAGAGACGTTGGTCTTGATGAACATCTATCTGACATGGCGTGATCGTAGTTTGAGCAGAACAATGGCAAAAAAAGTAGTTCGAATGTTCCTGGGCGAACCCAGGCACGATTAATGTCCCCTTCGTGGATCGAACACGATACCTCCAGATTTAGTGACCGAAGACTTCAGTCTGGCGCTCTCCCAATTGAGCTAAGGAGACTCTTATGGGATTTGATGAGGTCTAATTAAAATGTAGGGTAATTATCCGTAGTATCTATAGTGGCAGATGAGCGTCTCACGACGCTTCAGATATTTAGGACAACTGAGAAATTTTTATACTTTAGCTAGACTAGGCTGTGGGTGGGCGAGCCAAGCGACACAGCCACTGTGGGTCTATATCCGGCATGAAACGCGGTTACACGCTTCGGCTTGGCGCGAACATGTCTAAGTTATGACCTCATGATTCTCTCTCCACAATAGGTTCGGCAAACTTCCTCGAGCGCTCTACGCGTCTGTACATGTTGATTATCGCGCAATCTCACTTGCCAAAGCATCGCAATGGCCATTGTGCAGGATTGGCTGCCGCCGTCGCGTGAGAATTGGGAGCTGATCTGCCAAATCTGGCAATACTTTCCCATAGTAAGACTCCGCTCCGCATATCGCGTCCTTTGCTGATAATCGTTACTTGCTAGATTACCGCAATACAATGGGTGACCGACTACTATCCGCAGGGGAAGACGTCAAATGAGTCTGTCTTCAATATCAATGGAAAGATTGGATGGGCAAGCATGGAGTCGGTAGGATTCATTATCCTGCTGTACATCATGTACACACTGCCGCAAGAACTGGGAATTGGAGATTTGCCATGGGGTAACTGGACGATGGCTGGGTGCTTCGTAGGTCTCACCAAGTCGTATATTGGGCGCTGTACTAACAGAACGCAGGTCGCCCACTACATCTATCGCGCAATCCTCTCGCCCCTCTTCCTGAACCCAAGCATGTCACCCATGAGCCCGCTCGTCTGGCTCATGGCATTCGCCTTCCAAACTTTCAACGCCATCTCCATCGGCGGATATCTCGCGGGCTACGGACCGACAACACAGCACGAGTGGACTGTACGGTCTGGATGGGTGTTTTTTGGGCTCGTCATCTGGAGCTGGGGACTGATGGGCAACATGTTCCATGACGACGACTTGCGCGAGATCAGACGGACGGCAGATCGCAAGCAGCGCAAGCAGCGCAAAGAGGTTGCCGCGCAGGGCAAGGCTGTGGAAAGCGTGGATAAGATTTACATGATTCCGAAGAATGGGCTGTTCCAGTACGTTCTACATGCGCACTACCTCTGTGAATGGATCGAGTGGGCTGGATGGTGGATGGTTGGAGGGTGGAACTGTGTTCCTGCGCGGATATTCTTGGTCAACGAGGTCACGACGATGCTACCACGGGCGCTGCAGGGCAAGAGGTGGTATGAGAAGAAGTTTGGCAAGGAGAGGCTAGAGAATAGGAAAGCGGTGATTCCAGGGCTGATATGATCGGGACTTGGGGCAGTGCGGAAGGCTAGTAGCCAATTTTGTAGCTATAGATGGAAATTATACATGTGTGGCTTTGGTGTAACAAAGAGGTCGATGAGCTTCGGCAGTGTTAGCCGCAGTAGCGGCAAGCAGCAAGCGGGCGGGCAAAGGTACTAATAATTAAGCGTGACACGGCGGCGGAGCGTCGAATGTCTTTACAACGTAGAGACGACAAACATGTGTAATAACATGTCAGCGCAGGGTAGTGATGTGTGATGGATTCCCTGTACAAGGACACTGTGATGGCTCACTGGTGGAACTTGGGCAGCGCGAAGGAGTGATCAGTGACAGAAGCTGATTACGAGCAACACGAGCACACATGATGTGAAAAGCCGTATCGCTGCAGCGTGAAGCAACCAATTCTCTTCCTGAGAGTTGACAGGCGGTTGTTGAGTCCATGGTGCGCGGTGTGTGGCGGCTAGCGGTGCGAAAGAGTGGACACGGGACTGTAACGTACCGAGGGTAGTCTGACTGACTCTCAGCTTCCTCAGCTTAATATAGAGTGGCCAAACGGGCCAATCAGGCGCGCACGGGCTGGATGGGAAGAGGCAGCTCGTAACAGCGGAGGGATCATGTTTTGGTGTGAATTAATATTGGGGCCAGGGTAGAATAGGAGAGCCAGCAGGGTTGGCAAGGTGGGCGGGCGATGGCATGACGACATGCGACAGCGATTGTGTTGTGGGCGCGCGCACCTGCGTCGTCGAGGGATGTCCCAGCGATGGGCTTCTTTGGTGTCTCTCCCGCACGAGGCGGCGATGGAGCGCGCGCGCTGGGAGAGAGATGCCCGTGATGAGTGATGAGACGACGCTTTCTCAAACGCACACAGCCACGCGAAGGCTGCTTTGGGCGGTAGTGGCAGCATCAGCTTTGCTCTCGACTGCCTCTTAGGGCTGCGACTAGGCGGCTTTGGGCGCCTCCAGGGCTGCGACTCCGCTCTTATTTCCCTTTGGAACGGCGCGGCCAGTCAATAATATTTCGCAGCGTCGCAAGCAGGGCAGCTTGGCGGCCATTGCTGAAAAGCACCTCAGCACCCCCCCCCCCCCCCAGGCAGGCAGGCAGGCTGCTCCATTTCCCAGGCTTATCTTCATGAAGCGTTTCTGAACGCCCGCCGCCCCTCTTACGCATTACTCATTTGTTTTAATTGGCACCCGTGCAGCCCACTGCACTGGGCTTTCGCTTGTTGCGTCGGCTATTGATCAACAGGAGCTTGCTCTTCTTGGATCCGCCCTCTTCTCCCGCGCGCGACTCCACCCTCCTCCTGCAACGCAACCGCGCACCTCCTCGCACCCACTCATCAGGCTCCTCCCACTGCGTCGCTCCTTCATAGCCCCGAGCTCTTCTTCACCACTCGTGAGCCGAGACGACACAGATCGCCGCCCACTCTCCAGCCGCGGAGCGATCCCAAGCCTCTGCTGCTGCATTCCGCGACACTAACTTCCTCACCTTTCGAAACCGCCCCGGCACCTTTTCTCTGCCGTCGCCCACATCATCAACACTCGCTCTTTCTTGCCTGACTTTCTGCTTCACCATCCCACGTCCATCGCGGCGTGCGATTGTCGTTAAGCATGTCGAGCAATGCCACTACTCGTACGTCCCCTTCTTTTATCCAGTCGAATTCTGCTCCACCTGCCTCTTCTCCTCCCTTATCGTCTGTAACATTGCCCGTAGTCCCCTCAGCGGCTCCTACCACACCGTCTCCCAACCCCACAACGCCCTCTAACCTGCCCTCAGCGGTGCCCTCGTCGGCAGAACCACCCGCCTCGAGTCCCCCGCCAGTGAGCCTACCCGTCTCGTCGAGCCCACCACCTGCACCCTCGTCGAACCCGCCTTCCTCGAACCCACCACCACCACCGTCTTCGGCAGCTCCCCCACCCACCTCGGTCGTCACCGCCTCGTCCGCTCCGCCAACCACAACCGAAGTCCAGACGTCTTTCATCATCATCACCCCCTCTGCAACCCGGCCTGGAGAGACACCATCGGTTCTCATCATCACTTCAGTGATTACTCCAACCAACGCGCCCGCCAAGACAACTGCCACTGGCGTCTCGAGCTCCGCCCGGGCAACCAGCACCAATCCAACCGAGCTCCAAAACGCACAAAAGGACAATGGTGGCGGGTTGAACAGCGGTGGTAAGACGGCCATTGCCGTCGTTATCCCCGTTGTCGTTGTCGCCTTGCTTGTGCTTGGTGGCTTATTCTTCTGGCGGAAACGCAAGCAGCGCAAGGTTGCCGAGGACGAACGCAGGAAAGAGGTGGAGGAGTATGGCTACAATCCCAACCACGACCCGACGCTCCCTGCCGTCGGTATGGCCATGGCCGAAGACGACAGCGGCTACCGGGGATGGGGCAACACGGCTACCAGCTCGAACCGCAAGGCTTCTACCACGCTCGCTTCCGGCATGACCTACTCCGACAGCAACAGCAACCCAGGTGGTTACCAAAGCCCCAACTCGCCAACCAACGGTACCTACTCCGACGCAAACTCCAACGACCCTCTAGTCAACGGTCGTCGCGAGACATTGGACTCGGATGGCATTGGCGCCCTCGGTGCTGTCGGCGGTGCAGCTCCCAACTCGAGCCAGAACGCCTCGGGCGTACACCGCGGCCCCTCTAACGCCTCATCCTCTTACTCGGCGGCTGGCCACTCCGACAACTCGGGCGAATACCCTGGCATGCCAAATAGCAACCCACAAGAATTCTACAATGACAACCAGGGCTATTACCAGTCTAATCCCTATGGCCAACCGGATCCCTATGCAGGGAATCAGCAGCCCATAATACGCGACGTGAGCGCACGACGAAACACGAGGATTGAGAACCCGAGTGTGTTTCCACAGCAAGGCAACTCGGGGATTGCGCAGAATTTCTAGACCATTTTCGATTCAAATCCAAAGTCGCTAAGCTATTTATCGCTAATTGTACATCGCCACCTTTCATTCTAATCTCTTTGAAATTCAATCAGCCTATATCCATATGGCGGCGTTTTGACCAGGCGGTTCTCATTGTCTTTTCCGCATTGTATCGATCTTTGTGTTATCTTTTCGAAGTCGCATGCAGCAGGCGGTTGCTGGCATGCATGCCCCACCTCACCTGATGGTTGGGACGGTCGGATCGACCGGGTGAGGCGGGTACGACAATAAAGAGGTGGTACCAGATCGGAAGCACGCTGGTGTTGTGATCATGCAGGGCAGGGGTGGGCTGTTGAACTATAGATCGCGTAATTATCATCACACACACAAACACACGGAGAGATCCGGTCGTTGTCCGGATTTTCACGCCGTCGAGTTTCTTATGTCTGTTGGTTAGTACGGAGAGTTGAGCGATGGGAAGAGTGGGATTTGTTGGCTGCTATCAGGCATGCACACAGTTGATATGTTGGTTGGCTGTTTGGCGAAGTTGAGAGTGAGCATGTTCAACGCGCAAAATACTGTTTGTAATTACATTGTGTTCTCATGCACGCCTCCCTTGGTTTTTCCCTCTGGAGCACTTTCCTTTTTCACGTGTCAAAGTTGTTGCAGAGATGACGAATGATCAACCCGAGGTAGTCGATATAGTGTCTGTAGGTAGGTAGGCAGGTCGAATCTCACCACACAACTGCCCAACATGCTCCACACTACCACATTGCATGACGATCCACTGCATTGGCTGGTTGACTCTGAATCTTACTATGTTCTCTCCGTTTCTTACATCCAATTCAGTTTGCGACCCGTCGCGGGTGTTCCATCCTACACCCAACTCCATTCAACTCAACCTAACTCAACTTAGAACTTCTCGGCTTAACAGCTTTCTTTTCTTCTTCTTACCCTTCCTTCTGTTTTATATTATTTTTGATTTCTTATCGTTATTCTTTCTTTTCCTCTTACGCGTTCTTTTCCCACCTTTTCTTTTCCCTTTTTTACTTTTACTATTTGCTTCCCTACCATTGCCACCGAAAATTCCTCATCCTCAGTCTTTCCTGCACCGTTTCGATCTAAAAATACTCGGAGGGTTGGAGTTTTTTCTTTTGTGGGGAATCAACTTTGTTTGGTTCGGTTTGGTTTGGTGTGGTTTCTTAGTTGGCAGACAACTGCAGTTGAGTGTGGGGCGGGATCCTTGTACGCGTCTGGAGGGCTTGGCATATGTCACCACCACGGCGGGCACATGGAGATGGGATTGTGGATTTAGTGAGTTGAGAAATATTTGGTGAGGGGGAGGTGTTGTGTGTTTGATTCGGAAGAAGACTGCGAAGAACAGGGGCAACGGTGAGCTGAGATCTTTGTGTACTTCAGTTGCAAAATGCGAAATGACTGGTGAGAGATTTGATGCGTAGCTGAGTATACTGTCATTCTGGCGCCCTCCTGTCTCCTAAAATAGTTCAGGTTTCCCCATCAGCTTAGAAGAGAATGCCTTGTGTCTGGAATGAGGGAAACTACGTTATATAAAAGGTTAGCAACAGTAGTTCAAAGCGACGAGTCGGAGAAATCACTTGGCGATGAGATGAGTGACTTACCCTCTGGACTAGTTCAGAATTATGACCGTTGGTTGCCATATTCCCCATCGACTCCGCTTCGCGTTTGTGTATTGTGTCAAGTAAAATAGTGATGAACACTCCGTGTCTCTGTCCCAATCGCTTCTTGTTCCCTCGGAGTTATCCACTCTCCTTTGACTCGGCGTTGCACTTGCACATCTTACGGCCTCTCTGTTTTCTGCACGCTTCCTTCTCTTCATCGGTGCTATGCTCATGAAAGTCGCATATGTCAATTTTATAATTCTTTTGAGGCTTCAAGCCCTTCTGATTGAGCTGACACATTCGACACCACACTGCCTTGAGAAAAGGCATGCAGCTGAAAACTCCAAACTCCTCCAAGGTCTCGGGATTCGCCCAGTAGCAATAGGCTTCTACTAGAAAGCCACACATTGGCGAATCTGTGGGGAGAAGGTCGAATGCTTCCTGGACAACGTCTAAACCGGGCAACCTTGATTTCGATTCGTGTTCAAGGAGGTGGAAAAGCTCATTGAGCACATCAATTTTCAACTGATGGACTTCGTACTTGTTTCCGAAGATGTAGAGATCTACGAACCACCAGGTACTCGGAAGATCATTCTCTTCTCTCTCCCACTCCTCAAGGAGACCCATGTCATCGTTGAGAGACCTAACAGGAAATCGTTCATAGTAGAGCCAATGTACGAAGAACTCGAAGACCTTTGGCGTAGTGTTTTCCAGTGTGACAGTCTTGTCCTCAGCTTCCCGGTGCCGACCAGTATAAGCGGCACGAAAGAAGCTCGAGTAGTGAGTGAGGAGGTGCTCGTGCACAACGAAGCATTTCTTATCACCTCCGACTGTGACGGTTGCAAACTTATGCTCCGGAGCGCTATCCATAGGTCAGTACATGTCGTTGTATGGAAAGAACACACTTGCGTGAAGCGCGGTCGCGTGTGTGGAGCTTTGATATTATGATTGCCTTCTTTGCTGCTTGACGCCATCGTCGGCATAATCTGAGGCTTCGTTGTTACTCGTCGAATTTCGTGAGTTGACAGGAAATTTTGAGGGGGGTTGGAGTAGCGGCTTGGGCTAATAACTGGTCAAACAGGTGAAGTGAGAGACAGTAAACAAACCACGCGGCCAAAGCGAAGGTGATTGTTGGAGCGATGACACACGACATATCTCGCGTGGTTGGTATGAGTAGTACCATTGAATGTATTTGGGCGTTCTTCAAGGCCGCTTCATATCCGTAGCTCCAGATTCTCTGCTAGAGGCTACCTTCATCGATAGATGCATTTTCCTATAGTCGCGAGACAATGATCGCTCATTCTCGCTCACACAGAGTCAGTTGAATGATTTGCTAATACGAATATTCGCTCGACGATGCGTCCAGCTTGTTCCTATTTGACCGTCCTCCTGAGCTTGCCTTATCTAACATGCTCCCTTTTTATCATAGTTCTTGTGATTGTGGTATTCCCTATCGGTAGTCATACGTTAGACTTTCAGATACAGTACCGAATAACGAAATAGGTACCTGCGTTAAGCGCATAGAGTCAAGATAACGCATTTGCTTTTTGAATCTCCCAACTGTTTGAATTACCCTCCATAAACTTGCCCATGCTAAAGCTAAGAAGGCTAGGACATATACTCTGGACAGATGTATAGGCCACAAGGTCGCTGCTCTATCCGAGGTTGCGTCTGAGGTCGTAAACCGCACGAGGCAAGTAAGAAGCCTCGTATAGAACGACAAAGGCAGTCTCGGCGAGGGCTAGTGTTCGAAAACAGGCGGTGCATAGACTCAAAGACGGTCAACCTGTTCTATTATACGACGTATAGAGCACACGATAGCGGAGATAGAATTATGACGTAACGTCACGTTCCGACAAGGTCAGATGCTCGCGACATGATACTTCTTCTGGATGTCTGCGGTCCGGCACTACCGTACACTAGTACTAGACCCTTGCTAGGAGCGTTTCAACAGGGTCAGTATGAACGACGCAACGCCCTCCCACGCCATTGCGTTGTTCTGAACTGGAGAGCTTGGGAGAATGAGGCAGCTTGGGATGTTTTTTGTTTAGAACCTTGATCAATGCACTACCACCTGAGCATATGAAGATTTGGATACGGGACGATCATACCGGTTTTAGGCAACCTGTAGTCTGCCTTGCGACTTGGCACCAAGAACGAGGCTGTGGATGGTGGCCTTAAACAGCTTGTAATTCCCCTCATGTACAAACCCACCCCCGGATTGACGTATGACGGTTTCGTATCCGCTTTTGCGACCACGTCGTTCTGACCCTCGTCTGACAGTCGCCATGGTAGGTAGAGCACAGGCACTTCTCGGGCAACCACTGACCAGAACACGCAGGTGAACATGTTCGCAACTCTATTGCTACTCGTAGCAGTTCCAGTTGCGTTTGCGCTGGATTTCGCTGCAGCTCGAGGACCATACCTTGTGAATAATAAAACTCAAGGCGCGATCACGATGAACGGCATATGGTAAATGATCAAGGGATGGCCTATAATGGTGGCACAGCTAATATTCTGAAGGTATTCGCTCTCAAACTCTACGACCGACGTCAACGCGATGGATAGTCTCAAGAATGGTGAGGCGTGTACGCGAGATGCTGCGCTTATGGCGCAACTCGGCATCAACACCATTTATGTCATGGCTATAGACCCCAAAGAAAATCATGACGACTGCTTCTCCATCTTTAACTCAGTCGGGATTTACGTTGTAGTAGCGCTCCGCAAAGACGGCATCTTTCAGATGGTTTATGAAGACTTCGCCAATTCGTACACGACCGACTTTTTAAAGGGGCTCTTTGAGATTATAGATGCTGTGAAGGATTATGAAAACCTGCTTGGGTTCGATTTGGGAATAATGCCCAGCATTGGAGATTTTGAGGGTCCTACGAAAGAATTAACTTATGCCGATGGTGAGAAATTGTACAGGGTTTGTTCAAGTACCTTTCTTCTGATGAGTGCCAGAGTTAACCGCAACATAGGCCTTTATAAGAGACACTAAAGAGTATATTGCAAAGAATGCGGTTCGACCAATATTAGTCGGCGTAACCTTGCATCTGCAGAGGAACGACGAAAAGATAGAAGCTTCTGAACTCACGCAGTCGCACGTATACTGGTTCTCATGCGCCATCGACGACAACAAGGGTGACATTTCACGAGCAGACTATGTATCCTTCTGGAATCTCGGTTACTGGGAGACTGATCCTGTCGGCGATCAAAACTTCACTTACGCATCGCTCGGGCGCGAACTTTCAACTGCTACGGTACCAACGTGGTATCAAATGTATGGTGTGTCCGACGAAGCAGACTACGTTGAGTTTGAGCTGCGCCCGGAGCTGCTCAACGATACCTTGTACCTGTACAATTCCTCGTCGCAGCTCATTCGGCCAAACGGCGCATTCACTGGTGGCGCACGATTTACATGGACCAACACAAACATCGGATGGAAGCAACCGAAATCGAATTGGGGTATAGTCACTACTGGAGTCGATGGCGATGCCCGGCTTACACCAAACTACGATCGCCTTCGAGAGATATTCGACCAGATGAACACTGGCACTTGGCTTAGCGGGAATACCATTGATACCAATCAGCCACCTCCCATCGGTTGCCGTGCAAGTAACATGAAAAACACTACGATATCGTTGGATGTAGAGGATAAGAGGACCACGCTCACCATTGCCACGGACTGGGCACTCCCAACCCGACCCGCAGGTCTCGATGCGTTGATAACAAGCGGTATTAATGGGAAGAGAGGGCAGATGGTCGATGTGACAGTTACTAAAATCGTGCATGCTGTCAAGGATAGCAAAGGCAATCCTGTGACGGGCCTTGCGTTGAAGCCTAGTAAAAGCCAGACGCGGAGTACAACAAGCAGAGTGTCAGGAACAGGAGCAACAGGGCTTACGCCCACAAAATCCCCACTCAGCACAGGAGCAAAAGCAGGGATAGGTGTTGGTGTAGGCGTTGGTGGGTTTGCGCTTGCTGCTCTCGCTGGGTTGTTTCTTCTTCGTCGGCGTCGAAATAAGAAGATTGCCAGGGATCAGATAGAGAAGGGTCAGCTCTCAGATGGGGCAGATGCTACGCATGCTACAGTATTCGGGGCACAAAAGGTAGAGCTCGCAACGGGACCAGAAGTCGAAAAGAATCAGGCTGAGCTACCCGCTGATGGGAAGTTGCCTCACGAGGTTCCAGCATACGAACGCTACGCCGAGTTTCCTTCGATTGCAGCGGAGCCTGTGGAGCTTCCGGCTGTTGAGAGGACATTGGAGTTACCTGCACACCAAGATCATGATGGACTGTCTGCCGAGGAGCGGCGGAATTAATTGGCCATACTCTCCTATAAGTGTTTACATCGCGATACCCCCAGTGTTTGTATTATAGCCGTAAGCAGGCGTTGAGCTGAGTTCAATCCTGAAAAAGTGCGTCTTGAAGTGTGTTGTGATGCATAGTCAACGAATGAGTCCGCGATAGTCGCTGGTAGAATGAATGTCTAGCCTTCAAAGGCTTGCCCATGCTGGAAGTGCCTAATGAGGCAAGTGACTTGCGGTGTTGATTACGGCAGGCTGAAAGAAAGAGTGGCAGGCCAATTACGGCGGTCAACGGGCAATTCGTCCACAGCCTTGGGACGCGAGAGGTTCACATATGACTAGTGAAGTGGATGTCAGCGCGAAATAGTCGGCATAACGCCCTGAGTGCTTCAGACATGCAGTATTTGTAACTCTGGCGACCCACCTTGAATAGCAATCCCCTAGCTCGACACGCAGACGACGACTCTATCATCTTTGTATCGGAGGGGCGGCGTCAGATGCGCTCTTGCTAAGGTTCGGCTATTCTTTGCCGCCTTTCCAAACAGGATCGACCTTGGTACCGAGGTGGGACAGCCGATAAACCGCGGCAGCTGATAAATCACCTTAACATTAAAATAAACTTAACACGTTATTTTTAAACTATAATATATTAATTATTAATAATCTAATTTTAAATGCGATTGCAGCAATTAATTTATAAAATTTAAAAAAATAATTTTTATACTGCGCAGCTGCAAAAATATTTAGTATTAATTAAATTACTTTAGCGCGTTAGCACTAAAAGAAAATATAATTAAATATAAAAAAATTTTAATAACGCACGTATTTTAACTAATAATAAAAATTAGAACTTATATAGTATATACAAAAATTATTTAATTACAGGCTTTTACTTATAAAAGCTATAATAAAAAATTTTGCCTTTAAATTATTAAAATAGGAAGTTTCTAATAAGTAGATTTTGCAATTTTTTAAAAAATATTATAATACTTTTATTTTTAAATATACTACTAAAATTAATTGCAAACAGCTTTTTACTAATACTAAGTATAATTATAAATTATATTTTAATTTTTTTTATTTAAAAATTTAAAAGTACAATGTTAACGCGCGCCATATTTATAATATAAATAAAAAAAAATTTTTTATTAGTATTATTTTATATTTTAAATAAGTTTTTTTAAAGCAATTTTAAAAGCAAAAATAAATTACAGCAGCTTTATAAGATAGTAACTAAAAATAAATAATAATTTTAGCATATATTTGTGCGGATAAAAGTGCAATAAATTTAAATATAGTTTTTAAAAAAAAAAAAAAATTTTGCAACGCTTAGTTACGCAATATAAAAGCTAAAAAATACTAAATTTTTTTTATAATAAATTTTTCTAAATAGTCTAATAATAATATTAGTTTAGCCTAGCTTAAATAAGTTTTTAATTAGCGTATAAAAAGCAAAGCGCAGGCAAGTTATAAAATTTTTATTTTTAATAGCTATAGCAGCTACTTTACTACTAATTTTATAAACTTTTGCAACGCTAATAAAATTTTATTAATAATATTTTTTTTTTATTTAACTTATAGTTTATAACTTTTAAATATAGTGCTTTTTTTGCTTTTTTTAACTATTTATTTAATTAAGCTTGCGTACTACTTTTATTGTAGCTAAAGCTTTATTTTTATAAATAAAAGCAACTTTTTTTTATTATTTTAGGCTGCTTATAATACTATATTTACTTTTATAAATATATAAAAAACGTTTAAAGCTATAAGCATTAAGCTACTTAATACTAATATTATACTGCAATAATTTAAAACACAACTACAACAAGAAAATTAAAAATTAATAAATAAAAAAAATAGTAATAAAAATACTTAAAACTAGCTCCGCAATTTATTTAAAATTGCTATAAAAAATAAAATAAAAATTAAAACTAAATAATTAAGCTTTGCACTACATTTTTTTTAAATGCAAAATAAGCTTTTTTATTATAAAAATAAAAGTTTCCGCAACGCGCTTTTAATTAAAAAAAAGTATAAAAATAAAAGCAAATTTTTAAATTTTTAATAGTGCAAAGAATTTTATAGTACTATAATATTTTAAAGTTTAAAAACTATTTAAGAAGCTTGCGCGCGCAATATAGTAAAATAATATAAAAATAAAACTAAATAATTTTAAAAAAAAAAAATAAAAAAACTAAAAGCAGCAATAATATTATATAAAAAAAAAATTATAAAAAAAGCAAAAATAGTATAGTTGCTTGCTAAAAAGCGCGCTGCAAAAAAGCACGCAGTAATAGTTTAAAAATAAACTATTATATACGCGCAAAAATAATAAAAAAAAAAAGCTATAATTTTATAAAAATTTTATAATAAAGTAAATAAATGTAAGCAAATAATTTTATATTTTGCAAATTTAAATGCAGTAAAGCATTATTATATTATAAATACTAAAAGTAGTAGTTTAAATATATTACAGTTATTATAGCTTTTACTTAAAACTACTGCGCGCAGCTGCCAAATTAACTTTTTAAAAAAATTTAAATAATATAAATTAATTGCAAGCTTCTGTTTACTAATACTTTATAAAATTTTATAATATTAATTTTTATAAGTAGTTTTATAGCCTTATTTTTGCAGATGGGTAACTTTAGTTAAAGTGGTTTATCGGCTGCTGCGGTTTATCGGCTGTCCCACTTTAGTATCTCCACACGCCAAATGTACTGCGGAGGCGGGGATCGACCATTGTTCGCCATGTTTATTACTCTGACAGCGGCTCTTCTGGCAATGTTTTACTTTTCCAATAGCTTGTACAACCTCTCTTGAAGCTTTACTTCTTCCGTCTCCACTTCACTCAGCTTCACTGCTCGAGTACCTGTATATTTACCCCCGGCCTTCACACCTCACCACCGCAGTCATGGTGTCCCAAAAACAACCCGTGTACGTCCTCGGCGTAGGCATGACTAAATTTATCAAACCCCGGGGCAAGGTCGACTACCCTGAGCTGGGCTTCGAAGCCGGTGTAAAGGCCATGCTCGACGCGCACATCAACTACGACGAAGTCGACCAAGGCATCGCATGCTACTGCTATGGCGACTCGACCTGCGGCCAGCGCGTCTTCTACCAGTTTGGCATGACTGGCATCCCTGTCTACAATGTCAACAACAACTGCTCAACCGGCAGCACCGGCTTGTATATGGGACGGAATATGATTGCGCATGGTGCGGCGGACTGCGTGCTAGTTGTAGGCTTCGAGAAGATGTTCCCGGGGAGTCTTCAGACATTCTTTCAGGACAGGGCGAATCCTACGGGGACGTCGAGCTTGATAATGAAGGAGACGAGAGGAGTCACGAAGGCGCCGGGTGCTGCTCAGTTGTTCGGCAACGCAGGCCGGGAACACATGGAGAAGTACGTCAAACCCCAATTTATTGTACTTGGGCGTATTTCTGCCCTTGATCCTCTCCTTCGCTCGACTGTAGGATTAACAATCAAAATAGATATGGCTCCGAACTCAAAGACTTCGCAGAAATTGGCCGCATCAACCATGCCCACTCCAAGAACAACCCCTATTCGCAGTTCCAAGATGAATACACCCTCGAGCAAGTCATGAATGCACCCATGATTCACGAGCCCCTCACCAAGCTTCAATGCTGCCCCACTTCTGATGGCGCCGCTGCCACCGTCCTCGTCTCACAAGACTTCCTTGACAAGCGCCCGGAGCTCAAGGACCAAGCGATCTTGATCGCCGGTCAGCGCCTCGCTACTGATACACCGCAACTGTTCAACCGCAGCGCTATTGATCTAATCGGATATGGTATGAGCGAGTTGGCAGCCAAGGAGGCGTTGGCTGAGGCGAATGTATCCCCTGATGATGTCAAGGTGTGTGAGTTGCATGACTGCTTTTCCGCCAACGAGATGGTTACCATTGAGGCGCTTGGTCTCGCACCAAAGGGCAAAGCCCACGAACTTATCCGGAAAGGCGGTATCACATACGGCGGAAAGGTCGTCATCAACCCCTCCGGCGGCCTCATCTCCAAAGGCCACCCGCTTGGTGCTACTGGCCTTGCGCAGTGCGCAGAGTTGGTGTGGCACATGCGCGGATGGGCGAACAACCGCTCTGTCAAGGATACCAAGGTTGCCCTCCAGCACAATCTCGGCCTCGGTGGTGCTGTGGTCTGCACTGTGTATAAGCGCGCTGATAGTAGTGCGGCGACGGATAAGTCAGACCAAGAAGTCGGCAAGATCACGGGTCTTGGATATAATCCTGCTACACAGGCTAAAGGCTTTACAAAGGCACAAGTCGATTCTGTCCGATCGAAGAAAGCAAGAAGTGAGTGGGCGTTGCAGGATACCGAGCAAAAAGTCGAAGCCAGATTTTGAGTAATAGATTGATTAGTTGATCATAACTGGATGAATGTTGTTCCCAAAGATATAAGTACTGTATAGGAGATCCCCAACAATAACGAAAGTCTTAGTTCTTGATGGACTGTTTGGTACTGCCTGTTGAAGAAAGGGGATGGGTTCATTTGTGCTCTCGGCGTCTTGAGGATTTTGAGAATTGATAAGGAAAGGCATACTTGTGAGACACTAATGGATATACAAGTGAAGAGTAAAGTGAAAGAAAGCTACCTCTATTGAATTTATCTCTTTGCTCTATCCTGAGTTCCATGGTTTAACATTTCCAGCGAAGACAGATACCAAAATGATCCTTAGTTTCGCTAGCTAAATTGTCTTTATGATAGAGTAAACTGGGAAATAAGAGTTAGGTCAGGGAAAAAGATTGTTTTGTGCGGTTGTTACGTGGTCGTAGACGGTTTCATGATGTTGAGGAGCGCAAGGAAGGAGCTAAAGGGCTTGGCGCCAAGAGACGATCGAAATTCTCTATAATCAATTTGCAACGTCTTCTTGTTCTTCTTCTCTTCACATATTCTCCGGTCTCTCTCATCACCTAAGGTTATTCTCTATAGAATGGATTCGCCTTTCCCAGAGCAGACCCAGACTGAAGCACAGCCGTTCTAATCCTGCAGTTCGCTCGCGTCGACCTCGGTCGGTATCGGAGCTGCGGGTTCGCTTTAGGCCTACATTCAGCCTCAGCTTTCTTTCATAGACATCCAATCTCGATCTTTAGGGTTGCAGCTGGCGAATAAATCACAACGAGATAAGGTTTCTAGGTCTTCATGCAGATGACACTGTCGCGATATGCGTTGCCCCGCTACTGGTTTTGAAGTCGGCCCCCAATATTGTCACAACGTGAATGTTGTTGCACGAAGCGAAGGTGGCGCGGTTAAGGATACCTGATTGGAACCATGTCTGGTGTCAGTTGTTGTGCAAATCTAGACTGTTGGGGGTCAGCACCACGTTTGTCGAATCACGTTCAAGGAGCAGATGAAAGGTCCCTGCGCATCCCGCCGTGTATCACTCTAGAAGGAGTAGGAAACACAGCTTCAGCTCGACTTGCAACGAAAGTAGTCGGGCAGAAGCCTCCTTCTCCAAACCTGACGGTCGGGCTCTGTTATTTGTTGCGGGTTTGATGGTTGTATGCCCTACTGTTGTGAATCGAGTGGCGCATACGCAACGCAATACTCAGCTAAAGCAAGCTGATGGTAGGGACTGGCCCTCGCGTTCTCGCATTCTTTAACCAGGGCATGCTCTCCGTTTGGGTAGCCTGTCTCTCGGGCCCGAAGATCACTCGTATTCTCTTTGCAGGATTGTTATTGGTGAACGTGTCCCACAGCCTGCAGCATGGCTGAGAAGAAGGTCGTTCAGCAGGGCTCTAGGGGGAGTCAGATCGGGCGAAATCCAGTTCATCTCCCCAAAAAGCAGCGCCACGAATGCGAGTTAGGAGGCCAGCTATGTACGCCTTCGTTGCCTTCCATGAAGGGCCTTCTCAGCCTTATCACTCCTCAGCTCAGTAACTCCCACCTCACATTTGAGTACTAGGCCACCGTCCCTCCACACCATTTCTACGACTTTTGAAACCTTGGAAAGCTCACACTCGCTCGTACACCCTTGGACGCCATGCCTGTATATCATGGCATATACTCAACTATCTCTGCTTGTCGCGCTTAGTTTTGTTGCAAGATCGTTGCAAGAGAACCCTATCATCGACTTGTACAGGCCACTCGCCCGTAGTACTACACGTTTCACTGACGTCGTATAGTTGTCGGCGATGGGGTCATCGAACCGCCCAGGTTGATGGAAGGCTGTACATTGACGGTTTTGGGACCCACATCAAAACCGATTGAGATGGCATTCTGACTAGAGTAGGTGGCATGGTAGGGTACAATCAGCAACCGTCGAATTACTCCAGTACGTGCAGTCAGCCATAGCGTCCCGTCTCCAGTCTTGATGGCTAAGTGATCTAATGTTCCTTTAGACCAATGGCTTTTGTTTAGCGACCTCAACTCTACACCTCAAGATCCGAGTAATATGCCGGTGCAATACGCGAACCTCTCGAAGCCTGCCAACGTACCCAGCGTATCAGGTGGATACCTTTGGGCGGATGAGACAAACAAATGCTTTTACCAATTCGGAGGAGAGTATCAAGCAGGGAGCCCCCCCATGGACTTCAGCCTGTGGACATACGATGTACTGCTTAACCAGTGGAATACCACAAAATATACAACCAGTGAGAAGAATCTACAAAGACTCTCTTTCGGGGCTGGAACGCAAGTCGAGAGCCTTGGGCTAGGGTATTACTATGGAGGCTGGCTCAATAATCGAACAACACCGAAATGGACAGGACCAGAGTTGGCCACGGGCCACATGGTCGAGTTCGACTTCACGAAGGGAGTTCTGAAGAATATCACTGGACCGGATGATGTTGGAAGAGCTGAGGGTCAACTGATTTCCCTGCCCGCGTCGGATAAGGGCGTGCTCGTTTATTTTGGTGGCATTGAAGACCCATCCCACAATGGGAGCTCTGTTGCGGTGAGCGTCATCAGCCTAATCTAATAGCTCAGAGCTAATTTAATATCGATTTAGGCAAACATGACTGTGAGTAGAGTTTAATACACTGGCGTGGTCTCTCAGCTCTCTTTCTAATGTGTGTATAGAAGATCCACATATACGATATAGCTTCGGGACGATGGTATTCTCAAACCGCATCAGGGGATACTCCTCTCTCTCGGCGTCAATTTTGCGCCGATGTAACATGGGCGGACGACAAATCCTCTTTCAACATGTAAGCCACTTTTGTTTCACAGTTTTCCTTGCTTACTTACCTTGATATGTATGCAAAGATTAATAGAGTTTCTTGTTACAGTTCTAGCAGCGAGCTAGCGTGATCTTAGGAGAGCGGCCTTCGATATGACGCTGTCTACATATGCTAACACAGAACAGCTACCTGTACGGTGGATATGGATTTGGTGACCGCGCTGCGTTCAATGACGTCTATATCCTTTCCCTTCCATCATTCAAATGGATTAAGGGCTATCCGCTGGATGGAGCTGATGCTGTTCCTGACCCAGCTGGCCATGGTGGTTGCAGTGCCAATGTCATCCATCGCAATCAGATGCTGGTAATCGGCGGCTGGTTCCGAGATCCAACCCATACTGACTGTGACGCGCCAAACGCGCAAGGTCAGCATAACATGATCCTAGGTAACAATACCGAGAGAAAGTTCATCTGGGACAATTTCGATCCTAAACTTTCGACGTATGTCGTACCCCCAGTCATTATCTCTGCAATTGGAGGAGGGTATGTTGCTCTACTACACGTGTGAAAGACAGAAATATTGCTAACTAGCTTTATTCAACACTTTAGGCCTACTGGTGGCGCAACAGTTACTGCACCCCCTACATGGGATCACCCGGATCTCAAGAACTACTATAAACTCCGCCCTACTTTCGTTGCCCGATCCGCAACCCGCGTAATCCCTTCAACCACTGTCTCCCCACCGTCTAATAACTCAGCACCTACTGGCTCCGGAAAGATGAATGTCGGTGCAATTGCAGGGGGAACAGTTGGAGGTCTCACTGTGTTGATCGCCATATTGTGCCTTATTCTATTTTGTCTTCGCCGTCGGAAGAAAGGCCTTAAGGAGGCAAGAGCCCAAAGCGAACCAGCCCCTCCGCCACCTGCTGAACTTGCCGTTACTACAGTCCCACATGAGATGTCAACGCAAAATAACAGCAAGTACGTCTCAGTCCACGAGCAACCAGATTCCATTCATACCAGCTACTCCGGAGTCGTTCCATTGCAGTCACGATCCGCTAGCCATGACTACGCTTCTGCGTACGCTAGCCAAATGCCACCATCGTATGGAGCTGCGCCGCTCTCCACAGCAGCAACGTATGGTGTAACTAATGACATTGGGTACGTTCAGCAATCACCTCGCCAGCAGAACAATGCCGAACTCTTCTTCCCGGACAATGGAGCTACTCCTAACACACCTCCCACTTCATGGGACCAAAGCGCGTATCCACCCCAATCTGAACCAGCACCACAACGTCAGTATTCATACCCAGCGCCTACATCTCCATTACAGCAGTCTACTGCTCCCGTTCCGCAACAGAGTCAGGTCTACTACCCCCCACCTACCGATCCAACAGCGCGATCCCAGCATTCTCTTCCTGATCCAGGAGGTAGCCCGACTGGTACACAGTACAGCGGTGAGACGCAACACAGGAATTCTCCATATTTCAGTAATATGAATACACCTGCACAGTTCTATGTGCAGCCTGTTCCTCTTGCGTCTCCAGGAGTGAGTGATGGGAGATTACGTAATCCTATTGAGCGAAGGTCTGTGCAGGGCAGGTTCAGAGAAGCGGGACATGTGTGAGCGGGAAATGAAGAGTGTGACGTGTTTTGGGGTGGTTGTTGTATAGCTTCTTTTCTCTCTTTAATGTGGATAATCCCCAATTTTGTAAATCCATTTGTCATTTGGACCTCTATTATAATCACTTGGATTACTTGTAGCGACACGAGGCTCATGATCCATTGCAGCAGGTGTCCGAAACGATTCTTTGAGAAGTAACAGCTTAGATGAAGCAAACTGAGATAAACGTGCCTACCAAGTGTTTAAGTGCTCGGAGACCTTGGAACAAAGCTGACGGCGAAAGCATTTGATCAGGTGGAGTCAGAGAAGTGGTGCTGGCCGATTAGCTTAGCGCGTACTTGTCTTGGCGACACGAGCTTCATCACGCTCCCCGTGCCTCATCTAACAAGGCCAGCCCGGAAGCTTCTACTACAGCAACTAGCTGGTCGGACAGCCTTGCTTCAAGTTCAGCGACCGCCGAGTTCAAACCACTTCCCGACCCGCTCCTACTAGGTGCCCGCACCAACTCTCTGCTGTCCACCTGCCCCGCTATTGTCCTTCGACACCTCTGCGAGACACCGAATTTGCGCGCGTTCAACCCACCTTCTCCCTCACCGCGCTTCCACGGATACAGTCTCAGGCCGAGGCCGTCTTGAAGCTTTTGGGGATACCAGCACACCATATAGGCTGATTGGGAGCTCTTCCCGCCGCGCTGCAGCCCGCCATGTCTCTGTCTATAGAAGAACTCGACGCCACAGTGCGCGCCTTCTACGAGGGTCGCGGCGAAACCGTACGTGTTTTGCAGACCTTGCTATATCGCGCAAAACTAGGGCACGGCTGACACATGCGTCTTTATAGCAAAAACAAGCTCAAGCTACGTTGAACCAGGTATGCCGTTCCCATCTAACATCGCTCATTCCTAGCCGGCTGACACTCAGATAGTTCAAAGAGAACCCAGATGCATGGCTTCTTGTCGACAAGATCCTGTCAGATGCGCAATACCCGCAGACGAAGTGTACGTATACACATGCCGGCAGGCTAGACTGACACGTCGCTAATCTTGAGCAGACCTGGGGCTACAAGTTCTCGACAATGTGATCATGACGAGATGGAAGGTTCTGCCACGCGACCAGTGTCAAGGTAGGTTCAGAGATTTCTGCAAGCTTGCCAGCCACTGATTTGACTAGGCATCCGAAACTTCATCGTAAACTTCATCATCCAGCTCTCAAACAACGACGACAGCCGCCGCACCGATCGCACCCTCCTAAACAAGCTCAATCTCGTCCTCGTATCCGTTTTGAAGCAGGAATGGCCTCATAACTGGCCGACCTTCATCAACGAGATCATATCATCATGCCACAGCAGTCTTGGAATATGCGAGAACAACATGGTCATCCTCCGACTACTGTCTGAGGAGGTTTTTGATTACTCGGAAGAGCAGATGACATCACAAAAGCGCAGAGAGCTCAAGCAGAGCATGTGTGACGAATTCACCTCCATCTACCAGCTCTGTTCGGAGGTGCTGCGAACCGCTACTGAGGCCTCCCTCATCAAGGCAACCCTCGAGACATTACTGCGCTTCCTCAACTGGATTCCATTAGGCTACATCTTCGAGACGCCTCCCAGCGGCCAGAGCCTTATCGAGACCCTACGGAGTCGATTCCTTGAAGTGCCCGACTTCCGCAACATCACCTTGAAGTGCTTGACTGAGATTGCGGGTCTTCATACTGAGCCTGCATACGACGACAAGCTTGTCCAGATGTTTACAGAGACATTAACTGCAATCTCGAAGATCATCCCTCTCTCGCTAGATCTAAAGAGCACGTACTCGTCAAGCAATAGCCGAGACCAGGAATTTGTTCTGAACCTCGCGCTGTTCCTTACAAACTTCTTCACCATGCATTTGAACGTCATTGAGAATCTAATGAACAAGGACTTCCTCACGCATGGCCACTTTTACCTTATTCGCATAAGTCAGATCGATGATCGTGAAATATTTAAGATCTGCTTGGAGTACTGGACAAAGCTCGTCTCGGAGCTATACGACGAGATGCAAGCACTCCCAATCACGGACATGAACCCTCTTTTGAACATGGGTATCCCCGGCAATGGTGCCCGTGAGTTGGCAAATTACCCGTTGCGGAAAAACAAGTACACGGAGATTCTATCCAATCTGCGAACGGTGATGATTGAAAAGATGGTCAGGCCCGAGGAAGTGCTCATTGTTGAGAATGACGAGGGCGAGATTGTGCGCGAATTCGTCAAGGAGAGCGATACAATTCAGCTCTACAAGTCCACTCGAGAATGCCTGGTGTTCCTCACCCATTTGGACGTCAATGATACGGAACAAATCATGTCCGAGAAGCTAGCACGCCAGGTTGATGGTACAGAGTGGTCGTGGGCGAATTGCAATACCCTATGCTGGGCCATTGGATCTATCTCCGGCGCCATGAACGAGGAGACAGAAAAGAGATTCCTGGTCACAGTTATCAAGGACCTTTTGGGTCTGACCGAGATGAAGCGAGGAAAGGATAACAAGGCCGTCGTCGCCAGTAACATCATGTACATTGTCGGCCAATATCCTCGATTCCTCAAGGCCCACTGGAAATTCCTCAAGACAGTGGTCAATAAGCTCTTCGAGTTTATGCACGAGACGCACGAGGGTGTGCAAGATATGGCATGTGATACTTTCATCAAGATTGCCAACAAGTGCCGTCGGCACTTTGTTGCGCTTCAGCCTGGCGAAACAGAACCTTTCATCGACGAGATTGTACGAAATCTTAGGAAGATCACCGCGGACCTGTCGCCTCAACAAGTTCACACGTTTTACGAGGCTTGCGGTTACATGATCAGTGCTCAAGGACAGAAGAGCATGCAAGAGCGATTGATCCACGATTTGATGGCTCTACCTAACTCCGCTGTAAGTGCATCAACCACGATATAGTACTAACAACGCTAACTCAAATACAGTGGGACAGTATTATCAGTCAAGCGAATCAGAATCCGGCCTGCTTACAGGACTCGGAGGTCATTAAGATTGTTGGCAATATCATGAAGACTAACGTCGCAGCATGCGGCTCGGTCGGATCCTACTTCTACCCGCAAATTGGCCGCATATATTTCGACATGCTTACGATGTACCGTGCGAGCTCACAGCTTATTGATGAGGCTGTACAGCGAGAAGGTGAGGGGGATGTTTCCTTTCGTATTACATCACATGCTGACAAGTCTAGGCAACATTGCGACAAAGATGCCGAAAGTCCGTGGCCTTCGCACGATTAAGAAGGAAATTCTGAAGCTCATCAACACGTATGTTGAGAAAGCTGATGATTTGGAGATGATACACAACAACATCGTACCTAAGCTGCTGGAAGCTGTTCTGATTGACTACAAGAACAACGTGCCTGATGCCCGCGAAGCGGAGGTGCTGAATGTCATGACCACAATCATCAACAAGCTACATGTACGTTGGAGACCTAATCTGAGCAAGCACATGGTTGGACTCGCTCGGCAACTATCGAAACGAATGCTGACTTTGACACAGAGCATGATGGAAGACCAAATCATCAACATCATGGACAGTGTCTTCGAATGCACTTTAGACATGATTAACAAGGATTTCTCAGAGTATCCAGAACATCGCGTCGAGTTCTTCAAGCTTCTACGAACAATCAACCTGCGCTGCTTCCCTGCGCTGTTGAGACTCGATGCACGATCATTCAAGTTCGTCATTGACTCTTGCATGTGGGCCAGCAAGCATGACAACCGAGAAGTAGAGAGCGCCGGTCTTTCTATGTGCTTCGAGTTGGTCTCCAACATGGCCGACACAGACCAACAAACGTGCAACGCCTTCTTCCAGACTTTCTTCACAACCATTCTTCAGGATGTATTCTTCGTCGTCACTGATAGTGACCACAAGGCCGGCTTCAAGTCTCAGTCAATGTTACTGGCGAAGATGTTCTGGCTTGTCGACTCGGATAAGCTACAGGGTCCAATTTACACGTCGCCGGATATGGCACCTGCAGGCACACCGAATCGAGAGTTCTTGCGGAACTTTGTTGGCAATCTGTTGGCTACCGCTTTCCCCAATCTCCAGACGTAAGTATCCCCACTCAGGATATCGGCATTTTACTCACACATCTAGTGCACAAATTGCATCGTTCATTGACGGACTCTTCGCCACAAACTCCGATCTCAACCGATTCAAGATCATCTTGCGAGACTTCTTGATCTCTCTAAAGGAATTCTCTGGTGACAACACCGAGCTTTTCGCCGAAGAGCGCGAACAAGCAGCCAAGACCGCCAAAGAGCAAGAGCGTGAACGAGCCATGAAGGTCGGCGGTCTGTTGAAACCGTCCGAGATGGACGACGATGAGTTGTGACTTGACGTGGAGTTGGACGCGAACGTTGCCACGCGTACGCCTTACGACGGTGAATTTGCTCCGGACGAGACTACTAATAGCAAGCATTCAGGCGATTTCGATGGGTGGGATGTCTATGGCGTTTGAATGAGATAAAAGAGTAAAGAGCGGTAGTGTGGGTGCTGCGTTAGGTTGGAGGAGCATGCATCCGTTACGCGTCTGGAATCCCAGCAGGAAGATTTTCTTTTTCACAAGCGGTCTGATATCCCATGGACCTTCTAGCTCTCTTGGTCTGATGCATGGAGAAGACATGGCTGGCTTGGAGGGAGCGTGACTTACAGACAAAAAGTATAGGATGTTGCGGGTGTACAGACAGCCTGCTAGGCGCGTCTCGAAGGCGAACAATAGATACAATCTTTACACTTCGCTGCTTGCTTTCGTTATTTGTTTTGCTGCTGCTGACATGGCTGCTACAAAGCCTTCACATCAAAGGTTCCTTGACCGGGCCGTTCCACTCTGCACCCGCCATGCATCTCCTTGTGACAAGATGATGCCACGAAGCATGATGGGAATGCCTCGGCAGTGGCCTGTCTATGCCTACTAATGCCGCATAGATCCTCAGAAATCTTTAAGATCCACTTGCGTGCAGCTGTCTAAGTCAGAACAAGCTTTCGTAAGTGCAGCAGATGCAATCCAATGTCGCGCATCCTGTCATGGTGTGGTTCGTTCGTTCTTCTGCGGTTAAGTTTCCTAGACTTGACTAGCAACTGCCACTTCAAGCGTCGCCTACAGTTACGTAACCGCGGAATCTACCGGATCGCAGCCGACATCCACAACGTCGAAACCTTCGATTGGGTCCTTCGTCAGCCTTCACAACACCCTAGCACTGCTAAGGTTCGGCATGCGAAGCGGGCCCTGTTCCCTGACCCACGACTAACGATTTTTGTACGTGTGCAAGCTGCTGAACCCGTGGCGGACATACGGCTTCTCATTCGTCAGAACCCTTCCATCATCTCAACGACATGGGCACTCTGCTCTGCTGCCAACGTATGCACAGTCTCGTGGCCCTCTTGCAATGAGCCCTCGGCATCGCTACGAAGCCTGGCCCCTCATTCGGCATCAGCAAACTCTCAGCTAACACACCATCCGGCCAGATCCAAGTGAGTCTCTGGATTGAATCGTCCTCCAGGCTAGCACCAGCTGCAACCTTGAGTGACTTCACTTCTCGACCTTCCTGCCGACTACTACGCACGTACGTTCTTTAGGGCTGCTACCGAGAAGCCTCTTTTCGTTTTGGTACTTTTTCCTGTTTCCACTGCCGAATAGGTGCCTGCCGACAACCGCACACCTGTCATTGCTGGACCTGTATGGTTAGATTTGCCTAGTAACTCGGACCAGGATCTGTCGCTTGTGCAGCATCTACGCATAACCGTTAAGGCTTCGAAAGGACCGCTGTTCGTTGTTTTCCTACTACTAGCACAATGTACGTCTCACTTTCATATTGAGACTCTTCAATCCCGCCCGCCTTTGGTTCTGAAAAAGACGGTCCTTTCGACAAGTCTAGCATCCGAAGACGACACAACTGACAGCGTGCTTATCCAGGAAGTTTGGGAAACATATCCAGAAAAGGCAACTGGATATTCCAGAATATGCTGCCAATTTCGTCGACTACAAGGCGCTCAAGAAGGTTCTCACTCCCCACTATCACTTTGGGGCGACTGCTGATTGCAATTTTCAAGCTTATCAAAAAGCTCAGCGCCACTCCGGTGATAGCACCGCAGGGCGAGGGCAGCCATGGACACGATGCACTGGATCCGCAAACCTCCTTACAGGCGAACAAGGCTACTTTCTTCTTCCGAGTGGTGGGCAGCTGTCTACCCGATACATTTAAACAACTCTCACTCTACATATAGGAACGTGAACTTGAAAAGGTCAATACCTTCTACCTGCAAAAAGAGGCTGAGGTATGCTTGATTATATACATGTGTTTCGATGGATACTCACTCGGAATGTAGTTGCGCCTACGGTTGACCACTCTTCTCGATAAGAAAAGGGTCATGCAACAGCACCCTCACTCTGTCTCTAAGACATCCTCGCGGTACATTGCACTTGAAGAGGGACTAAAACAGTTTAGCATGGATCTGAACAAGCTTGAGGTGATTGGTTCGCATGCACTTGGGCGGCGTAAACTAACCCAACTTAGCAATTTGTCGAAGTGAACGAGACGGCATTTTCCAAGATTCTGAAGAAGGTTTGACACCCCCTTTCCCATTAGTCAGTTACTACTGATTGCTAACGTTTCTAGTGGGACAAAACCTCAAAAGTTAGTTGCTTTATACACGTGCCCAATAGCATAGCTGACTCTATGTCAGTCAAGAGAAAAACAGCTCTACCTCTCTCGCGCCGTCGAAGTCCAACCGTGCTTCAATCGCGAGGTCATCAGTACCCTCTCCGACCAAGCAACGCAAGCACTCCTCGATTTCTCCGGATGGGCCGAAGGCGAAGGAGTGCAAGCACCTCACCCAACAGCTGAACCTCGCGTCTCGGAACCCGCATTCGAGGCAAAGCTCGAGCTTGACAACCAGTTCGTCCAAGCTATAAATACTGCGAATAGAGGAAAGATCGAAGAATGCCTCGTGCGCTTATCAACCCTTCCCGACGCACGCGATCATGTGTCCAGAGCATTTCTTAGCACCGTCGCAGAAGCACCAGAAGCCGCGCTAAAAATTCTACTCGATTCTAACCTAGTGAATCTCAGACAGGAAGATGAGATCAATGAGCGAAATTGTCTTCATAAATCCGCTATCAGCGGGCGAATCGAGGTACTCAGACTTGGAATATCCAGCAATGTGGACGTTCACGCAACCGACGTGTACGGCCGGATACCCTTACACTATGCCTGTATGCATGGCCATGTGGAGCTCGTTCCAGAACTCATCAACGCCGCCCCTGACACGGTGAACTTCCGTGATCAGGATAGCTTTACTCCGTTGATACTTGCCATCGTACATTCACAACTGGCCTGTGTGGAGACGTTACTGTCCAGGGGAGCTGATCTCAGTCGCTTGGGGCCTGGGGAGCATGTTCCGCTCAACCTCGCATGCCAATATGCGTCGCTAGAGATTCAGGAGCTTCTCCTTCAACGCTCAGCTGAGATGATTTCTGATGCTGAGGGGCTTTTCCCACAGCATCTCGTGGCTAGATCAGGAAAGACCCCACAATCGCTGTTATTGCTACAGAAGTACGGAGCCAACCTAGATCAGCCAGACAAGCTCTACCAGTGGACACCACTGTTCCACGCGGCGAGCGAAGGGCATGTGGAATGTCTCCAAACACTACTCCAGTGTGGAGTAGACGTAGACATCGTGGACGAAAAAAGCTTGTCTGCGATGTACTATGCGACTTGGGAAGGTCACCTCGAGTGCATGCAGTTGCTCGCCTCCGTTGGGCGCGGAGTTGGGTTAATTACACAGAAACAAGTCTCTCCCCAAATTGTTAGCCAAACAATCTCCAGCTCAATTTCTACTTCTATGGACGTCGACGGCGACATAGATGGTATTCCCGAATTCATTCTCCCGCCACCAATCATCCCATTCAGAAGATATGGACACAATTTTCTGGACACGAAGACCTTTGTAGTCATTAGCTTTGAGAGGCTCGGCAAGGAGGCGATACGATTCTATGACGAATCAAAATATCCCGCCGCACGACTCACCATTTCCTCTAAAAGCTCCGACCTTATACCTCGCAACATTCTCCTACCGATACAAGATGAATTCAAGGTCATCTCTTTCCAGATCGAGAATATCGATACCTTCTCGATCGATTTTGACGTCTACCCCACTATCGGATCGAGGGTTATTGCACGCAGCGTGGCTTCATCGAAAGTCTTCACAGAACGGTCGAAAAGTACTGGACGATGGCATCTAGAATTGTTCGACCCGAGGCTTCGGGCCATTGGAAGAGTCACTTTCGACTTCCAGGTTGTTAAGCCTTTCCACGGCATCCCGCTAGAGATTACTCATTTTGCAACGTATTGGAAGGCCACTAGCCAGCTCGATTCGCAACCCCATACTCTCATCACTGGCTCAAGTCTCTCTGGGGAATACGTACGCTTGTTTGTACAGCTGACAGCTGATGGTGTACCAGTATTACACCCGAGATGGAAGATTGATTACCAAGGCTTAGAGGTCCCCGTCAACATCCTCACATATGCGCAATTTTCAGCGATCGGTGCGCACCAGAACGCTGCAAGTGCCAGTCAGCTTGCTGCTGGATTAACTAACGCTACTTCCAACGAGATTCCTGCCATCTACCAGACAATGGCATCTTCCTTCATCACTCTGAAAGATGCTCTAGCACTCCTGCCAGCCCATATTCACATCGAGCTACATGTACTCTTCCCATCAAGGTTGGAGGAGGAGCGTCTAAAACTTGGTCCTACACACGACATGAATACATTCGCGGACAAGATTCTATCGGTGGTATTCGAGCATGCGCGGGTGTTGAGAGCGCAGGGAGCGGGAGAGATTGACGCAACGCTGAGAAGCGTGTTGTTCAGCTCCTTTAACCAGGATATTTGCACTGTCATCAACTGGAAACAGCCCAACTGTAGGTGCCCTTTCGACGAAGTACTACAATTGCATACTAATAGGTATATAGATCCTGTTCTTCTTTGCAATGAGCTCGGCGCAGATAGTTCGCAGTCACCGTCCGGCAATACACATATCGTACAGAGCAGCGGCCGCACTACGATATCCGTCAAAGAAGCAGTTCAGATTGCGAAGAACAACAACTTTATGGGTTTGATATGCAGCTCTCGCCTTCTGGTCAGTACATTGTAACGCTATATCTATCGTGCAACATTCTAACAATCACGTAGGATCTTGCTCCCGCCCTTATTGAATCGATCAAGACCGCTGGCCTAGTTCTAGTCACAGATATCAGCGATTCTCGTGCCGAAAACGAATCACGGACCAGCCTGCATGTGGCAAACCCTCGCCGGAAGACTACACCAGATGGAGTTGACGGATACCTCAGGGGCGATGGCGTGCTCTGTTTCAACGAAACTGTCGACATGTAGAACACTGAGGTTGTCGGTCGACGGGGTTGGGTTTCGTTTCAAGGCAATATGGCATTTGTGGTGAGGCTCAGATGATGAGGCGGTGGTGGACTTTAACTCTAGTAGCGGGTGGTGGCAATTGTGCTATTGATCATGGATAATGTCTGTTAGACCGTTTTTCATTTATGCCCAGAAGGCACGGCGTTAGGTCTAGCTATTCAGGGCAATATATGTTGCCTTGCAGAGCAACTAAGAAGATGAGATAGAACCGAAAGTATTACCATGAAGTTATGCAAGATAGAAAGTTTGCAATGACCTCGAATGCCATTCGACATGATGATATGGAGTTTCGGCAGGGATCTGCGTTTGCGGCGTTTTGATTCGCGCTAGTCTTTATAGAAAAAATGTCGGACGACATTACTGAGGTCGGAACGTCTCTCACGCCTCTCGTTTGAATCCCTCGCCTCTGTGCGTTCGCTATAGACCCTCTAGACCCTCTAGACCCGGTCCTTCCTTTTACAGGATGCACACATAATGTCGGCATTCAACGCAGCCTTCTCTCCTTTCCTACGCCGAGCATGGACATGCCGAGGTTGCCTACGGTCACAGCGACAGGCGCTGCCGCAACAGCGGAGTACACTTGCGAAGCGGAACACATTTGCGAGCAGGGCGGATATACGGAGGACGTTTGCGACCCAGGTCGATGCGGCGACAACCCTCATAGGGAAGATGGGCAAGAGGAGAAGGAGGCTGTGGATTGTTGGAGGCGGACTTGCAATTGGCGCTGGAGTGGTTACGATCAACGACGATGCGAAGCATGCGTATGTTGCGGCCCAGAGGAGTTATAGAGTGCTTGGGACGCTGGTCCTCAATATCAAAGAGTGCGTGCTTGTCACAGTCATTACTGGGAAACAGCATGCTAATGGACCGCTACGTTTAGTTATCGCGACATCCTCAAGCGTGATAGCGACCCAGACTACCCTGAGCAACTGAAAGCCTGCCATTTACGATGCGCGAAACGAACGCTCCACACACTCGAAAAGAACGGCTCGATATTCATAAAGCTAGGACAGCATCTGAGCAGCATGAGTTATTTGCTACCGAACGAGTGGTGCGACACTTTTATTCCGCTACAAGACAGATGTCCAGTCTCGTCCTACGAGTCCATCCAGGAGATGGTGCGACGAGATACCGGTCTCGAAATCTCAGACTTGTTTTCCGAGTTCGAGGAAAGACCCATTGGCGCGGCGTCCCTCGCACAAGTGCATCGCGCAACCATCCGGGAAACTGGACAGAAGGTCGCAGTCAAGGTGCAGCATCCGGCACTGGATGAATGGTCAAAATTAGATCTAGCACTAACGAGCTTCACCTTCTCCACACTGAAACGCTGGTTCCCCGAATACGATCTCACGTGGCTCAGCGATGAAATGCAACTCTCTCTCCCACAAGAACTGGATTTCGCGCGTGAAGGTGAGAATGCAACACGCGCACGCGAATACTTCTCCCACGTGCACGATGTGCCCGTCATTATACCAAAAGTTATATGGGCGAAACGGAGGATACTGGTAATGGACTACGTGGCCGGATTCAGAACGGACGATCTGAAGAGCCTGGATGAGCGAGGCATTGATAGAGATGAGGTTTCCGCGGCGCTTGCTAGGATCTTCAACGAGATGGTCTTTGGAAGAGATGCACCGCTGCATTGCGACCCGCATGGCGGGAACATCGCCATCAGGTATAATCCAAAGAGGAGGGGGAAGACGAATTTCGATGTTGTACTGTACGATCATGGACTCTATCGCGACATTCCGCTGCATCTGAGGAGGAGCTATGCGAAGCTCTGGCTTGCGGTCCTGGATGCTGATGAACCTGGTATGCGCAAGTATGCGTATGAAGTTGCGGGGATTGGGGAGGAACACTTTCCCTTATTCGCATCGGCCATCACAGGAAGAGACTACACCGTGCTAGCCACAAAAGATGCGAGCACAGGCGGTGGAGGCGTCATGAGCTCGAGGACGAATGAAGAGAAGAAGGTCATTGGGGATGCGTTGGGGGACGGCATGTTGGAGAGTCTGATTCAACTACTCGGGCAGGTGCCTCGAGTCATCCTCTTGATTCTCAAGACGAACGATCTTAGTGGGTCTCTCCCTAGTTGTCCTTCCCAGAGTTTTAGCTGACAATAGTGTTAGCGCGCTCCCTAGATGAAGGCCTCCAAACCCGCCAAGGCCCCATGCGTACGTTTCTCATTCTCGCGCGCTACGCCTCGCGGACGGTGTATGAGGAGCAGCTTGACAATCTGAGTGGGAGTATATTGTGGCCCAGGAATTTCTTGTCGTGGCTTGGTGCTTGGTCACGACACATGAGGGTTGAGTTGCAGCTTAGCTCGTACGAGACGTATCTGAAGTTGAGGGCACTGCTGGGGTTCCAGCAGCTTGTGTTGGGTGTGGACAGCTTTAGAGAGTAGGAGGTGTAAAGTGTATACCCATAGACTCGGCCTGCTGCAGGTGTGTATAGACGTGTACTTGTAGATTTGCATGCATACCCTACAGATACACCAACTAGAGAAGATTCAAAGTGCGCAATTCTTGCAAATCATTGCTCAGTTCGGAGCGTTCCTGTGTGAATTGGTCTTCACGGTGTTCATCACCTTTATTCTCAGCGCTTTCTGTCATGATGATTACGCGTATTTGAGTGGCGGCGGAAGCCCACTGTTAATAGACAGCGTCATTTGTTTTCATTGGCTGTCCAGCAAGTCATGGATGTTCCAACCCAACTGTTGGACTCATTATGAGTTCATTGTGCAATTGACCCTGAATCAGCGTGTCTGGGCATCGTCGTTCACCAAGCATAGGGCGGAAAAGCCCGGAGGACTGGTCTAGCTCAGTATGCTACTTGTGCCCAGAGTCGGTCGTGGTGGATTGACGGGGTGTTTACAGTACGTTTGAGGCGCAGGCGTGATACGAGGATAAGGATAAATGGGGAGAGGACTTGTAAACCTAAAAACAGCTCGAAAAAACCGTCGAGGTACAGCAAGACAGGTCTGAGTACCGTTGGAAACATGTAGAGTGGCATCTCTTCATGCATGTTCGACGTTTGGCGCCGACCAGGGAGCCGTAGGGGGTGGTTGACATCATCTTCCTCGACGCTTCCACTCAAACGACCGCAAGCAGTGACAGACAGACGTAGGCTATTTTGAGAGAGCGAAATGAATCGAAAGTCTCACGACGGCGGGTTTTAGCGAGTTCCCCTTTGGTGGCATGGTCAGGCGGGGCAGGTCAACTTCAGACGCCAAGGCAACCCAGAAGCTCGCGTTGCAGCTTCCCGAATTACTCGCAGCTCGCAGCGCCCTCAGCAGTCACCCATCGCCGCCCGTCTTAGCCGCCGCGGCCGGTCGATTTGGAACACTCTGCAGCGATTGCAAAGGATTGAATAAGCGTCGCCGTTCCCTGCGTTGCGCCTCTTCCTCGGCCAGTATCGCGAGCGCCCGCCGCATTTGCCTGCCTACCGTGCACGGCCGGTTCCTCCGCACAGCCTCCTCCACCCCGTTGCTGTACCCACGTCCAACGCCCGCCGCAGCCTGCGCGAACGACAGATCCTGCACGAGTTCGAGCGAGAAGACGTCCTCGGATAGCTGCGAGCTCTGAGAGCCGCCCATCTACCTGCCCTCCCCACCCCTCTTCGCCTCCTCGTCCACCTGCGCATCATGGACGGAGCTGGGCAGCCCAACCTGCGCATCACCAGTGCGTCTTACCTACCTTCGAGTGCAATAGCGCCCTCGTTGCGCTTCACCACCAATCTGACACCATGTTGTAGTTATCGCCGCCGATGGCCTCTACAAGCGCGATGTGTTCCGTACGTTCTTCTGCCTCTGAGCCCCATGTTCAAGGTCATATGTCGCTCATACAGCTGCTCTAGGCTTCCCGGATCCCTTCGCCGTGGCCACGATCAATGGTGAACAGACGCGAACGACGAGTGTCATCAAGAAGACACTGAACCCCTACTGGAACGAGAGCTTCGACATGTACGTCATACCACGACTTTCGCCCTTCCATGGGCCGAATATAGCCGCTGACATATGGACTAGGAGAGTGAACGAGGAGAGCGTGCTCGCGGTTCAGATATTTGACCAGAAGAAGTTCAAGAAGAAGGACCAGGGCTTTTTGGGAGTCATAAATGTCCGCATAGGGTCCGTCATAGACCTCGATGCAGGCGGTGATGGTAAATGCTCTCCCCTCGGACAACAGGACCAGGGCACGTGTGCTAACACGTCCGTCAGAGATGCTCACGCGCGACCTGAAAAAGTCCAATGATAACATGGTTGTGCATGGCAAGCTTATCCTGAACCTCTCTACCAATCTCACTGCACCCATCAGCCAGGGAGCACAAAACGCACCCCGCCCGACCGCATCCCAGAATCCCTCCGTAAATGGTGCCATGCCTGGCGCTGTAGCTACCCCCCACCAGTCGACGACAAACCTTCACCCACCCGACGCTTATCCCGGCCAGCAACGACCTCAAGTCTCCGCTCAGTCGACCCAGCAGCGAGTCAATCAGTCAATTCCAACACTCCCGCCAAGCGGCGGCCCACCAGCTCCAGGGACAAATGGAGTACCGCCGGTCCGCAATGCTGGTGCGTACAGTGCTTTCGAAGACGCTCAAGGAAGATTACCCAACGGATGGGAACGCCGCGAGGATCACTTAGGGCGAACCTACTATGTCGACCACAACACGAGGCAGACCACCTGGATAAGGCCGGGTGCAGGATTCAATGAAGCAGATCAGCGTACCGCATTGGCAGCACAAACCCAGCAGGAGCGCACGCGACATCAAAACCGCATGTTGCCAGAAGACCGGACAGGAGCCAATTCTCCCACCCTTACCGACCGCCAGCCTTCACCGCCAGCTGGATCTGCGAACGCCGCAAGTATGATGGCGACGGGAGCAACGACTGCTGGCACAGGAGAACTTCCGTCTGGTTGGGAGCAGCGGCATACTCCAGAGGGACGTCCCTACTTCGTAGACCATAATACCCGAACCACGACGTGGGTGGATCCCCGCCGACAGCAGTATATCCGCATGTATGGTGGTCAGGCCGCCAACGGTGGCAGCTCTATCCAACAGCAGCCTGTCTCCCAACTTGGTCCACTACCATCAGGATGGGAAATGCGGCTCACCAACACGGCAAGAGTATACTTCGTTGACCACAACACAAAAACCACCACTTGGGACGATCCGCGATTGCCCTCATCTCTCGACCAAAATGTGCCCCAGTACAAGCGTGACTTCCGTCGCAAATTGATCTACTTCCGATCGCAACCCGCTCTCCGCATCGTGTCTGGACAGTGTCACGTAAAGGTCAGGCGAACGCACATTTTCGAGGACTCATACCACGAGATCATGCGGCAGAGCGCTGCTGATCTGAAGAAGAGGCTGATGATTAAGTTTGATGGCGAAGACGGTCTAGATTATGGAGGTCTCTCCCGAGAGTTCTTCTTCTTGCTCTCGCATGAGATGTTCAACCCCTTCTACTGCCTATTCGAATACTCCGCACACGACAACTACACCCTTCAAATTAACCCTCATTCCGGTATCAACCCTGAGCATTTGAACTACTTCAAGTTCATCGGGCGCGTTGTCGGTCTGGCTATCTTCCATCGCCGATTCCTGGATGCATTCTTTATTGGAGCGTTCTACAAAATGATTCTAAGAAAGAAGGTGGCACTACAAGACATGGAGGGTGTAGATGCCGATTTCCATCGCAATCTGGAATGGATGCTGTAAGTCTGACCACGACCTTCTGCAGAGATTGTAACTAATGAGATGCAGGAACAACGACATTACGGACGCCCTAGAATTGACATTTGCGACTGATGATGAGCGATTTGGCGAGACTGTCAGCATTGAACTGAAACCCGGAGGCGACGACATTGAAGTCACCAATGAGAACAAGCACGAATACGTCGAGTATGTATTCCAATGTCTAATGCGATGACCAGTCTTACTGACCACCCTAGACTCATTACTGAATGGCGTATTCAGAAGCGTGTGGAGGAGCAGTTCCAGGCGTTTATTACTGGTTTCCACGAGCTTATCCCCGCAGATTTGGTCAACGTCTTCGACGAGCGTGAACTAGAACTCCTCATCGGCGGTATTGCAGATATCGACGTCGAAGACTGGAAGAAGCACACCGACTACCGCGGCTACACCGAGAACGACGAAGTCATCCAGCACTTCTGGAAGTGCATCCGTAGCTGGGATGCTGAGCAGAAGTCGCGTCTGCTGCAATTCGCCACGGGTACCTCGCGTATTCCTGTCAACGGTTTCAAGGACTTGCAGGGTAGCGATGGGCCAAGGAGATTTACGATCGAGAAGGCTGGAGAGCCTAATCAATTGCCAAAATCTCATACATGGTATGTTGTTGCGCTCGTTGATAAAAAATAGAGAGGCTAACAGGATGTACAGTTTCAACCGCCTCGACCTGCCACCGTATAAGACCTTTGAAGCGCTCAATCAGAAACTCACGATTGCCGTAGAGGAAACTGTTGGTTTCGGGCAAGAGTAAGCAGCGTGCATGGGCGAGTCTCCAGTCTCTACAACCGCATCTTCACCGGTTGGGATCGCGGAAGGGGAACATACTTGGTCTTTACGCCAATGTACAAAAACTTGGGTACCAAGGGGCTACAGATCGCTCCTGACACGTGATTATCATTATCTCTAGTAGCATTTCTAGTTTGGGCTCAACATATCGCATTGTCTGCAATGTGCGAAATCAGGGCGTTGAGGTTCGAGACATAGTAGGATAGCGCTTTTCCTTTTACAAGCGCTGAGCAATGTGAGATTTGAAATGGAACATGAGACGATCGACAGTCTACCCCTTTTGAAATCATACACCGCTCGCCAAGGCAGCTGGGGTATTAATGTAAAGCATTCGTTTGCGTTCACCTGATTCTAGGTCTATCACGAAAACGTCGTGTGTTGTCCTTTTAACATGGATACGCTTAGCGTGGCTTCAAAGCTGGGCAAGGCGAAATTGCGGGACTGTGCGGAGTTGGTAACAGTGCGTACCGGCTCTAAAACCGCTCCGTAGCAGTTTACTATCTGCAATGTGTTGTCTGCTCCCTTCTTTTTCTCACAAAGCAACTGACAATGTTGGATTGGGTTTATGAAACGTATGGTAAGGTGACTCTCACGACATATGGTTTCGTTGAACGACCATCGCCAAATCACCAGTCTTGGCATCAATTCCAAGTCTAGGCCCTGTCTCCGCCCCCTGTGCCCATCGTTCGTTCCAGCAATCATTTCCGCCTTGCACGATTCAGGTCTCGGGAGGCGAAATGCAGTGAACTCTATTCGGATATCCTATCGTTTCCCCCTCTGCGCAGCACCACGTTGCATATTTACGTGGCCAGCTACAGCCTCGATGTTGCATTAGCAGGTTCTTAGCTAGAGAAGGTATTGGACGAGAGGCAAAAATGGCTCCGAAGAACGAGTTGAAACAGCTGGAAATGCCGCACAGGAGTGCATTTGGTGCATTGGCACCGCTAAATTTATCCCCCCGAGCGAGCTAAGCGGTATTGAAGCCCCCCTGCACTACTACACTAAGCCAATTCCGAAAGTCTCATGATAGACCATTGGATAGTTTTGCGGATGGCTTGAGCTTGTTGACTCCGGGGAAGGGATGGAACGAGATGGCAAGGGCTGATCCGTAGTTTAAATCTCCTTGTGCTCCCTCCGCGTTGTTCCCGCTGCATTCCTCGCTGTCGTCCCCTCAAGTCAACAATCGTTGTTTACCTTTTCAAGACTCCTAATACAGTCCACCATTCGCTTTGGGACATTACCTTTACATCTTTAATCAAAACAAATCACTTTTTCGAACGCGTTCACACCCTTATCCAATACGCTCCGTTTACCAAAGCTCCATTACATTGCTCTATCCGCCCTCTCGAGTAACAGTCACACCACAAAAATCAAAATGCGTTTCACCACCACCATTGCTCTTGCTTTCTCAGCCATGGCCAGCCTTGCCGCTGCGGCAGAGGGCGATTGCGCTGCACAGAAGTACGTCTCCCATCCAAAAGTCTATTAAACATCACACACACCACACCCCTGGAGACATTGAATTTCACCGCCAATCACACAGAGGCACACCCAAAACAAACATCGTCCTCAACAAACCACTCCATCCAACTGTATCTATAGTATAAAGTGAGGTGCTAACGTTCTTGTTCGTTTTTCAGTATCCTCGACGCCTGTCTCGCGGGCTACAAAACACGCATCGAGAACAGCGAGAAGACAAATGACTACATCGGCCTATGCGACGTCTACAGAGATGTCCTCGTGTGCTACAACAACTGCCCCAAGAGCAATGAGAGGGCCCCAGTGGAGGGCCAGGTCAATTCGTTCTGTGCCGCTGCTCAGCCGTAAGTTAACTTCTCTCTACCTTATGTATACATCTAGCATGGGTGGAAGATGGGATGAGCAGGGGTTTAGGTGTACATGAGGGACGACAGCCATGGCGTTTGGTGTTCAGCAGAATCGGTGGAAATATTGCTGACTCGCATATCCTAATAGTCTTCGTGCTTCCCTGTCCGCTTCAGTCGCATCCGCCGCCTCGGTCGCCGCTACTCAGAGCCACACTTCTGAGACCAGCACTGCTACCGACTCCTCATCCAGTAGATCTCGCACCAGCTCCGGCTCTCGCACTGCCTCCGGCTCTTCAAGTTCGTCGAGCCCGACAGCTCCTAGCTTCCAGGCTGGCGCTGCTTCCCTTGGCGCACCGGCTAGTGCTGCGCTTGTTGTTTTGCTCGGTGCCGCTGGACTGTTGTAGTTCTGAACAAGACAGGATAGGACCACAGTCAAAACAAAACAAAAACTCATATCATGGGGAGGTGAAGTGTCAGAAGAGTGTGTTGTTGGATGTGTATTGTTATGGTAGTTATTTGATAATCTTTAATGAAGCAGGGAAGGGAAACGTAGCGTTGTTGCTGAAGCTTCACATCGTGCATCACCTCTTCATGCGTTTGCAAAATGTGACTGCTGGCTAACCTTACTACCTGGCTTACTCCATGTACAATCACTTGCGTGGATTCACAAAGTGGTCCACAGACGCTCGCGGCTCAGCTGACTTGAGACTTGCATTACGCATCTGGTTCTCGCGACCGGAGAGTATGTCTGGTGGTTGGCTAATTCTAAATTTGAACAACTTGATTAGGAATTTGATATATGCTAATGCTGCGCTGCTGACAAGGAAATTGCTACGCATAAAGCGTCTGCTTCGCTTTTTGTTATGTCAAAGAGAAGCCGCCAACTCCACAAACGGCTCGAAATGCAAGAAAAATCCACCAAATGCTCACATGTACCCCTCTTACTCTCTACTCTTCATCAATTACCTGTCCCCACTCGTGTCCCTCCATTCCATCGCTACCCCACATGATGCCCTTCAGCCAGCTCCTGAACGTGCTGGCATACGCGCCTGCGTCACCCTTGACCATTGGCACCTCGATGTCTTTGCCACGGAAATGGATCCCACTGATGGGTGCAACAAACCATGCGGTACCTGCTGCGAAGGCTTCGACCAATCTGCCCTCTCTTGCCGCCTCTTCAATCTCAAAGACATTGAATTTGCGCTCGACGATTTCGAGGGGCTCGAGATCTGATGAGGGCAACGATGAAGCGCTAGAGTCCAGGCGCGAGCGTGCAAGCTCGAGAATAGACCGCCTCGTCACGCCATCAAGAACGATACGCTCATTCAAATCCGCAGTGACCAGCTGAAGTTTCCCTTCTTTTGTCCGCCAAACGACGAAGAAATTGCTTGCTCCAGCTTCCGTAATAGTACAGTCATCTCCAAACAGCCAGAGGATCTGGTGGAACCCGCGTTTCCTAGCCTCTCCCTGAGCGACCAGCGAAGGACCGTAGTTGGCGCCCACCTTGGCGTATCCGAAGCCTCCGGGCCACGCGCGGCACATGTCGTCCTGCGAAGCGAGGAGCTTGATACCACCGCTCATATCGCCCATGGGCGCGAAACAGCACAGGATGACGAAAAGGAGGGCTTCTTTGGGACGCTCGACGCCTAGAGCCGGGTCGGATGCGATCATGGTGGGGCGGATGTACAAAAATTGCCCTGGTCTATCTTTCGGCAGCCACTTCTTTCCGTCTGTAGCACACAGCTTCACAATGAGCTTCAACAGCTCCTTGGGAGGGAAGGCGGGGAGCGCGATGCGGTTTGTGCTCATCAACATCCTCTTGCAGTTAAGGTCTGGGCGGAAGAGACGTAGTTTGCCGTCGTGGCCGCGGTATAGCTTCATGCCTTCGAAACACTCGGTCGCATAGTGTAGGCATGATGCTGTTGGTGCGAGCGAGATGGGGCCGTAAGGTTGGAGAGTTGGTGCCTCCCAGCCCTGTTCGACCGTCCATTTGGCTTGCACCATATGGTCGGTGCATACTTTCTGGCTGGCCATTTCTGCTGAGCCTACGGCCGGGACGGGGCGCGGTGATTCGGTATATTTGCATTGTATTTTGGACGCATCGAGTTCAGCGAGAGGGGTTTCGACGGTATGTTGTAGTTTGGTCTCGGGCTCCGGTGGTGGGGTAGCGGTAATTGAATTGGTGAGTGAAGCGGATTTGAGTTGTGAAGGGGCGTTCTTGAGGAGGGCTTCTTCGATGCCGGCGTGTGTGAGGTCGGTGACGGTCTCGCCCTCTTGGGGAGGGGTGATAGCGATGGGAGACATAATTGCTCTTGTATATGGGAGACAAGTCGCTTGTATGATGGGGCGGGAGTAAGAGATTGGTGTGAGGTGAGAAACAAGCAGCCGAGCAGGCTTCTTATACGTACAGTACCTGAAATTTCAGTCAAGAGTCATACCTTATCACGCGGAAGAGGCGATGCAACGCCCAGCCCTATACCTATGCTAGTGCACTACGGAGTACCGCGGCAAACTTTTAGTGTTGTCTTCCTTGCATTGGGAGATAAAGAATTCCTACGACGGACCCTGGTATCCACATAGAACAGAACTCGGCAGCAGTCTGAACATGAAAGCAATTGGCCTCTGTGGTGTCAAACACCTACACTGACAATGTACAGACATCTTGGATCCATCAATTCCATGCCGAAATTGCGCTTTCTGGAAGCCGGGGTAGTGTTTGCTAGTGTTCCTGGGTATGAAAGTGTGCTTTGACGTAGGGCGTGCCGAGCCTGTGGTATCCAGCCCGGCCGCTAGTATCCGCTTGTATGGAAGGCCGGGCATCTTCCGATTGACGGACACCGAAGACTCATCATCGGATCCGACCTCTCATTGATTGATTCGTATATTGCTACACAATGTATATAGAACCCAAGACCGCGACATCGGAGATGCGTATGGACTTGTGCTGGAAGTTGAAGCTGGAAGAGCAGTGCGCAGCGAAGTTCACAATGCGTCTCGGCAAACGGCGGTCTAAGAAAATCGCCGTTGGAAAACTTCAACAAGATTGACGTAGGAAGAAAAAGTCGATTGACCTATGGGTATCAAAATCTACGCTATGGCAAACATAGTTCAGCTCTTCAAGGGGCGCTACGTACGGAGTCTCCACCGAGATGCATACATGGCTCTCCGTGTAGTTTCCCGTATATAGCCCACTCCATCTATATCCGCCACTTTGTCGCTCAAATAAATCTACCGCAAAATTCAAGATGCCGCCGTTTCCGAGGGGTCGTTTATTTGGCTCGCAGCCATGACCTGGGATGTTCGCATGCCGTCGATGCCTTTCAAAATGCCGTCTGCGACTTCTCCTACGCGTCCTTGCAGCGCGCTGAAGTCCATCTTGCTGATAACGTTATTGATCTGCTCCGTGACTGCTTCATCCTGCACTGTCTCTGCCATGACCTGCCCCTCTGTCCTCCAGTATTCTTCCCTCACGCCCCGTAGAGCAGGGTCGCGGTTCACCGAGTTTGTGAGCAACCCTAGTGCGCGCATCTTATTCATTGTTTCCTCCGCCTGTCGTGTCGTCGTTTCGATCCGTTCGGCGATTGAGACGGGCTTTGCAAGCCAGCGATTCGTACTCGTTGCCCAGAGAACAAAGGCAAGCCCGATGTCTACTACGGCGAAGGTGATGTATCGCAGGAAACGAATACGCCAGTACACCGAGTCAAGATCTTGGACGAACTTGGCCCGCTTGTTGATAGTTATGTCATACGTCCCCATATACCACGTTTCCACCACCATAAGCAGTATGCCCGCGATGGTCGCATGCGTACGAAATCGTGATCCCTCGCTTCCAACCAACGAGGATGTAGCGAGGCCGAGAACACCGAGTTGGAAGATATGCGGCGTTACAATCTTCGGTAGGCTGTATAGAAAGTAGTTCTGCTGGTCATTCGCATCGGCCGTGGTGCACCAAACGCAGTTTAGCAACGTGTCCGGGCCATATGTGAGGTATAGCAGCTTGTTGCGCGCACTCCCACCAAACTTTGTCCGTAGCGCATCGTCCTCGTCTGTAAGCGGTCGAAGATGCCTCAGTCGTGCGAATAGCACGCTTGTCTCGGTTCGTATATGGCTCTGTGTACTCAGGAATATGTTGTCTGGCGCAAATCGGGACAGCGAGAGGACGAGACACACGACAGCGCTGAGAAACAGTAGGTTGAGCGCATTCTTGACTCTTGGTGGCGTGGGCCGTACGGGTACGCTTCGCGATGTCGCGCGGGCTACGTTTATCCAATCGAAGACGCGGGGGATGAGGAAAGGCCCAAATATTATGAGTATTGAATGGACATTCTTTGGGAGGAACGTGAGGCGCGGGATCACCACGTAGGATATGACGAGGAAAATTACGGAGCGCAAGTTGAACATGCTGGACGTGAGGCTATCATAAGAGAAGACGTGAGGAAGACTGTATTGTAGAAACACATGTCCTTGTACAGTTCTTAGCGACCAAGTATGCGCCACACTACAAACAGGGGTCATGCAATGTCCACCTACCAGATTAAGTATAGCGTTAGCCCGCGCTGGCACGTCTTTCCAAGTCTCGTCCACGGGTATTTCGAATCAAGACGCTGTGCTTGTTGTGGAAACAAAGATATCGACATGAAGAGGTGCATTTTAATAATTTGTCAGTAGCTGCGCAGGCGGTTAGTCCGTGTAAAATTATGGCTATATGTCAGCAACAGAGCGGAAGACATGGAGGAGCAAGGTACATTCTGATTATCGTAACATATGGATCTAACGTTTCGAGAACTTAGTAGGATTCGATAGAAGCAAAGTGGTGGTCGTGGTATGACTTTGTTATTCTCATATTTTGCAAATATAGGTCGTGGAGATTACGGCAGAGTATATCAACCGTTCCTCTCAAGGAACTTCCTAATTAACCCCCTGCAGCTGTTTACTGTTTGATCCTTCCATCAATCACCATCTGCCTGATTGCATCAATACTACTCTCAACCGCTTGCTTGGACAGCTACCATCACGTCAGCAACTGCTCTCAAATCCACCTTGCCCCAGCCTATCAGCCGAAACATAGTAAGATGTGGGGTAACTTACGCTCTTGACCTTCTGCAGCTCCTTCTCTGCCTCCGGCGAACCCTCCTGAATATGCGGGAATATAAACTCAAAAGCATACGTCATATGCAGGTCGTCTAGGCCGCCAGACGAGCCATTCGAGATAAGGTTACGGACATGCGAGCCATCTTCTTGCTCAAAATCGACCTATTCAATCATTATCAGCCCTTCCGTCTTTAAAATTCATTCGCGCAATGCTCAATCATAGTTAGAAAGAAAGAGAAATACCATACCCAACTTGGCCAATAGCTCCTCACGACCTCCTTCGCCTGATTCTTAGGACCAGCACCAGGCTTGAATTTAACCTCGCGCGTCACAATGCCATCTTTCTCCTCCAACACGTTGCAAGACTCAATCACGGGCACAAATTCCTGCGCGAAGCGTATCTTTCTTTGCAACCCCGCCCAGACCTGGGATTCATTGAGGACCGGTGTGGCGCCTGTTGGGTTGATCTTGGAGGTGTATGCGAGGTGAAGATGGACCATTTTGAGGAGTTCTTAGGGGGTCAGGTTTTACTACAAGAAGAAGAGTAGATTTTAGGTGTTGGTTGGCGTGATTGATGATTGAGATGTGGGTGGGGTAACTGCTGGGCGTGTATTATGTGCTGACGTCAATGGATCTTAGATAATGAGGCAGTGGATATGAAGGCAATTATAGTGTTATTGTGTTCTATCGAGTGGTTCTTATATATTATCATCACACAAGTAACGGAGCAATTATCGTCCCGGTTTAGGTTCAAGACGACGCGTTGTCGATCCTCGGCTCCACAAAGTCCGAGCTGCGTAAGGCTGCTTATTCAGGCCAGGGCTTACAACAACGCGAATGCCGACTGTTACTTTCAAGTATACCCTTCTTTCATCTCGAAAAATCACCTGCGACGAAACTTCTGGTTCTTAACATGGCATAGTGCTTCTTATTAAATCAGCGTCGGCCACAACGAGACGCGAATGCCGATGTCAGACACAGATATCTCGAACTAACCAAACCATTTTCAGGGAATCAAGTCAAAGTCTCGATAGACGCAAGGCTGATTATCACTAACGGCCACATAGGATAGGGTAGTAACATTAGGAATAGGTTGGGCAATTGCGGTTTAGAATCATCCAACGTGGCGGGCATGATCTGTCATTTAGGTATCATTTCACTAGCCTAGCCTTTCGCTGTGGTAAAAGTAGCTACTAAGCAACCCGCCGGAACGCCGTGCTTTTTATATGCATTTCATCCATCAACCCGATCGTGATCCATTTAAGCATCCTCGACGACCTGGGTGTGCAGGCCCTTGGGATCCTTGACGTTGACGGCCTGAACGTACGAGTAAAGCTTCTCCTTGGCGCCCTCCTCATCGTTACGCTTACGCGAGATGCGGACACGGAGGCGGTAAGGAACGCCCTTAATGCCAGCTTCCCAGACCTTCTTGTTGAGCTGGGGGTCGAGGCGAACATCCTTAGTGCCCTATCATCGAGTATTAGCACCAAATCATCGAGTCTTGTGTGTTGTAGATAGGTGACCACATACCATAGCCTTCTCAGCGAACCCACGGATCTCCTTGATGGCCCTGGGGGCCCTCTTCTTGAAGCTCACACCATGAACCTATTCAACCCAAGTATTAGCCTGATGTTCGCCTTCAGTCTTCCGCCCGATGCTTGCAGTGAGCTAGAGGTTTCATCCTCAAGACTATGCAAGCCATCGTTGGACTTCACAAAACTGAATCAACATACGCGCTTGTGTAGGTGGATCGTGTATTCGCGGGCGACGACGTCAGCGATGGCGCTGCGGGTGGTCTTGCCGGCAGGCTTCTTGCCGGCTGTCTTTGCGCTGGGAGCCATTTCCTAAAGCCATTGCGTTAGCCATTGTCTCTTTGCATTCAACTGGGCTAAATCTCTGTCCGGGAGCCATCGCAACAGGCGAGTTGGACGAATGTAGGCAATGTACAACCCGAGAGAGACATGTAGTACGTACTGAAGATTTCCTCGCTGTGGGGTTAGTCGACGGTGAGGTTGCGAGATGCGGCTTGAAGATTCCTGAAGTTCAGAAGTTGCGACCTGCAACCGCGAAAATCGACTGTGGTCGCTTAGTAGCGCAACGCACAGACCAATATCACGTGAGCATCCATCCAACTACTCGAATCTTCGCAGTCAAGTAATTAAAGCACGAGTACAATACTAGTCACCTCTCTCGCTCTCTCTGGCAAATCTAAGAGTTGACATCTTTGCTTACCCCTGTGCAAGTTGCTTCTAGCGAAATGGGAGCTAGTAAACAAATCTCGAGAGGGAACATAATGGCATGAATGTTGAATGTGTCTTTGATTGATTCTTTGGGGTATCTTTTTCTCTCTATTGATGCTTTTTTAGTTATCCTCTGGGTTGTGCAATAGACTCAAAACGACGTGCGGTTCTCCTTTACGATAGGCCTCATTTACTTGAAGGAAAACGCCACGCTAATAGGTCAACGATGTCCAGGTAAGTCGAACTCTTTGCCGCGCTTTCCTACATCTGCTTCGTCATCGTCATCATCATCTTCCTCCTCGTGCTCACTTTCATCACTGCTGCTATCTTCTTCTTCGTCGTCGTCATCATCATCGTCATCGCCAACAGATACCAAGCGATCCAGTCTTCCGCCATCTTCGCCCCAGAACTGCAGTCCTTCCGGGTCGTGATCTACTGCGAGATCCAGCGCCGGAATTTCTTCTGCTAAGGCAGGATTCAGGTCGTTACGAAAACGAGCCAGCGACTGAGTAAAGCGCTCTAGAACATACTGTGGTAGAGATGGTTCCTTGACGGTGGTACCGTCTGTTGCCTGGCGCTCGCGACGATCATCGCCCCCAAGATCGATGAATGGAACGTCTTCAGCTCGAACATCGCCAGTCGGGTTGAGGTACGCATCAAACGATCTCCGAACCCGCTCCAGCATTTGCTGTGCAGCATCTGGCATCTGAGGCATTTGCGGGAATTGTGGTATCTGTGGAAAGTTCGGTAGCGGCGGAAACTGTGGTAAGGTCGGAAACTGCGGCATCTGGGGCATCGAAGGCATTTGGGGCATCCGTGGTCTTGCAGGAAATTGCGGCATCTGGAAAGGAAATGACGGGAGCTGTCCCGGTAGCCATGTCTCTTCTGGCTCATCTGGCTGGAAGTAGTATCTAGGCGAGCGAAGTGGTGTTTGCGAGGCGGGAGAGCCGACACTAACAGGCGATCCTAATCCGACATTCGTGTCGGCATCCAAAATGGCGTCGGCGTTCAAAATTGCATTGGCAGTCTCTTCGCTCTCCGGGCCATTAAGGATGCGGAGCTCGTTTGTGTTGTATGAATCACACGAGCCACACTGATTCCCAAGCCAGTGGTATTTGACCGAAGACTTTGCAGAGCAATCATTGCATTGGACGATTGCTCGGGTGTTCGAAAACTGATCTGGCATTGGCTGACTCTCGATTGCTTGAGTCAACTTCTGCCACTGTAGATCCATGCATACAGCACTCTTTTTGCATATCGGACATTTGTAGGCAGTCTCCATGTATAGGTTGTAGCATCCCTTGTGTAAGTAATGTCCACAAGGCATGGATACTACAGCGGTAGACGATGTGAACAAGTAGTCGCCGCAGATAGGGCAATTTGAGTCGGTGGCACGTGGAAGACACTTGTGAGATGTCGCGTGAGATATGGATATGCAAACATTGCAATTCTGGAGGTCATTAGGAAGATGCAACCAAATTCGGTGGGCAGACGTACCTTGCAGTGGTAGAAGTCTTTCCCCAAACCCTCACCCCTTCTGCAAATTCCGCAGTCGGGGCAATGGTAGATCTTCTTCTTGCTGTTGTTGTCCCACAGCTTGCAAATGTCGCAGTAGTAGCATGCCGCCTGTGTTTCACACTCTTTGCATTGCTCAGCCGCTCTCTGAGGCGTTCCACATGACATGCAAAGCATGTTCTGCGTCATGATCCTGTTTAGATTATGGTCTTCGACCGCATCGTGACAATGCCGGCACGTATACCACCGCCGGCATTGGAAACATTGCACCTTCACATTTCGTTTGTAGTGTTGGCATCCAAGAGTCAGCTCTCCTTCAGCGACTTCATCCTCCTCTTCTTCGCCATTGTCCGCGCTACTATGCTGGTTATTGGGTCGATAGGTCGAAGTGGTGTCACCCTCCCGCAAGTTGTATGGGTTCTCGGGGTCGATATCGGACGCAGAGGAGTATGGCGACGACGCTTGTAAATCTGAGAAGATCGATTGACCGGAGGTGGGTGTATAAGGACGGTCGTGGGAGACAAAGCTGCTCGGCGACGTTGGTCTCATGATGTTGTACTTCTCTGTCATTATGCCGTGGATCATCCGCGCGCGCTCCTGATCTGTAATCTTCAGGTCCCTAATTTGGTGTATGCGCATTCGTAGATGGGCCATGCCATCGTCTGCAGGCAGCGATTCCGACATGGCGCTGGCATGCTGGCGCGCAATTGGCCTTGTGCTTGGTATCGAAGGTGTAGCAGGTGCACTTGAGACGGGCGAGTCGATGTTGAGTCGACGAAACTGGTCCGCAAGTATACGAGAAGGGTTGGAGGACATTTCCGTCGGGATATTTACTGGTGCTGTTGTCGATTGAATCGTCGAATCGTCATGGTCGACAACAGCACTGCGCGGCCGCTGAGTGGATGAGGGCGGTCGAAATCGGTCGATTAGAGCAGTAGGTCTGCCTGAAGTCGTTTGAGAAAGTTCTTCATTTCCTGGAGTGGAGTTGTTCGCATCCGCACCGCGAGGTGGGTCGTTTGGTCGGACGATGGCCACCGAGTCGGCATTGTCACATGTTAGAAGTTGGGCTCCGTCATGGCTCGCTTCGGGAGGCGGTTGACCTGAGAAACGACGTGCATGGCGGACCACAGGATCAATAATAAAAGAAGAGAGCAGACTCTGGGATTGGGTCATAGTGCACTCCAGGACGCGAGGTGTGAGGAAGAAGTCTCGATCTGAGAAACCGGACCTAGGCGCTGTTGCTCGCACTGTTCCTGCGCTCTGTGACGTTCCCGAATCGAATAGGTCATGTGAGCATATCCGCCACTGTCGCCACACAGACAATGATGGGTCAAGCTCCGTCCGAAAGGCTTGCTCTTCTATTTCGAGTCGTCGTGGGAAGAGTCGCGCGACCATCGGACAATCCCGCAAGCATTGCCTGAATAGGCGTACTATGGACGAAAACGTACTGAAATCACGAAGCAGACAACACCACAAACGGCGTCAGCCCCCAAAGAGCACACAACAGCTCAGACTCTGCATTTTTAATGTTTTGTCACATTCCACACGGATGTACTATGCTACTAACGTAACTCTCAGCGCGACGAGTTGTCCCCAAGCCACCTTGCATCTCTAGCATACGACTCAGGCCATTTGGATCTTTGGAAAGAACAAAACCTACTCAAAGGAGTACAAAATGAAGAAAAGTGTTGATTACAGCAAGAATTCCACGGTTGTAAACGGAAACGACACAACATAACCCCTTTCATGTTCCATGGGAGGTGGCCGGCGTGATGCATCCGACCTCAGATCTTTGACTCGGCTGGTCGAAATATTTTGTTAGTCGTTTCCACGCCTGCGATATGTCCACAAGAAGCAAGTCTACAGAAAATGTGTTGAATCCAGCAGAAGTTCCACGGGTGCGAGCCAGCCAAAGCAATATCCACGACACTTTGTTCCACGGAAATTCGGTGGGATGACGCATGTTGCCGCGCATGCTTGACTCGGGTCGGCACTTGAGACCCAGAAGGAAATATACATGATATGCCCACAACAGGCAAGAACTTGGAAAAGTGTAGATTATCGTACGCATTCTATGGGCGAGATCAAGGCGTAGTTCCTCTAGCTAAACGCCAGACGTCCGTGTCCGCCACGTTCCCATGACTCTGAGTTGGCACCATCTTCCACGGGCGGACTAGAATAGGCAGGTTTCACGAAAAGTGTCAATCCTAGCGACGAAACCATGGATGAGAATCGAGACGATACATGTAATCTCATTTCCACATCTTCCAATGGCTTCTACTACCTAAGCGTACCGTACCTTTCCCCCATGATCAACCTCGAAAAGGGTAGTACGTGATCAGGCGGCGGTGCAAGGATACCTGGGACGAGCGGAAAGGCGATACATAGCAGCGTACCCCTCGAAGCCTATAAAGAACAGAATCCTGAAAGAGTATAAAATGAACGCCAGCTATCATATAGCTAAGCTATGCTACAATCCCGCTACTACATGCCAGTATAGTTAGTTTGACTTTACAGCGATCTTCTACGATCGACACCCTTATTATCCCCCGCAAGGTGCTTATGAATCCTAATGCGGGGTTTGCTCCCATCCGCATCTTCTAGTGCTCCATCTCTCCTTGAAGAATCTTTCCTCTCGTCCTCTGGCTCAGCCAGGGAGGACATAGAATCGAGCGCCTTGTTCATCTGTCTCTGCAAGCTGTACCCTGATGGCACTTCTCGTCCTGCTACTGGTAGTACTTCAAGCTGCCGGCGGATATCCTCCAAGTCGGCATTCTGGTTATTCAAAGCCTGGGTATAATCGAGTATGGAGCGGGATTTCTTGCTCTCAAAAGAGCGGCTGCGCGAGATGCGATGCTCTTCGGCTTCAAGGGTTTTCAGTTGGCGATTGAGGTCTTCGATTTCATATTGCAATTTCCCTCTGCTCTCCCGCGCAAGTCTCTGTCTCTTTGCCTGCTCGCTTTCTCCGATATCTGCTTCACCCTGTAACGCATCCGGCTCTTGGAGACTGAGCACCTGGTTGACACGACGCCGTTGCTCTTCATGCATGGACTTGAAAAAAGCTCTGTCATCTTCTCGCTCTGGATCGGTCCACCAGGTCTTGTTTCCCCTTGGCCGCAGTTCACGGTGGAAGTCACCAATCAGATAGAGACTTCCGGTCAAGACTATAGGATGGTCGGTCTCAGTGAGATACTTTGCCGCACACAACGCCCGAAGCGCTCCTTGTGAATTCATAGGTAATCCTGTGATCCCGGGCTGCACGGCCTTTGCTATGTGGAGGAGTTGCGTCGGATCCATTGGTTTCACCCATGGCATGCCATCAACGGGTCCGAACGAGGTAGTAATGACACTGTCTCCTGGCTGTAGTAAGATTTCGAGATACTGACGAGCATCTTTGCCCTCAGTCATGGCAAGCACCCAAGTAACGGGCCATCCGCTCCTGGGTCGACTCAGCCCGGAAATATTTCTTTGTCTCTCATTCTTCAAGACGAACTCATTGAGTGCTTTCGCAGCATCTGGATTGTGGGCTCCGTCGACGACTATCTCTCTTCCCGACCTGTGTGGGTTACCAAACACGGGTTGGACTCTGTGATACTGAAGTCGTCCGGGTATCGCTTTCCTCCTAATGCTCACCAACGCTTCGGCAAGCTTGGAGTTGCTGAGCTCGAGTCCCAAGCGGCTGGCTGTTTCCTTGATGGCGACTATAGCCAAGACTGCATTGTCGCGCTGAAACGGCTGCAGTGTCTGAGCAAAGCGATGCCAGTTGGGACTGGAGAACAGAGTCTCTCTGAGCTCACGAGTGTCGCCAGTGAGGCGAGGACCCGCGCCAATCTCTTTGGCGAACTGATCAATGGTATTTTGAACGTTCCACTCATTCTGTGGATTGACGATGTAAGGTACATTGGGCTTGAGAATTCCCGCTTTGTGGTGAGCAATCTCTTCCAGGGTGGTGCCCAAGAAGCCTTGGTGGTCCCGGGCGATTTTGGAGATGACCGAGACTGCTTGGTTGTTTAGTATGTTGGTCGCATCGAGCCTGCCGCCCATGCCCACCTCGACGACTCCCACTTCGACTTTCTCTTCGTTGAAGATGTGGAACGCAGTAGCAGTCAAGATCTCGAATGGCGAGGCATTGATGCCTTCTCTTTGACTAAGCTGGGCGTAATGCGTCTCTATCTTGCGAAAGAGCCGCTCATTGACGGGCCTTTCATTGATGGAGATGCAGTCCCATCTGGACAAATTAGAGCCGATAGGAGGGCGGCGTGACGGCGTGCATACCTGTTTACAAGATGGGGTGAGGTGAATTTACCGCACTTGATGAGTCTGCGCGTGAGCAGCGTCGACGCGTAGTGGCATATGGAGCCTTTGCCGTTGGTGCCGGCGACATGGATCGACGTCCAGGAGAAGTGAACGTTCTTCAGCAGCTGGGCGATCCTCTCCAGGCCCGGTTGGATCATGGCCTCTCTTCTGAAACCGCGTTTCTACAAAATGGTCCCTGACTCACTGCTGCGAGTGGACCAAAAGCTGCGAGGCAGAGGAAGCCGACCTTGCCCAACAAGGCAACTGCGGCTTGGCAGCCTAGTCGCGCCTGCCGATGGATGGGATGGGGGGATCGGATGGTTTGGCCGTTGCAGGCCTTCCAGAGAGGCTCCGGCTGTTTCAGGCCCGAGTGAGGCGTGGATGGTTGCTGTGCAAGCGCGTGTGTTTGATATTGGTCGCTGGGAGTGAGGCTATATGACAGACAGCTGCCAGCGCAAGCAACCCACCACCTCAGCACTGTACGCAGTTTGTTTGCTGTTCTGAACGCCTTCCCCGGCTGCTTCAGCCTCACGCTGTTCTGTTTTCGGCGCTTGCGACCCTGCGCCCGCCGTGTCCCATTCTCCGACCACCCCCCAAACCCAAACCCCATCGCTAGGCGCGTCCCCATCAACCCTCGCCATCTCCACTCCATCCTTTTTTGATACCCCTCACACACTCCCTCTGCGCCATGGGCATCCCGATCGGCTGGAACATTCAACGGGACGAGCCCAAGGAAAAAGACGTGCTGAGAGCCGACGTGACCGGCCAGCGCTCACCCATTCGACGCCGCGTCAGACCAAATCGATCCCCGACATCCCACAGTGCCTTTGACACGGGCGCTTTGCTCTCGACATCACGATTTGCGCCGCATCTCGAACCTCCCTCTCGCTCTTCGCACACCCGCACGCGCCTGCCCCCGCCACCGGTGCCCGAAGTCTCGCGGACTGATCACCGCAGCAACGAGCCGGCGAGAAACCCACCCAGTCTACAGCGGGACGAGAGCAGCCTGCGCCGCTCGCGCAATCGTCTCGATGGCTATATGCGCGCCTACGAGGCACGCAACTTTCCCGACACTGGCCTCCCACTCGCAACCTTGACCCCAGGATTTGCGCCCGCAGCGGCTTCGCGATCCGCTGAAGCAGAGTCCTTGCGTGAGCTGCGCGAAGCGCGAGAGCTCTCGCGCATCGGGGAGCGGTCGCCGTACCGTCGCGCTGGGGCCCCGCGATTGACACGCTCGCGCAGTCCCCGTGCTGACCCATCTGCGGGAAGAGGCCATGCGGAGGATGACGACAACGACGACGAGCACGAGACTAATGATTACCCAGCCGTGGGCCTTCCACCCCTTCGCAGGATGGGCCGCCGCACCCTCGCCGATGGCCCGCCAACTGCAAGCTCTCTTCGCGAGTCTTGGAGCCCGGTGTCCACCCTCGATGGCTTGGGAGATCGCGAGCGCAGCATCAGTCCCTTTGTCGAACAGTTGCCCTGGGATACCTTCCTCTCCACCGTTGTGCCTGATCCCGTCGGCCCCACGACTGAGTCGTCCTTTGCATCTGCCGCTGCTGCAGCCTCGTTCTCCAATTCTCATCCAAGTTCGCGAGCCGGAAGCTCCAACTCGGCGGCGTCTTCACGAACACATCTTACAGTGCCGTCACGGCGCGCTTCTCCTCCGCCGAACGAGCAGTTCATGCGCGCGTGCGACACGTCCGAGGACGACACAGCCTCTGATACAGAAGAAGAGGACGTGGACGTGCGCGGCAGTATAAGGCGTCTCAACGGCGCCGAGGCTTTCAGGAATCGGATGGGTCTCTCCGACGCGGCTCCCTCCCGCCGCAGAATTCGACCGTCTTACTTCTCCAATGAGCCTCCTCTGCAGGACACGGAGCGCTACTCGCGGCGGGTCCTGGAGCGGTCTCGGCACGCAAGCGCATATGTTCGCAATTTCTACCACTCAAGCCTCTCGCACGACAACGAGATGCCGGCGGAGAGACGTCATGATCAGCTCGATGGGCCGGCCGAGGAGCCTTTGTCGTCTGCCATGGGTGAAGACGAGTTGCTGTCGCTTGTTCTGCCCGACTCACAGCCTCTAGATCAGGAGCTTCGTGATGCGCGGTCTCTGCTGGAGCGTCTTTCGCGTCGAGAGGACATTAGTGACGATTTCTGGGCGTCGGTTGGCTTGACGCGATCGTTCGCGGACCCCGTGGAGCGTTTCCAGGAGCGCGAGCGACTTTGAGCTTCTTTCGTAGGGTGTGTAATTTGTCTTTCTATTCTCTATTGAGCGCAGGCCGGCGGGCTGGCCTTGCGCGTTGAGGGGCTTGCCCGTTTCTTTGAGCGGAACCTGTTTTGTACGATCGAGTCATCTGGCGTCTTGTCTCTGGAGTTTGCCATCTGAAGGCGGTCTGCGGTAATGGTTGCTTTACGAAAAGTCATGTCGGAATGCTATTCCTCGGACCTGGGCGAGGTCTCCACGAAGGTGATTTCGTCGGGCGGTTCATGTATCTCTATCTAGCTTCTTCACCTCTGCGTTGCAGCAAGGAATAAAAGCATTCGCACGCCTTGGAGCGTGTCTCCTACCAAGTAATTGAATTGCATATCAAGACCGTGTTTCCTTGTCTGTTGCTCTCGTGGTCGTCCCCGCGCACTGACACCAAAAACCAACCCTCCCCGCCAATTCATCCCTCCACCACCCACCACCACCGCACAACAAAAACCAAATCAATGCAAAAGGCAAAAGCAAAAAGCATCTCGGGCGGGGCTCGAACCCGCAGCCTTTGGATACCGAGAGATATACAGCGGTAGAAGTCCAACGCGCTACCATTGCGCCACCGAGACCGTCGAGCGGAAATAAAGACTTCTGAGCAAAATTCTGAATTAAGCAGCTTATATTGGAGGCGCGCAGCAAGCGGTGTGGTATCGAGGGGCGGTGGGGTGTTTGTGAAAGAAGTATAACAAAGAACGGGTGTGACTGGTTGAGGTCTGACGTGTCTTGGAGGGAATGGACGGGGCTGTGGAGCGTTGGCTTGGTTGGCGCTGATGGAGTCCGGGATTGCCCGAGATGTCCTTCTACCACCAACTGTTTGCTCTTATTAGGCGGTAAACTGTCTGGCTACAACGTGTAAGACGACGATTTGGTCATTCTCTTTGATCAGTAATTCCAGACACTTTGGCAGTGTATGCCGATATGAGCGCAATGCCATGTTCATCTCTACGCTCGAGGACCCATTTTCGTAGCCGTATCATACTATGACACGACTTGACATTGTAAGATCGTGCTCAATCGTTCGATACTTGGTGCTTTTTATTTTATCGAGTAGCTCCGCTCACCCCCCCTCTCCCACTTCCTTGACCATCTCCAGCAGAACCTCTTCACTCAACTCTGCTACAGACCCATCCTCGCTTCTCCTCCTATTGTGCACTTCCAACAACTGCAGCCGATTCGACTCCCAGCTCACCCACGCCGCGGCTTGCAGAAAACAATCAGTGATGTCATCCAGCTTCTTGAGCTCCGATTCCCCTACGGCTTCTGCTTCGATACTGTTCCCCGAATCTTCCTTGTTGGAATCGCCAGACTTCTTACGCCGTGCAGGTTTTGAGGGGGAGCAGAGAGCTTGGCGTGTTCTCTCTGCGTTGTTCGAGCCAAATTTGAAGGTGATTCTAGGCGCGGTGTCGCGTATTGAGCACGCTGTGGTAGGAGGATCACAAGAAAGCCAGGAGCGTAGAATAGCAATCTTGGCTTTCTTCTCGGCTTTGCTTCGACTCATCTCCTTCTTATTCACCACCTTGTCCTCCTCTTCTGAAGCTGCTCCTTGCGTATCTGCAATTGACTCCACTGTGCCAGCTTGCCTCGCCTTCTGTGCAAGCCAGTAATGCCCCACGCGCTTTGGATCCACTCCGGAAACCTCATAATCCCTCTCTCCCTCCGGCTCTCTCAACTTCGGAAGCATGAGTTTCCGCTCTGAGTGCAAAGTCTCCAGCACGGCCCACAACATGCCCTCCAACGTATTGACGCGAATAGTCCACTGCTGAATTGCACTGCCACCACCCGAGCGCCACCTCTGCTTCTCGATGAGGATAATATCGGGTTCTCCAACCAATATCATGTTTCTTACCAGGGAGTAAGCAGTCGCAGATAGTATAGGTAGTGAGTAAGGATCAACGTCTCCATCTTCATCTTTCGTGCCCTTCTTGATCTTTTCAGCACTTGGTAGCCGATCTGGGACATTGCGTCTTGCTTTGACGAGATCGATCTTCTCCCATCTGAGAACTTCCATCGTCGCATTCAGGCTGTCCTTTGACGGGTAGTCAACTTCTACATCGCAATAGGCAAGATTCTTGATGCCCATGTCGATGCTCATGATTCGGAGTTTTCGGCCCGAGTCCATGTTTTGTCGGGCCTGCCAGTCTGGTCGACGTTTGAAAAGACGGGATTCGTGAATGTCGCGTACAAAGCGGTCATGAAGAATTGCTTTAGTTCCCGAGGATTCTGACCCGATGCGTACGAGGAGAGCTTGCAACGCTTTGGCTGTGACATTGCGCGATTTGGGTGCCATTGAGATATTAGGGAATATTCAATCCAGAATTTCAGGGCGCTACCCAAGATGAGCTCGAAGAGGTGATTAGAGTAGTCGGCAAAGAGGGCGAGAGGAAGAGAGAGATAATCGAAGCATCATGCAGCCATGAACGCGAACAATCGACGCGCAAATGAATAGCGCGGCAACACAGCAGCGAGTGAATTAGGGCATGTAGTGAGTTTGGGTCGATAAGAATGCAAAATATTCTATGCTGAAAAAGTGTGCTGGTGTTGGGAAAGGAGTTCACGCGTTGTAGACTACAAGTCGCGTGCACGGTTAAGCGTGCGCACGTGATCCTCCTCTGCCCACTACCACGTTGGCGTCTGGAGCTGTCTTTATCTGGCATGATCATGGATAGTCATTATATTTACGGCAAACCTCCCTGGAACTACTCTAGGCACGCCAATTACAGTTGCTCCTGGGCCAATGTTACGGACAACTTTGGAATACTTCAAGGCCCTTCTCGACTTGACTACGCCTCACATATCAAGTCGAAATCCGGAAACGCAGGATCAGGTCCAATATTGACACTAGCGACCGCGTTCCGAAAGTCCGTGACGCGCGCATTCTGCTGTGCAGTATTACACTGAGCTAAATCCAATGTTAGCACACAGATTCATAGTAAGCATCAGTCATACCCAGCATCCCATCTTCATAATCACATCTCCTTGATGCGGGATTGAGAAGGCAAGACTTACTCTTTTGCTCATCACACTGCTGCACGCTCAGCCCTCCACTCTGCCTCTTCGGCTTATCCTTCTTTCCGCCTCTATTGCCATTGCCGTTGCCATTTCTATCTCCATTTCCTTTACCGTTCCCATTCCCATTGCCATTCCCATTGCCATTTCCATTTCCATTCCCATTTCCATTCGCAGCATCAGAACATCCCTTGAACTGTTTATCGCAGCTTCTTTGCGCGGCGGATTGGAAGCTATCAAACGTGTCTCCGTCGACGGAAAAGGGTCGTTGAGGGTCTCCGCTCTTGGTGATGGCACTAGCTTTTGTGCCTCCTAGTGCTGAATTGAAAGTCTGCAGATCGGCGAGCTGGCGCAGGAACAAGGTATGCCGTGGTACCAAAGACATCTCCCAGTCTGTGGAGACGAGGGCGGGTTGAGGTGACGCATGCGAAAGAGCAGGAAGCGCCAGGTGGATGAGTGAGAGGAGGGCGGGTGGAAGGAACTTCATGGTTGTGTACTGGTGTTGGCTGACAAGTAGCGCACAGCGCTTGTACGAATGATCCGTCGTTGAAAGTCGTGGAGTCGCAAAAGGTCGATTCTGGTGGTTGCAACGCAAGGCGCATATGTAACCTCGCACTCGGAAGCGCCGACCTACGCATCGACGCACCTGCAGCCCATCTCACGCGAGATGGGTTTGGCGTTGCGTTCGCGTAACCTGGTCGGGAAATGCGGTGGTGATGTTGCGACAGTACTGAAACATGAGACTTCCCCTGGAATTTGCGAACCTGGGAACTTGGAACCGCGTAGCTAATCGTTCAGGAGTAAACAAGTGCATGAAGAAGGTGACGTAGCTGGTTGAAGGGAATTGAAGATGATGTGTGACAGTCTGTTGATTTGATTGGGGGTATAGTATGCTAGTGTGACAGAAGAAATTGTCGCTCAATTACAACTTTTGCAGAAGCAAATGCAACCTCGCCGAGATGACAAGAGAATGAGTGGACGGGGATTCTGTAAATTTCCCATTGGTAATAACATTATACTTGCGTGACTGATCTGGAACAAACTGTAGTTCAAAGTCTGTGCTATGCGCAACAGTAGAGGTATAAGACGGAAGAGAATAGGACAATATGTAGATCCTCGCTTGCAATGCACCATGAAGACAAATCGTATCCAATCTAGCCATTTCCATGAGCCAAAGTATAAAGCCTCCGTTGGGGTTGCTGTATATACATGCTCCGGGCAGCTCGCCAAATTGGCACGTTTAATAAACCCGGCAAATAATCGTTGACATCGTGAACGGACCCTCGCAGGTCGCATATGTACGTATGTAAGCTGCTACGCTTCGCCTAGAAGTTGGCAGCCGCGTTGGGGCGTCCACCGGGATTGTGGTACTGTTCGAGGTTTGACTGGAAGGGCGAATTTGCGCTCCCGTTGTCGAATTTGTCGCCGAGGGCAGCGCCGGTGTTGACCATGAGATCGTCATCGTCGGCGCTGACCTTGTGCTGACGCTTCTTCATGCGCCAGAAGACAAGGGCGATGCCTCCCAACAGGAGGGCGCCGCCAACACCGCCGACGACACCGCCGATGATGTTCTTGTTGGTCTTGCTCAGGCCGCTACCGCCGTCGCTGTCGTTCTTCTGAGACGTGGGTGGATAGGTAACGAGTGCCTGGCCGGTGGTGGTAACGATGCTGCTAGTACCCGTTGAAGTAGTAATGATTTCCCGGCCATTGCTAATCGTTGTGATTACGGTGACATATTTCTGGAGTGAGGTGGATACGAGGTGACTGGTCCTCACAATGGCCGTTGTCCTGGTAGAAGTGACTGGTGCATCGCTCGAAGCTGGCGGTGCTGCACTCGTGCGTGGTGACGAGGACTGTGGTTGGTTGTTTCCTCCGCTCGACGGTGCTGGTGTGGAGGCTGCGGGTTCGTTGGATGTGGGCAGATCGGAGGTTTGGGCTTCTGTCGGTGTAGGCGTGGGAGTCGATGGAGGTGGTGGTGGTGGCGGCGATGGTGTTGTCGACGGTGGTTGAGCTGATGATACAGGAGGTGTTGGTGTAGGTGTACTGCCTGTGCCGGCAATCTGTCGCCTCTGGCCGTGGTGCAGATACTCCTCGATGCCGTCAAGATGTATGTCGTCGAAGTTGAACGACGAGGAGAGGGAAGCGAGCACAAAAAGGGCTGCGAAAAGCCAGAGCTTCTGCAACATGTTTGGTGGGTGGGTGGGTGTAGAAACAAAACAGAGAGAGCGGGTATGTGGGAAGTCGCAGGTAGGAGTCGTGTAGGGGCTGACGCGTTTCACGAAAAGGGCTCGACGGTGGGGTTCGCAGTGGTATTAAACGAGGTAACGGTGAAGGGCGAAATTGCGCAGTAAATGCAACGATGGTGTGTTTCGAGCGGGTAAACGAGGGGCAAGAAGATGAAGGGGACAGCAGTCAAGAATGGACAGACAAGAAAAAGCAGCTCAGCAGAGTGGAGGCAGATGACCCGGGTGCTGAGTGATGGGTTGTGTCGTGTTGCGTGAGTGACCAAGCCCTGGCCAGGCCAAATTTAGCCGCCAGAACGGGCAGACGGCAGACGGTAGACGGCTTGAGCGCTGAGACCCTGCATGCCTTCATTCCAGAAGCCTCGGAAGAAAATCTCTTGCGCCCAACAGAAACACGAGAAATTGGTGTCGTGGTGATAATCACTCGTCTCAAACCCGATATCAGACCTCCCGCCGGCTTCTTTTGTTGTCTTCTTTTTGTCTTGTCCAAACAGCGCGCGTGGCTTCCGAATACGGCAAGGCCCATTTGTCAAACTTCACCTTGATCCGGCTCGGCCATCTCACTCGCGACCCCAACGGGCCCACCCCTTGTTCAGGCATCTTCTCCGCCTGCACCTGCGTCATATCCTTGGTGTTGGGAATACTGCCTCTGGCTGAACGAGAATCTTTTACCAATCATCCCCACATCTTCACGTCGTACCAAGCAGCGGGTAGACATGTTCTCAGCCAGTATGGCACAAAGCCCGCCGTTGACTGCCCTCGAGGCCCTGTCGGGCGTCTTCGGCTCCATATCGCTGGCTTCCTGGATCTTCCTTCTGGTAAGTACCGCCTCGTCTGCAACTCCCCTACATCACGCCATACACATCTGAGTACATCTGAGGTCTCTTTGCACTTCCACGCAGGGCTGCGACAGGTGCTCAAGAGCTTCAGCCTCGGAGAATGCTTCAATTGTTGACCGCACGCGACACTCCACCATCACCTACTAAGCTACCCAGGTCCCGCAATTGCTAGAAAACTACAAGTCCGGTTCTGCAGACGGCATCTCCCTCGCCTTCCTCACAGTCTGGTTCATAGGCGACATCACCAACCTCGCTGGCGCAACATGGGCTGGCCTCGTCCCCACCGTCATCGCCCTCGCAATCTACTTCTGCTTCGCTGACCTGATCCTCATCTCGCAATGCGTCTACTACAACATGAAGAACTCGAAACGAACGCGCAAGACGTCGACGAGAAGCCAGGATAGCGTCGAGGCACCCCTCCTCGGCCGGAGGGACTCGAGCAACATCGGTCTGCCGGGCAGCCATAGAAGGGACTCGGCCGCGAGTCGCAGGCGCAGGGCGAGTTCGCTACCCACCATCATGGACGTCGACGAGGGCGGCAGCGAGTGGATAAAGAATGCCTTGTCCATAATCGGTGTCTGCGTCGTCGGTGCTGCGGGCTGGGCCATTGCCTGGAAGACGGGTGTATGGGTTCCGCAGCCGACCAACAAAGCTACGACGGGTACGGAAATGGCGCTCGGTGCGCAGGTCCTAGGATACGCCAGCGCCCTGTGCTATCTCGGAGCGAGGATCCCGCAGATTATCAAGAACCAGCGAGAAAAGTCCTGCGAGGGGCTATCACTGCTCTTCTTCATGCTGAGCTTGTTGGGAAATGCTACCTATGGTGCAGGAGTACGTTCTTGGAGACCACCGTGTGTTTGCGTTATTAGCTAACAATTCTCAGATCATCTTCCATTCTACCGAGAAAGAGTATATGCTTACCAATCTCCCTTGGCTCATTGGCTCGCTCGGCACAATGGTCGAAGACGTAACCATCTTCATACAGTTCCGTGTTTTTGGCAGCGGAGAGTCGACGTCTGCCCTCGCGTAGCGTAGCAGAATATAAGAAGAAAGGTAGACGAGGCCCAACACGCCTCACACCACAGTCATCATAGAATTGTTTTGGGTTTATGGCATCGAGCCATGTATATATGGGTTGGCTACGGTGCCTCAAAAGTCTGGGATCATTTGTTTCGCATCTACTCTTTGGTCTACAATACCCTATCTAGACAGACACGGATAGTGTTTTGCATGTTGGGTTCTTGTACGCTTCGTGACGAATAATGTATATACAATGTAAAGACGTCCAAATCCCAAGTCAATAGAGTCGGAGCCAGTCGCATGCAAACATGAGATATGTCAAGGTGTCCAAGGCAGACATACAGCGCGAGAACGTATTGCAAATGATGATTACTTTAATGATGTAACAGTCTATAAAACGAATCCTATCTGCCATCGCCGCCGTATGCAGACACCTGTTGGGTATATCTGTTTCTAGGCGGAAATAGTCTATGTGCGCCAGAAGAGACTCCGAATGAGACATCCACTCCATTGCCGCGCTCCTCTACAAACAGAACATGTGAATATGCTCCCCTTGCTGCTCGAGAACATCCCTTTCGTGTAATGCAGGCTGCATTTACTTTGTGTTCTCATACTTTTGCTCGTGAATGCCAATGGCACTGTCTAAGCGTTAGTTTCATACATCCATAAACCTCACGAGAACAAACAACACTTACCGTCCTGAAGGATCCGTCTGGTTGCTCCAAGTGGGCGTCCATCGCATCACCGTGCTGGCGCAGTAGCTCGGGAAATGCTCATCAAACATACACCTATACCAGTACGCCTCCTTCGAATCCGGGATGTCGTTGCCCCACTCCGGCTTGGGGTTCTTCATCATCTCATCGGTGACATGCAGCTCTGCGTTGTCTTTGAGCGCGTCGATCCAGCCGTAGCCCACGCCATCGGAGAACTGCTCCTTTTGTCTCCAGAGAATCTTCTGAGGGAGGTAGGGCTGCGTCTCTGGCTCGTCTGTCGTGTCAAAGGCTTTACGGATGATGTACTTTTCGATACGGCCATTCTTCATATCAATCATTTTCTCGGCCGGGTCGATGTTCATAGAGACATTCAGGAACTCTTTGTCGAGGAAGGGGACGCGCGCCTCTACACCCCATGCTGAGGTAGACTTGTTGGCGCGGAGGCAGTCTGCGAGATGGAGGTTCTCGACGCGGCGGATAGTTTCCGCGTGCAGTGCGGCTTTGTCGGGAGCATTGTGGAAGTACAGATATCCACCAAAGATCTCGTCACTTCCTTCTCCAGAGAGGACCATTTTGACGCCCATGGCCTTGATCTTGCGACTGAGGAGGAACATAGGTGTCGAGGCGCGGATGGTCGTTACATCGAAGCTTTCGAGGTGGTAGATGACATCCGTGAGCGCATTGAGGCCATCTTCAATAGTGAACGTAAAGGTGTGGTGCTTCGTTCCAAGGAAGTTGGCAACTTCCTGAGCCGCAATGGCGTCTGGAGCGTTGGGCAGACCGATCGAGAAGGAGTTCAGTTGTCCCAGGAGTAGATCCGTCTGAAGCTCATTGGCATCGTCAATACCGACAAGTTGTTCTTGTGTTCCATTGGTGACTCCGTTGGACTCTGCAGCTCGTTTCCTCGTTGCCTCGTTCAACCGCAGAGTTTCCCGCTGCGCAATGGAAGCAACAAGACTCGAGTCAAGGCCACCCGAGAGAAGCACACCAAAGGGCACTTCCGCCATCATGCGCTTTCGCACGGATTGTTCTAATGATGCCCTCAGTTCCTTGTAGTCTACCGGCTTGGTGGGAATGTTGGACGGTTCAACAAGCCACTTGGGGTCGTAGTATCGGGTGAGCTGGTCCGTCTTCGAGTCGTATATATGACCAGGCGGGAAGGAGATAATGTTGTCGCAAACGGGGTGCAAGCACTTCAGCTCCGAGGCAAAGAAGACTGCGCCAGGTGATGAGCTCGACCTGCCCATGTAGAAGGTAGTAATTCCGATGGGGTCTCGTGCCGCGAGTACGCGATCCTGTGTCTTGTCGTGAAGAACCCATGAGAACATGCCGTCCAGAAACCGGGGCGCATCGATGTCATGCTCGAGATACTACCACAGATTAGCTCCTGTCCACCTATGTATACCCGTTTGTCCTTACCAGAGGAATGATGACCTCGCAATCTGAGTGTGTCTTGAACTTGTACGGGTTCTTGAGGCCCTTGCGGAGGATACGGTGGTTGTAGATCTCGCCATTGACGGCCAGAGAGACTGTTTCGTCTTCATTGACCAAAGGCTGAGCGCCAGTATCTGCCCATTGTAAGCTACCACCCCCGAATCATGGGTGGTGTGACTGCATACCGACGCCGACGATACTCAAACGCTCGTGGACAAGGACTACCGGAGATTAGCATACCATTGCTACCTTGAATTGTCTTCAGGGAACTTACTAGTGTTGTTAGCAACCCAGTTTCCACCTGCAAAGTCTCAGTCACGGTGCTTCTCAGCGCATACAGAGTCATAGTTTGCTCACTCCAATCTGGTCCCCGATGTCGGACACTGTTCGCGGTGAGCCAATTGAGCAGGATAGTAATGTGAGAGGGGATGTCTTACGCCTTGCCCATCTTCAGGGCGGTGGGCTTGAATTTCTGCACATCTGGGTGCCTTTTGATGAGTCAGTCTCTTATCCAAACGGTTGCATGGAGTTTTGGAGGGGCAATTGAATGTCTGGAGGCAATCGCATACCTGTGACAGGCGAATATACCACACATGATGAAAGCTCGACGATGGTGAGAAGAGGGAAGAGGGAAGGAAGAAGTCAAGAGTCAGAGATGGGCGGATAGACGCTTGGCTCTAATCGCGAGATTTAGAAATTGTGGTAAAACCACTGAGTCAATCGATGCTCCGGCGACCGCATCGGAAGTTCTGCCCCACTAGGCGCCACGCCTTAAAGCCGCATATTGCCGTGGGAGCACTTTATCATCGTTCAGTTGCAGGGAATGCAAACAATGACGCCGGAAACCAACGGATTGGATTGGGCCCTGTTCGCGACGTGCATGCATCCAGATGCCCCCACATGGAGAATTGAGTCTTTGCTCATTGGCCACTGCCCTTGTGGCCTATCATCAATTGCGTGGATGACATCTCCACGTCGTGTGCTCTCCTACTTTGTCTAAAGGCACCCTGAAATACCTCAATAATTTTTGAAATACTTGTTTCGGACTTGCATAGCTATGTGAACTTCTTCTACCTTGACCAAATAGCCAAGATCCAGTCAATTCCCGCACAAAATCCGAAAAGGACTCTATGAAGGCTCTCGATAGACGAGTCCGTACTGTGTAGTAAAGATACATCGTTGACTCCCCCGTTGATGCGCTCAAGCCAGCCACTACAACTCCGAACACGTAACCAACAACAACCACGTCGTCCCGCAAGGATTACCTACTCAGAAAAACAAAAGTGATTACTCCTCCAATGACCCTGAGCGCCCATTCCGTCGCATCCCCCGTCCTTTTCGTACTCGAAAACGTCATCTGATACCCCACGATTTCCTCTTCGTACATGTAAGCCGCCATTGGCGCACGGCATGTTGCTTGGCTTGTGCTATATGGGGTATTGTGGGGGAAATGTTCAGAAAAGGAAGTAGGCGAGGAGAAAGCTGATGAGACATAGGAGGGCAGTAATATGGATGGGTACGCCACCCGCGGGGGCCTGTTGGGCGTCGACAGCGGTCGACAGCTGCGCTTTCGAGTCGCGTGTGGACTCTGTCTTTCGCTGGCGGAGACCGGCGCTTTCGCCCACTTGCTGTGTCAGCCTGGCAATCTGTGCTCGAGCCTCTTCAAGCTGGGCTTGCACATCTCCCTGAGACGGGAGGGCGTTCTTCACACTTGCAGCTGCTGCAACCACAGTTGACTGCACACCGCCAGATGTAGCAGGGCTATATGTCTCGTCATTGTTCTCTCCCAGGTGCTTGCTGTCTGCTAGACGGTCTTGTGGACGCGAGACAGGCCCAGGAGCTTCTGATACGCCGCGTTGGGGAGTAACGGCCTCGGGTGATGGAGAGGGAAGCAGCGAATCGCGGCTGACACCATTCGTCTTCGCAGGGGTTGCCATGGAATCGTCTGCGGCGAGGAAGAGGACCCTTATCTTCTTCTCCTGAATAGATGACTTCGAAGTCTGCTCGATGTGCGCCCACTGCAAAAAGCAATTAGTCTCGTCTGCCATTTATCACGGCTATCATTCTCCCGCAGGTGACGTACAAGAGATCCAACATTGGTAAACTCCTTATCAGCGGTGACGAGAACAGATTGCACAAGGAACTTGTCGCGGCATTTCGCATCTGGCGGCGGGTCTTCCTTCATCGCTTGCAAGAGGACTGTGCATCTGTTAGTTTGCTATAGAAACCCCGCGGGCTCGCGCGGAGAGGGGCTGGCGTACTCTGAACTTCGACATCTTTGCCAGGTTCGATGCGTCCACTGTTGGGTCTCACACAGTATCTATATTATCCAGCATCAGTCGCGGTGACCAACGGAGGGGTTACGAGGGTCGTACTGTTTGGGAGCAGTGGTTTTGACCTTTTGTATGTTAGTTAACCATTCTGACGCGCATAAAAGAAAGTAGGAGGGCATCAGGAGGTCTGCGTACCTTGAATGCGACTGGGTCGGAGTGTGGGTTCTTCAGGTGGAGGGTCTGCGAGACCTCCTGCTGGAAAGGTCCTGCCAAGTTCAGTACCTGGGCACTTCTATTATCCTCGCGGAACACTTACGCTTGAATCCAAGCTCTACGGGATCGAGCTCGACGGACATGACGGGAGCACGAGGGGTGTCGAAGTGTAACGGGCGGTTGTTGTCTTGGTAATCAGGTGTGGATGGGCGTTCCAGCGTGCGGCGCGCGCTGTTGCAAGGATAGGCAGGTACGACGGTTGTGTCTCGGTCTGCCGGATTACTGCCGAGGTAAAAAGCGCAAAGCTGAATGTCTATACAGTCGCGGTGAGAGTGGGTGGATAGTGGAAGTGATAGGATGTAGGGTGTCCTGGGGTCAACCTCGCTTGGGATGACGTTGCTGTTTAGAGCGTCTAGAAACCAGCGACGCTCTTGGAACCTTGAATCGCTCCTAGTTCCCGGAACTAAGACAGCTACTACTTCCAGCGCACGCCTTTAGTGAAGCTCTCAGAGTGGAATTGCTCTAAGCGCAATATATGTTTGGACAGGAATCAGTCTTCACCACCAACTTCGCAGTCCCGACAACCAGAGTCAAGAAACGTGCACGGCCGGTGATCTCATTCCACGGTTCCCCCAGATTCCACCGCCCACTTTCTAAGCCCCACCACTGTCTGCTCTCCCTTTCTCTCTCTTCCTGAACTACACGCTCTATCGTACAACCCATACCTCGAAAAGCCCACGATCCTACTTATTTCTCTCCCATAGTGAGCAGAATACAAACAACCCACATAACCCGCCCCTCCAGAGCTCGAACATAGCTATCTGAAGACTTACACAAGACTCAACATAAGCTCCATATCAACACCTCCCAACATGGCTGGAGACCTAGACACGCTCATCGACATGGGCTTCCCAGGCGATCGCGCCGAGCTTGCCGTAAAAGCCACCGGCGGACTTCAAGGCGCAATCGACTGGCTCGAGAAGAACCAAGACAAATCCATCGACGAGATCAAGCAACATCAGGCCGGCGCCTCCACCACCGCGACCGACGAGCCTCCAGCCCTGCAGCCCGGCGAAGAAGCAAAGTCTCTCGTCTGCGATGAATGCGGCAGAAAGTTCCGCTCAGTTAACCAAGCCCAGTTCCACGGCGAGAAGACTGGCCACGAACAGTTCAGCGAGTCGACGGAGGAGATTGCGCCGCTGACGGAGGAAGAGAAGAAACAGCGGCTAGAGGAACTGAGACAGAAGTTGGCATCAAAGAGGGCAGTGCAGTCAGAACAAGACAAGGAGGACCGGAAGAAGAACGAGCAGATCCGAATGAAAGCTACGAAAGAGAGCCAGGATATCAAGGAGGAGCTGGAGAAGAAGGAGCGCCTAAAAGAAGCTCAAGCCAAACGCGCAGAGAAGAAGGCCGACGAAGACGCGAGGAAGCGTGTGCTGGCAAAGCTAGAGGCAGACAAACAAGAGCGTAAGAGGAAGGCCGAAGTAGAGAAGGCGAAACGGGCGGGTCTAGCTCCTCCTCCAGCTCCAGCGCAAGCTCCCTTAGCCACGTCTTCTGGCCCTACCACGAGCAAGCCCGCGAGTGCGTATACCGAGGCGAGGTTGGCGCTGCAGACGCCAGGTGGCAGGGTTATGAAGACCTTCCCGGTCGAGACGACGCTCTTCGAGTTGGCACATGCGCTGGAGCAAGACGGTCTAACGGTCAACTCGTTCACGACCAACTTTCCCAAAAAGACATATGATAAGACGGACTTTGGTATGACACTCAAGGAAGCTGGCATGGTACCTAGCGCTGCCTTGATCATTGGATGAAAGTCCGCTGTCGCTCCGCGGTCAAGGATGTAGGCTTATGGGTATGACGTTTATGAACACTTGTCACGAGAATTGCGCGAGCAGGCGTTAGTATGCATAATCAGTGATTGCACATAACTTTAGGAGGGGATTTAACGTTGAGGTTAAGCCCCAAATATGAAAGTCCACGTTCAAAGCTTGAGTCGACACCGATGGATTTACGCATTGTCTTATTGATGCAAATCTCTTTATGGATACAATATCTGATCGTGCTACTGCTCCAGCATGGCCTGAGTTCACGCTTGCTGATATAATCACGTGTCTGAAAGTGAGCATGAACAATACGTTTATCCGCAAATTCTCTCTCTTCGTACCAATATTCTCACTCATACTCGTCGATATCATATCTGCCCAAATCTCGCTGAGTGCTACACCACTCTTCACTTGCAAGCCCTCTCTCCTTCCTCCTTACTAACGCCTCGGCGTCTTTACACCAGTCACACGCAAAGTCACATGGCGGGACCTCCTCGTCCCCGAAATACTTTGCAATCATTTTATGACGACACTCATTCGTAGCCTCGCAATAGGCCACTAGGGCCTGCAAGCTCTTCGCTCGGTTCATCAACTGCTGCTGCTGCGCCGCTACCCCAGCACCCTTGGTCGGTTGACGTGCTTGATCGCGTGCCATCATGGTCGCAGCGCGGTCCCGGTCTTCGCGCCCGTAATAGAGGATGCAGACTGCTGCTTTGCCGTCTCGGCCTGCACGGCCCGCTTCTTGGTAAAAGCCTTCGAAGGATTTGGGGATTTGCCAGTGCACTACGAAACGTACGTTTTCTTTGTCGATGCCCATACCAAAGGCAGTAGTAGCAACAACGACATCGTAGCCCGCCTTGTTGGCTACCCAGCCCGAGAGAGCCTCTGCGCGTTCGGCGTGGGGGAGGCCGGCGTGGTAGGGTTTTGCGCCTATGCCGTCAGCACGGAGGCGGGCAGCGAGCGATTCGCAGTCTTTGCGGAAGAGGGTATAAATAATGCCAGGGACATTATCGGCGCGCTGGTTTTGGGTTGCTAATTGGGTCGCTCGCTCAGGATTTGCGGCACGTCTGGCGTGAGCAGCTTTCAGCCAGGAAAGGAAGTCGGAATAGTGGTCGTCTTCATCCGATTTGAAGCGTATTTCATAGTGTAGGTTTGGGCGGCTGGTACTCATACGGAACATTCTCAGCTTAGAGGGGTCTAGAGCCAGCGTTTTGATGATGTCGTCTCTGACACGCGCCGTAGCTGTAGCTGTGAGACATATGATAGGAACATCTGGGAACTCAGTCTTGAAGAATGATAGTTGCTGAAACGAAGGACGGAAGTCGTGACCCCATTCGCTGACACAATGCGCCTCGTCGACCGCTATGCGGGCGAGCTCTCGCTGGGAATGAATTACGCGAAGGATCTTGCGGAAGTGGTCCCCCTGACAAAATTCCGGTGTTACGTAGAGGAGACGTGTGAGAGGATGACCACACTGTAAGTCTGCAGTAATTCTTTGTTTGTCGGAAGGTGGTGTCGTGCTATTTATGGTTTCCACTTTGATTTTGGCATTGCGCATGGAAGCGACTTGGTTGTTCTTGTTCTCAATGAGTACAGATCACAGTGGTCGAGAGGGATTGACATACCATCAGCGCCAGAAGGGGGGATATCACAATAGTAACTTGGATAGATTAGCATGGGCTGAGTCTCACGGCGAAAGTGACCGTACTGCCGAAATCAACTACTGCCGGGAGCTGATAACACAAGCTTTTTCCGAAGGAAGTTGCAGCCTGTAGGAAGACATCGTCGCCTTCTAACGTCGCTGTGATGACCTCGCGTTGCAGTAGTCTGCGACCAACCTCAGCGTGAATATCAAGAGTTTGGTGCTATACATACCGAAAGCCCGGCTTCTTGAACACCTTCTTCAGCGTAAAATCAATATTGGAGTAGGGTCGCTTCCTCTGGCCAGGCATACTGGTAGTTGAGACCGGGGGTGATTTGGTGCAAAGTGTGCTTGCGTCACCACCAGATTAACGAGAATGAAGGCGGTTTATGTAGTGTTCGAATTCCCATGTTGGCCTTTCCAAGTAGTGTAGTAAGAAGAGTTGGAAAGCGAAGCAAGAGCGATTGCCCAGGTGCTGGACGCGTTGTCGCGGAAAGGCCGACCAATCTGAACACGCTAGCACGTGTACCCCACCGCCGACTCAAGGCTTTCGCGACCAGACATCTCCTGTATTATTACCATATCAGCTTCATTTCTTCCGTTGTACAGATATTTTTACGATAGCAAATTCAATGCCATCCACCTGAAGCCTCAGTGCATTGTATTAGTGGTAGCAAAGCCAGCGCGCATGCCATCAAACACCATGTCGACACAAACTGCGCTGATTGTTGTTCCACCGGGTTTTGTTCTCAAAGAATTTACCTCATTTCCATCTAGCCATCGCTTGGTCGTCGCCGAGAAGGTCGCTAAAATCGAGAGGAAAGTCTTCCCTTCGAGTGAAAACTTCGACTACGACATTGAGCTCAAGAAGAAGAATATCGGCCTGCTACTAGCCTTCAAGGAAGGTGAACCCGACAACTTGGTCGCATATCTCGTGTACCAGCGGTTGAAGAGGCAGGTATGGCTGCATAAACTGTGTGTCGTTGAGGTGCGAAAGTCGCTGTCACGAAGACTCTTCGAATGTTCTAGCTGACATACGGATAGTAAGTAATCAACCTTTAATAAGATACTCCTTAGAATGTATTAGGTAGTATTCTTATTCCAGCTAGAAAGTGCTAACCCTGTCGCTCCTTGAAGGGAAGAGAGGGGCAAAGGTCTCGGTAAATTTTTAATACATTCCCTCAACCTCAAGATGAAAAAGGGAGGCTGTCAAAATATTCAGTTGTGGCTCGACGAAAACCGCAAACCGGCCAGAGCCCTGTACGCTTCATGCGGCTTCCAGCAACTCGAATACCGACCTGATTATTACTCTCCAGGGCGACCAGGCCTGAGAATGGGGCTATTTATCGGATGATGAGCGCAGGGGTGGTTTTACTCGTTGCTACCCTTGCGTTTTTACGTAGGAAGCCAACGCTTTCAAGTGATCGGGTTCACGATACCTATACAACTGCGAAGCAACTCAACGCGCAAGTTATACATTTCCTCCTGCTCCTTGAGTGACTCACGAGAGCGGTGTGCTACTCGAAGTCACGTATGCTGAGGTGGACATCCCTTGCTGTGACAGCCCCCATCCTTCTTTTTACATTCTTTCGCCATTGCCTGGGTGGAAATGTAAGGAATTCCCACTTTGACGCGACTTCGCGTTACGAGCGCGATCGCAAATTCCTGCTTGCTAGGAACAAGATGGCTGAGGTGACGAAAGGCCTTTAGCATGTCTGCTCCGTCATCCTCTTCCGCAAATCCGCTCCTGGATCTGTCGCGATGGCGGTTCTGCTGTAAGAAACTCTGAACTTGCCGCTAAACTATGCTGATAAGATTTACAGTGCAATGGCAAGGCTATTCATATGCATCGCCTTTCTGGTCGTACTGACCGGGGCGACTCCGCAGGTGAATTATCCACTGAACCTACAATTTCCACCCGTTGCGCGTGTTGGAGAACAATTCAACTTTCAATTCGCATACACGACATTCTCATCGGACTCCGGCAATTTGCAGTACTCATTGATTGGGAATCCCTCTTGGTTGTCGCTGGATTCCCCGAGCCGAACACTTTCTGGAACACCACACGCCAGCGATGTTGGAATTATCAAGTTTACAATCACCGCAGCTGGACAGGCAGGGACTGTTGCGAATATGGAATCGAAATTGCTCGTTTCAGCAGACGATGCTCCAAGAACAAAAGGGAACATCTCAGCGGAGCTATCTACGGCCGGCAAACTGTCAGGGCCCCAAACTGTCACCCTCAACCCTTCGAGCTCGTTCAACATCTCGTTTTCGTCAGATACTTTTGGTTCGCCGAAAAAGAAGCTGTCTTACTTTGCGACTCTTGCGGACCGTACGCCACTACCCGCATGGATAAGTTTCGATGCCTCCTCAATACACTTTGCCGGCAGTACGCCCCCATCACAGTCCCCACAATCTTTTGAAATACTGCTCATAGCATGTGAAACGCCCGACTTCGCTGCCTCTTCAGTGTCGTTCACTATGGTCATCAGCAAACATAGTTTATTCTTCGACCCGTTCAGTCAGGCTATAAACCTGAGCAAGGGAGATGAGGTCCGCATTACCAACCTCAAGCAACAGCTCTTCTTGGACGAGTCGTCAATCGCAGACGACGAACTCCAATCCATTACGGCGGATCTACCATCATGGCTGACGCTGGACAACGATACCTTTGAGATCGTTGGGAAATCGCCTTCCAACGTAATGTCGCAGAATCTTACTGTGACCGCCAAAGATCAGTCTGGAGATACCGCTGAGCGAACCATCAGCCTTGTCTTCAAGTCTGAGCTGTTCAGCAGTGAGATCGGCAATCTCAGTCTTACGGCTGGAGAGTCTTTCGAGCATAAGATATCGCAATCTGTGATTGCAAAAGATGTCGAGAGCGTGACAGTTGATTTTGGGTCTCTGGCAGAATATCTACACTTCGATCCCACAACACTCGTCATCTCTGGCACAGTACCACAGGACCTTCCCTCTCAGGATGTCGAATGCTCAATAACGGCGATTTCAAGCGATAGCGCCCAAAAGGATACTCAAGCTTTCCATATCGAAGTATACGAAGCGGGACATGGCTCTCAGGTCACTCCATCGAAGGCTGGAGCTGCGGACACGCAACAAAGACCTGACAGGAATAAGGATAGCATTATAGTCGGATCAGTCATCGGAGCCGTCTGTGGTGCAGCTATACTTCTGATCTTTACTCTCTGCCTGCGCCGTAGGAAGCGTAATATGAAAGACTACGTTGATCCAAAGGTTCCCCGGAGTCCGAGGAAATCTGACATCTCCCGGCCTATGTTCATCCCATACGGATGGCCAGACCTAGAAGAAGATGCAGATGAAGACCTAGAGAAGGGTAAAAATGATCACGACTCTTTTGTGGAGCGAACACCGGAGCAGCCACCTAAGCTAGAAGTCGATCTGGCCCGGGACCATGGGGATAGCCATTCGGTGGGTGAATCGATTGATGACGCTGACACAAGGATTCTTGACATATTCGACGAGTCTTCGTGGGGAATTCAAAATGACATTACTCCCTCGCAGCACCCCCATGATTCGATGAAAATACCCACAGAGCTAGCAAAGAGGGCGTCGCAGAGGTCAGACACGTTTCGGAAACATAAGCGACGAACAACGACAGTATATCAAGATCATATCCAACGTAGTTCTGGTCTGCCTGTCAATCGTCGTATCACGGGAATGGGACATGGACGCCACACTTATTCTCCATCTAGGAGCAACACCATGTTCTCGCGATCTTCGATGCGCCGACCACTAAGCATGAATTCCGAATCGACAACAAGATGTACAAGTACTTGTTCAACGGCGCCATCAGCATTTCCTCAACCACCCGCAGCACGAAAGCACACGACAATGGTGACAACACCTAGAGAAGAACGACGCAGTATTCGCATTGTACCTGCTTGCATGCGTAGTAGCTTAACTGATCGTCGCACGGACGACGAGAGACGCAACTCTTATATTCGAAAACGAGCGTCTGCTCAGTCACCGTTCTTCAGCGCAAGCACGCGTGCATCCTCCTCCAATTATAGGTCGCCACCAGCATTCATCGCCGAAGCGCAATCTTCTCCTAGGGTTGCATTATCTCCAACCACACGTAACACTATTGTCAGACCGAATGATGATGTGGTCGCAGGTAAAGAAAAGGAGATACCTCAAAGTTTACGCGTGGTAAAACCTTCAGGCACTCAAGCCGGGATTTCAAAGCAAGAGTTTCCTGGGAGTCTCCGTACGAATAGAACCAACCGACCCTGCACAGCAATAGCAGCAAACCGTGACCGTGTCGAGAAAACTTCTGGGTCGCGCACCAGCTTTGGCCGTCGAGCAAGCACACGGCAAAGTCTCCGTGCGTACGATCTCAAGGCCACCTTGAACGACCTTACCGGTATGTCAAATGCCTGACCAGCACCGGTAAACTTCAGAATTGTACTAATATCGCATGTAGGCAGCAAGATCTTTGAGGATGTTGAGATGAGTGATAGCGTCTACTCTGACGAGGAGATTGATATCGAAGAGGCCGAAAAGCGAAAGACAGTCAAGCCTGGCCAATACACACTACCGCCATTGAATCTTGACAGAGTTGACACGGCGCGTAATAACAAGCGGGAGAGCGCTGTAGGAAAGAGTAAGACTAAGCGCAACAGCAAGAGAGAACTGAAGCGCACAAATGAACGTGATCCAACGCCATATTATTTTGCGTCCAGTCACGAGCACGGCGGCAAGGAGAACGCATCGTCGACATACACTCTCGGGCATAGGAGCTCCCCCGTGCGAATAGAAGTCAAGGGTAAAGCCAGAGCTGTGACATCTCCTGAGCGCACCAAGGCATCAACGGCACGCCAGTCCAAACTAGCAAATGAAGCACGAACAAGCGTAAACCGCACCACGAACGAAGGATCTACCAAAGAACGACATTCTCGCAAGTCGATACACTCGCGCTCACAATCTCGTCAGTCTGGGGGTATCAGCGTCAAGAAACCACGCGATCATTCACGCACACAATCGTCCGCATTCCCCCGCTTTGATGCTACAATCTTTGAATCGATAGGTGCTGATAACCGATCCAGCATTGGCAACGCCATTACGACGGCAGCAGATGCTGTCTGTCTCCCGGCATCCAACACCAAAGCCTCTTTGATCATGCGTGACTTGTCGGGGAACCTCACGTTTTACGGTGGCGACGGCGACGAGCCTACGATAGAGGAGTTGGGGAGCAGCAGTATTGGATTCCGCACGTCCAATGGCCGTATAAACAGCGTTGCGCAGCGGTCTCGCCTCGCATCCCTCCATCTATCATCTCATCATGTACCCCAAGTACCCCCGAAGTCGTCCAAGCGCGAGACCGTCATCCCTGTTTCTACGTCACAACACACCGCTAGTGTTGGACTATTCCCGCACGGGTGTCCTGGGGATGAGAAGGAAAGGAAACGCACACCATTGAATGTGGTACAAGCTGAGAATGCAGCAACGCCAGAGCCAGATGAGCAGCAAGTTCATAGTAGGAAGACGTGGGGGAGCTTGAAGGGCATTGTGGGAAGAGGGAGTAGGTGGGTTAGTGGGGGCTATTGGGATAAACAAGGAAAGGAAGACAAAGTTTTCATCTAGGCGGAGACAAATTGTGTTGAACTGGATTAATTCAGGGAAACATGTTCGGCATCTCGGGACCAAAGTAGATATCTTCAATCATGACTTCATTGATCATTCCAAGAACACGACGCCAATACTATGCACCAATACCATGTAGCAGCCCATTTATCTACAAACTCCCGAGTCAGAGTACCCTAGTAGCGCCTTCAACCAATATCCGTTATAAAATATATCCTCGTCCTGAAGTTTAAAGCTGGATATCATTGTTCAGCAACCGCACCTCCTCGCCAGGCTTGAACGCCGGCAGCCCAATATACGGACACCCATCACATCTAAACGCGTCTCCCAGCGCGCAATTCCCACAGCTACCAACCTTGCCTTGTATGGTAAAGTCGACCTCGGCGAGATCATCTTCGTCGAGCTTGAGGGAATTGAGCGCTTTGTCGGCGGCGGAGCGTTTGGCGGCGTCCTCGGCTTCGATTTTCTCCTTCATTCCGCACGTACAATCTTTGCAGGCGCGTCGTCGCTTTCCGGCTTTGGGGCGGCACTCCGGTGCTGTGCGTCTGTTAGCAGTGGATTTTGCAACTGTGAAAGACAAGGAATGACTTGCGTTGAATGATTGGCCGTGCCATGTCCTCTTCTGTGATGAGATCGTCCTCGTCGATAAGGTCGTCGTCTTCGCCTGTTATGATTGGGTCGTCTAGGTCGTCGCTGAAGTCGACAAAGCCCACACCAATAGGCTTGACGGGTTCCGGCTTGTTGCGCTTGCCGTTTAGATTGAGAGGTACTGAGCCGTCTGGGTTTACTAAGCCATTCATACCGTTCACACCATTCGTACCATTCATGCCGTTTATGCCATTCGTCTTCTTCTTGCCAAACTTCAGAGGTATCGAGACAGGTTCCTCTGGCGCTGGCTTCAACATGCCATCCGCCGTCTCAGTGAGGCCCGCTAAGATTGCTTCTGTCTTCTCTGAGCCTTGCAAAGCGCCAGCCTCGCTCTTGAGCACTCCTCCGACCCTCAAGGCGCTAACAATGTTGTTCATGACATCTCTTGCCAGTAGTTTGTGACTCTCGCGCGAGGTGCCATCGGCGTCGGTGAGGAGGAGGACAAGATCGTATGTAGAGGCGGGCAGATTGACCAGACCGGCCGCGATGCGATCCAGCATCTGGAGATCTGTATAGGACCGATCATGGGCCTCGAAAAGCCTGTCCAAACGTTCTGGGTGGGAGGAAATCGAAGGCGGGGCGCAGATGAGCACGCGAGAGGGGGCCATGGCGGGGTAGTTGGTTCTGCAAAATGGGCAGGAAGGGTTATCGAATGTGGCGAGCAGGCTGAGGCGCGTGTAAAATGTGTGTGTGAGGGTCACGGAGTGAAGGATGGCACCAGGTGATGAGCAATCAGTCTGGAATCGCGTTCGCCAAACTTTTCTAAAAAGAGAGAAGCCGGCACTCGGACTTGAATGGGGTGATTAACTCAGCAACTATTGGTCAGCGCTGATCGGTCAGGTGACATGTGCGAATGGATTCTCGCGGCTGTTGTCCGGTTTGACCGGGTCCCGCTTCCAGCGCCTTAGTGTTAGCTTTAGCTTGGATGAAACCTGGGGTAAAGGACGCCGCAAAGGCACAGGACCGCCAACTGCTACTCCTCAAGTCAGCTTCTCTTGATGGCTGTCAGAGCGTGTGTGTGTGTGTGAAACGACACAGCGAATCGCAGCGAGAGAAGTGGATGCTGCTGCAAAGGGCCCTGGGCAATTGGCTGCTGGGAGCGATGCTGATAGCTACTTGTGATGCCGCATACCATACGCCGGAGTCAGGTACGCATGACGTAACTTGTCCGCGCCGTTCCTCATCCTCGCTGCTCAAGAAGGACGATCCGGCTTGTGAAAGCGTTAGGATACTGCACGAGAGCCAAGACGGTGATTGCTACAAGCTAATAAGAGCTGACTCGGAAGCTTTCCAAGCTTCTAGGAAGTTTTACCGCGTGTGACTGCTCGTTGTCATCTAAACGGCAGCGCTTTGCCTTGTTGACCCCGCTCTTGCGAATGAGCACGCGAGTCTCCCTTTGTTCGACGACGCACCACCAACCTCTCTAAAAAACTTCCACTTTGACTCTCCGTCCATTGCTGTGACTGACATTGCGTCCGCCACATTTCTGCAAGGTACGAGGCCACTTCCCGCTTCTCAAGTGCTGGTCACGATGCTCCGACATCGTGGGTCAGGGGTCCACTTCAGGAGCATCACGAGACCTTTGACTGATCCGCTTCAGCTTCCTACAGTAGCTCCGAACTCTCCGTTCCTGTACTTGAACCATACATCACCCAACTCTGACCTTGTTTCATCTCACCCAGCCCTCACCCAGACTCCTCCATCAACTAGTAAGCCTTCCCGTCCATGTAGTTCTTTATAGTACCAGCCTGCATTGCACTGAGCATGTCTACAACACTCCAGACTCCGCAATGCTGCGCAGAGGCTCATACCACGTCCCAGTCGACAGCTCCTTGTGTGCTAACCTCAATCAGTGACTCGTTCCCACAAGTTCACTGACCGCGACCACGCCGGCATTGCTGAAGGCACTGCTGAGCGTGAAGCGAAGCTTCCTCGATACTTTGCGAAATCAGGCCACGGCGATACCGATCCGACCAAGACCAAGAAGGGTGGCAGCGGAAAGGGCAACTGGTAAGTCAATGTTCTCGTTGCACATCCTCTCCCGTCTCATCATGTCCACCGCACCTTCACGTCACCTTCGTGTGGGAGGAGGCACTTTCCGTCGGCCAATTCCACCCAAACGGTCTGCCTATCGCTTTTGATATACCAGAAACTAACACACGTTACTAGGGGCCGTGATGGCGATGAAGTCGAAGACATTATGCCCAACATGGCCAATGCCCGTCGTCGAAGCAACTCCTCTACCCACAACATGAAGGACTTCAAGACCAAGTTCGAGACTATCGAGACCGACCCAGTCTTTGAAGAGGAACTTCATGGCCCTCTCGGTGACGAACTCGAGAAGCAGAGCACTACCTCCACCGACAAGAGTGTCGAAGAGGAAGACAACGACAAGAAGTTGTAAACCTCGGAAAGGGGAGGATAATTTGCGATGCACATTGTCTTTAGCATGGCTGCTAGTTGACTGGATAGTCAAACTGGTGGGAAGCCACTGCTGGAACATGATCTATTCGATGGAGACACTGTTGTCTCCAATTCAGATCAACAGCCTCCACCATCTGTATTATGTTTCTCTGGAAGACCTTACCTTCTCAACTACACCGTGACTGCTCTGGAACAGCACTCAGGGACGGGACATGGTAATGACGGCGTCTTCTTTTTCACAAACGGGAATCTGTAACGAATATGAAAATAATGAATCAATCTATAATTGGAGAGCGAGTCTTTCCTTGAACTCCCGTTGTTGCATTGCGATCAACCTTTTATATGATGCTTTACAGGTGCCTTGGAGATGCATCTATGAGTAAAAGCACAAAGCAGAAACATCCGTTTGTTGTACACGGACTGAGGTGTGCTAGTAGCTGAAAATTCATCATACAAGGCCGTGTGCAATGCCTAGCCGTAAGAAGGACTCGGCTCCATGTAGCCAGACCACTCCATGGTGAACGTGTTCTTTGTGTGAACGTATACAAAGGTGAGGGTGAAGTGGATCTACCATCTCCGCGTTTCTTGGCGCGACCCGACCCCTGTCTGGAGCTTTCGAAAACAGACGCATTCATAGTCTAGCTTAACCCTCGACAACGCAGCGAAGAGCCAACATCATCGGCGCGCTCTATCGCGTCAACCACCGAATTTCACCCCTTCCTCCGCTATGTTCTCGCCAGAGGCATCAAGCCAGAGCGCACGTAGCTCGCTGCGCAATCCCCGGCGACGGCCGCGCAAAGACTCGGACGGCCTCCAGCAGCATCCCCGACGCAACAAGCGCAGCAAACTCAATGACGAAAGCTTTCAGGCTCCAGCCGACGCGCACGTCAACGGCAATGGCAGCGCATCAATGAATGGTTATGCTGTTCAGAGCAGTGTCGAGAACTCAGTTGTGCTTGTCGACATGCCCGTCCGCGAGAAGAAGGCACAACCGAAGCGCGCTCCCAAAGAAGATCAAGGCCTATATCTGGTGGGTGCATACGGTAGTCTTCAAATCTGACCGTCACTGACAAGAGACATTGTATAGACCAAGAACGCGAACTACAGTGTCAAGAAGCTTCCAGGGTTTCCGACAGCGCTCCTCCGCCCGTCTAGTACGCTGCCAGCATCTCCATCTTGATGCGCGCTAGCTAACAAATATCAACAGCTTCATTCCATGCGACCGCCCTTTCATCCGCCGGCCTCGCGCTTGCCCTGACCTTTGACCGCGCTCTCGTGTGGGATTACAGCGCCGCGAACGGTCCTACCAAAGTCGTCTCCTTACCCCTACGAGCGTCCGATCTTCTACCTCTAGGCGCTATCGTTCGCAATGGACCCACCAACGACTTTGGTGTCGTCGCAGTCGCGCCCTCCACGGGCAAGATTACTTTCTGGGAGAACATCGACAACGCCGACACCCAAAACTTGTACCCACAACGCCAACAGGGAGTGGATGGGGTTGTGAAGTTATACTCTGGAGAAACCATAACCGATCTTGTGGACGCTGAGCATGCGGGCTATGTTCTAGTCTTGAGCAGCGGTAGACTTGCCCAGCTGACCCTTCGGGACTCACAGGGTCGGCCAAGCATCACTACGACAATTTTGAGCGCTCCCAATGGCTCCGGCGGTAGCTTCTTTAGCCTCAAAGGGCTTCTTGGAGGCGCGATTCGAAAGACCGTCGCCTCGGTCAAGGCTCGCCCTTCCGCGTCCAAGGGTCATATGGAAGTCATCTCAGCAACGCGAACCGGGTTATTCCAGATTTGGGACTTGAACTGGTCTGGGCAACATCGTCACGAGCGCGACGTCAACGTGCATGCCGAGATACTTTCAGCAGTACAGGCAAACATTGCTCCCGAGGTCCGCAGCCAACAAGATCTTCAGGTGTTGGACTTTGCGATAATGGAGCAGCAGCCCACACAAGAAGCTGTCAATCTTCTCGTCCTAGTGGCGTTATCTGGAAGAGGATCGCTCGATTACTCTCTCCTGGAGGTGGATTTATTTCAGACAGGCGGCGCAATCAGCAGGGCGATACCGATCCGTAATTTCCACCAGCTTCAACTACCGAAAGAGCCCACGGGCACTCTCCTACTTCCGCAACCTGGGCACACAGCATACGTCCAGTTTCCGGGAGCCATATTCGTCGCATCTCTTGCGCAGCCGGAAGAAAGCCCCGAGGTTCAGTTGCTCGCAGATTCTGGACGATCCACATTACCCTTCCAGGATACTATCTACTTCCGCGACGATCTCAATGTCACTCTCTCTGGCCATGCCCTGGAGCTACCAAATCGAAAAGATGGACGAGCTACCGCTCTCATTTTCGTTCAAGAGTTTGGACTGTTGCAAGTCATTGCACGAACGCCTGTGACGACCGACGAAGACAAGGAGCGACTACAGGTTACCGCTCGCAGTAAGCTTGAACAGGCTACATTCTTCAGCACCATTCCCGGAAACATTCTGGATTTTTCTGTCCGATCACGCTTTTCATTCCCGGAAGATGAAACCGCACAAGCTGCACTAGACATCAGCTCTGGCATTCTCAGCTCGTCATACAACAATCTAGAGAAGGTTACCTCATCCATGGATGATCAATTCCGGAAGCGCGCCTTTGCACTCCACACCTTGATCTCCCAAATTCGATCCGAATATCCAGCCCTATCCTACCAAACAAAGTGGCGGCTATTATCGCACGCAGAAAAGCTTGCGGCTGCGCACAAACTATGGAACTGGTACCAGGACAAGCTACAAGATCAACAAGCCCATCCTGATGCGTATCCGGAAAAGATACTGATGAGTGATATCATCCGGGCTTTGAATGAGCGGTACAAGACTGCCATACAACCTGAGCTTGGTGAGACAGACACCATTCGGCAGTTCTTCCTCAAGGATGTTGATTCGCTCAACATGCTTATCCCCTGGGGCTGGTTCTACTTGCGAACTTTTTATATGAAGGAAGGAGCCAAAGAACAGCCGTCAATAATGCAGAGGCTAAGTGAAGGGACCGATGTCATGCTTGTCACTTTAGAGTCGGCATTCGAGTTCCGCGAAGCCAATATCGAGTCATATGGGCTTGACTCAGAGTCGCTCGATGACAGCATTCTCAAGCCTGCACATGGTTACGATATGCTGCCGCACTTCTGGACGTCCTCTCATAACATTGTTAGCTCAATTCGTAGTCTTGTTGATGTGGGACGAAACCTTGCAGTAGAGAACTACGAGGAGGGATATCAGGAAGTCTTGGCCCAGAAGATTGGCAAGGACAACTCCCGCCTGGTCAAGATAGGCTGCCAGACTCACATTGAACGATTTCAATGGGCTCTCGCTCAGAGTGACGAGAAGACAAGAGATATGGGTCGCAGCTTGAAGGACGAGTGGAACACTAACGTTCGACCAGCGCACATTCTCGGACTCATGGAGATTGGGCTAGCCACCGATGGCATGAAACTTGCGGAGCAGTATCGAGATATGCCAACGCTCGTCAACTTGATCTGGGAAGAGTCGAATTGGCTCGAGTCTGAAAAGGCAAGCACCCGTAGTAAGATGGAGCAGGCCGAGAGCACTGTCAAGCTTAATCGGATCAAGGAGCGCATCAGCCGGTACTTTGAAATCTATGGAGACGAATGGGCTGGAGCTTTCTACTCGAAATACATCAAGGAAAACCAGGCAGCACAGCTCTTCGTGAAGGAGTATCTCAACCAGCCAGCGCTAACGAAATTTCTCCGGGCAGACCCATCTCGCGCCAGGTTGAGGTGGATCAACGAAATCTGTGGCGAAAAGAACTACGAAGGCGCCGCAGCGTCCTTGTACGAGGCCGGCTCCAAACAAGAGACCAATGCCTGGTGCCAACGTGTCGAGCTTTCCATGGCCAAACTTGCAATGCTCTGCAAAAAGGAAGCGAAAGGTGGCGAGGATGCGCAGCCGACGACTGAAGGGCGCAAAGAGAAGACGAGAGCAGAGAAGGTCCGTGAACAGCAATTTCAGAGCATCGAGCACCAACTGGAGTACACGAAAATCCAAGAAGAAATCTACGACCGCCTAGTTCCTATCATCACAGGGGCTCTCGACGATGAATCTGCAGTTGAGCTACTCATGACGGAGTTTGGGCAAGGCCGTCTCAAAGATCGGCCTGCGCATCAATCCATCCTCAAGGAGGGGTTTGAAAACCTGATCCATCACCGAGTGGTTGACCCAGCGCTAATGGTTGACATTCTTACTCTGATGAATACGGATGAGAACGAGGAGATTACGACGCTGTTACAGACCAACGAGTTCAACTTTGCTCTGAGGGTTCTCATCATCAACTGGCATAACATCCACCGCACTACACGCGATGGTCTGCTTAAGCTTGTCTGGAAGCGACTATGCATCAAGGATAACTGGGCGATGATTAACAACACCAAAGACATCTCGGATGCCAAGCTAAACGACTTTCTACTCTCTACGGCTGTGGGATGGACGTTCCGGGGTCTCTGCAAGATGATTGGTGAGTCAAGTCTCTGCTTGGTGAACAGCAAGGTAGCTAACGGATTCGCAGCTGAAGACCCATTCTCCAAGGTTGCGTGGCCTAAGAAACTGGCCGATCTCGTAGGCGCTGGTGGTACACACGGAGAGCTCTGTGTTCGGTTCGGGTCTGAAGACCTTCGCGAGCCAATCATCAAGGACAACCTTCTCGACGACGATATTCTGCGCGAAGACCTCGAGAAGAACCGGCTTGATGCGTGGTTCACGGCAGCCTGCCGAGCAGGCAAGAAGTCGTACGAAGCGAGCACGAGGCAGGGGAAGCCGCAACACAGTGCTGGCGTGGCAAATGCTGATGGTTCGGCTCTTCCAACCAACGGCAGTAGTAATGAGGGTGCAGCAGATGAGGCAGATGTGGAGATTGCGGCCGAAGCTGCTGGTTCAGACACGTTCGAAGGTGATGTGGAGAGTATCGCGGACCAGGACCAGGATGTAGACATTGAGATGCAGGACTCGTGAGGAAGGGCTCGAGAGGGGAGTGGCTAGCCATTGAGGTTGTAGGGAGTGTACTTTTAACTTGGATTGGGTGAACTGCATGGGGGATAACCGGGCAAGCATTGGGCACGGCGTTTCAAGAACAAGCTTGCAGACGACAGTCGCCTTGTCTCATTTGTACATGTAGTAACAGCGCTTTGGAGTGCAGCATGCGCAGTCTGAAGTGATGGTACATGTGTGTGTGTGTAAATGCACAAGTTTTGGGCCAAAGGTGGATGTCAAGATGGCGACGGCACGTGACGAATCGAGACTCTTGTTAGTGGGGGGCGGGATCCACTTGGGGAGAAATCAACGGTGGTTCCTGGATCCGTGGCTACGCTCGGAGATGAATGTGGCTTGAGCGAGAGGGCCGAAGTTGGACACGCCCAATCGAACGGCCGGGACAATTGGGCAAAGAGTGTCAAATTTCCTCTTTTCCTCTGCCAGGTTGATTTGATTAGCCTCTGCCACTCTGTCACACCAAATGCCGTTGGCCGAGTGCTGCAAGGCGGCGCAGCCCAAAAGCCACCTAGGATCTACGCATGGACAGGAAGACGATGACAGCAGCGGTGTGGCTGGGCCGAAACCTAACTTGAAGTAAATACGAACAAGTCACTATGTAGCTTTGCGAGGAGCGCCATCACGTGTGCCGGTTCCTGAATCAGAGCCAGCCATGCATGTTCATTCACCTGCCCCATTTGCCGCGCGTGTTTTTTGTGCTGGCGAATTTCCGACCGACGTGTCACCAAGCACTGAATCTGAATCATCTGGGCGAGGGCACGCTGTTGTGTTGTCCATGGGTGTGGGCCCCTCTCTCTCCCCCCCGATGACTTGTTGTTGCACAACAAAGGGGAAAACCCCCCCGAGTGCTGTCTGCTGTCGTCTGGCTATGCATGCACTCGGCTCCAAGCAGGGCAGGGCGGGCTGGTCTACTACTAAATAGCGCCCCCCCAGTGCAGCCGACAGGTTTGCAGGGCCGCCGTGAATTGCTAGCTAGCGGAATCGGATAGGCTAAGCGCATTGGAAAGGAAAGGAAAGGAAAGGCGCCAAGTCGACCGCACGACCCATCCCAGCCGCCGCTGCCCTTCCCCTTCTCTTGACGTGTATCTCTTCAACCTCGAGTCGATCACCTCTTCGCACCCATCCACCCACGCCCATTCTTCTGCCGCCCGCCGTGAACGCCCCCCTCCCATCTACGGCTTGCAACAAGCTGCTGCTGCGGTACCCACGCCCTCCCCACGACGCGCACTCGCGTTCGCCGGTTGACATAGCCCCCAACCCAACTCCGGAGAAGGGTTGCGGCTCCGTCCTGTTCCTCCCACACCACAAACTGCTATCCAACTAGACGCGAACAGCAACCAGACACAATGGCGAGCGGCAGCACTTCGTCCAACGTCGTGGGCGTCCACTACCGCGTCGGCAAGAAGATTGGCGAGGGCAGCTTCGGTGTCATTTTCGAGGGCACCAACCTGCTCAACCAGCAGCAGGTGGCCATCAAGTTTGAGCCGCGGAAGAGCGATGCTCCTCAATTACGCGACGAGTATCGCACGTACAAGATCCTTGTGGGCTGCCGTAAGTCCTCTTATCCTTTCTTCTTCTTCTCCTTCCTCTTCGTCGTCTTCCCCTATTTGAGTCATGTTCTGTCGCTCGAGCTGCCATCAAGGGCGTTTGTCTGCAACATTGTGGAGCTGTAGCTTCATCTGTGCATGCAGCTAAACAAAACGTCCTCGCTTGCCTACCGACCTCCGTTGCGTTGGTTCGTCGTCGCTGCGTATTGGTGTCTTCGATCAGGCATCAACAGCTCCATGCAGGCACATCTACATACACATCCAGGTCACTACCCACCAAGAGCACCCGCTGACAATGAATAGCCGGGATCCCTAATGTCTATTACTTTGGGCAGGAAGGCCTGCACAACATCCTCGTCATCGACCTCCTCGGTCCCAGCTTGGAGGACCTCTTCGATCACTGCAACAGGAAGTTCTCGATCAAGACTGTCGTTATGGTAGCGAAACAGATGGTACGTAATTCCCGTATGGCTAGATTACCGACTGCTCACGTTGTTATAGCTGTCAAGGGTCCAAACCATTCACGAGAAGAACTTGATCTATCGCGATATCAAGCCTGACAACTTCCTCATCGGACGGCCAGGCTCAAAGAGTGCCAACGTTATTCACGTTGTCGACTTTGGCATGGCAAAGCAGTACCGTGATCCCAAGACCAAGCAGCACATTCCCTATAGAGAGCGGAAGTCTCTCTCTGGTACAGCTCGATACATGAGTATCAATACTCATCTTGGACGTGAACAGTCCCGTCGAGACGATCTCGAGGCCCTGGGCCACGTTTTCATGTACTTCCTGCGAGGTGGTCTACCTTGGCAAGGCCTGAAAGCTGCTACCAACAAGCAGAAGTACGAGAAGATCGGAGAGAAGAAGCAGACGACCGCGATCAAGGATCTGTGTGATAGCTTCCCTGGTACGTTTGCTGGTTTCTTCGTTGTACTCAATACTAATATCAGAAACAGAGGAATTCAACAAGTATCTCAGCTACGTTCGTAACCTCGGCTTTGAAGATACGCCCGACTACGACTATCTACGCGAACTGTTCACGCAGGCTCTTAAGAGCACCGGAGAAGTCGAGGACGGAGAATACGATTGGATGAAGCTGAACAACGGAAAGGGCTGGGAAGTCCTAAAGTCTCACTCGTCAGCTGTGCAGGCTATGCACCACTCAAACGCCAACCAGAACTCCTCAATGGCCGTAAACCTCCAGGGTCAGCAGCACAGGCAAAACAAGACCCATCTCCCCATTGATCACCACCGTTTAAACGAGCCTCTCCCAAAGCCCGGAGCGACTCGAGCCCAGCCCGGAAGAAGCCCGAGAGACATCAACAACCGCGATTCGCAAGTGAAGAGGAAGAGCATGGGAGAGCTCGCGCCACCGGAAGGTGCCTCGACGCAGGCTCAGTTCCAACACAGCCAACCTAACCTGGGTTCAACGAACCGTGCTACACCAGTAGCGAGTCCCAATGTGCAACAGCAGAGGCGACAGGAGCCTGAGAAGCCTAGCTTCATGCAGAAACTCTCCAACATCCTATGCTGCGGCGCCGGCAAGTAGTAATTGCGGCTCGACATGTTTTGGTTTTGTTACCTTCGCGTTGCATCCTGGAGTCAGTTGTTTGAGCGACAGTTTTTCCTCTCGGCCACATTTTCTTCCTGTATAGGCATCTTGTAATGATTGATAGACGGAATCGAAAATCTCCTTGAACGGCTATGTTAGGTAATACTTACGACCACCACCGACCGATCGATCGATCCACCTCCACACCAGCCTGGTATCCTTCTCTTCGTCACCGTCACCATCACCATCATCTTCTACTTCACCTTTGCTCTCCCGCGTTACGAGTCTACACCAGCTGGTAATTTTGTGGAGTGTGGCTTTACTGGCGTATGCGGCGTTGCAGCTTGGGAAGATTGAGTAATTTGGCATATCTCATTTTCGTTATTCGTATGTCTGTTCTGGATTGAAGAAAACATCGCATGTAAGGAGTCGCTTCTGCGCGTGAACACTGTATTGTGCGTACAGAGGCGGATCCTGGTTCCTGTCTAGATTGGGGTAGTGGAGCGAATACAAGAAACTCACTCCATGTCTTCTCTTCAAATGTCTGCGTTAGTGTTGTCTGTGTCAGTGTCTGTGTCTCTGTGTGTTGTGCATTCCTTGCTTGATTTGGCAGTATGAGAAAGTCCATGTCAGACTGAGCTGGCAGGAATAGGCCCACTGATTTGCATGGAATTAGTGTTCTATGCCCTCATATGCAGGTTGCTTGATAAATTGGGTATCCTCATAGGGCATTTCCAGTGAGAAAAGTGATGGTGATTCCCTGTCTTAGCACGTGATAGCTTTGCGGCAGGGTTGCACGAAACCAAGAACCACAACTCCCAAGCTCATCCACGACACCCCTGCAAACTCATCACCCGCACCCTCTCACAACTATCGCTCATCGCTGAACCGACTGCCACACAAGCTGCGATGGCGTCGGGACGCGATGTGCGCGACATGCTTGGGCTACCTGCGGGCGCCGACGTCCCAAAGGCAGCGGTACAAAAGCGACCGAAGCCAGCGGGAGGAAGCCGGAAGATACGTACGTTCGGAAACTCTTACGTCTATCCCTGGGAAATTGTCAAAAGGGCGAGACTGACTCTCATTCGACCAGAGGGCGTTGCGCGTGAAGTTGCAGCGCTGTATGGCGAACGGCCTCCTCCCGTCGCGGTCTACGAAGAGAAGAAGGCATACCGGGCAAAGCGGCAGAGCACAGGGCCGGCTAAAAAATGGTACAGTATTTGCGACTGTACGGTTGCCGTCGCAGAGCTAATTTGCGTGTCATTAGGGTACAGCAGCCTTTTACGAATCCAGCGCGCCCCGACGGCCTCATTTTGAAGCACTGGCGGCGCAAGCCTACGGCCGCTCCAGCCGTACAAGAGAGCGAAGATGCAGCAATGCAGGATAGCGAGAACTTGGACGCATACCTCGAATCATGCACCGACTACGTCAAGTACGATATCAAGGTCGACATGCCTACATTCACAGACGAGGAATACGATGCACAACTACGAAGCGACGACTGGAGCCGAGAAGAGACAGACTACCTCTTTGAAGTGGTGCAGGACTACTCATACCGGTGGGCTGTCATCTGGGATCGCTACGAGTTCGAGCCGTCCAAGAACCGGCAAATCACACAAGATAATGCGAATGCCGATCAGGAACAAGCGCTGTCTACCCTCCCGTTTGCGCCCTCCAAGAAACGTTCTGTCGAGGACCTCAAGGCCCGGTTCTACGAAATCTCAGCTAAGCTAATGAAGTTGCGCATACCTGAAGTACAAATGGACGCCGACCAGTACAGCACGTATGAGATGCTCACCAAGTTCGACCCAGTCATGGAGCGAAATAGGAAGATGTTAGCCACGGCACTCATAAACCGAAACATGGACGAAGTCAAAGAAGAAGAGTTCCTCCTCACAGAGCTCCAGCGCATCAACATGGCAGCCAACCGCCTAGACGCCGAGCGCGAAGAACTCCGATCACGACTCGATGCACCGCCGCCGAACCAACAAGTGTCTGCCGGTCTTCAGGCATTCACGTCATCACAGGCCCTACAGGCCCTCTTTCAGCAGTTGTTCCAGCAGGACAGGAGCAAGAAACGCGCCTCAGGCGGCGGCACCGGTCCCGGCCGACTCAGTCTCTCGGCCAACGACATGGTGCATACGCCCGGCTCAGCACAACAACAACTTTCGGCAGCAAATAGGCGACAGAGCATGGCGCAACAACCCACCGCACAAACACCAGTCAAACATCTGTCTCCGCATCAAGAGTACCGCTTCAACGTCTCTACGCACGACCGTCTTACATCCGGTGTCACATTCGGCTCTGATAAGCTCCTCAAGATGCGGCAGGCGAAGTCCAACGTGCAAACGCAGAAAATCGGCACAATGCTTGCGAGTCTGGGCGTGGCTGAGGTCATTAGTATACCCACAAGCAAAGTGGGCGACGTGTTTGAGAACCTAATCACAAAAGTCAGTAAGCTTCTCGATGTGAGAAAAGTTAGAGAGAAGGAGGAGGGCGAGTGTAGAGTGCTGCTTGCTATGAAGGAGAGACGCGAGAACGGCGGTAGCGCGAGCGTGGAGCCCAGACCAAAGCAAGAAATCCCAGACTCGCAGGGGACGCCAGATGTCGACGCCGACGGCGAGAATGACGATGAGGAAGATGCTGAAGGCGACCCGGAAAACGACGAAGATGAGGATGATGCGGAGGGAGAAGAAAACGAAGATAGAGGCGGCTTCAATGGAGAAGAAGATGCGGATGAGGATCTTGACGTTGATGCGGAGGGCGAGGATGAGAGTAGTAAGCAGCAGAGTAGAGCAACGAGCATAGGGGGAGCAGGGCACAAGAGGAGTGCGAGCGTGTTCAGCCAGGGGAGTCAGCAGAGTAGTAAGAGACTGCGGAAATAAGGTTTGTGACTGGGAGTCCAAGGAGACGTGTCTGTTTGCATTAGCGATGGCGTTGGTAGTTTATGTGCTAGAGTGCCCTTTGGGGTGCTCCCCCAAGATATAAGTTTTTCAAACTATCAATGATACCTTGACACTTGTGTCGATACCACTTAGTCCTTGAATCATACTTGTTACAGCCAAGGATTTCCCTACGTCGGTATGTCGAGTCGGTAATGTAGTCGTGTGAAGTTTGGTTCTCCACGCGTACCCCGCATGCGCTAACCTACAAATGTTAACCTAGGTAAACAGTCGTCAGCCTCAAGACAGCTTACTGTCCAAGGATTGAAGTTTTGTTTGTCCTCCTGATTCTATCTCGACCGAGGACAAATCAACAGTGACCAGAAACTGCGATATAAGATAGGAAAATGATGGCTCTATTTCAACCAAATGCTTCGGAATTCCAGACTTTAAAGTCAACACCAAAAACTATTGTCATCACAGGCGGATCATCTGGCATTGGCCTCGCAACCGCACAACTGCTCTCGTCTCTCAATCCAAATCACAACCTCGTGCTCATCGACCTCCAACAACCGCCTTCAACATTCAACCACAACCCTGCTCGCCTACTAGTCCACACATGCAACATTACGTCTTGGGCAGACCAACGGGCTGGCTTCGAAAAGGCATACGCTAGATTTGGACGTATTGACTGCGTATTCGTCAACGCGGGTATCGCTGAGCACGGAGAGCAGTTCTTCAACGACGAGCTTGATATTGACGGCAAGTTGAAAGAGCCGGATCGAAGGGTGCTGAACATTGATATGGATGCCGCGAGTGACACTACGAAACTGGCCATCCACTACTTGAAGAAGAATAGGCAAGAGGGGGGTCAGATTGTCTTGACGGCGAGTTTGGCGGGATACCTTGCATCGGCTGGAGCGCCGCTGTACTCGGCTGCAAAACATGGTATGCATCTACTTGCTCCCTTCTTGACTCTACGTCTCTTTCAAAGACCAATCGACTGACCATCTGATCACCGTTACCCCCATCCTGATAGGCAACAACCGCCGCATGAACGGCGCTCCTGCAGAAGTCTACGCCGCAGAAATGGCAAAAATCGGCGTTCCTATCAACAAGTCAGAGTCGATTGCGCTAGCAGTTTGCTGGCTCTTCAACGGAGGGAAGAGTGCAAATGGGGCGGGTATCTTTGTGCAGGCAGATCGGTTTGTGGATTTGGAGAGAGGACTGGCGAAGACGAGGGAGCAGTGGATGACGAAGGAGATGTTGGACTTGTTTAGGGGAGGGAGGGGGGCCCCGCTGTTTGCAAGAATTGAGGAGGGGACGAAGTCGAAGATATAAGGAGGGCTTCCCAGACAGAAAGAAAGAAAGGACATTTAGTATGAAGCGTCGAACTTGTTCCGTAGATATGGCTGAAGAAAGAGCTTAATCATAGAGAGAGATACACATATTCCAGATAGTCATACTAGGCATCAGATAACCTTTTCAATAACGAACAATGCCATTGTAAAAGAACCATGAATATTGTTGAATATCGCTGAAGATGATCGTGGTATAGCTGACAAGGCTCATTCGAAAACACTTGTAACTACGCCACTGAATTGTTACTTATTCATAGCGAGTGTTGTCAGTGCAAGGGACGGGAGTCGGACGCCAAAGAAGGGAGGGACGCGCGGGTGGGTCGGTCTAGCCGGATTGGGAACGCAACACCTGGTGTTTCTCGAACTTGGACTTCGAGCTTCAAGATTCCCAAGGGTTCAGCTCACACAAACTCACCACTCCGCGCATCGCTCAATTTCTCGCGGAGTCAATCGATCTGTCGACATGTGGAAACCAACTGTGTTACTCGCTGCTGCGCTGGCGGTCCCAGCACAAGCGCTACACTTCTTCATGGATGGTGCGACTCAGAAGTGCTTCTACGAGGAATTACCCAAGGACACACTGGTTGTTGGTACGCTACACCCTCACTCTTAGAGCTCAAGATCTAGCGCGGAACAGCAATGGTATATGTCATTCCAAAACTGACACACCCTTCAGGCCACTACCACGTCGAAGCCTGGGAGGACGCGACCAAGTCCTACCAAACCAAACAAGACGTTGGCGTCTTCGTCACGGTCGAAGAAACCTTCGACAACAACCATCGCATCGTCGCACAACGGGGTTCTTCCCAGGGCCGCTTCACCTTCAGCGCTGCTGACAGCGGACAACACCGCATCTGCGTTACACCCCAGAACGTCCCAACCACAGGCTGGTTGAGCTCAGGTCTACATGGCACGGTCAAATTTACACTAGACCTGGCGATTGGAGAGACAAGCAGGATTGAGAGCACGGACAAAGATCAGGTCGAGACGCTGGTGCAAAAGGTCAAGGATTTGAACTCGAGGTTGCAGGACGTTAGGCGGGAACAGGTCTTCATGAGGGTATGGGCAGCAAAGTTATGCTTTTGGTTGAATATGACTAACAACTTGCACAGGAGCGCGAAGCCGAGTTCCGCGACCAGTCCGAACACACAAACTCCCGTGTTGTCCGCTGGACACTGATCCAGCTCGCCATCCTCGGTGTCACTTGTGCCTGGCAGCTATCGCACTTGCGAGCATTCTTCATCAAACAGAAGCTTACCTAGAGATCTGGAGTGCTTGAAAGCGAATATAGTGCAGCAATAACCTCAAAACGAGAGGGTGGGCAATGTGCTACTTTGGGCCCGGTGCATCGGTGCATTGTACTGTAGGATATGGCGTTTGAATCCGGATGGGCAAGTTTAGCGTTGGGCTTTCAAATCAAGCGAGACATCTTGTGATGCAAGGTCTGCTTACACTCTCAAGCGCGGCGGTCAATATACTTGTGAAGGCAATTACCAATACGCCCAGGTAAGATGCTATCTCAAGAAATGACAAAACGGATGCCTCCCACTAAACTAGAACCATGCCCATTCACTATTCACCAAATATTTGCTGCAAAATTGGTAAGTCACATACACTAGGAACCAACTACTCCAGCACAGATGCTATGACGGGACCTTGCGCCAAATGCAACGTTGAAATCTATGGGTCCATCTTTAGTTCTTGAAAGTAAGTAACCTTCTCTTTCGATCGGTGCTCTGGGACAATCGTCGGACGGACTTGGCCTCTCTCAAACTCTACTTACGCGGCCCCGGATCCGGAATGACGAAAGTAACTACGCTTGAGATAGACACAGGATCTGCAGGGCATTACCGGTGTCCTCTTTTTGTAGTTCTTGGGCGCGGAACTGTCTTGGGGCTGTCTTGGCTTTAATGTTGTGCAGGATGTTTGAAAGTAAGGTCAGCACTCGGATCCGGACGGCCTACGTACACCTCCCGCCTCTCCCACCATACTCCACAAATCGTTGCAGTCAGCTTTGCCAAGTACTTACCGGAACCGGAGCATCAGCCTCAAGAATCCATCTCGTCAACAGAGTTCAGCAAAGAGAGCAATCACGACTATTTTTAGCACAACCACGTCTACTTCTCAGCCTCCTTGTCAAACAATCATCATGTTCATTAGAATAACGTATATCTTCTCTACCCCAGCTAGCTTTCAGTCACAACTCAATGCCGCGGACCAGCCTACGAGCATACTGCACAACACCAATCATCGACATCACTACCCGTCCATCTAAACCCACGCCTGGAAAGCGCAAGTCCACAAAAATTACCAGAAACACTACACAAAGGTTGCAACAACGGCACTATCGTCATGCCTCAATTCGCAGACCTCGTCCGGCACTCAGTCCTCCTCGCCCGCGCCAACAACGATAACGACAATGACAATAACAATGACAACCGCCGCATCATCGACGATGACAACAACAACGACTCCCGTAACCACCGCCGCCTAGAAATCGGCGTCATAGTCGCCATCGTTGTCGCCGGTCTGGCGATTATCGGCGTAGTAACTGCGCTCTATATGAGGAGGCGAAGGAGGCAGCAGCAGAGGAGGACGGCGCAAGCCGAGCACGAGTTTACGTGGTATGGGGTGGACGACGACGAGCCGCGCAAGGCGAATGAGGTGGCGCTGGAAGTGCAGGAGGGCGGTGTTGTTGGTGCCGGTGGGAAGGCGAAGAAGGTCGCCTTCGCTCAGGAGGGAGAGGCACCGCCACCGAGTTATGAGATTGTTGTCAAGAGTTCGCCTAGTCCTTCTAAGTGATTGATTAGAACGAGACGAGCATGGATTCATGGTGCTGTAGGTACGGGAGTGACTGTCTTTGGGTTGTTTGAACGAGTTTGTTGTATGTTCGCGGAGTTTAGGCGCATGCATTGTTATAGAATGAGGCATTATCGTCACGACGGCAAAAAACTCGTGTCGTCGGGGTCCTATGTGTTCTCCCTGCTTGACAATATCGCATTATTTTACTTCTGCTCTGTTGGCTTCGCAGCGATCACTTCCACGGATTTTTCATACGATCTCACTTAGTTATATTTCATTCGGTAGCTTTGTATACTATGAAAAGCCAGAGAGTAAAAATAGAGTAGAAAGATGAGCATAATTATAACGAACATGCAAAGTATAGCGAGCCAAAGAGAGCTTCCGTAGCTTCACTGGCTTGTGTGTACCTTGAGTCTATACAGCGAAATCGACATTTCTAAACTTTCCATCTCTTCGAAATTAGTAAGAAGTATGCTGGTGGTCAATACCCCACAGGCTCCATGATGCAGCCGCACTGACGTCACGCATCGCGGTGTTGAACTCCAACATAGCTGACTACTTTCCGATTCCACCACATACAATTGAAGACCAAGCTGACACTGATTCTGCGAATAAACGCAAATACTGTTGACTTACCACATGCAATATGGCACAAGTCGACATTCATTAGATCTCCATCAAAACAGCTCGGCGTCTGACAGTTGGCCTGACTAAAACGCAAACCTCGTACCATACCATGTGGCCGTAAGTGGCTTGGAATTGAGGCAAGTGAAGCGGGAAATGCCCACTTTATGATGATCAAAATACAGCACATGATGTCTCATTATTGTCAAAGCGATCTACGAAAGAAGTTACGGTGTCACGTCGGCGACTAGGAGGGGGTATTCATTGGTATACGTAGGCTCTTGTTGTGGGCTCCAACACCAAGAGAATTACATTGAACTTTGCGAGCGACGTACATCGGTGTGAAACGCACCACTCGATTCTCACAAAAAAAAAAGAAACCCCACCTATTCTCAAAATACCATCCCCAGTTCAGTGACCCACAGAATACCATTTACCTCAAACATCATGACTCCACTGCCCGCGTAAGCATCTGCAAGCCACGTTCCAACGTGATCACGACTTCCGAAGCCCTCTAGCCATCTCCTACCTTCCTAGCACGCACGTGAACTACCCCTTCCCCCTTGATCCCAGTCACCCAGCACCACCATGCCCATATCCGCCTCCACAAGTCTCTCGAGCCATATCACACGTACCATCGACACGCCACCGCCTCTTTTTCCCACAAAGTCTCTGCTGGCCGTCAAAAGAAAAGGGCTTCCCCACCTCGCTTACACGCCACATGCATAGCCAACAAGTTTCAGCCCTGTGATACAGCATACACTCCTCCCCGCTTCCGGCCACACCAGCCCTTCACCGATTATTCGCTGGGCTGGTTTTGGGCTCTGCGGGTGTAGGCGAGGGTGGGCTGACCCGCAGATGACCAGATTCCAGGTCGTCGGAGCCGGAGGATTGCACGGCGTACGTCTCGTCAAGTCTGCCGCATGCGGGCCAGACGGGGCGAATAAGAGATGAGGAGGCTAATGTGGGATACTGGGGGGAAAAAGTCTTTTTTCTTTTCTTTGGAGGGGTTGGTATGTTGTGTCACTGTTGGGGGGCGGAGTTGAAAAGGCATGCCGATGCCGGTCGATCCGGCGAGTGAGTGTTGCTCTGGTTGATGCAGAAGATGAGGGGAAGTGGAAGATGGAGGGTGGAAAGTAGAATTCTGTGGCTGGGTGTCAGATAGATAGTGTTGAAGATGCGACTAGAGAACTGGTACAGCTTCTGACGTACGGTGGTGAACCACCATCTCGTAAGATCTGTGGTGAACAGCGTAAGTGCAACCCAGCGGCACGAGCCGTCGCTCAAACACTCGGGGTACAATGCTCAGCATTAGTGTGGGGTACTCGTTTTTAGTTGAAACCTTTGGCTCTAGAATATCATGACAGGTAGTAGACGACGACATGCAGGATGTTCCGAAATGCATGCTCGCTGCATGCGTAGGTACGTATCGTGCGTGAATGACTGGCAGTGCTCCTTTGAACCGCCAGGCTTGCGCCCTGCGTCTTGACGATCATATCTGCGCTGAGTAGGTATCGGCGAGCAAAGTCTCTAGTTCCAAACTTAGTAATTCAGCACAACGAGAACACTCACATACGGCTTTGTATGTGAGGTTTCCCACCATGCCTCCCCTAGTCGAATACATGACGATCACCTGTAATGTCGATCTTGCCAAAACAGGTCTCTGACACTTGGCATGTGACGAATCTCCATCAAGCGGCATCGTTGTACAAAGTCAGCCAGCACTGCCTTACTTCAAACGCCTGTCGTAGTACAAGACTAGGGCCTCAGCGAAGCGACCGCCAGCCCTCGCGCCCAAGGTATTACGAAAACCCGGTCAGCGGCCCAGCCACCTCCATTTAGTTCGATCTTCCCAGAGGCGTCTTCTGGACGTGAGATCTCGCGCCGGCACGATGGGAAGCATGAGACATGGCGTTTTCTAGATGACGGTACATTTGGGGGTTGAACTAGGGCCAGGCAGCTGATGAAGAGTTTCGTCACAACTAGAGCGGATAAGCCTAGATTATGCCGAACAATGGCGTGATGCAAAGGCCAGAGTGTACAAGTGGAGTACGGGACTATGCATCTGTGTGCGTTGTGAAGATTCGAGAAAGGGATCATGTGCTAGTCGCTGGTGCGATATCGGGTCACAGACTGGGTTGGCCAGCCATTTCCATCACCGGCCGCTTCGCTGGGGGTTGGAAGAAGAAAAGGGAAAACGTGAATTGGGAGCAGGCTCATTGATAAAAATTGTTTCTTCATCCGACCAGGACATTGCCCTTGCGGAAAAACTAAGGTAAGGTACTCGAGGGGAGCCCTGTCGTCCCACCTGCCTCTCATCAGGTCCCATGGCCACTTCCACGTTACCAATTAGAGCTTATCAATATTGAAACATTCCAAGAAAGTAGTCCTTATCCTTCCCTAGGGTCCACCACAGATGGACCCACGACTGCGCTTGCCCCTTCGAATCCCATGCAAGGATGAGAGGTATAGCCGCCGAAAAAAAAACAAGAGAGCCCCTCTTGATAATGACAAAGGAAATATAGGAAGAAAGATTGGCTAGACAAGCCATCGCTGCGTCAATTATCTCGTGATGATGCTCGCTTTTGTTGAATCCGGATCTTGTTGACCAATCCCAAATTGGTATCTCCACCACCCCGATGAGTTCAACCCCGTAGATATCCTCTGAAGGGATGCGCACAGCCAGATGGGCCCCTGTACTGCCTATACTAGGATAAATCTTCTAAGTTTCGTTACGGTGACAAAAGAAATTCGTAAATATTTGAATCGAACAAGTGACCGTGGCTCGAATGATGGAGCCAATATGGTCATACAGTCAAACTTTCGTAAAACCCCCTTAGCGCATGCAAAGCGAAGCAGTAGTACAATCGTGCAACAATGGGTATTAATGACACACAAATATGGACAAGAAAGAAGAGGAAGGGGCGCGCAAACCCGGGGTCTAGAGGCCTCGAACTGTGCCAGCCCGTGGAACGAACAAGTCGCTAAGGAACTTGAAAAACGCACGCTTGCGTGACGGTGTTTGGGGAAGTAGTGCTGCGGCTTGTTGCATAGGGCCCACGATGTCTTCGTCTCCTAGCTTTGGAAACTTGCCCTCACTCTTTGGGTCATTAAGTGTGGGCATCGTACTGAGAGGTCCTGGCTCGGTAGGCGAAGTTGGTGCTAGCTCTTGGCCGATGGCCGCTGCGTGCGACTTTGCTAGATCGTAGTTCTTCTTCCACTCGGCGTGAATCTCTGCCCATTTCTGTTCAGTGAGCAGATAGTGCTTCGAAGTGACGCCGTAGTGCTCCGCGGTCCGCACTTGATGCTTTGCGTAATTGTGCTGCGCTTGCTCCCAATCATCAAAATGCTGTGTGACTGTGGCAGCATTGCACACTTGAGGTACATAGGGCTCAGGAAGGATGGTGAAGTTGGCATGACCCAACAAGTTGGCCCATTTGTCGTTCGGGTCGGCGAGCATCATGGGTGGTATATCGGTGGATGACACCACATAACCGGTCCTCGACCCTTTGATGGATGCGATTGATGGTTTTGATGACAGAGGTGGAGTAGGGTAGCCGCGCACTGTAGGAGTACCAATGGGTGTTGGGAGTAGAGACTGCGTTGAATCGGCAACAGTGGGTGACTGAAGTGGCGATGATGCTGGCAAGTCGTCGTTGCGACAGTTGACTAGTAGTGGAGGCAGCAGAGGAGTGGTAGCATATCGTCGCTCGGCATCGACCTCTTCTACACTGATGTTCATAGCATTGGCCTTCTCGACATCAATCGCCATGGGTGTAGGTGAGTTGTCGTCTAGCTGTTCTCTGCTTGCGAGGGCAGGCGTGGAAATCGGCGAGGAGACTTCCTCGGAGAGATCGATGGTGGAAACATGGTGGATGGAGCCAGCAAGTGATGACGAACGCGTGGACGGGACTCTTGACGGGGTTGCGCTTCGCGATACCTTGCTGAGGGTTGAGCTGCGGTCTCTTACTTTACGCGAGAGCGAGGGAAAGCGCCTCTCGAGCTTGCCGGCGATGCTATGAGCGGATGCCTCTAGGGACCGTCGTCGCTTAGCTTGGCGTAGTTCCGAATCGCAATGGGGGAAATATTCGTCTTCTAGGTCATAAGCTCTGGCTATACGGCAATCCTGTGTGTGGCCATCAATATAAACATCGCCTATCAATGGGTTAGTTTGGAGTCAACTTTTTGAAACCCATGGGTTGCGACTTACAGGAGCAGCGACAAGGATCCGTGCTAGGGTAGTCATATTCGCGCTCGATAGGCTCCTCAGTAAGCTTAGGCAGCTTTCCAGAGCTATTGGGCGGTTCAATGGGTTCGTGGGTGGGCGGGCTCGACGAGAGTGATGAGACGGAGCTGGGGAAGCGAAGGTGCCCACGCGAGTGGTAACTTGGCGTGGGCGGAGTGGAGCATTCCGAAGCCGAGTAGAAGCCAGAATCTGTGTTTGAATAGACGGACGAAGTGGGCTCGTCAGACATGGTGAGAGAGCTTTTGGAAGATTTGCGGGCTGCTACGAGCTTTGGGAGAATGAGCGGTTTGAGGTCGTGCATCTTGTTGGTGTTTGTGAGATTGGCGATGGGTGCTGGGATCCCATCACCAGCTTAAGAACCCACTGCGCGCACAAGTATGGCCAGCTAATTGCCGTCCAAGAGTGCTGCTTTGGGAGGAAAGGCGGTCGCGGGATGTTTGAGAGTGCCTGGGAGGGTGCCACGAAGCAGGACCACGTAGGTAGCTTTTGGCCAGTTTATCCTGCAAAAGGCTATGGGTGCAAAAGTCAGCGCCCGTCGGCTGGCACGCCCAATTCGGAAGGCACGTGTGGGCTGGGATAGGTCGCACTCACGGAGGGCGTGACGGATCCAAGTGCAGCGCAGAGAGTCAGAGAGAGACAGAGAGAGAGGGTACAAGCGAGAGACAGCGCAGCGATAAGGCGATGTCAGGTTGGTTGGCAGCGAGACTGACGTGGGCGGACAAGGCAGACGGTAGGTTCCAAGAGGGATGGGGGTGACTTTGACCATTTGTGTGTGGGTAGCGACCGGGAAGGCGCACGGCGTCTGCGCTTTGGGGTGTACGCCAAGCAGCCACCATCAACCGTCACCCTCGGCTGGGGCTAGAGACCAAGGGGATTAGCTGGACGACGGCAGCTGTGAACTGCTCCCCGGTTTCAAACGACTCATGTCGCCTGGCCTGCATCGGTACACAAGACGGTGACACTTGGTTCGCCCTGAGGTGTAGTCTCGGCGCAAAGTTCGCACACAGGGGCGCTGTTGCTTTACAGGCTCCCCCAGCATTCAGGCCGCTGTTTGACTACGCTATGGAGCGTCGGCTACGCTGATGCAGCAAACAAGCAGAAGCCAGACTCTACCCCGAACTCAACAGGCCTGGACGCCGAGTTTTCTTCCCCAACGAAAACGTGACCCGTTACCGGTGGAGGCGTGGAGAAAAACATCCCTGGCCCAATCCACTCGTGTTGAAGAAAAAGCTTCTGAGTAAGCGATGCAGGAACAACGGCTCCTTCACATGCTCCCATCGTCGTCAGTAAGTTTGCCATGGACGGATGGATTGATTGATTGGCACGTGGTGATGATGACCTCTCATGACTGTGAATTGCTGGAGGTTGTCGAGCTACCGGCACTGCGGTCCTGATGAGCTGTCAACCATTCGGGCATGCGAGCGCAACCATGGCAGCGAATTGACATAATATGGGGCGGTGCAGGATTATGCCTGGTTCGACAGGTTCTCTACCATTTCCCTTTTGGGCCAACGACACCTTCTCGCCCTTTTGCCGTGTCGCAGCTATGACACCGACAGGCATTCCTCTGGTAGCTGCCATGTCCTTCACCCGCTCTTTTCCCGTCTCACCCCAGGGACCGATTGGTCCAAGAATCAGGTACGAAATAAAAACAAACATGTACCCACTGCCAGCTTCCAAGCACTGATTGCTATCTTGGTTTGATCTTGTTTCGACATTTCGTTTCGCATAATGATTCAATGGTCTCGAGACGATGATGGGGTTATGACATGGCGCGCGAAAGGGTGGTGCCCAAGGAGGTTGGGAGAAAAAAGCCATCGGCTTCCGGACGAGTCGGGAAAACTGGTGGCTGCCAGCCGTTGAGACGGACGCTGATTGGTCATCGGCCCCCCTGCCGCGCTACTTTGCTTCTCTCTCCCCCCTGGACCCTTGTCTCCTGGGCTCGGATCTTGTTCGCACGTTTCGCTGCAAGCCTCACACCCTCACAGCCAGCGCATCGCTAGCCAAAGGTTGTTCCCATTCCTGTTCTTCTCTTACACACGGGTTCCTGCAACGGCGCATGCACCTCGCCATCCGTCACCAAACCGCCGTGGAGGCAATGCTTTTTCCAACGTTTCGCAAGCATGAACAACTCTGATATCCAAGCAAGGGAATCTCTATGCCATCGAGCCCAGCAGTCAAGGTTTTGGCAGAGAGACCTTGCCTATTACTGTAGCGCTAGTGGGCAGCATCGAGTTGGGTGACAGGCTGCTGGGAAAGTGGGCTGAAGCCACTGGCTCAGATCATGACGAAGCTTTCGCCATTAGTGTCGGTCCGGTCTCAAATTGGCAAGCGACCGGCCGCCCCATCAATCTACTTGATTGCTAATGGACTTTCATCTGCCCTTGGGTGAAGAAGCGACGGCCCGGACAACTTGCCCAGGGCATGCAGCGCGGGCGGGAAAATAACCGTTTGTCCTTCAACGTTCTACGTGCATGCAGAATAGCCGGTGAGCATGTGCTCATACAATAGACATGTGGAATGTACCTTTTTTGACCGCGCATCTCTCCGTCCTTTCCCAGTGGGCCTGAAAACAATCTGCATCTTCCCAGATGAAAGTCCTGTAGTCATGTAGTGAGGCGCACGAACATTGCGACAACAGAGAGTGTGCGTGGCACCTGGCGGTCGAGACCTCACAACGTGGGCCACTGTGATTTAGTGGTTGCTGATCCTTCTCGGTCCCAAACTCATGCCGTTGTTTGACCGAGATCGCTATCGATAACGGTTGACATCCACGAGCGTCGCGTGGGAATAGTGGGCCGGACTAGAAAATCGCAGTCCATGGTTCTACCCATACCGGTAGAATATTGCCGTGGACGCTGCTCACATAGGTCAATCCGCCAGCATGCTTAGGGGAAGACGATGACAGTAGAACACCGAGTAAGCAAAGATTACATGTAAAGTGCGGGGTCAAAAGATCGGTAGCCATGTGTTCAGTAAGCTGAGGGCTGAGACTAGAGCTGCGAGCATATACTCGCTACGATCCAGCAGTAGCTTGCAGAGGTTTTTTCGCCAATCGCGATCGCCTGGACAGATGGGCTGCATCGAACACGGCAAGTCGAAGAAAAGCATTGTAATCGTCGATACTTTGCCTCTAGGGAGATCCCAGCTTGTCCCCCTTGGCGGAAGTCTCTTCGAATCAAACCCAATATTTGCTCCATAGCTTCTTCTGCTCTTCTGGGCCCTCAAACTTGCGCTCGGTTAGCCTATACTTCTGCGCCAAAAGCTGCGACTTGTAAGCCACAATCGCGTGATACATACCTCGAAGTCTACTTTGATGATATCTTCGAATCCTTCTGGTACGCTAGGCTCGCGATATCTGGAGGCGAAGCCATTGAACGCGAGCTTCGGTAGGATACTCCGGCTCTCAGGGTTCGTCTGTAACATGTATGAGCATCAGAGTTTCTCAGCTGTCAAATCGCCTTGGCTGCTTCTCGACCGACGCAACTTCCTCATTGGGTGGTACAATTGTAATAAACAAGCAGCTCTGTGTCAAAAGACTCGCGACGGTGGTGGGCCGAGGCGCCTAATGTTGGGAAACTTACTTCTGGGCCAATATTCAACGCGCGAACCGTGTCGTTGTGCTCGCAGAGCTTTGCTGATGCGGTGAAGAGTACACATCGGATAGGAATGCTCAGCTTCCGTGCTAACGCGATCCACACTGCTCGTGTCTCTAGATCGGCGTTCGTATTGTCTGGCAACTTTAGCCTACCAAGGTCTTCATGCGGGTGAAGTTGGGGTTCCGAATAGACTGACCGACGACTACTGGGATACCCTCATCAATGAGGACCGTAGCTGCTTTCACGCACTTTTCTCGCTGTTTCAACAGGTTACTCAATGTGCGTAGAGGTCGCACAACACGTGCATTCCCGTTACTTCGAGAGTACGCAATCACTCACAGTCTTCAAGTTATCTTGGTTCACACGTCTATAGCCGAGTGGCTGCAGATGTTTCCAATAGAATGACGACTTGCCAGATCCAGGGCTACCGCAAAATAGAACGATGTCGGAAGTGTCGGGCTTTGTGATAGTCACAGCTATGTCTAAAGTTAGTAAGAAAAGAGGTTGGGCAACGTAGCGCATGCCTGATGATCCCCCAAACGTACATGCAGATTTTGGCTTATCAGCCTGCTTCTGAATGTACGTGATTGGGTCGAAGCTTCTCACGAAAGGCCTTGGGTCCTCGTGAAGAAAATATTCCTCGGGAGTATGAAATGGCAAACCGACGTTGGCCGCGAAATCTCTGACTAATCTTAGTATATTCCTGCTCGGCAATGTAGGAGTTGCATTTCCCACGAACCTGTCGACACATGAGTGATCCTTTCCGGCCCCTCCCGCACCTGCATCGCGACCTCCAGCATCCCCAACAAAAAGAGAGTTTTCTAGATCGACAGAACTCGCGCTGTCTAGGTCGTAGTCCTCGACTAGCTCTTGCCACATCCCAGTCCGAGGTTTCCGGTACTGATCTCGAGCTGTTGCAGCATACACGTAGATTGGCAAGTCGAGCTGATTGAGAACTGCTGAGACTTTGCCCTTGAAGTCCGCCAGTCGCTTTTGGTCAGACTTGACAGTCTTCGGGTCTGGCTTGAGACTGATTCCACCCTGATTACTCACAATGGCGATGAGAAAGCCTTGTTCATGGAGCTCTTTCAGTTTTCCAGGGACACTGCTATCCCACCACTTCCAATCAGTGGCGTCCCGACCGAAAGTTTTCCCAGAAGCGGGCTTAATTAACGTTGAATCCTACGGAAATGGACGTCAGTATCCCTCTCACTTATACAAATACCGTTGCAACAGAAGAGAGCCTACAAAATCGAACGCCGCTACCCTCCTCTTTCCTTCCGTAACGCCCTGTGTAGTAGTCGAAGCACTGTATCGGCCAACAAGAAGGCTATCTTTGACAACCCGCCAGGTCATCTTCTCGGGCTCTTTCCTAGATGTAGGGGTGAAGAAGTTTGCGACTGCTTTGCTTGTCGTTGTCGACTGCTGTCGCCGCTTCGATGGCGGTGGTGAGACGTCTTTACTGTTCGAGCTTGGCCGCTTCCCCAGACCTGGCCGTGGAGGCATCTTCGAACTTTTGCTATTGCTGGGACTGTCGCATTGGGGTGACGAGTTGCAGCATTGAATGTGCTGTTAGGTGAGGTCGTCGCTTGCGCCCACCCAGCAAACGCGAAACACGACCTCACGAAAGCACGTGCTTGGCCAAAGCTTTACAACTCACTTGACAGTCACTTTGCGATGTCAGAGCTAATTTAGGTAACATCACCCTCTTTAGGCAGAAAGCGAATCGGAAGGTACGGCATCGCTTGCATAACAACCATGTAGATAATCACGTTGAGAAAATCGCTCAAATGTTGAAGCGATTCAGTTGATATTCACAACCTAACCAACACGGGATGATGATCAATGCAGTGCGTCCCACTCTTCGACCTTGACCATCGCACGAAGCCCAAATAAGCAATTGAAATTCAGTGTCTGCCTGCGAACCTTGCCTCCTCTCTGTGCGCTCATGGTTCCGCTTCATGCGTTACGCTTCAGCAGAGAGTTTGATGCAAAACGAGCAAGAGCTAAGATTGGGATCTTCTACGACTTGCCTTCCTACCATGAGGCGAATGTGCTTCTGCTGGCACTTGAATGTCTGTATGATCGGTCTCAGCAGCGCATCTTTGTCTCCTATGGCTGCGTCGAGGTGTCATGCCTGCTTTGGGTTGAGCGTAGTCTTCACACAGCATACAATTGCGAAGCTCAACGAGGTCGGGCTTGAGTGTTGGCAGCAGGAGCGTGAGGCGGTTTATATTTGACACGAGTGTCCAGCGAGAGCCGGTCTGGCAACGCCAGCTCTACACAGCCCTTCATCTCCTTTTGGAATTTCTTAAGCTCGCTCACCCCGGATTCCAGCACAGTCGAGTTATTGAACTCATTCACTCGTACTTTGGCTTCGAAGATGTATGCACCACTGGGGTCAAGAAGTTCGAGGGAAGAGAACGAGGGAGGGGTGACCTTGGGTGCTTCTTGGAGGTTGCGGACGCCGGGCTCGTGCAGTACGCGGTGGAGGTAGATGACGACGTTGCCGTGTACATAGCGGTGCCCTTCGACATAGTACTCGGTGACGAAGCTGCAGGCAGATTAGACATGTACCGAGAACCACAAGGAGTCTCTCACGAGTTGGGGCCCGATGCCATCATGAATGCATGTGGATCGCCAGAGAGGAGGTCGGTCGTATTCGTGAAGCGTATGGATACCCCTCTGTCACCAGTGTCTGGAACGTCTTCAAACAGCATGGACCACACTGGCTCTTGTCCGTCGTGTACGTCGGCGGACAATGATTTTGTGTTCTCATGCGGCAGCCCAGCGTCTATTCCGAACTCCTCCTCAGACAGCCTCTGCACAAGCTTTGTGTAGTGGAGGGCAGGGGCTGCCGTCTGCTTAGTCTGCTTGACAGCAACAGCCTGGGTACCGCCGCGGCGCAGATTCGAGCCTGGCTCCTCAGGCTCACGCTGGGGTTTGTAGATGATGCGCCGCTCGACGATGCGGTGGGGTTGCATAGCAGCAACCCCCGCTAGAATCTTCAGGACCTGGTCATGGCGGCCGGCGGGGACCTGTCCATACAGCAGCAACTCGTGCATGGGGGAGGAGGAGGAGGAGGGCTGGAGAAAGAAACGGAGGGCGGAGCCGCCTCGGAGACGACAGTATCGATATGCAATATTCGCGGGTCAGCGGGCGGAGGTCGTTTCGTGGGGTTCGATAAGGCGGGCGTGACAGGTCGCTATTACTGGCGGGGAGCTGGATTAGCGGGCAAAATTGCAGAGTTGAGAGAAAGTTGGCGGGCTAGAAGCTGCAGGAGCAAGGGAGCTCTGGCCTAGGCGTGCGACAGAAGCTGGCAAAAGCACGCAACGCGTGCGGAGAGCAGACAACCACCCTGGCCAACTACCCACCTGTTGTCGAAACTGGCTTAGACACGTAGTGCAAGCGCGGCCATCTCAGTCGATTGTGGGCAGAGGCAGACTCACTCTGTGCGAGTTTCCGGATTAGTGCGGAGTGCTGAGCGGCTTCGGCTTTATCGCTGCTGCCGTCAACGTGAATAATATTTATGCTTCATCATCACGCCCGGCTCCCCTCCACCAACATCCTTCACAATCTCAATCCTCCTGCTGCCGCTTGCGTGTGCTCTGCCCTTCTCTGCACTCGCCTCTCAGTCTCCAAATCTCTGCGCAACTGCACGTCCTGACTGCCTGCCGAACTTGGATCCCTCCCGCTCCCTCCACACCACCTCATCCATCCCACAATGAACGCAACCAAGGTGCTCCAGCAGGGTCGCCAGCCCATGATCCGCTTCCTAGGCAAGCGCAGCACTCCCTCCAGTATGTGCCCCGCCTCAATCTATACTCACTCCAATGGCTAATGTCCGTCTGCAGAGGTCGACCACACTCCCCATCCCCACCCGGCTTCTCCCACCCACGAGCTGCCCTCGTCTTTCGCATCCTACCGAAAGAAGGCACAGCAGCACGGTCCGCTCAACACAGTCAACAGTGCCGCCATCGGTGGTCACATTGGCGGCGCAGCCGGCAGAACCCTCGGCCCCATCGAGGCCGCAAAGGGCATGTTCTTCGACCGCTCTGAGCTCCCCGAGCGCTTCCAGAGACTTTCATGGACACAGGCAGAGATTGATGCAGTCGAGTCTGGCGGTGCCAGCCAGTTTGCGTAAATGAAAAAGGCCACACTGGATCAGGTAAAAGGACTACACCGGTCGTGTCGGACCAAACCACTGTACATACACACGCGCGCCAGGATGCAGAGATGTATTATGAGGAACAGCGAGGAATAGGTCAGCAAAAGCGAGATGGACTGGGGCTGCTTTCGTTATATACCCTTCAAGACTGACATCTGGGATGAGGATTCATTGGGAGACGCCTTTCGGCTGGGCATGTATGAGGAGCACTGTATGGCGCTATGGAATGCTACATTCAACTTGCCCATAGAACACTCAATATCAATAAAGATATACATATGAACACGCGACGCTCTACATGGGTAAAATGTTCAATCATGCTGTATACCGTGCGATACGCTCCCTGCTGCTAACGAGCAAACTCCACAACCCCGCAATCATGTCCTATCCACGTCCACCCCGTCTGACAAATTCACATGGCACTTTCATCACACCATCGATCAAAACGACTCGCGGACCTCGCTCCATCCACTCACCCGGAGCTTGTGCGCAGCTCCACGTGCTAGTCGGCCGCTCCTCGGAGAGGTCCGATTATCCCCAAATTCGGCCCCTCGTTTGGGCTTCCACATGTGCAATGACCAACTCACGACATGTGCATCGCACAACGTAGGCCAGACGCTGGTGAGCGTTTTGCAGGCAAAGAAATCTTGCTTGCGAGTCGTCTTTGATAGGCTGTACTTCTTACTGCTTCTGGCAGGTCTTGCTGTTTGCTGTCGAAGGTAGCACTTGCCGGCGGTTAAAGATGGATTTGTTGAGGGATGATGTAAGGGAAGAGTGGGAGATGAGAACTGCATGTGAGGTCTCGAAGCGTGGCTGATGGGACCCCGGCTGTAAGAAGGTATCTGAGTGTGGACGACGGTGGTAGCAGTTGTATCGGGGGAGATGATTACTTTGTTTCAACTCTACAGTAACTTGAGGGATATAGGTACCAAACCTAGACTTCCAGTGCCTAGCTAGCGTCTCGTACCTAAACAGGTGAAGCAAATGCGTCTATTCATGAACGAGACTGAGTGAATATAGTTCACTAGCAACCTGCTTATACAGGGCCAGACTGCGTACCAAGTAACCTACGACTTGATATTAAAACCAGCCCCCAACAAGGACTTGCATTCCGGATAACACCTTCGAGCACCTAGGGCTTCAATCAATAGCACAAGTACGGTACTAAAGTTTGTCTAGTAATCTTGTGCATGCGATGCGAGTACAGTCGGCACCAGGGGCGTGTAAAGTGTGGCAGCTTTCACCCCGGCTCAATCGGCCTTCACATTCAACCTACCTGTGCTAGATCTCGTTCCACTACTCGAGCCCTCGGGCCCTTCGTATTCTATACCCGTCCTACTTTGGAGAGAAATCGTCAAAGGATAAATTGTATGTTGCGCTCAACTACAACTCTAGTTCACTGTGGTCGCACTCGACCTTAAGCCCCATTACACCCTACCTCGATTGCAGAGTCTAACCTTGTGTCTTTAAACATGTGCCATTCTTCGTGACACCAAGTAAAAGTCATGATGTATTATCAATCTGCCTGGAACCGGGGAAAACCATCGAGTTTGGTCTCGGCAGGCCACAACATCACACATAATTTCTTCCTTCACGAGGAAAACGCACAAAGTTGAATGCTTCTCAGCGTCGGTTTTATCACAATAGTGAACCGGCTTTTGAGACCATGAAACAAGTAACACGTGTGCACATCCATGTCGATCAGCACGCCAGCTTAAACAAGCCCTTTTCAGGGATAACGCACCGGGGATCGGAACAGAAGGGATAAGCTTTGTTTGAACGTCCATGCTCTGCCTCGGGGCGCCATAATGTTCATTGTTGACCTTTGTTTTCACGCAGGCGGCAGGCAAACAAAGGGTCTAGGTCTAGTGACATGCTTTTAGGTTACAAAGGAAGGTAGCGTTAACCAAAGGAACCAAAGGTTCTATTTTGGAGACGGTGCATTCCTCGCAAAGGGGACGTGGCTACCGGGTGAACGAACGTGCCCATGCATAGCCACGCCGCATCGCTCGACTTCGGCAGTGATTCGGGGTCGTAATCTGTCACTAAAATAGAGTATTGGGGCGATTGCGCGCATTACGAAAATCATAGCTGGAGTGACTGATTAATGTTAGTGAAAAACATGCTCTGTAAATGGATTCACAAATGTCACAGAGTGCAAGGAACCGAGTAGTGAGTTTGTAAGGCGCAGAGCGCGCATTGTATTTTGGGTAGGTAATTTCCTCCAAGCAGTATCCAAGAATATGGGTATCCAAGACGTTTCCCACAAACCTGACCCTAAAGTGCTGTACAAGAAGTAGAAAGGTAGTTTACCAAACGCCGCTGTACGCCGACATTGGTCAAAGAGTGACAAGAAGAGGAAGGGACCGTCATCGCACGCCAGATATCTCCATATACACCATGGGGTCTATCTGCGACAAGTGGCGACGAGACGTAAAGAAAACAAACAAAACCTCAAGTGGAAAGAGGATGAGGCTCCGTAACCCCGGGACATGGTCCGTTTAAAACAAAACAACCATTCGTAACGTAGTCGTGCAAAGCGCTGACCTGCCTGCGCTAGCTAGATGTAAAAATCCTGGGTATATTGATCGTAGCGTAGCTGCGCAAAAGGCTGCCATGAGATGGAGGCCATTTACGAAGTTAAGCGTAAGGTAGTAGACTGGGCACTTAAGAGATCTTGGACCACGAGGCCTTGAGGCGCGTCTTCTCGTCCTTGCCGGTAAGCTTCTTCCAGGCAGCAAGCGAGAGATCAATGTCGTGATCAGCGCATCCAGGGCACAAGTCCATGATGGTAGCCTGGATGGAGTTGCCCTCGTACTCGATCTGGATCTTCTGTCCGCACCAGGGGTTGGTAGCAGCACCGGTCATGACATTGTAGGTGGACGCGCCCCAAGCGGGCTGGGCAAGGGCAACGATCATGTCAGTGTCGTGGAGCTCAGTACCGCAAGCGCCGAAACCACCGTTGTTGTCGTAGATGGTAATGTCGACGTTGGAGTACTTCTCACCCGTGGTTGGGGCGCTGCTGTAGGCAGGCGCGGCGGCACTGCTAGAAGCTGGGGCAGGTGCAACGTAGGGCGCCTGGGTGGAAGTTGGCGTGGGTACCTCGACGGGCGCTTCAGAAGAAGGCGCAGGCGCCGGCGCAGGAGTAGGAGTGGGAATAGGCGTAGGGGTTTCCGAGGGAGTCTGAGGGGCAGGTGTGTAGATGCTTGAGGGCTCCACGGGTGCAGGAGTGTACGCAGGAGTGTACGCGGCGGGAGTAGGCGTAGAAGTGGGCTGCACCACAACGGAGGTGGGCTGCTCGTAGAATTGGCCTTGGGCAGAAGTCGACGTCGGCTCATCCTCGTAGACAGTAGTGTAGACAACCACAGTCTCGGTGACGACCTCAGTCTTGTAGACCAGAGCGCGCTTGTCGAAGGGGGCTGCGACGGCGAAGGAGCCGAAGAGCAGGGAAGCGAGGACAGCAGAGTTCTTCATTTTGGCAAAGATTGTCGGGTAGTTTGGTTGCTGGGTAGCTGAGTGATGCTAAGGATAGCTGGATTGGAGTGTTCCGTAGGGAGTGACTGAACCGGCTAGCAGTTCGAGTGTGTCGTAGGGACGGTGGTTTGTCAGGAAGGACAGTGAGAGATGCTAGATCTCTGTGAAGGTAGGGAATGAATGGGGGAAAGAAAGTGGACAAATGCAAGACCTCAAGCCTGTAAAGAGTGGACAGGACTGGGGGGGGGGAGCAGAGGGGGTTATAAAGAGAGTCTGGGTAGGGTGTGGGTTAGTGAGGAAACAACGAGGAGGCGGCTGATGAGTGGAGCGCAAAAAGAGCAGGACTTGAGTGCCTAGCGCCGGCGACCCCTGGCAACCGTGCCAGCGCCACCAAGGTGCCGCCGCGCGCACATCCTCCGCCTACTACACCACTAACCACTCTCACTTGTACAATTCCGGCGAACGTGGCGGCCTGCACGTCCTCGACGCCGGGCCGGTTACTGGAGTGGAACGGCGTGGCATAGTGCGCTCAACAAGAAGTTGCTGGGCCTCAATGGCAGCTGTCGCACGCCTGTACGCCCGCCCGATCGATGGCGACTTTCTCTGTCACTTTTGTGCCCGCCTTTGTTCCATGGCCATTATGCCTCGAAAAAAGCGACCCGTTGCTTTCTCTTTTTTCTTTTTTTCGCGCTGACTGTGCAGCTCGTGTGTGCAGCTAAAAATGGTCAATTCACCAATATCACACAAGCTGACTGGTTTCACGTTTCCGCAAGGGGCAAGGTATACCGCACCAAACCTAGCGAATAGCACCGGCCCCCATGCCATGATCGTCAGGTACGCTCGCTTTCAAGCTCTGCTCCGTCACAGGGGAGCGCTGGAGCTGAGAAAAGCAACTTGAGCAAGCGAGATGGCCCCAGAAACAGAAACAGCACGACTGCGCCTCCATCACATCATCCAACAAGTTGTATGTCACCATGGAAGACAGCCCAACACGTGTTTTGGACCGAGTCGCTCGTCACTCGTCACATGCAGCTTCGTCTACTCCTACCCACAGCGCGTGGCTAGGTGGACACGCTGGGTTGCTCAGCATCTGCTTCTCCAGTTTCGCCATTGGCTCTGCCCGGTCGGTCCACTGTTGCCAGCCTGTACTGCACAATCTGCTGTGCGCCGAAGATCGCAACTGGAGCCATTTTACCAGGCGTCAAGGTGACATCTCTCATTAACCACACCGTCTCAACCCGAGTCGTTGTTTCGCTTCACACGGCACGCTGCATCTGAATGCTTCTGGACTCTCCCAGTCGCATCTCAAGATGTCAGCATGCACTCGAAATGAAATATGGACCTGCTACGACTTCATCGCTTTGCTACTGGGCCCGCAGCCTGCAGCGGGTTGGCTCCGCGCGGCAGCCACCTGCAGATTTTGCCCTACCTTATCCACTTATCGATATGCGATAACTACCCATTCTCCACACGTGTTACATTGGGCCTATCGGTAAATGGAGAGGTTTATTCGACTTTGGCTTCCAGACAACAGAAGATTTTTCATCGTCACTGTGCGCTGCGCACCCATCGAGCTTGCTCCGCGCGTCCTTGCGGCAAGCCGAGATCATCCCGATGCGCACGAGCAGATTCTTCTCACGGCCTTCTTCCAGGCGGGGTAGGCATTCCGTGGTGGAACCCACACGTGGGCCTCGAACAAAGCCGTAGCACGTGGTTTGGCCAGAAGGCATTCTCCGCTGGTTGAAGTTTCCATGGTTCGGCCCATCTTCGTCAAACGTCATTCTACCAGTTTCTACGTCTGCCAAGGTAGCTTAGCGTGAAGCCTCCTTCGGTACTTGCGTGAGCATAGTATCAACGCGCGTTGTCTTGGATGCTCAAATTCCCGCTCGTAACATGAACAGATGCACCTTGTCGACATCACTATGCCAAACTGTAGTATAGTATGCGCTCTAGACGCAATGGCACCAAGACACAGCAGCCCTGATCTACACACCCTTTTACCTTTCCTAGAAATGATCTGAGGCCAGCATACTGGATGATCGCAGCGAATGCTCGCTTGTCCTCTACAAACGGGATCAGCAACTCAAGCATGGGACCTTGTTTCCTTGTCTCGCCTTTGATCTGCACATGGGGAAAGGCTAGATCTGTTGCCAAGTCAGGAAAGCAACAGGGTGGTTGAGCGATGTCAACGGTCAAACGAACCACAGAAACATCTCCAATGGCATTGATAGCTACTAGACGCCATGATGCATTCTGAAACGAGTACACATTTAGGGCCATGCACTGCACTCGAACCCCTCCATCTGAAAGGGGCAATCGTTGAGATCAAAGGATAGATTCCCCTTATTCCATCAAACTTTCTTTCACGTCTTTCATAGTTCCCCCTTTCATAGTCTACAACGCTGTTATCTTCGTTGGCTTCCTTTCAACTTACCAAGTGCCGAAGTATCGGGTGGGCTCTCATTCCATGGAGCCATTCAGTGCTCTTCATCTCCCCGACATACCTCACCAGTTGTCGCAGTGCATTAGTTTTGACTATCAACTTCACAGATACCCGCTCTGCTAGTTACGTACATGTACACCTCTGCGTTCTTTCCCATTTGACAACTTGATACCACTAATGGTCGCACATGGAACTCATTGACTGAGGCTAAGCTCAGCCTCCACTAGCACGTTTGTTTTGTTGAGACGCAACTTTACTTTTTCATTCCCCTATCGTGACGATCATTCAATATACAGAGTATCGGTTCTCGAGGGACTTCCAGCACTCAACCTACGTCATCAAGAATCAATACTTAAAAGCCACTCTCCCCTCGTGTGCGAGAGAAGAAGACAAGAATCAATACCAAACTCACGTGAAACGTACGACGTGAATAGTTTTCCTCCTGTATATCTCTCTATGTACTTCAAATCATCTCCTGATCGATACCCTAATTTTTTTTTCCACACTTTACCGTACTCTGGGCTCATAAACAAATAGTATCTCACCTCGCAACCAAACCCAAACTTACTCATCACCCACCTCCCATCCAGCCTCGCCATCTCCGCGCTCCCAAACACCTTCATCTTGAACAGTCTACTCCATCACTCTACCTGGTACACAACTAACCTAGAAACTCATCGGTAGATGCGTACAGTCTTTCTCTTGGGCTGAGAGTATGTCGCGAATTGGCATTTTTTTGTCCTCGCCCTCGTTCATTTCGTCAGGTCACGTAGGAACTTCATATTTGTATCTTTGTGGCGTGTGCTTTCGAACATACCACCTTGGGTGTAGTCTCTGATGTAGGCGAGGTAGGCTTTAACTTGCTGCTCGTGTGTGTCGTTGACGTTGCTTTTGATTGACATGTTCACGCTTCAATGTAGGATTCAAGATGGAAGGTCACGCAGTGTGTGGTTGGCTTATACTGTGCCTTGATTTGCCTAGCAAAGCGCCTGCGTGCCATGATCTGTGATTGCTGAGTCGGCTCATGATAGTAGTTACATCCTGGAGCGTGAATATGGTAGCAAAGGACGACGAATGCCCGCCAGTGCTGTTTAGGATAGGTAAAAGACCGCCAATTGTAAGGTACCTTTTTTACACTTCAGTCCTCGAATCATTGGTGGTTTTCGAATCATTGCAACTCTCCTGACTACATCTCCTACTTGATTTATTCCAAGATCGTCACGTATCTAAATCATCGCGCGGTCAACTCTCCAGTCGTCTGCTGAATAGTATGAATTGACTTTGCTAAACCTGATCATTGCCGATTGATGGTTGAGTGACTACGAGTGGTTGCCTATGATGACATGTCTTGCATTTCTTGGGCGCGAGCAAGCGCCTCTTCCGACAAAGAAGTATACGGTGAAGAGGCATCAGAACATGGGACTACTCGGTTATTGATCGTTCTTAGTTACTTGTTGTCACTCAAAGGCCCTTCACGGAACTAGAGACAGCTCAACCAAGGCGTATGTGCTCTGGAAATCCTCTTAGCTGTCGTTTTGCGACGAGATCTGAGTTGTCAAATGTGATCCGACTTCCACTGTTTATCTTATACTGCGCCGAAGAACCTTTATGGGGTAACAATTCTGGACATGTCAATGTCTTCGAGAACACGGGTGGATGCCGCCGTAGTTCGAATAACCGAGGAGTATCAACGAAGCTTCTCAACTCCTTTGAGAAATAAAGATAGCTAATTGGTAATATAAACCCGTAATCTACAACTCAAGCCGTTCAATAATGTCGATCAACTTGTAAACTTCCACATGATTATTGTCCAAAGCATACCTCGCCGCGTCGTTCCCTTCGCAATCTTTACTGTCAACAACGCCAACGTCCATATGAGCGAGTAGTAATTTACAAATTACCACAAACCCTTTCGCCGCAGCATAATGCAAAGGCAAGCTTCCGTAGATAGTAGCCTTATGTGGATCGGCTCCAAAATCAAGTAGTGCGTGTGTGGTAGCTTCCCAGCCATGTTGACATGCGATGTGTAGCGGCGTTCGACTGAGAATGTCTGATTTGTTGATATTAAGGAGAATCATAGGTTCTTGTAAGATCTCCAGCTCAGTATCGTCACAGTCGCACGATATACCATCCAGCCAAAAGTGTAGTGGACTTCGCCCAAGACAGTCAACGACTTCTTCTCTTTGCAGGAAAAGTTGGTACCCGACGCCCTGGGGATGATAGAGTCCAATTCCCTCGCTGGGTAGAGCAGTAGAAGAGAATTCAGGGCCTGAAAAGAAATCGTGTGCTTTCTCTTGGACCTCATAATTCAATTGCACGTACCGAAATACCGTATCCTTCAATTGGACTCCGTCGACTGGAGCTTGGGTCGAGTGATCTACCTCTGCGTGTTTGAGAAGTTGATTTTGGAAAATCAGGAAGTTTCGGCCGACGGGATAACCCTGCTGAAGGACTAAGTGGGCGAACTCTGGGACGGGAAGAGTGCAGACCGGACAGCTCAGGGTTGGTAATGCGTTCAACAAAGTTGATCCGATTAGGGAAGGGAACATGAACGCTGGCAAGTGCTTCATATGCAGTCCTGTCTCACGCAACTCATTCGCAACGTCCAGAAAGATTGGAGTCAGGCAAGTCTCCATGAAATCGCTGAGTATCTCCATTCTTTCGGATGTTCTCCTTTCCGGTATGATTTGGAGAGCAGTATTTAGGAAGGGTTGAAAGATCTCTCTTTGCAGACCTCGCAGTCGCTCCATAGCCATGGCTAAGTTCGAGTGATAGTCTAGGAGAAAAATCCTATGGGTCAAATGTTAACATCAAAACTGATTTCCTAAGGGACTGTCATGAAAGAGTAGAGATAGAAGTTTGAGATTTATTTTCAACCGCGGGCGAAAAGGGCAGCCTAGAATTTGAGACGTACCAGTCATTGAATAGGACTTCAAGATCCTCCAAATCTGTGCCCTCAGCAGCACCAGGGGAGGATGTCGGTGGCTGTGTATTTGGTACTGGCTTGCTCTTACGGCTTGCTCTCTTGCCTTCTGAGCATGGAAGGTCTTTGGCACAGCAGCGGTTGCACTTGGTTGGGTATACCCGGTTCGCGGGCATGCACTTATCAGTGTTGACTATCAGCTAACCCCACGCATTCGGAGACAACACTAGGCGGCTTGACAGTACAAATAGGTAATCGGTTTTGATTCTTGAGCAAGAAGTTCAAATCGCTGCACACACAACTACGCTTGGCAATGCTGGAACCATAGTTGCGAGCATAGCTAATGCTTGTGGAAGATAACTGAAAGATGTTTTACTGACCTTCTGTTTGTCCTCTCTACATCTGTCACACTTCACAAGGTCCAACTTGCGTCTTTTGCATTGTGGCTCATGAACGGGTGGTGTTGGAGGAGATGGGTGTCCAATGAAGTAATTGTCGGTAAATAGAGTGGAAAATGCATTATAGTTGACGAAATTCTGCTGATCCGGACAAGGAGATGTGCCTGACATTGCTGGGGACGACTGATGGTCGTCTAAACCGTGCTTGACAAATGATCAGTTTGTATCGTCTCGGCCATAGGATGGAAACGTTGTTATCTAACGAGGCTGAAGTTCAATCGAGGTGTGTCTAAAGCATATACGATGCAAAGGACTCGCTGCGGGGATAATCAGGCATGTACCAGGAAAAGAGCCACGAAAAAGATCTTGAGGTGCGGAGGACGGCGAGAACTGGGAGAACTGCGAAAGAGGTGAGAGTGAAAGGCTGTCAGCTTGTCAACCTTGTGCTGCGGCTGAGCAACACGAGCTAATGCAATATGGCGTCGACTTTGATGCTCTTATTCGCCATCGCACCTTATCGCACTCTTTTGCACCTACTGTTGGAATATTAAAGGCAGCCTGGGTCTTCTTGATTCGTTGTCGCACTTTTTCGCACTTTTGTTCCTCGAACGTTTGCTCACGCTCGAGCCGAAACGAAGCACTGCGCAGGCTGGTGGTAATCGCACCTTTCGCACTCTTTGCTCCTAGCAATGCCTGACGAGACTGACTGCAGCGATGCAAATCGCACTTAACCGCATCTTCAAAAGGATGATGCTCCGGATCCCAAGAACTCCTGGTGGCAACAAACGACATAAGATGACCATAAGCCCTGCCTTTACGATTCCCACCACCAGATTGTTTCCACTTCTCTTCTTTGTGAGATCCTTGGCTGCGCATTTGACGACCTTCTACTCTTCGAAAAACCACATTCAAGACTAGCCTTGCCTTCTCCTAAAGAGAGCACTAGTCAACCACGATGTTTCTCACAACCACAACCACCTTGACTACGCTATCGATGTCGACCATAATCGTATCAAAAACCGCTGTATCATCGCCCACTACCCCCGCGGCTCTATCTACCAGAGGCCCCGATTCGCTCAGCCTGACGCTTGTCTTTGGCTTGCTAGGCCTATTGTTGGCCGTCGTTGGTGTTGCTATTGCCATTTTACAACTTCGATACATGTCACGGCGAACAAATGGGCTCAAGGTACTCGAGCTCTCATGTAAGGCAAGCGGATACCGATCAATGAAAGGCGTGCTGACTGCCTCAAGATAGCTGAGAGTGACGCAGGACGAAGACTTATAGGAAGGTCGGTCTAGCTCGGCTTTGGAAGTGCTAAAATGAGTGCTTGAACAAGGAAAGAGCTTCTGAATGTTCCTTGAATGCCCCTTCTGTGCGTAACACGGGTTGCAGCTGTCGTAAAGCGATGGGGCTGTTCTGTACACAAAACATTGGAAGGACTTCATCCTGTCACATGGTGCATAGAACTTCCAAAGGACGCAACCTATAGCAAGGGTAGAAGCGTCAGATATACATCCTGAAGCTGAAGAGGCTTTTAATGTTACAAAGACGAAGGTTCATAACACAATCTTGTGCTAGGACCATCGTCCAAGAGAATTTCTACAAGCACATATCATTCTCGTAAGCTGCCCTGAGTAGTGGTGACGCGTAGTATGCCTACAGGAGACGCACAGGGGTTGAACAAAAGCAGTGAGTGACATTATGACCTTGATAGCTATGAACTCACTATAAGATGCTACAGGGTGTTTTTACGCCAAGTCATACCCCGGATTTTCGAAGGGTAAATTAGAGCCTCAGTTTCAGACTATCTAGTTTAGGTCTCTTGTTGGAGCGAAAATTACAGATGCGAGCCGGCGCAGTGACACTCTGTATTGTAGGAGGCACGAGGACAAACTGCTGCACGAGCTGATACCGAATGGGAATGAAGCGCTTGCGTAAGGCTGAAGTGTGGAGGTCGGGGTGTTGCGAGATGTCGATCAACTTCGATGGACTTCTTAGCTGCCGCTTGTCATCAGAGTCTTGGCTTTAGCGGCCCTCACGCGTCATATGGAAGAAAGAGCACGTTCGAACCCCCTCCCCAGCCACCACCTCTACTTTCTTCTTCTTCTTCTTCCAGCGACGACTGCTATTGCTGTCGCTGTCGCTTTGGGCGCATCTTCTTCGCTTCTCTGTCGTAGCTGTGCATACGGCGCGCGCTGCTACTGCCTCCACCTTGTTGTTTTACGCCATTGCCAGGCTTATCAATCCGACCCGCAGCCCCTTTGAATCGTAGAGTCGCTGCGGAGACCGTTCGCTTCTGTGAACATATTCTTGAGGCACGCGCTTCTGGTCTCGCTTGTGTTACCTCGACCGCTTGCGGCTTGTTACACTAAGCATCATCGACGAGGACGTGCTTTGTTTCACATCCTAATAAACACCAGCGACGCCTGTTTCTCAGACGGCCCCGACACTCGCTCAACTCCTGAATCATACGTTTGCGACATACACCATGTCGCTCACCGACTCTGAACTCGAGCTGGTCAGCTCGCAACTCCAGCGAGAGAACGACGACATACCCGAGGAGCCCGACATGATCCTCTCATCGGATGTAGAGAATGGGCCGACATTCGCGCCTCCCCCACGGATCGCTGCCCGATTCTACAGACACGCGAACAATCGCCGCAAGTCGTCCGCTACCTCATCTCGCCGGAACTCCCTCTCCTCGACACACTCGCACACGTCGAACCGCTCCTTCCGAAACAGCTGCCAGAGCCACCATATAGCCCAGCACCTACGCCGCGCCTCCATCCTCGAGGACCGAAAAGCAAGACTGGCAGACCGGGCTGCCCATGCTGAGCAGGTGCGATTGCGTGCAGCATTGGCCAAGGCCACACCGCGCGTTTCAAACAGCGAAGAGAGAGCGTTGGCTGCACAACAAGCTCGCGAACGACATCTGGCACAGGTGGCAGCATCATGCGCCGAGGAAGTTAGGAGAGCCAAGAAGATTGCAGAAGACATGAAAGAGCGCAAGGCTGCGGAAGAGCGACGGTACCGAACTGAGATGGAGGAGAAACTGGCGGACGCTGAGAAGCGAAGACTCGAGTACAAACGTAACCCACGAAGACCGAGGACTGCCAGCTCGCCCTCAGCTGATACCAAGACACCAACCGAGCGACCAGTTGTGACTTCAGAAGCTGCTGCGAAGAGAATACAATCTGCGTGGCGAGCCAGAACCCGGAAGAACATTGTGGATGCGTGGCTTAAGCTTGGGTTATCTATCGAGATGGTCAGCGAAACCAGTTTCGAGGTCATCACGGTCCTACTTGCAGACGAGAAGCTGCTAAAGACGACGGAGAAGATGATGACTCTGTTCGTCCTGCTGCCAGATCCAGACCCGGTATCTCGCAGCACAGCCGTCAGGACTTTTCTCTCTGCGTACCTCATCCTAGGACATCCGGCACACGTATTCAGCCGGGATGGTGACCAGGAGCAGGACCTCATTACTAAAGCTAAAGACCTCATCATTTCGTTCGAGTCTGCCTTGACGAAACTGACAACCTTCAACTACTATACTCCTTCCCCGACCCGAACAGAGACTGTCTTGTTAGCCCACGGTGCGTTCCTCACCGCTTTCAATGATTGGAAGGCCCGAGACTCGTCGGCCCTTGTCGAGACTATGGTCGCTTCCTTTGTCAGTCTTGACGAGATTTGGCAGAGTGTAAAGGACGCGACTGTCGACGAGGTCGCGAATGAATATAGGAACGGCATTCGGGACAACCAGGCCATCTTACTAAGTAAGATCAAGAAGCTGGCTGGACCTGACAAGGCCCTGATGTTGATCAGAAAGGCCATCCGTGAAAGTCGAAGGTCCCGACCAAAGAAGAAGCCTGCAGGAGAGACAGTACGTCCTCGCGTTGCCATCGACTCAACTCCAGACGCTTCCAACGCTGCCGAAACTGCAGCTGTGCAAGCCGAGGCTGCTTCGGAACTTGCAGCGTCGGGCCACGAAGGCCGTCATGGTCCTACCACGCAAGGTCACCAGGCCCAGTCGTTGTCTAAAGTCTTTACTGTTGTACCCGACAATCGCATTTTGGTCCATGAGCTTTCCATCGACAAGGAGTATCGGATTGATGCATCGCCAACAGCTGACCTGAGAGATGCTCTGAACCGCGAGCTTTGCAATGCCATGCAAAAGGGTTTCGAGGACGGCGACAGTGCAAACTGGACTGCTGCGATGGCGGAAAACATCCGTGGGAAGCTGCTACGCTTGCTGAAGGCTGGCAACTCGATGCACACGCTCATCTCTGAGACGCTGGATCCCGAGCTCATCAATCGGCAGTGCAACCAGGGTCTTTTCTCTTACGGGAAGTTCTTCGGTTTCATCGCTAATATCCTTCCCAAGCTTTGCGCTCCCTTCCGAGACGCACAGGTTCAGGCATTGGCCGAGGAGCTCCAAGAGGAGGGCGAGTTACCAGAGATGGTTGAGAAACTGTTCAAGCTTCTTCACGTCATCGATCTTCTGTCGTTGGATTACTCAAACTTCCTCCTGATGAACGCGGCACCAACGCTAATCAAGGAGGCCACCGGTTACGAGCAGCGCATGTTTGCCCAAGATCTGGAAGACAGCAAAATCACCTTGGATCGGACTCGGAGATGGTGGCACAGCGCGGCTGTCAATATGCATACTGAGGCCGACCGACGGGATCCTTGGAGTCAAGCGAATCCCATGAACCGCCCTACAGCGCATAAAATTTATGCACGTGGCCTCGTCGACCTCGCAATAGCCGCGCCGCCGCTTAGGGAGTCTGAGTTGCCGGAAACGCTCGAGCTCGATCGCGCACGCATATCGCGGATCCGCGAAGACGCCCTGCGGATCACTACCATCGGCGGTATCTTGCTCACTGCTAAGAACCTCCTCAAACGCGATGTGCGGTCACAATGGAAGTCGGAGGCGAATAAGATGTGGCTAGTGCTGAAGGACGGGTACCTCAAGGACGCGGCCACTCCAGCCAAGATATCCTCGTTATTGGAATCATCGCACAACATGCCTCCTTCAACACGAGCTCAGCTTTCGTCCACGGTTACGCGTTTGTTGACCCAAGCTGAGTCGGGCAAGTTGTCCGATCCTGTTCTGAAGGTTCTTTTCCAGCGCCTCAAAACGCATATTTTCAACCGCGTATCAGCTAGTAGCTCTGGTGAGCGCGTCAAGGCAGCTAGTACAGCGACTGAGGGGCTGGCTGCGACTGGATTACCAGAGTTTGTTTCGCAAGTCGCCGAGATCTGCGAGCAGCTGGGCAAAGTTGGCGAGGTTGACCGCAAGTGTCACGGCAAGTGGTACGAGGAGATTGCAGAAGAGATGGACACATTGGGTGTAGAGGGTGAGGAGTTGACCAGATCCTCGAGCATTGAGAGTGAAGCTGCTGGGTCGAGCTCTTCTTCGTAAAGGTCTGGCACGTTTTCTCTTCCCTGATATACATGACGTCCTGGTTAGACGAGATTCTGTTCGCTTTTAGCTTTTTTTTCCCCCGGTCCTTCGCGTTCTTCTTATTCTTGTCGCCGTTTTCATTTCCAACTCGGCATTTTGGCAAGGCGTTTGGCGTCTCGATACACAGGGCATTTTTCTGCAACGAAATGGGTTTAGCAATATCATCATCATCATCGACGGATAGGATTGGGTCATCGCGCAACGCTCGAATTCACAGATTGCCTCTGAACGAATTCAAGAATTATCATCGATTATTTCAACTTTGAAGATGCTCTCTTGACACTATGATATTGCTGGATTTCGCCGAAGAGGAAGCGGGTGAGTAGTTTTGCGATAGTAGATAGCGGGAGAGGTTGTGATGTTGCTTGGGGTTGCTGATCCAGCGCTGTCATGATGGGAGCGGATGTGCTGAGCATGCCGCCCCCGGGCACGCTTCACAAGGGATTATTATTTGGATCTCTGCTATCTAGCTCGCTCTACCTTCCAGAGATCTTCTATGCACGGAGCTGTACGTGTTCTGCGCTAGGGTTGAGGTTTTGGGGGGGAATTCATGACGACAAAGGGCGCTTGTCGGTTTTGGTCCATGTTAGAATCTGCTCGTGTATGCAGTTGCGTAAAAAATATCATGAACTCCGTCTATTACAGGCTTCGTACTCAGGAATAGACTTGTGGCTAGCAAGCTCAACAATAAAGTTGAGTAAGCAAAGCGGCTCGTAAGTCCGCTTGCCGTTGCATCGAAATAGAGCTTCCTTTTTTCGGTTCATGAGTCTGAGCTATAATCAGAAGAGGATGTTGCTAATTAAGAACTTCCCTTTTGCGTTGACAACGGTTCTGTCTCCGCCAACCCGGCTTGAGATGAAGTGCGGATGAAGCGATTCCCGCTGATGCTAAACTCGCGCTTCTGGTGTCAAAATTAGAACAGCGGGTATCGGTAGCTTATATTTGACTTTGTTTGAATAGAGCTGCGGGATTAAGCGACAAAGGTGTTTCGATTAGACTAGGATCGCACGGTATGATGGATTGATTGGACGTGTTGCATTCGGAAGGGTTTGACTCCGTTTGAAAAATAGTATATGCATATCGAGCCGTATTTGGCGATACTCCCGAACTGTGCCTCATAGACCTGCAATCGGACGCGTTAGACCTAGCTAGGGTCTCATTGATTGAGCGAGCCTTTGGCGAATGCCACAAAAGCTACATTTCGCCCACCTAGTCGTATCAATACTCCAAGAGCGGCCCAAAATGATATGCCCTGAAGGCCACGTGGATGGCATTTGGGTGTAAAGTACACAACTGGAGAGAGCGGACCTGTGTCCATATTTTTAGTCCTCTGAAAGACTGTCCAGATCGCTCGGAGCACATCAAGGACGAATCGATGGTGCTCATGACGAGCTGAACTTGATCGACCTCCTTAGCAGCCTCTCATAGGTTCTGCCGTGAATGACTACCAGCCTGTGGAGGGGGAACTGATGCGCCTGGGGGATGGCGTATGCCAGTAGTTGCTTTTCTCGCATCGTCGATTCGGCCTTTGGAAAGGCTGATCCCAGGGACAACCCAATCCCCACAGCTGCACTGCATCCCTTGCCATGCGTACTTGCCTACGTTGGTGTGACATTTTGGGCATTCGAGGCGTCCTTCGGTTTTGCCCTGTTCAAGCTCGGGACGCATCCATGACAAGGGATCCAGGAAATAGTGAGCGCAGTTCTGCGATGAGGACGGCTTGTGCGAGACTAGATATTGCGATGTTGCAAGTGGCCGTCTATAAGCTGGTAAGCGCTGAGCCGTGACGGGGCGGCAAGAGGCTGAAGAGTGACAGGAGAAGGCTCCTAGGGCGGCTCCACTCACCTGCATTTGCGGCATCTCAACTCGAAACTAGAAGTCTGATCGGTGACATGCTCGTCTTCAAACCGGATCTTGTCCGCCTCTGGAGCTTGGCCGCACGCGCGGCTCAGCTCGATCTCTCGTTGGTAGACCCAGCGTTGATAGGCTGGATTGTCTTCAACGTTATCGGGCGTTTTCATCTCACCGTAGAGTTCGAGTTGCTTCATGAAGCCGTCGTTTGGTTCGCAGATGGATCGCGCCTGCCGAACATGCGACAGTGCTTCCGAAGGGCTGATGTTGTGCTCTTGCATCAAGTAAGCAATGACGGCGGTAGCGGATCGCGATTTACCCATGGCACTAGAGAAGTGGTTGTGGTTGGCATATTGACACGAGTGGCCCTAGGGGGAATAGAGTGGCGAGGGAGCGGTGTGTATGTATCGGGAAGAGAAGTTTGCAGAAAAGTGGCAGGTGCGAGGGAGGGATAGGAAGACTCAGTAAAGAAGGCTTGCAAGCTGGAGACGCGTGGAAGGCAGGACATGGCCATGTGCATACTGCAGCGCAGCGGACGAGGTATCGAAGCCATTCATCTCTGGTTGAAGACGGCAAAATTGCCAAGCAAGGCAGTCGTTGGTGACGATCAAAGGTTGGGTATGCAAGCCTCAGCTCGAGACTGGGATCTTGACTTACCAGTGGACCAAGACTCCGCCACCTCCATCAAGGCCGTCCTGGATGAAGCGATTGGTGGCTGGGAAGTGCTCCAATAGATTTTCGTCGTCGACGTCGTCGACCTCTACCACCATGTGCTTGAAGGGGCTGAAGAGGTGTTGATCAAGCGGTGTGCGCAGGACGGACAGGACGTGCGTAATGTTGGCCTGCTGGAGTGCATCACGTCGCCGCAGCGTGAACATGCTACATCAGGAGAGGAAGAGAGTCAGGATGTGGCCCAATGACGCCAACCGGAGGGCTATGGAGCAATTGCAGACAAAGGGTGGGGATTACGTACCCACCAATGTACAGATTCAAGTCGCCTGGCACTCTGTCGATGAGGGCCATGGTTACCGAGAGAAGAGGGTTGTCCCAAAATAGTCGGGGGCCGGAAATGAGGTGGAGGTGGGATAAGAGAATGGCGCAAGGTTTTTTGGGCGGTGGTGCGAATGGGGGTCGAATTTTCACCGGCCGAGGCTTCTCCAACACCTCGTGTGCCTTCCTAAACCGGCGAGACGTAGGAGGGCAGGTAAGCAAGCTGTGTGATGTGACGGGCTTGGGACAGTTGCGAGCCGGGGACCAGACAGAAGGGTTGAGGTGAGTGATAATAACTAAGGAATAGTATAGGATTAGATGGGATACTGTAAAACAATCGATTCGATCCCGCGCCCTGGCCGCTACGATTGCGTTTCGCCGAGTGCGGGACGATGCGCCAGCACAGCCTTACGGGGAATACGACGATCTACGCGCTATTGCTGGCGGCCAAAGGCAGGAGGAAATGCAATGCACTATTGCTTGTCCCACAATAATCGCATGAATTGTTTTATCCCAGACGCGACCAGGGAGCAGGAGAGGGCCTATCCTATGCTGGGAATAAACATGTGGGATTGGAATTGGAATTGGACCTTCTACAGCAAGTCTTGTAGGGCTGCTAGCCAGCCCTTTTTGCCCACGGGAGAAAGCCTATGACGAGTACATGTGGATCTCTCCTACCATGCATGGGCTCTCCCGCCATGTCCTGTCAGAAGTGTGCGGTAACCACGCTTGCGCCAAGAAGAATATACGCTGGGAGGGGAGGACAAGGGAATGCCACTCTCCAGACCACCGTGTCCTCCTGTATGTCGTGTCGTGTCAGCCACCCACCGGAGATGGTGCGCTGCATACTTCTGTACACGCTGTGAGACTTGGCCGGCCCCGGACACATTCTTCTGTACATGTGTCTACTCGACGTCGAAGTGAGTGTGGGAGGGGGCGTGCCAAGGGGGTGGACAAATTGGCTGGTAGGGCTGAGAGGGGCTTTTTTTGGTCTTTGCGTCGCTCGAACACCCTGCGGCCTTGGACCCTCCCGTTAGCCGCTAAAAAGAGTAGAAGCTTTCCAAGGCTATTACACTGTTCAATCTGACGCTTGTGCCGTGTGTGGAGAAGTGCAGCGCCAGCCTGCAGCACGCCCACCGTCAGCAGCCAGCACGGGTGCTGCGTGTCCATGCCGTCGGCACTAGCCCTATCTCACGGTTACGCTCCAGCCTGACGCCGGAAACGATCGACGTTGGGTTTTCGTAATGCTCTATCGACAGCAACGGGCGGGCGGCGGCGCCAAACCAGCCATGGGATTGATTGATTGATTGCCTGTGGCCAAGCCGTCTGACGGAGTGAGTGAGTGAGTGAGCGCGAGTCCCACGCTCCCGGGAACGATGGGTCTGATTCTGCCCATGGAATGAAATGCATTGCCCTCGACGACGACGACGACGACGACGACGACGACAAAGAAGAGGCGAGACAAGCCCTATGCACGAGCGGCTTCGGACGAGAAGAAGATAGTCGGAAGACTTCTCCATATCCCCCGACGCCCCCAGGGGCATGGTTCGCTGGTGAGTCGAGTACGAGCAAGTGCTGCAGACGACGAGCAACCCCTGCGCACTCCACTACACTATGCCTCCGTGCCAGCAGTCGACGCCTTGAACCAATCACCGCCACGGAGAGCACAGGCAGAGTCGTCGTGCTTAATGCTGAGGCGGTCCCCGTGGAAGGCGTCGTCGTCGCCGCTTGCTCTTCATTCAATCAATCGTCAATCCACTGCTACGCCTCGTCGACGCGCGAATGACGGCGCAAGGCCTCTCCCTCTTCTCCAGCACCTCTCTCTCCCTCTTGTCGCTCTACTCGCCTCGTTGCCCTTCTTGCGCAACGCTAGGGACCCGCAGCATTCCCGCCTCGGTGTGTGCTGCTCTACAGCCTGAGAGGGGCTGCCGTGGTACCATGAGCAGTGCGCCTTCGTTCGACCTGAGGAACACGCATCCATCCACTCGACTCGAGTAACCATACGACCAAAACCTGTCCTGGGGGGCCCAGCTCGCCAACATTTGCATTTAGACATTCACCCAGCAAATTGCTTGGCTCTGCCCGTCGTGGCCAGCCCTTTGCTCAGCTAGAGGCGAGCGAGCAGCCGCACCAGCGACGCTTTGGTTCGGAGGGTCTGACTAGCGCACGACGCTTCAGCCCTACGAAACCGCCCCCCCCGCGTTGCCGTTCACTGGTCGCATTTCACCCGCCAGCCTCGCCCTCGAGCAGCCGCAACGACGCGCGCACGCACACACACAGACACAGACACACACATACTCGCACAGAGGTGAGCCGCACTTTATTATTATTATTCTTACGCTTCCCGATGGCGCCCAGCTGTCTGCTGTGCATGTCCTCTCGGCACTGTCCCTGCCTGTTTCGGCCATTCCGTGCCTGAGACCGGCTAACTTCCTAATTATAGTCCGTGCTCGCCTCCACTCTCCAGTAGTCTCCATATCCACGCCTTTTGCTCGTTTCCCTAGCCCTCGCCACACTTGCGGCACTCGTGGGCTGCGAGGGCACCCTTCAGCTGCCTGTGTCCGTGGCGGCCCACCCCCTTGGCCGCGACACTCCCTCCCGCTGCCATGACCATGTCGTCTGCAGGCTCAACCCCGAGCATCCGGGTATATGAGTCCCACCGCTACCCACTGCCACACCATCGCCGACCCTCAATTCCAACCTCTGCCGTAGCAATGGCTATTCCGAGAGCACGCGAAGAGGCCCCACCACCCTTGCCTCCTCCACGTCACATCCACGACCTAAAGACTGGTCAAGACCGTGGCTGGCAATGGGGTAACACAAACAGCCCACGGGACACTGGCTTTGACGGAAATCGGCTCGCGACCGTCAGGACTGGCTCGACCTTGTATGGTGCCTCTACCACCACCACCACCACCAGTCAGCCGCGTCCACGGGATCCCTCGGCAGACTACATGTTCAATAATGCCCGCGAGCCCTCCATCTCGAGGTCCTTTGACGACTTGAGCTCGGAAAACAGTGACGACGACCGCAGCACCAAAGCCCGACCGTCGCTCGAGAACCATAGGTAAGAAACTCTCTGAATTACATGCTTTTCTGTTTCATGTCTTTTTTGTCTCGCAACTTGCACTTGTGCCATGGCAGGCCCAAGGCAAGCTAGTTCGTCTCCTCTGTTACGCATGGCTCGAGGACCAGGTCGGAAACATGTCAAATGGCGCCCTACCAAAGCGTATGGCTGCTTTTTGTCATCCATCCATCCATCCATTCATCCATGCCTGCATTGACTGACTGTAATCATGAACCATAGATTTACGAGTGAGCGACAACTTGGCCAAAAGGCGCTTCAGAGTTCATCGCATGCCTACGACAAGCAATTGCTCTCCAAGATTGGCGGCCCCAACACACCCACGAGGACCGCGGCACCACCCCTCTCCAGCAGCGCCCAGGATTCCGCTGCGGACACTCACGCATCGCTGCACAGCCTCAACGGGCAATTGAAGCCACTGTCGGTACCTGATAGACTGTATCCCTCACTAGACTCCCCTGCACCAAAGTGGCCTCCCTCTGGCGCCATTTCACCTGGCTACAACGGCTTTCGCAGTCCAATCTTCGACTCGGGCTCGGTCGAGTCGCATAGAGGCCGATTTGGCAGCATTTCGACACCAGGCCCTCTCGACGAGATTTCATCTCAACATCGCGGTAGCTACGACCACAGTATATTTTCTGACCACGACTTTGGTATGGAAGAGAATGGTATGCGCGAATTGAACATCAACGATCGCAGCCCCGCCGAGTCAGAGGATTATCAGTTAGGGCTCAAGGGTGGCCTAAAACGGCGCGCCTCATCACCCCCCTCGGAGGCTGCACGCGAGGACCGTCCCACAACTAGTGGTCACAACGATTTGTATCACCGCCGCTCGGCGCAGATGCTTGTTAACCGCAATTGTACTGCTTCACGCTTCCAGGGCAATCCAGGATCATTATCGTCCACTGGATCGGCAGGACAGCGCACAGGCTCCATTGGATCCTCCTACGGATTTTCTACAGCTGCAAGTAGCATGACAAGTTACGGCGGAGATCAGCGCCTGTCGCCCAATGTATTGTCGCCTTCGGGCGAAGCGGATTTGGGCCCTGCCTCTCCCTATGCAGCTAACAGGTCACTGGATCCTAGTCCCCGCGGCTCATTATCACGACCACAGCATCAACGAGGCTTCTCGGAGACCGAACACCCGCAAGTACGCAAAATGTCTACAGAAAGCATGTTTCATTCACGACAGAATTCCATAGCAAGCCGCATCCCAGGTGCTTACATCTGTGAATGTTGCCCGAAAAAGCCCAAGAAATTTGATAGCGAGGCGGAATTGCGGTAGGTCACGTCCGAGCTTTTTCCCCACCGCCATTTAACCTGCCCATTTCAAGCGAACATGAGCTGATTCAATGAGTTAGTCTACACGAGCTAGAGAAACAGTACATCTGCCAATATTGTCCGAACCGTTTCAAAAACAAGAATGAAGCAGAGCGTCATCAAAATTCTCTCCATTTGCGCCGGCATTCATGGTCATGCGCATCACTTGCTGGCGTCCATGCAGCCTTCCACCCTTCCCCCTCGCGTCCAGCAGCGGCGGATGTGTGTGGCTATTGTGGCGAGGAGTTCCCCAATCCCGCAGATTGGGATGCGCGGTCAGAACATCTAAACCATGTGCACAAGTTCGGCGAATGCAACCAGGCCAAGAAGTTCTTTCGTGCAGATCACTTTCGACAACATTTGAAGCACAGTCATGCTGGTACGAGTGGCAAGTGGACAAACATGCTAGAGAACGCCTGTATGAGAGATGAGCCCCCGCCACAAGAGCGTGTTGGCTCAATAAGCTCCATGTCCGGTCCTTCGAGTGGGCCTGTGGCATTAAAACCCGGTGTCATCAACGAAGCACATGACGAATCTTGAAACTATCAAAGACGAGATACACAGTCGAGTGCGGCATTTGGCATCGCTGATTTGAGCGGATCGACACTGATATCGTCGACATTTCACATTTTTATGAGTTTAGCGATCTTTGGCGAGCAAAAATATGTTCGGACGACTTTCTATCCGCAGATCCTCTCTCGGAAATGTTCTTGGGATTATAATATTTCAATCCCGGTCAGCTTTTCTTATCTGGCATAACGAACATTGATGACGGCATCTCGTTGCGCACGAGAATTTTCATTTCGAAGCTCAGAACGTATCTGTTGTCAATCAACGACGGAGCTTGTTGCATTGCATGGCTGTTTTTATAGGCATGCACCGGCGTCGTCGTCGTTGTCGTTGGGAGAGGACGGCAGGTTATTTCACGTTTTCTCGGAGTGGCTCACGGAAGGACCTTTAACGCCTCTTCGCTGTCATACAACGAGTGCGTCATCCAATTTATACCAACATTACTTATTCGCCACGGCGAGTCCGTCTACCGCCCTTTCGAATGTACGATCAACGTACTGAACGCATAGTACACTACTACTGTCACCCTAGTCGCTTCAAGATGCCTCACACCAATTTGAAATCCGTCACCCGCATAGCTTAAGACTCAAGCATGACAGACTGCCATATGGAGTATCAGCTGTGCGCTACCTAGCCAATACCACAGTCTTCTCGGGTTATTAGTCAGCATCTAGCCTTATAGCACCTCAGCTTTCAGCCCTACCGCCTACGAAGCCTCGGTGAAATTTCTCGGGCCGTCATAAGACCAAGCAGAGATGTGTCTACTACGAGTAATTACATATGATTGTCTATTTACTAGCTTCCTCGTGGAGTATTTATTAGCAATCGATTGCTCGGGTATTACCATCTCTATCTAGGTACCTGTCGGTGAGACAAGGTATAGCGTGGGGAAATTACACGTACCCTGTCAGCACGAAGTATATTCTGCACTGTGAATGTCCTTGCTTCGCAACATGGTAACGAGAACGGGCAAAATTAAGTTTCTTGTGGCCAAGGAAACTCGGCGCATTCGGATAAAGCTTGGTTAGTGCGCCTGTCCCATAGCCGCACTTCAATGTTGTGGACTGGGGTTATAGAGTACAAACCGTCGATGAGAGGACTGCGTTGGCAACTCATCTGAGCGGGACACTGATGCACAGCAGGCTTGTGTACGAGCATCGAAGTCTGGGCCTTACGAACGAATAGCGTAAACCTCACTACACAAATACACTACTTCATATGAGCGACTAGCCTATTGGTCGGCTCGGAATGCTTCATTGCGTCGTAACAATCCAATGGCATTTTCTCTATCATCGACAAGTTTTCCCTCGAAGGCTTGTAGATGTAAAGGACTGCAGATTTGTCAAATATAATATTACTTTAGTCTATTAAGTCTTGACCAGGTCTGCTCGAACACACGGAAAGCAATCACAGTAAAAGTACCAATATCACACTCATCTACTCAAGGTAGCTTGAAGCGAGAAGTGAACCTCATCACTATCAGTTCACATGCAGCCCACGCCTTGGCAGTTAAAATATCTGAGCTACCATGTACACTCACCCCAAGCGGCAGCCCGCCAGCTAGCCGCGGCCTCGCCCGATGACTCCTAGTCCCTATTAACCCGATCAACGGCCCCACAATCGCACCGCCTCTCAAAAAAAAAACCCCTCGTGATGATGAACAAGCCACCGACCGGTAAACGGCTACTAGCGCTGATGTCAGACTGGTCGTTTTTCAAGGTTGTCTCTTCCCACGATAACAACTACGCCCCGAACCTTTCCACTCTTGCTCTTTTTCTCAACAGTAAGGCAATTGGCTATTTTCCTCTTTGAGGCATGGTGAGCGTGCATAGTGGTGGGCAAGGGGGGAAGGTGCTCATGTTTCAGGCCCCGGTGGCTTTTCCACGTTCTGTGCGTCGTGAGCACTAAGCACATGTAATCGCCGAACACTTTCTGCGGGGCGGGTTGGAGTAATACTAGATGGCGAGATACTGCATACTAGGTGAGAGAGGGGTAGGTATGCCAGGACGATCGTTGGAGAAAGTGTGGTAATTGGGGGGGGGGGGACTATAGTGCTGATGTCAATGACGAATAATGGGATTCTGTGTACTTCCGTCGGCTGCCGTTGGAACTCAGGTCTTGCTTCCTAGATGGATAGCATTGCGTAATTGCCCTGTCGTCTGACTGCATGGTTCGGATGCGGATACATGAAGATCCTGATCTATCCTACACTTTCAGCCCTGTCCCGATGGCACCCTGGGTAGCCCGGGAAGAAGCTTCGCGCTTGTTTCAGTTGCCTCACGGCCGATGACATGATGACCCATGCTTTGGATAAGCGCGACAAGATTGCCCTTAGCGAGTAAGTTCGAATTCATCGCCAATTACTACTCAGGCTCGGGTCTTGTGATCCATAGAAGTATTGTGGTAAGACCGTAATGTATAGATCATTGGTGGAAAAATCTTTCTTCTCTCTCGTCATGCTTTCATGTTTGTGTATGCATGTAACATATGAGCAATGTCTTCATTGGGGAATGGCGGATGCCAACTAGCTAACGCCCTATAACTAACCCGTTTCTGGGGATCTTCGAGATTGTTCCGCTATATTGAATCTGACCCTATCCTTGTCTATTACGGTAGCAAAAGCAATCCCCGCTGTAATGATCGCTATCCAGCATAGGGCTAGACTAAGGGAGTTCCGAACCGGTGATGTGTAAGCTAGCCGTAGTCAAATATGCTAGATTGAGCAATGGTCTAGGCCGTCGAGACGCATATCATCTGGTGTTGGGCTTAAGTTAGATGTAGTCCTACTGAGCGGTCTTTCGGGTCGATTGGTACATTTTCCCAAACGATTGTTATGACTTATTGTCGTTAGGTCAATGCAATGCGTTGGTAATATGTGCTGATGATGTACCCGGAGTTATGCACTCTCCCGCCATTGGGCAAACGGGACGGGTACATAGTGGAGACACGGCAACTCCGAGATTTGCGGCTGCATAATCGTAGCTGCCCTATTATATAGCAAGCCAAAGGAAAATTTTCAATCACAAGAAGACTGGATACTTCTTTGGATATGTTTTGGGATTAGGTTCAATCCGATGAGTATTTTGCCTAGCCTTGCTGAGATAGTTGCAGGTTTCCGATATGAGATGCCTGTAGTGCCGGAGGAATGAAGTTATGCACAAATAGTATAGCGGTTATGAAGGCAATTGCTGATGCTATAGCGAAGGACTACTTCTTTAAGTTAGGTTCGGAAAAAGTTTACCTGATTACTCTCATTCGCTGACAATGTCATCAGCACTCCGAGGCAAGAGCTGTCGGGAGACGATGGATTGTGCCTTTGCTTCAGCGTGATTTAGGCTTTGTGAGATTCTAGATACGATCTATGAGGTTCTACGCAAGGCTCATGGACCGATAGGGCGATGTTTGCTTCGGCCGTGCATTTACTTGGAAACTTCTAGATAGATCAGCCTCAAATTTGAGCACATTGCCGAGGGACGATAAAATCACCTGTTGAGTGTTCTAACGTATCGGATCTTAGACGTATAACAGGCATTCGGGGCGCATAATCATACGGCAAATTCTTCCCGTCTCTATACCCTTCGCATCATTCACAGACAGTTTGACTCGTGAATTTTCGCGCGAGTCGAACCTATCAAGAAAGAGAGTGGACGGCCCTAAGCGCGCTGACAAACTGGGTGTTGCTCTAGAGCTTAGCAAATTGCATGTATGTGTAACGAGAGGCTTTCAGGATTGGTATGTGGCGGAGGGTGCAAAGCAAATGAACACGTCAGATCTTCGCTTGTGTGGTTAGAGACATAGTCTAGCAGTAATTACCTACTCGAATCTCTGGTGTCATCAACGGAAAGAGTACCGGGATCGACATGCAAAGTGAGGGGGGGAGAATATGCGTTCCATCATGCACCCCACTCGATCATGCGGTCTAAAGCATTGGCCGAAACGACCTGTTACCGATCTCATAGCAGCTACCGATTGCGGTTATGTATGTATTACCTGTTGCGGGGGGTAAAGAAGCGTGACGTGCTGGCCACTGAAGGGTCGATCAAGGATAGCGACATGCTCCTGCAGTCAGCTAATCTGTGTCGGTGTGTATGAACTATGGAGATACGGCATTAATCTAAATCAGGGAGGAGCAAAATCAAGCCCCAATAGCGGCAGCATCATCCATAGCTCCATAGTTGTGGCAGCATCCTTCGTACGTGATACGTCTTCAAGTGTGGGTCGAGAACATGTAAGAGCCTGCAACTAGTTCAACGCGCATGTCAGTTTCGAGTGACGACGCAGCTAGTGCTGTTGGTGGGATTCTATATTGGTGCGAATGCTGCCCGAGAAGCTTTGCGTTACAAGGTCTGCGTTGGAAATGGGATGTATTCCCATTTGTTAACCTATCAATTAGCAAGTCGTGGAAGCGCTGGGCTCGAGAAGCGGATATTGACTTCAATCTACCTTGTACTCATTCTGGTTGACGAGTCTTACTTGAATAGGACTATTGGTGTAGCGAGTCTCGAAAGTACTTGATCAGCGGGTATCCGGCGAGCCGAATGATTGGTCTGACCCATGTCTAAAAACAGATCGATATGGTGGTACTAATCGTAAGCATGGTGGGCGACCGGCACTAGTTGCTGACTGCATCACCTGTCTGGGGTCTATGGCTGGCTGTTGTCATCGTGTACGAATCGTTTGCCAAGCTTTCCTCCCCGCTCATGAATGGCGAATGACGAATAAGCCCCGGACGGGAGCTAGATATGTTGCGTAACGATTGAAATCAACAGCGCAGAGCACAATGAAGAGGTCTGATTAGGTTAGGGATTGCTGCTAGGAACAGAGGGAAAGTTCGCGGGGTTGTTCAGCCTTTCGCGGTTCCGTTTAGCGATTTCGGCGTTACGCAACTTATCCAAACGCATCTGGTAGAAGTTCCTACCAAACTTCGTAAGCATCTGCCATAATGCCTGACTGGCATGATGTTAGGGCGCTCATATATGTACGTACTTGCTGAGATGATATATACGCGGGGCAAGCTCATTCTGAGATAGCTCCTTCGACTTTGAAAGCTCTTTGATCTATCTCGGTGTCAACATTTGCTAGAGAGGCGTGAGAGGGTACGGCTACCCTGTCGTCCTTGGCTTTCTCATCTTGCTTGTCCTCGTCCTCTTCCTTGCCCTTCACGTCCTTTTCTTTGTCCTTATCTTTTCCTTTACGTTTCTCACGCTTTAATTTCTGTTTCTCCTCATATTCTTTCTTGACTGTTTCAATCTCACGGTCTAGCTCGTCTTTCTTCTTCTGTGCAGCAATAGCTGTAGCTTCGTCTGCATCAGGCTGACAAAACCCTCGGTCAGATAGGTGACCGACGCAGATGTAGAAGAAGTCCTATATGTAACTCAGTCTAATGCTAAGCCTTCATGATCTGATCGCCTTACCTTGTTGTTAGGCGTGATTAGAACACTCGTCGATGGTTTGTAGCAGATCCAGCAGGCCTTGGAAGCGTTGTCGGCCACACGACGGAGATGCCAGGTATTTTCGAGTGACATATCATAGACATAGATTCCGACTTCGTTAGAGTGAGTTGAGAGCCAAGTTATGGCGAGTTGAAGATTGTCGTTCGATTAGGGTCGGCCCGGAGAGCTGCAAGCCAGCATCCGCGCTAGTCTCAAAGTAGTTTGGCCACGAGCAGTTCTGGCAACTTCGACTAGCTTGGAAACATTGTTCTTCAATCATCTCTCACATCAATGTCCTTAAATTTCATTAGAGCTCTGGGTTCACGTCAATCAGTCTCTCTGAAATCACAGTACAGTGTACCATATCGTCTCGATCGGGCCAATAAGCAACTAAGAAAATTCTCAAGTGCGTCACCTCAACACTGTCATCTATCGATTACTGACGTCTGTACTAGAGCAGCACCCAACGCCCACAAATTGGATCAACCGCTCTATCACCATGAATTCTGAAACCTCAAAATTAAGATATATTGATGTTGGTCCGCAAATCCTTCTTGAGCGACACAACCACCCACTGACTTTCTAGATCGGCATCAACTTCACCGACCCTGTATTCAGAGGAGAATATCACGGCACTCAAAGACATGAAAACGACTTCGAAGAAGTCATTCAACGCGCCTTAGACTCAGGATGCAAGAAATTCATGATTACCGGATCGGACCTCGAAGAATCGAAACATGCCATCGAGATAGCGAAAGCGCATCCAGGCTTATGCTATGCAACCGTCGGCGTGCACCCTTGCTCAGCAAAACAGTTTGATACACACCCTGGCGGTCCAACCACCTTACTCTCAGCCCTAAAATCCCTAGCGTTGGGGGCCAAGGAAGCAGGCCACGTAGTAGCCTTCGGCGAAATAGGCTTGGATTACGATCGCTTGTTCTTAACGCCTAAAGATCAGCAGCTCAAATTCTTTGAGGCGCAGCTGGAAATTGCCGTGGAAGTCCAGTTACCACTGTTTTTACATTCAAGAGCGGCAAGCGAGGTAGGCAGTTCTACGCCACAATAGCGTTCAAGACATTTACTGATTTGAAATCTCACGAATGCAGGACTTTGAGAGGCTACTAGGTGTAAAGCTTGAACAGCTGCCGAAGAGAGGGCTTGTGCACAGTTTCACAGGGACTGTTGGGGAGATGCAAAGACTGGTGACGTTAGGGTTTGATATTGGGGTAAACGGGTGTAGTATGAAGAGTGCGTCACAACTCTACAGTTAAATGGCATACCCTAGCTGATATACTGTGCAGCGGACGAGAATATCGAAGTCGTCAAGCAGATTCCACTCGAACATCTACAGATCGAGACAGACGGCCCTTGGGTGAGTTCTCCACCCGCCACCATCACGAACTTGACTGACATTAATGCCAGTGTGAAATGCGGCCGAGTCATGCATCGGCCAAATTCCTCAAGGATGCCCCTCCTCTACCCAAGGCTGTGAAGAAGGAGAAGTTCTCTAAGGGACTTATGGTCAAAGGACGCAATGAGCCCGCGACGATACCTCATGTCGCATATGCGATTGCAAACATAAAGGACATCACTGTAGAGGAAGTGTGTGATGCGTAAGTCCCTACAACCCTGAAATATTATTGGCATGCCGCTGACAAAGAGGAAGCGCATGGAATAACTCCACGAAGATGTTTGGACTTGGGGATCAAGCAGAATAATAACACCATCTACACACGCTTGTGGGGAGTAGACTTTGCATGTAGAAATTCGATTTATACAGGAGGATCCTAGTCCTCTGAAGCTCGCAGTGATAATGACCACCTGATATGATTCGCCAAATAAAAGTTGTCTACTTCCTGTACCACATTCTTGTGATCTTGGTATGCCTCATCTTCTTCTGTAGCTGGAAGATGCCGTACATCAGCGCCTCAGCCGTAGGCGGGCAACCTGGAACATAAATATCTACCGGCACGATCCTGTCGCAGCCTCTTGTAACCGAGTAGCTATAATGGTAATATCCACCTCCATTCGCGCAGCTGCCCATGGAGATGACCCATCGCGGGTCGGGCATTTGATCGTAGACTTGTCGTAAGGCTGGTGCCATCTTGTTTGTGAGAGTTCCTGCCACAATCATGACGTCCGACTGTCGAGGCGAGGCACGGAAAATGATACCGAGACGATCCTGGTCGTATCGTGGGGTTGACAAGTGCATCATCTCGACAGCGCAGCATGCGAGACCGAAGGTCATGGGCCAGAGGGAGCTTTGACGCGCCCAGTTGGCTATTTGGTCGAGCGTCGTCCTGTAACAGCGTGTTAGCCAAGATCATCTCTGACGCACCCCAATCTCATTCTTCGAGGAATTTAGATGGCTCTGACATACAGCGCATATTGAACAGCGCCCTTCTTCCCCTCCTGGCTCGGCAATGGCACTTCTCGGCGCGCTTGCTTCATGGGTGGCGGCGTTCCGGGATTGCCAGGAATGATGGCGGGCGATTTCAGAGTCGTAGCTTTGGGCGAAGAGCTCGAGGAAAGGAACGCAGCACTTCCAGCGCGGAATGGCAGCAGCGCAGTTGCTGGTTTGGCTGCATAATGTTAGCTTCCAGGCAAAGATAGGTTTTGCCATGAGGGCGACCGACCTCGCAGGGCCATTGAAGCCGCAGACCTGGTTGTCGACAGCATGCTGGCGACAAACACAAAGGAAAAGCGTCCGGGGAAGGAGTGGAGATGGTATGTAGCGAGGTGGCGGTGGTGAACGTCGCAAGGGAAGTCAATGAGTAGGCCTCGGGGTGCTTGAAAGACTTGGCGCTGTCTACGATTATTTCAATCAATGTGATAGGCTGGAACCAGCACTCCTCCGCCATCACCCTTTCGGACTGCATCGGCGGAACCCTTTTTCTCCAGACACATCAACCCCATCCCAATCTCGTGATCTTCAACTCGCAAGTCGATGCTCTATACTTAATTCGACTACAATACATTGGTTGCACGCAAATCGTGAGTACATAGCTATAAGCTCTTTGCCATGACGGGCAGGGTCCCGTCCATCGCTTGTATAGGCGTCATCGGCAAGCACGTAAGTACATTGGTATCGTATATGCTGTCACTATAACTTACCGTTGGCGCAGAATAACCCACTCCACATATCACTATTTCCAGCAGAAGAACGAGCGCCATTGGAATTTCAATTTCTCCTGTCATCATGTCTGGATATCTTCGAAGCTCGTCTACCTCACAAGACGGCGGATCAAGATTTTGGACTTCTTCAAGCTGTCGATGAGAGGCTGGCCATGTATGGCTGGATGACCAATACGGGCGTCAAATTTGTCGTTGTTGTGGACATGGAGGGTAGACCTGCAACGGCTCTCGACAGCAAATCGGCCACTGCTGTAGGCCTACGAGATGCGGATTTGAAACCCGTGAGAATGCACACCTATCCCTTCTCTCAGAGCTAATAGTCCGAAGGCTTTCAGAGCGCTGCAAACAGCTTACATCATGCTCTTACGAAATGCCTTTTATTCACCGCCTATAGCGGCAAACATCGAGCAAAGGCTAGGTTCAACACAGATCACAAGTCGAAATTTCATTCGGGAAGTGCAGAGGATTGCTGGCGCATGGTACCCGGGCGTAACCAACATCTGAGCGAATATTCATCAGATCGATTAGCAGGATACCATATTGCATTACCGGCGCTTTAATTCTCTCGAATCCAAGTAAATTATCTCCAAACTTCCGATTCCCCATTTGTTATTTGTTCCTTCGACGCTCTCAAGAAGCATTGTCGACTTCAAGATCATGGGGAGTCTAAAGCGCTAGCGCCGATTCTAGTCTAGTCCATTTTCAGGGTCGATCACCCCGGCCATGAAGAAACTCCTTGTATATGCTACTCGAACATCGTTCCCTCACATCGATGTCTTCAAATGCCTTCCACGGGTGTCACGATTACCAATCCTCTAGTTCTCTACCGGAGTCTTATAACTACTCAAAAGATCCGACCTGACCCTGCACAGCATCGCCTCGGTATGCATGACGCTTACAACATACGACATGCCAAGGCCATGTACATTGACTGACTGCGAACACAGCTCTACATCTACAAAAACTCTATGATCGACTAATCGACTATGAGCCAAAGGCCGAATACTCACAACGACTGCAGGCACTTAGCCGAGTAGTCGACAGCCAAAATGCTCCAACAACGTCCACCAATTCGAAAGTAAACCGCTTCGGCAGGAGAGGTGTATGGACATCTCTCCTTGCTCAAAAAGAAAGGAGAGATTCGGTAGCTTTAACACGCGTTCTCACCAGCCATGAAGAAGCCATACAACTTCAAAGTCCCAAAGGGCTCATGCTCCACGGCGGAGTCGGCACCGGCAAATCTATGCTCATCGACCTCTTCCAGGAAAGCCTTCCTAATCGCAAAAAACGCCGCTGGCATTTTAATACATTCATGCTAGACACTATATCGAGGCTTGAGCAACTTCGAAGATCAAGAGCGCTAATGGCGGGGCCTGGAGAACACCCGGACGAGTACTCGCTGCTTCTAGTGGCGCGCGATCTCATCGAAACCTCGCCAATCCTCTTTTTAGATGAGTTTCAGCTACCAGATCGTGCAGCGAGCAAAATTCTGTCAAATCTCATGACGTCTTTTTTCCAGCTTGGCGGCGTGCTCATCGCAACAAGTAACCGCATGCCAGAAGAGCTTGCTAAAGCTGCTGGCATGGAGTTCAATCGGCCGGTGAGCAGGCCGAGTAGGTTGGGCTGGAACTTGGGGAGGAATGCAAATGTTAGGAGAGATGACGGCGCCGGCCAAATGGGTGAGTTTTCGGCGTTCTTGGACGTTTTGAAGGCAAGGTGTGAGGTTTGGGAGATGGAAGGGAAGCGGGATTATCGAAAACTTGAAAGAGAAGAGGGTGGCTCAAGGAGCGAGAGTGTTCAGGTGCCTCCCCTCGACAACATCTCGAGTTCATCCGTTGCTGCAATGAGTGGGGCGACGGCCTTGACACCGCGGGAAGACGCTGCCACCGAACCTGCGACCACGCCTTCAGAAGTCACCCTGCCCAAGAACTACCTCATCCAGCCCTCCACAGCAGAAGATCTCACAATCTTTGCAGAATCCTTCAACACCCTTGTTGAACTTGCAACCCAACACTCTTATCCGATCCCATGGACGCCCTCCAGCCTTACGGTATACGGCCGTCCCCTTTCCGTCCCCGCGCAACACAATGGCGTCGCCTTCTTCCAATTCTCAGAACTGTGTGGCGCTATCTTGGGACCAGCAGATTACATCACCCTAGCCTCAACGTACCACACGTTCATCCTGACTGATGTACCTGTGATGGGCTTTCAGCAGAAAGAGGAGGCGAGACGATTTATCACACTATTGGACGCCCTGTATGAAGCGAGATGTAGATTGTTGATTACGGCTGTTGCTGGGCCAGATGATCTGCTCTTTCCTTTGCCAAAGGGTACGACAACAGCAAGTGGGCTGTCAGAAGAGGCGGAGCAAGGATTACTGAACGACGCTGTTTATCCCGAAACGTACTCGGAGATCTACCAAGATCTTAATTCGCCTTTCCGGCCGAACGTGTCTTCCTACAACTCGGACAACCTTGCAGCTGATGCGCTAGAGGATGATCCACCAAATCGTGTGCGTCGCCCTGGATCATCATTTACCGATGAGCGCAGACTACATCCAGGGATACCCAACTTTGCAGACATTGGTGGATTGACTGGCGAGGACGAGAAGTTTGCCGTCAAGCGAGCAGAGAGCCGAATCTGGGAGATGTGTTCGGGACGCTGGTGGGATCGTAGTGTTGATGTCCACGAAGAAACGGGATCAGACACGCCATGGTGGAGACCACTGCCGCTGAGTTCGCGACACTGGGAACATTCTTCCACTCCGCCCTCTTCCCCTGCCAGTCTCTCACCTAATGTCAGTAAAGCGCAGCCGCATGCTCTCCCACCGAATGTTAAGATCCTCTCCAAGGACGAATTGGAGCGCGACCGGCAAAAGGAGTTGGAAGACATGTTTGCACATGGTGCTAGTCCGTTCCGCACGCATCCCGATGCGCCGCCGAAGTTTAGCGGAACCCATGCGTGGGGGATGGTGACGTGGGGTAAGAAGGCAGGTGCTTGGGGGAAGGGCGTCGAGGGTTTGGAGGAACGTAAGAGGGGGGAGGAAGAAGCTCAAAAGGTGGAGGAAGTCAAGGATAACGGTATGGAGGGGAAGGGCCGGTGATTGGGAGCATGTTGAGTTATTTTGCTTGGCTTAGAGAGCGACGATGTCTGGATTCATCTGTCGAAGTTCAGAGTGTATATAGTAAGAGCTAGGGTACAGAAGACGTTGGAAATAATGGATTTATACGTCGAACTACAATACCCAACCTATGCGCCATAAACCCGATACTTTGGCCAAGCCGACCTTGACCCGATAACATAACACATTGTGTTATTATACAAATGTACACAGACAGCAGGCTCTCGCCCGCCCAAGTATCTGCTAGCGCTTCAGAGTCTCACATTTGCGCCAATCTTCCCGCCCTGAAACCAAATCGTCTCTCTCCATTCCCCAATCCTAATCCCCACATGGGCGAAAGCAGTCAACTTCAATTGCCCACCCAATGCCTTTCTAATCGCCTCATACCCCACGGAACCTAAACTCCAGTCTACTGGCAGCCTCGGGGTTTCCGAGAGACCAGGCGGAACCGCAAACGGTAGCTCATACAGAATCTTGCCCGATGGGTGGCCTTCATAATATGCAGTTGCGTTGAGCGAATTTATGAACATGGTGGTCGAACTGAAGGGTGAGGAGAGGGTGAAAACCGCAGTTGAGGAGATGAGGTGCATTGTTGCGTCGCGGATGAAGTGCGGTGAGTCATCTGGTTTATCTGGGTCATCCGGATCGGAAGGATCGTCGCCATCGGAGGGTTTTTTAGGAGTCGAGAGGTGGGGCGTAGAAAACGTAATAGGGAAATTGGACAGTAGTTTACCAAGGGCTGGTTGTGCGGGGATGGAGCCGCTATGGGCTTGGAGGGTTAAGGATGTGTTGAAGCCTGTATAGTGTCTGTTAGTAGAGTGGTATGAGTGGCGGCAGACGATGTATACCTGAGACGTATTGGGAGAGTAGCTCTTTCCCTACTTCTTTCCCTTCCTCGCCACCGTTTGTCAATGGGTCCCATACAGCTGAAATGAGAAGATTGGTGTTGTTTCCAGCATGAACTTCAATGTCCTTCGCAGTCGCTTGTCCTAGCTTTGTTCCATTGACCAAGATGTTGATATTAAAGTACGGTACAGTCGCAGAGTAGTTCGTAGGATTCGTAAGATTGACATGCGCTTGTAGAATGATCGATGTAGATGAGGTGTCCACAATAGAGAGGTTGCCAATCTTCAGGTTCACAGCACTAGTCTTGTTTTTATCATCGTCGCCTTTATCGCCGCCGCCACTTCGGATTGCTGGACGCCCAGAGTTAGCAATTGCCAAAGTAGCGGACCAACATGGATCACGAACTGGTTACGAACGTTTGACTGGTACAACTCCCTGTGCAGGTATGCCTCGCACTGCAAAATTGCCCATTGGTGTATCCACGCCGACGCTGACTGCGGCTTTGATGTCCATCATGACTGATTTGCCACCGAATAGAAGGGCTTGTACGACTTCGCTGAAAAGGTCGTCATCTAAGATTTCTATGGGAGCCTTTTGGATATCGGATTCAACCAATAGTGAGGGACTTTCGTTGCCATGACGGTCCACTCTTGTCGAGTTAGCCTTTTGCCATTTATCAAGATTCAGTTTCCCAAGCTTCTTCTTGTGGTAGAAAATATCAGCGTCTGCCTTGACCCGTTTGACATTTAGAGGAAAGTTCATCTCATTTGGTAGTCCAATGTCGACCTTGACAACAGCGGAGATCTTTGGCGCTGCCTCGGGAGTTCCAGGTTCAGCGAATGGATCTGGTAAATGGAAGTGTACGTCTGCCAAAGAGAAGTTCTTAATGAGGTTACCCATATCGCGTCCAGCGAATGGGACCGGAACTGTGATATCCTTGAGCAGATCGTGCGCCCAACTAGGTGTTGATGGATCCGGAAACTGACAACAATTGATGTAGATGGTGGCATCGTCGCCTTTCATATAGTCGCCCAAGAACGCATCTAGCGGTGATTTGGCTGAATCGGGGCAGACCTCTGTGAGAGAGTCTGAAAGCCTCTCGACGTTCCCGGTGACATTCACTTCGAGGTCTGTCTTGGGCTTGACCTCAAGTTGCCCAGTCTCGGCGGTTCCAACCTTAATGTGTTTATCCGAAGGCGAGCACCCACCGATAAGAACGTCAACGGCTACTGGGGGAACAGTAATCTGTACTGGGAATTCGTTTGTCACTACTATCGAGGCGTCGGCGCCCATGCCTTGACGCCCGTGCTGAGCCTCGCGGAGATTGAGCTTCGTGATGTTGTAGTGTGGGAGGGTAGGAATGTCGCCGCCTTTGAAGACCATGGACTGCTCAACCAGCTGCTTGCCGATGTTGATCAGTCCAGACTTGAGAGGAACCTGAGCCTTCCCAGTGAGCCTTATTTGCCCGAGTCGCCCCTCAATCCAGTCGTTTGCGATGCTTCGAATGCCGTCGGGCGCTCCAGGCTCTAGGGTTGCAACAAGCGAAATATGCGTAGTATGCCCGTTCCTGATGTTGACCTTGATGCCAGGCACCTTGGCCGTGCCAATCTGGACGTTGCCGTAATCGGGCAAATACACATCGACGTTCGTCGGCCCAGTCTCTACCTCTCTTGCGATCCACGTTCCAAAGCGCCCGAGGTTACGTACACTCTGCTTCTCTACCCTGGACGCATCCATCTTGAAGTCTCCTTCTATATGCACCTTGGCACCGTGGTCCGTCAATCCGTCGAGTGACAAGTTGGTAGGGTGGAACTCGGCTGCCTGCATGGCATAATCCTGGATGCCCTCCGTCGCAAAGAATCCGAGCATGATGGCTACAACAACTATGCATAACACGACCAGCGCGAGTATACTGGGCCATCGCCTCTTCCATACTGGTGCCTTGCCGGCGGCGGACGACCCGCTTAGCGATCGCAGCAGCGACGTGGTCGCCGGTGTTTGTGCCTCAGCCTCTTGCCCATAGTCGGGTCTATCTTCTTGGGCAAGCAGCGGCGTCTGCTCTGCCGATCTGCTCGAGTGCTGTGAACGCGCTGAGGGCGACGAGCGGGCTGATTTCTGGGAGGCCGGGCGCGAACTAGGCGTGCGGGTGGAGCCCCACGTCCCCTCGGGCGTGTCCATGACTGTGCGGGTAATCCAAAAGGAACGAAGGGTAGTGAAAACGCTAGGAAATCATGCGTCGTAGAGTCGCGGTCGTGGTAGAAGTGAAGGGCAGCAGGATGAGAGGACTCGGGTGGTTGAGACGGTTGTCTTCGTCATGAACTCAGCCACTTGCTGGGCGGTCGCTTCCTTGTCCGGGGCCTCTGATTAGCGCGAACCCCAGGTTCCACTATCGGATGCGCCGTGTCACGATACGGGCGTATGACTCTTCCGCAGGCCAGTGAAGCTAGATCGAGGCTTCTATTCACTTGATCAAGCTTCTGCCCAGCAATTGAATCACTATGCCGTTCTTTCGACCCTCGACCGCCGCTTTGCGAAGCTTGCGCCGCTGCTACTCGACCTCGCCAGCTGCTCCTCCTACGTCTCCATTCGCGCCTCGAAGCCTGCTCTCCATAGCTGACCTCACCCCCGCTGAGCTCACTACTCTCGTCCGAAATGCACAACAACACAAGACGGCAATCAAGTCGGGGACTGGAGAGATCCCACACTCTCTCCGCGCGGCATTGGCAGGGAAGACCGTCGCAATGACCTTCAGCAAGCGGAGTACGCGCACGAGGGTGTCGACGGAAGGTGCTATTGCGATGCTGGGAGGCTCACCCATGTTCTTGGGCAAGGACGATATACAATTAGGTGTATGAGCTTACCTATCCCCCTAAAGCTGCATCTTCAAACATGTCGAGTACTCACCCAAGGCTAGGTTAACGAGTCCCTCTACGACACAGCCCTTGTCCTCTCCAGTATGACGGCTGCCATTGTCGCCCGTGTAGGCCCGCACTCTGACGTCGCGGAGCTCGCAAAGCACTCGACAGTCCCCGTCATCAACGCACTCTCCGACCTATACCACCCGCTCCAGATCATCGCCGATTTCTTAACAATAGCGGAGATCAATCCTTCAACGTCTTCCTCTTCTCTGGGCCTCGAAGGCTTGAAGATTGCATGGATTGGCGACGCGAACAATGTCCTGTTTGACCTTGCCATTGGCGCAACAAAATTAGGAGTAGACATCTCAGTGGCAACACCAAAGGGCTATGGGATTCCCGCAGAGATGCGTAGCGTCATCGAACATGCTGCACAAACTTCGCCTAGGGCTGGAAGACTCTTCGAAACCACCGTCCCCGAAGAGGCCATCAAGAATGCCGACATTCTCGTAACAGACACCTGGGTATCAATGGGTCAGGAAGAGGAGTCGGCGAGGCGACTCAAAGCCTTCCAAGGTTTCCAAATCACGTCCGAGCTCGCAAAACGCGGAGGCGCAAAGGATAGCTGGTCATTCATGCACTGCTTACCTCGCCATCCAGAGGAAGTCAGCGATGAGGTCTTCTATGGCCCTAGGTCAGTGGTCTTTAGGGAGGCTGAGAACAGGTTGTGGTCTGCCATATCTGCCCTAGAAGCCTTCGTGGTCAACAAGGGTAAGATACAGTGACTAGATCCGTGGTTCGAGTAGCAATACTTGTCTTGGGGACTATACTAATGCACTGGTTTCATGGAGCTTGGCTCGGTTAGCTGGAAGCTCCAGTAGTAGACCATGGACCTTCGAGGAGATGCACATGCGAGCAGGAACATGGAATATCAAAACTGTATCAAGAATTGAAAACAGTGGGTATTTTATTGATGTATGTCGAAGATGGAGTACTGTGATCATTTCGAGCCGCCATAAGAGGCCATGCCATGCGGCTCTCCCCCTTGGCCTTCTGGCGTGGGGTCGTGGTGCCGGATCCGGTCGATCCTGTGGATACGTGGACACCATTGCGATGGTCTTCGGATGAGCTTCCTAACATGACTTTAGCGTGCCATTGCTGGAGATGTTGAGAATCCAACATGCGCTCTTCGACCCTGAGCGCGGCCGTGAAACGGGCAAGTCAGCTCATATATCAATGCTACAAAATATAACACAAGTGATTCGCTTTCATTTACGGCGTGTTGGCGGTAGAGGGTGGTAATATCGGTGCAGGATGGTCCGTATTACCGAAGTGGAGCACTTCAGACGCGAACCCAGCGCCTTTCGTCATCCCATGTGCACGTTGAAGTGAGAACTTTGAGGCTCCACTCCTCCCATCTATCCTCCTCTCTCCCCGCCAAACGCCCCCGGAAAAATTTGTACCTTGAGCGCGAAGCTCACTATGTTGTTGTAGCCCTTTTCCGAGGTATGCTTGCAGCTGCATGTGCTCTCCGTCTCCGCTGCGCGGCCGCTAATGCTTGAATGCGACATGAAAGGCTCGAGCCTCAGTACATCTTCTAGTAATTTATTAAGCCGTTATACAATTACGCGAATAGCATCGAAAGCGATCGTACCGTCAAGAAGAGATACCCTCCATTATTAGAACGTCATGGCCGCACGACGAGGAAGTCGCATCCTCAAGCCATTGCTTTATACAGCTGGTGTTGGAGCAATTGGCAGCGCAGCACTATACACCGTATACCGACCTCGAAACATTCCTGGCGCAGAAGCAGCGGCAGTTCCCCCACCTACGTATGGCGAGGGAGGTGTATTTCGACCGCCGCATTTCCCCAATGCGAAGAGTCGAGACGAACAGATTGCAGACCTAAAGCGTAGCGGCGGTGTCGTTGCCCACGTTGCAGACAAAGCAAAGAGATGGCTGGGAGGCAGCTCCACAGCATCACCGGCGGAGACAGAAGACGAGCCTTATGATCTGTTGATCATCGGTGGTGGTGCTACCGGGACGGGTATTGCGCTTGACGCTGTCACAAGAGGGTTAAAGGTTGCGCTTGTCGAACGCGATGACTTTAGTAGTGGCACTAGCAGCAAGAGTACAAAGCTGGTGCACGGAGGTGTGCGATACCTCGAGAAAGCCGTTTGGAACCTGGATTACAACCAGTAAGCGGCTCCGAAAATTGCTGCTACCGAGTCTAATGCGTTTGAAACAGATACGCCCTCGTCGTTGAAGCTCTCCGCGAACGCCGTTACTTTTTGGACACTGCCCCGCATCTGTCACAATGGCTTCCGATCATGATCCCGCTCCAGAAGTGGTGGCAAGCGCCTTACTTCTGGGCTGGCACAAAGTTCTATGATTTCCTCGCTGGCAAAGAGAACATTGAGAGCTCATACTTTCTGACCAAGAGCAAGGCCCTGGACGCATTTCCTATGTTGAAGAAGGAAGGCCTCGTCGGAGCCTTGGTTTATTACGGTACGTCTACCATTTGATTGCTTCGCAGCTAAGGCTGACACTGTTAGATGGTGCACACAACGATTCCCGTATGAACGTTTCACTCGCCATGACAGCCGCGTTGTACGGTGCGACTGTTGTCAGCCATCTTGAAGTCACTAGCTTGGAAAAGGATGCCAACGGTCGTCTCTGCGGTGCGCGCGCGAAGGATTGCGTTGCTGAATTGAACGGCAAGAAGGCAGAGGAGTTCACAATCAAGGCCAAGGGTATCATCAACGCTACTGGGCCTTTCACGGACTCGATCCGCAAGATGGACGATCAGACGGTTGAAGAAATCGTGGCCCCTAGCTCCGGTGTTCACGTCATTCTTCCTGGATACTACAGCCCTGCAAACATGGGTCTCATCGATCCGAATACATCTGACGGCCGTGTTATCTTCTTCCTACCATGGCAAGGCAACACGATTGCCGGTACTACTGACACAGCCTGCGATATCAAGAAGGACCCTGTCGCCGGTGAAGACGAGATTGACTGGATCTTGAAGGAAGTCAAACGCTACCTGCAACCGGATATCAATGTCAGACGCGGCGATGTTCTGGCTGCATGGTCTGGTATCCGGCCCCTGGTACGTGATCCCAAGGCTGGCAAGACCGAAGGTCTTGTTCGAAACCATCTTGTCACCAGCTCTCCTTCAGGCCTGCTTACCTGCTCCGGTGGCAAATGGACTACATACCGCCAGATGGCCGAAGAAACAGTCGATGAAGCGATCAAGGAGTTCGGCTTAGCAACAAAGTCACTCGTAAACCCCACCCTCGTCAGCGGAACTGCCGTCAAAGACGAAGCTCCTCTCGACGGTACCTGCCAAACTCACCGCGTCCGCCTAGTCGGTGCACATGGCTACTCCAAGACTCTCTTCATCAACCTAATCCAGCACTACGGCATCGAAACTGATGTTGCCAAGTACCTATGCCAGGCTTACGGTGACCGCGCTTGGACCGTTGCTGCCCTATCCGCACCAACGGAGCAGCGCTTCCCCGTTCGCGGTAAGAAGATCTCCGGCCTGTATCCCTTTATTGATGGTGAAGTGCGGTACTGCGTCCGCCACGAGTACGCACAAACCGCCACCGATGTTATCGCACGCCGCATGCGCCTCGCGTTCCTGAACGCGCAAGCTGCCCTCGAAGCCCTGCCTACTGTTATCGACATCATGGGCGAGGAGCTCAAGTGGGATGCTAAGCGAAAGGAGAACGAGTGGAAGAACTCTGTTCACTTCCTTGGATCCATGGGTCTTCCCAAGAACAAGCTCGCTCTGACCAGGAAGGACGTGGAGAGCGGCCACGTTGGCAAATACACGGATGAGGATTACCACCTTTACGCAAGACATGGTGAGTCTTCCAATCCCGATTCTGACGCTAAGGCTTGTCAGAATCTATTCGCGTTTGGGATTAGGCTGAATCAAGTTTTTCTAGATAAACCGGATGAGCTGCTTGAGACGGATAGCAAGTTTGCGGCTGGTCATAACCCTGTGATGGGCAATAATTCAAAGGCCAACAAATAGACGTATCCTACGGTCTCGCCTTTTCGACATAGAACCGGTTTCTAAACATAGTTGTTTACTCGGTCGGGACTTCTCATACCGCGCGTCACCTACTCTCTCATCACTGTATATTGTTCTTGCATAGTCGGCGCGTCTGTATGCGTGGAGTATCTGGCCACCACGGCGTTCAGTATGCGCATGCTGTATATATTTCTTTTTATCATAGTCGAAAGAATCGGACTCGCTCCTACATTGCTAAATCAGTACTACATCCCTTTGTAATTAATTAAGCATACGTATGTGACTTCTGTCGTGCACTTTCAGCTTGGTTTTCAAAGACGCTTTTAAACCTCTCAGTTGAGTTATCGTTGCATGACCTTGTAGGCGGTATCGAAGATTGAAATCTTTTTCTCATACATGTACATCATAGATACACCCGCAACGCCGATGGCGCCAAAAGTCCTTCCTCCTTTTCGATTTCCAGTAGCTTATCGCGTAATTTTGTTTAATCAGTCAACTCATTTGCTCTCGTAACTTCCTCTTTCATCTCTCTCCCCTTTCGCGCCAACAAGTTCAAGGCGCTTCCCGCCAGGACGAAACCGCACTGATCGTGTGAGAGTGTGTGCTTGGTCTTGATCACGTGTTCCTGGCCGTTCCTCTTCTTTACTAAAAGCTCCACCTGGCCCTTTCCGCCGCTATGTAAAACGTCGAGGAGTCCTCTTGTGGCAACTTCATCGCATGCCTCAAGCAAGTCATAGTCCTCCTCGTTGGCGAAGGTGAGAGGTACGACGCCCTGTTTCTTCAAGTTCGTCTCGTGGATACGTGCGAATGACTTGGTCAGAATTATGCGGGCTCCGAGGTACCGTGGTTGAAGGGCAGCATGCTCTCTTGCGGAGCCTTCACCATAGTTGTGCTCCGCAACAACGAGCCATTCAATACCCTGATCACGCCACCTTTTCGCAAGTTCTGGGATACCAGAAGTCTTCCCATCGATGTCGTAGGCTACATTTACTTCATCGGTTTGTGCGTTGACCGCACCGATAAGTGTGTTCTCCGAAATGTTGGGTAGATGGCCCTTGTACTTCAACCAAGGACCCGCAGCAGAGATGGTGTCTGTAGTACATTGCCCTTTGACTTTATACAGGATCCTTAATCCACCTAGCTCTGTATCCGGGAACGCCGGGAACGGGTCAAGGAGTGCTAAACGTGTGGACGTAGGCGAGACGATAACATCGACGCTGGAATCCGGCACGCCCGGTGTAGGTAAGAAGTCCGGGTTGCCTGTTGCGAAGCCCGTAGACGGTAGATCTGAGCCTTTCGGTGGTGAGAATTTGAACGATTCGCCAGAGGGCGTAGGTATGCTGTCGGTCATGGGGTTGAAGGTTGTAGAGCCAGAGTACGACATTGCTGTGATTAATTCAGGGGAAGCGAGGAAGTTCATGGTCGCGCGGTTACCGTCATTACGACCTGGGAAGTTGCGGTTGTACGATGTCAAGATAGCATTTGCTTCGCCCTTCTTAACACCATCAGTGCGTGTCCATTGGCCGATACAGGGCCCGCAAGCATTTGCCAGAACAGTGCCGCCAGCTGCTGTAAATGTGGAGAGTGTGTTGTCGCGTTCAAGTGTTGCGCGGATCTGTTCGCTACCAGGTGTGATGAAGAAATCCGCTTTAGGCTTGAGCCCAGCTGCTGAAGCTTGCTTGACGAGCTCTTCGGAGCGCGTCATGTCTTGATAAGAACTGTTTGTGCAGCTGCCAATCAGACCTGCGCCGAATGTGCGTGGCCAGTCCTTTTCTTCAACGACAGACTTGAACTTGGATAGGGGTGTGGAGAGGTCAGGGGTAAAGGGTCCGTTGATGTGAGGTTCGAGATTGGAGAGGTTAATTTCGATGACTTTGTCGTAGACGGCTTCGGGGTCGGGGCGTAGCAGGTTTCGGTCCATGGGAAGCTTTGCAATGTCTGAGGCTGCTTGAGCTATTGGTCCGCGGTGGGTTACTTGGAGGTAGGGTACATGAGCTGGAGAGAATGGAAAGAGAGAAGTCGTCGCGCCGACTTCAGCGCCCATGTTGCTAAATTTGTTAGTATATGAGTTATTTGATATGCGTTGGCGGGTAAATCTTACCAGATCGTGGCCATGCCCGTACAGCTCAGCGTTTGTACACCAGGGCCAAAGTATTCGATGATGAAGCCGGTACCTCCCTGGAACTAGTCAGCATACCCTATCACGACCAACGCAGCATAATAACGTACCCGGACTGTGAGTTGACCAGCCAAGTGTAGAATGACATCCTTGGGAGATGCCCACCCACTCAGTTCACCAGTGAGCTTAACACCCAACACTTTAGGGGCCTTTAGCTCCCACGGCGCATCCACAAGAGCATCTACGGCGTCCGCACCACCCACACCAATCACAATCGCACCTAGTCCACCAGCATTGGGCGAGTGACTGTCCGTCCCCAGCATCATGAGCCCAGGAGCCGAGTAATTTTCCAGAACAGACTGGTGGATAATGCCCGCACCGGGTGGCCAGAACTCGATTCCATATTTCTTCGCAGCCGACTCCAAGAAGTCAAAGACCTCTTTATTGCCCTTGATTGACTGCGGAAGATCGGTATCCGCACCTTTCTCGCCCTATCGGTGTTCTGTTAGCGTAGTGTTTGATGTATCCAGGAGGGGTTCAATGGTCCAAAATTGAAGCCATGGTGGATTGGTGGAGAAAACGTGCTGCCTTTGCGACATGCCTGTCACGCTGTGTAAGAGAAAGAGGCACAGACTATAATCATGTGGTCGCAGTGTATGCTCGCAGGGACAGCCGTCGAAGGCAATCCGCAAGACATGAACTGCAGCAGCGCCATCTGTGCCGAGGCATCCTGCATCGCAACGCGGTCGGGCTTGAGCTTGAGATTCGCCTGACCACGAATGTCTCTGCCATTATTCGTATTGGACAGCAGTGACTCTTCCGGGCTTTCGAGATGCGAGTATAGGATCTTTTCCGCAAGGGTCAATTGGCGCGAGGAGCCTAGTACCCGTCTGACTTCCGCGAGGCGCGAGAGGAGCTTTTGGTACGGTGGTGTGCGGGAGGCGATGTCGACGTTGCGCGCGGAGGGCACATTGTGCGTTGTGGCGAGATGTCTTCGCGGTACGAGATGTGGGTGCGGGAAGGATGAGAGTATGCGAGACTGTCCATGTTAGTCTTCAATTTCACGGTTTGTTGTCTCTTGAATGGGTGGTGCCGGTATGACTGATAGCGCATGGAGCCTCTTTTACGATGGGTTTTGTGGACTCGTTTGGAGATCAATGGAATACAAAAATCACTCACCCTGCAGTTAGCGGCCTGTCCAGCTCGAAGCGCTTGCAACCGCATCTTCAAGGCTTGTCTGAGGCGTTGATGCGGCGACAGTAATCAGAGGCGCAATTGCGGAGGATACACAAAAAAGTCCGGAGCGATTTCGGCCTTCGGCAGCTCGCGACAGGGCGGACCTGGAGAACCCCTGCAGGCTTATTGTCTGATCGCACATTGGCTAAAAGTCACAGTATTGTCAAAAACGCCAGCATGCCTTCAAGTGAGTTAGGAAAAGGATCATAGAGCTTTAAAGTGGGATAGGTTACTTGGTTTGAATTGTTTTTTTGCTATTTATGATATAGGTCGTGTGGTCTTTGTCATGCCCAGTCGTCTCTGTACCCATTCAAATCATCCACTACCATCCAACAGTCACACTCCCCATAAGCCCCACTCAAGTCCTCCATATGTATCCAAAGCAATAATATGCTGTTTCACTCCCCGATATCCTCATATACGTAGTACCCACAATAACAGTAGTACATCCAACGCAACAACTGCGCCCGCAACAATCAACACAACACCCTGATGCACCCAGCTCAATCTCTCCCTGCGCGTCTTCATACTCAACACCGAAAAAATGCATAGAAACAACGTCACGATTGTGCCAAAAAGGACCACCGCATCCACAACGCCTCTTTCTTTTTTACGACTAGTCACCGTCATGAGGCCTAGAATTATATCAACCACCATAGCTGTTGCTAAACATGTCGAGTAGAATCGGAGTTTGGTCATTTCCGTTTTATGCTGGCGGGTTTCCAGCTCACCGAGTAGTGTTCTACGCTCATGTAGAAGCTCGCGATCGTGCCATGGATCGCGGACGGAACGGACGAGGTTGCTAATATGGCCAGCTTGCAACGGGGGCTTCATAGACGGAATTGTGCCGTAATTGGTAGCGCGTGCTGAAGGCGGTTCGTCAATCGCGTCCTCCTCGTCCGAAGTACCGTCTTCAGTTGCGGAAAGCGATGCTAGATCAGACTTGTCCCGCATACCGAATAGCTTCCTGGTCGTCTTCGTCCAGGCTTCAACCAGCCCCTGTCCAGGGTATGTGATAGGTGCATCAGGATCAACGTAGATGTAGTAGCCAGACTCTTCGTCCTCGGGGTTGTCATACTCGTTCCAGTAGCGCTGTTGCTCCGGTTCTTCGTCTGCTCGAACAATCGGTGGGGGGTAGTCTGAATATGGCTTCCGGTGCTTCTTCCTAAAGGCTCGTAGTGGCGGTGGATCGACGAATTCTTGCGCCGACGTTGCAGAAGACTCTCCGTTTCGAGATGCGAGAGGGCTCGATTGCCCGTCATATGAAGTATTGGACGTTGACGTAAGTGGCGGCGAGCCATGAGTTTGCGAACCAGTGGCACTGCTCATCGTCCTGCGACTGCGCCTTCTGACCGGCTCGGGCAACTTTCGTATGTCTTTCTCCAGAAGGGGCATCCAGATTGGCGCGGACATGGCACTAGGCTTGCAGCATGTCCATACAGCATGCACTTCCAATGAGAAACCACGTACACGCTCCACCAGATGGCTTCGATCCAAGGTCTGAATGAGGGCCGTCGCTTGATTGCCCTCGCGGCGTACCTCTAGAATGGCGTGGGGGAACTTCACGGAGTCTGAGCGGGCTGCAGAAGCCCAATCGTCGTTTTCGAGATATCGGTGCAATGAATCCTTCATGAAGACATCCCTATCCAGAGTCGCCCAGATACCTCCTGCAGAGTTGTTGTGAAGTCCGATGAGCCTAGTACGCTTCGAAATCGCGCCGGCGATGGGTTTGGTCTCTGTGTGCTCCGCCAACCATTGTCCAACAGCGGTAGTACTGCTTTGAGAACCGCCCTTCGGTTGTGCCTTATGGCTATCGGGACGTTTGACATGATCTGTTCCCGAAGAATGCTCTTCAGGATCCAGTAGGGTTTGCAGCTTCTTTCGCTCCAACTTCGCTGTCGTAGTGTTGATTGATGATTGCCCGGGGGCATCGGGTCCAGTGCATAAAACGACCGCTGCCTTCCCAGACGAAACACATCGTACGTTGCCTGCCGCTCTAATGCCAATGTTTCCTTCTTTTGCCTCACTTGATCCTATTGTGCTTGCGTTTTGCTTGATCGCGAACGCCTCCGCATGGTCCAAAATGACAAGACCAACTTCATCCTCATTCCCAAAGCATTTATCAACATTGGTCGCCGAAGACTGGCTGCGGGTAAGTGTCGGGTTGCCGGTAAAAAGTTGCATGTACTGAAGCAGCAACACCTGTACTTCAAGGAACTGATCAGGGTGGATCCAGTAAGCAGCTTTGTTTCCATTGGAGCCTAGTGGAACTGTGGTCAACGCCAAATCAAAGTCTAACTCATCCCCCCGTTCGAGAATTTTCGAGACGCGCGCAGCTGATGACTGGATGTTGGTATCCTTGTTGTGAGCTGCAGGTGTGCCGTCGGCGTCGAACACGGAGCGAAGGGCGCCGAGAACATCAATGTAGTGGTCGAGCAGGTAGCCCAAATCCAGCTGAAAGAGGCTGTCGGGACGGCTACTAATTTCCTCCTTAAAGATACCACTAAGTTCTTTGTCCTTGGTCCAGCGTTTGTACTTCTTCAAAATCTTGGTAAAGCCTGTCCGTTGTGTTATTTGGAATCGCGATAGCGAACGAATCTCCTCTGCAGTCCTAGTTTGTGTTAGCGACTAGGTAACTGGTGGACTTGACTCCAGCCCAGGTTACGTACTTTGAGACGTCGGCGTCGATCTTTGCGTATTTCTCGATAGTTCTGGCGGGCAGGCGCGCACTTGGCGAATTGGTACTACGCTTCGCCCGGAGCTGTTTTAGACTCTTACTGATGTGGTCCAATCTTCGCTCGATCTCGCCGCTTTTGCTCCGAACGAATAAATTGATGCGATCATGTTGCGCTTGTAGGACTTTTAAGAAGGTGCCTCTGAAGGCATTCTCGGTGCTTTCGCCCTGTCCAGGTATCGAGACGGCTTTATTGGTACCCGGCGTGGTCTGGTGTTTGATGAGGTCTTTGAGGTAGTCGTAGTCGATGTTGTCTGAGGGACGCCGAGCGGTTAGCCCGAGGTCTTGAGACAGGAAGAGGCATGACGTCGGTACTTACAATGGCCCCATTCTGGTATTGACCGTTGGCGAAGGGTATCGCCGTATTTCATGCCAGCGATTGAGTATGGAGAAGGACGATTGACGGGTCAATTGGGTGGTGCATGCGACTTTTGTGGTTTGCAGTAGACGGACGGCGAAGGGCCTACGCGTCGGTCAGATAAGGAGGCATGGCGGGACAGAATCCTGCTTGTTGAAACGCAACTTGGTACAGGAGATTGCATTTGAGCCGGTAGAGCAATCTACTTGGCTTGGGGAGGAAACAAGTTTGCGGAGTTCTTACCGTTGCTTCTACGTGTCCGACTGGAGAGGGCGATAACAATGTTGTGTGCTGCTAACAGGTACCGCGCGGTTTGGTTGAGATGCTCGGGCGAGTGACGCAATGTCGCTTGTGGGCAGTTGTATCTTGGAAGGCGAAAGGAAAGGAGGAGGCAGCGAGCGGAACAGCGTCAGGCACTTGTATAGGACATGGCAGTTGACAGAAGCAGGAGAGGCGGAGGACATGGGACCAACCACTACTGTTGGTCGGCGCATAGCGACGGTCGCATCCAAAGAGCCAAGTGCGTGCACGCTATGTGATCCTGCTTTGGTGGTGCAGATCCCTGCAAAGCACGTGCAGGGGGTCCATGAGAGATAGCCGGCCGCTCTCACTTTTGCGCAAACGGCCCTATCGCAGGAATGTTCCGTTGCGTGCTGGAGGAGGAGAACTGCCGCAACCTTGCAGCCCATCCTGGGTCGGCTGCAAGCACAAATCTACCAGTTCGGACGCGTGCTTCAAACGACAATGGTAACATGCCATGGACCCAGACAGGTCCGCTCCTCTCGAGATGAAAGCCATCGATTTTGCTTTGCAACCTTGACATGTTGCATCTATTCAGCCAAGTGTAACAGTTTGCCGTCAGTGGTACTTCCATCTTGGCAACGTGAGGAGAACAAAGACAATTCTTACACCGGCCCAAAGAGTCACTCGTGATAAGCCCGTTCATCTCGGAAGCGACCGAGACCCACCACTGCAACGCTACTCATTGGAGAGAACAGCTGGATACCTTCACTCGAACTCATCCTACCCTACCCGCAACGAGCAGCCCACAAATTCGTACCCACAGCACATCCCCACTCTGCACCAGGCAGGGTCCCCCGAAGTGGGCTAATATATGCGTTGAGACGGTTGAGTTGAGTGAGCGGGACTGTGGTGATGGCGATAGAGCAGCATTGAGTAAGCCCGTTTGGTCAACTATGATTACAAGCCGTTGCAGAGAAAGTTTCAGGCTTGACGCGACTAGTCACAAAGAAGCCATCCTATCTGCTTACTAACTCAAGTCTCCGCAAATTCATGTCGTCTGTCAATCGAGAGACGCAGCTTTATCGCTCCCCTAGCAAGCATACTTGCCGAACCGTTGCCGCCAAGCTCTAGAAGGAGCATTACGCATAATCGGGGCTGCGGGCCAATGCATTCTTTAGAGGTTGGCGCTGCAGGTGTGAGAGGTGGTCGTCTGCTCTCCTGCCTAATCTAGTCAAACTAGCTAGGGCATCATCTATCGTTCTGTGGGTTTGTGGGTGTTATTGTGTTATTCCCGCGTCGGCTTGAGTTTAGACTTCCAGCCCAAGAAATCACCATAGCGCGTTGAGCTACGATCCTAACTTTTCATTTGTTCCATTAGCAGACAACGGGTCACGCAAATAATAGCTTGATAGCTTGACGCAGTTCAAGGATCCAGATTAGTGCTTGGACTCGCTAGCTTGGACGAATGTAACCTACGACCTAGGATACGATATCGCCCGCGGAGAGAGAACGCCACATTTATACATAGAAATCGAAACGCCTTCACGTTTTTATCCATAAATCAACCCAATGCCGCCCAATCGTCCATGGAAGGGCTTAACCCGGGGGAAGCATGCTGTTATCGACAACGTCCTGTGCCTCCATCTCTTCCACTTCAACAGATCCATGAAGTGGGGAACGTGGCAGAGCCATCAAACCTGCCTCATCGTTAGTAATGCACCTAGTGTGTAGCAGAGACAAGGGTACTGACCAGTCCTCGCAGACTCCAGGATACCAAAGGGAGCAATGAGCTTCATAAAGGAGTCTATCCTCGATGACTTTGCAGAGACCTCCACAATACAGTTGTTGGTGCTGATATCCAGAACCTTTCCTCCGAACTGGTGGGTCATGAAGGTGATAGCTCGCAGATGCTCGTGCTTGTGGCGGAGAGCCTGACTAACGGGGAGGTTGGTGGGGTGGTAGTCCTTCCTCAAGGAATCACGGGCAGCCTCCTCGGCAATGGCACTTCGCTCCTCCTCGGACAGCTCTTCTGTGTTGAAGCCTATTTCTTGTTCGGTCGTTTGGGCCATCTCTCGATGGTGCGCTAGCAGCTCCTCGAAGTACTCGGGGCCAAGAATGGACACCTTGGCAAGGAGCAGCTCGCGCTGGACGAGCGGAGACTGTGTGTAGTCCAGCACAGCCCAGACGGGTACCAAGTCCTCGAGCTGGCGGCGGGCCTGCTCTATGACTCCGTCTTGACCTTGCAGGACAATGGTCATCCGGGAGAGGTCATCCACCTCGGTATTGCACACGACCAAGCTGTCAATGTTGAAGCCGCGAGCAGCTAAGATGCCAGAGACACGAGAGAGCACACCAGGCTCGTTCTGGACCAAGCAATTGAGGATATGACGCTTCGGGGGAGCTTGAGATGGGAGGGGGGTCTCGTAGAGGATGCTGCTGACGGCAGCTGGCGCAGACCAGGCAGGAGGGCGGTCTTCGGTCGGGAGCGGTGCAATACGGCGGTGGAGAGCTTTGTAGGCTATGGCCTGTGTCGACGAGTTGCTCGAAGCTCTGTACTGCTGGCGGGCAGCACTGGCGCATTGCCGATTGAGCAAGCTGCGCAGGGGCAGGATAGCTCGCCGTGATGCCATAGTGATAATGGACTCAGCGGACTGTCGCTCGAGGGTGAAATTGGCGGGGAGAGCAAGTATACAATACAAGGGGGAGAAGAGTGTGTTCCAGACGACGGGTGAATTCAGAGTGCCCGGAATTTGTGACTGGCTCCCCGATAATCGGTTGGGGCAAGGGCAGGGTTTACCGCCGCGGCTCGCTTGGCGGGCGGACGTGGTGGACTGCTTCTTTTCTTGCTGGCTCATTCGCAATCCTCCACCTTCAACTGCAACACACGCCAACTTTTTGCCGAGAACATGTCTGACGAACGCCGCCCGCGATCGCGCTTTGATAGCGACGACGCTGAACGCCCAGCACGTTCTCGCTTCGACACAGAGCGCCGCTCCAGGTCACCGTCGCGAAGGGAGCCCGAGTCGCATCGCGCACGCAGCCCCATTGCGCGCGAGGCCTCAGACAGCCCCTCGACCGCCGGCGCCACGAAGAACAAGGCTGCTGCTGCAGCGGCCGCGGCGGCTGCGAGGATCAACGCGCAGATCCAGGCGAAGAAGGGCATTCAGCATGTAGATGTGCCGCCTATTCGCTCTGTAAGTTCACCCTGGGGAGGACGCTGCCACGTACACCTAGCCAGATACTAACAAACAGTCTGCAGGTGCCTACTCCTCCAGTCGTCAAGTCGCCTTCTTCCAACTCGGCCGCGCAGTTGAACAGCGAGACGTACCAGCAAGACGGTGACTACATCAAGGACATTGAGATCAACGATCTCCGGAACCGATATACACTGACCAAAGGAGCTGTACAAAAGAGGGTAAATAACAACTTTTGCTGTTCACCACTGATCGTCTAGGATCATGTCTTCCCCTTGACTTGCAGCACTGCTCGTATTTGACAGTGTCGTAATGCTCGAGTTGGGCCTTGTGTTGGCCCAAGTCTCCTCGTTGAGAGCGGAGCTCACTTGATCTTCTAGCTGCCCCACACCCATTTATCAAATGCTGACCTCGATGTGACATCTAGATCAAAGACGACACTGGCGCCGGTACGCAAACCCCGCATACTTTTGTTTAACCCTTTAGAATATCCTGCTTATACATGCCCAAGATGTCACCACGCGAGGCGAATACTACCCTGACAAGAACATGGCTACTGTTACTGTAAGTCTATCCAGTGCCGTTCCAACTAACCAGTAGCTAACCCATGACGTAGAACCCACCTCTCTATCTTCGTGTCACGAGCACGTCCAAGGACGGCCTGGACTTGGCTATCAAGATGATCGAGGATATGATGAAGGAAGACCTCCCTAACCTCGTAGATGAACGTCGGTTCCGTCGCCGCGAACCAGAGAACTTTGAGCGTGATGAATTTGGACGAGCATGTTCCCCCTCCGATTCAAACTCTTTACGTCGCTAACGTGTCTTAGCGCAAATGGCCCGAAGAGAAAATCTCCGTAGGTCTTGAACCCATTAGCGGCTTTAATCTACGAGCTCAGGTCGTTGGCCGTGGTGGCGACAACGTCAAATACATTCAACAGGAGACAAGTTGCAAAGTCCAAATCAAGGGCCGTGGCTCAGGCTTCATGGAGCCCCAGTCTGGCCAAGAGAGCGATGAGCCTATGTATCTCCACATTGCGTTCGTATGCCCATCGCATAACCTCTTGTCTTTGCTAACGGGATTGCAGTGGTCCCCGTCCCGAAGGTGTAGCACAAGCGAAGCACCTCTGTGAAGAGCTCCTCGAAAAGGTAAAGACAGACTATCAAGCATTCAAGGACCGCCCGCCGCCAAACCGCTACGGCGATAGGGACGGCCACTCAAATGGACGACCAGGATATGGTGACCGTGGCGATCGAGGCGATCGCGGCGGCGACCGTGACCGAAGCCAGAGCTACGGATACGGTGGCGGAGGAGGTCATGGCGGTCATGGTGGCCACAATGGCCACGCAGCTCAGGACCCGGTCATGTCTCCTATAGCTGCAACACCGACCGATCCGAATGCTCAAGCAACCGACTACAACGCTCACCTTCAGTGGGCCGCCTACTATCAGGCAAATCCGGAATCAGATCCCTATGCTGCTTACGGTGGTTATGCAGCAGTTATGGCTCAATATTCGCAGGGTTACGGCCAGTACTACGGACAAGCTTATTCAACGCAGTCTCCTGCTCCTGGTGCTGGAGGTGCTGCACCACCACCACCTTCAGAGCCTGCTCCACCGGGTTATGGTGCTGCTCCTCCTCCGCCGCCTCCTGCCGGATCGCCTCCCGGCGGTTACAGCGCGGTATGTACACGATTCACCATGCATGGAACTTTCATTAACGCGCTGCAGGTCCCACCACCGCCTGGTTTGTAAGTGCTTGAAAACGACTATAGTTACGCACTTACAGCAGCCCCCCTTCTACTTGACCTCTTTGAATGAGCTCTTAGTTCGATCCTTTCTATATCAACTGATGTAGATACAATGGTTTCAGGCCCTTCCTTACGTGCTTTGGTACGATCTATCCATTCGTCACCACCTAGCCATGCAGATTGGACTCGCTTTCCTCAATCAGAGCCCGCAGCCTTATGGTACGGGCGCTCCTTGCCTACGGAACTTGGATTCAGTATAGTAGCTAGGATATCAATGCAACTACTTTTATACGTTTTCTATGGTTCAGTCAAGGGCTACTTTCCACGGAATTCGTGACGATCCTTGACCATCTGCCTACTCAGCTAATTTCAACCCATGATTCGCCCACCCCTTGTTGGTTTCTTTTGTCCCGCAGAAATTATGCGCACATGCTCAAACAGCTATACTTGGTATGGGAACAAGATGAACGGGCAAGGCTTTGCTTGGTGCAATGCGGTACATATTCTATTCCCTATCATGGTTATACTGCCAGTAGTGGTGTGTATCATTGCGGTTACCTTTTGAACGGCATGTCCACCGCTTGGTAAGTTGTAATTGTTAAAACAACCACAATACACAGCTGGATGATGACAAGTACTGCCAATTTGCTAAGACAAACTTCAGCGTTCCATTCTACTGTAGGCATATACATATTTCAAACATGACGTGATATAAATAACATTCACTCGTCTGTCTCCGTTACGTCTATTGAAGCGCCAGTCCATGCCGTAGTAAATACGTAGATATGCCCAGCTCCACGTGTGATATGCAACCCAATATGCCAGTATTACAAAACTTTGAAAGAGTGGACCCGGACAACGCCGTCGCTAAATGGAAGTAAACGGAGATGACAGAACGGCCAAAATGTAAGATAAGAGATACGTAAAACGCTAACAAGCCAGTGCATCACGTCTAGACGTGAAGGACGGTATCTCTTCGTAGTTTTCGTACTAGGGGGTTGAGACCTTGGTGAACTAGACATCAAATACGCCGACTTGTTTGACTAAGCAGTCGATCCGCCCGCTCAAACACATTCAGCGTGTTCGACGTCTGACTTGGTAATCTCGGTGTATTTGGCACCGTGGCTTGAGCTGCTGCGCCTAAAGCGGCGCTCAACGGTGTCGCAGGTACCGGCGTGCCGTAGCCACCTGAGCCCTGCGATCCAAGACTCGTGGTAGACCATGGCTGAGCTGAGAATGCCGAAGCGATCGCGGGTATTGACGTATTGATCGGGCCCGGGAACAACGCACCACCCCCCGTCGTCATGGTACCAGGCCGGTATCTGGGCGGTTGTGTCCGCGCTGTAAACGAAGACAAGGACGGCGGACCCATTAATCCTGGGTTGTTGCTCGTCAGATGTGACCACGGACTGTCATTAATAGCAAGACTAGCTTCCTTGACTGTCTTATGTAGCGGCCTCATGAGCTGTTTGACGTCACCACTCAACAACTTATGGTCCTTCCCCTGCTGTGTATACGCCACGGCGAGTTCCTGCCATGCCTGAAAGCAAATTGAGTCAGTGTAATCTTCTCAAAACATGTGAGACGAGGAAACAAACCTTGATGAAACCCATGCATTGCTGCCAGAACTCCGGCTGGCTACGGATATAGCTATCTTTGAGCTGCATCTGGGATAGGTGGCTGGCGAGAGGAACCGTCATCTGTTGGACCTCGTTGCTCTTATCAATGAGGCCCGCTAACGCTTTGATTCGGGGATGCTCGGAGTCTAGATCTCGCCGTAGTAGGTCGAACTGCTCCCGCATCAATCTAGTGATTTGCGGAATAGATGTTCTACAGCTATCGGACGCATTCCTGAGCTTCGAGTAAACTCGATCGAATTGAGCATCTTCGTCAGCTTCGTCAAAACTGCTGTTAAGGGTACTAGACCGGGACATAGATGGTGCTATCGTAGAGAAGGACTCTCCAGACCGAGGCGTGGCGGCACTAATGCTCGTCAAGGTGTTTGATCGGCTGTTGTCATTACTGTGCAATATCACTGGCGGAGGCATCTGATACCCGTTCCGTTGTGGCGGCGAGGCCTGGAACCGGCGAACCCTCGATGGTCGTGCACGAACTGTAGCTACAGGGTCGGCACCGCTAGGTCTGCGAGATGCTGCCGAGGTGTCCTTGAATTGTGCGCCCAGCACTGAGCAAGCGTTTCTCATCTCGATCATGCTTCCTTGTTGGAGAAACAGAAATGTCCGCATGATGTGTGCGTTCGCATTCTGTGTAATCTCAATGCGGTTTTCCGCAATTGAGAGACTGATCGACATGAAAGAGTCGAGACATCTCAGTGCGTACATGTACACACTTTTAGAGAGTTTTTGTGCGTCCTCCTCATCTTCTTCAACAAGCCTGTCGAACTTGTGTAGAACTTCGTTCAGAGCTCGTATGTTGAGGTACGTTGTCGAGTACCTGCGGTAAAAGTCTTCTTTCCGACGGAGGCCTTCCTTTGTCTTGGCCGTTAACTTGATTGATCGGACCATGTGCGAGACACAATCATGGAGCTGAGACACGGCATAAAGAAAGTTTTTCGCGGCTTCAACAACAATGTCGGGCGCACGAGATCCACGTCTGTGTTCGCGAACATCAGACAGTGGGCGATTCGCGAGAGATCTGACAGTACCTGTGTCTCCATAGCCAGCTGCTGTTGCGGGCCCCGACAAGCCATTAGCAACAGTATTAGCGGGGACGACGATGCCCTGACTAAAACCGCGGAAGTGGCTTGTTCTCCGTAGCTCATCCACCGAACCAAGCTCAGATGCCTTGTTGGTATAGATGCCCATGCGTTTTTGGCGATGGGTCGAAGGCCCTGAACCCTCACTTTGACTTCGGTTTCGCTCATTGTTCCCGCTCGTTAGAACCAACGGAGAGATTGGGGGCCTCTTAGCGACAGTGAGGCCATTGCTCGTTGAAGAAGCCACGCGAAAGTGGGAGCGAGTTGGAATAGGTGGAGCAGGTAGTCCAGGAGAATCGGCTTTGGTATCAGGAAAGCCATCTATGTTGCCTACGCTCGGTTTGACGGGAAATCGACCGCCGTAGGCTCGCTTCGAGGGGCGGGGCGTCTCCGGATTGCTCTCGGTCCAGCTCTCATCGCCTGATGACTCGACCCGCAATCGCTCCAGCTCAACTCGTTGTCGTTCCTTGGAGGCATGCTGGCGCATGAACCGTTTGACCTGAGTAGCAATGACGGCATCGCGCTCATTCTCATTCGCCGGAGACGGAGCATTGTCCTTGATGGTGCATACTTCGGGCGGGGGGAAGATCAATTGATTTCCGTCTAGCTTCAGAACCTGCAAGCTGTTGATTTCCCCCAGACACACGGGTAGCTCCTCAATCTTGTTCTTCGCAATGGCCAGCACCTTCAGAGACGTCAAGTTTGCAATCTTGGTTGGAATAGACCTGATCTTGTTCCTGCTCACGTCGAGAATCTCCAGCGATGTCATCTCGAGGATCTGGGGGGTATCAGCTTTCCAATTACATTACATGTGATGGTACAGAGAGCGGGTGGACAGACGGCATTGGGGATCTCGCGCATGGCATTGTAGCGCACATTGAGGTAGCGGAGGCGCTGGCATTCTACGAGCCGCAGCGGGAGGGTCGAGAGGAGGTTGTGGGAAAGAGCAAGCCTGGATATGTCAGTCATGGGCATCCAGGTGGAGAGGGTGCATTGGGGCATTGGGGAGCGGCGCACCGTTCAATCTCGAGGCGAATGACGTCGATGACCTCGTCAGGCAGGCGGGCAATGTTCTTGTGGCCGAGGTCAATGGTGATGCCGGGCTGTTGCTGCTGCAAGTCGCGCGGAGCCGTCTCGGCAACGGTACGATGGGTAATGTCCTGGCGGGAGAGCTCGAAGGCGGCCTTCGCAAGGGCTACGACCTCGTCATCCGAGATGGGCGTCGGCGCGTCGTTGCTCATTGCGAGCGGGCACGGGGATGGCCTGGCGGTACGGTGGCTTGAAGGGTCGCAGACATGCTGCTCGCGGTAGAGAACAGCGACCGTCAAGTAAGGAGCCCGGGTTGTTGGTCGTGATGCTGACCTGACCCTCCTCCCGCTAGCCTATTTAGTGTCGCCTGCCAGGTCCCGCATACCCCGACCTCGAAACACTTCAGCTCGAAAACACCATCAGCCTGAATCACGGGTACCTCCTAAGTGTCGTGGCCCCCGGAACCCCCTCCTCCTCCAGTGCGGGCGTTGCTGCGATATGGCCGAGGGCTTGATTGATAGCCCCTCACTCTCGCATTGCCCTCGCGACATGGACACCGCTGGCACAATTCTTCCAACGGCTCCCCATGACGATATTGTCGTTTGCCCTCCTTTCACCACATGCCAATTGCTTTGCTCTGCATGCTAGCACGCGAGCAGGTATCCAAACTCACAAACATGGTTGACATGCCATGTGCACCCAAACCCACCCCCCAGTCCACGGACGAACACCACATCTAATCGTCAACGCCTCATGCAGGTACGGCAATGTCAACCGACCTGGCGCTAACAAAAAGGCGCTATGGCAGGCCATCTGCGTCATCATTGCTCGCCGTTGGGCGCCCAACATGAATAAACTCCGGGCATTCTCATACTTCAACATTCGACAGCACTACTAATATAACGGTACCACACAATAGCTCATATGGACTATGACGATACTGTCCCGCCGGCAATCCGCCGCTCTCCCAGAGCTGCACTGGAGGTACAAAAGCTTGTGCAGCAGCGTCGGTATGACTACGATGATTCCGACCAAGATGAAGATGAAGATTCCGACGAGGCAATCCCACCCCCAATCGCTCGGAGTCGCTCAGCTTCACTGGATCGTGAGCAATCAAATCGTGCATCCTCATCAAACATAAACCCACTCCGATCCCACCCAGTGAATCAACACAAGAAGTTCTCTCGCCCCTTCGAACAGCTGCAACAAGCTTTCTCACTTGGCCCACCTCCTTCGATTCCACCACCAAGTCTTCATCGACGTCCACGCGGGCTCATGTCCTACCGTGACAACAAGAAACTTCCTCTACACTTGCGTCGACAGACCTCTCTTGAGACTATAAATTCGGTAACAACAACTGGGTCTACGACACCAAGCGAGCATTTTCTGGATCCACCTGAGACTGAAGCCTTTTCTCCGGATTACTTTACTCCAGAGGACGACCCACCTGTCACGCCATCTTCAACTAGCGTAACCTCCAAGCCCTCCTCAACCTACTCGTGGAATGAAAGTGCAAGGCAGTCCCCTATACCAGCATCAACACCTCTGGACTTTGCAAGCCTCGAAAATCATTCAGCTACCTCCCTGTTCCGAAAGTTGATGCCTCGCAAGACAGAAGAACCAGTTCGATCACCTAACCGGCTAGTCATAGAACGGACAATCTCGTTTGATCGAGCTTCATATCAATCCAGTGTACCAAGACCAACTACCTCCGTGCAGCCAGAGCGCCCTCTTGACTCGGGATTCTTTGACGTCGAGCGAAGCCAATCAGGATCGAGCAGCGAGTGGAGTGCCAGCAGCTTCGACACCAGCAATCTTACCGGGGCAGAGATTAAGAAGTGCAGGAAGAAAGGCATCAATCCAGCCCTCTATGCCGAGATGAGAGCTGCGAGGAAAGGAAAGTGGACTAGCCCGATTGCTGGAAATACATTTCTATGAATACAGCTTCGATGAATAACATAGCAACACTTCACCGCAATTAACACATCCATTTTCAGAAGCGTGCAGGACACGCTGCTTTACGCTCCCGAAATCTGGCTGAAGTTCGAGTCCACGGATACATGTTCTAGAAATTTCCCACCAACTCCGTACTCTCACGACCTTCACCCCACGGTCCAATCTACCAACCGCCACGCAGCATCGTAACCCTGACCGGTCGGTACGCGATTCGAAGTCGGGCTTCTCGTAATGGCGCTCGCGTGCAACTAGGTATAATAGCCGGGTTAGCTATAATGTACCGCAGACGTGGGTCAGGCGTGGCATCTCGGTAAATGATGATTCCGTACCTCTAAGAACTGAAGACCTCGCATACGGTTATATGCAAAAAGTATGCAGTAAAGACATCCGCTGACCTCGGTCTTTGAGGCTAGTAACATGGCTACTTAAATTAATGACGACTACAACTGGTGTTTACAAGGGTGGCACGCGATGGCAGACCAGAATAAGAGCAAAATAACGGTATGGTGCATGGGACAGTTAATCTAAAAATACCGTTATCGTGAAACTCACAAGTGCCCATAACCAGGTATCGATGGCCTCATCTCCAAAATCCCACGATATTAACCTATCAACGCCCCGATAACACTAGTTAATCAATCTACCAACACTGTTTTCCTTCCACTACCAATCCTTCCCCAACACCTCATCCCTTTATCCAGCCACCCATTGCTCTCTCTTTTGTCGGTCATCGCTTCCCCAAACATATCACCGCCACCACCTTCCCAATCAAACTAAATAATTAGGTATAGATATTGAACCCGGTTCCCCCAGCGCCCTCCCTTCCGCCAGCCGGCTAAGAAAAGAAGCCAAACGAAGCTACCGGACTTCGCGTGCTCGTGCAGCTGTCGAACGGGGACCCAACGGAGCGGCGCGGATGGATGAACAAACTGCCGTCTCTTTTACCTGGTATAACGTGGGCATGGAATTAAATTAAGATTAGATTACACCAGGGTAGTGGCATTGCCGAGTCGACGGAAGGAAGTAGGACGCTGAAAGATAGGTATACTGATTACGCGTTACTGCCGCTGGGGTTTGTATCGTGTGATTAATGGAATTACATGTAGGCGGCTAGCAAAGTGGTAAGTAAGCCTTTGTTAAAATACGAAGTTACATGATAGGTAACATGGTCGACTAAGTGTTCTCGCCTTGCAGACGAATGGCGGGAGGGGGTATCACCTGTAGAGCAGGAATGGGCTTGGTACCCGTGGAGCGGGGAGGACGCTGCCAAAACATCCATGCAGCAGGTAGCCTTCGTCATTACAACGCCGTCCTACTCACGCTATAACGAAACGACTGCCTTCGTATCTACAGCTGCAAACAAACAGACACTCTAGCAGATAAATTCTGCAGCAGACTGCACTGCAGACCTCTTTGTACGTGGCAAACGTACAATTCTTACAACTCGAACACCTAATAAGCAAGGCTATCATTCAGTCTAGTGTTTGCGCTTTCTAGCAGCGATCAACAATCAACATTCCGACACACACTAGCGGCAGTTGAACCTCGATCAGTGTGCAGATCAAAGTTCGCTGCTTTTGCTCCTTTCATGTTTGCTGACACAATAATCGTCCGATCGGCCTACCTAGGGAAAGCTGCGCATGACGCTATCTTTCGCTCTGCGTTTCCAAGGTAGCTAGCTAGCTACTTAGTTAGCTGCTAACGCCGGGCCAGCAGGCGGGGAAGATGGAACGCCTGCAACTGGACTGAAACTGGAGCCTTCTAGATGGGTGTTGGCGCAGCCTCAAGCTTGAGGAGCGGATCCATGGATGGTGGTTGGTGGTTGGTGAGTGGGATTTAGGAGTGAGGACAGCGCTTGCGTCTGCATGCCGTGAAAGGCGGGGTCGTGTAATGTCGACAAGCCAGTGAGCACCGGACAAGGATTGCAGGAGGGTTTTTGCATGAGTGATGATGTTTCGGAGCGGGGAGTTCTAAAAAGAGCCAGCTACTGGGCCAACGACAAGCCCCGGATTGGAGTGGATCGCGCCCCGCCTCGTACCTCTGCGATTGGCGACGTCACAAGGCTGTGTGAGTGTGTGGCTCTGGAAGCTTTCCAAGCTTCTTCGAGAAGCTCGCCACCTCGTACTTTTGTTGTTTGGTCCGTTTCAGTTGCGCAAATGTCTTACGTTTGCTGCGTTCGGAGGTGTGTCTGGGAACGCGAAGCTGAACCCACACAGATTGTCGTCATCGCCATACTAACGTCTCATCAGCCTTGTACGTTGCAAGCCAAGATTTCCAGTGGAGCTGCTGAAGCCGACTACGCTCACCACGTGCAGATGGAGAGATAAGTGATTGTCCTCCGTCTGTTTCCGGCGAATCAGAAATGCCTCAACATGTTCGCGTTGATTGGAAGCCCACTCGGACGAGCATTGGTGGGCGGGGGAGTTGCCTACTTGTACAGCGCACCTAGTTTTACTTGGTAGTCTGCATTGGGCTGGTTTGCAAGGCATTGGGCGAATTGGAATATGAGCTAGGTGATATAGGTGGGGTAGGGAGGCTACAGAGGGTAGGCTGTAAGGGCGATGGGTTGTATGCGGATGCGGATGGACTGCAGCCCCGGGTGGCTGTGCGTACTGCGGACCTGGGTAGGATGTGTGAATGAGGAAGGAGGAGTGGAACATGCCGTGAGCACCGCGGCTGTGGGAAGAAGAGTTGTTGAAGGTGAGTCGGTGACGCAAGGTCTCAGACGTCAAGAGGCTATGATAGAAGCTTTCTATTCTTCACGCGGGCTACCTTCGAGACAGTAAGCGGCAACACTACGACATCGATAGACAACGATGCTTAATCCATCTCAAAAACACTTGACGACTACAGGCTATAAAACGTCACCTGGGCACACGGCCAGTACTCCGATCTCGATTTGTCGCTCTATCTCAACATGGCATCTCGAACGTGACTTCGGAGACATGTATCTTGGGCACTAGACCACGTAAAGATCCTAGATTCGCTGCATGAGTACCCGGTTTGGCGTTGGCACGAGTTCACCCGCATATACACTCATAGTGAAGGAGCTGTAAGCGCAACATTTGATCTCGTCAAATTATTCTATAGTCCATTCATTATTATACCATGAGTAGTCTTTATTAGCCCAAGAACCAAGGAGGCGGATGTACTGTGCTTGACTCAGTTCCAAAAGCACTTCACAGCTTCGATCAAAGAGGAAGGTTACACCACGCTCCCGCGTATGGTGCCCGAGGTCGCCACCTCGAAGGATTCGTTCTGGAAGATTCACGGAACAGATTGGCTCCGCAAGGTACGGAGAGTCCGAACATCAAATCCGCAAACGCGGCTCGGTTAGCTGTACACACGGCTGATCGGTGGTCATCTCCATTTAAATCACGACCGCGTCTTGCGCTTACGGAATGGCGATATGCGAAACGCGACAAGCCACCAACACGTGGTCGTCGTGAGATGAAGATAGGACTTCGTTGCGCCCCGCGTTTGGCCTGCATTGCAGATAACGCTGGTACCCAGGTGGACGGCGGCGGTGCATGCGGTCAGAGTCCGAAGGGTTGTCAGCCTCGTTGTGATAGGAAGCTGTGAAGACACGACTAGCATCTTGTGGGGCGAAGATGACTTTTGGCCCAACGAGGGTACTATATACCATGTTGGCCCTGTGCTACCACTATTGATATACGAGTAGTGCACCGTCTCTGCTCTTTTTTTTTTCCGACTTGATCCCAATTCCCATATTGTTCCTACCAAAGCAATGCTAGATCGATGTTACCACCATGGCATGCTAACAATCACATATATTCATGTACAAGTAGTGGTCTTATGCCGACTGGGCAAGATGCTGTAGTTGATCGAGGTATCCTCATTCGGGTTGATGACGCTTGCGGCGGTAGGCGCTGTCTAAACATTTTCGAGGCATGGATAAGAACTCGGCACGTTTGCAAAGGTCAATGATTTGGTAATACTGTTTGGAAGAAGCCAACATGGTACAATGCGTCGTTCTCGCGCATCGCTTTGGCGCTTGGTATCTACAGCAATCCACCCATCTTATCAACAGCCTCAGGCCCATTCGGAGGCAAGTCCGAGGGAATAGAAACAAGAAAATATTGATACAGAACCATTTCCACAGTCATGTCATCCCAATGTGAATATGCTCGCAAAGTCAAAACGCCGTCCCCAGCCAGGTTGTGGATATAGATGGCTTCTCGCTGCTGAAGATGTGATTTTTCAAACGCCGTAGATGTCTAGTTGTGAAGAAGGTCGATGCCGAAAAACGCCTAACCTCGCCGGGTTGAGGTGGTGATAGTATACGCCGGGTTGCGCCTCGTATGCAAATTCGATGGTTTGGAAATCCAAGGTTGACGCCAATATATGCAGTCCAGAATGCAAAGTGTATGCAAATCGCTCTGATGGCACGTTCGTAATCGTCTCTGCTTCTGAAAGTCGGAAAGTAGATGGTAAGGTAGCGGCACCGCACCTAGCGGCAGGTAGCCGTAGAATCCAGAAATGATATCTTCGGCGAAGTGAAGAAAACTTAGAAAAGCCCGCCCTCAACAACGCCTGCCTCGTCCTCTCGTAGCTGACCACCGCTCTTCTTCTTGGGCCACAGCTTGCTGCTTACTCGCTTCCAGCTGTCCCTAGTAGCATTGGCCAGCCCGTTGTGCTCTCCACGACTGTTGCGGGGGCTAGGAGTGCGGCTACTCGACCCAGTCTCGTAGTATGCCTGGTGGAAGTCCATGGTCGGATAGTCGCTCATTGGCGGCGTGCCAGGAGGTGTCAGGGGATCGCCCAAGGCAGAAGGACTTCCACTACCTGAATCATCAGTCAGCGCGTCGCTTCCGCTATTGTAGCCAGAAGTAACGCGTGTTGCCTGTGGGCCAGAGGACGTTGGTTGCGAGTTGAATCTTGAGTGCGTGAATGGACGAGCTTGCATGAAACCCGAGGTCAATGACGACGGTGCTGATGCCCGCTGGTGGATAGGAATTTGTGGCTGCTGAGTCCGAGCAAGCAGGCTTCGTTCGTCATAGCTGCGGGTTGACGACCGTGTGAGGCTGCTGTCGTGACTCTCGTGACCGATGGTTGGGTGTGCGCTTTGTGGGCTGACCGAGTTGAGGAACGAGACCAGCACACTTTCTTCCATAAGCTCGTAGATCTTAGACACTGCCTCGTCTAATGACGAAGGATGCGGCGGTACGTATGAGTCGGAGAGGCTTAGAAGATTATCGCGGACTTCGGCAGGAAGGTTGACCTAGGAGGGATTGGTTAGAGAAACTTCCGATAGTACCGACGAGATTTACTCACCTCTCGTGGGCCGGATTCACGAATGTAGGCATCAATCAATCGGCGCCATAGCATGCCCACGTAACCGCACTCGTCAGACAGCGGCGATATGGGACTTGCTGGGTGGCGGTTGACCATCTTTGAGTAGTGCTTGCGGTACCTCGATGCGTCCATGGTGAACTCGAGATTCTCCAAGCAGTGGTTCTGGGATAGGAAAGCCATGAAAGAGCTTAATGTGTAGGGTGGGGGAGCCGTGTTGGCAAGGATCTCGGATAGGTTTGGTTTTCGGTATTGCGGGGTAGGGATGTTCTTGGGTATTGAGACTGTCAATGGTGTGGGTTGACAGTCGCTCATGGCCATTTTGACGTCGTCGTCATCAAACGCGACGAGCGATGATGTAGGCGACGAAGCGGTCGAGGGTGTTGTTCTTATTGGTAACGCTGGGCTACTAGGTTTTCGGGTGACCATGACGCTTCTCCAAAAGTGCTTGTAGACGCGGCGGGCGGTCTTTCTGCTTTGCTCGTCAAATCCCTCACAGGAACAGAACTGCGGCGGCAATGGTTGCGCCAGCTTGGCGGCAAGTGCACAAGGTTCGGGCTGAACCTAGTGGCGAGAGGGCAACGTGGAGAGGATTATCGTTCCGATGGCGGCAACATCGAGGGATAGGGAGGGCACAAGCGGTCGTGGTGGCCTGTTGATGACGGCGCGAGTGCAGGTATGTAGCACGACGTCTGTGCTGCGCGAGGAAGCCCCAAGTTTGCTCTTCTGCAGCGGCTTCTCGAAGGGCGACACAAGAGAGGACAGGACGACGCAAGATGGCAGAGTCGATCCAAGGGAGTGCGAGGACGGTAGCACAGGTATATAGAGCGTCAGACGGGTGGGTGGTGGGATTGGGGGTCGACGAGCGAGTCAAGGGCAAGGTAGTCGGGTAGTGGGTACGGCAGGTTGTGGATTGGCGTAGGTGAGACAGAAGGGTCAATCTGCGCGCTTCTCTCAAAGACAGAAAGGCTGTAGAGGTGCGGCTCGGCGTGGTTTTGAGCAAGCAGAGGGAGAGTCAGGGAGGACTTGCGACCAATGCTTGGGCAGACGGGTCAGTCAGGATGCACAGGCCACAGTCTCCACAGCAGCAGTTTGGCCATAGGAGCAAGCAAGCGGAATGGCATGGGCGCCCATGTCTAACACAGGCCCAGGGTGTGGTTAAAGCGGCAGATGGAGTCTTCTGGAAGATTTAGCGTCTCCATCATGCCGAAACGCCTCCGTCTCTCGCCACCGTGCTTGTTACAAGACGCTTCCCGCCAATCCCTCGATAACGGTCTTCTATCCGTCGCCCGCCTTGCAACAGCTGCTCGCTGCTACAAGAAGGACTGACTGTTCCGTTCAGTTCAAGTGCGTCAAGTACGGACCATGTGAATAGCATCATCCACAGTGAGGGAGAGGGGGCTCTGTCACACACAGCGTTAGTCATTCACAGGCCATCCCATCTTGTTCCGGCACTAGGTAGCTTGGGGCGGACAAGACCGGATAATAGATTACCTAGGTACCGCCCTGTGCTGTGCCTCTCTATTCAGCACAACACGGTTCCTGCCTGGCTCAACGCTTGCAAACGTTCACCACCATCTACTTTTGCTCTTCCATTCGGGAGGGCTTCTCTCAATAGCCACCCAAGCACTTTATTCCCTCAACTCAACATGACGTTCGCAGGCCAGGAGAAAGTCCCGGGAATATGGAATACGTTAGAGTCGTCGGCTGCAAACGACGGCCTCATTGATACGCGTAGAACTGCTAATCCACACTATGACTCTCTTCCGACGACAAAGGAAAGTCCAGTCGACAGCCGCTGAGTCGAGCATGACTTGCTTTGTCTTGCGTTGCCTTGAGCCACGATACGAGCTGTAGCAGAGGCCACCTTTCATTATAACACAACAAAAACAAAACAACAAAAAACAACAACCGCTTCAAAGCCGCTCGTCAATCGGAATGTCACCCTCCAACGGATGATGCGATCGCGACACGGGGGCTGATAGGCTATCCATCGCCAATCACGGCCATTTCTGCCTCAGGGACCAGGTGCGCACGGCGACCAAATGCTTGGCCGTCGCCTTACCGCTGAGGACAAACTAAGCCTCCCCAATCTCTACCCGATTTTCAAGACATTTCTTTACCGTAATGAACAGCCGCATCAACTTGCTTGCACCTCAGCCATCACCAAGATCCACACGCACTGCACACACGGAACACCGCCATGGCAATGGGCAAAGACAGTGTATGCGTCGGGCGTGGCGTGGGTAGTATTAGCTGCGTCAGTTGCGTATTGTTCACGCAGGCGGGCCATTACTACGCGCTACATACTCGGCGTCTCGCTGTTGATTGCGCGAGGTGCGCCTTAGTTTGCTGATGTCCTACCAGGCGCTACACTCGTGAACAGGCCACCGCTATCCCTTGTCGCTCTATCATCACCCGTGCACGGCTGCAAAATCTTCCAGAACAACTCCAGGCTTCCAGAAGATTACCTGAAGCCGTCTAGTTCAGGCAGAATGGCGCTTCCGCCGATCTTCGATCTCTCCGTCAAATCTCCTGTCTGGCGCATGATGTCGGCACACCCACATCCAACCTCGGACACGCACGCATCTGACATAGCGTGATAACCTGTTGAGCATCTCCTTGCGCTCGTGAAGCGCTGCCCTGCCTATGTACCTCGAGCGGCTCGCTTGTGGCGCCTTCTAGAAGATCAGCTTGCCGTGACCTGCCCGAGAGTAAGCGCCCTCACGACTCAGCACGCGCCCACGAGCATAGAAAATTGTCACAGAAAATTCTGATCGCCAACAAACGCTCGGTGCCTCAGGATTTAGAGATGACGCAGAAAGTGGAGCCCTTCGCATAGCGTGCAATTCACCCGCTTCACCGCTTCGTGGGGTTACGTTTTTAGCCGCATCCCACGCTGTTCCAGAACTCTGAACCACGGTGAAGTCATCCGATAACTTTGTCTACCGCATGTACTTGAGAAGGGTTTTTGAGCCGCATTTTTGCCCTTGCATAGTGGCGTTTTTCAGATCTGCCATGTCTCCTTTCTTCTCTCTTCCATATTCCGCGACTTCATTCTCCAGGCCATGATGCTAGACGCTTTTCATGCTTTCACAATCCTATATTGGCAGTTGCAATGCTATGCAAAAGCACCGAGCCTAATGTTCTATATCTCTCGTAACGGTGTCTATATAACGGCCCATATTGACGCGACAGCGCTTGGACGTTGAAAATTGTCGCGGAAATAGCGGCGACTCCAGGTCTGACATGAAACGAGGCAAGTGGACCGGTATAATCACTTTGGAAGTTTCGGAACGTCACCGATACGCGAAGAGAATGTGGAACCAGTGACATCTACTGTCGTTGATCGCACATGGTCACGATTAGTCAACCATGCCAGCGCGCTGATGGTACTTGCGACGTCTTTACCACTTCCGGTTACAAGACCATATGCAACATGTCTATAGATCGATCGGGTCCCTTGTCTCCAGAGGAAGATTACGCTAGAACATACTGAAAACTCTGACAGGTTGCGAGTCCTCAGTCAGGCAAAAGCGGATTTACTACTAGAAGTCTCAATTGTAGTCTCATGATTTCTTTTGGCTTCTGATCTCTGCTCGCGTGCCAGCCCTCGTCTCGAGAGCAGCGACTTCCAATTCCCATCCCCTCTGTCTCAGCGCTTTAGAAGATTCTGCGAACAGTCCGCGCGTAGTCTCCAACGTCCGTCTCAGCTCAGCAAGGCGGGATGCCCCATCGGCATCCGGCTTACCCATTTCGCCCCGGGCCCTTCTTGCCAGCAACAATGCATGTGTCCATGCTTTGAGCTGGTCAATCGGAGTGCATCCTTCTTTCAGAACGATCAGAGCGTTATCGTCTGATAAAGCAGGCCAGAGGATATAGGCCTCGTCAGCGAAGACATGTAGCAATTCGGACATTCCCATGTTGCGTAAGTCTACCGAGCCTGTAAGCGTATGACCTCGGTCGAAGCGGCTTAAGAGTGCTTCAAGCGATACGCCTATTTTGCAGTATCCGACTATCTCGTCGTCCGCCCAGCGTAAAATACCATCGCGTTCGAAGACACGCTCGCGCTTAGACACGTCGCTTGGGCTCAGGACTTCTCCGTGCTGAAGGATGCTGCTGAAGACGATGTTGGCGCGTTGCCGGTTCAAGCAGCGCATGCTGACGGCCTTCACTGCAGCGTAATTTGTTGCCAGGTGAATAGATAGCAGCGCGATAAGAGTCGTCCATGTTGCAATTGGTGTCGATACCCACGATACCACAACGCTGCCTGCCTATATTGCTCGTCAATTAATGTACCTAAGATGCTATCGAACAGCAAAGCGGACGGAAATGATGCGACTGGTCCGCTCACAAGGTGAGCAATATATGACAATCTAATCAGACGGGAGAGTTGACAATCTAGGAATGCCCATGCACGTTACTATCATGCAGGTTCTCATATCGTCCACAATACGGGAACATGGAAGACTTACTAGCATGCCAAGAAGTGATATGACCGTTTCTTGGCTCGAATCTTTCTACAGGGGAGGTCAGCCTGATATCCATCCTGGAGGGCTGCCGCACGTGTCTGCATATCAAACCCTGTCCCTCTTAATATAGTCTTCATCAACTCCAAGCGCCTGCTCCCCAAGTCTTCATTCTCAACAAGAAACATCGAGAGTACGGGAACTAGCCCAAGATATGAAACCCACGCTAGGAAAACTTACAGCGTTGAGCTCACCTAGATTCCCCCTCTTCGCAAAATGCGCACTAAGACTCGCCTTTGCACTTCCAGCGCAGACGCCACAGAGCGATCGCAGCACACTTGAGAAGCCCAGCACCAATACGCGGATTGGCTTTGGAAAGGCAGGCGAGAGACAATCGAGAATCATAGCAGTATCGTTGAATACATCAGCAGCAAGCCGGTATATCTTACACTCTGGTTCAAGCGCTGTGCCAAGTCTATGCGCGAACAGGATTGTTGCGATCCTGCCCATTGACTCTTGCAGCACGGAGAGGAGTAGTGCGGCTGTTGGTGAGGCATTTGCGTCTCCGACACCAACACCTAGATGATCATTAGCGTGATGCTGGCTGATTGTATGTCTGATATTATAGATCTTCGCTTCGAGCAGCGACATGGTTGTGCGCTAATGACGGATGAAGCCCAGTAGGTGAGGCGTGAAAGGACAGGCATATGCAATATATCCTTTATATGCATCGCTCGGTTGAGGATCCGGGCCTTCAGACGGACGATGGTGCTTGATGATATAGATGAAAGAGAAGTGTATATTAGTCTGATAAGAAAGATCTGAATTCAAGCTCAGAAGGGCGAAAGGAGACTACGCAACAGACGTACCTTCGAGAACAGCTCGTGAGGCTAGCATACCAGCTATTGAAGACGAAAACGCTTGAAGGGAGTCCTGACGCAGTCAGTCAAGGGTAGCTTCGACGTCTGAGATTTGCAGAGCATACATAGATCTGATACCTGGCACAAAATATCATCAGCTCATATATATAACAACACGCTGCCAATATGTTGGAGCATACTGGATATAATCCTCCGTTACACTCTGCGGAAACCCAGCTGGAAGGAAGACATCGAGTACTTGTTGAACATAGCTCTTCGTTTCCTTGGGACGCTGCAATTCGTGTTAACCTTCAATTTTCCAGCTAGAGACTCCTTTCTCAAAACAATGCTTAGGTGTGTAATTAACCCGTAGACGATGTTGCGGTAAACATTCGATCAACGTACAATGACATCAACCCGCGATCCTCCCGACGCAAGGTACGTAGTCGTGATGTTCCCCGCTTCGTCCCGCTCCACAATTTCGTAAGTCGCTGCTTCAGACATGGTTGTGGTGTGATCAATGGTGTGAACGTGCTGCTGAGTCGTGAGCTTGTCAGGAGTCGGGTAACATGGCTAGATGAAGTTAGGCGAAGCTTGCAGCACCTCATCGAACACCGTGGTCGACTCGATCTTCTCGGAGCGTGGCCTATTTCCCTCGACGATCGCTTCTCCAGACTGAATGAGTCTTGCTGCTTTAACATGCTGTTGAGGCCAAGAGCACTGCCGAAGTCTTGGTCTAATTGTTTCGACATTCACCTGGTACTGCGGCCCACCTTCGCCTTCCTCTTCCAGCTACTTCATCTATCTCGAATCAAGCGGATAGTGCGCAAATGCTTGTTTTTGATTGAAACACTTCTCAACTTTACTTATTCGCATACGCGAAGCACTGTAGATACTACCAGCAATGTATAATTGCCCGCTCCGTCGTGCGATGAGTGCTGCGCTCCTACGCCGGGATTACTATAGGAATAGGGCCTTTTAGTGTATCAGCGAACGGACGTTCCATGTACCATGTTGTGAGCTGTAAACGGCAGGTGTAGGACGTATATGAAGATTCTTAGTGGGAAATCTGTTGAACCCCATAACAAGGAATATGACTCTAATTTTCGTAGATCATGCACAAGTGGCCGAGAGACAGTATCGATCCATATTGAACTGTTCCCGCGATGAAAAGGTACAAATTTTTGACGCCAGACAAATGGATATCAGTGGATGCAAATACAAAGTAAAGTATAGTAATATATGCGCCAACACCTGTAATGCTTGATGATGGTTATCCAATCTTTCCTGCTGCCTGGTTCTACCCACAGCCGAATCCAGACTTGGGACAATAGCCCAGCTTCTGTTCAACAGCTATTGCACCACTGAAGGCCTTCGAAATAGCGCATTCGAGCCCACCATGTTGTCAACGGTGAATTAAGATAAGCATCCTAAGCACCACTCGCCACGCCTCGGATATTGATCCCACCAGCCGCGCCATTACTTGAAGCAGAGCCACGAATGTTGATTCCCTCCTGACCTCGTCCACGAATATTGATCTCAGTATCTCGTGATATTCGGTCGGCTAGGCCGCGAGGGCGTGCTGGTTCGGAGAAATCGCTAACCCAAGGATCCCGATCATCGTTCTTTAGTCTTCCAAACATCTCATCGCCATCATCGTCGCGCGTAATGCGATCCGCCAACGAGCGTTTCTGTTGCGGCACCACAGGCTGTCCATCTTTTGTCATCCGCGCAAGCAGAGATCCTCCCGTTCTTGAAGCATCCATGGCATCTGACCGGCGGTGGTTGCCCATTGGTGAGGTATCAAACGTCGAGGCATCTTTCTGCCATCGTCCTCCTGATGCTCCAGCGTTTCGATCACTGTAGCTTGCGCGGTCGTGGGTCCAGCGCTCGCCGCTAGGTGCTCGGCGGTGGCGTGTATTGCGGCTACGACTCCGGCTGCGGTAACGGTGGCGTGCGTTCGAGTTATCTTCTGCGAAACCGAAACGCCCATCGCCATCGTCGTTCGAGGCTGGTGAGGCGCTGCGGCCTCGTAAGCGGCCATGACGCGGTTCGTGTGGACTATAGCTATCAGCATCTATGCTACGGATCAATTGGGTGTCCAAATACCTTTTAGAGCCTGGCCGATAGCTATCAACGTCGCTCCGTAGCCTTCCAGAGTCTGCTTCGCGACTCAGCCTGCCACCCCGACCGCGCGTGTCTCGACCATCTTGTCCGTTTCGGCGAGGTCTCCGTCGATCGATGCCTGAGTCATCGTTGATGAAATCGTCCCCACTGCTACCCTCAAATTAGTCTACCGCATTACCAATTTCCTGCTCAAAATTCATACCTTCTCCTCCGCACCCGCTCTCTAGACCCCATATCCTCGTCGCCATAATCCAAAAAGTCTTTCTTTGGGGGCGGTCTCCGCCTTGGTTCCCTCTGGCGGTTATCTGCTACATCAGGGTTCTGCTTGTAGTATCTGCTACGCGTGGCCGCGCCCTTCGGTTTCTGATCTCCCGCATTCGTCTCCCTAACTATAAGCACACTATCCGGCTTCTTCGAGTATGGTTTCGCTTTGCGGGGTGCTTGTGCCGCGAGGGAGTTCGTGTCGCTGACTTCAGCGTGTGTGAGAATACCGAGAGCAACAGCTGCATCCTGGGCGCTGTAGAACTCGAGGTTGACAGAGGAATCGTTTACCCAGCGGAGCTGCTTGACGCGCGGATCGGCGCCGCAATGCTCCATGGCGTAGTATAAAGGGTCATTTGGGTCGAAGTCGCCCACGCCTTGTAGGTTCAAGGATTCTGGCCATGGCTTTTGGATCTCAATGTCCTCGTAATAAGCCGCAGGTACGCCTTTGTCATCTGTCGCTATGGTTTGCTGCAATGCCTATTAGTCAACCGCCCAATTGCGTTGCGTGCAGCCTTGCGCCTATTTGGAGAAGCTCACTTCGATAACCTGCTGAGGCTGTTGTGCAACTGCTTCAACACCTGCACCGACGTCAATGTCGATGTCATAGGCGACATCAGTCATGTCGGTATCCATTATGGCGGTGTTTGGTGTGTTGTGTGTCGTGGTGCAACGGAGGAGTTGCGCGGGGTGGAGTGGAAGCTTGAAAGCGGGAGAATAACAGGCGCGGTCGAGACGGGGCACTAACGCGGTCACGTGAATGGTTTGGTGTTTGGAGAGCAACTCTATGACTGCGAGAGTTTTCAGTGAAGAATAGTCAGTGGCTGGTAGTTACATTAGAGTTAGGTTCGAATGTGAACAGTGAATGCGCTCTCCCAGGGTAAGACAAAGCTGTCTCAGGCTTTGTCCCTCGAATCCAGTCAGACAAGTGAAGGACAACGATTTTCAGCTAATGACATCTACAATAGCTCAAGTTTAAGTGCAATCACGATTGCTCTTCCAGAGTAAAAGTGCCAGTCTTGGTAATCAAGTACTCATTGACCGCGACATCCTTTCCTGACTCTTTTCCGTATCCACTTTGCTTGATTCCACCAAATGGGGACTCGGCGGCCGAGGAGTTACCTTTGTATTTTGTTAGTAGAGCCTTACTTCATTATAGTGGTGTAGCTTACCCGTGTTGAGCCCAATCATACCGGCTTCCAAGCTCTCGAATAGCCTCCAAAGACGATCGACATTCTTCGTGAACAGGTACGATGCCAGGCCCATGCTCGTATCATTCGCTGCTTTCACGGCCTCGTCCTCCGTCTCAAACTTGATGAATGTAGAGATTGGCGAGAAGATTTCCTCCCTTGCAATATCCATATCCTGGGTAACGCCAGTAATGACCGTAGGCTCGAAGAAGTACCCGCCATTCTTTTCGATCTTGTTTCCACCAATATGAATCTTCGCGCCCTTCTTCTTTGCATCTTCGACGAGTTCGAGCGCTTTCTGGATACTTCGAGGAGTTGTCACTGGACCCATTGTCGTCTCCTCGTCGGAGCCATGGCCGACAACGATCTTCTGCGTCTCGGCATTCCAACGGTCAAGGAACTTGTCGAAGATGCCAGACTGGACGTAGATACGATTCGCAGTGATACAGGCTTGACCAGCATGGCGATACTTGAGCGCGAAGATCTGACTCAGGGCTTGCTCGATGTTCGCATCGTCGAAAATTAGGACTGGACAGTTGCCTCCCAGTTCTAGCGTTACCTTCTTCAGGTTATCCGCACAAATTCTAGCAATCAATTTGCCAACTCGCGTTGAGCCCGTGAAAGTGACCTTGCTTACCAGCGGGTGCCGGCAAAGCGCCTCGCTGAGCTCAGGTGTTTTGTCGAGATCCGTCGTCAACACAGTTAGTGCACCTTTTGGAAATCCAGCCTTCTCCGCAAGATACGCCAGCGTGAGAATCGTAATTGGAGTTTCAGGGCTAGGCTTGATGATCATGGTACATCCCGCTGCAAGGGCTGCACCGGCCTTCCTTAGGTTCATCGCGATTGGAAAGTTCCACGGTACCAATGCAACAGCAACCCCGAGCGGCTGTTTGATGGTGAAGACACGTCGGTTTGGCAGGGCGGGTGTGAAGACAGATCCTTGGATACGCTCGGCCTCGCCTGCGAACCACCATGTAAAGCCAGTAGAGTAATCGATCTCGCCATACGCCTCAGATTTTGGCTTTCCGGTCTCATATACGAGAAGGGTAGCTATATCCTCCCTGTTCTCTTTAATTAAAGAATCCCACTTGTAGAGCATTTGCGCTCTTTGCCGAGGACTAGTCTTCTTATACTCTAAGAAGGACTCGTAGGAGCTCTTGACGGCTTCGTCGACATCGGATGCATCGTTGATAGGACATTCTATCCAGGCTTTGCCAGTTCCGGGATCTGATAATCTGTCAGTGATAGTTCAGTCGTGACGGGATAGGTATTTGATGACTGACCGACAACCTCGAAGGTCTTGCCAGATTTGGATTTTACCCATTCACCGTTAACGTAGGACAAGTTACGTAGTAAGTCTGGGTTGTTGAGCTACTAGACATTAGCAAGGTTAAAGTCGTCCCTAGATATCATAACGTACTTTGAAAGGCAGCTCGTACTTCCCCGCAGAACCCATCGTGCCGATCGTTTCCACGTGGTGTGCCTCTTGATTGCTTGGAAGCTATGGTTAGCAACGTAAGGTGGTAAGCAGTTTTTCGACAGAATGATGCCGATAGTCGATAATGTAGAATGGCCAAAGAAGAGTGCTTAGACAGTCGAAAAAAAGATCGAAGCCGAGCGTCGTGAAAACAAATCGCGATTTCTTAGCTAAAAGTATACGGCTGATGACATCTTCTCCCCGAAACCCCACCTCTTCGCTAGAACTCCATATAGCCTAACCAATATGCGACTATCCCGAGGGCGGTCAGAGGCATTTTGATTTGTAGGAGACGCGGCCCCAATTGCAAGTGATTGGTGCCCCTTTCGGTAGTCCCAGTTTTCTACTACAATGTTGAAGCTAGTGGGGCAACATACCCCTCATTGTCGTGCATCTTCCCCGATTCACGGCTTCCCTCGGTAAGGAAAGGGATTGGAGCTATTAGGTTACCCCAACAAGGCAACCTGGTCGGCGAGAATGCCGTACTTGCTGTGGTCCAGTGGCTCCATCTTTCCCGTTCATTCAATAGTCTCGCGGTTGAACTCTTACATTGTGCTAAATCTCCCGTAGTAGACTGATAAACCCCACATCCAAGCGTCGTGAACAGCATAATGGGCAGATTGGAAGGCAAAGTCGCCATCGTTACAGGTGCTCCCTAACCCATGGCCCTATATCACACCGAATACCCAAGCTGACGTTTCCCTAGGCGCGGGCTCAGGCTTCGGTGCTGGTATCTCGAGAAGGTTCGCGGCCGAGGGCGCGAAGGTCCTCGTATGCGATATCAACCAGGCCGGCGGCGAAGCAACCGTCTCCTCGAACCCTGACTTGCTATCTTTCCATAAAATGGATGTAACCAAGTCTGCGGACTGGAAAGCCACCATGGACGCTGTATTGCAAAAGTTCGGTAGATGTGATATACTGGTCAACAATGCAGGCTGGTCCTACACCAACAAACCCACCACTGATGTCACAGAAGAGGAGTTCGAACGCACGTTCGATGTAAATGTGAAAGGCGTGTACTTGGGCTGTAACGCATGGGTACAGCAGGCCATGGAAAGGAAGGAAGGTGGTGTAATAATCAACATTGCGAGCGTTGGAGCGACCAGACCACGAGCAGGCCTCGTGTGGTATAATGCCAGTAAAGGAGCTGTTTGGAACGTGCGTCTCCTCTCTTGCTCAATTCACGCTCGTACATGCATTTCAACTAATAGTCCACAGGCAACCAAAGGTCTTGCTCTCGAGTACGGCCCCCATCAAATCCGCGTAAACTCCATTTGCCCTCTCGTCACTGGTACCGGCCTCTTCTCTGCCTTCACCGGCGTGGAGGACACACCAGAAAACAGGCAGAAGTTCGTAGGAAATGTACCGATGGGACGCATTGGTGAGGTGGATGACGTGGTCAACGCGTGTGTTTTCATAGCATCTTCCGAAGCGAGCTTTATTACCGGAGTCAATTTAGAGGTCGATGGTGGGAGATGCATCTAAGCTAAGCACATTAGCTAATGGAGAGAAGACACGTTGGGACTGAACAGCTCATCACTCCAAGGCGGCTACTTGAACATTTTTCTTCTATGCCTCAGTATGCTATATTAGTCTCATGACCCTGTTCAACCTTCCATGTCCTCGTCACTATCCAGAGCCATCAGCTCCTCTATCTCCTTACGTCTCCTCTCCCTCTCAATCTCATCGGCGTCCCTCTTCTTCTTCACTCCTCCATCAATGAGGCCAGAGCTGATGACCGCACCCATCCTCTCCTGTGAACTCATCTCAATGCCCTTGTCTAACACAGCTGCCCAACCCTCCCACACAGCACCCCGATCAAACCGTGTCATCGGACCTTTTGTCACACGCCAGCGTTTCGTCAGATCCTGCTCGCGATTCTTCGAAGAGCTTACGAGAGTGTACGCTTGAGCTAGTTTCGTGTAGATGGTCCGATGGGGAGTTGGGCCGTTGGGATTAGTCGACTTGACTGTAGCTGCAAATGATCTTGGTGGTGGCTTTGCTGCGAGCTTAGGGTGTGAGCGTGGTGCGGCGTATGTTTCAAGGACAGTGTAAGCGCCTCGGCGGACGCGGCGGAGCGTGTTTGTCCACACGCCTACAGGAAGAAAGATAGCTTTAGACAGCACGATCTTGCCACTTCCCGGTTGCGCATACCCCACAAGAAAGGCATCCGTTTCCACAATCCCTCCATTCCCTAGTTTTGCCCCGCCGGGACCGATCGTGTTTCCCGGCACTACAATCTTTGGGAAGTATATCTGTATGGGAAGGCCGTTGGCAGATGCTGCAAAGGGCGATGTGGCGAGTAGACTTGGGGCTAGGGAAGATAATGGGGATGTTGGGGGCGCCAAGTTCAAGGGTGATGGCGCGTTGCGCTGAATACTGGGCCTGGGTGGGGAGAAACTAGATCCGGGTTGTGTGAGGCTAGTAGATAGTGTAGATGACTGGGGAAGCTGAGGTTGAGTAACTGGCGCGGGGGTTGTCATCGGAAAAGTAAGTGAGGGGATCGAAGGACCGTCTGCTATTGGTGATGGATGTCTTGTTATAGATGACGACACCATATTCGGACGCTGTAGAAGGCTCTGTACAAGAGGCGGCCGAGCTGAAGCCTGTGTCGGAACCTGCGTTTGACCCCATGCTTCGTGTTCCCGCCGCAATGCCAGATATTCTTCGACAGTACTACTGAATCCAGATCTTGATGTCGGACTTTGCGGTATGGTTGTTGCAGCATTATGCAGTTCTTCTCCTTGCATGGCAGTAGTTTGGTTCCTTTGAATGGCTAAAAGTCGCTGCGCAAATGCAGGTGGTGAGACTGGGGCTGATAGGCTTGGTGCCATCGGGAATGGCGGCAACCGAGGCAGCTGAGGTAACTCTAGTCGTGAATCGCTCTGCTGCTGTAACGTAGGTCGTTGCTGCTGGAGAGTGACCGAGTGTGAGGAACTCATTTCAGATGCGCTGGACGAGAGACCGTCCCCTGGATGCTGGCGCGGCGGGTTTGACATGGGTAAGGGAGACGTCAGAGGTGACATCTCAGGTCTCTGGGTAGCAAGAAGTCCATCGTATCCTTCAAAACCCCTTGGAGGTTGATTTGGTGGCTGCCTGGCCAACATATGAGGTGAAGATATAGTGATAGTAGGAATTCGTGGCGGTGGAGGCAGAAATGGCGTATGTAGCAGAGGTTGACTTGATGTCGTGACTAAATCCGTAGCTGCAGCAGTATCTCTAGAAGATATGAGAGAATTTGAAGGAAGAATTGGCAAAGATGCACGCGGAGTCTGGCGTGCTATCGTCGCCGGGGTCAGAGGCGGAGGTAGGGAAACTTGTGGGCGTGATACTGTTTGACTGAATGAAGGTAAAGGTACTGCAGTTGTAGCAGAGTCTACAGAATTCCTTGCAGATAAAGAGGTTGATTCAGGTGGATGAGCAGTAACTCCAGGGGGCTGTCCTCCAATCCTATTTGCCATCGCCTGGCGTACTCTAGAATTTAGGAGAGGTAGTAGCTGTTGAGCTTGTTCGGGACTCAGATTCCGTATGTACTCCACTACATTTGCTGGGTTCGGAGCATCACTACTCACGGTTACCAGGGCAGAGGTATCATTCTGCTGTAGAGGTGATGCGTAAACACTAGAACCCGAAGAGGCTCCAAGTAGAGTAGGGGCTGCCAGAGACCGCGGCGGCGGCAGCAGCGAAAACGGTAGGCTTGGACGAGGAGAGTTGTCGTCTGAATCGGTGTCCTGATCTGAATCCGACTTTGATTCTTCATTTTGAACCGGGAATGGTGGAATAGCAGAAGCATTCTGCCGCGTTCCACCGGATTGTCCCAATGTATTGAAAGCCTGCCGGTCCTTCGCGCCTTCAAATAACTTACTCTTCATCTTACCCACCAGCGGCGTCGGGACGACATTGATCCTATCCTCGCCCTGTCTCCTTGCCGCATGAATTTTACTTAGCATCGCAGCAGCCATATTAGGCTGACGCTCATACGACGGAGTAGGAGGGATGAGCGGGACACCAGAAGATCCCTCAGGCTTAGCGGTAGCGGCAGCGAGCTGAGCCTCGGCAGCTAGTTTATTGCTAATAGCAATTTCTACGTTTTTCTCCCTTAACTCCATCTCTTTCTCTTTCTCCACATACCGCTCCTGTGCGTACTGCGCGTCTTTGTGGTAGTGCCGCAAGCCATTGCCTTCACCTCCTAGTGGCGTATCCCTCGGATGCGCCACTTGCCGCTTTTCGTAGTTGCTTATCTGTGGAATCGTGATGCCAGCCTCGACGAGAAGATTGAGAGCACGTTGTCGCGACCTGAAGCATGCAGCATAATACTTAATCCGCCTGCGCCGGTCTCGTGGGATGTTGATTAGTGGGGGGAGAGGCTCGTTCAGTTTGGGTGGCTGAATGCCATACTTGACCTCGCGGTATTGCAGGCGTTCGCTCTCTTGGGTATGACGCTCTATTGCTGCCAAATCTGGCTTCTCGCGCATCTTCTTAGTAGGTGAGCCTTGAGCAAGCTCCTCGGCTTTGCGGCTGTTTGGCGTCTTGTTGCCTGTTTCGCCCATCTCGGCATCCTTGATTGCGCCATTTAATCCCGCATTCTTGGCCTTCTCTTGCTCGGTCTGCATCTTCCTTACTTCTTCTGGCAATATAAGTGGATGGTACTCGAAGTCCCATAAGCTCGGGATCTCGTGTCGCAGCGCCGCTTTCAAAGCCTTTCCATCTCCTTCGTAGAAGTCGATCCATCGGTACAAGAACTCGATAAAGTTTGGTACGATAGAGCTGTCGACCTGTATAATATCGATCAATATCCGCAGCATGTCCTCCTCTTGCATCAACTCTGGGTTGATGATGCGCCGCTCAACCATGTCAAATGCGGGCGCCCGCCGCTGCGGCTGCGGTGCGTTGAGCGGTGCCTCTGAAAGGTCTGGGTCGAGGCGAGGTCTCTTGGGCGAATGTGCGGATGTGTCGAGTCGGGTGGATGTTCTGTCTTCGACTTCCCATTGTACGCACCAGGTCCATAGCTCCTTACCAGTCTCTCGCGCTGTTCGCTCCGTAAAGTCCTGGATGAGTGCCATGAAGATCTCATGGTTCGTATCCATGCGATAGACGAGCACATTTTGCGTGTAGTTCTCGTACGGTACGAGCGTGGGTAGTGATTCCACATTACCAATGACATCTTGCAGGCCGAGGTAGCGATCGTCGAGTATGTCCAGTACCTTGCCGAATGACGCCATGGCGAGTGAGAGGGATGTCCTAATAGTTCAAGGTGGAAGGTAAAGGTGATCTCAGTGCGAAGAGCAACCTTGAGAGCTTGTGAAGGAACAGGAATACGGTGTTGCTGGGTAACGTGATCAACGACAATAACAACAAGTGGCGGGGTGGTGAAGTCGCAGGCGGTGAAACTAGGAGAGCGGGGAGGGGAAAGCGACTTAACGAAAGAGACAGTGCACCGATAGCCTTCCATCTCATGATATGATATAAGCATCTTCATCGCAAGCTTTCAAAAATTGTACAGTCGCAAGGAGGGTATAGTCGCAATCACCCCATCTACTTCCCTCGCATCATAGCCCGCTTTATGTACCTGCACGCTGCCCCAGAAGCTCATTTACTCTCCCTAATCTTCTCCACAACTGCGCTCACCCTGTCTTCGGCGCTCTCCCTGAGCCTCCTCCAGTCCGTATTGTACGCCCCTCTAACAATACCCTCCAACTGCCTGTTCCACTTGTCTTTTGCCATCTCCGCTAGTCCCACTGGCACTTCTCGACTTGTAGGCTCAGGCTCTGGTACCTTGGGCTCGTAGAAACCGGCGAGGACGCCGCGCTGTTGACGTAAGAGTGCCGCTTGCGTTATGCGATTTTGGGTATGTAGCGAGATTGTGAGGTATAGGACGGCTGAGGTGAGGGTGACGCCTCCAAGCTGGGCAGTGGTTAGTAGCTTAGTGCTAGAAGGAGAGCCGGTACGCACGAAGCCTGTTGTGAAGCCCATGGCTATGCTGAGCGTGGTGGTGGAGCGCACGCTCTGGGGTGCTTTTGAATGTTGTGCAGAGGGCCAATGGCTCTATAACTCCGATTGTGTAAGGGCACTCTATTAGCCCTATAGATTTGGGGGCTAGAGCGGATGTAGGATGCGAGAGCGAGTCTTCACAACTGGGATGGAGCTGATTCTGGTCGTGCTGAGGTTGACGCGACATGGGAGCTGTGCCTTCCTGATTCAGTAGGTCCGATTTGCTGTCGATCGCAGGTCCTGGTCGTTCGAACATCATCCTCAAGCCTTCTTCACACGAAACACACGCCACCACGAATACTGGATATCATTTCAATCACCGTTTCTATAAAATTATTATGACATAAAAGTGCTCTACGGAGTTTTCCCGTCTCAAAACACAGCTGAGCGTGATTTACCCCATGTGGAAGGTTCGAGTAGCCGTCGAACGCTGCTCCGAGGGGTCGCACAGCACCCGCGTGTCAAGCAAAGTACTCTGATCAAGTGTTTCGATTCTCTGCACGGCATGCAAGTGCGCTATGTGGCTAATCTCATCGCACCAATAGTTTGGAATTATGAATCTTCATCGAATTCGGGATAGGCCTGTCGAAAACGGCCTTGAACTGGAGGCTCCGCGCCTTTCCTGTCTATCTGTCGCCGCCAACCATCGTGTTTTCCACAAAACACACTTTTCGACGCTTTGATCTTACCCCCTTCAGTGTTTCGGTACATGAGCTCAAGTCCGGTAGCCTTCGGTGAACTTGGGGAGCTGCTTTGGGCGGTTGGAATCTGCTCTTCAAGACCATCCGTAGTGAACCTGGATCGGGTGACTGTCAAGAGACTAGTTCCGACGACTGGGATAACTTCTTCCATAGAGAGTCGCGTAATGGGTGTTTCAAAGCGCTCGTCGTCGCCTGTAAGGCTGGGGGTCTGCGCATCCTTCCGACGAGGATTTCGGGGTGCGAGAAGACGACGCAGTGCCGGCTGGGGTGTATGATAAGCTTCTAGAACGAGTTCAAGCTGAGAAGACTGACCATGCATCCGCAGTACAATGGCCGACCGCTGACTCTTCGGTCAAGCTGATTGTTACGCGTATTGCTCGCGTTATCCGACTCGATCTGATGCATTCCACCTAGCAATATGAGCACAGAGCTTGCAAGAAGGATTTCGAAAACGACTAACTGTACGTCGTAGTATGGACTGCTTTGGAGTGGTAGAGTTGCCTGTAGATGCATTACGAGGGACAAAGAGAACAAAGAGACTCGTAACCCTCACAGATCTCAATGTATAGGCACCGCTCCGGGCTATGTGCAGCTGATTCATTACGGCACAGTTGCCAACCTCGTGACAAAGCAAAATCCTGCAAAGTACCTTAATCGGGAATAAGTGCCAGATTTGAGATCCAAACCGACCTATCTTCCCACGTAGTCGGTAAGTAAGTACTCCCTTACCTGCCGTTACCGAAAAACCGCATCGCTGCACATACCCGCGCTCATATCCGTTGAACCCGCTATTTTACACTGTTTACTCCGCTCTCATCATTGCCTAAAGTCTTCTTTCCAACTTAGATGAACATGTCAGGATCTCGCGACTCTTGTCACATTCGTGGATTTCATGTTATGTCATTGAGAGAATCATGTAGTCATTACAGTTTCGTAAAGTGGTATCATATCCTAGCAGTATTCCTAATCCCTATGTTCAAACCGCTTGTCAAGTCTCAAGTATATATGCGAAAATTCTACGCAAATATTCACACTTCGTCACCCATCTACAGCATCACCGCAAAGCACACAGCAGCAACCGCGGCGGCCAGACTGCTTGTCTTTGCGCTCAGCGCGTCGTTTGTCGAGTCAGCAGCAGGCTCATCGGGCTGGTCCTCAGCCTTAAGTTCACCAGCCCCATACGGCTTGAAGCCTCCAGAGATGGAACTCTTGTGGCCGGTTGAGCCCTTCACGCATTTGGAGTCATCCTGGAACGCATCCCATGCTTGTTTCCACGCCGCATCAGGGTCCGCGTACGTATCTGCTGTGTAGAAGATCTTGCAGTCGGAGGCGTCGTAGATGAATTGTAGGGGTGTGGCTGTCTTGTCTCCTTTCCTGATTTGATCCTGGCTCTGTGCGCGAGACGAGGAGTCACCAGCCCTGACGGAAATTTGCGGTATATTCGCCAATGTTGTCAACACGGCATCGTTGGCCTTGACGGACGCGAGCTTGAAAAGAGAGGTGACATTCAGAGCGAGTTCGGCGTACGTCGGGAACTGGATCAGCGGGATGACCTCGCCACCCTTTGTGCCAGTTACTGTTTGTATGGGTGCATTGATGGGGCGGCCACCGACGGTAACGGCTTTAATGCCTGCGATGTTCTTGAGCTCTTCGTGGAAGGAGGCACAGGAGGAACCGCACAAAGCGTCAGTGTACATGATGATATTGGAAGCTTTGAAGGGGGTTTCGCGGGTGCCGTTTACGAAGTTGAAGCCGTCTGGGAGGATGGAGACGTGATCTGCGCTAGAGTACTGTTGTACGTTAGTATCATACCTTCGACTTGATGAAGATTATTTAGAGAACATACATTATAACGCATCGTGGCGGTGAATTTGTCAGAGTTCAATTTAAGCGGCCCGTTGAATTGATCCCAGCTTTTGAAGTTCTCACCTCCAGCAGTTCGAAAGTGCCACCACGACCAGTAGCGAAAGATCTCTCCATCCTCAATGTCCTGATCCAAAAACTGCTTATACTGTCTGGCTAAGCTTGGGTTGCCACGGATCTCATTGACAGCAGCACCAATCTTGACCCACGCATCCGTAGCTCGATACCGCTGGGCAGAGAACGGCTCCATATCGGGAAACAACTGCATGAATGCGTCGAGTAGGAGGTTTGTATTGCCACCACCATTTTCGCGCAAGTCTATAATGAGCTTTTGCTTCTTCTCACTTATGCATCGTCGAAGGAAAGCCTGAATGGTGGACTGGAATTCGTTGTTGAAGGCATTCTCATCAATGCTCTTGGGCTCCGGATTGCTGAAAGAAATAATCTTGAGTACGGCAACATCGCCGTACCCATTGCCGTTCAGAAAGTAACCAGCAACAACACCGCTAGAAGCCTCAGCAACGGCAGACGCATAAGTGCCCGTTGTAGGTATAGTCTGACGCTTGTTGCGGCGGTGGTAGATTCCTGTTGGGATTCGGGGAACGGGTCCAAGGGCACGGGGAGAGATGACGCCCTTTGTGTTGGCGGAAGAAGACCGCGCGCCAGTCAATCCACCAGTGCAGAACTGGCGAAAGAAAGACTGTCCGTCGCTCACCCGTGAAAAGTCCAATTCCGTTGTCGCAATGTTGAGAATAGAATTCGTTGATCCATTTGTCCAAGTCACGTCGGTGCTGTTCCCATCAAACTTTCTCTGCTGTGAAAATGAGCCAGCGTTGTCGGTGTCACCCTTGCTGAACATGTTGTTCATCTGCCCGTCGGAATCAATGTACTGCGCAAAGAAGGTTGATTTGAGGAAATCATACGGGTCCTGCCCATTGATCTTCTTTATGTCCGAGACGCCTTTCCTGTCACTAGCCAATGCTGCGACATCGTCATGAAAATATAGCTTGGGGAGCGCTTTGCCGTCCGATGAGATGGACGCAACATTAAACGGCCGTCTGAAGCGGAAGACTTGTAGGATGTCGGGCGCATAATTGAAATGGAAATTGCCGGTGCGGATTGTAATATTTTGAATAGCCAGCTGAACAGCATACTCGCTCGGATATGAGCCGAGGTTGCTCTTGACCTTGTCCAATTCACCCTGAATATCTAGGGCACCGTATTCCCAATCGCGTCCTGGGTTCTTTAACCATTCCAGCTCGGACTGGAATTGCCAAACCAGTTTTAGTTCATCGATGAGTTTGGAATTTCCCTGGGTATTGACCGGGACAGAATTCAGACAGTCGAAGGCTGCTTGAGCTGTAACAAGCCCGGATGTGCGTGGAAGTCGGGCTGCGACGAGAGCGCAGGGCTCGTTGGTGGTGCGGGTCTGAGCTGCGACGAGGGCCGCCGAGGCTAATAAAAGGAGAGTCGGATTCAACATTGAATGAAGGGACCCTGGCACTTTTCGCGAAAGATCGACGAACGACGCGTCCTACAACACCCAATTGTATGCAGATTAGACAATAAGAAAAGACGGGGAAAGAAACGAACCCGTCGAAAGACAGCGACAACAACGTTGCAAAGCCTAGGAACCGGGTGATGTCTCTGCTCCTAGAGGTACCAGGGCGCGCCTTCATAATATACGAGAGTGGCTGAAAGCACTTTTAAGGCATCCCGGCCAGCCCAGGCTAGATCCCCGAGCTGCACAAGGTGGAGTGGACGCCATGCCCTACGCAGCGCTTCCAAGCGACAAGGCGGCTGGCCCACTGCCTAGAAAAGCACCGCCATCGCTGAGGCTGAAAGAATCGAGCCGTCTAATCGTGGCCCTCAGACGTCATTTACGAGAGCAAAGAATAAGCTTGTGGATTGCGGAAGTCCTTTGCCCTGCTCAGCGTCCGGTATAGGAAACAGGTTGTTGATGGTTGTGACATGACAGCCAACCGGGGGTTTTGGCATCTGCTCCCACGCCTGTTGATCCGAGAACATCGAGGGGCTAGTATGGGCGGTTCCCCGAGGTCGACCCCCCTTGGAGACGCCGTGTTTGTACAAGTGCGCTGCTCACCGGGTATTGCCCAGGTGGCGCGGAGAGCAACTGTGGATAAAGTGGCTTGGAGCCGCACCCGGAACAAGGATAGATTGCGCTCAAGGGGTCTAGGTGAAGCGCTGACGTTGTAACATCCAAAACTCCACCTCGACAAGAGGCCGAGGAACTTCGCATTAGAGGTTTGCTGCCACGATACTACCGACCGGTATGAGAATACGACAGACGCGATTGCAGACGCATACAAACTCGAAGCTGTCGCGGTGAGTGATGCGCTGCCTCATTGCGGCTCAGCAACTACCCTGATCTTCAAAGAGGATAAAGACTAGCGATGTCCAAAGTAGCTTTCAACGCTAGCCTAGTAGGTGAGTTAGCTACCGAGTTTGGAAGTCTGGCAGCTGCTGGCACTGTGGTTACTTTAGCGCTGACTGTGTCCCGTGTGGCGTTGGCGTATCATCTCGTCACCGGTGGCAGTGGGTTTCAGGACATGACACCTAGCCAACCATGAAGGGGACCGAAGCACGAGCTAGATATTACTGACGGAAAGCGCCCTGGGTCGGACCAAACTATCATTAGGCATCACATCTCTCACCCGCGCGCCTTCATCAACTTCTAATCGTCGAGATCCTCTTCTTCCAAAGGTTCGTCGTCCTCAGTATGCAGCTATCAAATACAACGCTCTTACCCCTGTGCACGTCTCGATAGCTCCATGATACTTCAGCTGCCAGGCATTGCCCTGCAAGTGATCGCTCCGCAATTCGATACAGTAGCTTGTTACAACAGATCGTCGATCAGTTGTCTCTATCAATGTGTATCAACCCTGTTATAGCACAGCCATGCGCAAGATCACACATTTCGGGCAATCTAAGCGATACTTTAATAGCGAAAGTAGATATCTTGAAGTTTTGGTCGTTCTATAGTTGCCAGCTGATTCTCACACCACGACGATCATCGACAGGTTCTAAGCCAGTAAGACACTAGCGCAACCCCCAAAGATGTACCTAGGGTAAGATAACTCCTCTATACGTCCCACGGTCTTAGACTCAGCATACATTGTTTGAACGCTAAGGCGGGTGGAAAGGGCTTGGGAAAGCTTAGGTCAACACTTCTACTCTACCCCATGAAATTTGGCAAGGGCACGCGACGCACTCAAAATACAGGCACAGTTCGGTGATATATGCCGGCATGGGAAAGCTTACTCCTGTTTAGGTTTGTTGATGCGAGCTACCACTAAGAATGTATCCATGTCAAACTTGCAGAAGATATATAGACTCTACCACCGTGGTGTCGCATGCGACAGCCCGTTGGTAGGTAGAACACTTTACGCAGAGGTCTGTTCCCAGTGGTGATGAATCATAGTGCTTACAGAAGTACTCCACACAGTCAATCACAGCCCTTGAAGAGAGAACGATCTGCGAGAGGAGATCGGCAGAGGATTATAATGGTCTCATTCATGAACCATTGCTCTGGAGAAGGTAGGATTACTAGCAGCAGTGCCTGTCTGATCAGACGCGGTGTTGAACTCGGGGTCAAAGAGGACTGCTCTTCAAGAATCATGTACAAAAAGAGGGAAGTGGAACGGTATAAAAGGGAGCTGGCCCACGACATACCATCTCAACATCTCATCCCATCGCTTTACCTGAGCTACTCTTTAGTACAATTCACTACATTCACCATGTATGACCTCCAAGAAGCCTTGTATCAAGAACAATGCTCTTTTCACTTTGCAAAGCTCTGGTCGCTAACCACAACGCTTGCTGTACAGGAAATCCACCGCTCTCGTTATGCTTTTCGCTACCCTCGTAGCTTCTGCCGCCGTTCCGGAGATGTTCCAGCTTGAAAAGAGGGTATGTTGAAAACCACTTCGAACTATCTAATCCATCTGTTCTTCTCTAAATGTGTACCACAGTGCCAGGGAAGCGGTGACTTCTGCGACTCTGCCGCTATCAGGTGCTGTGCTGGCGTCTGGTGCTGCCCCTTCGGCGATGCAGGCATTCACCACTGCAATCCCGAAAAGACCAATGGGTGCTTCTAAGCTAGGCGTCCAAGCTGCGAGCGCTGCAGCTCTTGGGCCGTGTCCGCAATATGCCTCAGGGTGGACGTTTACCTGTGAGCTATCAACATGGCTAATGCCTTCGGATATTCTGGTGCTTTCAACAACCACCAACCCTGGGAGAACTGCATGTACTTAGCTTCCCACGTCGCTCCTTTATCAATACAACCATAGGTCTCAGCCTCACTCTACATCTTTTAAGATTATGACTCTCCTAGATTTGCCATGTAAAAATCCCTTCACTGTGACCGATCTTGTAATTTAGCTATCATTTCCCCATATGAACCAGGTTCATAAACAAATCAAATGCGACCCATGAAGTAAAACAGTGGTTACAGCATGGAGAAGATAAGATTCATACTAAGTAAACTTGGCTCTGTCAAAGTCCTGGTAGGTAAGGATGACCTGCGGGATGATAAAAGCGAACAATGCTGACGACTATTGAGTGCGTAAGTGCTGACTGTAGATCGCTAACTCCCCGAATAATCTGGCTAGCTTCTACCTACCAAGCAACTGGTCCATTTACCTAACCCCTGGATGCCACTATGCGCACTAACTCCGTAACATCCACTTACACTCTTAGGAGTCTATAAGCCCCGCTTTACTCTCCCGAGAATCCGCTTGAGCTGAACCAAACCCAACGGAACACTTGGTGGGATGGATTTCACGTAGCCTGCTCGAGCATGTGGCTGAAGGACCGGATTCCTGACTGCGCAGACTTCTCGGTATGTCGAACGATCCATGCGTGTACTAGTACATCGTCGAGCGACATACGCTTCTCGGCATCCAAATTGAGTAACTGCAATATCTTTGGTCAGCAACCGTTAAGAGAAAGACTACTTCTAGAGAATACTCAATCGTGTAGAGACTTACTTCTTGAATCAGGTCTTCCGCGCCCTTGGACACATGTCCCGGAAACTTCAACCCGTTACCCTTGAAATTCGCAATCTTCTTCTGCGTCGCCTTCGAGCTCTTCTGCTCAAACGGTGGCTTCCCCACCAGCAACTCGTACGTAAGGACTCCGAGACTCCACTGGTCGATCGCCTTCGAGTAGTACTCTCGCGTCTTCCCAGGCTTCAAAAGCATGACGGCGACCTCTGGGCTTAGGTAGTCCAATGTCCCGCATACGGTGGAGCGAAAGCCCGAGTCGGAGTGCACACTATACCCAAAATCTGCGAGCTTGATCTCGTTGTGGAAACCGAGGAGGATGTTCTCGGGCTTGATATCGCGGTGCATGATGTTCTTGCTGTGCATGTAGCGGAGGGCTTCGGCCATCTGAGCGATGTACTGCGCCGTGGTACGCTCGTCAAACCTCCCCTTCGGCTGCTTGGTCAGCTTGGAATACAAGCTCCCGCCAGCCGCGTACTCCAAGACCAGGTATATCTTTTCTTCATCATGGAACCACGATAGAAACTTCAGTATATTTTTGTGTGCGAGATTTTGATGGATTTCCAGCTCGCGGCGGATCAGCTTCTCCTCTTCCTGGTTGATGCATTGCGATTTGGAGAGTATTTTGAGTGCGCAGACGTAGTTTGTAGAGAGGTGGCGCGCCAGATATACGCGACCGAATTTGCCGCGGCCAAGGGTGCCGCCCACTTCGAAGTCGTGAGCTGATAGCGATGGGTGTGGATGGCTTGCTAGTGAAGGTACAGTGGCTATCTCCGGTTTGAAAAGTTCGCTATCCTTCTGCTGCTCGGCTTCGACTTTGGAATGCCGCTCAATAGCTTGCTTTCGACGCTCTCGCGCGGTGATTGCCTTGCTATTGTTGATTGTCTTGGTGACCTTTGGCTGGCCTTGAGGTCGTAGTGCGCCGAGCTTGGCCTTGGTGTTGAGTATCTGTTACGTTAGCGGTGAAACGGGTGGTAAAAGAAAGGTCATAAGAGCTTACAGAAGACTTCAAGCTAGTAAGCATAGAGCCGTATTCGCTATGTTTCGGCGGAGTCGAAGCGACTAGAACTGCGGAATGCTTCGTCGGCGCCATGTTGGGTCGAGTTGAGCGCGATTTGAGGGAAGAGTTGGATATACGGAAGTGGATGACAGGTGATATACGTACACGCCTCGTACAGCTGCGACTCGTCGCTCGGGAGCCAATTCTCTTCTGGCGCTTTCCTTCACCTAAGTGAAAGCAGCTCCCAGCCTCCCACAAAGCCAAAACAAACGCACAGAACACGGAAAACGTCACCGACCTTCACTAACTTCAAGATCACCCGAAGACATTTGTTTGAGTTATATATATCCATTGATTCTGCAACCCTCCATCAACCGAATTTACCCACGCTCGTTTGGGAGGGCGCCCGGCCGGTTGGCAACGACCACAACACCTTAATTGGGCTGACAAGCCGGGGGTCCGCGGTGAACTGGGTGCATAGCACGCCGGTTCGACACCGCGGGCGGTCAGCACGAGCGTGGGGGGAGGGGTCTATTCGACTTTCTTTTTTGCTCCTCGTCTGCTCTTCTCGTCTTTCACTTGTATGCCGTTCCTCCACCTGTCTGAGCATCACACCCTGTTTGCGCAGCTTCTGCCGAGCACACGCGAAAGACTCCAGGGATAGATTATGTCTGAGTGCTTTCGAGCCTTAATGTTTTTACTGAAGGTGCCGCGAGGATTCATCTAGTGGGTGGTTGAGCGCTACAATGTACCCGACCGGGCATTGGAGCCACCTTCCAGCTGCGCGTGTCGAGACGGGATGCGGCAAGTATCACAAGAACAAACGTGGAGCGCACTTGATCTTGGATAGGTGTCCATGTGTAATGATCGACAGCCGTCACGGTTGGTATGGATGGTGCTGATAACGAATAGGTCCTAACGTAATCAGGCACCACCACCGCTCAAGCCCAATCTTTCTTCAACAAGACCCACGATCTCCCTCCAATCCTTCATCGCCCCACCCCCAATGTCCCCACACGCCAGCTCTTTCTCCATGGGCTGCAGCACTTCAAACCAGCCACCGTTTTCAGCACCCCACTCCTCATCCAGCACCTTGATCTGTTTCTTCGTAATCGGTTGAAACCACATCGCTGTATTCATACTTGGCGCAACCAGTATCCTCTTTTTCAGTACCCCTCCAGCATCTTGCGGCCACTGTACGCCCGGTATGTCCCTAACCGGGTCGATCAAGCCCGTTGTGTCCCACGCACGAACGACAGATAGGAGGAGGTTATCGGACAACCCTTGTGTGATCTTTGCCAGTTCGTTTGCGCTGAGCGGTGCGATGACCATGATATCTGCCCATCGCCGTAGCTCAATGTGTAGGATCTTGTTGCCGCGCTTCCATGGCGCTTTCCATTCGTCCTCGTCGAAGTAGACACCGTCTACGTTTGGCAATGCTCCTATGTCTTTTATCGAGGGTTGTTCTTCGCTCTGGCCCTGTAGGAAATTCGCGGCTGCTGCTGTGAATATGAGTCGTATCCGGACATTCTCATGCTTCGCGAGCGCATCGACTATGTTAGGGATCTTGATTGTCGCCACGGAGCCGGATGCGCAGAGGAGGACGTGTATTTTATCATCGCGGAGATCAAACTGGATCGGGTCATGACTTTGTGGTTCGCGATGTTGGTGTTGCAGCGGCTTGATGTTCAGCGGGGTCAAGTCTCGAATTTCGTATGTCATATTGGTGCTGCTGTGGTCAATGTTCGCGAGGAATGTTAGTATGTGAGCAGTGAGATATGAACCAGGAACGTCAGATGCTTCCCACCTGGTGGCTGCATTACAGATATGCGGTAGATGCGGGATGATGCGTAGTGATCGGGAATCTGGTCCATGAAGTCTGAGTCGATCTCCGTTATCGATAACACCACGTGAGATATGCATGTCAGCTTGTCCTACTGACTTCCATTTTAGACTTCTAACACTCTTCGTACAATTGTCAATCACAACAATAGCGTAGAGCGTAAGAGTCGACATGTTAAACCCTACCAAATGACTATATCTTTTCGCACATCGTCCGTTTTGGTCCGCGGCCAACAAGCCAATCATAACTCGACCGCTCAACTCGCCGACGTATCCACTTTCTCATGCGTAACGTGTGCATGTAGACCTAAAGTGACGACACTAGAGGCTATCGCATGAAGTGGCGGAGATTGCGGAGTTTATGAGTACGGACTTAATGGAGTGAACAGAGGAGGAATACATATGTACGAAGGGCGGATCTCCTGGTAGCAGTGACGTATATATCCGTGAGCATCCCTCTTCCAATCTTTGTATCTTTAAAGCCCACACTTTTCTTGTTTTGCATCTCCCTCATAATCGTCTAAAAGTATCTTCTGCCTCTTTGACAATCTCTACGTCACAATGTCTCTCCCCAAAGCCCAACTCGGTCGCGACGGCCCTCAGGTCAATCGCCTAGGCTTCGGCCTGATGGGCCTTTCCACCTACTACGGAAAGCCCAAACCCGACTCTGAACGACTTGCTATTCTTGACCATGCCCACAAGCTCGGTGAGCATTTCTGGGACTCTTCGGATCTGTACGTTTAGCCTTACTTCTCTTCTCCCGCGCGCTATATTTCTTCCGAAATCTAACCAACTATCAGTTACGGCGACAACGAGGTTTTACTGGGAAAGTGGTTCAAGGCAAACCCAGAGAAACGAAACGATATCTTCCTGGCAACGAAGTTTGCCGTTTCCCAAGTGGACAGCAGCATCGACAGTTCCCCAGAGTACTGCAAAGCCGCCTGTGACAAGAGCCTACAGCGCCTTGGCATTCAGCAGATCGACCTGTACTACTGCCACCGCGTCGACCAAAAGACTCCCATTGAGAAAACGGTCCGCGCCATGGTCGAGCTGAAGAATGAAGGGAAGATCAAGTACTTGGGACTGTCGGAGATTAGCAGCGAGACGTTGCGACGTGCGCATAAAGTCCATCCCATCTCCGCTGTGCAAGTCGAGTACTCCCCCTTTGCGATGGAAATCGAGAGCAAGCAGATCGATCTCTTGAAGACGTGTCGCGAGTTGGGTGTCGCTGTTGTTGCGTACAGTCCTTTGAGCAGGGGTATGCTGACGGGTGCGTTGAAAGGACCAGAGGATTTTGAAGAGGGCGATTTTAGAAGCTTTGTACCGAGGTTTAGTGCGGAGAACTTCCCTAAGAACTTGAAGCTCGTGAGCCGAATCACGGAGTTTGCAGAGAAGAAGGGAGCAACGCCGAGTCAGTTGACGCTTGCGTGGTTGCTAGCTCAAGGTCACGATATCTTCCCTATCCCTGGCACAACAAAGGCTTCACGATTGGAAGAGAACCTTGGTAGCTTGAAGGTGGAGTTGAATAGCGAAGAGGAAGCAGCGATTAGGAAGGCGGTCGAAGAGGCTGAAGTAGGCGGACAGAGATACCCTGACCTGTTCATGAAGATGTGTTATGCGGATACTCCGCCGCTATAGGAAGTGGAAATGGACTGTACTTTAGACAAAGTAACCAAGCCTTGGTTACGTAGATTTCTACCTCAACTAGGCCTCAAAACCACGTCCCCAACGCAGAGCACAACGTTCTTGAAAAATCTCCTCCACTCCAATGGATCGCCACTTGCCTTCACAAAGCGCACTTCATTATACCCGATTCCATCATACACCGCCTTCTCAATGACAATATGTCCATTTAGCCCCTGTCTTCGACCATCGGCCATCTTGACCCTAATACTCACACTTCCCGTCATCTCAGCCTCCTCTATCTGCTGTTCCGAGAATGATGGTGCTGGGACACCCAGTCGATGCAGAGCTTCGAGAAGAAGAGGAATGAGAAAGGAGAGCGCGTGAGGGGAAATGAAGCGTGCCATTGAGTAGGAGGGTAGGACATCGGCAAATTTTCGCGCAGCTTGTGTGAAGGTCAACGGAACGCCGGGTGTTTGTGAGAATTGGGTCATGCTAGGGTCCTGTGAGAGCATCTCCTGTGTCGAAGACGGGAGCTGTGACACCATCGGTGTGGAAGCGGTGATTTGCGTCCGGTACACAGGCTGTTGGTTACCATCTGTAGGTTGTGAAGCAGATACCCCATCGTGTGACGGTAGTCGCGGCGGTCGTTCCCAGTCAAAAGGCGTATCGGCTACCGGCGTCTCAGGCTGTGTGGAGGAAAGGAGAGTGATGGCGCTCGATCTTCGGGGGTCGGAGTCAACGTCCATCGCATCTTCATCCTGTGAGAAACCACGTTGGGATTGTGTCGGTGGGCGGGAAAAGTCGATGCGTAGCTGAGATAGCATCTGGGTCGCCAACCCAACAGGATTCGCATTCGTTCCACTTGAACTCAAATATGGGTTCTTCCTCGTAAACCAGGGATGCGTTCTCACCTCATTGAGTGCAAAACGTTCGGCCGGATCGATCCGCAGCATGCCCCTTAGCAAACTCACAATCTCTGGTGGCAACTGCTGCCACAGCTCATCGCTCGTATGCCCACCTGTCTGCACATATTCTTTGTACTCCTCGCTCCGCAGTGTCGGCTCGTCCCACGGCGTATTGCCAACCAATAGCACAAACAACACAACACCGCAACTCCAGATATCGCAGATATTCGCCGCATACCCCACGTCCAGCACGTCTGCCCTTTTACTCCTCCTCCCACTGACGATTTCCGGGGCTATGTAGGGAGGTGAACCGCAGACGGTATTGCATAGTCGTAGCTGTCCGTCTTTTTCGAACAGGGCCGCCAGCCCGAAATCAGAGAGTTTGAGATCACCCTCGGCACTCAGTAACACATTCTCAGGCTTGATGTCCCGATGCGCCACGCCTTTCGAATGCATGTAGCCCACCGCACTGATCAATTGGCTGAAGTAGAAGTGTGCGATGTCCTCCCCAACACCTTCATCCGCTTCAATCTTGTCAAATAGATCCCCGCCCTCGGCGAGTTCCATCGCTATCCATGTCCATAGCGCGTCTTCTCCTGAGCCCAAACAATGTATTATATTCAGATGTTTCCCAAGATGTTGGTGCAAGATGATTTCCATCTTGATCTGCTTAGGTGTGAGGCGGCCCTGTTTGAAAGCGTGTTCTTTGTTGATGAACTTGATGGCGATGATGGGTTTCGGTGCATTGTGTGGAACGGCTTTGCGGATCGAGGCGTATGCGCCTTGGCCGATGGTCTTGCTGACGAGGCGGAAGGGGAGATCGGATGGGAGAGGGGCAATTTGGCTCCCTGGAGGTGCAGGCGCCATGGTGGTTCGAAAGAATGCTTGACGACTTCGTTCGCGATTTGCAGTAAAATATATAAAGCTTGTTCGATGCGGAAATGATGTTTAGCGGTGGTGCTGATATGTCTTGTCGCTGCCTAATCACTCGTGTCAGAAGAGTCTCGGTCGCGTCATGCAAAACAACGCGAAACCTTATCTTATCGGCAACGCCTACTCACGTGGCAACCCGATCTGACTCGCATGGAACCTGCACCGAGCCGAGACTTCACACATAAGCTTTCATTACGATGTGCCATTAGACTAGTAGATCCTAAAAGTCCACGATAAGGCTTAAACCAATGTTTTATTTATACCAACATGCCCTAGCAGGATTAACACCAGTGAGGAGTCCAATGAACTCTACATGCATCCTGCGATCCTAGCCACAGCTGCTCGGACGAGTCCCTTGTCAAGCTTGAAAAGGAAAATGCCGTATCTTGTCGTCCTTAATAAGCATCCACAGGGTAAAACGAACGAACATACCAAGGTACCACCTGGGCAAGTCCAAGCTACTCTGTTCTGCCCCAATGGCAGCCACCGGACTTCTCTCCTTAGCCATAACGTCACTAACGTCAAAGCAGCGCTCAGACTGCTGCAAGCATCTGAGCACATTATGCCTGATCCGTGTGCGGCAGCTATTTTTCTTTCGCAAGATAAATCCCATGACCTTTGTCAGCCCGTTTCGGAAGTTTGCTTCCGGATTTAGTATAGCGGTATTAGTACAAATCTCTCCGCGCTCCGCGAGTCCTCATAGGTTGAGGGGGTTTGCATGGTAAACCATCATCGTATGAAAGATGGTAACAACGACATGATGCGCAATAAGTTGAGACAGGAGCTGAACGAGGTAAGCGATGACGGTGAGGCTGTGATGTGTGTAATTTGGTGTGAACAGTTGATGGGTTGCACAGAGAAAGAGTAAAAAACGCATAAATCAACTTGCCATGAGTCTCCTATTGAGTAAGGATATCATGAACCTCTGATTAGGATACATGGATCGAACTATCACTAGCATTTCTAAGATATCGTTGGAGATGACCAGCCCATTGTCTTGAACAGAGCTTTTGTCTGGCGGCCCGGAGAAATGGAACAGCCATGGAAAACCGTCCGAAATTTGGGATCTGCCGTTCCCATCTACATGCCCTACATGGGCCGAATTAAGAGAAAAGAAAACCAGGATTTTCCAGAGGGTGATCTAAGTCAAGTGCTCCAGGATGTGATCCAAAAGCCAAAATTCGCCTGAGAGTATTCGAGTTGGCAGCCGCGGATGCAACACAAGCAGAAACCGGATGCCCCGTGCGGAAACCGCAGGACGAAAGAGAAGTAAAGTAATAATCACAAGCGGCCACCCCTATGCTATGTTTTTGCCCGACCGGTAAACGCCGCCGCCGTCTATTACAAATGCATGGAGAGAGGTAGCAAAGATAGGAAAGGGGGAATAATGCATCGATCCAGAAAGTGTAAATCCAAGTTGGTGAAGTAGATTGTCGTCATCTAAGTAGAACAGATTGAGAGACGCGTTCTGGTTCGTGGTCTATTATCGTGAGGCGCTGGGCGATGTGAGGGCGTATGCGGAAGCAGCAGCGGCATCGAGACCTCGGAGTTGCGGGGCGTACTTTGGATGTTTGATGAACTTGGGCACCGAGTCCTAGTGAAGGGTTAGTATTGAGTGTGAGTAGCGGAAAGCTGGAAGACGTACACTTGACATGAGCTTGAAGATTGAGTTTTGTGCCTTGTCGAAGAGGGTCGCAACTTCATTCAGGCTTTGAAGCATAGCAGCATCGTCGCCAACAGCACGGGTCATGCGAGTAGCCAGCTGCGTGCGGAGACCGTGGTCGATGTTCAGCTCGTTAGGGGAGCCGGGTGCTAGGAACGCGTTGTATAAACCTAGGTTTTGTCAGTAGATGCAAAGTAAGGTCAAGTATTGTCCATATTTACCATAAGCAGCGGCTAGCGTCTCACGTATCGTCTCCACTTTGTTGTCACCCTTCTCGCCAATGGCCGTGCGATACTGTCTGTTGAACTCTTGAACCTCGAGGTAGAATGACAGGTTCTCCTCACACATGGTCTCCTTGAGGAACTCGCGGTACAGAAGTCGCCATGAGGGATTGCGGATGATGACGTTGGTACGATTGCTATTCGAATCGCGGGTGACACCATCTCGAGTTTTTACCACAATATCTCCGCCTATTATAGTCTCATCGAGCATCCAACCTGCAACGCGCTCGCCGTGGGGGGTGATGTAGTAGTGTACCTGCTTTACTGGTTGAAAAGTATGTTCTGAGTTGCGGGGATCAACCGGGGCGATGAGCTTGAGTTGCAAGAAGAGCGAGCCAACCTCGACAGCTTCTCGTGGGTCAACCATGGTGGAGCAATCCATCAGCCATTGGGCGGCATTGCGTCCGTGGAAGGTGTATTCGTACTGGCGGGTGGCCGATGGCCGGTGCTTGACGAGTTTGACGCCAACGTCGCATTTTGAGAACTCATGTATCGAGTCGGAATCTGATTGGGTTTCGTTTGCAGTAAGGCCGACAAAGCGGCGAAAGATGATCTCTACCGTCTGCTCGTCATGGTGTAGCTTGTCGTTGTCGGTGTTGCGCTCCAGAATGACTAGTTGGTGGGGGTTTCTGTTGGAATCTATCACGGCTTTCACATGGGCAGATTGGATGCCATTGCGTGTGCAGAAGCGCTCTAGGATGTGGATGCCCTTTGGCGTGAGTTGCCATACTGAGCTTTTGTTTGTAAAGTCCATTTTGCTTTCGACCGACTCGATGAACTTGGCTTCGAGAAACTTCTGGCACACGGAGCGGGCCATTTCCTTGGCCATGGAGAAGGTCGTGGTGGTGGTTGTGGTGACGACACGTGATGAGTCCTTGGGATCTGGCATGCGGTTTGATTGGGAGAACTTGAGGGAGCCGAGATTTGTGATGGCTTCATCCGAAGTAAAGGTGAAGTCGATCATCCTAAACCGGACGCGGTGGGGCGTGAGGGGAAGTGAGACCATGAGGGTTGAGAAGAGGTCCTTAAAGTCCTGGCCACATGTGTTAGCGAAAGTTCAAGGGTGTACATGTAGAGGCGCCTCCTCCAGGGCGTTGATGTATCCATTTGCGCTCCCTGGTAGAAATGGTGAGGATCCAGTCTTGCACAGTACTCCATGTCGGAATTGACGGCTTCCCCAGGTTCATTGTCATGTTCCCAGCTCTTGATTGACGTAGTAGGGGGAGGGGGAAAAGACTCACTCTCGTATACGGCCGCTCATCATCCGTCATACGCAATAAGCGCGAACTAGTCTGGTGCATCTTGTCTGGTTTGGCTGATGTCGGCCTGCCTGCGTGGCCCGTCTGGTCTGCCTCTTCAGTGGTGACGTCGGGTTCGTGGGTGTCGGCAGCGGGCTCGCGTGGTGGAGAGGTGTCGGGTTCACGTGAACGCGCAATGGAAAACGAGGCTCGCGGGGCGCCGGTCGCGAAGAAGAGAGCGTCGGTGGGGTTGGTGGCCGAGACACTGCTGGCTTTGAGGTGGGCAGAGGGCGACCTGGTGAGCTCGCGGCTTCCTTTGCGCAGGAGAGGGAAGCGGGACAGGGTGTAGCGGCGGGTGTGGCTGCTGGGCCTTGTGGTGGTAGTGGTGGTGGTGGTGGTGGAAGGGGAAGGAGCAGGTGGGCTGCTCTTGCCGTGGGTAGCTGCGAGGGAAGGAGCGTCCGAGGCGGCGGCGGATGAGGGTGAGGGCAAGGGCGAGGGCGAAGGCGAAGGCGAGGTGTCGATGTCTGGGATTAGAGAGTCGCGGTCGCCAAAGGAGATGAGGCTGGACGAAGACACAGCAGCAGCGGCGGCGGCGGAGGCAGTCAGAGGGAGGGATGGGGTCGTCAAGGGCATTGCCGTTAGAGGCAGGATGGTCGCGGAGACTCAAGTCGCAGACCTCACTGAAGGGCGAAGTGTGGGTACCCTAGCCAGGATAGGCCGTCCTCTGCTACCCTCGCTGGGGGGGTCCGTGACCACTGAAGTCTTCTGCCGCCCAAGCAGCCACTCCACACCGCCCGACCAAGACAGCCCTGGTGGACACCCGGCCCAGGGCTAAACAAGAACATGGGCGACGACAAAAGGCACTAGCCGCAGCATGCCTCTCTAGGCCCGCAGTGCGAAACACATGGCGACATGCACGTCCACGCCCTCATGGGATTAAGTTGGCTTGGCTTACGCCGGCGCCCACGAGGCATCCCTGCAGCGAGCGGAGTCGTCCTCAGCCTGCCGCCCCCTGTCCGCCGTGAGACGTGCCGACCACTACGCCGCACACCGACAAGGTGGACCATCCGTGGGCCTGGGAGCTACGACGAAAGGACTGGTCTACATTCCCGACTGTGGCAGAGGGGCTTCCTACTATCTGCTATGCAGCGAAGCAGAAAAAAGCTTGCTGCATCATGGCGGCGGCGGCGGCGGCGGCAGCGGGACACCACATCCCCCCATATCGTATTCACCCAGCACCATGTCTCGTTCCGTCACAGCAGCCACTACGCACACGCCAGACAAAGCACCCAATGCGGCCTTCTTTGTTGCACGTCTGCGTCTGCGTCTGCGCGCAACAGCGGTACGCCCAATGACACACCTGCTGCCATCGTCTGCCCGTGCTCCCTGTGCTCTGTTGGGAAGACCATGGCTCTCCAAATAGGCCCCAGGGCCGTCGGCACATGCTACAGCAGCGCTCAAGACAGAAAAGCGTCGTTGCGCGCGCACAACAGCCTCTTACACCTCAGCAACACACCCAGGTTTCGCATGCTGCACCGCCGTTTGGCTCAACGCTCCCCCAGCGCCCGTTTTGGCGTAACGTCTGGTGGCGAGCGAGCGATCCCATCCATTCCACACGCTGCTGGCCCACGAACTGGTTACGCTGCCTGCACGATCGAGGGCCTAAGCCGACACCTGCCAATCGCGACACCACCACTCCCTTGTCGTGCAACACGTCGACGACGTTGAGAGGCCCGGAGCTTTTTGCTCGTGTTGCCGCAAGAACGTGGAATGCACGTTGCACCCTTGCTTCACACAAACGCCAAACTTGGTCGTCAGCTTTCCCCCCGACCTGCAGCTTGCACCACGCTGACAAAAGCATTCTTGTCCTGGCTCCATTTTCTCACCACATCATGTCAACCCATTCCTCGGCAGATCGGCGCATGCGTCGATCCATGCCTAATTGGCAAACGTGGAACAACGTGGAACCCCTCTTGTCGACATGTGTCGTTTCTCAGCCTAGACACGAGCTTTGCCGCATTTCCACGTGTACCACCCCGGCCCAAGTCGACATGTCATGTCGTTGGTCTTCCATGCGAGACATCCCTCGTGTAAGCACTTCCTTGACTGTGGCTCGTACTGCCTCTCCGCCATGCTGGGCCCTTTTCACCACCTCGCCATGTCTATCATTGTCGTTTTCGGCCACGCTCCGAACCATTCTCCAACGCGTAAACCTAACCTTCAGGGGCAGTTGATATGGAGAAACAAGCGTCGACTACCAATCAGCACTCTATGGATTCGATAGCCAATGTCTCCAAGCGAAGCAAGCATTACCACACGTATTGTATATGCTCCTCAACACTCCAGCCTTCCGCCCTGCAGATGGTCCAAATCTCGGACCGTGCACCACACGTGCGACATGGGAAAAAGCAAGCACGCTTGCGTTTCAGGGGCCGGTGTGCCACCCCATCTGCCAATCGGCCTAGTCTCCGAGTTATTTTGGATTGCCGATGATGAGCAGGATGAAAAATGCCATCTCCGTCAGACTTCGCATCATCACCGCCTTGCCGAGAGCTGTTGGCGGAGATGATGAGATGCCCATCCTTCCCGCTCAGATTCCGCTTTTAGCAACCTTTCATGTCGACCGCGCTACCCGCCAGCGGAATCTGAGCTTGTATTCGCCAAGCCCAGCGGAAATGGTAATATTTTCAGGGGCGGATCATCACTTCCACTGTCGCCCTTTATCACCCTTCCAGAACCTCGCCTTTTTCGAAGCGACGCTGGACAGCTTCTCCCGCCGCCAGAGATGCCTAGCTGCCGCATGCAAATGCCGTAACCCACTATGCTGATATAGGGGTCTTTACAAAAACAAACCTGTTCGACCGCTCTAGGCGCAAGGAAGATATGCGTCAGTTCACCTTCCTGGCAAAGCCCGATTGTGACCGCACAAGGCGAGGATCCCCAGCGCTTACGGTAGAAATACGATGGTCTGGTGAACTGAGTCATGGGCGGCACCGTCAAGATAACTCCGCGTAGTGCCGGCGGCTCCAACACGTGGTCATCGGCCCGCTGGCGGCAATGACGGTGCTTTTTTGCTTAACGCACTCGCTCGTGTGTGACAAGGCGTGCCGTCGTCGCCCACATGTTCCATCTGGACCAAACTCGTCGGCTGTCTCCTTCCGTCGATATCGATGCCGATGCAACGATTCCCCTCGCTAGATGCCACTCAGCACTACTGCAGGCGTCGCGTGGTTGACAGCTTAGCGCACCTTTTTTTTTCGTCGGCAGGGACGGGCCTTCGATATGGCGACTTCTCTCAACGTGGCTTTTCGAAACGTATGCTCCCTAACACCCATCTCATTTGCAGCATGTTTCAACAGGGGTTGCCTGTTGCTTTGTGCACGACGCCGATATTGTGCGCAACTCTCACCTGTCTCTAAATCTGAAGCTCCCGCCAGCTCCCTATTCTGGCTTCTTTTCATAAGCATTAGTTCTCGAGTGGGGCGGCTGCGCAAGTCGCCCGTCTCAGAAATGTCGGTGAGACGGCCGGCGTTGACGAAAGATAAAGGATAGTAGTATGGGATTTCATGATCCTGGAAGGTCACGAGTTGAACAGGATCCTCTTTCAATTTGTGGAGACACGCCTAGACCCTAGCCTGCTTTTTGAGGTGGGAAGCGGACCCTCGATATTTTCCTAGTGTAGTGCTGCAAGAGGCGGTTATCGTCAACCAGCATGGGGAGGCGCGCCCACGGCGAGAATCGGCAGCGAATCTCAGACGCGGTGGCGTAAGATCTTCCGGTTCCACGTGAAGTGTTGCAGCCGTGCAGAATGGTGGCGATTGGTGGCGGCTCTCAACGACAGGTATCGCGACGATGACATGATGTGAATGCGCGAGGAATGTCTGTTCGTCTGACTCGGTCGTCGTAGACTCGGTTGTATTCTCTCCGAGCTTCCACGGCCGTATCTCTGCCAAGCTCCACGACGTTCCTTAGTGTAATGCACGTGTTGAAAGGGATTGTGTGTAGTGTCGGCAAGAGATGGCTTCTCGGATCTAGGTATGCATCCCGTGTGCCTTGGTGCATATCGAGGGTGGCCTGTTGAGGTCGGTCGAGGTCGGTCGAGGTCGGTGGCTTCGGGTCTGAAGTACGGCGCCTGCATCTGCACACGTACGAGGAAAATGATATTTGCTTATTGGCGTCTGCCTCGCAGGTCTCATGTCATTTGCTCACGTAAGAAAGTACGCTTTTCAGGCGTATGATTCTGATTGTCCGCATCATCCTACTCACACTTGTCAGGCAAGAGGTCCGTGGCCTCAAATATCGATACGAAGGCATTGAAGGCGGCGGTAGGCAGCCAATAGGCCCATATAGAAAGCTGTAATGGGGCCGTGGTGGCGGCGGCGAGGTGTATGCGGTACGTGGGTCAGTCGCGTTAGTGGTGAGTGTGGGAAAGGTCTATCAAAATCACAGTCAAGCCTCAGCAGCAAGTTTATCAGTGGCTGCAACAGCAGCACAAGGCAATGGGCACTCTTGTAAGGGTGCAATACACATACCCTCCTTGGTGTAGTATTGTCAGTCTATCCCCGAGCCTCGCAAGACAGAGCTTCTGAACAGTTCAGCCACTCTACGCCACTGGGCATCGGCTCAGGCTTATGGAGGTATCACTAATCACTTAAGGAGATCCAAAGGGCCCCACTTCGTTCACGTTGCATCTCCAGAGCCTTTTTTAGGCATGATAATACCGCCCTACCAAGTAGAGGTGTTTCACAGTCTACATAGGTCCAGGCACTGTGACATGAAGTATGGATTGTCATTGCGAAGCCTCGTGTCAACGCTCAAGAGATCACGTGTGTTGAAATGCCCTCTAGACTGATACACTCGGATCACGCATGCATAATTAAGATGAGACACCATTGAAGGCCCTTTCATTAAATTACGATTTCACAGCCTCCTTGCACCAGTGTTACATGTAAGCATTATGATACAATGCGTGCTGTTCTCGAACTAGTCGTTACTAAAATACTCGAGTTAATTGCAACTTTGCTCTCTTCGCTTCAAAGTCAACTGCTTCGTCTCCAAACCCCAATCCGTCTCAAACCAGCTGACTGTATCCCGAGGAACTGGAAAACATGGATTGAAGGGCGTATGCGGTCGTGTATACAAAGGATAAGCACTTCCAAGACACTGGTGTCCACGGTGCAGAGTTAGCTGCGGAAGCAGGCGAACCCGCTTGTATATATGTAATTCCGCCAATGGAAGACTGAGCATCTGTATCCATATTCCTGCCAAGCTGTATAGGCCGATGCAAGACTGAGGACGTCCTTGAGGAAGAATGCGACCCTGATAAAGGCTCCTCCAAAGTCCCCGCCTTTAACATAACGATCATCCGCATGTACTTACGCAAGAGTTTCACGGAGTGCTGCCCGAATCTTCACAGGAGGCCAGCACCACGTACAATGCTCCAGGCTACCCATTGTCGCCCGCACACATACCTCGATGTACAAAGGCTCACGCATTTTGGGCGAATCGGGCTCCAACAGCACAACAGGCGTAACGACATGTTCCCATCTTACAATATTTAGAGATTTCCAGACAATATTGCCGTGAGTTCCGTTCATCGGCTGGGTTAAACTAAACATTACCGTCCACCTTCTTGATGCGCAGGAATGGTAATCGAGGTATATATTTTCCGAAATCAAGACCAGTGCACCTTGAGTAGATGATCGAGGGTCGTTAGGAGGATTTCCAGAGCACCTACGCCTTAGTTGAGCTATCACAGGTTCCGTGAAAGGGTCGTTAGGTAGCATGACCCCTGTGCCGGGCTGCAAGGGGCATATGTTGCGTGAGAAAGGTTTGTATATGTACCGGTTCTGATCGGCTTCCATATCTTCTAGAGATCGTTGGGTCTACCTAGACATTGTCCCTCCTGCTAGTTTCAAGATGCTGAGACCCTTGTGTATCGTGCCTTCGTCAGCGCGTAGAAGTACGCGATATCTAGCTCTATGCCAATGACGGCACCGGGTGCTCAAAGAAGCCATCCTGGCGTTTATGTCCATGAAAGTAGAGTAGGGGATATGTCGACCGTGGACACGTAGTGTACTTTGCCTGAGATAAGTGAATCTTGTGACTGCCTACGAGAATACTGGGTCGGGTCGCACGGAGGGTGTGTAGGCGACGCGAGAGAGAGCCCAGGTATCCACAGTATTGTGTGTGGATGCGATGAGCCCGAGATGCTAGATATGACCACCTATCCTCTGAGAAGTGTGTGTTTTGTCCGCACACTCTCGCGCTTGGTGATGGGTGGTGATGTTGATAGGCCTTACGGTGGGTCTTCTGCTCCATAGCTCACTCTTGACGGCCCAAGTCGTATGACCTGACTGATATCTGCGACCCTAAGTTTGATATTTTGGGATAGTAGCGGTTGATGCGCTTTTGTACGTTAGCCATGATATATCTTTTTGAGCTGTAGCTTGGCGACGCTTTATCGAGTCGGCGACTATGAGATGATAATATATGGTTGAAAGGATCGGAATGGCCAAAAGATCACACAGGCGAAAGTCCAGCGTGAGTTTGAGAGTATACTAGTATACTAGATTAGAAGCTGTATGACAGAGGCGCTGTGAAAGACCTGTCATTGGTTATCTATAAACTGAACTATTTCGTCCTCTAGTACGTGAAAGCCCGATATGGCGGATCCTTCTATAAGTTATGGACTAGTGATTAAAGAATGAAACCTTCGGGGTCCTAGGAGAATCGATAGCTAGTTTACAAGTGAATATCAGTACGTCTCCTTAGCCTCGCCGTGACTGCCGTCAAATCACCCCAGCGACTTTGGTGGCATCCACGTCAGCAACAAGAAAAGAAAACATTGAACTCCACGATGCTGTAGAGCAGGATAAAAGCTATATAATGGAATACAGATATCAGGATGGGATCTGCCAAGCTGCCCTGCTCTTATAGCTCTTGGTATGATTATAGATAAAGAATATCCTCTTCTAGGAAGGTGTATCCACCTTGAGCGTAGCAGAAGCATAGCTAACAGGAAATCCTTGATATATCGCGTAGCTCGAAAATCAGTATATAGTGGCTGATAGCTTCGAGCAGACGGGAGGATTCTCGGTCTGGCCTTGTCGTATCGTCCGATATTGAAGAATGCACAATGTCGTGGAAGTAGTTCTTAGGCAAATGAACGGAGGTTAGGCGGAACCGGAGTTGGCGCGAGGTGACGTAATCGCGCTTCGCCTTTCAGCCAACGTCACGCTCAAACCTCTACGCTTGCACTCTAACTTGAAAGTTTTCTGCAAGTCATAATCGCTTGTAAGATAACTCTTGAATATTTGACTTGATCTAACCAACATTCCTCCTCATTATTGGATAGGTGCTGCATTTATGCAGACTCGCACGGTGTTTCAAAGAGCCAGAGACCTTCAGGCATGTCGCCAGCGGTGGCATGGCCGTGATAGAAGCGACTACCGGGGACCTTCTAGCTTACGCTATTGGCTTTCGGCATAGTCAGGAAAGGAGATAAGAGCTAGGGACCTTCAGGCATATTGCCAGCGGTGGTATAGCCGAGATAGAAGTAACTACCGGGGACCTTCTGGCTTACGCCATTGGCTTTCGGCATAGTCAGGAAATAAGAGCTAGGGACCTTCAGGCATATTGCCAGCGGTGGTATAGCTGTGATGCGACGCACTACCATCACTCTCTACCAGCAGACTCCAAAGAATGGTCGCGTCATGATGAGCTTTGAGTACCAGGCACTTTCAGACATATGCTATCGGTGGCGTTTGGTATCGTCGAAATATAGGTGCCAGAGACTTTTCGCCATGAGCTGTCAGTAGCAATTGGCGTTGTCGAGGGTGTTGAGGATTGCTGCTCAATAGGGTCTATTTTTGGCGATCAACTGAGTAGACTCAGCATCAAACTTCACCGGCGTCTGACCCCACTTCTCGAGGTGCGCGAACTCGATAGAGTACTCTGCGTTACGCCCGATATTGACATAGGTACGCTTAGGAAACTTGCCGGAGCCGGGTTCGAGCGTTGCAAGCCGAGTATGAGGATGTGGCCTTATGTCCTCCATGTTGTCGGCAAGAACAAAGAACTTCCAATGCTCGGGCTTCCTGTGATCCTCAACTCTCTGGCTACCAAAACTGGTGCATAGCCGAATGTACACGCACTCCTTGCCGTCGTCGTCCAAAAACATGCCGGTAATCACCGCTGGGTGACCCCATGGGTTCTCGTTCTCGTCGCCACCCAACTTCTCATAAATAATAGAGCCGGAGGGAGGCAACTGGACAGGCAGGAATACGACGTTACCGGGCAGGTTGTCATCGTACTTTGGTAACGACGTTACCTTACTGGGCTGTAGCGGAGCGCCGGTCCGCCAGTTTCTGCTTTGTGCCCAGGGAGCCTGGGATTCACCTGAAGATGGTGATGAAGAGTAGCGTCGCCAGGGGAGTGGAGACCTGGGAGGGGTGCTGGTTGGAGAAGCCGAGGGTGGAGTTGGAGGAGGAGTGATCGGCTTCCACCCTTTCAGGCCTCCACCAAGAGTTGACTTCTTCGAAGTGGCGGCGGTATTGAGAGCGAAATAGCCCATAGGACCAGAGATGGAAGTAGCCATGTCGAAGAAGATATAGTATTCGACGAGAGATTAAGAGTAAGGTGGTATTAAAGCTGTACAGCTAAAATTCCCTAGAACCAGAAGAGATAGAAGATGGATGAATGATGTTCTTGCTTCTAAAAGGCACCATGCCCTTTTTAACAGGTTGTATATCATCTGTAAGTGCAATGCAATCAGTGGCTCCAACTCAAACCAACATAGATCCAGGATTTGCGTTCAATATTATTGCGATTAACCTAACATAGTGATTCTGATTGGTACCGCAGATCCTGTCTCAACACAAATCTTACGACTGAGCAAGTTAAACCCTTTTCCGATGCCAAATTTCTGACAACATCTTACTCTAATAGGCCATAAACACAGCCCACCATTGGACAATATGATGTTCTGGTAAACACAACCAAGAGCTTAGCACATTCAATATTGCATATATTGAGAAGGTTTCATCACGGCACGAGAAGGACCATATCTCACATACCACATGCTTCCGCTAGAAGTGCACAGAGACCTGTGCCAAGCCTAAATATTGGAAATAGTGACGAAAGTCATAGTTAAACCTCATCGCATTGGTGCCCCAGAAGTACATGCGCTCGGACATAATCAAACAAAGAGCATGATTACTCTCTGAACCATGTCCAGGCTCAAGTAGTACCCCTTCCAGGCGCTGCCAGAAAAGCTGTTTTCAATGAGTAGGAAGTACCGTGGTCCTGTTGCGCTGTTTAGATCTCGCGAAAGGACTAACCAATAATTTTCTTCGTTCGAGGCAGTAGCAATGTGCTTAGATGGATCTTGATCCGATATGGGGAAATTGCGGGAGAGTGGAGCACCATGAGTGGCGGCAAGAACTAGGAAAGATGACACATGGCCGAAAAGAGCAAAAAGGGCTCTTGCTAGAATGTTCTCACACGAGCACGTTAATCATGAATGCTAGCGAGGTATACTGGGAGTATGGGACCCAATGAGAGAGACTGAGTATTCGATAGTCAATCAATTGGAAACAAACACTTCACTTGTGTGATATGGAGGACAACGACGAAAAATGGACGCTATGGAGTTGATTCGGGTTGATGTATATACCAAAAGCCTGAAACTGTATGAACCAATAGTTCAAAGCAACAAGTTACATTTGTAAGCATGTCCTTAAAAGAATAATATGTATTTGCAAGCAGCACAGTAAATATAATGCTAGGGAGCCCGTGTTTACACCAAAGCGACGAGACTGGTATGAGTAGGTGTCAGCCTAGCAAGATGAACGAGCGCATAACAGCCACAACAACAAGCAGGACACTAATCCCTTCGTCTGTCATGTGGCAAGCGCCTCTATTTACTTAAAGTTTATCAGTGAGCATCTATCTACCAACTTACACTTGAGTCGTATTTCTTCTTCGTATCTCATGCACACCACGCATCTACGCCGCTCCATCCAACCCATTTGCTTTCATCGGGAGCAAAGGATTACGGTGACGACAATCACCAGTTGAGTCGAGGCCCGGGATGAAGCACGGGACGAGGTGGTCAACGAGGTGGTCAACGAGGTATGATTAGCGAACGATAGAGGTTTCAAGATTTACCGCTTCCTCTTCGGGGCAATTGCCTACGCCTTTGGTTAGCTTTCTAGCTTCTAGGCGTAGGAGCAAGACAAGCTGGATAGTGTGTCGTTCAGTATGTTCGAGCTCTTCGAGACCAGCCTATAGTCGCTTGAATCAGTCATGAAAGAAGTGCCCGGTATGTTGACTGGGGCGAAGTGAGAAGAATCAAACCGAGTCCACCATCCTTACTGTAGTGGGGTTGTTCACGAAGGTGACCTCGGTGATTTGAAAGATTGCTATGCCATTCAAGGTTCAGTAAAGACACAGTGATGCGGTCAGGAACGTATTGGATCAAAGAGGTAGACAGAATGTGGTAGACTTCTTCCCATGTCGGTAAGGGCTCGAAGCTGAACCGTCATCAGTTCGAGATTTTCGTTTCTTCCGCAGCTCACCATCACCCAGTAGGGTTAAAACAAGGTAGGCATGAATTGAACGGTTGCCAAGAATTAAGAGTGTGCTCAGGTAAGTAGATATGATGCCTGGTACCCCAAGATGGCGATGCAGTCGTGGAAGTTAACATGCTGGACTGTGTACGTGTGTACGGGGAGTTTTAGGGCATCACAGTGCGCTCCCAGAATTACGCTTTTCGAAGTATTTCATTGACCCGCCGACCTAACATATCTCATGACGCCGTCATTGGGTTTCCAGGAGGGCCCGTATGCAAGCCGTGTCACGAAATGGTCGTGACTATTTCTACCCCAGCATTGGGAATATGCCGCTGATCCGTGTTGCAACCCCGAGGGCAAATGTCGAAGAAAGGAACGAAAGAAGATGCTTAGTCGAAGAGACCGAAGCCCATGTCGTCGTCTGACTCCTCCTTCTCTGTGGTGGGGGTTAGTATCCGCTCTTTGCTGAACCGTGGTAGCTGTTGCGGTGAACGTACCCTCTTCCTTCTCCTCCTCTGCGGGTGCGGCGTCACCGCCAGCAGCGGCGGCACCGCCAGCACCAGCACCAGGAGCAGCGGCAGCGCCGCCGCCTGAGCCGACGTTCAGAAGCAGGTCCTTGACATCCTTGCCCTCAAGAGCCTATTCACATATCAGAAATTGTTCCGTGTCCCAGAGATCTCGAGCGTGCGCACCTTAGCGAAAAGGGTTGTCCAGATGGGCTCGACCTCCTCGATCTTTGCGGCCTTGATGAGAGACTGGAGCTTGTCGGCCTGGTGAGGTCAGTGATTGTGCCCGCAGATTGCACTCAGAAGTCATACAGTGATATCGACGCCGTCATCGGCGAGGATGAGAGCGGCGTAAGAGGTTGCAAGCTCGGAGGTAGACATTGCGACGTTCGTGGATCGTGATATGGTCGTGAGTCGAGGTGGGAGAGTTCGCGATTGACAAGCAATTCGAATTACGGTCGTGGCTCCAGAATACTAAGCGAGCGAATGGCAGCGTCGTGTGCGAAGGCAAACCCGCTAATCTATATCCAGCCTAGCGTGCTCCCGGTCGCAACTGCCCCTCCCAAGTGACGTCCGAACACTTCCCCGCTATATCTCGGCTTGCTCATACGACTACCGGCAAAGCCGCAAAATCTCACTCCTGCAGGCCTCTACCACACGCGAAGTCATCCCATTGCCGCCAAAAGATCCACGGAATTGTCAACAGTCAACGTCTGCGGCCCACCATGACGGACTCTCCCCTTCCGCGCATCCCGTTGGACCCGAAGGAACAGCCGATTCTCGACAAGCTGGAAATGATACGGACTCAGCTCCAATTGTTAAAACGGGACCGATCAACTTACTTCAAAAGCCAAGATATTCTCAGTCTATATGACCAGGTCATCGAACAAGTGAAGATTCTGAACGAAATCCGAGTGACGAAGCGCCTCGAGCAGAACAAGGGTATGTCACGTTATCAGCTCTTGCCGGAGGCCAACGTCGCTAACCCACCGATCCTGATAACAGTCGATTATATGCTTGACGACTGCTTCCAGCTTATCTCACTTGCATATTTGACAGTAGGCAAGAATCATGAGCCACCAGCCGTGTATGTTTCAACCATCTTCCCCAATGTGCATGCGCTGATATCGTTGACTTAGATATTCATACATTTCGACAATTAAGGTAAATACGATTCTTTGAAGTCACTCTGATACAACACTAAACACACCGCAGCGTCTCCTGGATCATCTGAAGGAAGCAACATTCTACTCGCCAAAAGACTTGGAAGCCCTCGACAAGAACCTGCAAGACTGCCACCGCTATGTCGAACGAAGTCGAGACGAGCATACCCCACATTTACTCACTCTTCTTGATGCTCGCATTCAAGTATGCGAAGAAACCTTGTCCGAGCTGAAGCTCAATCTTTCTGGACTCACTCCCGAGCTGAAGCCAAAGTGGGAAAGGTTAGTATCTGTATTGAGATGTCTGGCTGGCTGCAACACCAGATCAAAGGTAAAATTCTGCCTACTGCCTTTTGGCCAAATGCTGACTGTTCTCCAGTTTCCCCTCGATGAAGTCAATGAATACGAAATTGAGCTCAAGCGGCTTCAAGAAGAACTCAAGGAATATGGCATCTATGCATATGAGACGACTGGAAGCACAGAAGAGAAGCTGGCGGAGATGGTGGACAAGGTGCAACTCGTTGCCGCGCATCCCGAGCCGGCGCCTGAAGCGAAGACACTTATTGGGACGCTGTTGCGACGAAACCTACTCTGGGTCGCTTTGATCAAGCTAAAGTTAGTTCACCCCTGCGAAATTAAAGCTGCTAGCTGACCTGAAAATAGACAAGGCCGGATATCACCTGCTTTCCAGGATACATATGACAAGCTCCTTGCCATTCGAAACAAGCTCGAGAAGCTCACCCTTACGCAAGCATGGTCTCTGCGTGAGACAGATCTCTGGGACTTCCAGCGTCAACTCGATCGTGTTGATGAAGCGCGGATTGACGGCAACTTTATCGATGCTCTAGGGCGACCTTCGGAGATATACGAGCAGAGAGTAAGCACGCACAATTCATGCACATGTTGCAGGGCTAACGTTCATGCAGACATTACTCTACTTGCTCCGAAAGAACTACTCTCTCATCTATCAGTTGCTCCTAACCTCTGAACCAGTTTCTGAAGCGCTGCTACCAATCTACAACCAACTAACTACTCTGCGAAAATGCTTGCAGGAAGTGAAGAATCTGGGTGGTGTTTCTTCACCGAGAGAACTTTACCCATACAGCATGAAGGTTTGCAACCCAGGATATCGCCATAGTCTCTTCCCTGCTGACCATACTGTAGTTGAATTCCATTGACAACATGCGCGTCGACGGCAAGTTCATGGTCGGCGACGAGATCCCTGATGGGCAAGGCCGCGTGACACAACTCCTCGAGGACTGTTTCGAGCTTGCATACGATCTGAGAAACGACGCAGAGGAAAGCAGCTCAGCAGATGCGACACCTCAAAGCGAGCCCCCCAACGAGTCCGTCACCGCATAGCTTTTTCGCAACTTGACACGATAGCGCTATTAGATTCGGCGTACATTCTGGCTCTGGAGGCTTCTTCGTTTAGTTGCACTGTCCTTTCAACAGTACTCATATTCACATTTACCTTTTAATATGGCTGTATCATCCATAGTAGCTCAATTTCCTCTTCCGGTGGGGTAGGAGGCGGCTTATCAGCGTCCTTAAAGGTTAGATGGCTCCCATATGATATGCCTTCGGTGGTTAGCAGTTTTTCAAGCGTATCCCAGTGCCTTTTGCTACTTACACAACTCCTCGCCCGCGGGTATGTCTCGAAGCGCTTGGTAGGTAATGAACAAGCGACTAGTATCTCGCACCCATCCTACGTTTTGCTCTTGTGTCGAGTGGTTGAACATAGAGCCGAGGCCAAATATGACAGCTTGCGCAACCTTAGTCTTGCCGTTCGAGTCTACGACGGGCCAGTTGCTACGAATGAATTAGGTTCTCCATACATCCGATAAGCTTCCCGGGCATGGCAACACGGCTGTTGTACCCTCGTCAGGGCTGAAGAGCCCTGGTCTTTCCACCAAAATCGACCAGACATAGGAGAACACCTCGGATCTATCTATGAAGAGAAACTCGGACAAATGCACAAGACGGAACTTGGACGTACTATGTGTAGTGGTAAAGTGAGGTATGTTCAATATGGGTCTTATTCTCTTCCGACCCTAAGACTAAAGCAGGGCAGACATCTATTACGGCCCCCGCCGGTATGTCTTTTGTTGCGAATACGCCACGACCTAAATCATGTCCTTAGTGCCTTGTCTCGACGTGTAAAACTTGTGTGTGAAGACGAGTAATCGAACCTTTTGGAGTATCGCTCTTGATCACCAGATCGGGACAACGCTGTAGCGGAATATCCGTTTTCTCCACAACAATACCCATGATGAATGTACCAAAGCTTCAGACCCCGGACGCAATATGGTGGTCTTCGGCTGGAGACCGAGTTTTGTGTCTATCAAGGGTCCAGCGCACGGACCAATGATGCCCCACACGAAGCTCAAGCTCGCTCCCAGCACCATCACCTTTCACTCGGACTTCAACTGGAGACTGAGTTTGGCTCACCTGCGGAATCAACCTCACATGGGCGACTCACTCAAGGCACCGCATTCGGTGAGTTTGAAGGTTCTGCGGTAAGTTAGCTCATTAGTCTCACAAAGCTGTTGAGCCCTATACCCGCATCCACCTGAGTATGTATACAGAGCTTCATAGAGCTTTACGGAGGACAATCGGGCTTCGGAAATAGTCTACTTCGGATGGCCATGATTACGTTATTCGTTGTCATAACTACTATCGGCATGAACACGAGCTCATTGCATCTCTAGGCTATCCCGTCCATCTCTCGCGACGCAGTATCCGCTCCCAAACCCGACCAACCTCGGAATCTCCCCCAAAGCCTCCCTCGCCTACCCCTCGCAAAATGGCACAGAGGACAAATTCATCCTCAGCCCCGTGCTCAACCTCCCCGAAGCGTTTGGCTCCGCTTACGTGGGCGAGACGTTCAGTTGCACACTCTGCGCAAACAATGAGCTCGATACTTTAGATACTACAAAGGTAGTCAGCGGGGTGAGGATACAGGGCGATATGCAAACCCCTTCGAACCCTACAGGCTCACCGTTGGACCTTGCTGGTTCGTTGGATGATGGCGATAATACAGTTTCGCCAGGACCGGGCGAGTCGTTACAACGCATCTTAAGGTTTGAACTTAAGGAGGAGGGAAACCATGTCCTTGCAGTTACTGTCACGTATACGGAGACAGCTCTAGGAGAAGGCAAGGCCGCAAGTGGACGAGTGCGGACGTTCCGCAAGCTTTATCAGTTTGTCGCGCAGCAATTGCTCAGTGTTAGGACAAAAGCTGGGGAGGTAAGCCAGAAAGACGGACCATCGAGGTACCTTCTGGAAGCTCAACTGGAGAACATGGGCGAAGCTGCAGTCTGTCTCGAGGTACGTAAATGGCTTGGCAGAGCCATGGTTTACCGCTGTTTTCCTCCATTTATCTCAGACGAACCCATGCTACAGCCTCGCTTTCCCTAGATTCCCTCACCCGCTTCACATCAGCGCTAGCCTAATCGTAGATTTCGATTGTGCAGCATCTCTACATTCCGGGACGGCGTTCCGTCGCTCCCAGACAACCAACCAACCACCAGCCATGTACTCGGAAACTCTCAGATCCTGGCTAACACGAAATAGGCCGTCAATGTTAACCCGAAACCTCCTTTAAAATCGACATCCCTAAACTGGGACATGAATCCACTAGGATCACATCAACATAATAATCCCATATTGAGTCCTCGCGATGTTATCCAGGTGGCTTTCCTGCTGAATCAGGAATCTAACATGGAGGAAGGGGTTGACGGAACGGCTCCGGGAGACAACAAAAGGGTGCTGGGACAACTCGCCATCCAATGGCGAAGTGCATTGGGTGATCGTGGGTCTTTGAGTACCGGCTGGCTGACGGCGCGGCAATGAACAAGTCGCATTGCGATTAATTTTGCGCGGTCCAGCCACCCAAGAGCAGAGATTGTTTAATCCTCACAAACTCACGGCACGCACGCTCGCCTCTAGCTCACGACACGTAAGGTGGTGGTCCCAGCAAGTCCAATCAGCCGCGCGTCCGTGTTCCGGAAACTACTCCGGAGTGTGACAGGCTTGGTGAACACGCCAGATGAGCGTGTGGCTCACCAAAACCTGATTGATGGTGTAGATCGATGCGGGTACGACAGTGCAAAATGACACGATCGTGAAGCACCGCAGAGATGTTAGGGAAAGAAGGGCTGGGGCTCTGCGGGAGATTGCCTGGTTAATCTCGGATTGACTTTCAAAGCGGATGTCGTACAGTAGTACATGGGTACCTGCGACACAGTATAGGCCGCTGGCCGGAATGTGGAGGAGGGGTGACCCCCACCTCTAGGTTCATCGACAGGGTGAAGCGACCGAACAAGCCATGGATGGGTGTTTACTAAGTAATTACTTAGTAATTTAGTAATTACTATTTAGTAAAGCCTAATTAGGTATAGTACCTAGTAATTACTAAAAAAAAAATTTAGTAATTACTAAATAGTAATTACTAAAAAAAAAATTTAGTAATTACTAAATAGTAATTACTAATTAATACTATTTAGTAATTTAAAAAAAAAAAAACTTTTTAATAAAATATTAAAATATATAAATTTTACTATATTAATATTATATTAAAATGTTAAATATAGTACTTAAATTATAGTTTTATACTAATATAAATATATAATAAGTAGCTAAAATAAGTAAATAGCTAGCTTTTATTAAAATTTTACTAAAATTATAACTATATATAATTATATATACTATTAAAAATAATAATTAATATTT